GATGAAGAGGAAGAGTGAGCATTCGTATAGATAAATATATAAATAGAGTTTAAACTAAGTATAGATGATGAATATTTTCATTGTTTCAGGTTAAAAATGGCCTGAGAAGTGATTCGTTCTGAGTCTTTTCTGATCTGAAAAGAGTGTTGCGATGTGAAGAATCAGCTCATCAAAATTACAAGCAAACTCTTACACACTGTCTTGATACTGCCAATAAAAGCACATGTAACAGCTGGACAGTGGGCAAAAGTTTGCAGGCAGTTTTTTAGGCAAACTTCAAACTTTAACTTTAGGTGAACATATTATTTTGAACCCCGGAGTTAAAACAGGAGTTTAATATCTACTGTGTGTGGTGCACTGATGCTGGGGGTTAAAATAGACGTGCTTCATGTACATATAAAGGACAAAAATATGCTTTGAGTGTCACTGTCAGTAAGAATATTTTAGACACGCCTCTGATCATGAGACGATGGATTCATCTGTCATCAGTTGTTACTAGTGGTCTGGGTCAACTCTTAGTTATACCACGACAGGTTTTGACTACTTGGGGTTACTGGCATATTGACCACCTCTCTCCTTTTCCTCCATCCTCTTTCTGTTTATGTCTTTATCTTTGACTCATCATGTCAAATTAGCGTCACTTAAAAATTCTTTCTGGGAGTCCCTGAGCTCCATCTGTGCTGCTTCATCGACCTGCATCAGTCTCACTTCTGTCAGCAGATGACTGTCTAACATGAGTCTGGTTCTGCTCGAGGTTTCTGCCTGTTAAAGAAAGTTCTTAAATGCTGTAAAGTGCTTCACCCATGTGGTTAAAGATGGTACAGGAGTGGGTCTGATTGCTTATTTGAAAGGTTGGTGGTTCGTTTTGGTCCTTACACTGAACCTTAAAATGCTCCTGGTGACTTCCCACTGAAGGTCCACCGCACTGAGTGAAGTCCAAAACCTTGAGGAGTGAGAGTGGGCTGTAAAACTCTCTGACGATGAGTCTGCAGCATGAGTCTGTTCTGAACTAAAAAAAAATGCTTCTTAGATTCATTTCCTTACACCATTTGTGTTTTTTTTGGCCCTTAACTCATAACTTCTTTGCTCCCTTCACCGTTTTTGTACTCTACATCCTTTTTCCAGTTTTTTTTTTGGCGATTTATCAAACTGAGCTACTGAAAATGATTCTGTTTTATTCAACCCGTAAAAAAATACAGTTTATAATTCTATTCCGACCTGGTGAGGCTAAAAACTGCTCCGCATCATCTCTTTAAAGATAATATAACTCTCCGTCCAAACTGTCTGAGTCAGCCTCCCCTCTGTGGTTGGTAACTAAAAAGCTTCACACTAAATCTTCAAAGCCTGACTGTATTTCTTCAGTTCTCGGCCCCGCTACTCTCCCGGACTGTAAATTTAGGAATCACTTTTTTTAAAAAAAACATTTCGTAGCTCACCTTTCAAATCTTGTGCTGGTGGACACGCAGCAAACATCTCTGACCCGTTCATAACCTGAGAGCTGAAATCTCAGTATGAGGCCCTGAGGCGGTACACAGGAGAGTTTAGTTCATGCAGAAATGGAGCTGTAAATGAAGCAGTCTGACCTCCTCTGTGGGCGGATAACAAGTGAGGAGTGACTGACAGCTCTTTCACTGAGGCTTTTAAAAACATGCTGTTGTTATATTTTCTCTAATCTCTTCCTTGTTGGCACCACATTATCTCCTAAATCCCTTCACATGCGTGTGTGATACAGGTCTGTGAGTTATTTTTACCTTAAAATCTTTATGGTTGAGTCATTCATGACCGTACATGCACCCCAACTCCGCCTAGATAAATGCATCTCATTCATAGTATAAGCTGAACCGACTGGTTGGGATGGATGCTTTTCATTTTTATGAGATTAGATGAGATGAGACAAGATGTACTTTTTTGTCCCATGAGTGGAAATTTCTCTTGTGCACTTATTCCACAACAAACATATAAAAACACAGACAGAGAACACACAATTGCAGCATTTGTACAAACATAATAGGTAAACAGACAACCAAGGCCCTTCGATTTACACTGTCCACATAAAATCTAAAGTATATAAAAATTTGTCCTTTATTGATGAACATTTATTTTGAAACTTTTGCTGTAACAAAATTGACAAACATCAGAATTAAAGACTAAAAGTCAATCTTTATTTGTAAGCGTTATCCCAAGTCTCTAATAAAGAAACCTTGGTCTAGACCGGATAAGATTGAGCCCCATCTTGTAAGATCAGACCCACCCCCATCCCATCTTCAACCACATGAGTGAAACACTTAACGAAAACTTCCTTTAACAAGCAGAACCAGACTCATGTTCAGGATCCGAGTCGAGTATGTTCTGTCAGCGTTGTGTGTCACGCAGCAAATAGGTTACCATTCTAATCAACGCAGCATCGCACGCAGGACGCGTCGCAGTTCCGTCTCAGAAGCGTGTCGAGTGCGGCTCTGCTAAAGATACGCGTTGAGTGTATTTTCTGCTCTACGCTTCCAAAATGCGTCAATCTAGACAGAGAGGATCACTCTAGACAGGAAGTCAAGCATGAAAACTGCGCATGTCATCTGGTAAATTTCAAAATAAAACCCCCAAAACTGCGTATCAGTTTGTGTAGATGAGAAATACTTCCTGGTTCTGGATTTATCAGTCACACAGAACAATCCGATGGTCAATCCCTGATCCATGTGGACCCCAACAGGACTTTTAACCGCTAACTCTGTCTGAAGGTAACAGCACAGCATAAAGGAACATAGTTTACTTTATTAAACGCGAGTAAACCTGCAAAAACTAGAACCTGTAAAATCACGCTGCTTTTTCACATACAACAGAGGCTCAACGGTCACTGAATTATATCCAAATTAGCAGGAAATTGACCACAGAAAGGAAATACAACCTGTTGCGAGCATGTTGTTTCCTCCCAGCTGAGCGGCGGCACTACGCTGCTGCTACGCTCCAAAATGCATCCAGTGTGTGATGGACAGCGCTGCTCGATGGAGCAGAGACGCAGATCCTGTATGTTCTTAGCTTTAGACTGTAATCTGGTTTAGAGAGGAAATGCAAAAAGACAGATATAGATTGCTGTGACTTTTGGACCCTGCCTCAAGTGGTCACTTGTGGAATTGCAGGTCTTTCGCTCTCATTGGCTCTATTGTTTTAAACCAGAGGTTTCCGCCTGCACCCGTCTTTACCGGGTCCTGGTTTTAAAGCCCGTGTGTGTTTCTGCTGTGTTTGGGTTTGTTAGTTTTCTCTCTCGGCAGCACTGTGAGGCCCTTTGAACTTTGTTTTGATAAGTACTCTGTGCCGTAGCCTTTCTAAAGAGAATTAATATTTATGCTTAACCGCTGTTGCTACAGCTCGAAACATGAGAAACACTTTGAGGACGACCCGCTGAGTTAAGAGCCGCAAATTTAAAATCTTTTAAGAGGATTTGTTGCTCGGGCGAGGCGAGAACAAACAAAACTGTGAATCTGTTGTGCAATATGTGGACATATAAAGGGCGTTAATACACAGTCGCAGCAGGATGCAGCACACACACACACACACAGAAAGCATGGACACACACAGACTTACTCTAACAAGAAACAAACAAAATAACTGAGCTCGGATTTAGCAGCATGTTGTAAGACTGTTGAAATACTAAAAAACGCTTCATTAACGGCACGTTTAAAGCTGAGTTGACTTAACTGTTTTTGTTTTGGGGCTTGTATGCTTCTTTATTCAGAGATAAGGGAGTAGGAAACAAGGGAGAAAGAGTAGGGAATGACATGTAACAGAGGCTGCAGGGTGGTATCAAATTTTGCACTTTAACCTCTGCGCAAAGGGGGCATGAAATTCAACTGCTAAGCTAACCCCTGAAATAGATTAGGTTATAGATGACGAATATAAGATAAAGGCGCTCGTTAGGCTGCATGTCAGTAAGTTTTCTCCTTTGTTTATCTCCTTTCAGTTTATTAGATGTAAAAACAAAGGGGGTATTTTACCTCTGCATGCCGCTTGCATACGAATGAGTCTCTTCTGTATTTTGCTGTATATCTGAAATCCAAACGGGCTTATTTGGATTTTTTACTCTCTAATGAACAAACAAGAACGGTCCACTAAGCAGACATCTGTTGGATGCACAAGTTTCACTTGAAGGCAGTTGGATGCACCTGATCCAAATCAATGCTTAGTCAGCAAAGTGCTCCGAGCTTCTTCTTCTTTATTCATTTGTTAAAAACTTTGAAAACCATTTTATATCCCAGTGTGTGGAGTTTTTCTGTCCCTATACATTGACTCATGAGAATACACTGTCTCTCATCCAGTGGAAGCTGCATGGCCCCATAAATGACTCTAATAGGATAAGTGGTATGGATGTTTTACGCTGTATTATTATTATTTATTTTTTTGCTTTTATTTTGGAGGACAGGAAAATGGACAGAGCGGGAAACAGAGAGAGGTGAAATGGGAGAAGGAGCCACAGGCTGGAAGTGAACCTGGGCTGATGGATCGAGGTCATGACCTCAAAATGTGGAGCATGTGCAGACGAGACTGCCAGGTCAGTGGCGCCCTCTGCACAGTTTTTTAAATCCAACAAAATGACTGTTTTATGTTGTTTCATGACATGCAACTACAGTAACCTCCATTTAAATCTAAACAGCAAGTGTTGCAACATATAGAGTCGGCAACAATTTTACACTGGAATATCCCTTTAAAGCTCCTGTAAGGAACTTTGGGTTTGTTTTGGATTTGGCATCCCTGTAGACCAAGTAGTGCCTCTAAATAACAACCCAGATTTTAAAGAAGTTTAATTTTTAATTTTTAACTCAAAGCTGAATTGAAAATAGAACAAAAACAGCAAATCAGATGATGAAACTTGAAATTATTGTTGTTTTATTTGAAATAAATGCTAATTTTGAATTTGATGCCACCAACACATTAAAAAAAAGTCGCAACAGCAGCAACAAAAATCTTTAAAGTTGTGTAATGATAGAAACAGTAAGGGGATTAAGAGAAGATTAAAGGGATATTCCGGCCTAAAATTAAGTTAGGGTCAAACACAGTAACACCGAGTTAGACACCCCCTGGAGAGATGAATGTTGCTGACCGCTTGCTTCTCTAGTTATACCAACTTTAGTAACGACTGCACAATAGCAATACACAGCTGTCTCATCATTACTTTATCATTTCCTTGAAGTAATACTCATCATATTAATCATTTTGCACTGCAGACACAGTAGTTCTTCTGCCTTAGCGTCTCAGTCTGATTGTATTTCCATGAAGAAATGATCATAAATGTTCTTCCTTGAGCTGCGAAACTCCGCAACAGTCCGTAATGGACTGGCCCGATGTCCCACTACAAACAAGCGGCTACTGGAAGAGAGTAGGTGAGTTAAAAAGATTTTTGTTCTGAACATTATTTGTGGCTAAAGAGTGGCTTTTTGGTTGACCGTGTGGCTCCTCAGACCGCTCTGTATTGCTATCCTGCTGTTGTTACTAAAGTTGGTATAACTAGAGAAGCAAGCGGTCGGCAACATTTATCTCTCAACGGGGTGTCTAACTCAGTGTTACGCTGCGTTTGACCCTAAATTAATTTTACGCTGGAATGTCCCTTTAAGAGAATCTACATGGTTGTGATCTTTGGGCCCTCAAGTAGTCCTGTTGTGAAGACCAGACATGGCTCCTCCGTGGAAATCCCCACTTCCCTAAAATCAGTGTGCATGAATAGTTAATCGTCTCATCCACAGATATATCAGGGTCAAATTGGAGCATGAAAAGGAAATATTAATGCGGCTCAGGTGGGGTAAAGCAGCATGAAACTGCAGGTAAAACTCGAGCACCTCTGAACCTGAGTGCAGCACAAATATGTTAACAGATGAATAAGCTCGATATCAGAGAGCGCTTTCCTGGATATGAAACACTGAGTAACTTCCTCTACATTCATTAATCCTCCTCATATTTTATGCAGCAGACGTCAGAGTCTGACATATCGTGCGTTTCACTGTACTCCAGAGTAATCCGAGCGGAGATTCTCATCAAACATTACTCAGCAGGAGACTAACCATTAAACCAAACTGCCTTATCGTCCTGGTGCAGGTGGAGTGTCTTTAATTAACTGCGCCCCTGCTCCTCCTCCTCCTCTTCTCTCCGCCCCTCAAACACTGAGGGCGTTAAGACCCGGCAGAGCTACAACACTGAAACATCTGTCGCCTCGCTCTCCACAGTATGAATTGCGCCTGGGCTCCGGACTGAAGACACACAGACAGAAGCAGGCAGGCAGGCTGGCTGGCTGGCACGGTGCGGCACGGAGCGGAGCGGATTGCGAACTGATGAAGGCGGATCATGAGAGAAAGTGGAGCCGGACGCACTGAGCCGCAGCGTTAAGACAGCGCGCAGCCAAAATGAAGACACCCAGGGTAAAGGTCTCTGTCTTGTAGTCTTCTAGTATGAGGAAAGTGTTAGTGCTGAAAATCCAGCTTTGTCCTGTGAAGTGTTCTTAAATCGCTATAACGCTGTTGCGGTAGACTGTGGGATCAAGAGATTAGGAGCCGAACAATGGGCATCCAGCTGTGCGCTCCGTTTGGCTCTAAGCCCCGGCTCTTTCTTCTAATAACCAACATGACTACAGCGTGGAGCAGGGCGCGCGGCTGGGTTTGTTTTTACCGCGTTATTGTGCAAACACATTTTGTTTAGAGAGAGTGCATGGATTTACTTTCTTTAAAAAAAAGTTATTTTAAAGAAAATAAAGCTCCTCACATTCAGACATCTCTCCATGATAAACCCTGACTTCTTCACGTCCCGTTATTCCATATTCATGCAGACTCGGACTGATCCAGACAAGGTCAGGCTGTTTTATATGAACTTATTCTTCACAGTTTTAAGTGTAACTCGTATTTTCTCCTCCTGAACACAGCTGCACATTAAAATTCATGCATGCAAACTAAGGGAAGAATATCATTAGGAGCCCTGACAGCTCGTCGATGTCATGATCTCCCCCGTGCGTAAAAATTGAGTGGACAGGTGTGTTTTTTACCCCGAAGTTTAAGACTCACGTGACATGAGTAGGAAGTTAGGGGAAATGCTGATGGAGATCTCCTCCTCCACCTGTGTGCAGCTTCACCTGAATCATCACCTGTGTGTGTTTCAGCGTCATGGGGTCGCCGTGCTGCTCGTGCTGTTAATGTGCGCCAGCTATTTCCTCTTGTACAACCACCCGAGCTTCACCGGCTCCTCCAGAGACGCGAACGACACGCACGTCGGACAGCAGGAACATCTGCGGCAGCCCACCGAAGCTGCTCCCGCCAGGACGACCAAGCCTCACCCCCCGGCTCTCCAGGGGTACCTCGGCATCATCGACCATAAGGTAAACAGATGCGGAGGCACGGGGAGGAGGAGGGGGGTAACTGCGCGTGTGTGGCATATTAAGTGAAGCGAGATTTACGGAAACAAGGCATTCAACTGACGATCGATTTCATACGCGATTAATCGAAGTGAATAAACGGTTAGTCGATTTGTTTGTAAATGGAAAAAACTCGCTTCTAAAGCCTAATGAAGCAAGTCTTTAACTTTGTTCAGCTGTCAGATGATTGTCTAACATGAATGGCAGAAGTATGGTGGCCCCTGAAGGTCAACCGTACAAACAATTCATTTTTTATTTCATTTCATTTTCATACTTTATTTCATTCAGTTAATATTTAAAACATTCAATACAGACAAAGAAAAATCTCAGAAAGAAGAAAACTCTTATAGAGTCTGCCTCTTTCAGAAGATATAAATCAACTAAACACAAAAATAAACAAGAGCTGCAGGCCAACTTGCCTTTTCACAGTTCATTATTTCTTACTTCATAAAAAACAACCCACAAAACAAACAGATAAGACCATGTTAATTCACATTTTTTCTCAAAAAACAACAACATACCATGACTCAGATGAACATATTTCCCTGTATTTTAAGGGAAATATTCCCTGTATTCACGACCACATAAACTAGGGTGACCGTATGTCCTCTTTTACCTGGATATGTCCTCTTGTTGGGGGGCTGTCCGGCGTTGTCCAGCTTTGTCCAGGGAGTTTATAAAATGCTTCAAATGTCCGGGGTTTTGTATAGAAGTTTTGAGTTTGTGTCTCGTGGACTTACTAAGTTAGAAGATCCTAAAAAACACTCAATCTGACCTGAAAAACTCTTAAAATTAATGACGCGTAACTCTGTGACTCCGCCCCTTTTTTTAGGATTCAGAATATGGTCACCCTAACATAAACATAGTCCTAAACACTGAAGCATTTCACTGAACACTATTAAAAAACAAAATACAAAAATATGTGTAAAATCTTTTAAAATATTTTTTACTTTTCATGAAATATTTTTGTTTCAATATATTTTTGTTTTAGTTTTAACTGTTTCCCAAAATAACTATCTTCATACATTTTTTTCACACTCAATGAAAGTTTTTTTCTTTTTAAGTTTTTGTGTTTCTTGCATGTTAAAAAAATTCAGTTTTTCCGATGAGTGCATTTTTTTTTTCAGCTTTTCACAAAAAGTTTTTGATTCAGATTCAGACAACTTCATTAACCCCTGAAGGGTAATTCACTTCACAGTAACCCGCCTTGTTATTAAACGATGTAGGAACACACAAATGCCAAACATTCACAGCAGCATAGGGCCCAAACATTCCCCTGTCAGCACCACAAATCAGCAATAAATAAATAACTAGATAATAAATACATGTGCAGTATGTTCAACAGTGGAATGACTAAAGAAATAATGTGATAAAAGGAGTAAAATAAGATCTAAAACAATCCTGAGACCCCAATTTCAACACCCTACATTCCAACACAGACCACCAATCCGCTACGTCTCAGCGTTTAGCAGCCTGATCGCTGACGGTATAAATGAGTCGGAGTATATATTTGTTTTTCTAGGGGGGGCGTAGTAGTGCCACCCATTATCATCATGAAATGAAAATTTGTGTTTGAGGAAATGTTTTTTTGCACTTCATGTACAGTAAGTGAATTTGACCTCCTGGGCCACCATACAAATGTTAGACTCAACATTTGAAAAAGCTGCAACAAACACTTTTTTTTTTGACACTTTTGCTTTAAAACCAGAAAAAAAGTACCTTTCAAACATCTGACCCTTAATTTCTGTAACTCAATAAACGGGTTAATCATTGCTGTGGTGTCATCCAAACCCGGTCGTACAGCTTCACTGTCTCCTCACACACACATGCAAACACACCTCCCTCCTGTCTAATGACCACCACTTGTCTATCCGCACAGCCCTGTGGAGGCACTCAGCCTCCCCCTCTGTCATTTATCACAATTTTCTCCGGCACTGTGTAGCGCCACACTCAATACCCACCTGTCGTTGCTAATAACCGTTTAGGCTCCAAATGAAATCCTTGGCTGCATTCTTTGGCTCTAATTGATAAACCCAGGAGACCTGCTAGGTGAACCCTGACGTCACAGCGGGGTGTATCGACTTCCATCTATTTACCAGCCAGGAGAAAACAATCAATGAGAGTACTGGCGAGCGAAGGCGCTGCAAGTCAAGCAGACCTAATCACTGTGTAAAGGTTTTTTTTTTAAGGCAGGAAACAGGACAGTGTGAGTCTGAAGACAAGTCAAGGTGATGGGCGGAGTTTGTGAAGCGGTCTATAACTCAGCGATCAGATACTTGTGTTTCAGCTGGAGTGAACTTTCGTAAAAGGCGTGAAGTTTAGGAAAGTTTTGGTCAAACTTTATGAGACAGGCAGCTCATGGGAGTGGACGCTCAGGTTGTTTTTCAGGCTGGAAAACAAAAAGTAACTTTTTATTTCCTTGTTTGTGTTTTTCTTTTTGTGTTTTTAATTACATATCCAGTTGTTTTCTTCTCTTTTGGATGTTTTGGTTTGTTTTGTTGTTGGTCGGTTTCCGTTTAAAGCCGATTTTAATGTCTTTGTTCCAGTTTTCACTCTTTGTAAACACTTTGTCTAATTTTTGGGTCTGATTGTTTAATTTTGATGCAGATTTTTGAAGTTAATTTACTCTGTGAACATGTTGTTTTTGTAGTCAGTCGGTTGATGTTTGTAGTCAGTTTGCAGCGTTTTGTTGTAGGTTTATGTTTTCTTTGGATCTACTTTGTTTTGTTTTGTTAGTTTATATTGTTCTTGTGGCTGTCTTTATCTTTGAAGGCAGTTTTTTAACATTTTAAGTCAGATTTGCATGTGTTGTTTTTTTATGTTTTGAAGTCACTTTGTTCATTTTCGCTGTAGATTTTCTTTCTTTCTAAGCAGATTAGGTTATACTTGGTCTTTGCTCTCTTTCTGGACTTTCCTGGACGGTTAATGATTATTGTAACTTTGTAGTTCTAACTTGGTTAATCTGTAAATCTTGGTTCAGTCTGTACTTCAGCTTTTGAATCAGGGTTTGGTTAATATTCAGTACAACAATGGGAAACAAGTGCATCATATTTATTCTACCCAAAACAAGAATTCAAAGAAAGTCCTACTTTATCTAAAGTGCAGCAATGAAAGATCAGCTCCAAGGTCTGCTCAGATTTCTCTCTTCAACATTAAATATATGAGTTAGGAAGTTAGACAAGGTCGCTCTGAACTTGACGCCTTGTCCTTTTTGTTGTATTGTTGTAATTCACTTGAAAAACTGAAGAGTTTCCAGACAGGAGTGCTGAATGTGAGCAGAACATCCTCAGGCTCTCCTCACACGAGGACAGCCACGTATTGTCTTGGCGTCGGCACCAAAACACGTATCGCTGTTTACACATCATGTTGTACATAGGCTTGGTGCGCAGCCATGGACAAATACGCGTCTCCGTGTGTCAAAATCACCAGATCGATAGTTTATTTTACCGGTGTCTTACAAATTCGTACTCGTGTAAAGACCACCTCAAGCTCTCTGATTTGTGGAGAAATCCAGATTTGACTCAGAAACATGAACCTGTGCACCTTTACTCTGAAGTCAGTCACGCACACTGAAACAATATAAACCTGCATTATTTTATTCATCTGAACAGAATTTATGTGAAACTCCAGCTTGTGTCTGTTGTAGAGTTCATATGTTAGTAAGGATGGGTGTTGTGTGTGTTCCTATCAGAGAAGATGATGCCAATAATCGACCCTATTAATCGTCCGGTCTTTCTCTAATCTTGTCACTTTTCTGTCTTTTGTTGCTTTTCATGTCTCTCTGTAGTTATTTGATCGACTTCCTGACAAAACAAACTACCATCTCCTCCGATCACACTCTCAGGGGGCCTCTGACCCCACAGACCCCTGAGCTGAGTCTGCGTCCAGCGGGCGCCTTCAGTAATCCATCTGTTGCTGAGCTGATACCACCTTTTAAAGAGCGGCGTGATCTGCGTTGCGATCTCTCTTTTCCAGAGAGTTTCTGTTTGCTGCAAACAGGCTCTAAATCATCAGATTGTGTCACAGCAGGTTGATTTGCATATGAGTAATTTGACTGGCTCCTCATCGCTCTTGTCGCAGCGCGGATGAGACAAAATACACAGCGTGAACATGCATCACCTGGATGGATGTGAGAGTCAACACATTGTTCCTGAGCGGCAGAAAAAGTGGCCTGGATGGTTAAATGAACTTTAGCTAAATTAAACACCGGAGGCCCTGAAGAGTCGCTTTATCATGTGACTAAGTGAAGCTGACGGGGAACAAAAGGTGGGACCATTACTCATGTGCGAACTCTCTGCGGTGGGCGCAGGAACCAACAGGTGTGGTGGCTGAAGCTGAAATGTTTCCAGCGAGAAAGAGCCGACCTTGTTAGGTTTCACTTTTGAGCTGCACGGCTCTGCAGGAGATGCATGTTAGTGGAGTCACAGTTCATTTTACACAGGACGCGCTGTACTCCGCCAGTCCATGTAGTCATGGTGATTCGATGCGTACGTGAGCAGAATGAAAAGCTTTTTAAAGTAGAGTACAGTATCTATTCAAACACTTAATTTGCATTTCTCACCTCGCTCTGACCGCTGTAAACACGAACGTCATCATCTTACATCTGGACTCAGGAGGCTCAGTGACGTCGCTGAAACTGAAAATTAATTAGTCAGGCGAGTAAACACACCCATGACGCCATAAACGCAAGAGTCTCTCCGGTAATTAAAGCCGCTGGAAACAGAAGTGAGCGTTCAAACTATTAAAGCACAATTTTTTTTTCTTCTTCTTCTTCTTGCAGACACTTATTAGATTCGAAGGTTAGGTTATTGAATAGTGCTGAACTCACTCTTCTGTAGCTGAATCTATCTGTAACTTCAATCTCAGACCTTGACAGTGAAGGCGGGTTTGGAAATGGAGGTTTTTACAGACAGTAGAGAATTTCCAGGACAAAAGAGGAATGAGAAACAACAGAAGTCAAACAGCAGAGAAAGTGGCCGTAGTGACGGGTGTTTTGATCTGTTTTCAGGTCTCTAAAGATGTGCGCCAGGCTTAAAGCGAGGGAGAGCAATTTATTTTAGAGGCGTTTTTAGTCTGTGTTGAAATCCTCTCTACATCCGGATATCAATCAATAAATCAAATGCAATGACAAAAAAAAGGAAACGATGAAATCTGCAGCCATCAGAGGCTTGTGAAGAGTTAGTCAAACCATTACTGAATGAAAGGATGGGACGGCTTACCCAACCCTGGCTCAGACTGCGCTCCAGTGTGGACAACAGTAAAAGCAGTCCTCTGTGCTCTGTCTCGAGATCTGTCACGGTTTGGAGTTAAAACAGTAAACAGGCTGTTTTTGTCAGTGGAGAGCCGTTCACACTTCTCCTGCCTGGATTTGGTTGGAAAGTTAAACTACGAACACAGCTGTGAGAGGATGCATGTAGTGGACAAAATGAGCAACTCCTACTTTGTCCACAGGGGGCACCAAAATCGTCACAAACCACAAGTTCCCTGTTGGAGCTTTAAATAAATAGTGTTCAATATTGACTGATTTTGGAGTATTTTCTTACCCTTATTGAGCACTCACACCAAGTGCGAGTAAAATCATCAACTTGCTTAATTCGCGCAAATCTAGATGCATGAATGAGTAGTACTTACTCACCTCATTCACGCGTCAACGGTAATTTCAACTGTAATCCCTGCCAATTCAGCCGGCTGGATCAAGTGATAGACAATGGTTTTTTACAATTTACCAGGTAATCCGACCTCCTCACTCACTTGCCTCCTGGGTTTGGTAATTGAAAGAAAAGGTATCATATAATTTGAGACACCCACATACCAACACGATCAGTTTGTCCTCCATTCTAGATACCAGTGAACAACCGTCCGTTTTCATACGTCACCTTCATGCTGATTAGTTATCGCAATTTTATATGATTTTATCTGCTGACTGTTTTTTATGTTGACAGTTTTTTTTTTGTTTTTTTTTTATTGTTTTACTGTTATTGTTGTCTTGTTGTGCACTTTGAGATTTGTTTTTAAATGTAAAGTGCGTTACAAATAAAATCTATTATTATTATTATTTATGTGAATATCCGCTCAACTTGAGACATTTTCAGCTCACGCCCAATTCATGCCCTTTTACGCCCCCAGAGTAGTAGGAGCATCTAATCGCGTCTTTGCATTGACTTAACATGTGATTCATTCGCGCGAATGATTTTACTCGCGCTCGGTGTGCGGAGACAGTAAGAATCGCTGGTTTGTTGAACTTTAAGCCGCCCTTTAAATATCTCTGATGTTAACTAAGTCTTAACAGTAACATTGACCTTTTTCCTCTTATGAGAGTAATGAGCCGAGGTGTCCGAGCGTTCGTTAGCTCAGAGGGAGAGAAGAAAAATGCCAGGTGAAGAAAGGAGATCATGAGCATCGTCTGCAAGACTAATTTCACATGATAAGACCGAGTAACCAAACTTGTGTTGGGATGAGGGACGCAGCAGGTTTCAGGACAAGCCAATGATGAAAATACTGAAGTTAAAGCCGCTGTGAGGAGCTCTTGGTTTGGAGCTGATATTGGAGCCCCCTTGTGGACAAGATAATACCTCCTTTGTTTTTTGTCCTGTACATGTGAAAGACTAAAAACTCAACCTGTTGTCTTTTTTTAAAAGTGAAATATATGGTTCACTGAGTATTTGCGGCAGAAAAACTCAAAACAGACTCTTTTGACAATCATGTGGTCTGATACAGGAAGTGCCTCACAATCACAGCAGCAAAGCAAACATCTCGCTGCAGCCAACAGTGAGGACTATGCTTGGCCGCTCCCGTCAAGTCATGCAAAGCCCTGTGATAGTGTAATGTTTGCACAACGTGGCATCTAGACTGTCCTGTTTCTGCACCCTCTTGTTTGTGATTCAGGTCGTATTGATGAGCTCTGTAGCGTAGATGTGTGCCGTGCAGACGCTGCTCTACCATCTCAGTAATTTAGTGGGTCAAATTTCATGTGCGCTCTAAAAACAGAATTTTCAATAACGTGCATAAAGTTTTGATGCCACGACTCCGTCTCAAAGTGGGAGGAGAGCCCTGGAGCCTGTATGCACAACATTCAAACCCAGTTTATTAATAGTCCAGCGTTGCGGTCAATATGCCAGAGGCTGTTTAGCTTTTGGTCTTGAAAAATCCGAATAATTTCACAGCTAGGTCACGCAGGTCTCTCGGAGGCTGAGCGGCACAAATAAATACGCAATGAGTCGCTCATATTTTAAGGCAGCTGATGGGGCGTGCAGCAGCAGCATCGCCTCTTTTCTCCCGCTGCCTGAAATGCCAATATTCGGTGACCGTGTAGGTTCTGACTTGATGAGGATTTGTGTGTAATGTGTCGGTAAAGCCAGCTATGGATGAGAATTGATTTTCCGGCGGCGGCAACAGGAGCAGCCGAGCATCAGAAGTAAACCACCAATTTACTTTTTCTTTGGCAATAAACTTATTGACATTTTGGTGACAGAGGACATCAATTAGGGTGACGGCTCCGCTGAACATCATTTATGCTTCTTCAAACTTGCAATTATGTCACCCTTCACATTCTGCCTCCGCAAGCTGCAATCAATACTTTATGATTCCAATGCGCTCTGCCGCCGCCGCCGTATGTGGTGTTGCATAATGCAGCGCAACCTTCACGTATATTGCATTCAGTTTTTTGAGGCATTGTGTCCTCCATGCTGTTTGACAATAAGACGAGCCTCTCTGCGGAAGAGGAGAAGTCGTCGGCCTTGCCTTGTGTTTGTTCGCCTGCTCTGCTGAGCGATTTGTGCTCTGGAAAAAAAAAGGAAAAAAAAAACACTTTGACACGAACATTTGTCTTCTTCATCTTTGCCTGCTGACCTCTCTGCCATATTGATCTTTCTAAGATATCAGCAGGCTGGCATGCACGGTGCGGGGCCAGTCAGCCTTTGACCGCCTCACTTTATCTCCCACCAGAGTATTAAACTCATCATGAACCAGAAAGCGTTTTGAAGCCTGAAACTTCCCTGCAGACTCTTAGACAGGGTGCCAAAACATTTACCAAACACTGAAAATCTTTTTCTCTCTTTCTCTCTGGGCTGTTTTCTTTGAGCGAAAGACTCTTTTACAAGTGACTCAAATCAAGCGAAATCTTCTCCACTCAGTATTTTAAATGCAACATGTTTAATTTAGTTCAGAATGAAGGGTAATTCACTCCTAACCATGCAGCAGTAATAGCCGGCCCGGACATGTGCTGCGACGACTGTGGTGGAGAGGGGAAGAGATAAGGAAGCGGAGAAAGAAACTCTGGAAGAAAAAAAAAAAGATGAAAAGGGAGAGAGACTGGTGTAGAGAGAGGGTAAAGAGAATGAGAGAAGAGGACAAAACCAAGAAAGGATGAGGAAGGAGAGAGCGATAAAAGAGAATATACGACCGTGGAGAGGTTCAGCCTGAGAGAAAGAGACAAGAGAGCGAAGAAGGAGGCAGAAACCGACACGTGAGCAAGAGATAGAGAGCAGAATCCCAAAGGGTTTCCTTTCTCCTCGCAGTATCCTCTGTTTTATTTTCTTAGCGAGGATGAGGACGAAGAGGAGGAAACCGCTCATCTGTCTCTCTGTGGAGATGGGAGCAGCGTAACCATCTGCCTCTGATTGCCTCCCTGACTCCTGTATCATACAGATTTCTAGCTGATATCCGGGAAAGACAGGTGGAGGAGACGTAATGGAGGAGATTTCAGCTGAGATGAGAGCGAGGAAGCCTTGTCAAGCACGAGAGGCATCTCGATGTCACCAGAAAGGGATGAACCGGGCCGACTCTTCCTCTCTAGGAAGATACAAGATGTTTTCTAATGATTACAAGTCCAACATTTGACTCCTCTACAGCAAAGAGAGTCTGACACCGTGCTGGCTGTACTGAGAATAGAAATACTGATGAAAACACGTGTGTGAATATTAACATGCTGATTTTAGCACGTGTTATTCCCTTGGTAACTATATATGTGCAATTATGATGTTTAGAAGTGACTGAAGTTCTGGGGCGCTGCTTGTCTGCTGGTAAATGCATGTGCTTCATGTATTATCAAGGTTATCCCTTCAAGCGGTCGGCCCGGGTTTGCTCCCTGCCTGCGGCTCCTTTCCTGCATGCCACCCCCCCACTCTCTCACCTCCATTTCCTGCTCTGTCCATTTTCCTGTCCTCTCCAAATGAAGGCAAAAAGAAGAGACTAGATTCCAGTTATTGAAACAGGAGAAGATTAAAAATGAAAAACAGACAGAAAACAGGGCGTGACTAACATTAGCAGAGCTAGCACCACCAGCTTTCAGTCCTCCAACGTCCACATTCCTGTTCTGGACAGAGATTTGATCGAACACCTGTGTTTCTTTACATCCAGGAAGTAGAAAAAAGGTGGCGATGCTCCAGTTCAGACGGAACATGCGACCAACATTTTGGGGCCTGAAAGTTAAAGGATCCCCAAATCTATTACAGTTTATTTCTGTAAATATCCATGAAATACATCATGACAGCCAAATAGGGGGATTAAAGTTGGATCATCCTCTGTGATAACGAATATTCATTCTCTCCTGTAGTAACAGATCAATCGACAACATAAATACCAACCTCACTGCGGTGATACAAGCAAGAGTTAGGGGTCGTCCACGTCATTTGGATTCATCCTCAGGGGAACATGAATGTCTAAAACAAGTTTTATTCACTTCAGTCTGTTGATGACATGCTGTTAAGCAGATAAAGGGAACAAGTTTGACTCATAGGTTAAGTGTGATTCATCATCTGGGGACCACAAATTTCTGAAATCAGTTTTAATCCAGTGCAGTAAGGAGGTGATAACTTATTTTACTGGATAATAAAAAAAACTCTCCTTCGAGTGGTGCTGAATCTCCAATCAGATGCTAATCATAGTTGTTAATCCTCTGGGGACCATGACCATTTGTACAAAGTTGCAGTCTAATGCATTACAAAGGTGAACAATTGGATATTTTACAAGATTACAAAGAATGTGTCCGTTTGTTGAAGCTAAATCTCAAATCAGATGATCCACAGATCTTGTTGGGTTCATTCTCTGTGATAACGCATATTCATTGTATTCTTTCGTCTCATAGCAGTTCGATCTACAACATAAATGCCAACTTGCTGCGATGCTACAAACTAAAGTTAGGGGATCACTGAAGTAATTTGGGTTCATCCTCTGGGGAACATGAAGTTTTCTTCCATTTCCTCTGTAAACAAAGAGCTTTTTCAGGCGGACTGACTAACATATTTAACCTGCATATACGCGAGGTTTTATCTGAGCAGGAAGTGTGTTTGCTCATCCTCTGGTGGCCATGAATATTTGTTCTTGGTTTTATGACCATCTGTCAGATGTTTGCTGAAGAAAACCAGAAGACAGGCCAACTCAGTCTTTACAAACTTTGATTCTCAGGAGCATTAACACTCGCATGACAAAAAAACCCAAAACAGAATAACTAAACCAGCTTTAGGAAATCCCTCTGAGACGGCAGAAGGAATTTACAAAGCAGATCCTCCTGCACTACCTCTGGAAGGAGTCCGTTTTAGACACACTGTATCCGAGCTGGAAATACTCACCGACTGGGTACACTTTGCCTGGAGGCATGAGCCAAGGAGAGCGAAGCCATCTGTGCCGAAGAGACATGACAAGGCATCCCTCTCCCAACCACAGCTTTAGTGACAGCTGGAGAAGTGAGATGTTTAATATTTCATCTCAGGCAGTCACATCTTCAATGGTTCTCTCCGAGCAACAAAGCCATTTTTCACCGTTCATTAGGATTTTTCTAAGCAATCAGCCAGCTGGATAGCGAGACAGAAATCTCCCCAATTAGGCCGATATGGCCGAGGATTTTGTCGTCATTTAATCTAAACTCTCAGTGTTAGTGAAGTCCTCTGCTCCGTGTGTGTGCGCTTAAACCTTTGTGTGCGTGTGTGAGGTCTGAGGTTTAAATTGCAGAGAGACCTGGACAAAACATTAGTGAGAGATAACCCTATTTTTTTTCATGCAGGAACCTTGTTAGAATACTAACAGAGCTGCGATCAGACTGAAGAGAGAAGAATGGTGGTTTCGTTTTGCCACATTGGTCCCAATAGGGACATAGTCTTGGATTCCAACTTATCTCCTGTGCATTCTGCACCCGCCAAACATAACACAGCTCCGGGCTCTTTCAAATGCAGGCCTGGAAAGCAATTATGGATGAAGAGTGGGAGGAGGAGGGGGGACGTTACCTCTCGATAAGCATTCCCTCGTCGGGGTAATCTCACACTCACTGCCTTTTGGCATTCTGTAGTTAGGGAATCACTGGGGAAGTCATATATTTTCTTCAACGTAAAGGAAGGAGAAGGAGAAATTTCTTCAGGCCGATGTCAAGAGATGGATGGTGATTTCATGCTTCCCCGTGTTTTAACCTTCAGTGCGTGGTAAGCTGCAGCCTGTGGGCTGCTCTCGTTATTTGACCCCTGAGAGACCTGTGAGGGATCTGAAAAGGTTAAATTATGATAAATGGATGATACCTTTTGGCACAACGCGGGGAGATAGATGACAGGCTGCTGCTGCTGCTGCTGCCTTCAACCTCATCGAGAGCGAAAGCAAAGACTCGGCAAGCAGGGAGCATCACAATAAAACCCAATTTCTTTACTTCTCCTTCCTCTGGCTCCAAACAGGCACCAAGTCTGCAACATTACTCAGCTCTTTAGCCGTGATTAATGAGCACGTCCTCCGTGGTGAGAGAGCAAAATGATCACACTCCTGTTTTGGCGCAATTTCTTTTTCAGTGCTCCGAGCGTTTCTCTCTCAGATTAGGAACTTACTCGGGTAGCGAGGTTATTAATTCAGCAGACCTGCAGTTTGCTAAAACGATGAACTCCTTGAACAAAGAAAAGCAGAAGTTAGTTTTGTGGCGAGAAGAAGTCAGAGAATATCAGCCGCTAATCTTTGTGTCCTCCATGACTGTGCAGGTTATGAATCACTTAAAGCAGACACAGATGACTTCATCTAAATTTTCTAGATCAATATACGACTAAAAGAAAAAAACATGAATGCAAAGAGACACAACATGAATGTAAATAACAACACGACACGGAAGTAATCTTGTAGTGGAATCAGAAATGGACAAACTACTGCCAGCATAAAGTTCGCTCGCAAATATCCTCTTTCATAAATATCGTATTGCGATCATAACAATAAGCAATGGAAATTTGCAACAAACTACCTACGTTTACTACAACGTTTACCTACTTTTTCCAACTCTCCAGACTCTCCATCCACAGCGTGTCCGTCAGTAATAATAGCCTGTCAGAAACGTGAGCAGTAGTTTGCCCATTTCTGATTCTGCTGCAAGATTACTACCGGTGTCGTTATTTGCGTTCCTGTTGTGGCTGTTTGCATTCATGTTTTTGTCTTTTGCATAGTGTTGTGAATATGCAAATTTCTTGACACTTCCCAGCCACCGTAGCATGCCGTCAAACTGCGCTATGCTTCAAGATGCCATCTGTTTCTACGCTTGTTTACATCCGGGTAGTAGTCATTCAACAGCTCCAACCCTGGCTGGTATCTGTGCATTAGGGATGCACCGATCCAATATTTGATATCGATATCGGTCCCGATACTGAAGTAAATTCTAGATCAGGTATCGTGACAATGGCCTGATGCATAGGGGCCGATCTATTCAGCCTAACTCTATGTTATGCGCCTTGAGTGGCATCCATGAGTAAACACATTGTTTTCAAAATGGAGTGAGCGAAGAGGTCTGCTATCTTGAACTTTATCACACAACCTCAGCCTACAATCTTGCAGTAAACTTTTGAGGGGTGGTGGTAAAACTTCAGGTTACAACAAAAGGTCATTCAGCGCGGCTTTTCTGTCTCAGAACTGGATCAGTATCCGCTGATACTAAACTAGATATCTGTATCGGTATCAAAGGTGAAAAAAGCGGATCGGTGCATCCCTACTGTGCATGAGGTCGAGGCTGGAAATAAACTTGCTGTTCAACGGTGCCTCTTAAAGGAAAACTCGTCCTCAGTTAAAAGAGTTAAAAACAATAATAAAAATATCAAAAAACTTTCTGAAGCTTTAGCACTTCCATACGTCTGTCATCCGTCTTGAATACGAAGAGCACTCAGCGTGAGTCGATATCCAAGCGTAGGCGCTGAAATCAGGACTGATAGCAAAACCTCTGAGAACTCGTCAAGCGAGTGTTGATGTTTAAATCCCCTGAAGAAGAAAGAGATGCCTGTAGCCTCCTCGTGTTTTGCTGATACGACAAGAAATACTCCCCTGTACTGCAATGTTTACACTCAGTCAAAGCTCTTCCTATCACATTGCGGACTTTGTTCTGTTTCCCATCATCCCTCCATTGAGGCGCCAGTGTCATGGCGGTTCATAGACAGTTCTTTGGTCTCGTACTCTGACTGACGAGTCTGCTGATCACACCGTCAGCGGTGTTGTGGAGTAAGCATCTTTCCTGGGCGCTCACAAAGCTGCTTCCATCTCTTTTTTCCTCCTCTCTGCTGCAGGGAATTCACATTAATTCAGGTTACACCAACAACCGGGTTTTTAAAGGGACCCCGGGTCTCTGTAGTGTAAATCAGACACTTTAAATAGTCCTTACCGTCTCAGCACACGCTCACATGGAGGGTCAGTGGAAAGGGGAAAAAACTGGGAACAAATTGGAGGAATCATTTGAATACATGTTTGGACACAACCCAGAGAAAACCTGGACCCAGACCAGTTTAAGGGGTGAGAAGTCCCAGTTCAGACTTTTAGATCTTGACCTGAATGAACATCTATATCTGGGAGTTTTTCATGTGACACCACTTTAACCAAAAAGAGATGTTTGGGAATATTTCTTTTGTGAAAGGGGACGCTCAGGGACACGGTGAACTAGTACAGAGCAGCTGCCCTGCAGGCTCACAGTGACCCCATAACATTTCTAATTAGGACTGCGCCCACTTTGCGTTTCTGTGATCGAATCTGATTTGGCTTTTTCGGTGCAAAGCTTCAACTCTCCCTCGCCGTCGTCTCTTTTACGCGGGTGTAAGCTTTAGTCTTGTGTTTGACCTTTTGGACTCATGTTTTTTTAGTAATTTCATTCATGATTTGATGCATCAGATTTCCTCAGAGTCACAGAAAGATCGAGAGGCTCCGCTGCTTTTATTTTGCAATAAAAAGAGTTTCCGTTCTGCAGCCAATGACTCATTTACCAAAGGAGAAGAGGTGGCACTAAAGGCTGGTTATAAAGTGGTTTAGCAGACTTGAAAAACAGGGATGTTCAAAAGCGACTTATTCTTGAGTCATTTGAACAGAAATTAAATTAGAAAACATTTTTTTTAAAGTCAGAATTGTGCACAATTTAGTCCAAATGGTTTACAGCAATTCATAGAGTCTGCATGTAAACACAAGTGCAGCCAAGTTTGCAGAGCTAGCTCCACCAAGCTTTGGTGCAAATGCATGTGCTGGTTACTCTCCAGTTGAGCAGTTGCATGTCATTTTAAGGCTCTCCTCACACGAGGACGGCCCTGTATTGTCTTGGCGTCGGCACCAAAACATGTATCACTGTTTACACATCGTATTGTTCATAGGCTTAGTGCATTTATATGACAACGCAAAATCGGGTTTGGCTTGCCCGTCTGGTTGCCCAACTACGGCATGAAGACGAATACCCAGATATCCACCTGCAGACCTGTTTTTAAAAAAGATGCAGAGTCATGCACAAATATGCGTCACCGTGTGTCAATATAACCAGATCGATAGTTTCTTTTATCTGTGTCTTACAAATTCGTACTCGTGTAAAGACCACCTAAGTCGAGTACAGCGTTTAAAGACTAGATGTTGCAGATTTGACGGACAGATTTCAGTCAGGTGTCAGATTATGTTCAGTTTATATTCAACGGATCTTGTCCGAGGGCTGTGACTGATCTGAAGCCGCCTTCTTGAGTTTCATTAAACACAAGTCAGATATACCTTAGCTTGCAGAAAAATTGACATTTAGTGATTAAAATTTAAAAGTCAGAGTGTTGCGCCGACAATCACTCTGTTATGATGTGAAGGTCTCCTGAGGGATTGTTTTATGGAGATGTTTCCCGTAAGAATGCTGTAAAAATCTGCTCATAAAACCCGAGTACCTGTTAGAAAACAGATCAGAAATGAAGCCTCAGAGTAAAACAAACTAAAGGAACGAAACTGTCCTCCAGTGAAGTGTCCTAGGGAGATTTCTAGGAGCACATCTGTGGCTCCGAAACATTGTAGGGAAGGTGAATGGAGAGTCCTTCAGTCCAGAGTAAACTTTCCTTTTTCTGATTGCTCTGAAAAAAAAACTCTCCTCACTGCTGCCAAAGCAGAGGAGTCGGTGTTGTTCTGTAGAGAGCATCGACTGAAGAACAAGCAGTAATTTCAGGAGTGTGGAGGACAGAATTTGTCCTTCCAGCTCTGACACGGTGTGAACATGTGTGACAACAGGCAATCACTGTGGAAGTCTGCTGCGACTGTGGCTTTGTTTGCTTCAGTTTTTCAAGCTAAGCCCTTCACACCTGCGAGGAAATAAAAACCCTCGCCATCACGGCCTCAGATTCCAACTTCACTGAGATCTTGAACGAGCCTGAATGGGAGCAAGTGGGTCACATTGACATGTAGGTCACCAGTGAGGTTTTTATTATTTTCAGCACAGCTAAATTGATTTTCGGAGGGGAGGGGGCCCAGAGTGGAAAGAGCTCCCAGACTCAATTTTATGACTTTGAAATCAACAGTAGTTACACAGTGTGCCATATAGTCCAGTATGAATGTTTACGATGTCTGTTTATAGAGAAAAGTATGACTGTACAGATGAGAAGTATTTGTATTTTTTTACTTTTTTAAAAGAAAAAACACATGGCCCATCATTTTCCCACTCATGGTGGTAAATACTACATCACCCATGAGCCTCAGCTGCTATTGAAAGGCAAAAAGCAAGATTAAGAGGTTTTAAACAAACTGTAGTTGTTGTTTTTAAGACTCAAAAAAGGGGGATTAATTTAATCTGTGGATCTGGGGTGAGCTCCGGCTGCAATAATCCAATATGTGAGTGAAATGATTATAAGCAATTTACAAGGTCTTATTCACAGTAATCCTTATTTCTAGAATCTTGATTTAAAGTGTTACTGATGTAATACGAAAACTGTAAGACACCTTAACAATGGTTGTTACAGTGGAGACAGAGGGGGGAAGCTAATAAACTCCATGTGGACAGATGCCCTGGCCACCCTTTGCCTGGTTAGTGCCACCCCATTTTAAAAGTCTGGATACACCCCTGCAGGCGGCACAAGGGAAACAGTGGGAGGTACTATCAGGATGTCAAATTTGCACAACAACAAAAAAATTCTGCAGGGTAATATTTCTCTGCAGATTTTTAGAGAATGAGAAGAAACGTAGCTGCACTTTCACCTCTATCCCAGAAAGACAGCAAAAAAACGACTCTGCTGCTGGAGAGGATTCAAGGTCTGCTGAAGCAAACTTGATCAGGATGAAGTTTAAAGCAGTTTAAGAAAACTTTCACCACACTGACAGACAGAGAGGACCCTGCGGCTTCTACTGGCTATAAATATATGGAAATAGTGACAACAAAGTCTAGAGGGTATGTGTAGGATGACATGAGCATTATAACACTGAAATATGAAGACATCTCCACAGCCTTACATGTCTAGAAACTCTGGTAAATGGTTAGATTAACAGCGGTCTCTTTTTCTCTCTCTGTCTCAGTGCAGCAGGCTGGCATTGACAGGCTGTCTCTCGGTGCACAATCCTATAAATACTTAAATTAATTGCTTTAGAAATGTAAATTTAATCCATTAGGGGTTTTTTTTGTTGTTGTTGCTTGTCAAAATGGACGTTGCGTATAAAGCTTGTCTAAATCTAAGATACTTGAATACTTTTTAATACCATAGGGTTTAAACAGTGCCCATGTGAAGTAAACAGAACAGCCAAAGTAAAAAGAAAGGACTAGAAATTATTAGTTTCACTGTGGTTAGGTTTTCAGGAACTTTAAGTTACGTCCACACCCATTCTCATGCTGGGAGGTGCAGATCTGGTCTGTTTGTGGTCAGGCTCCTTCCTGTTGCTGTTTATATCTCTCAGCCCAAACCTCCATCACCTGATGTTATCTCACATGTTATGTTCAGACGCCAATGATTCCACGTGGTTCCTGTATTCCTGTATTTCCTTCTCTCTGAGGAAAACTTTTATTTCGTAACTTTTTATGTGAGTCAAAAATCCAACGCAGCAGCATTAAACAGTCTGGCTTCCTTTTTAATGAGTTATGGTTGACTTTAAGCTCCTGTAAGGACTTTTTTTAATTTAATGAAAAAGACTGAAATTCACATTGATGCCTTTTTATCACATACAAAAGCAAATAAGACCTCCAGGAATGATACTGACAATTGTTACGTGTTTTTTAATGCCTGAAACTGGCGCAAAAGGGTCGGTGTACGTTGAGCTGCAAAAGGCACAGCTAAGGGAGGTAGAGGGCAAGATAAGCAAAGACTGTTTTGTCCACAGGGGGCGCCAAAGTTGGCACAAAACAAAGTTTTTCACTGGAGCTTTAAACGTGTTTTTTATTTTGAAAGTTAATTTCATGTCCACCTAAGCTGTGAGAACTTTTACTCATCCTTATAAATAAATGTATCCCGAAATTGACCTTCCTCTAGTGATCAGTTATGGCTAAAATTTAAAAAGATAATGTTGAAAAAAAGTTCTATAAAAGTCAGTAATCTATTCATGTTTAAGCAAGAGAACAAACAGACTGCATTTAAAGAAAATGGAAATTTCCTTTTATTTATTAATTTGATATAAAAAGATCCTTCCATGTCACAGTTCTGTGACAGAAACAAACACTGCACGGCTCCGGCACTGACATGATTTATGTTTGAGTCAGACAGCCTTCAAAAGGTTCTGAACAAATGTGTAAAAATAATGTTTCACATCATTAAAGTACAGCTTGTGAGGCCTTGTTTTAATGATGCTGTTAATGGACCTGACCCTGGGAGCAAAAACAGACTCACCTTGAAATCAATACACTTTAACTTTCAAACACCGAATGAGTTTTTTTTTTTCCTTTCAACTTCACTTTGTTTCATTTTAATTGCTTTACTGAATCCTTTCAAAGTGTTCGCCCCACATGGCACATTTTAGGGCTTATTATACACTCTGGTATTCATGTCTACTTTGATTAATTATCTTCATTTACCTGTCAAAGCCTCAACCATGTTTGGGAAATTCTAACAGCAATTTGTTAATCCGGTCGTGTCACTGCCCATGGTTTTATTTTTCTATTTTTCCTTCGATTGCTTTAAAACTTTTGAGCCACCTCTTTTAACTGTATTTCTATTAATTATTTACATTTTCTCTGATGATCACATAAGCATAAATACAGGCTTTTCAAATGGATAACTTTAAGTTGATTTATATATACACTCAAATAAAGAATAAACTGTAAATAGCTAAATAAACACAACCTCCCGTCAGTGCCACACATTTTGAATGAAATGTTTGCAGAGCTGTTTGTACAGCTGGGAGAAACTGAAAGAGAAGTGTCTTTAATGAAAAATTGGTAGGATCTTCAGTAGGACGCAGGTGAGGATTTTTCAGTTTTCATCTGTATTCAGCAACAGAAAACTGGTATCAGTGTGGTATTTTGTCCGGTCTGTCTCCTGTTGTACTTCACAGTGCAATAAAATACTTAATTACTGAAGACACAACACAACCGGATACAATACACTACAGCAGTATAGTACATTATTAATTGACATGATTTGAGTAAATACAAGATGATATAAAGTATCATATATGAAACTATATGATACGTACAATACAATAAAATACGATATTATATATAATATTGTACAATAACATAAACAATACAATATAATACAATTTAATACAATAAGATATGTTATGATACAATATGAAACTATAGAATACAATGCTATGCAAAAGAATATAATGCAATACAAAATAATACAGTACAGTATGGTACATTATGATAAAAGATTCATTTCAGTATGATTTGACATAAAATGATATGATACTGTATGATACAATACAATACAGTAATATATATACTATGAGATATGATATGAGTTGATCCAATTCTATACAATACAGTACAATATGATTTGATATGATGATACAGTGCAATTTGATACAATACTATACCACATGATACAAAACACTACAATACTGTACCGTATGGCACATTTTAATATGACATGATTCTATATGATATGATATGAGATGAGATAATATGATAAAATAGGATAGGATATGATATGATATGATAATATGAGGAAATGATGTATGATATAATATGATATGATATGACATGATAGGGTAGGATATGATATAATATGATAGGAAAGGTTAGGATAGGATAGGATATGATAATATGAGGAAATAATATACTATACTATATAATATGATATGATATGATAATATGATGAAATAATATATGATATGATATGATGATACAATATATGATCCTTTATATAATGTTATAATGAAAAGGCTCAATATGAAATGTAGGTTGCTGTACAATATAAGATATATAATATGATATGATACATGTTAACAGGGAACCACAGCAAAGGAAACACACTACAAACAACATATATTATATATTACACATATCGCACAACATCTGCAAAAAACAACATAAATAATAAAACAAGATCAGAAGACAAGATCATCCTGACAAGCAACACAGCCTGAAGACACATTATGTAGAATCTGACTGAGGTGGGCACAGAGGAGTTTTTAAAGAGGGCTGTGTTTGAGCTTCCTGATGGTAAGAGCTCGTGCTCAGAGAGGAGGATGTGTGATCAGACAACACTCTCAGCTCCTGCCTCAGGACAGACTGCTCATATATCTGAGAGAGGGAGAGGTTTCCAGTTTGTCCTCAGATCTTTGAACGGCAGTCTGAACTGAACCAGCGAGCTCAGGTTTGAACCATGCGGCGAGGTTGGCGTTCATGATAGCATCCTATACCTGGTTATTATCCTCTCCTACACACACTGGTTAAACAAGAGCCTGAAGTGAGATCCTTGCTAGTAAGTTTAATTTGGATTTCTCTAACCTCTTAAAATGAATAAAAATGTGTTTATGGGTAAAGTTAAATCTAAGGTCTAGATGTTTTTCTCTTCAGTGAACATTTTGGGAGTGTAGTTAGCGGTACATCTTTCTGATCATGCCAGAAGGGTTTAAGTTTTAGCTTTTGAAGGAGTTTGGCTCATTTTGAGTGGAGAATCTTCTTAAATCCTCTGTCTCATCTCAAACTTTAGCTGGATGCAGAAAAGATAAACAAATGTTCCTTTGCCTGAACTTTCTTCAACACTTGTTATCCTTGACTTTGGTTCAGACAAGTTCAGAAACAGTCCACAAGTATGCAAATCTCCTCAAAGATCAGTGTTAAAGCTTAAAAACTTTTTCAAAGTTTGGTTTCCAAACATCAACACTGAGCAGGGAGGGAAACAATCTGTTTTAACAGTGAAAACTCCGCTAATTGTCTTTTTTTTGTCAGAAGAAGAATGACATAAAGACAGCTGGCTGCAGTTAATAAGATTCAACAGATGCAGAGGATCGCCTCAGTAATGCTAAAGAGTTTCTGTCTATTTATGAGCTGAAGATGGCTCCATTTCCTCAGCTTGTAATCAGTGTTAATTTTGTCCTCAATCATTGGCTCGTTAATAATGCAAAGAAAGGCTCAATGATGGTGATGTTAGCCTCAGATGTTCCGCTAATAACTGAGAGGAACGGTATCGACCGCCCAGACATTGATATAAGTTTTAATACTCTGAACTCGCTCTGTTACAAACTTGAGCCGCAGAGTAGAGAGCTGCTCTGTGGAGGAAAAATGTGCGGTACTTCACAGCACTTGATTCATCTCCTTCATTACGTTTCAGGGGTGAAGATTCGGCTTTTTGTGCCTCTATCTGACAGCCAAGTTATTCAGTCTGAGAATTCACGATCTGAAAGATTAAGAGATTAACTCAGGAGTTTCTACTCCTCATTACCTCTCAAGGAAACCTTGGGCCTTTGTGTCTTGTTTACTGCGCAGTTAGCCTGTGATTCAAAATACTCCAACCTGCTGAGTAATAAATGAGTACAACGAAGGAAAACATAACAATAATGAATGAACATGAGATTCAGAGCATGTTGTCTCCGAGCCAAAGACTACGTCTGATGCAAGAATTACGACACATTTTGCAGCTCCGATGTGGTACCCCACCCCGACCCCTAAAAGCAATCATTAGCAATAACTGCAGGTGTTTTCCACCCTGTAGACTTAACTCATGTAGAAAGATACAGTTTAAAAATACAAAACCATCTCATAACATCCTTCTTTGCGGCTAAAACTGGAGACAGATCCCGTATTTCATGAAGAAGGAAGTATTTCTCAAACAGTGGAAACTGTAAAAAATATGATATTGAGATTTTTTATTCATCTCATGTTGGTGCAAAAGTCACCTAAAGTACATTTGCATCATCCTAGATATCAAATGGAGGTCTGAATGCAGATTTACAGACATTTAATGTGAAAAAAATTAAAAGCCGCTGATAAGAAGTCGGCTGTAAACCAACTTGTGTCTCTCCCTGTCAAATATATCACGCTGCTGCTTCTTCTTTTGAACTTATCAAATTGCACCGGACCACCTGCAGCCTCACCGCACTCTTAAGTTCCTGAAATCCACCAACATTTCCCCAAAAAACAATTTGTCCTTCCAGTCTACGGTTGCATGATTCACGTCTCCTCCACCAGCGTGCATCACGTTCATCACGTTTCCTGAAAAGCCGCTGATCGAGGCTCATTAAGAGATAAAACGTTGTGGGATCATCGTCTCCGCAGAAGGCTGTTAGCATGCATGCAGCATTATTTGTGGTTTTATGAATTCCTGCTGGGTGGAATACTCTGAGGATTAGACTAATGAGGCTCATCACCTTGATAAAAACAGAGAGGAACCTGAGTGATTTGTTGATGTGACTGTTCCAAAGCTGCTGGCAGGATTTTTCTAACTGTGTGAATGTGGCTCTCGCTCGCGTGTTTCGAATCATCAGTTTGGCTATTATCCCATCTGAGGTGTGTGCCCATTAAGTAAATGAATAGGCATAATTTGGCAATAAACATTAGTGTTTGGATAATTTCACCAGTGTTTATCCTGTTACAAGTCTGTGTAGGAATGCAACAGCCACAGGCAGCAAGAAGATAATCAGTTCAACTCAGCTGTACTGCAAAATATACAGATTTTTGTACAGACTGTTTAACATTATATTTGTAAGTTTGAAAATAAAATATTTGTTTACTGTAGCATCAGCAGATAATGTAGAAGGTATTCTCAGTACTATGAGATGAGATGTCGAGGAAAACAGCACTGAGACAAACAAGGAATGTGAAAACATACAAAGAGCTGAGGATAAAGGACCTCAACCAAACTGAAGAAAACAGACTTTACTGTTCTGTTACACTATACTGTGATATAAATACTACTTTATGGTATACTATACTACACTATACAAACAAACACTATACTGCAGTATACTAAACAATGCTATCATTTACTATACTATACTATACTATACTATACTATAGGATAGTATACTCTAATGCCCAATTTGATACTATACTATACTATACTATACTATACAGTAGAACGCTGTCATATACTTTTTTGTAGAATGCTGTGATACACTATACTAATCATTACTATATTGTTCTGTACTATACAATACTATAATATAAACTGCTGTGATGTACTATACTGTACTACACTATACTATGCTATACTATATTATATTTAATTATACTATACTTTATTATACTATACTGTACTATACTATTCCATACTACACTATCTTATAGTATGCTAAATTATACTATACTATACTATACTGTCCTATATTACAGATGCTATACAATATGATACTGTGCTATACTATACTATACAACACTATTCTATATTATGCTATATTATACTATACTATTTGATACAATGTTGAGCTTTACTACACTGTCCTATACTATACTATGCTGTGCTTTACAATACTGTGCTATACTTTACTGTATTATACTATGGTGTGCTAAACTATAGGATACTGTGCTATACTGTATTGCACATAATGTACTCTATTATACAATTCACTTTATTGTAATATACTGCACTATACTTTGAATTGCATTTCTATATTACACTTATTTTGGATCTTAAAGTTTATGTGATTACTCTGATAAAAAACTGAGAAAACTTACAGCATCTTACAGCACTCTTTAAATATTCATGTACAGTTTATTAGTTTAGTCCAGTTTTTTGAGTTATATCATCTCATAATTCGGATCGTTATATGATAAACTACTGCCTAAAATGTGAAGGGAGATGTGAAATGATTAAAAGTTTTAATGAAACAATTGAACAAAGCTTCTTTGCAACAGTGATTTGCCTCTTCACACGTACGTGTGCTCATAATTAACGGATCCTTTAGTATCTTCCAAGTGTTGTACAAACTTGGTCTGAATTTCCAGGAATCTCTGCCCAAAAAAGAGTTCATTAACACTAGTCGAAGTTTGGCACGTACAGATTAGCGTTTGGCAGTTAGCTAACTGTTGCAGAGGAAGATGGCATAGATTGGTGACAGAAAAGCTCTATAGGAATAAAGTTTTTTTTTTTGAAGATTGTATGATCTTGCAATGTAATATCAATGTTTGTTCCATAGATTTTCTTATGATATCTTGATATCTTCATCACTGATTGGCACCTTATATTTGAGCTCCTTTTATGGTATTGTGTCATTTTTTCATCAGTTTCTCAAACCACTGCTCTGATTACTTTTCTCTGTGCTATTTAGCTTTTCTAGTTTCAGGATATCTGGTGTTACAGCTCAGATTTCTAACATTATATACTAAAAATGGAGGTAGAGGGAGAGTATGTTTTGATATTTGTAAGACAAAAAGTCCCAATTAGACAAATCTCTGGTATTAGAGACCAGAAGTTAGTCTTGATAAGCCGATCAGAAAAGCCAACAGCAGCTACATCTACAGAATAACACGTATGATACCCTCCTTGTAGATGTGATATACCATAATAAAAGAGTACAGTTGCATTAGATATGGTACTAAATAAACATGGACATATAAGACTTCTAAATACTGATTTTCATCCATTACATCATGTACTAAATCAAACACACGCTCAGAGACTCTCACTGGTCCTTTTTGCCAAAATGAAATCTCTCACCTCTCATGGGATTTTTTCCTGCTGGCAGCTGGTGTTTAACACTCTCTCACACACACATATCTCAAACTTTTGGTTACTGTCTCTCATTATTTCACTTCCAGCTCATAATGGACCCACTCCAGCAAGAATATTTAGTACTGGAAATGTTTTCAGAGGGAAGCAGCACGCTCCGCCACACAGGGACTGTAGTATTGGCGATGTATTATTGATGTCTTCTTCTTGTTTTTCTTGGGCTTGTTGTTATTTTGCCAGAACACAACAGTAATTGCTCCTCTGGGATTGAGCTCGACGGGATTTATTACGCTCGCACTCCAAGATTTAACAGGCAGTCTGTAGACTGGGAGGAAGAAGTTTTTGCGTCGGTGTAGGAAATTGCCTGTTTGCCCTTGTTCACAACCGACTTGTCATCTCGAGTTTGACGGTTAACAGAGCGCCTGAGTGCCACATTAAGATTTCCTCCCACCGTCCCTAACCGTGCATATATTCTGCTTCACGCTAGGATTATGCTGCACCTTTTATCTCTTCAGTTTCATTTTCAACTCTCTGTGTCTTGCGCAGAAAAAGGGACTTCTTGCAGAAAAAGGGTGGACGTGATGCGAATGTGAAGATGCGGCACACGTCTTCCGCTCAGATGTTGATATTCTCGCCAAAATATCACCGTCTTTTAATTGATTCATGCTTCGTTCAGCATGCTGTATAAGCCTGAAAGCGCGCTGATCAGTCCTGAGAAACTGATCTGAAAGTCACTGTGGGAACATCAGCCTGACGCATCGATATACTCATGGAAGATGGAGGTAAAAACGAGTTAGCTTGTAGGTGTCAAAACTCCTGAAACCCAGATTTGACTTGAGGTGTTTGGGCTGCTTTCCTGACTGGGGATCATGCAGATGTTTTCATGATGTTTGCTTAGTGCTCACATAATGATCTCATCAGATTTGAGAACTTTAGCGGCTGCGTTTCTAACTTTCCCTCTTCAAAGGATGCCCCTGAAATCCCTGCGAGTCTCTGTGAAGGCCCTGCCCTACATTTCTCGCTCTCCGAAGTGCTTCTTTCTCTGACAGCCACTCCTTTTTCTTGCTCCTCTTTTTCATCTATCAGATTGCCTTTCATTTCCCTTCCTCCTCCACCCGCCTCTCTGTCTGTCACGCCAGCACCCTCCCCTACCCCCTCTCTCCCTATCTCTTCTGCCTCCCTCTCTCTTCCTAATGTCCCTCTGTCATTTCCTCTCCGGCTCTTTCCTCCTCTATCTTCTCCGCTCGCCACCTCCTGCTGCAATTTCGCAGCAGAAAAAGGGGGCGAGGGAGAGGGAGATGCTCTGACCTGGTAAATTGCACCTCATCTTTTGTATTCATGCCAAGGCAATCACTCCTGCGGGGATGTGTCTGTGGGGTCTTCACAGTAGTAGCTCTCTCCTGCTCTATCTGGGTGGAGGTTACAGGGACGGGCAATAGCCGTAGCTCGGTGCACTCTGCACCAGCGGTTAGTTCGCTGATACGGAGCCAATTAAAGTAAAGCAGTGTGTGTCGTAACAAGAAGCAACTCGTTTCCCTTCACACCCCTGTTAGCTTGTTGGGATGCTCGGCCCAGTCCTCCCTGCAGCTCGTACTCATCACATGTGCACAGCGGCCGCTTTCCTCTGAGGGTGGGTAGCACGACTGCAACAGCGACCACAGGCTGTAAGACCTGATTTGCATAAATCTACTTCTCTATTTGTCAAGCAAAAACAGTGATATTGAAAACCTGGAGGAAGATCGAGCCATATCTCGAGTAAAAAAAAGACACATTTTATCATCTATATGCTACGGCGAGAGCACGTGTTTGACCAAAGCTGGTATTGTTTAACGCTTAATTTTGTAGAGTGTAATACTAGAGTGAAGAGATTTTTGAGCGAGCTGTTTGTGGCTCTTAATTTGAATGGAATTTATTTTGGTTATACATCATGTTATGATGACAAAGCATTACAATTTGTTTGAATCTAAAACTACTGAAAACAAAATGCAAAACAAAATATTAAATATGTCCTCTGTGATTTCACTCAGTATCCTCTACACAATCATTTAACCAAAGAGGAGCAGGCTGAAGCCCAAAGGATAATTGATACCTCTGCTAAACAAACCATAGGATGTCCCAGAATATCAGCAAATATCAGAAAAATATTAACTTAGCAAATATTAGCTTAAAGGTGTTTTAACAGCATGTTCACATATTATCATACAATGTATGTTGTTTTTTTTTACTAGGGTAATAAACCTTTTAAAGTCTAGAAATTTAAGGTTATATAAGTAGTTTTTATTATTTTTATATGTATATTTTAATAAGTGTCTCATTATCCAGAACCAGATTCTGTCCCATTTGGATTTGGACCTTTTATAAAAGCCAGTGTCTTCTCCTAACAGGGTACATTTTTTGGCTTTACAGCTTCTGTGGAAACTTAAAGTTGTGGTTAATTTTGGCGCCCCCTGTGGACAAAGCAGTCTTTGCTTACCTTGTCCAGACTTCATTTATAGATGACTTGTTTCTTTCGCTGCTCGGCTGACAGCTTCAGGCATGGAAAAATTACTAGATACATATCACTTAGTTTCTTGCTGATGGTCTTATCTTAAAAAGGCATGTGTGTATGGATCTAAGTCTATTATGTAAACATGAAAAAACTCCTTATAGTAGCTTTAAGTGTGCCTTCTTTTTGAATCAGTGAAAGAAAACCAGCAAAATGATCTGTATCTTGTAGCTATAGGTAGCTCCAAACCCTGACCCTGTGCCTCATGTATTCTTGTACTGTGGTGATTTATAGAAGCAGAAATGTCAGGCACCATTATGAGACCAAATAGCATATGTGTTGAACAATCACTGAAGGTTTTAAGGGTCTTAAATTATGTGTATTAGGGTCGTAAAGGCAAGTTTTAGACTTTTCAAGAAACTCACATTTTTAGAAAGTTGTTAACCGCCGACGTTTATCCAAAATTTATACATTTAATAGGAATGTATAATACAGTAGTCCGACATTATAGCAGTATTCGTACTTCCGTGTCTTGAATGTGATGTTCAAGTCCTCCATTCTCACACAGAGCGAGGTGAGGAGGGAGAACAGGAGGAAGAGGAGGAGAAGGTCATATCAGGGGAAAGAGAGAGAAAACAACGAGGAGCAGCATTCGTCTTCATCTTTTGGTGCAGGTGGTGAAGGGAGTTAAGGTTTAATGACACAGAGTCGTGCCTTCAGGCCAGAGTCGGGCTGCACACGAGCTGCTGAGGTTGTTTGGTGTTTGGGATACAAGAGCATTTTTGATCGGGGAGGCAGAGCGGCGGAGTGGAGACAGACGAGAAGCTGTGATTGAGTGTGGGTGGACTCAATAAAAAAAGAAACACCTTTATAATAAAATCTAGCTCTGTCACTGATAGAGATTATCCTGCTTCTTGTGGTCCTTTTTAAGAGTATAAAATGTTGTTTTACATTTTTATTGCAGTCTTTATGGGTCTCTTGACAACGCTCTGCATAAAATCGCTGGAATAAGTTGTTTTAAACTCCCGTCTTTCTGTGAAGGACCCTTTTCAAATGACGCCTTAACTTGTTGAGGGCTCTCGTCATAAATTTTGAGTCGTTCGATAGACAAGTGAGAGATGATTTCACTTGAGGCAAGGAAGTCTAACAAAGAAAAATGGTTAAAAAGGGAAAATAGTGTTTTTTGTGTGTCTTATTGAAGCTGTTATCTCTGGAGTTTGTCTGTGTAGTTAAAAGAAAACCAGTCTGAACTGGTTTGGGTCATTGTATCAAATTCATCTCACACTCGGCGCTCAGACAAGATAGGGTTTGATGGTTATAGATAAATATTGAACCAGGCGAGCCCGAACTGTCAACAGTGTATTAGAGCGATCCTGCAGTTTGTTTTTCTGGTGGACTGATATTTGTAGAAAACCGCACGATAGAACAATAATGACTTCTCCATCTCCAAACACAGGGCTGCAGGGTTTTTGCTGGCCGACTCTGAACATCTGCAGGATTGTGCAAATTCTGTGCAAATGAAAAAGAAACAGAGCAAATATTTGAAGCTGTTATTTGACTTCAACTTGGGACTGGTTTCACGTGTCCTATTCTTTAAACCATAGCTGATAAATAAAAGACGTGACATTTGAATATATATTTAATTTTAATTGTGATTATTGCAGAACAGCTGTTCATAGATTACAGAAGGTAACTGTTAGCTTTGCTGGTGAGCTCTGGTCACATGTTGAGAAACTTAAAGTCCCACTCAGGTCTTTTTTTTCCCACTACTTAAAGTGTTATCAGTAGGGGTGTCCCATACAATACGATAATGTAGCCTTCAATATTGACCAATACCGGTATTGATCCGATATTGGCACAAAATTGTGCATGACAAGTTTTTCACTCAGCTGCGACGTCTTTTTCGGACTTCAATAAAAAATACTGCCACACGGCCGGAATCACTCCGACTCCTTGCTACTTTGTTCGTACCTTAGTACACTCTGTTGTTGTGTGTGCTCAAGTGGGCTTAGATTGCTGGACCCGGGTGCTGCTAGATCGAGGAGCTGGAGAGGAGTCTGGAATGGACTGCCTGTATTGGAGTACTGATATCGGAGATGATATTTTAGATGCAGGCTGATATAATCTGATATTAGTTTTTTTGCTGATATCAGAGCGATATCCGATGCCAATATAGTATTGGGACAACCCTAGTTATCAGTGGTCTTTAGATTGTGATTATTAAGTCTTTAGCCAAGAGCTCCAGTAGCTCATTAGCAATTCGCCTCTGAGTCATGGGCGGAGACAGCGCTGCTCTGCACACTTCTCTTCACGTTAGCTTGCAGCCTAAGATTGCCGGTTTAGATGATAAAAGCTAATATTGATCGTCCTCTCTACTTTTCCGAGTCTGGCCTGCAGAGTGGGGTGCTGGGGGTGGAGCTTGGATTTGCTACATAGGAAATCTCTGAACCTGCCATTTCAGAAATGCAGTTTAGCACTTATTTTTCTCATGACATGTCCTGTAGCATCAGAAAAAAGATTTTCATTGGAGTGGGTCTTTAAGTCTTCCTTTACTTGAACTAAGTCCTCACATATCTTTAAATTCTGTATCCATAACAAAAACTTGCAAAATGACTAAAAACTGATAGATATACTGCAGCACGACGGCCATTATGTCATGGATAACTCTTTATGATGCAAAAGCTGTTTCTTAGTCAGGACCGACACTCCCTCCTGCAGCCCAGACATCAATTTTCGAAGGCGCTGACCTGGACTTAGCGCGGCCCGAGACAATTATGACTCATTCAAAGAAAAAAAACCCAAATCCTGAGCTGCTTTTCCCTTTGGTGCGGACTTATCCTGACCTCTGACCTCTTTCTCCAGGAACAGCAAATCCCTAAAACAAAGTGTACATCTGTTTATGTGAGATGACTGTATCCTCCGTCTGTTAATCAAACACGGCAGAGGAGTTTGTGTTTGTGGTTGTCAGGCTACAAATTGGATTTTATGTTCCAGCCTGGATTTGAGCTTAACTTAAAAGAGTGTTTGGTTGTAATGTGTTTTCTACCCGTGTGTTTGACAGACAGTTTGATGTCCTCTAATTAGTTGAATACCTGAACACTTGTAGTTTGATCAAGAATACACACACATGCAATGAAGAGTTCTCCTCACTCTCCTGCTGCTTTTGAAGATCAGCTCCTCCTCCTCCCTCCCTCCCTCCCTCCCTCCCTCCCTCAATCCAGCAGACGAGATCATCAGCCATGTCACAAAGAAAGGCTCTCAACATCCATCAATAAATATTCATTAGTCTCCTCTTATCCCTGATGCTATTTTTATTTGTCTGGAGTGAATAATCGCCCTCCATCAAAGTCGACTTCTTCTTTTCAAGGTGCTCACACGAAAACTCGGACCTAATTAAGAGCAGAGCAGCAGGAGCTGTCAACCTGCACGACTGCTGCTGACCGCTGGAAGCCCTAATTGCCCTGGTTTCTATATCCTCTTTCCTCCTCCTTCTTCCCCTTCTTCCTCCTCCTCCTCCTCCTTCCTGTTCCTCCTCGTCTTCATTAGTCCTCAGCAGCGCTCACTCTCTACCTGCTCTCTCCTTCCCTAATAACTGGTCAAATGTCCATGCTAGAAAAACAGCTGTGAATAAAACCGCCTCGATCCACTCTGCCCTGCAGCTCTTAACCTGCCTGTGCGTGTGTGTGTGTGTGTGTGTGTGTGTGTGTGTGTGTGTGTTTGTGTGTGCGCAGGTTCGATTCCTCTCTAAATGAAGTGCCTTTACATCAGGACTGTATTTTCTCCAGCTGTTGGAGCCTCCTGACTTTGTGCAGCCCCCATTATCTTTCACTCATTCATCCTCTCTATCCCTGTGCATTTAATTCTTTTATCCTCGCATGTCTCCTTTAATTCCCCTCTTCTTCTTCTTCATCCTCCTCTCCATTTAATCATTTCATATCATAAATTGCACATTTCTGCTCGCGCAGCAGGAGCCAGCTTAAGAAATTAACTTGTTTTTTTAGGGCATTTTTCCCTCTCTTTATCTGATTTCATCGTGTTTTAAAGCCCTTTTTGTTCCCTGTTAGTCGTACTGAATGATGACATGCTACATTAGCATTGCTAATATCCACTTGTTTCACCCCGCTGAGATTTGTTTTAACTTTCCCCCGTCGTCAGAAACAGCTGGCTTCACAGAGGACTGTGGAGCTGTTATTCTCAGGCTGTCCTCCGCTCTGCGTTCTTTATGTTGACTCTGTTTGGTGTCTTTTTTTATTTGTCTGGATGTAGGACCGAGGATAGTCCAACACTGAAAGGTCTTTAAACTAGAACATTCTTAATAATATTCACTCTATTTTAAGCAATCTTGTTCCTCTTGTGCCAGTATTTTTTTGTAGATGTCAGTATTAGTCTCAAATGGGCAATTTTAGCCCGTTTGAGACTAATCGGTAAACGGCCAAAAATCTTCATCCACTAACGACCTCACAGCAGAGCAGAGTGACGGATCTGAAGCAGGCAGCTCAGGGACGCACAGAGGAGAGTGGTCCGCCTTAACGGTAAATAAACCAGTTTGTGAAATACACAATAAGTCAACAAGTTTCAGTTCAACCCACTTCACGATGTTTACCGCTGTGCTGGTCTCGGTTACGCCGAGTTAGCGGTGAAGCACCATGTAATATGCAAGCTAAAGTTAGAGTTAGCCACCCGCTATTAGCCTTGCTACACTGTTAGCCGTGCCAGTATCGGTAGAATAAACAACAGTACACATTACGTGATCGAGCTACTTCTCTTACTGAGGCGTCTGCATGTCTAGTATGTGTATGTAAATATGTGTACCACATCAAACTACAAACTCTGATAAGCCAAAATAAACTTAAAGTCTAAATAAATTTTGGACTTTGCAGAGTTTTCTGTTTGGACTGGCTGTTCAACATTTTGGTCAATTTTGCCGCCATCTTGAACAAACTCTGATTAGTGTCTTTTGCTGTTGTGACCAACATTAAGCGTCCATAACTGAGACTCATGGATCTGAGTTTAGAACGTTTGTTATTAGGCCAAAACATCATGTCCACACCGAGTTTAAGGAGGTTAAAGTCACCACTCAGAGGGCTGCTACAGCTAGCTTGCTAGCATCTGCTGCTCCTTCTTTTTCTCTCATCTGTCTGGGAAGAAACCAAATGATTGATTTCAAAGAAAGGCTTTAAACTCATTTAAGTAACACACTGTCTCTCAGTGTGTGTTTTTACTGTAAATACAGACTCGGTGCTGAATGTTGTTACACTCTGTGGTCAGATCAGGCTAATCTTCTCACACCCACACACATTTTTAAAGAAATAACACCAGACTGGGACATAGATAACAGGTCGTGTAGTTCAAACCGTTCTTAAAAATAACACCTTACTGCGCTGTATCGCTCTGTCCTTTGTCTCTATTCTTCACCACGTACGGCTAACTCTTCTAACGCTTTAAGCAGAACTTATCCTCCGATCAAAACCTCTCTCTGTCTTCAGTCACTGAAGAATGAGTCGCCATTGAGCCGTGGAGGACAAACGCTCTATTGAAGACCCAGTGATCAGCACATGAGCAGGCTGTCACGCCATAAAAAGACACTTACATGTACATGGAGCTCAGAATTCCCCACTTCTTCACTTTCTCAAGAACTTTCGAGAGCTTTTTGCTTCAAGCAGCCATTAATTTCTGCCCGTGGTGGATGCCCATTCTCTGGGGAGGTTACAGAAAACAAAGGCGCCTTTGACGCGCCCAAAGGTCAGGCCGGAGGAGTCTGAAAACGCTCTGTTCTGTTGTGCAGAATCTTGACGCAGAACAAGGCAGGCAGACAGCTTCCTGCTGGGCCGTATGATTGCTGCCTCTGGACGCTCAACCTTACTGGACATATCCTCCATTTGTGCATCCGTGAAGACCCCAACATCCTGGATAAGCCCCTCGCTCGATCGCCTCTTCCTGCGGCATTCACAAAATCAATAGCAGCTCTCCAACGCCGTTTCTCCTCTCTGAGAGGGTTCAGCGTACGTCAAGTGTAATGGTTCACTGCAGTGTAAGTCTGTCTTTTCCCCAAGGGGCCCTGCTGAGTTAGGGGGGAGGGAGGGGGAGTCGGGTGAGGAATTAAAGCTGATTTCATGGCCCCTTAAGACCCCAATGAGTTTTAACCACCAATTATTGCCTGTGTTACCCACGGGCAGCGGAGGGCTCTGTGCATTCAGGACCAAACCAATCAGTCTGTTGGAACTGTGCGATCTACTGTGACTACAATTGCACAGTAATAATGTGTGATTATTCCCACAGTCCTTTATGGCTGTTATTCCTTCCTGCTCTTTAATTACACAAGCCTGTAGTTGGTCTTCAAATGCCACTCAGAGAAACAAAAGGTGTGACTCATACATGAAGTCCAAAAGAACCTGAAACTGCAGGAATAAACACACAAAAGTTCAGTACAGAGTGTTTTTGATATGCTTTTATTATATATATAAAAAAAGGTTATATTCATGAGATTAAGAGCTGAATCGTAAGTGAAATACTTCCCAAAGCTATCTGTATGTGGAGGTGGAAGTATGGAAAGTTTCCCTCTGCCTTTTATTTTGAAAATCTGCTGATGTGAGAGATTTGGTCAATGATCTCTCTTTTAGGGCTGAGCGGTAGGGTCTCAAATCAATATCATGGTATATTGATCAGTTCACCTCGATAATGATAAATGGACGATAACTACTCCACAAGTTGCTCACCCCCTCCCACATTAACTTCGTCTACTTCAGCCGCTACAACTTTTGAACCGTCCTCCATCTCCTCACCTGTCTTTCCCTCTTTGTCACAGACTGGATGGGGTGGAGTCACGTCTCTGACGTAGGACAGCGTCTTAAAGGGACATGAGACCATAGCCTACCTACACACATCCAAAGCCCGATATATATTGACATGGTCAAAATGGTGTTGGTTATTGTAGTAAATTTCAGTATCAGTAAATCTTTGGTTTATCACTCAGCCGTACTCTTTATACGCGCCCTGCAAACATGATCAGTCAATCATTTTTTATCTTTTTGGCTTGTTTGGGTCGTGTTGATGGTTCGTGGTTTCCTCTTTATGTTATTCAGTTTGAACCTGTTTTTGTGTCCACAGACAGTGGAGGTTTTGGAGGTGATTTCCACGTCAGAGTCGTCTCTGTTTTTATGCAGTGCCACCTGAAGTCTTAATACAGATATTTTTCTCTGTGAACCCTTTTATTCTATTTTCTGATTGATTAAATCACATCCTCAGTTTCTTTGTAATTTCATACTGAGGTTCATCGTAACTGCTGATCTATTTCCTCACTCGGTCTCTCACAAAGTGTTGAACTTCTTCCATCTGGGCCTGATCCTCAGGGGTTTATTCCTTCTTCATCAAGTCTTCGTATTTTCACAGATTCATGTTTATTCAGCACTTAGATCATCACCGTCTGGGATCACAATCGTCTCCCTCCGGTCCGGTTCGCTCTTTCTCTCTCCGCTCTGGAGGATTCAGCCTCCTCAGGTGGCTGGATCCTCCGCTCCTCCTTTTCATCTCCTCCTCCGCCTCTGAAGGTTAATCCCGGCCGCTCTGACAGCCATGTTTTCCCTGGGTCAGGAAGCCGGGCAGGGCGAGCGCTGGGGGAGGCGTTGACGGTTCATTCGGCTCTGTGAAGGACGAGCAGAGGAGGGTTCAGATGCGGACAGAATGAAGAAACGGGGGAGGCGGGTCACCTGCTGTGTGAGGGGCTGTCGCTCCAGCAGGCGGAGCAGAAATGTAACTGACTGCTGGTGTTTTTGTACTTTTACTGGGACACCTTGTGTGGATGGATGAGTTTAATAAAAGTAGAGCTGTATCCTGGTGTGAGCCACAAGTGGGACAAGGTTAGTCTTAATCGGCCTAAGGCTGGAAACCTCAGTCCTGGGTGAGAAATGATTCTGTCCGTGTGTGAACCAGGAGTGGAGTTAAATCTGGTACCAGCTTTTAAAACCTGACGGCTGCTCCTCAGTTTCGTTATTTAATAGTGAAATTAATTGATCTGAATTTGACTTTTTTAAACACATTACCCAACCAATCAAGTCTTGTTCATTTAATCCATGCATGACGAATCATAACGTCTTCATGAGAGACTTTGCTCCAACAAAAGTCATCCGTCTGAACCAGCTGTTTGACTTTTTATACTTCTCCTGCTGAATTTCTGTCTCAGTGTGCCTAAATTTAACAAAACTGATAAAAAATCACTTTGAAATATTTCTTTTTAAACGTACAGACTTATTTAAATGAAATACGCTGAGACTAACACACACACACACAGGGGGGTTACTGTCTCGCTGTACAAACACTCGCTGAAATCAGAGCTGATTCTCGTTTGTCACTGAGTTTCTGGCTGGTGGAAAGTTTTTTGGTCACAGGCTCGACGCAGGAATCAGGAAGTGACCGACCGATCGGATGACTTTTAAACACGTGTGATAAGACATGACGTGTCAAATTTTTTGTAATAGATAACTGCGTGTGCTTTATCTCCCTAACGCTGACGTGGTTCATATCTGGATCAGGAAACTCGGGACAAAAAAAACAAATTTTCTGGCAGTGTGCCATAAAGACAAAGATCATAAAAATGACAACGACAGACAAAGACTGAAACTGGTCGGGATCATATAATCTCAACATTTTCCCTTACCGACGCAGTCCTGTACCACACTGATCCAGTTAAAGGGTGCATTGTATTTAATGTTTCCTTGTTTTGTCAAACAGCCAAGTTCTCCAGTTTCAGACTGGATATTTAGCAGGATGTATTTCCTGCTAAACGTTTGTTCAAATATGCGAATTAACATTTCTTCGGTTAATTAGTAACTCTCGATCCCTGTAGATTCAGAGGTTGCTGTGAAACGTTTGTCTTATGTGCCTGTCAAAGTCAAAGAGCATTATCGCTCTTATTAACATAAATAACTCACAGTATGTGAGTCGAAGTAGAAAAATGGAGCCGTAGTTACCACAGACTGTATGTTTTATTTCTTGACGTGGAGTAAGGAACAGTTTAATATGTAACTTTTTTTTCCTGTTTGACCTTTCCTGACCTCAGTGAATCAGCGGGACTGAACAGCAGCATTGCATTATGGGAGTGTTTAGTCTTATCCAACTGAAGTAAGAAATTCAGATGTTGACCAGAGAGTGTAAGACTCAGTCCAACCCTGACAACGGTTTCTGTTGTGACTGAGACCATGTTTACACGTTTTCAGAAAAGTTTTCGTTTACCCGTGTATATATGCCATCAAGAGCATGCCAAACCTGTAGGTGGCAGTGTAGCGAGAAGCTCAAACCCACATTAGCCAATCAGAATCCCACATAGCAGCAACAGCAACAACGTCACTTCCTTCTTTCCTGCGCACAATCTGCCATCGGCTACCCAAATCTCAGTTTTCCTCAGTTTTTCTCAGTATACATGCAAACGTGCACACAGAGTTTTCCAAAAATCTCCACTTTGGCCGGAGTTTTCGAAAAGCATCGTTTTCAGGGGCAAATTCTTCATTTGCGTATAAAAACAAAGGATGTAAACGATGGTTAATGTCTCCATTTTTAAAAATAACCGGGTACGTATAAACAGGGCCTCAAAATGTCGAGTCAAACTAGACCACGTTTGGAGTTTGTGTTTGCTGTACATCACGTCACATTCACCCTTTCACCATGTGGTGGCAGAGGCTGGTAAAGAAAATTCAACGAAATACCAAAAAAAAAATACTCTAATTTAATTTAAAAGGCTATCCTCTCTTCTTTTCAGGCTTTTGAGACAAAAATATTAGCTTGAACATCTGCCTGGTTTTTGCTCACCTGGCCGCCACATTAGTCCTGGTTTTTGGCTTCAAACTTCATCAAACAACAACTTTCTCACAAAACTCAATATTAACTTCATCTAAATCTCTTTATGGTCCATTTTTGACTTGGATTTTTTTAAAAAGCGACCGACCCCAAACAGCCAGAGGGAGAAGACCAGATCTGAACTGTGCGACCAAAGAGAAAAATTAGATTTATACATAATTCAGGGTGAAAATAGTCGTGTTAGGTAATGAGAGTCGTACAGTATTGGGCACAGCCAGCAGGAGCGGTTTGGACTTTCAAACCCTTGACCTTCAGACAAATGACTCGACCTCTGAGCCAAGAGTCGAACCACCTAAAGACTGAATATAAAACAGCCGACAAAACAGGTGGGAGGAAAAATAGGTGACTGGTTAAATTTGTAGAACAGTGTTGTGATTGGCTGAGTTAGGATGTAACTGTGTGACGGCAGAGAAATCAGTTTGTCTTCAGCGCAATAATTCTCCTTTTTTTCCTCTTTTGTCTATTTTTATTCCTCCGATCAGACAAAAATAACCCCCATAGTAATCAGAATCCATTATTGATAACCCAGTTGTGTTTCATCACTGATTGCAGCTTTGATCGGCTGATGTAGCGGGACGCTGATGAATTCGCTCTGAGAGATCCTCAACAGCCGAGTTTAGACGTAGTAAATCTTTTAATTATGATCAAAAGGTGTTTTTCTGTGCGGGGAAGAACAAAGGCAGCGATTTGAAAATCCATAAATGATAAATGCGTTCTAAATTATGAACCATTTATTACATGAATCATTGAGCGGAGCACAGTTTGACTTCAGCTATGTCGAGGATAAATCCAATTTAGAAGATATTTTTCCAGCTTTGGCGGCGAGGATGACGCTAACGGCCTGTTTGTGGATAAAATAGGGGTTACTTTGACTCCATCGCCTCCGCCTAAAACACCATATTGGATCGGTCACGTAATTCCGGCTGAAATGGAGAGCCTTGTCCCGAACATCCAGCCTATTTCTGGGTAATAGCCTGACCGAGCTCCCTGAAGAGACCAATTGTGGCCAGCGAGGCCCACTTAAATTCTCGGAGAGACAGAGGAAGAGAGAATAGAGTCTGTGGAGCCACTTAAAAGCCTTCTGGGTGAAAATGGGATTTCTGACCTGCTCCACTGGTGCCGCGGCTCGACAGCAGGATGGGCTGTCAAGACGCTGCCGGGTGGGAACAGGTCGGGCAGCTGTGGGGGGGAAGGCGGGAGGGATGGATGGATGCTGCCGCCATCACTGCTGCTGCTGCTGCTGTCAATGGCGAGGACCGCCAGGACCTCATTAGCTCCACATTTCATCAAACACCGTGGCACCAGGGTGGTTCTCGCTGTCGCCATATCTCTCTCTCTCTCTCTTTTGCCACTTTCTCCTTTTTTCCTCCTCTTTAAGACTCCTCACTTCCTTCTCTCTCTCTTTTTTACTCGTCTTTATCTGTCTCCTCTCGGTCTCATTAACCAGATGAGCCTGTTCTGTTGGTAATCCTCCACTGGATCACCATGATGATAACACGTCCTCCTCTCAAACGTCCACACACATCCAGCCAGAATCATTTGTCCCTGTTAATGCTGTGAAAATGTAAATTTGTCACCGTTATGAGAATGTAAATAAGCAGCATATTTCTGCAGGGGAGATATTTCAGGGCATATTAGAGGCCTCCTCTGCAGGGCTGGTTTGCATATCATTGATTTTAAATGTGAGCAAGTGTGAATGTGCGCGGACGCAGGGAAAGCTTAGACATGCTCACATACTACATGCAAAGCAGATATACCCCAGCCTTAAACACAAAGGCAGTGTGTAGAGCAGCTTACCATACACAAATAGGTCTATGTAAATGATTTATGTACACGCACTGCCTCAGATCAGCTGCTGAGAAAAACAACGCACTTACTAACCTGAGTGACTCAGAGGTTTTCACAGAGACTCGGACTTGAAGAAGAAAAGAAGATGAAGTAGGTTAGAGGCACTAACTAGTCTTTGCACTTTCTACAAAGACTGCATTTTCCATGAGTGCTGTTACTCACTGTTGCGAGGATGTGTCTCCTGCCAGAGTGTGGCAAGACCTTCTTTCTGGTCGAGACAACTTAACTTGAACCCTCGAGGTCTTTGCTGATGTTCTCCCTGCCTTACCCCCAATTTCCACCGCATCCGGAACAGCTGTGAAAACGCCATATGCGCTGATCGCAGCTGATGGTTTCCATTCAAGTTAATGTGTCAATTTCCATCGACTTCTTTCCACTCCCCTGCAGTTCAGCAGACTCTGCAGCGGCAGCATGAATTCCGCACAGATTAGCCTCTGCTGGAAAGGGAGCTGGGCACAGACATAAAAAAAACCACCCGGCTTCCTTTCAAAATAAAACACTTCATGTTTCAGGTGGATCGTATTTCACATCATGCAAATGGGCGGGGACAAACAAGTGAAAGGTTTTCAGACAGCATTTCACCCCTTTGACACCATGGATGAGGAGATGCTGATTCTAGAAGTCTAGAAGTGGATTTCTTCTTCTGAAAGGACACAATCTACTGCTTATATGGATATGTGGCCGTCTTCATAGAGACAACTCAATATTGCACAATTGCATGTGAATCTGCGGGTTCTTCCGAGTTCTCGCTATTCCTGCTGTCCAAAATCTGCCACGAAATTCGGCTCACAAACACATTGAAAATCGCTGCTGTTCCGTAGCAGAGCTGTTGTGGATACGGTGGAAATAAGGGTTAGCTTTTGAGGAAGGGTGTATTCTGGGAGATTACTAATCTGATGGTGCTTTTGTTTATTATAAGTAGACATCTATATTTATATTTCAGGTTATCTCAGGAGCTTTAAAAACAAATCCATAAGGACAGGAGGAAATATATCCTAGTGAGTTCTCTGCTCCATTTTCCAGCTGTTTGGTTCACTGATTGTTTACTGGAATAACAATATGGTTGTTTAATCCACACTGTTATCAAAGTAATCACAGTATGAGTGTAAGTGTCATTCATGAGCCTCTTAAATAGAATGTATGATAAGCTCAGTGCTCAAAAGCTTCCTCCTAAATAAGAAATCAGTGTGAATTTAATACACCAGCTGTTGTTTGGGGGTAAACACACATCGCTGTGTTGTGTGCGAGCGGGAGAAAAGATATAAGGTGAATCTGCTGTAAGACCCCGGGGTTTCCACCAATCACAAAGCAAAATGACAAGCTACTCATCCCCAGGAGGCGCCGTCGCTCTCCATTTGTCAACAAAGCTTTTTCTGGCTCCAACGCGCAGTGAGGCTTTTTACCAGAGTTCCCCTAGGTGTGCGTTTTCTGTCTGCTTTGCATATTTCTCTACAAAGCAGAGCTTAAAAGATTTTTAGGGCTGTTTAAACTTCTGGAAAATAAAGACGTTTGAAGCCAATACTGTACATTAAAACCTGCTGCTGGGACGAGAAAGCCAAATATCTTCAAACACTACGAGGAGGTTTGTTTACTCATGATTTTTTCTTCTTTCTTTTTCCTCAGCCTCTCAAGATGCACTGTCAGACCTGCTCCCTGGTGTCCAGCTCAGGCCACCTCATCGGCGGCCGTCGCGGCGAAGAGATCGACAAGGCCGATTGTGTCATCCGCATGAACGACGCCCCAACTGCCAGAGGCTACTCCCGAGACGTGGGCAACCGTACCTCCCTGCGCGTCATTGCTCACTCCAGCGTGCAGAGGGTCCTGAGGAACCGCAACGAGCTGCTCAATTCCAGCGGGGACACCGTCTTCATCTTCTGGGGGCCCAGCATGTACATGAGGCGGGACGGGAAGGGCCTGGTCTACAACAACCTGAGGCTGATGAAGCAGGTGCTGCCCAAACTGAAGGTCTACATCGTCTCCCTGCAGAGGATGCTGCAGTTTGACGAGCTCTTCAAGAAGGAGACAGGGAAGGACAGGTGAGGCACGGATCTTAAATGTCAGATACAGAGGTTGTTCCTCCTGGGTTTACCTCCAGGCTGTGACCCCTTTGTCTCTTGTTTCCTGCTCCGTCTTCTGAAAAAAAAAAGAACCATTCATCCTTGTTTTTTAAAAATTAAACATATTTTGACTTTGACGGAGATACTAAGAGTTTCAGACGGTTTGTAGTTAATTTTCTTCATATCTGTGAAAAATTCCTGCTGACGCAGAGCAAAATTGAAACTGAAATAAGGCGAGAAATTGCTGTTATTATTTTTGAAATGTTTATCCGCGGATTGTCTGTTTTTAACCCGCAGTTCAAACACTCTAACCTTCTGTGCTACAACTTTTCAAGCTTTGCACGAACAGCTGAGCTTCTTATGTGTGTCTGCTCTGAAAAACTAAGGGGTTAGTTGACCCAGTTGTTGCTCCAAATGCTGGCTATAATATTGTCATATTTATCGCTTTACTTTTGCAATAACAGACAGAGCATTCACCTTACAGTGGCCTCGTCTCATCACTTCTAGCCTCCAGATTATGATGTTAAATGACAGATATTTGAACCTCTTTTGTGCCATCACCTCTTTCATTTTCTGTCGGCTGGTTTTTGTTCGGTCTTCTCCAGAGTTACATTTTATCAACAACACAACTCTGTTTCCAAAAAGGTCCCCATGAGATACCGATGTCAGGTGAGACTCACTTCAGGAGGTTGCAGCAGAAGAAGGAAAGTGAAGGAGGAAGTAACAATAAGTAATGAGCTGCAAGTTCATCTGTTCATTTTCTACCGCTTACCTCGTTGAGTTAGGGTTAGGGTCAGGGTGGAGCCTATCTCAGCATCTCGGGGTGAAGGCAAGGGACATCCTGGACAAGTTGCCAGTTCATCACAGGGCTGACATAAAGAGACAAACAACCATCCACACTCACAGGCAATTCAAAAGTGACAAATTCACCTAACCCCACTTCTGCATGTTTTTGGGATGTTGGAGGAAACCAGAGTCCACACTGGAACACCCTGACCTGGATTCGAAACCCTGGACCTTCTGGCTGTGAGACAACAGTGCTAACCACTACCGCCCTCTGTGCCGCCCACTGGAAGATCATGTTGCTCATAATTACCTCCGCCAAGGAGGTTATGTTTTCGGTAGCGTTGGTTTGTTTGTTTGTCTGTTAGCAACTTTACAGAGAAAGTAACAGACGGATTGACCTGAAATTTTCACCAGAGGTGTGTCTCAGCCCCAGGAGGATCCCATTAAATTTTGGTGCTGATCCGGACAAAATTCTGGATACTGTGATCCAGAACACACAAAAATAAGGGTGTTGTTGGAATTTTCAATGCTGAAAGAAAACCAATGGGCGGCAGAGTGGTGTAGATAGGTGGTACAATGGTGTAGTGGTTAGCACTGTCGCCTCACAACCAGAAGGTCCGGGGTTCTAATCCCAATCAGGGCATTTCTTGTTTAAGGGGGGACATGAGCTGCTTGGTGGAGGCCTGCACTCTCCGAGTGCTTTTCTAGTTAGTATAAAGACTAAAGAAATAATTATATATAAAGTATAAAGAGATGCAGAGCGAGTGTACATTTCACTATCATAGATGTCAATTATAAGATATGTAAATATACCTGGCTGTGCTGCCAAAGTACTCTTCATATGAAGGACACACTGTTAACTGCAGGAAGAAAAAAAATGATATAGTGCAGTAAGAGAGTAGACCTTTATGATATGACAACAATATGCATGTGAAAATATAACCGTGTAAGAGAAATACTCCAAACCTCTGCAGGTTATAGATGTTCTGTCACATTTGCTCAAAATATATGCAAACTGACATTTAAAGCGAACCGCAGGATTGTATTTTGTTAGTGTTTTTAGTTATTGTATTAGCTAATTTTATTATTGCACAAAACACACGGTACTCATGACAATAAGCGGATTTGGAGTTTTGAATTACATTAATGGTGCTAATGTGCTGTGTATGCGTCTAAAGACCAGATCTGTGACGGTACATTGAGTGCTTCAGGGCAGTACTGATGATTCTCAGCCTCCGTCTGTTTAAGTCTGACTGATTACTTATGAATAAATGTAGTCTGCATAAGGGAACATCTGGTTCTGCTCAAACAAGCTCCACAGGCAGCAGACTGAGGTTTAATACGTTGAGTTCAGCTGCAAGGCTGCTGGATAAAAGCTTCAATTACTCCTCAGGGCTCCGACAGCTTTTTCTTTGAATGGACCTCACTAAACAGTTTTTTGATAATTTAAGCAAATAAATTACTTTTGAGCACTCGAGTCGCTCTGAAACTCTGAAAGGAAGCTGTAGAAGCAGCTCTGCTTAGAGAAATCATAAAAGATTACCACAATTTCGATGTTAATATTTTGTTTTCTCCAACGTTGCTCTTCAACATACATTCAATCAGACGAACAAAGATTTTCAACAACGTCAGATACTCGTGCTTTATTTTTGTCCTATTAAACTTAGTAACACAGTTTTAATATGAGGTGATTTTCTTTTTGCTGTACTGCTGCTACTTTGACTCTGACTAAACAATGATGTGAGCGCTGGCTGTTGGAGAAGACACATCTGTAGACCGCATCTGTGTTGTTTTATGAAATTAGCCTCTCAAATCACCTCTTACTGAATTCGGGTTTCATGAAAATGTTGGTTTTATCCATCAGGTCGGCTCTGGAGTCTCATGTTTCCTGCATGTTTCAAAGCAGCTCGTGTTCAACATGAAGAATCAGTGTAAGAAATTAAGGCTGCACGATTTTGGACAAAAATAAAATCCAGGTTTTTTCTCTGAAAACTTGATTTTTGATTTTGATTTTTTATTCAGTGAAAACTTCACTGAACTTCATTTTAATCATAGGTTTTCCTTTCTTCTATCAAAACGAAAAACCACTGAAATCGATGTAGTTCATATGCCAAGCCAGTAAGTGGCGCTGTAACGCTGCTGAGAAAATGCACAAAGACGGAAGAAGAGAACAGAGAATGTGTATAAAGGTTGTTTTGGCTGGACACACACAGGCGCCATAAAAGAGTTACGCTGTGTGTCACATAATCGCTTCAAGTGATGCAGATAGACATCCACAGAGAGACGAGTGGTAGTCATTTACAGGTTCATGCACTGTCGTTTCTGTTTTTAAAAAGTACCGTTTACAGTCACCTGAAACGCCATTTCTGTGTGGATGAAATGTCAAAAAACTTTTGCGTTTACTCCTGAATTTGTTTCTGTGTGGACGGGTTGATACCGCCCTCAGACTTTTCAGCAGGGAGTGGTTTGCACTTCATCTGAAACTGTGAAGCCGTACCAACTCCACACGTCTGACTTGCTCTTGTCCTATTTAGCCACGAAATTTGTTTACACTGGTGTGTGTGGGAACTGCGCTCCCGCAGGAATGGGGAGCCTACAGTGGCCTGGAGGCACGAGACATGATAGAGAGGAAAATCAATTTGACGATTTAAATTTTTTCAACATCGTCAAAATCAAATAATACGATTAGAATTTAAAACCGATCAATCGTGCAGCCCTATAAGAAATTCTTTTGAAGTGAAAAGGAAGGACGAGGAGTTGTTGTGTCTGTAACTCCTCCTGTCACACTGCGCAGACATAAAAGGACTCACATTTAATGAGTCCAGGCTGAGGGCTCAGTCTTGTGGTCATTACAGCGAAATCAAACACTTCTCTCTGTTTGTGTCTGAGAGGAGACTCAATCTGACTTCAGCTCGGGGTGGAAGTCAGACAGAGGCAGCTGAGTCCGGGATTTGGTGAATAACTCTGACATCCATCCTCCAGGATCTGTGTTGACAGTGGCGGTAAATGTTTACAGTGAGCTCGCAGCTTCTCTTGTGCTGTTATCTTCTGTAGCATTAGGCATTAATGTCAGCGGCGCTTATTTGAGGCCCGTGGAGCGTGGGAAGAAAAAGAGAGGAAGCTGAAAAGCATTACTGTTATAACTTTCTACAGAGCTGGAGGAAGTCAGACTGAAAATAGATCTGAAACCCTTTTGGACAAAAAAGATTTTTCAACTCAATTTACAACCTCTATTCAAAAAAAGACGCTGTGTAGATTCAGATCGACGCTGATGTCTTGTCTATCATTTATACCCTGCATTTAACCTGATATATCCCAAATGTGGATGGATTTTTGACTTAAAGTGAAACATGTTATTGTTTTATATGGAATATAAGACCATATTTGGTGCAAGAAACAAAAAAGAAAAACTGGGACAGGGACAGCAAAACACTGGAAAAGTTGTGTAATGCCAAAAAATACCAAAAGAGGCATTTCACAACGAACAAGTTGAGCAGCATGACTCGGTTTAAAAAGGTCATTTTAGAGCAAAGTACGATGGTGCAGAAGTTGACCACTTTGTGAGTGAAGTTTAACAATTTCAGAATGATGTCGCTTAAACTAACTATTCATTCATTCAATCAATAGAGACGTTTTAGACAAACTCTGATCAGGCCTCAGTGTAAACAGAGACCCTGCGCCTCTCAAAGTACTCAATGACATTAGAATAATTTTAGATGACGGCAGGACCGAGTCTTTTTAAATCTCAGCTCTGCGTTCAAAATTTTAATCAACTGACCAAAGAAATGGACCGATCTCACATGGACTTAAACTTGGAGTTCCACAAGGCAGCGCTCTCGGGCCTCTTTTTTTTCTCTTATTCTACACACATTATCGTGAATCATCACGTCTATTAACATTTCTGTGCAGACCATAATCCTGGAGAGTCTTTGCTGCTGTTCTCCCTGCTTTGGCATTTCAAGGACAGGGAGCTCTAGGGTCAGATTTTTAGAAATTGACCGATAATGGACAGATTTGATGTCTTAGATATGTGTTGGATTAGTATCCTTATTTGGGTCAGGACATTTTAGTTTTCTTTGTCAAGTTCATCAGATCAAACTGAACCTAAGTTTTATCCTTGCAATCTGTAAGAAAAAACTAGAAACTTAACACCTGGAAGTTCAATGACAGCCGATAAAATCAAGAGTTCTTGTCCTCCTGTCACCCCCAGTAACTCATTAAACTGTTGAATTTGTAGTAAAAGCAGGATGAGATGGTTTTTACTCTTAAACTATTTTTTTTTAGCAGTTTTAGCCTTTTATTGACAGGATAGGGTGAAATGTGGGAAGACAGAGACAGAAGGATTCGAACCAGCGACCACTGCAGGGGCACGCTAACCTGCTCAGCCATCTACGTGAGGGTTTTTATTCTTAGTGAGAAAGTTGCTTTCTTCCATCAAAGTGGCTTTTGTTTTTGAAATCATGTTTTAATAAAAAAAAATAAGATTTTGAGACTCCAGAATCAACATGCAATTAAACTCCTCATTAAATGAAGAATTTGCTGGATTTACTAAACCAAACTGTGTAAACACGGAGCCGCAGATCTGTGTTCCCACTCACAGCTTGCTTCCAGTCCTTTTTTAAAGACAGCCATTGAAGCCGTGAGCTTGACATTTCACACCGCATTATTCATCCGCATGTTCATCAACAAGGAGACGAGGAATTCTCCTTAAGTGAGATTAGCTGCATGCTCCGTCCTCCACAAAGACTCCTGGGTGACAAAATGTTGTGCTTCGAACTTTGGAAGTTTTCTCATTTGCAAACAGAGAGTGTGTGTTTTCCTCTGTGTGTATGTGTGTGTGTGTGTGTGTGTGTTTATGTGTGTGCTGGACCACCCGGCTGTTGTGATATTAAAGCCCAGTGGCTGTGTTTGCATATCACAACAAATCACCATGTTCCAGACAACCTGGGCCCTGTCTTAATTAAATGAAAATGAGAAGTCTGTGCCTGAGCTGCGATAGCATCACTTTGGCTCCACACTGCTGTTTGTCGCACGGACAGGCTCTAATAAAGAGGGGAGACGCACAGAAGAGCTTTGTCGCTACTCATCAGAGTGTGACTGAGCCGGTGTGGACGATTAGCTCAGGAAACAGAAAGGAAGTGACCATTAGTCCGCGCAGTTTTCAGCAAACGCCATGTGGCGGTAATGACGGCTGGTAAAATAAAGGAGGGAGGAGGGAAAACAGGTGTTGCTGTTTCGTTAATCGCTGAAAGAGAGAGAAACTCTAGCGTGGGACACTGTATTATGACTCTATGCAGCAGTCTTAACAAGTCAACCCATACCTCCTTCTTTCCAAGTGGGATCCTAAGGCCCTTCCCAGACCAGATCGGTTATGTAATCCCTCTGGGTCTACCTCGAGGTCTCCTTCGAGGCATCGTTCTCACATGCCTGAACCACCTCAACTGAGTCCAAAGAGGCAGCAGATCCATTAGGAGCTCCCTCTGGATGTCAGAGCCTCTAACCCCGTCTCTATAAGGCTGAGCCCTGCCACCCTTCAGGGGAAACCCGTTCAGTCGCTTGTATCCGCGATCTTATTCCTTCCATCATGACCCAAAGCTCATGGCTGTAGGTGAGGGTTTGAGCGTCGATCGACCAGTAAATCAAAAGCTTTGCCTTCCAGCTCAGCTCCATCTTCACTCTGATGGCTCGGTGCAACACCCACAGAAGTGCTGACGCCGCACCAATCCGCCTGTCAATCCCACAATCCATTTTACCCCCACTCAGGAACAAGACCCTAAGACAGGGTGCTGATTCCCACCCTAGCCGCTCAGTTCCCCGACAGAAACACGCCATCTGCAAGCTCCAGCAGTAAAAATGAAGTACAATAATCACCTGTCAGAAAATGCAAAATCCTTATGAAAGCAGAATTTATAGTAGAGCTGTTATACTGGATTGCATTCATCCAGTCGTCTATATCTCAGAGCATATTGCCGTGGCGCTCTCATTTGCTGTCTCCCATTCTTTGCAGGTACAATCGTGAAAAAGAGCCCTCCGGTTTGAGGATTTGCTTGTGTGCCTCCTATAGAAATACCATGAACAGCGTCTGATTGGTTAGGAGCAGCTGAATGAGTCGTGATCACGCAAACAACAGCCCGACTCCAACACAAGTGGTCAAAAAGCGGGTCAGACTCAGACTCAATTCCCTCAGCGTGTGCGCAGCCTGAAGCTGTGTCTGCGATCCCTCCCTCTTCATTAACTGCTACACAACGTTATTGAGCGTGCACAAAAATGACCACATGTGCCTCTCTCTGCGAACGTTTTTAGAATTTGATCTCCTCATAATTCAGAAAACTTTGTCGAACAGCAAACAGAAAAGTTACTCACTTTAAATCTGTATGCAAACAAGCACGGCATTATTATTGTTCTAATGCTCCTACTTTGGCAAACCGATGACAGACAGCCTGCTCGTAGCCTCGTTAAAAATTCTAATTAATTTCTGCTTTGCGTAAACAAACTTACCAAACTACATTTTTCACTCTGCAATATTTAACACTCCCTCGTCTCCTGGGGGGGGGGCGCCACAACCAGCCTGTGTCAGCAGAATTTTCAGTTACTGTGATAACCTCGGGGTTACCTGTGGGTTTCCAGCTCTGCAAAGGTGGTCCCTGTCTTACCCAGGTGGATTACCATGCTAACTAATGCTGAATGTATTACCTGTTTGAGATAAGAGACCCCTCACTGAAAAAACAATCTCAGACTAATAATGAGCGGATACATAAGCTTTTACAGATGTGAATGAGACCTTTGGTGCACTAATGATGGAAAAGAGATGTTACGCCTTAACTCGCTCTCTGCTGTTTGTCCTCTGTCTGCCAGTTTTGTAAACGCAGCTGTGTTGATATTGGTCTGGATTATGTGTTTACTTCATGTTTTTTAATACGGTGTTCTCTGATTCGGTGAAATATGACAGGCCGCTGTGGCAGACTTGTTCACACACACATGAAAACTAAATCTGATTTCCTCCGTCGGAGTATCCAAATCAGATAACCTGAAGATACTTCGGGTATGCTGAACTTTTCTGTCAGGGTTATTGACATTTACGCTGATCCAACAGGGGTGTGTCATCCCTAGCTCTGACATACTGTAGACAGGGGTGGCCAGGTGAGCCTGCATGCACACAAATTAATACCCTTTATCCTCTTTTTTTGACACTTTCTACCTCTACAGCTGCTGTTTTCCTGTCTATATTCTCTGATGTAAAAAAGAAACACACCAAAGTGGTGACATATAAAAGTCCTTTTTGAGAGATGTTTGTACACAGAAAGCCACAGCTAGTATTTACGTACATCCCGGATATTTGATGTTGATATAAGTCTGGCTTCAGACGAGGCAAATAGCCAATCAGGGCTTAGAAATTTAGGGCGGCAAACCAGGGTGGCTGACGTTAGATAACAGGAGAAAAAGTAGGGAGCACATGGTGGACCTGTCAAGATTCAATAATTTGAGTGCTAATGTTTGCCTTTAAATTGTTCACCTGCTGAATGTTCAGTGTTTGTTGGCTTAATATGCAAATGCTCATGTTTGGTTAACAGGAGGATGCAGTGTTCACGTACCAGAGGTTGACAGACGTGGAACCAGACTACATTTGATCTTTTGATGGTCCTTTGTTAAAGGAAGGACATATAGTGGTGGTTTTAGCCCAGGTCCAAAATTGCCACCAAGGCCTCATCCTTGTTTAGATTAGGTTGGTTCGTCTCCACCTTTTCTGTTTAAGAAATGAAAGTCTGGGATGGCTGATGATGAGGAAGTACTTTTACACCAGTGTTATAAAAACGTTAAGCTGAGGTTAAAGAGATGAAATTCGTGGCTATCATCCTTTCAGTTTTTATGTGCCAAAGCGATCAAGGCTGTAAGAGATGGACCAGCTCCCGATGTCTCTGAAAAAAACAAGTGATATGGACACAAAGCTCTGCAGACCCACAAAAGAAAAGTTTTTCCTCCACTTAAGGGGTCTTGCCTGTAACTTTCCTTGAACTCCTCTCTACTCTGTGAGATTTTCCTCACTCCCCCACACCTTTCTAGGAAGAAACCTCTGCATGCAGCTTCGCCCAGCAGCAGAAATGTTCAAAGTACAAATGCTAAACAGGCTTTTTACTCAAAGATGTTTGCCTGACATATATCCCCCCTACACGGTTAACTCTGAAAGGAAATAAGGGAAACAAAGTCAGAACACCGTTTGGAGCCAAAAGGTAAACCCTCCACTCCAAAAGTGTCACCCTCTTCAACAGGAGGGAAGCGGGCTGTCGAGGCTCCCGCCTGGTTGTTCCTGTCAAGACTTTTCTTATCGGGCCTGTTCTTTGTTTCTGTGCCTCGCCAAGTCGAAACCTCCGCTGGTGTTGATTCTGCTGTTTATGTGTGGGAACAGAGAGCAGGCAGGAACAAGTTTGTTGAAAGCAGCAGGGTGACGAGGCGGTCCAGAGATCAGGAATACATCCTGTCAAAGTGCACTTAAGCAAGACATTGAATCTCTGCCTCCATACTGGCTTATGCAATTTAAGTTAAAGCAACAGATAGCATGTGCTGGGAAGGAAACCAAGAAAATGAAGACCCTTTGATGCCTCCAAGGCTTTTTTTTACTGTATTTAAAGTCCAACTGCAAAAAAAAAAAAAAAAGATCTATTATGCACCACATGGATATAAGGGAGGACTAAATTTGAAGCAGTTTAAAAATAAATTTAGATTCTGGCAGAATTAATATTTTAAAAGGGTAAAAACCACAGACTGTATATACTATAGACAACCTGGCTCCACCCTCCATCATTAAACAAATTTGAAGCCAAATTTGCTCTCGGTATTTTCAAGATTTTCTCCACTTCCTGGAACCATTGGGCAGTAGCGTTGTACGCATTCAACGAGAGAGTCGCTGTTATATCAAGTGTCAATCATAGAAAACATGAACCCCCTAATAACTTTTAGAAATGGAGCTGCACAGAAAAAAGAGGACTTCAGCACAAACCAGTCTTACAGTAACTACATGTCAACATCACAACCAGAGGGGAGAAAAAATTATATTCTGTGTAATAAATTTGAAAAGTTTGTCCACAGCTCCATAGGGATTGCTGGAGGAGACGTGATTTATGATCTATACTGCAGCCCGTCACCAGAGGGTGCTGTTCTCGTAGAGGTTTAACCCAGTGAGGGGACATACAACGTCCATTCTGTATACACTCTATGGTAAAAACATACAGAGGACAGTTTAAGTTGATCAGGTAAACAGTGCTGAAAAGGTTCGCTGACTGTAGCTAACATTAGCAGAGCTAGCACCACTAAGTGTCAGTCCTCTTTGCAGGTTTACATCCACATGCCTGTGCTGGTTCACATTAGTCCAACTAAGAGAATAAATGCCATTTAATATGTGAAATATCTGAGGAGCTATGAGATCTGTCATCAGTGCTTGTTTACATCCAGATAGTAGAGCGTCATAGTGTTACAAAAGCACAGGCAGGTGGCTGTGGTACAACCAAGATACAATATGACCAGCATTTCAGGCCCGTCGTGCTAAAACTGTTGACATCCGACATAAAGACTCAAAACTTCCTCCTAACTATGAACAAAATATTCACACAGTATAACTATATGCTTATTAATCAATATGAGTATAATGTGACGTGTCTACCAATGAGGAGTCCAACAACTTTATCTGTTTAGCTGTCACTTCTGTGGTGGTTAAAGCTCGTCTCTCTCTGACTCTCGTTACTGGATCTGTACGTCGTAAAAAAAAAAATAAAAAAAAAAAACAGCTGTTCTTTGTCATTTATGCTAATTAGCACACATTAACAGTCCAGTAATCATAACCAGCATCATAGCTAATAAAAAGCAGCATTGTGAGCTTGTGAGCATGATGGCATTTGTCTTCAGAGCCCATCTGTGCCTTAACACAACCTCAGATTAAATTCACATTAAGATTAAAATAGGGAGACTCCTGACTATGAAGTCGATCAATTAACTGTAGTCAGAGACAGGAGGTGTAACTGAAGTTTGAAGTCTGCAGCTCTGACACTTTAATTTGATTTAATCATAAACTGTCAAAATCCAGTTTGTTTTCCTGTACATTCGCTGTAATTTCCTTTAGTAATACTCTCCTCATTATAATCCTCTGCTGCAGAATCGCTTTCATATCAGATTTTTCCATTTACCGTCATTTCCTCTTCTATCTGACGAGCCACAGCCGTCTGAAATTGATGGCTCCTCTACGTGAAGAGGAGTTACCGTTCAGGATTCAATCAGTTTTTACTCGTGTTCTGCTCTTTGCTGCGGCGCGTATCGAGCAACATTCAACCAGATTTTATTCAAAGATAAAACACAGTGTGAAGGTCAGTCTAACACTAATGGATCAAATAAATGTGGTGCTGATTTACAGATGGAGGAGCTACTTTTGAAAACACCTGTAATTAAAGGTAAATGAAAAGGCTCATGTGGTGTAAATAAAGTCCTTTCCTCTTCACTCTTAATTATTTTCAACAGTCAAACACTGAAAATGATTCTGCAGGAACAGTGACAATAAAAAGGTTGTAAAGGTTACAAACATTCATGTGGAGAGCGCAGCAGCATACCTCCACCTGATTATTTATGCATGGACACACGCACTGGTCACCAGTCACAGTCCCAGTTGGGATGAGGTTCAGCTGTGCAGCAGAGGAGCATGACCAGACGCACAGCTGCTCCTGATTCAGCCGAAGGATCCAGATTTATCCCTGCTGAATATTTTACACCAGCTCAATCTTTGGTATTCTCACGATGTGTGTGAGGGAGCACGAAGAGTTCCTGATTTTTTTCTTTTTTTTTTAAACTCAGACTAATCTATGAATTTGGTCTGTGGAATACTGATTGTTCCGAAACTGCTCCGGACCACCGCGGTTAAAGCGCCTGCATGACTGTGCTCGGCGTGATTACAGCCGCGGCTAAAAGCCAAGATCGGCATCAGGGGTTTCTCATGGAAACTACAAATTTAAAAAACAGAGAGGAGAGAGACATGAGAACATCTCTTTGGTGCTAATATCAGCATGATAACAATTCTAACCCTCATGCTCCTTATCATTTTTGTTTAGCTTGTTAGCATGCTCACACCTCTGTAAATGAACAAAAAAACATGCAGGTTGATGTTTTATTTGTTTTGCAGGCAGTATGTGTTGTAGTTTTCAATCAGATGCTGGAAAAATAAGGACTGATACTCAAGGTCAAAAACCAAATCCTTGGGACTGACTCACTGAAAAGAATCTGGAGTGTACTTCACCTGAGGTCTGTTGTTTCACTCCACACTATTCATGACATAAACTTTGTTTTCAGCATTTGGAAACTTAGAGTGGAGAGGAAAAACTTCCTTTAACAGGTAGAAACCTTGAGCAGAACCAGACTGATGTTAGACAGTCATGTGCTGTGACTGAGCTGGGGTTAGAGATATGTTAAAAATGCACAGACAGGTAGAGAAAGAGAAGAAGTGTCTAGTTGTGTCTCAGACTAACTCCTAAAAAACAAGTGTCAATGCCAGTGTGTTTGGACAGACCGGATTTCGCTTTAGCATCTCAGTTACTTTTCTGGGAGCAGGAACTTAATTATTTACTCAAATGGGATTACCTTTCACCAAAACAGCAAATTAAAGGAAAAGTCTGCATCATGAAACAAGTCGAAGTCTGAGTCTTTATCCTCCCAGTCCAAACATGACCAATACTTGAGTCTAAGTTCTGGACGGCAAAGCTGCATGAAGTAAAAATCAGAGTATTCGTCCTCTGAGGAGCATGAAAAGAGTCTACTAAGGACCCACGACTGCTGCAGGGTCCATGGTCCCCGTGTGTGGTGCGCTGCTAACCTGCTCAGCCATCTGAACACCTCTTTTATCATCAAGAGTTGAGGATAATCTGTAAAATGTCACACTGCAAAAAAGTTTGTCTTATTTCAAGGTTTGAAAAGCCAAAAATAAAAGAACTGAATCACTCGTTAAAAGTAAAATAACCTGCAAGTGAAATAAGAAAAAAGTGACTTATTTTTGTCACACTTCAGATGAGACATTTCCCGAACTTTCCTGAAGAAAATGCAGTTTTCTTGTAGCCCATTTTAAAACCTTTTTTAATGAATACTCCATATTTGAAGACTTTTTGCATCTTTAATTGGAGCCTTGAAGGAAGAAGCTCCTGATAAATATCCGAGTGAGTCTTATGTGACTGTTTGAGTATTTTAATGCTGGACTTATTCTGGTGAACTAAAGTTATGTAAGCTCGTGAAAAGACTCCCTCAAAGTTCAGAATCAAAGCTTCAATCATGTTTATTTATTTGAAGTCAAAGATATTTTTCATTAAAACTGAAGTTCGGACGTGCTGAAACTTTCATGACTTTGGAGCGTATAATGAGGACTTTAAAAAAAAAAGTTTTCAGACTGGTCTGTTTGTTCATCTAAGAGAAATCCAGAAATAGAGAGAGAGAGAGGGAGGCGGCCCTGATGGACAGTTAGAGTTAGAGAGATTTTTAAATGCCATGAAATAATCATTTCATATTTCTTTCATTACAGCACATCTGTGATTAGAGCTCATTACTCCCAGTAAAAAACTGCAGTTTGAGAGCAGCACATCACCCTGCAGACGAGGCTTTGTTATTTCAACTCTCTGCACCACCCTCAGACCAAGACCGCGCTCTGATTAAGCGTTCGCGTAGTTGACAGGGTTCATTTGTATCAGTCGATATATGTGGGATGGATCTGTATTTTAATGAAGCTGGGCGGGAACCAGAACGATTTCGCAGTCAGGGAAATCGACCCCTGGATTTAGATCAATCTTTATTCTGCCATAAAACACAGATGTGAGATTTTCTGATTATCTTTCCCAGTTAATCACATTCAGAAAATCAAATATGGTACAGTTTTCATGCTGGTGTTCTCCCACGCATGAAATCCACTCAACTCTCCTCTCTCTCTCTCTCCCTCCCCTCTTCTTCCTCTTCTTGCAGGAGGATATCAAAGTCGTGGCTGAGCACCGGCTGGTTCACTATGACCATCGCCCTGGAGCTGTGTGATAGGGTCAATGTCTACGGTATGGTCGCCCCTGACTATTGCAGGTGAGACACTGCGGCTGAATGTAAAGTTAAATCATGTGCTCGCTCATGCTCCTCTTTAAGAGCTTTTAAAGCAGCAGCTTCAAATATCTAGAAATTCATAGCAGCCCTGCCGCCTGATAAGAAAGATTAAAACTGTAATAAATTCAAGCAGCTGATAAATAAAATGTCACTGCAGCTGGAGGTGTTCTTTGAATCCTTAAACTGCCTGAATATTAGTGGAAAATAAGGAAGTAAACCGGCAAGAATGAAGTCAATTGAATCTTTACATACTAGATCTCCCTTTGCTGCTTATTCTGGTCACCACATCCTGATGTTTTTATGTTAAATTAGAATATTCTCATTGAAATCTTCTGACAAGGGAGGCACAGCAAAGACAGCAGCATGAAAATTTACATAAAAGGACAAAAAAGAGAGAGAAAAATGAGCAGAAATGAGATCAGATGAATCAGCAGGATTGTTGTGTGAAGCTTCATTCAGGCTGGACAGTGTTAACAAGGCAGAAGTTGAAACGTACGACCTTGCTGTGCGCGCTGTATCAAAGTGATGGAGGAAAACAAACTTCTGTGTGAGGTTTGTACCAGTGAGCAGATTTTCTCTCAAGTCTTCTATTGTTTGAGCTCGCCTGTAGTCACATGGTGTAAAAAAAAAAAAGGGAAAAATATACTCGAGCTTTCTCAGGTTAAACCAACAACTTGCAAAAGTCAGTGAACTCCGGCTCGTTCCCTATTTGTGGAGACAGACTAGGTTAACCCCTCTGGTGTCCTCATGCCTGAAAAATCACCACGCAGGTGCCCTCCTGGATCCTCCTAAAGTAAACAAAACATTTTTAATGACCTTCTGCTGACCTTCTGTGGGGAAAGCATTAAACTGTTTTAGTAAATGCTCTTTCAAAGGTTTCAAAGTCCTTTTTGGTGCCCTTCACTTAGATAGAAAACAAAAAATGGCCCCTGGATGCCTTTCCTGGTGGATGAATGTAGAAATCCTACATATATACTGTATATATATCATAGAAATAATGCTTTTTGATGCCCTGCAGGTATATAAAACATAAAAAATACTCTCTGGGTGCCCATCCTGCTGCATGCATATATGTATATTTTAAAATTTCTATCTGGATTCCCTTCCCCAGTGGTTAAATGTAAAAATGAGCTCTCCAGGTGCCCATTCATAGTATGATATCTTTAGAAAAATGCCCTCTTCATACCCTCCCCCTCGGTAAATGGGGAGAAAAATTCCCCCTGAATGCACTTGATGTATTTCATATACAAATAGTTTTAATTAACTTATTATTTATTATTATCAGTAGACCTTGTTGTATATTTAAAAATAGAAAACACTGCATTTACTTCAAGTGGATTAGACTTCAATAACACTCTGGATGCCCTCTCAGTGAATGATATTGAAAATAAAAGTGCCCTAGGAATAGGACGCCCTTTCAGAAGGTATATTCTGCAGAAAAAGCGACGTTGGATGCCCTCTTCTGTGATTAAATATAAAAAGTGCCTCTGGATGCCCTCCTTTTTATGTTAATATACAAAAGGTCTGCCTTCCCTTTTCCCTACGATTTTTGTAACATGCAGTACATGGTCAGGGCTGGACTCAAACCCATGACCACTGCAGGGACCATGGTAGACCCCATAGGTAACGCGCTAAACCACTAGGCCATCTGCACATTTGTGAATTCCTTTTTAAATGTAGAAAAGTGTCCTTGTTCTTACCTTGTTCTTAAAATGTAGAGAAGTACCCTCTTGATGCTCTGTCCTTTTGTTAAATATAAAAAACAGTGACCTCTGGACTTTGAAATGCCCCTCTGGTATAATAAGTCTATAGATAAAATTGATGAAACATGAAAACGTTTCCTCTGGTTGTTATTCTGGTGTATAATACATGAAAAAATGTCTGTTTGAATATGAAAGACAAAAAAATATAATTAAACTAAAGGTTTAGAGATTCCCTCTGGATGCTCTTCCAACAGATAAAACATGATAAGTTAACCTTAATTGTACAGAATATGTTTGTGAGTAAGGTGCACCTCTTCAGAATCTTTTTTTTTTTCAATGTAAGTGTTTAATAAATTTAAATTTCTTTTGATTTACAGTTTTAGTTATTAAAAAAAAAAAACAGATCAAAACTTACCAGAATATGAGCATCATGTGAAAATAAAAAGTACATTTTAAATAATTTGTAAGTAAAGTTGTGTTTTTCTTACACATCATTTTCTTCACTGAATGTTGCATAAATAATCACCCAAATGAAGGGGGTAAGTTTAGATCTTTAAAACTCCAGGTCTACTTCTGATTTCAGTTACAGGTGGAGGAATGATAATATCAGTTTAAGCAGTTGGGGTCGAGCACTTTTACTGATAGTTGTAGAGGTTGGAGTCAGGGAGGTCAACAGCAGCTACAATCCAGAAGAAACTACAAGACGCTACGATTCTGCTGAAACTCTTTAAAGCTTCATTTACACCACTTGGACATGAACCCCAATCGGCTAAATATGAGTGTCCTAGTGTTGCTGGCAAAAGCACACATTTGTTTGTGGTTAGTTAAGCCAGGTCCTTGTCAGTAGGAGTAAAATTGAGAGCAGAATCTTTGAGTATCATGGAGAGAAATATAAAACACTCACTGTTTATGTGCGCCCTCTGATTAAGAAACCTCTTCTTTGATTTGAAGCAGCAGCCTCAGGGCTTGTGTCTGTTGTTCTCTCCTTCTTCACAACCTCTTCATCTCAGTGCCTCCGAGCAGCATCCTGCCAGCAGTTTTCAGCAGAGTGTGGGTAGCACACACCTAAACTGCTCGGTGGGCCAGTATACCACCAGTGGTGAGCTGGACTTGAGCCATTTTTTACCAGTATACCTCTCTATTTCCAGATGACTGTAGGAACAGAACATTGTGTTTCATTGCAGGAGCTGTTAGGAGTTGGCCTCGGGTCATATCACAACCTTATACAGACAGAAATATCGTGAAATTCAAAGTAAAAGGAAAGTGAGAAAGGCTTCAGATGTACTTAAAGGTGGTATTTCACTTCTACTGACAGATAGTTTCTCTTAAAGGAGACCTGTAATTTTCATTCTTACCTATCATTATGTCGGTTTTATCGAGCTGCTTTGCAGGATTTGCATCTAAAAAAAAAGAATAAAAACTCTGTGTGTTTTATACTTACATCTGTGAAAAAACTTCTGTTACTCTTTTTCTGAAACCTTCACTTTGGCTGCTTTCGTAGTGATATGAAGCTAGACACAACCACAGTGTGTGGTTATGTGTGTTACTTTTTACACAACAACTCTTAAAATCAAGTGTGTTTGTCCAATTTCCAAAAAAAAAGACTTAAGTATCATTAGCTCCCAGCAGGACACCAAAAGGCCTGAGCAGTATGATAAAGATATCATAGTATAGTGCAATAAAAAAATCATAGTATAGCATGGTAGAAATAAAGTGATAAAAATGTCATAGTACTGTGTGGAAAAAAAACCCAACATACTTTGGTAAAATATAATATATAATCTAATAAAATGTTAGAGTAAAGTACAATAATAACTCATAGTATCATAAAAATGTCATAGTATGTTGATAAAAAAGGAAATAGTATAGTATGATAAATATGTATGATAAAAAATATCATAGTATAGTATGATAAAAATGTCATAGCATAGTATGATAAAAATGTCATAGCATAGTATGTAAAAAAATGTCATAGTATAGTATGATAAAAATGTCATCGCATAGTATGTAAAAAAATGTCATAGTATCGTATGATAAAAAATGTCATAGTATAGTATGATAAAAATGTAATAGTATAATATGATAAAAAAATGTCATAGTATAGTATGTTAAAAAATTTCATAGTTTAGTATGTAAAAAAATGTCATAGTATAGTATGATAAAAAATGTCATAGTATAGTATGTAAAAAAATGTCACAGTATAGTATGATAAAAAATGTCATAGTATACTATGTTAAAAAATGTCATAGTATAGTATGTAAAAAATGTCATAGTATAGTATGTAGAAAAATGTCATAGTTTAGTATGTAAAAAAATGTCATAGTATAATATGATAAAAAATGTCAGTATAGTATGATAAAAAATGTCATAGTATAGTATGATAAAAATGTCATAGTATAGTATGTTAAAAAATGTCATTGTATAGTATGTAAAAAAATGTCATAGTATAGTATGATAAAAAATGTCATAGTATAGTATGTTACAAAATGTCATAGTTTAGTATGAAAAAAAATGTCATAGTATAGTATGTAAAAAAATGTCATAATATAGTATGTTAAAAAATTGTCATGGTATGGTATGATAAAAAATGTCATAGTATAGTATGTAAAAAATGTCACAGTATAGTATGTAAAAAATGTCAGTATAGTATGATAAAAAATGTCATAGTATAGTATGTAAAAAAATTTCAGTTTAGCATGTAAAAAAATGTCATAGTATAGTACGATAAAAAATGTCACAGTATAGTATGATAAAAAATGTCACAGTATAGTATGATAAAAAATGTCATAGTATACTATGTTAAAAAATGTCATAGTATAGTATGTAAAAAATGTCATAGTATAGTATGTAAAAACATGTCATAATATAGTATGTTACAAAATTGTCATGGTATAGTATGATAAAAAATGTCAGAGTATAGTATGTAAAAAATGTCATAGTATAGTATGTAAAAATGTCATAGTATAGTATGATAAAAAATGTCATAGTATGGTATGTAAAAAAATGTCATAGTATAGTATGTAAAAAAATGTCATAATATAGTATGTTAAAAAATTGTCATGGTATAGTATGATAAAAAATGTCATAGTATAGTATGATAAAAAATGTCATAGCATAGTATGTAAAAAAATGTCATAGTATAGTATTTAAAAAAATGTCATAGTATAGTATGTAAAAAAATGTCATAGTATAGTATGATAAAAAATGTCATAGTATAGTATGATAAAAATGTCATAGTATAGTATGATAAAAAATGTCATAGTATAGTATGATAAAAAATGTCATAGTATAGTATGATAAAAAATGTCATAGTATAGTATGTTAAAAAATGTAATAGTTTAGTATGTAAAAAAATGTCATTGTATAGTATGTAAAAAATGTCATAATATAGTATGTTAAAAAAATGCGATAGTATAGTATGATAAAAAATGTCATAGTATAGTATGTAAAAAATGTCATAGTATAGTATGTAAAAAAATGTCACAGTATAGTATGATAAAAAATGTCATAGTATAGTATGATAAAAAATGTCATAGTATAGTATGTAAAAAAATGTCATAGTATAGTATGTAAAAAAATGTCATAGTATAGTATGATAAAAAATGTCATAGTATAGTATGTAAAAAAATTTCATAGTTTAGTATGTAAAAATATGTCATACTATAGTATGATAAATAATGTCATAGTATAATATGATAAAAAATGTCATAGTATAGTATGATAAAAATGTCATAGTATAGTGTGATAAAAAATGTCATAGTAAAGTATGATAAAAAATGTCAGTATAGTATGAAAAAAATGTCATAGTATAGTATGATAAAAAATGTCATAGTATAGTATGTAAAAAAATGTCATAGTATAGTATGATAAAAAATGTCATAGTATTGTATGTAAAAAAATTTCAGTTTAGTATGTAAAAAAATGTCATAGTATAGTATTATAAAAAATGTCATAGTATAGTATGATAAAAAATGTCATAGTATAGTATGTAAAAAAATTTCATAGTTTAGTATGTAAAAGAATGTCATAGTATAGTATGATAAAAATTGTCATAGTATAATATGTAAAAAAATTTCATAGTTTAGTATGATTAAAATGTCATAGTATAGTATGTTAAAAAATTTCATAGTATTGTATGTAAAAAAATGTCATAGTATAGTATGATAAAAAATGTCATAGTATAGTATGTTAAAAAATGTCATAGTTTAGTATGAAAAAAAATGTCATAGTATAGTATGTAAAAAATGTCATAATATAGTATGTAAAAAAATTTCATAGTTTAGTATGTAAAAAAATGTCATCGTATAGTATGTAAAAAAAAAGTCATAGTTTAGTATGTAAAAAAATGTCATAGTATAGTATGATAAAAAATGTCATAGTAAAGTATGTAAAAAAATGTCATAGTTTAGTATGTAAAAAAATATAGTATAGTATGATAAAAAATGTCATAGTATAGTATGATAAAAAATGTCATAGTATAGTATGATAAAAAATGTCATAGTATAGTATGTAAAAAAATGTTATGGTTTAGTATGTAAAAAAATGTCATAGTATAGTATGATAAAAAATGTCATAGTATAGTATGATAAAAATGTCATAGTATAGTATGATAAAAAATGTCATAGTTTAGTATGATAAAAAATGTCACAGTATAGTATGATAAAAAATGTCATAGTGTAGTATGTAAAAAAATTTTTACAGTTAAGTATTTTAAAAATTTTATAGTATAGTTTGATAAAAATGTCATAGTATCATAGAAACTTTGGCTTTTTGTCCATCTTATAACAGTAAATTATGTCCTTATATCGACTTGCACAATCTTGAAATAACACTCACATCTGGACTTGTGGCGTTAAGTAAGTGCAGTGTTGTTGGTGTTATTGTGCTGATCTGAATGAGTTATTTTCATCATGAGCTACTATATCTCTCCAAGCCCACCGTAGTTAAGCTGCTGCAGGCTTCACTTGGCTTTGAAATCACACGTTTCCCCTTCAAAATACTCAGAAACAGCTCAGGTAACTAGTCAAAAGTAATATCCTGTCATACAGAATTCAAATATGATTAAATCAATTCACTACAGCTCAGTGGACGGAAACGATGTTGGAAACGATGTTCTCATGTTTTATTGAAACATGCTGCACAGTTTTCCACATGCACTTCTCCAGATTTTTTTATTGATTCATTGTTGGTATGGAGTTAGAACTGTTTTGCAATAAAAATATGGTTATTTTATTGTGATTATAAATGCAGTTAATTGTAGTTTAAAAATTCATATCATTTGACAGTTCTGATTTAGTGTAATTAGATTCAATAAAATAGAAATGAGACAAATGCACGAGATAAGACTTGAGCTTTTGCAGCTTTAGACAGAGGGGAGGATGTTTTAAGGCCATCTTGACCAGCAGAAGCTCTCAGAACAAAGACTTCTCCTCCATCTATAATCAGTCTGCGTGTTTACATCTGTCTGGGGGCCTGGCAGTGCAGAGGTTTCCCTTCACACTGAATTATTACAGAGACACTTTGTGAACCTTGACGTAGGTCCCATACAGCCAAAAGGCAAAGAATTATGGGATGCGGCGACAGCTCTGACTCTGTCTGGCTCCTCGCAGCAAACTGGCGCGGCCCTCATTAGCTGAGTTTAATGGTTTGAATCACAGCTCACGTCTCACCCGTCTCAGCCAGCTTTTTAATTGGAGGATTTTATTGGAGGAGAAACAAATCTTTTCAAGTTCCTCAGTGAGAAACACAAACTGTAAAATGTTCAGTAAAACTTAGTCCCTGGTTTTCATCGATTAAAGAATTATTTCTCATTGTGGGTTCAGGCACAAATAAAATCATGTTGGTAATAAAGAGGGGAAAGAGGTTCATTTGTCTGAACCGTCGGCTTTAGCAGCTGCTGAACAATCCTCTTAGTTCTGCTAATGAGAGAGGTCTGTTAGACTTTAATAGATGCAATTCAACTGAGAGTTAAAAGCATGTTCCTCCAACATCGCAGCCAACATATTTTATGGAGTTGAAGGGCAGATATTCATGTGGACAAATCTTTAATGAATGACCAATAGAAATTAATGATGCATCATGGACTGGATTCTGCGTAGACGTCAAGGTTTTCAAGGCCCTTCCTCTTTTCCTAGTTTTATTGAATTCCTTGATTGTCTCCCATGTTGTTAAGCTGCCTCTGGCCATTTCTTGGAGTGCTGTTGGTATTCTTAATGACTTGTTATGGAGCTGTAATTTTCATTTAGTGGTGCCGTGTCTCCAGCCTCAATTACTGCAGACGGCTGGAACACAATGTGAGGAGCGTCTGTTCCACAGCCTTAAATCAGATTTTAAGTCCTTACCTTTAATTTAATTCCAACACATGTAGGAAAACTCTGGGGTGGAAATCCTTGGCGTGTTTTCAAATTGCTGACCTTTCATAGCGCCAAACGGATTTTGAAACTAACACAGGTACACGGAGCATGACATTTGAACAAAGGAACATAATAAATCTAACCATATGGACCAGTTGGTGCTGTTTTAATTTTCCCAGTGCTCTTAAGATCTACAAGAACATGTGACTCAAATCAATAAAGCAAGCGGTTTCTCGTTCAGTCATAGACTAAAGATTACCGCTATAGAGGCTCTTTTTACCCTCATTATTCAACTATTATTGAAGCATTTGAAGGAAGCAATATTTCTATGAGGGCTGGATCAATCTGTTTGTGCTAGAAGACAACACTAAGAAATAAATTGAGTTAAAAGTTCATCCAATCAAAATCCTGAGGTGTGCAGACTCACAGAAAATAAACAAACGGCTAATGACAAGTGATGAGAATTTTAAATAGTCATGACAAAAGTCCTCCTGTCTCTATAAAGTGTGTAATCTTTTAGCAGAACAAAGTTACTAAAACAAAAAGATGTCATCATTTTTAGCAAAAGGAGAAAAAAATCATAAATGTGTGTGAAAAAGTTTCAAATTAATAGCAGCAGTAAATCTACAAGTAAAAGAGTTGTTGATCAAAGTTAGAGTGGTAGAATTTTTATTTTTTATGATTTTTTTTCACTTTATTTCATTCAGTTAATATTTAAAACATTCAACATGAACAAGGAAAAATCGCAAACATGTGAATAAAAGGAGCAGACAGAAAAATCTTATTAAGTCTGCCCGTCTTTCATGAGATATAAATCAACTTGACACACAGTAAACAAAAGATTTTAAACATGATCTTTTATTAAAAGTTTAAAGAGAAAAGATTGTGAATTTAAAAGATTCAGGTGTTCAATTTTATTTAAAAAGTTATAAATATTAGGAAACAAAGTCTCTAGTTTACGAGAAAAAAAGCTGCATATTAGTAAGATTACAGGAGTCGAATTTAATCTTACAAAAATAAATTTATAAGAAGAACGAATTTGTGAGAAGAAAAAGTCATAAATTTGACAGAAAACGTGATTTTTTTTAATCAGAATTAAGTTTATAAGTTGTATTAATTAGACTATAGTTCCAAATTTGTGAGAAAAGAAAATGTAAATTTATGACAATGAGCTTGAAAATTAATGAGACTAAAGTTAAATCTACAAGAATAAAAGTTTGAGTTTGAGGAGAATATAGTCGTTTTCATTGGCGATGATTAACGAATATGTAAAATAACAGAAAAGGGGAATTTCAGGAGCGGTCGGCCATCTGCACTCAAATGTAGTTAAATTCAACAGCTGAGGACAGACTGACTGTTAGCCTTCACTACTTCAGATCAAACTCAGTCTGTCCATGAATCTGAAATCTCAAGACGATGCAGAGTTTGATAAGCTAAAGGTGAGTTTACCGTTAACTGTAATACTTTAAACTCACAAGATGATCCATATGTTTCATTTTAGTGCTACAGCAGCTGGCAGCTCTTCTGATCCTCCCCTTCAAAATAAAATACAAGCAGACGAAAACTAACACTTTATACTTACAGACAGAGAATAACGACTTTCTTGTGATTCATTTTCTTTATTTTGCATAACAGAAAATAATTGAGAACCCCTCACCCTAAATCTAACCCTAACTCTAACCCTTTGACCCTGGATTTGGGTTTGTTTTCTGTTTCCTGGTTCTGATACCAGTTAGGATGGTAGTTTGTTGTTGTTTGTTGTGAAAATGTTAAAAGAAGTTCACCAAGGGGACTTTTTAAAATAAATAACAGAAAATCTGACTTAAAGGGATCTTATATAAAATGCACAGACACAGAGTTCAAATGTTAAAAGCAGGATCACATGGGTCACCTGTCTGGTTAAAGATGGATGTAAATAATGTAATGGTGAACTTGACTGAGCTTCTCCGCCTCTCTGAACCTCCCTCTGGTTTTCATTATTCATGCCTCCACACACACAAAAAAGAAAAACCGTTGTCTTTTCCAATCAGCGCTCAGCTGCAGGTGGCCTTTACCAAATAATCATCAGGAGGTAAATCCAGCTCCTTCAGCCCTGCAAAGACAAATCAGTTAGTTCAGATCAGTCCCCCGTCTTCAGCATGAAATGAAAAACTCTGCAGGGTGTCACATGGAGCTCAAGTGACTCATTAAAACCGCTTTTTTTTTCTTCTTGTCTAAATGTCAACTGTCTGTCCTCTTTCACCTTCACCGCAGGGAGCCTCACCACCACTCTGTCCCTTACCACTACTACGAGCCGCGCGGACAGGACGAGTGCGTCATGTACATCTCTCACGAACGAGGGAGGAAGGGCAGCCACCACCGCTTCATCACGGAGAAGCGGGTCTTTGCAGACTGGGCGAGGACTTTAAACATCCACTTTTACCAGCCGGACTGGACCCCTAAACCTCTCCCCGCTAACCTGACAGCGGAGACGACGGCTGCAGCTGCGCCCAAGAAGACGTGACGGGTGTTGTGGTGGAGGAAAATACTTTTAAAGATCTTTATAAACGGGACTAATCGAGGGGAACTTTTCACAAGCTGCTGGACCCTGCACAGAGCAGAGAGAACATGGAGTCGGGTTTAACCTTGATTGAAGACTTGGTGTTGTTGATCCTGCAGGACTTTTCTTGTAAACAGAGCTCCACGGCTGCAGCTCCAGCTCTGTTTATCTCCACTGAGGTGAAGAAGTTCAAAGTTGTACATCTATTTTTTGAAAAGCCTTGTAAAGTGAGGTTACAAGAGAAGACATCATTCACTCTCTCAATGCATGCACGCACTGCAGATCCTCCTCTTCTTTGTGCATACATATTGTGTGGGTGTGTAGGTAGTGTATGCATAATGGTAGACGTACGCACACACGCACAAAGGGAGGAATCACAGAGGGTACTAACCTGCGTCAGGGCTCTGCACAAAGCCTGTCGTGGTCGGAGCAATATGCGGAATTCACAGTTTACAGTTCAATAAAATCAAAAACCATCACAATGCCCCTAATCTAACTACGCAGAGCTGCAGACGGTGTCAGATGAATACTAATAAAACCGCAGCTTCACTCCAATGTGGCTGTAAGAGCGAGAATTATCCCTGTTCAGGCGTTTTATTCTCCCGCTGCTTTCAGAGATTGAGGAGGTCAAGTCGGATGAGACTCTATGGACCCCCGCAGGCCTCTAAAGCAGATATTCACTCCCCTGACTTCTTTCACTATTGAATGTGTGCATTGAAAACTCGCTAAAGAGTCAAACTCCGCCACGCAGACCTTCCTGCTTGAACGACAGGAGTGTAACCTTACAGGAGGTTAAATCTTAGCCCCGCGCTGGTGTATCATGAGGCTTTTTTTGGCTCCTGTCAGCAGTTAATAGCACGATTTATACAGCTACAAGTCGGATTTCCATGTAAATGCACAGCTAAGTCACAAAAGACAAGTGGGAGATTAAGATGGAGAGCGGGGATGCAGCGGCGGCATCCATCCTGCTACATGCTGCTGTGAGCCTGAATCACCTCACACAGGAATTACACCTTTTTTTTTTTTGACTGTAGTTAAACTGATGAGTGTGTGTGATCCGTCACTCTTCCCCTCTCCGGCTCTTTACGGTGTTTTATGTGCACTCTCCTCTCATTTTTATGTAGTGTGAGCTACTCCTCAGCTGCCCTCCCCGTCTCCCTCTCAGAGACCCCTATTTACTCCTTCATGAATAAGAATCAGGTTTGGAGGAAAGGGATGCCACATGTGGTTATCCTAATGATGCATCCTGGCGCTCAGTCTTTATTGATTTGCCCTTAGCTCTGTAATGTGAGAAATGAGAGGAAGGATGCCGGGGGTCAGATACATAGGTGCGCACACCTCGAGGATGTGATTCACATCATGTTCCCTCAGCAGAGACGAGGATACAAGCGCTTTTCATTCATCATAAACGACTTTGAGAGATGCTGCCGGGGAAGAGTCCTGCAGACTTTGAGAAATCTGTTCGATCCTGAGGGTTATGTCTCATTTTAAACAGGCGTGCACAATGATCTTCAGCCGGGAACTGATATGCTTTCTGAACATTTTTGGTTATAGCCTAACGGTGATGGTAAAAGTTTAATATTTTCAATTCTTGCAGAGAGAGAAACTTTGTCGGAGCGTTAATCCTCCTACAGAACACGGGAAATTTTAAAGTGCTTTTACAAATGTGTGAGTCCATCTCCACCCTCAAACATGAGCTAAAGATACGACCACGGGTGCTCAGGAGGAGGATCGTCGTTTTAATTATCTACACTAAGAACTGCCTGATCTGACTGACATTTACACTCCGTTTAACCATGAGAACATGTGACACCTAAAAAGATACCGCGCAAAACAAGAGACAAACAAGACCGTTCATAGAAATACAGCGAAGTCAACAGAGATACTTGTCTTCCAAACTTCAGTAAATACTTTGCGATCGTCAAATTTGATGTAGCAGCTGGTTAGCTTAGCTCAGCATGACCTGAAACATCTAAAAAAGAACACGTTTGTTCTGGACAGTTAAGAGTTAATCGTTCCTAGTCCAAATCAACAAGTATTTATCCGAACATCTCCACCATCATGGTTTTGTTGAGTCCAATTTGAACTGGGTCACCTGTTTTAAAGCCTCTTCAGAGTTTAACCACTGAGCTAAAGCAGGACACCAGGGACTAACAGCTTAAAGTGTTTCCAGTCTGTGTGCTAAGTCAGGTTAAGCAGCTGCTACTTCAGCTACACATTTCCTGTGCAGACGTGACTCCTGATCTCCTGAGTGCATTTACTGATTCCTAACATCAGTTTCTACAAACACCGGTGCTTACTTAGTGAGCCGTAAACTTCACTGCCTGGAAGAAACTCGGGTCATTTCTCGACTTTTAAAAACCAAATGTCGGAGGTTTGCTGAAAACGTTAGAAACTTGTGAACGAGTTTGCACAGGAAGTGTGAAAGCGGTCACCTATAACACTCAGCAGGATGGCATAATTACCAGATTATTGACCTTTTCTTTTATGCAATGAATCGCTCAGTTGTTGCTGATCTTCTCTTGATTAATTAATGACCAAAACCACCAGTGCTTCAAGAACTGATCTGTTTTCTTTTCTTCTGTTCTTGCACATGATGGAAATGTATAACTCAAATTATTAAAAGGCTTTTTAACAGTTTTCCTGTGTTCTGGTGTTTCTGTATTTAACAGTAATAAAATAGTAAACATGTAAAGTAAGTAAACAGAAAGAAATTACTATTTTTGTGTAGAAACCAGGAATGGAAGGATTCGATTGGAATGAAGGTCATTATCTATTCTGCTTACTGTAACATAAATTACGTACGTAAATTTTGTCATCTTTGCTGTTACAAGGAGGCCTGGCTTCTGATTGGACCTTTACAGGTCAGCTGATGGCAGATAAGAACAAGAATGACTTTATTTATCCCTGAAGGGAAATTCAATTGTATAAAGTCTCATTTGTCATGTCTCAAAAAGTACCAAAGAGGATAGGGGCCACGTGAAGAGAAAGAATAAATACTGGAAGGAGAATAAAGTCAAAATTTTGGGGATTAAAGTTAAAATTTTGACATAAAAAAAATAAAAAATTTGAGATTAAAGTCGAAATTTTAAGATTAAAGTCAACATGAATAAAATTGACGTTTCACCTTTTTCAAAATTTTGACTTTAATCTCGAAATGGAAATTAAAAAAATCTCCCTCCTGTAATGATTTTTTTTCTCTTCTTGTGGCCCTGGTCCTCTTCTGTACTAAAAGTCATCTTCTATTTATAGAAGAGTTGTGAGGTCTGATGGCTGTGGGAACAAAAGACCTTCTGAACCTTTCTGCCCACAGCTTGGAGAGAATAGCCGCCCACCAGCCTCTAATTGGTCAATCAACTGTAACAAAGATGACAGCCGTCTATTAGCGCAGTTAGCTAACAACAGAAATCACAAATCACTTAAACTGATCCATAAACCATCACAGATTAGCTTTGATGGATTTGGTGCAGATAGTTCATTAGCTGTCAGTCTCACGGTGCAAGTAGATTTTACGGTAAGACTGCATTTTGCATTACATCACATCCTTGTTTTTCGGGGCATTAATGCTGCGTTCCACTTGTACTCAGAAGTCAGAATTTCCAAGCTCCGAGTCGGAAATTCATCTGGAACAACCCCCTGAAGTCAGATTTCCGACTCTGAAAGTCGGACGATCCTCACCAACCCTGACTTGATGACAACATCAGAATTCAAGATGGCAGCGCAGTGCATCAACAGTAAAGAGTAACAGTGAAAGCTCTCATTATGTTTTATTTATTAGCACTAATGTTTTGTTTTGGTGAAATTAAATACGTGGTTTATGTTGTACTGCCCAACGTCAAACTGTGAACACGGTGCAAAGAGTAAAACACTGTGTTATGCGTTGTTTACAACTGGTATAGCTAACTAACGACAACTGAAAATTGTAAACAACAGCTAACAACGGCTAACAGTAGGCATCCATCTTGGTTTACCGACTTGTTAACTGGAATGCCGTCAACTCAGTGTAACGTCATTCTCAGCTCCGACATCCGACTTCTGAGCTAACTGGAATGCAGCGTAAGCGGTAGGTTAGTTCTGATCTGGAACCAGTTTTCTATTCTCATCAAACTGAAGGTGGAACCTGCAGGTTTTGGTGTAGGATGAGAGGCCAGTGACTCACCTCCACTCTCCGCTCGTGGCAGCTGCCATCCTCACCCCTCAATCTCCCTCCTCCTGCCTGGTTGTGACATCAGGCTGTGTCACACTGAAATAATAATGAAAGACAGGCAGAGCTACAAGGCCGTTTCTCCCCAGAGCTACAAACAGATCCCTGACTGTCAGTAGCCGAGAGTTGAAGGAGTGTGTGCGCAAAAATAGCCTCGCTTGAAAAGGTAAAGAACATGTATCAAGAAATCCTGAAGAGACGAGGACTAAGAAACCAAGAATTCAGCAGAATATCAACACTGGAGCCTTCACTGAAGTTTTGAAGAGTACTTACTTTTTAGTTGAGATGATTGATATTTTGAAAGATTATAAACTGAGTTGATATTGACCTGATTCTTTTTATATTTCTTAAACACACACTGGAGCACTATCAGGTTACCCTCCTTCTCTGTACTGTGTGTGTAATGGGAGGTTACTGGGAACGTAAATTACTGTATGAGATGCTTTTTAGTGTTCATCTTGCTGTCATCAAATCTTGACAAAAAAAGCATGACATTAATTTGATATGGAGCAGAGATTAGCTACAGAAACAGACCAGGAGTTTGGCCAGGAGACTTGGTTGGTTGTGTCAGTTTTGCTTGTATGAGTATTTGAAAGAACACATTCACTGGAGGACCCGAAACACCTGAGGCTGAAGGAGGAGAATCATCTACAGGACGAAACAGTGAAGACGTCTGGAACGATCATTATGACAATAATAATGCATCAGATTTTTATAGCGCTTTATCAGAGATCCTCAAAGCACTTGACTGACTGGCTGCCAGTTTGCGCCTACGGCTGCTCCGACCACCACCACACAACACTCACAATCATACACCAGTGGAGGACACACACAGGAAGCAAGGCGGGTTAAATGTCTTGCCCAAGGACACAGCAGACAGGTTAGGGATAGGGGGGAATCGAACCATCAACCTTCCAGTTATTGGACAACCACTTTACCACCTGAGCTACTGCTGTCCTTCAATCCGTCTCTTCACTTGTAACACTGATAGAAATGAGAAAACTGTCATCAATCATGAAACAGCTCTTGGTGCGCCGCCTGTTTCTTCATATTCTGCCCTGAAAATACGTAAAGAAAGAAATGGTCCTGACAGTGATCTGCACTTGCAGTACCAAGTCATGTGCGAGAGGATGACAAATCTTCACCTCGAGAACAAAGATGGCTGAAGTGATTTTGTTGTCGTGTCGTTCCTCCTTGTTCAGATGTTGTTGCTGGTGTTTCAGGACACTGAGTCGTCTGGTCTTGTTGAAAAGTAAACAAGCATATTGAGACGTAACCAACGCTACTGAATGTTAACCTAGAGGAATGGGTTAGAGACTGCTCAGTTCATTCTAGTCTTGTATCGTATCGTATCAGATTGGATCGTATTGAAAATCTTCCTGTCAAAGCACACACAGCCCTGTCGTCTCTCTCCTTTATTTCTGCTCTCTTAATCACAGGTGAAGAAAAAAGTCCTGATTTAAATTTAGAAACACAGCAGGAGAGAAACACTGATTATAGTTTCTGCCTCAGATTTTGATGCAGATGAAGGAAATCTGCTGCTGCTAAAATCACAATTATCATACCTGGGGAAGATTGACGTTTGCTGACAGGGACGTTTTTAAGAATCAGGGGTTTCTGTGGAAATTAAAGTAGCTGTCATTTGTACACACTCTTTCTGAGGTGACATGCACACTCCTGTTTGTTTGTGTAACATTAAACAGATTGTCGACCATCCAGAGCGATCCTGGCTGACTCCTCCCCCTCAGACCTCTGCGCCTGTTTTCAGGAGGCTGCTGTAAGATTGTCCTGTCGCCGGTGTTCTCACCAGGTGTGAAGGAGGAGAGACTGATGTTTATTAGTGTTTGAAAACCACAGCGAGAGGGGAGAGTACATCAGCGCCCTGAAAGGCTGAGCATATTCAATCCAATCTGCGGGGGCTGAAGACAGAGCGGGAGGCGCGGATGAGATGGAGTCAATTTTGAGGAGAGTTTAAGAGCAAACAAATCCGTCTGAGATCAGGTGGCTTTAATTTTCCCTGTATCTGCCGCCAGCCTGGTATGCAATCACCATATACAGAGGCTTGGATATGCAGCCTGCTCTGTCTTCTGAGTAAAAAAAAAAAACAAGACTTGAACAGAAAGAAAACAACATTTAAAAAAGCTGCGTGGATCGTTTGAACCGTTTCCAAAAAGAAAACAACAGAGCAGGTGTGTAAATCAACCCGAGCGGGGAGAATTCAAGGCTGTCTTTGTGTTAGAAAACCGAGAGCTCAGCCAGGAATACCTTCAAGGGGCTTCGCAGCTGTAAAAGGCGAGCGTGTGTCTTGAAAAGCATTACAAAGTAATTAAGGAAGCTCAATATCTTTGAAATAAAGTAATGAAAAAGGCAGTTAAGGCGGCAAATACAAGTCTTTTATTCAGTGTTTCGACTTTAATCAGGGTATCAGGTCTGAACAATTGAAATAAAATGAGCTCCTTCTCTCTGAAAGGGGATATGAGATTACAGGAAATAGAAACAGGGAGGAAGAAATAAGCCTTGCATAAATAATTTAAAAGAAAAGGTACTTGGTGGCTGACGCAGCAGCTGCCTTCACGTACATACAGTTCAATTTCCAACTTCATTTATTTTCCACTTCAGAAGCGAGGGAGGGTGGTAGTGGACACCTGGTGGGCGTTTCCTGGTGCCAAGGAGCAAAGATAAACTACCGCAGGTTCAATCCATATGCTCTGAACATCAGTCAACAATGAGCCTAATGCAGGATGGTAACACAAGGAGAGTGAGAGAGGGGAGAAAAAAAAAGAGGAAAAACACGTCCAGGCGAGGGGAAGATTCATTTGGGACAACCGGCAGCTTACTGGGTTATCACTCACTTATCGCCGCTGTAGCAGAGTCGTGGAAACGGCCGGGAAATAGCTGTCCATCACCCGGAATACAATCAGCCGAGTACATGGCCGGGGAGCTAATGGATGTTTCCACAGGGAGGGCAATTTAGAGGATGGAAAAGTGGATGGGTCCATCACGGCGAGATGGGATTATGTGCGATTGTTATCCTTCACAAGCGGGATGTGACGGTCAAGGGGTGTAATGTATATGGACAGGAGAGACATTAAACAGTAATCTCTCCTCCGTCCTCTCACGGCCAATCAGCCTCACCCCCTCCTCCGTTCCCACATTTTCTGCCTCTGACCGGGCAGACGGTTTTCTGATGAGCTCTTAAACAAAAACTGCTGCTGAAATATTCAGAGCAGCGCCGTCTCCAGAAATAAATTACAGTCTTATCTGGGGACGCAGTTCGGTGCGTTTTTAGCCAAATCAATGCAATTATGGGCTGACTCAACAGAACTTAAGACGCACAAGACACAAATAAATAACAGATGAAGTCCTTTAAAAGATGGATGATGCGACAGCTCCCAAAAGTGAAGCCAAAACCCCCAAGCATGAAGCCCGCCTCCTCCATGTAAACAGATGGGACATGGGCCAAATTATAAAACATGATTTCTGCCGTTGTTATCAGTTTGTTCAGTGTGTTCGATGTCTTTTTGCACAATCACAGTTTCAGACAGTTGACACTAAAGTTTTAGACTCCTGGATCACTGCTGAGACAAAACAAACCTGTGAACTCACACACTTATGCCAATTCGAGGTGCAACATGTAGGTACATCAGATATTAGAGCCACATTTGAACAAAAAAAAAAAAAGATTTTTAAACTGTGTTTTAAGCCGTTTTCTAACAAGAATAAAGTCAGAGTCAAATCAGTTTCTTACGACACTGAAGTTCTAGTTTAGTCGTTATGTTATAAGAATAATATCATTATATTATGTGACAAAAATAAAGCTCTTTATGGTCTTATCAGGGTCCTCAGACTTACAACAAAGTGGAGCCAAAACATTAAAGACGATTTAAAGAGACGCTCCATGTTAATGATTTTAATACAGACCGAAACTTTATTTTCCTAATATTATAACTTAACTATGACTTTATTTTTGTAACAGTGTACCTCTTAAAATAACATTAGGACTGGATTTTATTTTGCTTTAATACAGCCCTTGTATCCAGTGAAAAGGGTCGAGCAAATGAATAACCATCAGATCCTTAACACACAGACTCTGCCTACAAACAGGTTCGATGTTGACGCTGGTCACCGGGGTGTTATGGCTTCACTTTGATACAACAGGCGAAGGTGGAGACACTTCATCCATCTTTAAATACAGTCAATAAAAGAAACATCCTAACAGTTTAAAATGACTGAGCCCATAAAAAGTCTGAGCTCCACTAACCATTCAAGCGTTTGTCCTTTTGTCAGAGTTATTCTGATACCAGCACCAGTGTTAATGCATCGGTGGGGTACTTGGTATCAGCTGAAGTGAGGAGAAAATGGCATCACTCTGTCATTGCACAGGTAAAAAAAAAAACAATCGTCCAAAAAACACCGAAAAAGAAAGAAAAAAAAGGCACTGATTGCATCCCGACTGAGCGACTGTGGTGACGTTCATCTTCAGTCCACTTCCAGGAAAATAGCGCACCCGCCACATGAAGCACCGTCCCTCTAATATCCCTCTGGTAAAAACTCCCAATCAGCTTCTCGGTGTCCTCAGAAGATGTGTTTGAGGTGCTTGATGCCGTACGTCTGGAAAAACACCAGGAGGATAAGAGTCCACAGGCCCAGGATGAAGCCATCAGGGGGGTGCCAGTCTCTCTGCTTCGGTTTCTGGAAGGGAGAGAAGGAAGGAGGGAGAAAGGGGGGAGGAAGAAGGGTGAGGTAAAGGTGAGGTAAGGATGGGGGAGGAGAGCAGGCAGAGGGAGAGACTGCAGTTAGTAATAGTGTGTATATTTCTCCCGCTGAGGCCGCCGCTGATTGTTCTGTCATTCACACAGCCAGGCAGGCGCACAGTCACACACACACACACACACACACACACACACACACACACACACACACACACACACACTTATTTTATCTCTTTATGTACACTATCTGCTGTCTCTCACACGAGAGTTCACGCACAGAGCGGGTGGCGAGGCTCATCAGTACGCCTCCCCTGTCTTGTGTTTGTCCCATTCACTGCCACATCATCACTTTGTGTATGATTATACTTTTAAATCTCCGCCGTATTAAACATGCATCTCACAAGGAGCACATTTATATGCTAATGTGGCGACAATATTCTGCGCAGAGATGAGATTTAACCTCTAAAAAATCTTCTTATAACTCCTCAGCTGGCGACAAAGCAGCAGATAGTCAGTGAGGACGCACTTAAGAGATTTCTGTTATCCCGTGACACAAGCTGCCATTATCCAGTCATGAAATCGCCAGTCAGAAAAAGGCATCCCCCTAAAAGCCAAAAACCCCGGGACAAGGCAGAGAGGATGAACACGCAGACGGCACACGCTCCAAGTCTGCCCGAGTCGCACATTGAACACACATCAGCACAGCGTACAGCGCAGTAAAGCCGCCACACAAACACTCAGAGGATCCATGACTCCACAGCTTTCCAGAGTGCTACTGCAGAACACAGTGTGCATCCACATCAGCTCTGCACACACACACTCACACACTCACACACTGAGACAGGCTGACAGCAGACTGACAGGGCCTGCAGGATAAGGAAAATCCCAGTCCAGGGTCACCGTACCTATTACCCATGAACTCAGACTCTCTGCCGCCAGAGGACACGATGCAAAGTTATCCGTCCTGCAGCCTGTGGAGCTCAAATTAAACCTGTATCTGTTTTTGATGGGAGGATGGGAAAACGACGCAGCTACAGGTTTATCCGCTCATTCTCAAGATGCTTTAGGATTTTCCTCGTGTGGCTCATCCCATTTTCTCCACATGATTGCATGTAGAGCCCGTCGATAAATCGGTTTCAGTTTGGATTTTTTAGAAGAGAGGAGAGCAGGGAGAGGAGAAGGAGGAGGAGGAGGAGGAGAGGAAGGAGGAGGAGGAGGCAGGTGTGTTCATCTGTGTGAATGTCTGAAAAGCCAAGGGACAGAATAAGCCTGAGAAGAGAGGCTGTAGCGTCACAAGCTAACAAGCTAAAGACTGCAGGGCTAAAATGTGAGAGACATTGTTTTAAAACATGATAAAGTCTGAACATTAGGATGGAGGTTTTAGAAAAGCTTTAAAAGGCTGAATAATTTGTTAGATCTGCTGCCTGTGAGAGGAATACATCCTTTAATTTATGATGGTATTAAAACTTCGAAGTAGAGCCGGGCAATATGGCCTCAAATCATATTACAATATATTCATAACAACAAATGGACGATAACTACTCTACAAACTGCTCACCCCCTCCCACATTCACTTCGTCTACTTCAGCCGCTACAACTTTTGAACCGTCCTCCATCTCCTCACCTGTCTTTCCCTCTTTGTTACAGACTGGATGGGGTCGAGTCATGTCTCTGACAGTGTCTTAAAGGGACATGAGACCATAGCCTACCTACATACATCCAAAACCAACTTTATATACCGATATGGGTAAAATGTCGTCGGTTATTGTTGTGTATCGGTAAATTTTCAGTTTATCATCCAGCTCTCACTTGGAGTTATAAAGAGGTTTTATGTTAATCAAAATAATCATGATTATGATTTTTGACATTATCGAGCAGCCTCACTGTCATCCTCCTTCTGTTTCAGCCAGCTTGTGTTGTGCGTTTACCTCCAGACTCGAGGGTTACAGTCTGTGCTGGGACCAAAAACATATTAAACATCAAAGATTAAAATACAGAACAGAGGAGAAACTACCTGAGATGACAGGGAGGTTCACTATGTAATGTGGCACGACCAGACCTGAAGCCGCATGAGAGATATCAGGTCATGAACTTTCTCTGCTAACTCAAGTTTTGCATGAACTCGCAGGAAAGGAAGTAAGATGAAGAAGATATGAAAGTAAAGCTGGTTAAGTTTAATATAGACAGTAATCACAGCAGACATATTTTATAAGTGCAGTGTGTGATAAATAACTAAGGCTTAAAGATGTCAAATTGAGCCTAAACTGAACTTTCTTTTAAACGTCTCTCTCTAAATCTGCTTGTTTTTGAATAGAGGGGCCGTTTTCCTGAGGGCAGATTCGAACAGACGGTTAACAAAACATATTTCAAGATTTTCAAGGCCACTTTTACCGACCGTGATTCATAAATATGGCTGAGTGCAGGCAGTTTGACACCAATAAGTTTTTAGGCCAAGTGCACAATTCCTCGCAGCTGCTCCTGCTCCTGAGTTATGATGCTGTTAAAGCAGACTGTTACTGAAAAGGAGGGCGTCGATCCAATGACATATTGTTGTTTTTTATCATGCCAACTTATTATAGTTATCATTAGTGTTATACAGCTTTACCTTGAGGTTAAAATCATGTTGAAAAGGCTTAAAGACAGAAAGTAAAACTAAAGGAGCAGAATAAAAGTGTGAGGGAAGGGAAACGCCGGGACTGGAAATTAAAATTACAGATTAATTCTCAGTTATTTCTTTAGTGTGCAGCGACTCCTCTTTGATTTATGATTAAAATAAAACGGAAAATGTAAAATTAGACGACAACCTGCTGACAATATCTGCCAAGTTTAACTTCAAGGGTCTCTAAACCCTGCACTGGTCAGACATGTGTTTAAAACTTTCATTTCAGCAAACAGTCAGTTTCATTAAAACTCAGTCAACATTCAAAACTACATTTTGAGGCATCAGAATAAAGCTGGCAGAAACTATAGGACCGTGACGCTCCTCTTTGTCAATACAACACGAGGAATAAAACTAATCAAATATGACAGAAACTGCGAGGCGATTGGACGACTCTAACGGTGAAATGGCACCAGTCATCAGGGGGTAATTTGTAAGTAAATTGATTCTGAACAGCTCAGGCGGTCAGCTAATATTTTGCTGAATTTCACATCTTATGAGAGGTGGAAAACTGCTGAATTGGCATCTGAACAGTGGGCTCTTTTGCAGAACTGGCAGATACTGTGGAGTGTTAAAGGGTCTGAAATTACCACCCACTAAGCACCAAATGCCAGTACAGTGTGTCTTTGGCAGCTAAAACCTCCACAGTCCTGGCTGTAAAACTCTGATACCTCCGTTAAAGTCCCATTTTAGACTCTCTACATGTAGAGCTCCTCGCCAGCATCAGTTTAGACGGGCTTCTCAGCGGCTGAATGTCCCTCTGCCGTTACATACATGATGATGAACTTCACACTGCAACTGATTTAATCATCAACATTGAAACATTCAGTGGAAATGTCCCATTTAAAAGGAATCATATAAAATAATCAGGCGACTGTTTCAACTGGACAGAGAACGGGCTTGTTTGGCTCATGGATAAATCTGTCAGCCTGTTTATGTCTCGAGTCGGTTGATGGGTAATAATCAGGATAATGTATAGTAAACAGATGGATATGCAAATGAGAAAAAGACCCCTTGGGTTTGCATCTTGCTCGCCCTGTCAGGATGATGATTTGTGTAACCACCTGTTGACTGCACTTTATCACTTACAAACCACATGAGCGGGAGAACGTCAGAAAGGTTACAGGATGAATACTGGAGAGAATCACGGCTTTGCTGCTATTGAGCTCACCATCTGAAACTCCAGTGTGATATTGCAATAAATCAAACAGTTTATTGGCTTCTCATTCATTCATTCAGCTGAATTGTTTTACTACAGTGATGTGGTTACATGACATTGGTGGCATTGATGAGAGAGCAGAGGACACAACCGTAAACAAACAACATGGCAGATTTGAAGACAGAGACCCCACCTCCACGATGTGCTGTCAGGGCGCGACTAAGACCATGTACACACAAAGCCAGGTGTCTCCTAAAATGAATATATTTTTATATATTATATAGGATTTGGCCTGTCATCCACACAAAGCTGCATGAATACGTCATTAAAAATGGTGCTTTTAGAAAACTCTGGTTTCCGTTTGCATGTTGACATAGATAACTTGAGTTTTAAATTCCCAAACGTCATTGTCCGTGACAACTAATAGATAAACTTCATATGCTAGTATGCCCCCTTGTTTATGTCAGACAGTGGACAGCACAGATATATACACAATATATATTTTTGTTAGGAGCAAAGGAGGAGGAACGCTTAAAAGCATTTCCACCTCTTTGTCGGTCCACATGAACACACCACACAGCACTTTGTTTCATGTTTGTAGAAGTGACGACGAGAAAGGGATGATAGAATGGATCTAAACTTTCCTGGTCATGAACTTTGGGTAATGACTGAAAGAACAAGATCGTGGATACAAGCGGCCGAAATGGGTTTCCTTCGCAGGGTGGCCGGGCTCAGCCTTAGAGATAGAGTAAGGAGCTCGGACACTCAGGAGGCGCTCAGAGTACAATCGCTGCTCCTCCATGTCGAGAGGAGTCAGCTGAGGTGGCTCCGGCATCTGGTTAGGATGCCTTCTGGACGCCTCCCGTTCAAGGTGTTCCGGACATGTCCCACCAGGAGGAGACCTCATTGCCAGCCCAGGACCAGGTGGAGGGACTATATCTCTGGCCTGGCCTGGGAGCGCCTGGGAATCCTCGTGGAGGTGGCTGGGGTGAGGGCTGTCTGGGCTTCCCTCCTGAAGCTGCTGCCCCCGCGACCCGGACTCGGATAAGGACGACGGATCTACCTTCTTGGAAAATACTAACAACTCCAGGTCTGGCATGCTTATAACTGCAGTCAATAGCACACTTATGCAGTTTTATGTGAATGTGATTATTTTAAAACGATGATGTGTGTACGTGACTTCTTTTCTTTAAACCGGCTGCGTGTGTACATGGCCTAAGACGGATGGAAAAAGTGAAACGTCGGGTAAAGATCGCAGATGCTATCTTCAGCAACCTGGTGAGTAACAGGTGCATCACAAAAGACACATCTGGTGGGTCCTTGTGTCCTGGGAAAGGAAGGACTTGATCCTGACTGCACTAGAGCCTTGGAAGTTGTTTACCCTTTGATGCACAGCTGTGAAATGCGTCCTTGAGTTGCGGTACACCTCGTTTCGGCGCTCCTGTCCAATCAGATACTTTGTCAGGACTAACTGTTGTGTAATATAATTGAACAGCTCATAGTTAGCAAGTGTGCGTCTCTTCCCAAGGCTTTCTTTTCCATCCAAACATCAGGTTACGTGTCCATGCTGCCAATTTCTGATATAGAAAGACCGAGGACAGCAGAAAGATTGGATAACGTCTGACTTGAAATTTACTTAACCGCTCAATCAAGTCAAATCAATAAAGCCCCACGCAGAATGCTAAAGCAGACTCGGCGAGGCCTTAGGTCTTATCGAGACATCGTGTGGGGACAGAGACGGGGAAGAGCGTCTGATTTAAAGCTGCATTCACTCTGCAGATATTAGCTTGTATTTTCTGCTCCCGCTCAGATTTTATTTGCCGACGCTGTCCTGCAATAAATGGATTCAGGAGAAAAATAGGAGCAGAGTTGCATTCAGACCTAGAGAGATGTGAGGCATAGATTACAGGCCCTCTCTCCTACATACACTATATCTACAGTAGATAGTGTCTGACAGAAAACAAGCTGCAGGTTATTCAGAGGGAAACGCTCTGTGTTTCATCAGACAGTCAGTGAGCAGAGGAGACAATGTTGCTCAAACAATAAAGGGTTTGTTTCCAGAGTTTGATTGAATGATGCTTTTGTAGGAGAATGACAGAAACCGCAGGAAACATCTCAAAGGACAGACAGATTTTAGTCTCTTTTGTCTGACGGCAGACGTCAAAGTGGGTGTTTAGACCAAAAATAGCATCATGTAACAGGCGATGAAAAGCTAATTTTACCATCAACCCTGAATGATGGCAGCAGAAAGGAGCGCACTGTTTTATGCAAATGGCTCTTGAGTTGGGTGTTTGTCTGAGATAGTGCAATAAAACCAGGACTTCCTTTACTTTGCATTACAGTTGTTTACAATCTGGAGGAGCAATAATGAAGACACCGTATCTGAGCACCAACTACAAGGTTTCTGTGTCCAGTCAAGCCGTATTCAGATGACCTCCTAATGGTTCCTGAAGCTGGCAGCAGCTCTGGGTCAGGGTGGACTCAGCTCACCAAAGAGTGGGTCTGCCCACCCAAACAACATTAACGGGGGAAAATGTTTGTCCAGCCAATTCAGGGGTGGATTGCCAGGATGCTGGTACAGTTTCCAGCTTGTGATTGAGTGGGCAGCCAAATTCACTGAAATTCGCCAAGTGCCCACCCTCTGCAGACGACGGTTTTTTTTTTAATGCATAGACCCAGAGTGCTGATGCAGACCACAGGCTGAAGAGACAGCATGTCTGCTAATAAGAAGGGACCCACTCGAGCCGGGCAGGAGCATTTGGGGGTTGGCTGAATAAGTTGTCCTGTGATTTCTCAGTATTTTGTGTATCTGCTCACAGTAATTCTGCCTGATACTGGCATGCCAGGCTAATAGACTCTTCCTGTTGGTTTCAAGTTACACAGACACTACACTGCAAAGATATAAATGCAAAAACAGAGTCCTGTTCCAGATACAGGTCTTGTTTAGAAACCCTACAAAGAGCATACGGCTTAAAATAAACCAAAGTGATCTATAAACGAGACTAAAATGAAGAACGTTCATGACAAACTTGTGTTCAACAGTTCACAAGAATACAGGAAATAGATCTGGAGGAGGGCCCCTCAGACCAAAACACCCTTACCAACACATAAGAGAAACTTTAGCCTATGCTCTCTTGTGTTTAGATATCGCCCCTCCAGAACCAAGTCCTAAAATACGTCACGGCTAGAGTCAGATCTGATGTTTCAGACTGATATCACAGCGTTCTGCATTTTGCATCTTTCTCTGTTTTTCTGCATGCAGACTTTTCCTACAGAACCTCGAGTGGATGATAATATTTACACTACAAACACTTGAGAAACCAAAATCCGGTCCCTTGTCTCCAGTTTTGCATTTTTATGTAGGATTTATAAATATGGATTAACCTGAGAGAGACAGAGTGAGGTGCGTTATCAAACTCCTGATTGTCAGTCTTTTCTTTTTTTTCAGCTCTTCTTGGAGGAATAATTATACTAAATGGACGGAGCTGAAGCATCCTTGTATTGTTTAGTTTGTTTTGGTTTGTCTAAGTTAAACCAGCGCCCCAGATCCGCCACTTTTCATTCCTTGTACCCACTTTTATCTTCTTACAGGTTCTGTTTTTTACTTCTAAAGACTGAGTCCTAGTTTCCTCTCTCTGACGTTAGCACATACCAACACAGGAGCTGTTACATATTTCCCTGCTGCTGTTTGCGAGCCAATGAAAGTGACAAGGAGGCACCTTCACGCTCTACAAGGTCAACGGAGAGCATGAATTGATTTCCCCTCTGATGTGGGCGGGACTTGAGAGCTCTCCCTTTGTTGCAAGGTCGCTGTCAATCAAACAACTCCACCTACACATATTAGCCGACTTTAGGAGAGAAAAATAAAGAGTAAAGGCTGTTGATGTGAGTGATTCAGAAAACTCAAAGTTAACATTCAGACAGGCACGACTCACTATCATGTCTTTGTAAAAGGATATCTTCTTTATTACAGATTTAGGATATGCATTATTAATGACCATCGATGAGCAAAAATACAGCAGCTTTTCCACTCCTTAAAAACCTGTCATAAATGTTTCACATCCTGTTGCACTACTTTTGTTTAAACAGTGAGTGAAACAGGAACTTTGCATCCTGATCACAGTTCAGTGGAAATACTCGAGCTCACCACAGAGCCTCCCTCCCTGTGAACCGATGAGTCAATCACACAGTATCAGAGCACAGGTAAGTGTCGCAGCATCTGGTTTTGAATCCACTTTGGCAAACTTTGCTGATATTCGTCTCTGAAGCGTGAGCACTGGAGCAGCAAACAGAAACAAGACAATCTGCTCCCTGTCACTGTGCCCTCGAACGCACCATTCTCTGTATCTATCACGGGTAGCTTTTTTTCTCTTTAGCTCGGGCACTTTTGCCAGATAATCTATAGAAGTTTAAACCTTTCCACGTTGTTCACCTGACTTTTATTGTGTAGAATAAGGATGGCAACAAAAGAGGTTATGAATCCACTGAGAATACTAATGTTGGCCCCATAACAAAGAAGTAATACATCAATAATACATCTAACAAAGCGCCAGTAAAACCAAGCGGACTGCACCTTTAAAAGAAGTTTTTTTTCTTTCTCACAGCTTCACCTCGTTATTCTTCTTATTATTAAAAGCTGCCAATCTTTAAAGCAAGGAAACATTTCTCCTGTACTCTGAACAAACTCAAGTTGTTTGGGACTTGGAAAAATTTGGTCATTTTTTAAAACTGTGTTGACAGCAGGTGACATTTGCTGTTGCCATGGAAACATGGCTCTTTGCCCTAAGAATAATCTTAGCCTTGAGTAAAATCGGCTTTGTTAGACGAATTTTAGCTTCAATATTAGTTTGAAAACTGGACAAAGGGAGACATTGTTCTCCTGTTCTCCCAGTGTAACCTCAGAGCTGAACACGCTGATCCTCGTGGCTCGGTGTGGTTCACAATGACCTATCATTCAAACAAGAACAGGGATCCTTCCAGGTTTTAGCATCAGACAGCTTTAGGAGTAAATGAGAAGATCAACAGCTCATACTGTGTCTCTTAGTGAAATTTATGTATTTGACCAATTCATCTACTGTATGTATATCTGTTCCTATGTAGCCTGTTCATCTGTCTGATGAGATTTAATTCCATGCCATACAATAGAATTAAAAAATATGCAACTAGATACAAAATAAAAGAGCATATGATCTGATAAAAAATACAGAGATATACTGTTAGATGGGTTATGATAAAATAAGACATGAGAAAACTTGAAATGATATAAACTGAGATAATATGAGATGAGAAAAGGCGAGATGATGTAGGATGAGTTACAACTCAGACACTACAAGACAAGATACACAGTAAGTCAGTACAGCATTGTAGGAATAATCTGATGGGATATGATACAACACGATGAGAACAGATGAGACAGAAAGATAAGATGAGATATGGTCAGTTAAGAATGGAAAAATAGAATAAAAACACATAAAATGGGAAGAGATGAGATTAGATAAAATGAGATTAGTTCAAATAAAACTAGATTAAATAGAATGAGACATGATCAGAAAGGTCAGATACTAAAAGAACTAATAAAATGGAAAGAGATTAGATTAGATCAAATGAGATGAGATGAGGATGAGATATAATCAGATAAAGGATTTGATACAAAAAATGATAAAAGGGAAGAGATCAGATGAGATTAGATTAGGTGAGATTAGATGAGATGAGGAGGTTAGATCAAATATAGTCTGATAAGAAATTATTTGATACTAAAAGAATTTATAAAATGGAAAATGATTAGATGAGATTAGTTCAGATGAGATGAGATAAGATGCTATCAGGTAAAGGGTTTGATTCTAAAAAAAATTGATAAAATGAAAAGAGATGAGATTAGATTAGATGAGATGAGATGAGATATGCTCAGATAAGAAAGGATATGATACTATAAGAATAGGTAAGATGGAAGGAAATGATATATGAGATGACATATGACTAGATACAGGAATCAATACATTATACAGGACATGCTACAATATACTTAAATGATGCACTCACTCACATTAGGGCATGATAGGTTAAGCTCCAGTAAGGCAGGATAAGCTACAGCAAAATAAGGTAACATACACTAGCTTTGATATGATTGAACAGGATACTTCCTTCACTTTCCATTTTTCTGAAACTGTAACCAAAGCCCTCTCAGTTTTGAGTGCTGAATTAATAACCAGTCTATTCTTGATCAGCTGAGGCAGAATTTCATCTTGAAATCCCAAACAAATATGTCTGAATGCTTGAGTAGTCATTGTCCATGTTTTTGGGTCAAGCTGACACAGAGTGAGGACCTCTGAGATCTGTCAAAACACAGCTGTAATCAGATGGATTCTGATCTGACAGTTCAGACTGTCACTGCATGGTCACTGACTTACGACGGCTCAAACATGGCCTCGATCTTCTGTTTACAGAGGGATTTTACTTCCTGCTCCCACGATGCTATATGCAGCTCTGTTACATAACAACGCTTGACTTGAGCCATTTTTTTTTTCTGCTGCAGTCTTGGTGACAAAGTGGCCATCAGAAAGACAAGTATAGAAGCTGAGGGTTAAACACCCTGAGGACAAAGCAGAAGGATGTTTATGAGAAACGACTGGGAGCGTGTGGCCATTGGGGGCAGTTGACCTCTGTGGCGATGGGAAGCAGGAGTGTGCGTGACTGCGACTTGTCTGTGTGTGAGCATGTAAATACATGAGTGTGTGTTTGTGCGAGCCCCTTGAGTGAGGAAGAGCAAAGCGAGATGGATCGACTGTGACAGGAAGCCACGTCAGCACAGCCGGAGGACAGAGGAGCATATGTCAAGATGGAGGCGAGGGGGGGCGAAACAAAAGATGGTGATGACCACACGCTGCAGCCAAGTGACATTTCATCAACTATTTATCAGTTTCACTCCCAAATCAGGTGGATTTCTCAAACTCGACCGCAGATATGAGGCCTTAAAACCATAAATTACAACAAGTCAAGCTAGGGAAAGCATTAGAAATGGGTTGATCAAGTCATGCTACTGCTTCATTTATAGATATATAGTTAAAATAAAAGACTTGTGGAGGTGTCACTTAAATCTGAACAATAAGCAGAACTGCATTAGACTTTCCTGGTGGACCTGATAGTGTCTGTACTCAGGCAGACACGGCCAGTAATGTTCAACTCAATTTAAAATCCACCGCTCGGATATTCAGCTTCAACTATCTGACAGACAATACCGAGTTCTCATACATTTCAGAGCTCAATCAAAAGGCTAAATCATGGTCCTTGAGGTTCAGGGGTGTGTGAAATAGCTTCATTATGTTCTTGTCGTTATCACTAATTAAAGTTGCAAATTATGCATAACATGATAGTGAAGGTTAATATAGATTACTAATATTATGTCACTTTTTCTGGCTGTTGAATATTAGTAATATTTGTGGTTTATAGTTGTCAAGTTTCTCTGTAGGTTAATGGTTTCGCAGTTCAACTGTGAGGCCATGTAACTGCACAAGGTTAAAGTCGATTTCTCAGTGTAAACAATGCATTGTATCATATTGTATCTTTTATAATGTATTGTGTTGTTTCATGTCCTAACAAATTATATCATTTTGTAATGTAATGTACGTTATTGTAACATATATCGTATTTCATTGTATCTGTCTTATTGTATTGTATCATATCGTAATACAACGCATGGTTTTGTGTCGTATCATATCGTTCCTTAGTATCGTTTCCTAACAGTACTTACTTTTTCTTAAAGATTATTATTAAATGTTCATATCTGTCAACTTTGTATTGAATTGTTAAGACTCTCCGCTATTTCATATTAACAATAGTCATTTATCTTATTTTAATTTTTTCCTTTTTGTTTTTACATATCATGAAATAAAAATAAACAAAATAACATTTCGTATCTCTTGTATCATATCCTACGGTAACATTTCATATCATAATGTAAGATATCGTATCTGTTGAAATCATGTCCTATCCTACCCAGTTGTATCTATTGTACTGTATATTGTATCTTTTTATACAGCAGATCATTTCAAATTGTATCTTACAGAATCAAAAACGGCCCTAATCTAAATTTGAGTGGTTGCTTTAGTTAACACTAAAACAGCATGATGTTCATTTAGTCAACTTTAATCCTGCTAAGAGGAAGATCGATGACAAGCAGGGCATAGGCTTAACCCTACACAAGGATAGAGGTGAAGTGATGACATAGTCTTATTGAAATACTATTGTTTCAAAATGGGAGTTCACAAATCTTTTGAAAGGTTATTTCACACAAATAATAATAAAAAAAAACACAAACCCATGAAAAAAAAATGACAGACCGTCTCAAGGTCAGAAACAGAAAAACACCTTCTGCTGTCATTACTCATATTTGTCAGTCAGGTCATTGCTGGTAAAATAAAGTTTTGAGTCTCCATGTCAAACTGAACTTTTTCACTTTTATAAAACAGTTTTTGATTATGGTCGAACCATCAAGCTGCACATATTTATACATGTTGAATTTTCTAACGTATTAAACTTTCACACCTGTGTCACGATTAAAAAAAGTTTTACTGACTACATTAATAAAATATCATGTTTCAAGTTGCACGGTTTTCTGGTCAGCTGACAACAGGCCTGATGTTTATATGTGGTTGAAAAGCCTCTCTGAATGCTAAAACGGAAACGCTTTGTACAGAAATCAAGGACAAGACATTCAAGTATCTTCAGATGTGCTTGATATATCTTTACTTTGAAAGCTTCTAAAAAAAATGCTTTTTTTAAAAATAAAAGTAAAAGGTACAAATAAAAGAGTCAAATAGTTAGAAGTATAAGGCAGAGAAATGAGAGAAACAGCAAAGAAAGTGAAGCGAAAAACATGCGAGTGTGTGCCGACCTTCACTGACGGGAGCTTTCACATAGCTCTGCCAAGGACGGAGACGGTGACTGAAGCCAGCCTGCCTCCATTACCCAGGCTTTGTGTCGCGTATTCATTTCACAAGTAAAATCAATTAACAGCTACCCACCTGATTGATTGGAGCTAATTAATATGGCCACGCAGGACGCTGATGGTCGTTGAGGGAGGTATGAAACAGCCTACCTAACTGTAGCTCGCCAAGGTCAGAGCTGCTGCAAATTTATGTGCAGAAGAGGAAGACAGTGTGCACAGCCAGGACACCGCACTGTATATTTCAGGCTTTGGTCAACGCTGAGACTGTCAATGAAACTGATACTATTTTCTTTTTTTTTGCCTTTTTATACTTTCAAATTTCAGATTTTAAAACACTTTTATTTTGGAAACTTTTTCATTTGGTTTTAATGTAAAAATTACATCATTAAATTTTAAGTAAAGCTGCACAGTTAAGCGATATAAAGTGTATGTTTAAAGGTTTAGGTGGAAGAAATTAAATAAATCACTTAAGTGCTGGTGTAATGGTACAAAAGAACACCGATCAATATATATATCTTGATTTTGGGGTTAGGGTTTGGCAAATTTTTGGTACAATCCAGATAAAAATGGAGCACATAACATTTTGCTTTGATTAGGAACCAAAAGATGTTCCTTTTTACACTTCTTATAAGGATGTAGCATCCACAGTTCAGGTTTTTAGCATTCTTAGATTGACTTTTAAAATATTTAATGACTTAAAATTTATAAAATTAAACTTTTGAAGATAAAATAGAGTAAACAGAGAGGACAAAAGGTACAAAACAAAAAATAATTGTCCTTCAGGGGTCCTGTGAAGTTGTTTTTACCTTTTTGAAACTGACTGAAATTCGTGTTGATGCTTTTTTATGATGTGCAAAAGCAAACAAGACAAGATTAATGATTTTTATAAAGTAATTTTAAAATCTGATACCTCTGTGAGGCGGTAAGTGTTGGACAAGCAGCTAAAGAAACATCCCTGTTTTTACAATGTCCACATAAAATACTACTAATTACTTTTTTAAAAGTCAGCTAGTTGTTTTGTCAGGCGACTCAACTTGATCATGTCGAGGACCAGAGAAGCAAATGTCAACTTTAAGGGCACCAAAAAGTTCCTCACTGGAGCTTAAAGGAAAACATCCTGGAGAAGAGAGTGGGGCAGATATGCAACTACAGGCTGGGGCTGGGAGTCAAACCAGCAGCTCGTACATCCTGGACTAGAGACTCTGAAATGAAAACAGTGTTTGTTTTATCCTCTCACTTATACGCCATTGTTGATTTTCTATTTCCTCACGTTGGGAAAACTAAGTCGTGAGTTGTACACAGGGTCATTGCAGGTATTCAGCTGATCAAGAAACATAAATATTTATCATGTTTGTTATTTACAACCCCAGACCAGAGTGGCCCCGACTCAGTTTTGAGGGTTATTTGGACTGGAGTGACCCTGAATCTGAACGAAAATTGTCCGGTGTGGGGCTAAATTTCTCCATGAAAAGAATCAGATATGAAGAAAAAATCCACTTCATATGATTGAAAAGAGAAGTTTTTTGTGTTTCTTCTGCACATCTCAGTCTCCTTTATTTTGGAGAGTACCAGGCTGCAGGCTGAGAGAGAGGCGGGGGCCCAGCAGGGAGGTGAAGCATTAATTTTCAGTGTTTTTATTTTCAATTCTCCAGAGCCATATGGTGTGAGGCGTCAAGCTGGCAAAAGAACAAATAACAATTTGACGCCAGAGACCGGGACGCGGAGCAGTAAGGTAGGAAAAGGTAGAATACACAAGAGAGTCAGAGGAGGGAGAATAAGAGCTCCTTTTAGTTATTTTCAGAGCGCAGCATATTGTGATTAAGCATTGGCAGCGGGATGAGATGTGTGAGGTTGGGAAGAGAAGGTGGCAGGAGGAGGGGACTCACCCTGTCACCACCAGCGAGACAACTGCCAACAGTGACAGGGCATTAATCAACTCTTCACATGCACACGAGCACATACACAATGAGGGGAGGTTTGTATACAGAGGCGGTGCAGCGCTGCCTTATATATCCACTGCCACTCACCGGGATGACTTTCTATTTACAAGCCGTAAAATGTTTCTCTTGGAGGATAAACACAGACAGGTTTTTTTTTTTTTTATTTGCAGGTAGCGAGGCAGAAATCAGCGACACGTCACTTTGGAACATTTTAGACATGAAACCTTATGAGATTCAATCGAATCTCGTTCCGATCACATCCAGTTCTCCGGATGAGCTCGTCTAATCAGCGGCGACAAAAGGCCGCCGCCACGCTGGCATGTAGACAAAGATATCTTGGGGACTTGTGCGCACAATATGACGGCTAATCAAAAAGAGGAGAGCTGTCAATAGGCTCCATGGACATTGGTCATTCTGCTGCAGTGCAGATGGATTATGGTGAGGAGGGGGGAGATGACTCAGTCTGTCAGGACTCCCATCTTCAGCCCAGCAGGAGTGCAAGCCGATAATCGAAATCTCTGGCAGGGGTCATCGGGTTGACGAGTGTGTTTGTGAGTTGTACGTGTGGGTGCATCTGAAAACGAGGAGAGGGAGCTAACAAAAAACGGGAGAGACTGAAAAGTATAAGCATAGATGAATAGAGAAGGGTTAAAAAAGGACAAAAGTGGGAGGGAGCCAAGTCAGGCGGTAAGGAAGCAGACCAAGGACGCTCAATGAGGTGTGTTTGCGTGGCTCTCAACAGCCTGGCTGCTTCTGTGTAATGAATATTATGAGTTTGCTTTATGAGGACAGCAGATCCAGAACTGGCCAGTGTTTGCCAGGCTTTCAAGTCAGTCCTTGGCGATCAATTTCCCAGAGTGCCGCAGGGTGTGGAGACCCCTCCCCTTGCCCATCACGCTACTCAATAAGAGTCCGACCGGGGCTGAGGCCGACGGTCAGCTTCATTTCTCCAGGCCGACCTACTGTGACTCCTTTGTTCACAACAAAGTCAATGTCGGACACAGATGTTTCCAGCAGCAGGACCCGAGGTTTTTTAGATTTCTATAAAAAGACTGATCACTGACTCGGTTCAGCCGGAGCTGACCTTTAGCTCGGCGATGATAGTTTCATATCTGTCTAAACAGAGGAGGCAAGCATCTCTGTCGATGACTCAGACTCTGCTTTAGCCGCTGAAACCCTAAACCAAGACCGACCAATCCAAAAAAAAAACATCCCGGAGAATATTTGTCGAAGCCTCATAATTTGATTCCTCTGTGTCTGCTGCTGATCAAAAACAGACGAGGCTTCATTTCATCTTTTTTATAGAGCTGTGGCGACTTTTGATCCTTAAATTGAAAATGTACACTCATTTGTGAGCTCTTAAAGGCACAGTGTGAAGAGACAGAGACAAAAATATCATCATTTTTATATTCAAGTGATTCCACACTAACTCTAACATCCTTATAGATATTTCATAACACGCTGCACCTTGAAAGTCTCACAAACAATAGCTCGACTGCTATAAACTCCTAAATGATAAGATCATTTCATGAGGCTCTGGTGCATTACGGTTAAAACTAACATTATGGAGTAACTCCTAAAAAAGTAAAGGTGTTACAAGATGGAGGGGGGTCTGGCTGCAGACCTCCACTGTCAGGACCCGAGGTGTTCATTCTTTTCATGCGCTCCAGTTTGTTTTAAGTGGTCATCGCATTTTGTACTTTCTCTTTGTTGAACACATGAACACACAAAAAAATCTTAAAACATAAAAAAACTGTATATTTGCTTTTATTTTGAAAGGCTTCAAATCAACTCCTGACCTAATAACATACTCTCGGTATATTTTCTTTTATTTTGAAAGGCTTTAAATCAACTACTGACGTAAAAGACGTTCTCCCGCTTTATTCGCTTTTATTTTGAAAGGCTTCAAATCGACTTTCAGTGGAGGTCTGCAGACTGTCTTGACAGGATGACATGTTGATAAAGCTGACTGACTCTTAAAATCACAGCTTGGGTTGAAATCTGGTCAATTCCAGAGGCTTAAATCTCCTTTATAATGTAAACTGAGATTTTACAGACATCCCATCATATGACATTTCATTCGATGACTTTGCCAATACTCGCTCCTTTTTAAGCTCATTTTTTCTTTTTTTACATCCCATAAAATCATCAGAATATCTGGCTCCTTGCTGCTAAATACTGCAGTATGTTTAACAGGTGTTCTCTGAGAGTATCTGTCTGAATTTTGGAGCCGGGCAGGTTGTTTAGTGGGTTTAATCACACCTTTGGAGTCAAAAACAGCTGCCTGCTAATGCTGAAAGTCACACTTGCTGCAAAATAAAAAATAAATAAAAAACAAACAAGCTGAAAAACTTTAAAAAACAAAGTTTGGATGGTTTGGAGGCAGGAAATCATTTGCTGTTCGTGACCAACCTTCTCATACAAGCAGTCATTTACACCACTGTATCAAATCAGGCCATTATTAGGTTATTTATTTTAGGTTAAGCAGAATATCTTCTTTAAAATTATGTCTGTATCTTATCTCTTTACAGTCAAATGTTTTATTTACTGCGAATATTTGTTGGTCTGACACACACAGTAACAATTTAGTAATGATCAATCTTGTCGTTTGAGGTGTTTTTTGTTTAAATAGGTCGTTAAGATACATCACATGATCCCTAAGCTGATAAAAAACTCCTCAGAGGAGCTTCAAACAAACATTTAAGAGGCTAAATCAGCGTTTTCTAACTGTATCGTATATTTTACACTCCTGAGTTTGCTACATACCCCTCCTGAATCCAAACGATTACAAAAGCAATCTCTTTCCATCACTTAAGCGATGCCAATTTAGCTGAAGATTGGCATTTAGAGTGAGTGAGCTTCATCTAGGGGGTTTGAAAGCAGGGATCTTATTCACTTGCTGCTATAAACTGCATGACCTGCTTTACAATCATCCAAAAAACCTTTTCCGGAACAAAAACAACTCGTTTAACCAGCTTGTAACTCTGGTAGGGCTTCATTAAACCTGTTGCCATTGCTCATGAGGTTTATAATACGGTTGGTTTAACCTCCATATCTCGCAGTAACAGAAACGCTGAGAATTTTATGTGCGATACGATTATGAGGCTTTCAATGCAGCTGTCAAAAGTCACATCAAATACACAGCTCCAGCTTCCACAACTACCCGGGCACAAAAGTTACGACGCCTCCATTACCAGAGTGAATAAAAGTGTTCACCATAAACTTTACAAACTTTCTGAAGGTATACCGCTCGGGGTAATTCTCTATAGATGGTCACATTAACGTGTCCAATCCCAGAATATTAAAGTATGAGTTTCTCACTGGCAGCTGAGCCCACTAATATAAACTCCACTAATGTTTTCTCTCGCCTGCAGCAAAGATTAATGTGACTTCCTCTCTTTTCTTTCTGAGGCACAAGTTGGAGACGAGGTACAGAGAACGTGTTTTTTTTTCAAGGCTCCTAATGAAAAATCTGAAAGAATGACAAGGAACTTGGGACTATTTTGAATGCAGGGCACACACACACTCAGAGAGGTGCAATGAGGAGGAATAGGTGTTCATTTGTGAAGGTCGGCTCAGCTGAGAGCCACAATCCATTCGGGAATGAGGTGAATGCACAATCCCTCGCCAAAATGCTGCCTATCCATTCTGCTGGATTTCACGGTGGCCGCTGCGCGCTGAGACCGGGAGGCACTTGCATTTCACACTTGGAGCTGTCACCATGGCTACGACACAAAGAATCTGTTGGTGGATGTTGCACATAACTCTCTGTTCTGCGTCCAAATTAAGGACAGGTTTAGACACACTTACAATGAGGGGGAAAAAAACACGGGAACCCGAATAAAGAGCTGACCGCGCAAGAAGCCAAGACGGAGGACAAAACCCCCAAAATCCCATCACATGGTTCTGAGTGTCCCCACTTGACCGGGTCTCTTACCTGATGGATGATCTCAGACACTGGCAGCTGATCCACATAGGAATACGACTCTTTCTCCAGCTCTCCGTTCGCAGGGCTGGAAGAAAACAAAAACACAAACAAAACTCATTGGCATTAAATAAACTGAGCTTTGGAAACATTAAGCTCTCATTGTGTGGGACGCCATCATTCAGCGCTGATGAAAGCTGTCAGGAAGAGGAACAGACTCCAGTGTTTCTGTTGGCAGCGAGTATAAAGCCGAGGTGTGTGTGATTGGCAGATCATTTCAAAGCCGAGTCAATGATATGCAGTGCAAATTGATGCGAATGAACCCATTTTTCCTCTTTATAAATGAAAAACTAAATCATTCAGCGTGACAATAAATGATGTGAAAGGAACGGATCCTGCATGTTTTATAATGTAACTCTAAAGGACAAGAGAAAATGAATGAGCAACGCTGCATTTAAAGTATATATTATCAGAGGTTTAACTTCAACATTTCAGCAGGCCCCCTCAGATACCCACAATGCAATTTGTTCAGTTTTCCTAACACTCGTCTGTGCATCAGCCATCCTCATGTAAGCATCACTTTGCATTTGCTGAAAGAGTAAACAGACCATCACACTTAATAAGTGTTTCAAAGCTACGCACAGAACTGCAGTTTTCTCTTAATCTAGTCAGACACAGCTCTGAAAGGAAGTTATCATGGTAACAACTTTAACTCAAAACACTGCAAAAACACAGCCAAGAGCGTACACACCAGAGAAGATGATATTATGTTCTCCACGAGCTATCCATTGTACAAACATGGATCTTTGCACAGTGGAGTCCCCCTATGCTTAATGATACGGAGCTATGACCATAGACTGTATATAGAATGGACTGGAAAACAGCACCCTCTGGTGACGGGCTGCAGTATAGGTCACAAACCCCGCCTCCTCCAGCAATCCTTACGGAGCTGTGGACAAACTTCAGAAATTATACACACGGAATAAAAATTTTCCTCCCCTCGGTTGCGATGTTGATACGTCATTGTAAGACTGGTTTGTGCTCAAGTCCTCTTTTTTCTGTGCAGCTCCGTTTTTAAAAGTTATTCGGGAGGTTCAAGTTTTCATTGATTGACACCTGATACAGCCTATGGGCGTACGAAGTTTGCGTAGCTCACCCGGGGATACGCTTTTTGAGCAGAGCATCATCACAGCGACTCTGCAGCCGAATGCGTACAACAATACTGCGCAAGTGGTGGTTCCAGGAAGTGGAGAAAATCCAGGAAATACAAAGAGCAATTCGGCTTCAAATTCATTTGATGACGGAGGGCGGAGCCAAGTTGTCCATAGTTTATACAGTCTATGGATATGATGTCCAAAGATGGTGGTCACCTCTTTGGAAGCACTGACTCCAACTAACTGCAAACAACCAATAATAAAATATGAATATCTGGTAGCAGGGATACAAACTTTCAGTATTCAAATGTTGTTTTTCTAATTAATAATGGTTATAAATGGTGTTATTGCTCAGCTTAAGTATCTAATCTCTGGAGTAGCAGTTGTTTGTATTTCTCTTCTAAGAGACCTAGTAGAGACCTCAGTGCAGTTCCCAGCTGAGCATCTGTGAGCAACATCTTTAGCCAGTTGTTTTCCAGCTGAATGTGACATGAGACCACACCTTTCCAATCAAGATAAAAACATGTCTGAGTATAATCTCGGACCAGTTCACTGTGTATGTAAAAACACTTAAATTGAACTTCACTCCACTTCATGAAGCTCCTTCTAAAAACATAAGATATACTCTCTTCAGCGGCTGTAAACTTGATTCTGAAACAGGCCGATTCTCCTTTCAGTTACTGAAGTTCATCATGAGCGAGGTGAAGAGCGGTATCCCTGGTATTTGAACTTCAATCTAAAAATCTTATAACTCTACAGAAACTGGAACTTTTTACTAAAAAAGGTGTCTAGTTTTACATCTACAACCACAGCTTGTTTTCATTTGAGAGACATTTCTTGGTTTGCAAACAAAGATGCATTTTTACCTTTCTATGTGTTTTCTTAGAGACTCACAGACTTTGAAAGTATGTGTTTACTGGACTGAGGAAGAAATAAAACTATTCACAATTGGTTCGAAAAAACGTTGTACTTCCATCCTTGAGTCCAAGGCCGACAAAGATGAACAAACTACAGTCAGGAGAAACCGCTCAGTGTTCAGAGCTAAAAAGATGGACTCCTCTGGACCTTAAAGAAGCTGGCTTCAAAACATATGTGAATTATGGGTCAGGAATAAAACCCATTTGAATTTATAACATTGAACTACAGCTTCAGTAGCGTAGATTAATGAAGAAAGTTGAGGTACGGTGTCTCGCTCAAGGACTCTGAGAAAGGTCACAGCTTGGCAGTAGATTGATAGACATTAATTAATGTGAGACAAGATGTATTAAACCTGCGACCTTTCGGATACAGAAGCATAACCAGAGCTCTACAGCTTTCATTGTCCCCTAAAGTTCATTAAAAAGCATTAATGAGGCACAGCTTCACACTGGGTTACATGCGATGTACATGGACAGTTCCTAGATGACTGCTTAATTGAATCCTGTTTAATTTTGACGATTAAAACGCTGCAGAGTCTTTTCAGATCGTCAATCTGAGGCGTTAAAAACATCTGAGTTCACAATTATTCTACACAAATTCTCGGGAAAGGATGAGAGTCGAGAGAACAGAGTGTTCAGTTCAGATAAAAATATGGGACTCCACAGAGCTGTTTTCTGGATGTGCTTAAAGCCCAATCAGAACCAGAACATAAGTCCTAACTGGGCACCAAATAATCTTCTTTAGGGAAATCTTCCATTGAGGTTAAGGGCTAATTCCAACTGTCACTCTTTCCCCTTCGTCTCAACCCTTTGTCTACTCCTCAAATCAAAGGGCCTGGGGGAAGGGGTGAAAACACGCTCCTAAGAAACAAGACTCCGCTCAGTTCCGCTACGTCATCATGCCTTGCTGTTTACACTGAATTTGTCAACGGAGACTGACATCAATGTAACTATCAATCGCTATACCTTTGTTAGTTTCCTTGTCATAACGTGCGATTTTGAAACACAAACCGTTCCAAACATTGCTAATATTTACATGGAGTAGCAAAGGATTGAATATCCGATAAAAAATATATATGTAAGTGTCATTACTATGAAAATTATATCAAAATCTTACCTCTTGCTTTCAAGCAGAGTCGGCGCAAAGCATAAGCGAACTAAGCGCCTGTTTAGGGCCCCGCGGCCAATAGGGGGCCCCCAAGAGCAATAAAAAAAAGTTTATTTTTTAATTTTTTGCATGTATGAGTGATGCTTTCTGTATGATCAAATATATATTATTGTAAAAATAAAATAAAGTAAAAACATTTTAGTGCTGTTGATGTAGGCCTATGATTCTTACTGCCAATACGTCAAAACCCCGCTATTGTTATGTGCCTTCTGCTGTGCAATGTGCACTGAGCATCCAAAGAGCAGGTAGTTGTGGGCAAAACAATGTCACAAAAAAGGACGAATCCTTCAGGAGCAGAGAAAAGAAAAGAGGAAGAGGAAGAGGAAGAATGATATTCTTACAGAGAATTGCGACACTTCCTTACTTGACGTGAACACATAAAACCGAGGTCTAAGGGATTCGTTTGGGATCGGCCCTTATCTTGGAAAAAGCCAACCAGTCATAACATTATAAACACCTAAACCTTAACACAAAAGCTTCACTTTAAATTCTTCTGTTGCAGAGTATCTACCCTATCTGGTCCAAGAACACCAGCTGGTACCAGTACCAACTGACAGCCTCCAAAAATGAGTCGGTTTACAGATCTATAATCGTGTGACATAAACAAACATCAACACTGTGACGCTGACAGAGTGTGATGTTGATGAAAGCCTTGTGTTTTCATCCCCTCAGTGAAGGAGGTAAACTCGGTAGCAGCCGATATTCTTTAATTAAGAAGAAAACACTGTTATCAAGACATCCCTATATGAATCACCCCTTCACTACAGTATGGACTAAAATGATCTTGTATGGTGTCCCTCCACGGAGGAAAAATCCAATTAGCTGTGAAGGACAAAGCCGAGGAGTTCAGGAAGATTCGGTTCCCCTTCAGTGCTTCTCTGGAAGAAGTCCAGACTGTTTACGATGATGGGTCCTTGAAAAAGTTCTTCCTGACAGTTCTCGGAAAATCCCTGAGTCCAAGATTCTGAGTCTAATAAATGTTTGTAAAGAAACTGAATGTATTCTGCTGTAAAAGAATAAAACTTAAACTCTCAGAGTGATAAAACAGCTGCCAGACGTTGTTAATAAAGTTTTTGGATCCAACAATACGGCGGGATTACAGTATGCTCTTTTCAAACGCTTCTTTGCATGTCTTTCTGCTTCTCTGCTGCATCCCAGTCTGATGAAAAGCCCAGAAAGAAGCGTCTCAGGTAAAGGCCACTGTGGAGAGGAGGTCCACCTGAGGGTCTGTCTCCTTCTAATCAAAGAGAGATCAGGTCAGACAGTTGCTGACCAGCGTGGCTCTCCTCCAAACACTCGCCGTAGGAGAGCACCTGCTCTACCTTCTCTTTCTTTCCTCCTCTCCATTCTGCTCTCTGGCTTTTGCTCTCGTGCCCTTCCTCCTTTTTTTTTCTTTACTTTCTGACTTTATTGCTTTTTATTCTCTCCTCTCACTCTCCTCTCACTGTGCTCTAACAGAAGAGAAGAAGTTGCTCTGACAGACAGAAAAAAAAAAGGGTCTGGGGTTGGCAGGCGGGGAGACGAGCTCCTGCTGAGTCCTGACTGTGCTCGGAGCTCTTTCTGCTGCTGGAAACATGTCACTGAATGCACCGCTGATCCCCCCCACCACCACCACCACCACCACCCTCCTCCTTTTCACTTAGCACAAGAGATGAGCTCTAATTCAATTCAAACCACTTTCCACTTTATTTTCCATGAAGAGACTTTTGAAAAGGGTTTTTCGATCCACTTTGCTGATTCTAATGGACGTGGTCTCCCCTCCCTACCTGCGGATCTGTATCACCGCTGTCTGCAGCTGCCATCTTTGGGTCGAACAAATTCCCCTCCAAGGATGACCTGAGCCATTATTCTAGACCATACCCGCTGCTGAAAGTCAAAATCACATTTGGGATACGGATTCAGTTGTAATTCAATACTAATTATGATCCTGGGAGACTTCTTTTGGTCAACAAGCACCTCTGAGTGTAAGTGAGTAAGCAGACATCATCAGCACACTGCAAAGCTTATGTATAATGAAGAGGAGTCCATTAAAACGTCCTCTCCATCAAGTGCAATTCACTTAATGGAAGAGCCTGTTCGGAGTAAAAATTCTGCTGTTTAGAGACGGTTAGAGGAGAACCAGAGAGGCCTGAGAGCTTCGCACTCTCTCACACGTGTTCCTATCTTTGTAAAATATCCTCCTCCACTTGTCTGATGGCCGAGCGAGCTGACAAAAGTGGATTAAAGCAGCGCTGTGTTCAATAACAGCTTGTTTCAGGGGACATCTCTGATCTTTTTTTCTCTTTAGGGAACACACGGCGCTCACTGCAGCCCATTTTCAGGACTCATGAAATGCTTTTATTCAATTTTACCTGTGCAGGCCGGACAGAGGGCTCGTAAAGACGCCGTGTCCATCATCTGGATGGGGGATTTTGTGCTCAGATGTGATTTTCAGTGCAGCCTTTATATTACATCTAAGATTGGGCTATTATCTGCTTTCTGTCTGAGTCAGTCTTGGTTCTGGACTGGATCGAGCTGAGTGAGATCCGAAATCATGTTGTGGGGCTTGGGAGGAGCAGCTGAAATCATCCATTTACAGGAATAATCATCTGTTTTGTTTACAGAAGCGTGTTTGTCCGTCTAAATGGATGGTATAACATTTTAAAAAGTCATTTGTGCATCACGTCTTCACTTCACTGTTAAAGCTTTGGCTTCATTTTGGTGTTATTATTCTCTCTCAGCGCTTGTAATCACCCCAGCTTCTCTCTGTTCATGCTCCTTCTGTCCCTTGGCTTTTCAGACACACACCAACACACACACCTGCCTTCTCATTCAAACTATATTTCCATATTTTTAAATTGATCCAGAGCAGACTCCACCTTGTAGGCACAGCTCTTTTTTTCCTTGACCTGGCACCTGGCTGCTCTGCAGCATCCTCACAGGTTAGAGGGTGAATGATCCTGAGATGAGCCCTTAAATTTGAAGTGTTCCCATCTCTCGCTGTCACTGTCTCGTTGCAAACCCTGCGTGCAGTCTTGTCAGAATTTTCCAGCTCCCCCTTGTCACTTGGGCAGCATCTTTTTTAAGGACCGGCTCACTCGGTGTGGGCGCTCCATTTTTCCCTCCTCTAACTGGCAGCTGTCGAGTGGCAATGAGATGTCCATAAACCAAGACTAATATCATCAACCATTGAGCTCTGTACTATCAGGAGCTGGACGAACATTAGACATTAAAGCTTTTATGATTTTGTCTTTATGTGGAGAGGATAGGACAGTGGACAGATACAGATGAGGAAACCAGGAGAGAGAGAGAGTGAGGAGTGACATGCAGGAAAGAAGCCACAGGTCCAAAGCCAACCACTCTAGGCATTGGCCAGCTGCACCCCGTCATTATTTTGATGGAAACAAAACTGATACCGCTCCAACTTTAAACACCATGGGATACTTTACTGCCATATTACTGCCCAAGCTCAGAGCTGGAAGACATGCACGAAAAAACAACAACAAAGACATGGCACAAGCACGCTATCCTGTGGTATTACTCCAAAATGCCACAGAAGTCTGCGTTCACAGCATCAGATTTTAGTCCTATCTGCATAACCGTGCAGTTTGCCTCTTACCGACACCGAGGTTGTGGCAGACCTCTATCTGCATATAAATCACGATTGTCTCCAGCCGTGCTAAGTCAAGGTCAACGCCCTTGCAAGCTCTTGTGAGGACTGCACAATGGGAGTGTGGCCCAACAGGAACATGGTGAAATCATGTAACATACAGAGATATGCAGACAGAATGGGATGAGGTTGGTATCTGCAGGGAAAAGCTGTAAAGTTAATCATCTACATTAGCAGATACAAAGACTCCTGTTGATATATGCAGCCTTTAAGGTGATGCATTAATTATAGACACAGGATGACAGCTCATGCAGGCCAACAATGAGCTTCAATATGTCAGCTGAATGAAAGCACTTTGACGAGTCGGAAACTGACAGCAAAACAGCAACCTGGAATGACTGCAAAGTGCAGCTGACGTGAGGAGGAGCACAACAACACGCCTTTAACAACGCCAAGTTAATTATGCATCTCATTAATCATCATCCTGAACGGCAGCGAGACTTTTCTGTAAAGTAAGAACGAACCTGTCAGCAGCCTGGACTTCAGAAAAACTGCAGCGACCGCAACTTCTGCATTCGAGGAGGAACACATCCATCATTTACAGGAGAATCAATCGGCATTTGTTTTGTTTTATGTTTGTTTTAACACAAATAGACTGTCGTAGTCAGACTAGGAGCAAAAGATGATTAAAAAAAAGTGTGTTTATGTTGATATATGAGTTTGATATGAACATATGAGCATGTATAAGGGCTGAGGTGAGGTCGTAATCTTTATTGATGGTGATTTTTGTTGTTGTGGAGAGACATAAACATGAATATTGAGGTTACACAGGAAGACAGAAAAAAACTGCTTAAACAATGATATTATTTATTGCATGCTGTTTTTCTATTTACATTTTTACTGTTTAGTTTGTTTCCGGTGTCTCTTGTGTATCGGTTGTTAATTTTTATGTTTACAGATAGCCACTGTAACTAAGCCGAGGCTGTAAATACTGTTATGATCAGTGTAGCGGTACTATGTTTGCCTTGTATTTGTCCCTATAGAAATATAAAGTGATCAAGATTAAAGTGAATTTAGCTCAGCTGAGTCTGTGCTGTAAAGATCATAGTATATAATCCACTGATTATGTTTATAGTGTAATTTTAAAAACCCTGATTTGTGTCACTTTTTGACAGAACTGTAAAAATCGTCACAGTGAATGTATTTTACAGATAATCCAGCATGCGTGAAACTTTTACTCTAATTTCAGATGATTAACATCCAATTAATTTGCTGTGAAAAAAGATGAAGCAGAGCCTAAGGTGGTGAATTAAAATTTCTTTTTTAATCAGCCTGTTTTATCAGAGCCTTCTTTTAATGGTTCAACCAAATCCTGCACTTTTTCATGTGTAAGCCCTGATATTCAGGTGGTTTTGCAATGAAGCTTTTTGGGCTTCATTTTCAAACATTCATTCAGTGGTTTCTCCCAAACCTACGTACATGTGTGCTCTTATATTCCCTTTACATGTCTTTATTTTGCACCCTTATAACAAACGTGATTAAATTAACCTAAAGATGGTCGATAAAGTGTCTTATACTTACAAAAAGTTCAGAAAAAGAAGAGAGTTTTGATGATGAATGATTATTTATGTTTAGTTTAACTTTGAGTGAATTAAAATGTTGTGACGACTCAATATTTAGTTTCTTACACAAGTTTTATGAAATTTACCTTCATTAAAACTGATTAAACTGGAGTAAAGAGTAAATCAAAAGCATGAATCTCATCCCATCAAACATGGTCCCTGTCCACATCCAGATTGATCCACCAATAAAAATTAAATCAAAAGCAAAACTAGGTGATCCAGATTAGGTCACTTCAAATCTTACAACTCAGTTCATGTGACTCAGAAAGATTCCAGCGATGCCGTCCTCCTGTACAGCAGCCTGAAGCGACAGCTCCTCCCGAAAAAGCAATTTCCTCGCCCCATTAAACTTTCAAATACGACATTTTCTGAAAATACGAAAACTGCTGAGAGAGCCAAAAAATCCAGACAAAGCATATGAAGAAAAAAAGACGCCCCAGTAAGGAACCACAGGTACAAGAGTCAGCGAGGCTAATGCTAATTCAGGTGACCAGCGTTAGCACGGAAGTAAAGGAGGCGTTCAAGCTAGAAAGTTAGCTGTCAGGTTTTCTGAATAAGGACTGAGATTTCAGGTGGAGGAACAGCACAGAACGGCACTGCTGTGTAAATATATGATAAACATGACGATATTTTACCGTTAATGATCAGAAGAAGATGAAGATATCTGTGAGACGCACTCAAACTTTGACCCCGCCCTCTTCCTGTCACTGTGAGCTGTCGTAATCATCACTCACTAGCTACGTTTACATGGAGCCAAATATTCCGAATATAATCGGAATAGAAGCCCAATCGGAATGAAAATGCTCCATATAAACACCTCATTCGGAATAAACAGGCCCATTCCGAATGGAATTTCATTCCGATTCACAGGGGTAGAATATTCCTTTTCCCATTCCGATTAAAAGCATAATCCTGTCATGTAAACAGTGAATCGGAAAGTTGTCAGGCTGGGTTCTGTCTGCGCAAGCTCTGTCCTGATGTAAACAAGCAGTGACGTATGACTCACATGGAAACATGATGGCGGCTTCCAAGCAGAGCACGATGCACTGGTCTGCGTCGGAGATCACGTGATCAATCAATCACGTGATGTTTGAAGGTATCACGTGTCTGTAAATAGCTGTTCCGATTGAATGCCGTGGCACATGTAAACACCAGATCAGAATAGATCGCTTCCATGTAAACAGTTCGCCTGGGAGCTTCAATCGGAATGATTATAATCCGAATGAGAAAAAAGTCTGCATGTAAACGTGGCTACAGAGAAGTAGACGCACAGGAAACGGGGAAAAGGAAAAAGTAAGAATGTAGAACAGCTGTGAGAAAATACAGACAACTTTTTATAAAGATGCTAAACGAGGAAAGAGGAAGAAGTGAGAGATTTAAACGCCAAATATACTGACGGTGGGAAGCGGCCATACTGAACGATTACGGGTCATATTTGGTCTACAGGATTCGAGTTGAAGAGGCTCTGATTGGAGGGTTGTTGAATGAGTGTGCAGGAGGATCACCTTGTCCTTGGCATAGGTGAACTCTTCAGCCGCTCAGTTCTCAGTATGTTCTGAATCAGAGACAGGCTGGCAGCCCTGAACTGTTCATCTAATTGTGTTGTCATTATTGTGTGAATTCAGTGTATTTTGGTCATTTTGTTTTGTCGAATTAAGTCTCAGGAAAAAATGTATCTGTGAACGCTCAGCAGATTTGATCCTTTTGAATTATTTTTGAGACTCAATCAACAAATCGATCACAATGTCAAAACAAGAGACAACCACAGAAAACCTCTGGGGACAAAAAGACTAGAAGCCATCAAAGTCCAGGAGGAGGCTGAGAAGCAGATGATCCTGTGGGAGGAGCCCTTAGTAAAGAAATCAATATCCCTAATTAACCCCCACTCCAATGAGACCTTGGATGAGGATGAGGTATTTTCTGGGCTTGAGGACGCCAAAGACAACTCCTCAGCTCCATCCTTCTGAACCCTCCTCATAAGACTAACTTCACCCACATATCTCATCTTCACCTCCAACCCTTTTCCCTCCAGGCGCTCCGGTTTCCCCCATAAATTTAATAAACAGATCAATAAAATATGAAAATATATACACATTTTTTTAAAAGTGACTTTTCTCCATTTTCACTTAAATTTCAATCAAATTGAATAAATAAATGAATTCAAAAATGTGAGTTTTGCACAAACGACTGATTTGACCTTTGAATATTAATGCTATCAGGTCTCTGAAAACAGGGTTGTAATCTCTTTTGTTTTGAGGAATTTTTCATTATATATTAATCAGACCACAGATAACAAAAATCAGGCAGTCTGTCAAACTTTCACTGCATCAGTTCTGCAAGCTTCCCACGACCACTCGAACCTCTGAAAATGTCTTTTCCCCCAGAAGCTTGGATAAACTGGGGTCTAAAAAAAGGTCTGAAACCAGTTAAACACTCAAAATGACCTCCTCTACATGCATTTGGCAGCCCTGCGTGGTTCTGAAGGAGTCAGGGGGCCGTCTATGTTGGAGTTTGAGAACAAGCTAACACATGATGTACTGGAGATCCCCATGACAACAGAGCTGAACATAAAGCACAGAGGGGAACCTACCCTGAAACGTCCACTTCACAGAGAAAGGGAACACAGTCAGTGATACGTGATTTAGCAATTACTTAAGACGCCACATTAAGACATTTCATGATTTTTTTAAAGTCATTTTTACAAGAATAAAGTCATCAAAAAATGGAGTCTCAGCGTTAAGAGAATAAAGTGATATTGTCAAGAAAATAAAGAAGTAGTCTTAAATTCATGAAAATAAAGTCATCATATTATGAAAGTGAAGTCTTGATTAAATCGTAGTTTTGGTTTATGGTGAGCAACCAGCTGTCTGAGCAAAAATAAAGAAGTTATCAACTTTATTATCTGAAGAAAATGGTTTTAATACGACTTTATCCTCATGAAAATGTGATTTTACTACGACTTAATGCGTCATAATTACATGATTTAACTACAACTCTATTCTTGCATTTCTTCTGCTACTTTATTCTATTAATAAATATTCTATTTCAACTTTATTCCTGTAAAAATACAATGTTTGTACGTCTTCACTCTCCAGGTAATTGTGTCTTCTTTCACAATTGTACCTTTTTGTATCGACCACATAACGTTCTACGTCTCACTCTTCTAGTCATTTCAGTCCTCTCCAGAGGTCATTTGCGATGTTTCTGCCAGCATTACTGCGTCTCTGCCGCTCTCTCTCATAATAAAGCTCCACAGAGACACTTATATTTTTCTGCATTGAGCTGTTTTTATATTTTTATTTATTTGTTTTTTGTGCGTCTGAATTTCATCAGCTCAGCGGAGAAATTCGATTTTGTGCATCAAGTGAAGAAGAAAAAAGCTTTCTAACCTGATACCGGCCGACATGTTGGCAACAACATTCAATTATGTGATAGAAGTAAAGGTATATATACGAGAGAGAAACACCCTGCAGGATTATCAAACAGGCTCTTTTTTCCCCCCTCATTTATTTTGTGAGTAACTCCACCATGACTAATCTGTCCTTGTGTTCCCAACTTTGAATCAACATAATGAAGTCAGGATTCAATGTAAACTGCATTTTTAATCTGCTGGTGGCCAAACGATCTCCGAGTATCTGAGAAGGCCAGGAAATATTTATAACCCCATCTTTGTTTAATATTAATATCCTCCAGCTCTGACGGCTAATGACACAGCCTGATGTGAGATACAAATTGGCGTCGAGTGTCATTAGCCTCTCTAATATCTTTGAACTTTCACAGTGTTATTCTCCATCATTCTTCGAAGCAGAAAGACACCAGCGGCGGCTTTTTCTGCGTTAGTAAACTTTCCTCCATTAGACATCAAATGAATGAAGAGATTGCTGGATTCTTACATCAGATTTGCAGATAAAACGTCCCTCTCTAGGACTGAATTAGGGCAGCACTGCTGGAACCTCTCTGTGTTGCGTTCGGCAGACCTGATGTGCCGGCCCTGATCAATAATAAAGTAATCGGGGAAGTTGTGTGCGATGACTCACTCGCCCGAGGCCAAAACAGCTGATGACTAAAACTGCTGTGGCAATTGCCTCTAATTACTAATTAGCACCCAACCGCATTCGATTCTTTGACTTTAATACCTCCCTGTGGTTCAATTAAAACCCAGCTTAATGAAATTAATAGTAGTGCAGGGAGTATAATCATGAGAAAAATTTAATTTACATCACATGTGTTTGCAGAGCGCCTTAATCTGCTCCTCCATCGCAGCATCATGAGTAAATAAAGTCAATTTAAGCTGTGTGTGTTTCCTCAAAACTCTGCTGTTTATCATTATTACAGGATTAGAGAATCTGGCTAATATGAGAGGGCGAACAATATGTCACCAGGCTCAGAGGACAGTGAAGAGTTTGACGGCTCTCTACAGCCATCTAGTGTCCAAATGTGTTAATCACAGCAGGTTTTTATACAAACAGGTGTTTAAATTCACCTGCTCACCACACGGTGGAGCCAAAGGCAACCCATTACAACACTGTTATCACTCGAGTCCACTTGAACAGAGTTATTGAACTGAGCCTGAGGCTGCACACTGACAATGCGTCCAATTATGAAACTAAACAGTGAGAGCTGTTAGTGATTACAAACGCCAGTAAATACAGTCGAAACGAGCGTCAAAACAACCACACCGTTCATCAGACTTACAATCAGCATGAATCTGAGTTTACAGCTGCAGCCACCCCACACAGTTCACCCTCTCAGAAACGTGTGACTCAGCGTGTCATTAGTGGAGAAATCAATACCACTAATGAGAGGTGTTCCAGAGAGAAATTAAAGTCTAGTTAGTTCAGATGCAAACACTAAATGAATTAAGCCTGCAGCACTTTCAGCTAAAACAAGAGAGAGACTCACTGTCGGTATCACAACTAGGCCGAATCAGCTCCATTGTGACTCACTGCAGAGACAGAATTAACGAGAATCTCAACTTTTTTAATCTAAAATGTTATAACTTGTACTATCCTTAATAATATCTCCATGAACTGATTTAATTGGGATCAGTCCTTCAGTCTGGTTTCTTATGAAGGATTGAGATGAGGGCTCCTATCAGGTCATCACAAAGTTGTCTGTTTCTATATGCTGCCTTTTCTCCCAGACTCTGCGACCAAAAAGTTCATCTCTTTAAATCAAAACTCGACTTTTTAATAATCAACCCAACAGAAAAATCATCATCAGTCGAGGAAATTTTTACCAAAGAGCAAATCCCTTAAGTCATCGTGAAGAGTAAAAATGAAAATTAGTCATATTATCAATTTCATCAGGATCAAAACGGTGCTAATAACCAGTTAAGTGTTGAGCTTAAGGAAAAACATGAAAACTAATTAGTCAGCCTTTGTAAGAGTGGAAGATTATTCCAGATGGTCTCTGATGAAAAAGCTAATTTACTTCATGTGTTCAAACTTTGAAGTCTCTGGATGTTTTTTAATCTTCTTAATCATTGTAATTATAATATTTATACCAAGACCAAGACCTGAGGGTAACAACGGAGTCTATCAGCAGCACTGTTGAGCCAAAAATCTACATGAGTGAAAAACAACATGACAAAAACAAAAATCCCAGCTCACCTCTGCTCCACCTCCCTGATGGAGTCCGTCAGGTTGATGGTTTCCATGGTGATCTCAACTTTCCGAACACTCCCAAAGAAATCTGTGATGAGGACGCTCCCTGGGTCCCTCAGGAAAAGGTCAGTACGGTGGCCTGGAGTGGACACACACTGGCTCTTGGGGCACACTTTAAACTAGAGAGGCACAGAGAGAGAGAGCACAAATAACAGAAATAAACACGGACTGTTCCTTTAAGAGCCAGTCAAAAAAACATAAACAAACATCAAAACTATGTTAATACTAAAAATAAATCTACTCATGGCGCTGTGAGGAGCTTAAGCTGGGAGAATAAATCACACAGTGTGGGTCCTTTAAGCCAGGAGACGGGGGATTTAAATACTCAGACAGTGACAGCGAGCAGCAACAAGTCGCCATCTGCATCCAACATGGCTCCAGCTCCAGTGGGAGGTGTTAAAATATGTGTCAGTGTGCGGAGAAGATTAAAGGCATGAAGTCTGACATTTGTGCATGTCATTATCAATTACAAGCCTTTCCATGCCTGGTGTGTTGCCACTTGTGGGTTAATTCTCTCTGAATGTGTGATTCATCGGCGTGCTGTCCGACTCCGCTCCCCGCTTGAAAAGAAAATAAAATCATTAAAGTGAGCGGCACGTTATCTCCATCAACCAAATCAGACTTCAAAACACACGAGTGGTGGAGGATTTTGTAGAAGGGCGGAGGCAATTCTGTCGAATCAAAGGGGGAGCGTTTTCAGACAGGGTAAAAAAAGGAGAAACTTGCTGGGCTTGTCAGGGAAATCCATATTATTGATCCTTAATTCCACAAAATAGCACCAGAACAAAGAGTGCATCTGCAGAAAAAGGAAAATTGGCACTCAGCCGGAGCTCAATCAATGCGCTCCGACTTAAGCTTATTATTCTTCTTGGAGTCCAGGTTTGAGGTGGTTTTGATTGTAGCTCCTGTAGAGGCCGGGTGGGCAGTGAAGATGAGGGGTGATCCCTGAGGCCTGAAGATCTCTGCAGGAGTGGAAAAGATAAAAAGGGAGGTGCTGCTGAGACCGAACCGGGGGCCCCGGAGCAGCATGAACTCACCATCACCACGGCCGTGTGTCAAAGGCCAGCAGCCTCAAAACAGAATCAGGTATTCTGCTTCATGTCCAGAGTCCTGTGAGTCTGAGTGACTTTTATCTGGATGCTTTAGGAGCAGAAACTTGAAAAGCAGGAAGCAGAAGAAGAGGAGGAGGAGGACAGACACTGTGACTACTAAAGGGACTAAACCCCTGATGCTTTCAGAGGAACTGAGTCACTCCGCCACATTTGTGAGCCGCAGAATTATCTTTCAAAAGTAATTTTCACTCCTCAACAAGTTAGAGTCATTTACAACTGTAAGATATGTCTATCAATCCAACGACCAATCAAATCAATTAGTTTTAAGTACTCACAGTGGTGATGTAAGACCTTAAATGCTCTGCTGGGTCCTGCAGTGTTTGACATTTCGGCTAACTCTTAGTCATTTAATCAGTCAGAACCCGAACTTCTTACTGGGGTCAGTTTCAGAAAGGAGGTTCAACAAGCTCGAAGTCCAACCCTAAACTCTGAGTTGATTTACCTCCTGATAGGAAACTCTGAGTTTCTAGTTTCAGAGCAGCTGATTTAGGGTCCGATTTTGAGGACTCACTCTGATTACACCTAAAAACCAGCCTGAACGAAGCCCTAATACTCCAAAAAAACATGGCAGCAGCAGGCAGTTCAAAAAGCTCCTCCTGCTTCACTCATGTGGGATTAGAAATTCTGATGTGCAAGTGCAGCAAGTTTGAACCTATCTTTTGGTGGAAAAGGAACACACCTGCAGCAGCAGAAGAGAGAAAACTGCTGACTGAATTGTCACTTAAGGACTTTTGACATGTGGACTTAAATTTACATCTCAACTCTTTGCTGATCTCCTTCTTTACGTGCCAAGTTTGTATTTTCTGGAAAAACAATCTCACTCTGCTGTGTTTTTACTGTCAAATCTGTCACTTACTGTGGATATTTGCATTGCAGAAATTGTCCATCTTGTAACCGAGCCATTAAGAGATTTCAGCATTGATTTTAGGCTGTTTTGTAGCCAGTTAAAACTCCTCACAGGAGCTTTAAAAAAGCAGCCTTATCATTAAATAACAGCACATGCATGATGGGTAATGTGAGGGTTAGTGGGCTCTTACAGGCCAAGAGAGTTTCATACACAAACGAATGTAAAGAGAAAATTACCTGGAATCCAGTCAGAGTCCAAAAGCAATTAAACCACAGGCTCTTAGATGAAATCCACATGCTGGGTAATGAATTTAAAAATAGCCATGTGTCAATCCAGCCACACTGTTAGCAGGTTTTTTGAACCCGTGCATGGATTCGTTACCTGTGAGCAGATTTCTGCAGTGTAGTTTAAATCACAGTCTGACGCCTTCCTGAACTACAACAGTTTCATACATTGACAACAACAGCAAAGTTTTTTCTCTGTCAGTGCTTTTTTTGTTTGCAGAGCATAAAGAGGCCTCGATCTTTATATAAATCTATTTTGCAGCCAGTTAAAAACTCCCCAAAGGAGCTTTAAATGCTTTTGGTTTTAAAGTAGGAATGTAAAAGTATCTAAAGTTGTGAATCTTGACGACCGGTGAACCTCTCCTATTGTTACCAGACATTAGAGACTCAGTAATTAAGCATTAGTTTAAAAATTAGTTATCACTCTGTAGTAGAGATTAGGGATGTCCCAATCTGATATTGATATCAGTCCGATATCAGCAAAAAAACAAATATCAGATTATAATGGCCTGCATCTAAAATCTCCAATATCAGCACTCTGATACAAGCGGTCCATTCCAGACTCCACTCCAGCACTTCTATCAGGCAGCGCCCAGATCCAGCATGAAGAGCCCATGTGATCACAATAACAGTGTGTACTCAGCTACTAACTTAGTGCAAAAGTTGTACCGGGACACCCCTTGTAGGGATGCACCGCACATGATGTTGAATGAGATCCTCACCAGGTCGTTCATGTTGGCTTTGCTTGCAGGGTGGATGTCCTCCAGAAACTCCAGCAGGTAGAAGGTGTACCGATCCATCAAGTGGACTCCTATGGCCAGATCAGGCTGGTGCTGAAATAAACCAGGAGCAAACAAACACATGAGCAGTTTCTCTGCTTTGTATTTTTCTTCTATTCTTAGTTCGATTAGTTCAGCTTCCTTTTTTTAGAAAGACGACAAAATTATCTTTTTGTTGTAAATGAATTAAAAAAAAAAAAAAAAAACAGCAGCCCTCTGTCTGCCCTCAGAAACAATCCCTACCCTCTGAACGTACGACTACAAAACTGTATTTTTTGCACAATCATAGAGTAATTATGGTGTAATTTAGAAAATATAACCACAGTCTTATCATGGGAACAACTGTGACTCACCGACAAATTGATTAATGGAAAACACGCTCGAGCTCACAGGAAATAATATTCTAAAACACTGCACTTGTTTTCAGAGCAGAGCTTCTGTAATTAGTGAGTGTAATCAGCTTAAACTACACCCTGGTTATAATTTCTCACACTTTGAAGATATAAATTGGGTAACAGCGCTTCTTGTGTTTTCAGAGATTAAACTAAGAGCATAAAGGTGAAGAAGATTTTTAGGTGATGAGGTAAGCAGCTGAAGGAAACCTCAAATCCTCCCTCTCAGTGAATTCTGCAAAGCTTCATTTATCCTAACCTCACAACAACGACAAATGCAAGGCTTCGTTTTTAAGACAGTTTCTCCCGGTGGTTGTGTATGACGTTACTCAATATAGTTTTAGTTTACTTCATTAGATTAAAAAAAAACTATTCAAACCCTCACCGTAACATTTTAAAGCTCCCATGAGGAACCTTCAGTTTGTGTCTGTTTTGGCGCCCCCTGTGGACAAAACATTTCTCCACATTTAAAATAATGATTTAAAATCCATAAATCTTGTCTCAATATGAATTTTGTTAGTTTTTTATTAGATTTAAAAAACTTTTCAAATGAGATTTAAGTCAAACAAAAGCACATATTTAAAGCTGTAGTGAGGAACTTTTAGTTTGTGTCTGTTTTGGCGCCCCCTGTGGACAATGTGATTGAGAAAAGTTAAAAAACCTGCTATCAATCATCTGGTCTGACTCCTTCCCCCTTCCAGCAGTTACAGGCCTCAAAAATTACTACAGGGGAATTGTAGACCTTGTTGCTGATGGTTTTGTTTGCTTTTAAAGATCATAAAAGTCCTTCTCTTTTTTCTTTGTATGGATTCATGACAGAGTGCAGATGTTTCGTACCTCCAACCTTCGGTAAGTAGACCAGATGCTAATTATTATAATTTCACATGAGAACTTTAGGATGAGGATTCTGCCCTTGAAGTCAAATACAGACAAGTATTCAAGGTTTTAATTTTGTCTGTTTTTGTCTGTACCGTATAGGACAGGAAACAGGACATGACATCCCACAAGGTGATGAGGACCGAAGCCTCTTTATAGGGGACACAAACTTTTATTGGAGTTTGGAGAAATATCAGAAAAACTTTAGAGAGTCAGCAGTTTCTATTTGATCACTGATCTGTGATTTTTAAAGCATCAAGTTAGGGAACTTTTATCTTGTGTTAAGTTTGGCGCCCCCTGTGGACAAAGTAGTCATCCTTAATGTCATCCCTGCAGATTTGTCTTGTAAATAGTCAAGGATGTTTTTGACAGGAAATTTTATCCTACTTTGTTTGAAGTAACTAACTACTAACGACTTTGTCTACTTGTCTGAAGTGTGCTGTCTTACCTAACGTCTACCTGCTGCACCAGAATTAAATTTTACAACATAGAAATAATTAATTGTTTCACAAACCATCATATTTTCTTCTCCAGGAAACACAAAGACATCACTCTAAACACTCACTGACAGAGAGTCCTCTCCAACTTGACTGCTGGCCAAGGCCATGAGGTTTGGAGAGTAGAACCTCTCGTACATGGAGGCTCCCTGACAGGTATCGATGATGAAGAGCAGCTCGTTGTACCTGGAGACACACACACACAAACACACAAATAAATATACACACATACACAAACACACACAGGTATATCATCGTATATGATCTCAAATAAAAATGGAGGAGACAGAGCTGGCATATCACTCATCCATTTGCTCCAATAAAACCTGCTATCACACAAACCCCCAAACCATCTTTCATACTGCAGTTGCCATGGTGACCAAGGAAAACCAACAGCTCCATTCAGTCCCTCTCTCACACACCCCCGCACACACAGCGCCCTCCTCTCTTTCTCCCTCCATTAAAAGACAAATTCCACTTTAACTCCTCTCCCCCGGTTTAGCCCGACGTGATGAGACTCTTATTTTCAGCCGTCTGGGTCCGAGGTGGTTTGGGGAGGACGGAGGAAGACGGTCAAGTCTCTATGGCGACTGTGATTTGGCACATCAAGCGTACAATTATCACATCAGCATCAGAGCTATTATTACAGCGGCCCGCCGTGACTGACTGGAGCCCAGACGGTCTCGGTTTGGACGACAATAGAGGGGCTGGTGGCCGAGAGACACTTTGGGTCTCTGAGTGTCTCGCAATTCACAAATTTAACAATGCAGCAGCTGAAAAGGGAACTGATTTATTCATTAGAGCTTCGGTTTATTTCACTGGTTATCTTAGTTTGGACAATGACAAACTCTGCGGGAACAAAATAGAGCAGAAACACACGAGCTGCTCAAGCCGGCATACTTTCAAATGACTGTATTTATCATGATGTGAGAATATAACGTAATATACTTGCAGTGTAGTCTTGCATTTGTGTGTCATGAGCGTAATTGTAAGTATGCTTGATAACATACTTTGAATCTCACTGCAGGAAACCCCCAGAGAGCCGAGGCTGTAAAGACACAACCATCTGAGGAAATTATAACCTCAGAGAAATGAGGAAGATCACGGGGGTTACTGTTGCATTGATTCTGGGTTTTGTCAGCCTGGTGATTGACAAATTGAGCAACCTCAGGCAACTGAAGACCAGAGAGACAAGAGCGATCTGAGCACCAGCTGATCGTTTTTTTCCAGCATTTCCCTCTGCGCTCAGACGTCACAGTCTCTGAGTTATTTCCATCGGGTTTTGCAGGTTCCTGCATCGACTACTAAAGCTGAACTTATTAAGTTGTCTCAACTGTCATGTCTGTTGTAGAGACTTTTTGCCGTTGTCGTCACTGCTGCTGTGTTGACCGTCACATCCTCTCTGCCTCTCGGTCTGTATCATGTTCATTTTTCATGACGTGTGCAGCCATCATGCATTTGCAAACATCTGGTTAACTGCAAGCACATCTATGGCCTCCGGAAGACACAAACAAGGACAAAATACCAGATAGAAATAATAAAATGGTGCAGAAAAGGCAAATATAAAAGACCGTTCAGAAGGAAGGTGAAGGAATAATAGAGCCGAAAAGTTTTCCCACATGGTCCACCTCTAATGCTGAATATTTCCCCTGAGGAGAAGCAATAGTTTGCTGTTTACGTGGCTCATAAAGCTGCAGTGCAGAAAGCTGAAAATATATCAGGTTTAAAGAGGCAAAAAGGGAACAGAGGAGGTTTTATTTCATGAGCCTGAAATGAAAGCATAAATACAGTATATCTAACACTGCCTTTGTCCACAAATCATAGGGGAAAAAAGAGTTTGTAACTTTCAGGGTGTAAAAAGTTACACACTTCTTCTCTCAAGCAGCTCTTAGAGACAAATAACCCCCACAGAAAATGATCACATCACTCTTTAACTCTCACCAGCTGTGTGGAGCATCTGGATGTATCAGCTACATACGAGGGTAAAGCTGAAGTTTCTAGACATACTGCCTGTTTCATGAGTGAGCCATAGAAGACCAGTGGGTGCATTTATAAGCATCACTTTTGTTTGCAGTTTGAGTTGCAAGTTTGTTGAGCCTTTGACTTATTCAAGAAGTGTTGCTGACATGCGCTTGGGTGGACTCGCTGCCTCATCTAACGGCTGCATCAGCATGAAAAATGTAGAAGAAAGTCAGTCAGAACTTTGAAAAGATGTCGCCTTGCTTTGAACTAAGACGCAGCTTTTAGTTTTAGTTGCCAGTCGCCTTAAACGTTGAGCATTCAGGATTCAACGCAGCTTTAAGTGCTCACATTACATGAGCGCTGTTGTTTGATTCTGCTTACAGCAATATTCAATTATCACCGCCGGTAAATACTGCAGCTAATGGCCACCGGGCACCGAATTAAAACCTTCAACTTATGCAAAGTTCTGTTAAAAACTTCAGCCATCAACACACTGACACAGCTGAGTCATAAATGATGCACCTGCACCCTGAGTGGGGTGTGAGCAGAGAGCTTTCTGATGTCTGAGCCATTAGCAGCACATATTTACATTCCTTACAACTCTGCATTACACGACTAAAAGACGACCTCGTCTCCCCAACAACAACAGCAGCAGCACCTATAGAAGGCGCTCTTATCCTCATTGTGGACTCTGCTGTTTAATGTTTGTTGACGTGCTGTGCAGGAAAGTAACCCTGAAGGACCAAGTGAATAAACAGTGTCTGTTTGAACCTCCCAAGGCCTCCTTTATGCATCTTGTTTTCATGCTAATCTCTGTGTAATTTACCTTCTTTTCTGCCACATCTGCTCAAAAGCATCAGCCAGCTCCACATTACTGATCTCCTCCGAGTCCTGGAACTTCAGAAAGCCGTTCCCACCGTGTCCTGTCAAATAAACACATCCGATCAATAATTCAGCCGTCTGTGATTCATAATGCAAAGTGTGATATATAATGCAAAATAATAAGAGAAAGAAGGAGGCTGGCAGCAGCGTACAGAGTGAGGGAGGGAAAAATTGACTCTGCATTAACTAGGGGCCTGTGGCTGCAATAAAGTACGAAAACGAAACGATGAAAATTAGGAAAATAAGCGACGTTTCTAACTTTTCAAACATCAGAAGTTGTTTGTTTGATGTTTGAAGATGTTTTTAATCCCTAATATAAGAAAGAGTACAATAAAGCTCTGAACAACACATACAGACTGAATACTTAGAGTTTCAACTACCCGTCAGGTAAATGAGGATGTTGCTCCGGTCATCAGAGAGGAGGCGTTTGGAGCGTGGAGTACTGGGTGGGAGTCTCCCCGTTAAAACACGCAGGAAGTTCTCCACTGTCACCTGAAACACCGACAGGAAACAGAAAGGATAGATCAGGAGAAGTGAAGACAATGCACATTAGATTAAAGAGATAGGGGCTGATTATTAACATGATTGTACAAGATAAAACTTTCAGCAAGAAGAACACACGATGCCTAATCTTAATTTTTCATCTGGGGTTAACTAGAGAGTAAAATTAAATTGAAAATTAAAGACAGAGATCATTGTCTTTCTCTCTGAGGTTTTCTTGCATTTCAGCTTTGCAGCAAACACTAACAGAGCAGATCATGTATCAGCTGAATAAGCAGAGTTAATAATCAAATACCAATCAGGGTTAAAGTGGATTTGCCACTAAGGATCAACAGTTTCATAACGAAGGCACTCTTGAATGATCCTCTGATTTTTTTTTACTCATTTAATCTTTAGGAAATAATCAACCTTCATGTCCTCAAGGTTTAACTCAGAAAAAGACTGTAATTACTTAGGAAAGAGCACTGATCATGAGGTTTTTCTTTCAATTCAAACAGATTTAAAGTCGTGAAATAAACTACATTTGAACAAGATGAAGTGGAACTGCCCGACTGGACTGCAGTGTGAACCAACCTCATATCCCCGGTAGTCCACCTCCACATCATCACCGTACACATTCAGCTCCATGTTCTTGTGGCTGAACACTGTAGCAGGTTTGGGGTTTCTATGGTTACAAGCCATGTCATCCGCCAGCATAAGAACTATGTGGCTGGAAAAAAGACAAGATGACAAAAGCCATTGATTGTTAATGAATTGAATCAGGCGCAGGGACTCGCTTTGTCAGACAAATGTTCAAATAGACTTAAACACACAGAGCGTGATAATTAATAACCGTCATTCAAGCAAAACCTCATGATTAAGGGCCGAACCCACCTGAGAAACACAGACCAGCACAAAGAGAGAGAAACAGAGCGAGACTTCAGCGTTTTTCACAGAACATAATCAATACAATTGTCATCCTATCATGGCATAAAACAGGCAGCTGTATAAACTAACAAAAACAGCCACAGTTTGAAGGCAGATGCCCTCTACAGTTAAAGAAAATAAGTCTGTTTGTTAAAGATGAAGACAAGCATAGGTGTAGGGCTAAACTGGCTCAAACTGCAGAATTTGTCTTAACTAGAAATTCCTTACAGCCCAGTTAAAAGACTCAGGAAAACTTAAATCTGCAGTCCACACACAGCCTGAGTACTCAGGTTTGATTCCACTCAGTGGTACAGGTTTCCTGCATGTCACCTCCCACCCACTCCCCTGCTTCCTGCTCTATCCATCTGTCAACAAAGGCCACGAAAGCCCATAAACAAACAAAAAAACACCTTAAATAAGTTCCTGGTAGCACAAATGTATGTCACAGAGCTGACAAGCATGATAAGAGTCAAGAGTCGTGTTTCTGCATCATCATTACGCCACTTTTAACTCCTCAGGACTCCAGATTGTTTTAGGCCGACGATCAAAAACGCTTTAATTCAACTATGATGTTAAAACTGCAGTCAAGTAGGAACAGACAGAAAACACAATTACAGAACAGGTGCTGGGGAAAATATGAGCGGTTTCTGTGTGATATTGAAAAAAACGCCTATATCTGCTTTAAAATAGAAGAGGAAATACGAGGTAACTCACAATAGGAAATCCAATATGTTGCAGAATATGTGATAATACCACAATTTAATGACTCTGTGATAAATGAAAAAGTGTTCAATGATCATAAACGAACTTTTATTCCTTGACTTTAAATACATTTTAGTGTTATTTTGTTTGTTTTTATCTTAACACTTGCCGTTAGCCTGCTTATTTATTTATTTTTTGCATTGATGTATTTTTGCTCGCTCTGTCTTGTTCTTTGCTTGTTTTTTTGTTTGTTTTTATGTCACAATGTACAGCACTTTGGCTACCCGCGTGGTTCTTTTAAATGTGCTATAGAGATAAAGTTGATTGATTGATAAACTGTGGAATTAGATTAATTGAGGATTACAATACAACCTCAAAAGGAGAAATGAAGAAGTCATGTAGTAGAAACACAGAGAGCTAGGAGACTCATGTTTGCTGTTATGATTAAATTAAACGCTTATATTTGTCATCTAAAATATAACTATATCACACAAATGATGTTAATAATATTTACAGCATCCTTCTTTTGTCTTTCATCTACTTTTCAGCATCATCACCTTAATATTAACATTGATTTTCTGCTGCAAAACTCCAGAGATGACAGGTTATCAGGCATGAAAAGGTTTATAAAAGTCACCTGTCAGGGATTCCCAGCCTCTTCACACTTCTATAGACTGACAGAGTATTGGCCACATGACGGTAGTTGAACCAGAATCTGGACGTGCACACCTGAGTTTCAGAGAAAATGAGGAGAGAGCAGGTAAAGCTGCTCATCATTCATTCATTCCTCAAATCAGGTTAACATGAACTCAGCTCCTCCTGGAGAAATACTCACCAGAACAGCCCAGTTGTTGGTGTGACCACTGCTGAAAAACTGAGCAGCTTGATTCTGTAAAAAAGTGTGGAGAAACATAAAATGTACATGAACATAAATCTCTGTTCAGCTCACAGAAGCATCTAAACAGCTACAGAGACAGCACAGAGGCTAATACGGCAGCGTCATTTCAGGTCAAATTAAACCTTAAAAATACAAATTAACAATACATTTACAACTGTACATGTTAAAAACACACTCACCGCGATTCTGTTGCTGTTAACTAACGAGTATGCGGCCAAAAAGCTCAATAAAGTGAGTATTTTCATCGTGCAGAGCTGTTAGCTTCCTGCAACAAGGAAGTGAATCCCGGTGACTCCGCCCAGGACAAACTTCCGGTAGAAGACCCTTCAGAATAAAAGCTCGCATGAAGAAGCGGAGGATTGGAGAGGAAATGAATGATGTTGGTTCATCATTTTCCTCACATAAGTGGACATACGTCTGTAAAGTATGATAATTCACAATATAGGCCACTCCCATTTCTCATAATAACTAGCAAAATTGATCTTTTTCCCGTAAACATCAACACAAACCTAAATGGAACCCAACTCGGTCTGGCTTGTCATTAGCAACCAGTTTATTGTTTTGTTTTATAAATCATTACAAACTAACCGTATATAATAATAAAAGACGTTTGCCCTTTCAGAATAATAGTCACCATAATTCTAGCCTCATTAAACTTTTTACTTATTTAGCAAAACAAGTTAAAGGCCCAAATTGCTCTGAGTGGTTGTGCCAGCAGTGTGTGATTAGTGGGATTAGTACATGATGACTGCTTCACACAGCAGCCTCATTTATCAGTGTATGAACAGGTGAATGTGACATGTAAAAACACTTTGACAGGTCAACTCAGGACTATTGGGGCTTTTATTTTGAGTTTTATGCCTTTTCATTGGGAGGATTGGAGTGTGGATAGAGTAAGAAATATGGAAAAAGCATTGAGAACGACACACAGCAGTGGGCCATGACTTGAAATCAAACTCTGGACTAATTTTTAAAGAATTACAAATATCAGTGGATCAGAAACAGCTCTATCTGATTTTCAGATCATGCAGCTTGAACTGAACCAAATCCTATTTCCATAAAGTTTATGCATGACATACTAGACCAGCCACTCCATGGACTTTAAAGGACAGTTCTCACACTTTTTTATTAGTAAGGAAATGTAAGGAAGTCATCAAAGCTTCATGTTGGAATATCCTCCCCTGCTAAGCCTTGGTAATGAGAAGTGACATGGAAAACACAGGGAGCAGATGTCAAATGTCATGTCACAGCTGAAGTAGTGCCGCTGTCTGCTTGCCCTGTGGTAAAGTGAGAGGAAAAACATATAACAAGCACAAGAGTCTGACAGAAGAGCGGTGTTAAAACTTGTTCTGACCCTCCATGGGGCACCTGTATAAGGTTATCTACCCTGTGACTGTTTCTCCTTCACCTGCAGCATCACCGGCTCTACCTGCACAGAGCTTCTCACAGTAATGTCCTTTTTAATGCAGCACATTAGGAAATGGAAATGGGACCTTAATGTTCCGACAGAGCAGTCCGCAGCAGAATAAATCTGATCATTATTCCATTTCCAATCCATGAATTAGCATTTACTGTCCCTTGCAGTGACTGAGCCTTTGCCGTGCATGAATTGTGACACAGCGCTGTCACCGGACTAATCTACTGTTGTCCAGTGATATAACCAACAAGGAGACTCAACGTCAGCTGTCAACAAGATTAGCGACCTATAAGGATCAAATCCTATGGGACAAAACAGGAAATCAAACAGGCCTTACTGGTAGAGCCTAAAAAAGCTGCAGGTCACATGACCAGTGGAACTTTCGGACTGTTTGTTAACCTGTACGTCCCAAAATAAAGACAGGCTTTACATTGTTATGCAAGTTACAGCTATAGTTGGCTGGTCTGAATGGTCTGCATGTTTTAGTTGGTCTGTGATGGAGTCAGAGAGATGATTTGACTCGCTTTGCTTTGGAAATGACTGAAATCTCAGTTTTATTTAACGGCAATGAAGTGTGAAATTGTTTTTTTTTTCTTCTTTAAACCAAAACGAAAACACCAGATATGACTGAAAGCTTCACAAACATGACAGGAGGGGTTGTGTCTTGCATGCACTAGTTTAACAAATTATATATTCAAGGCAGCAGTTTGTGTCCAATAAATAATTAAATCTGGCCCATTAGATAATTATCTTCTGCACACAAGATCAATACACAAGATCAATACACATATGCCCATTTTATCACCATGTTAAAATCATTATTATCATTATTATGCAAACAAGCTAATTATCTTGCACTAACTATGCACTGCATTACAGATGATTACTTGTACCCATAGTTAATTGTGTTGTAGAAACAAACCTTCATCTTGTGAGTGCTGATATTGATTTTGTATTGTCCTAACAAGATGATTACATTTGACAACAGGCTAAAACTTATGCGCACAAGATATTTATCTTGCATACAAGACTGAAACTTGTATGTACAAGCTTTAAATATTGTCAGAACTACTAAATGTTCTTGTGCAAACAAGTTAAATATCTTGCATGCACTCAATTTCAATACTATACACAAGATATTTTTTGCACAAAGGATCCAAACTTGTTCAGATAAGAGCACCTGCGAAACTGTTTGTGCCCACAAGATAGGTATCTTGTGCATATCAGATTAAATTTTGTGGGAAGAGGCTGGAAAAAGTAAATATTCTTGTCAAAGTTCATAACCTTGTATAGACTAGATTATTTACAACTTTGAACAAAATAATGAGGATCAAAACTCATGCAGACAAGATGAATTTTTCTCTCATTTTCTGCAGAAAACTGCTGTCATCTTAATCGAGGAGAGAAAGCCATGAGTTTTCGTAAAATATCTCCAAACAGGAAGGGAACCATGCGTTTAGTTTAGTATGTTTTTGTCGTAAACACCAAAAGTGTGCACAGTTTCGGCTCATTAAAAACCCTCTTCAGCGGTTTTGACCTCTTGTCTTTTTAAACTGACGTCCAGTTTCTCCTTACCAGAGATTACATCAGTGACAACAGGCTCTAAACGGCTGAATAACGCGGAGCTGGGGCGGTGCGTGCGTCTTTTGGCACAACGCGCATTCTCTGTGCCAACGCCGCGGCACCCACACTCACGCACAGACACACACACACACACACACAGCGCGTGCTGTGTGAGCGCCGTAGGAGGTAAGGCAGACGAGCCACGCACTCGCATCACCGAGGAGGAGGGAGGGAGGGAGGGAGGGAGGCGCGGTGGCATCGCCTGCAGGAATTCAGTTGTAAAGTCCAAACACGAGGCAAAAATGCGCTGAGCGGAGAAGTGTGTGGAGCTTTCTGTCGTCAACCAAAGATCAGGCTACCTATCGGCACTGACACACCTGAGGGAGCGAAAGAAGCCTGCACAGACGCTCCGGACAAGTTGTGCTTGCTGAGGAAATCCAGCTGGAGATGAATACCAACGATGCAAAGGAGTATCTCGCGCGGCGGGAGATACCTCAACTGTTTGAGGTGAGAGATGCGCCCAGTGGGGGTTACAGAGGTGATGGAGGAGATTTCACAGCGTGTTTTTTACTCAGAAATCCATCGATGAAAATGTCCGTTTGCTGATCGGCAGAGGTTTCTCTAATATTTACTGGAGGCTTGTTGTGTCTGAAATCATCAACATACAGTGTGTTTAAATGTGAGGGGAGGCACTGGTGAATGATTACAGAGTCTGCTGTTTAAACAGTAACCTCAGTCAAAGAGTAGACAAATAAGACTGTCTTCATCATCCTCGTCTGAATAACTTGGTGGACTAAAGGGAGACCAACATCATATCAGCCAATCCTTCCTCTCAGAGAGGAAAATGCAGTACAAACATGACAGTTAGACCAATCTTTATCAGCCTTAGGTTCATCTTATCTTATCTTTATCTTAGACTGAAAGGAAAGACTCTGCTGTCTTTTTGTCATCAGTTTGTTTGTATTTGTAATTAGCTCATTGTCTGCTGCCTTTTTCTGTCACCCCTCAGTCTTTTTTCCTTATTTTACTGTAATTTTGTTTGTTAAAATTGTTGATTTGTGTCTCTTTTAAACAAACACTGTGTCATTGAAATATATTTGTTTTTTTCAGGTCAGTTTGTGTCTTTTTTGTTTGTATTTGTTTTGTTTGCAGGGCTGGTTTCTTGTGGAAGTCATTTCTGACATTTCAGGAATGATTGTTGTGCTTTTGTTGTCAACTTATGTCTCTTTGTAGTGCATGTGTTTCTTTTTGTAGTATATCTTTGTCTCTTTGTTGTACTTTTGTTTTATTTCGTTACATATCCTGGGGTCGTTGTAGTACTTTTGTTTCATTTTGTTACATATCCTGGGGTCATTGTAGTACTTTTGTTTCATTTTGTTACATATCCTGGGGTCGTTGTAGTACTTTTGTTTCATTTTGTTACATATCTTGGTCTCTTTGTACTACATTTATCCATTTTACAGTATATTTTTGGTGTCTTTGTAGTATATTTGTTTCTTTCTTGTTTTAAATCGTTTATTTTAGTAGCAGATTTCTGCCCTTTGATTCAACTTTTGTTCCTTTGAAGTTAAATAGTCTCTTTTTGAAACCTTTCCACCTCTTTGTACTGCATTTGTTTCTCTTTGTTGTAGTTGAATTTCTTTTCATGGCAGATTTATGTATCGAGTGTTCAACTTTGTTATTTTAGAAGTAGTTAAATGTTTCCTTTGACTTTTTCTCTTAGAGTTAACTTGTTTCTTTTTGTCGTTTGCCTTTTCATTTGAAGTGGATTTGTGTCAATTTGAAGTAAACATCCAATTATGAAGTCTGTACAGATATACTGTATAATTAAAGTCAAGCCACAATTTATTCTCAATTTAGTCGTATTGGCAGGACTGAGAGAAGTATAATAATAAAGTATCATTGGTTCTCCTGTGGGGATTTGTAAATTGGCCCATTGACTTAATTAGACTCAGTCCTCAGTGCAGTGCAGCTAATGTATGCAAGCAATCACTGCCTGTTTATTTACAGGCAGATGAAATTACACTGAGCGCCGAGGTGACACATCCTCATCAGAAGTGTTCAGTGTGATTCTACTGCTCACAATAACTTCAGTGTACTCATTATCAATCAGCTAAATTAGCAGATGAGATTGTTTTCATCTGCAGAGAAGGGTTGTGTTTTCAGGCAGCTGTTTCTGTGAGGGTGGAGAAGGGACCCGAAAACCCAGGGGACGGTATTGTTTTCAAGTATTCAGGGTCAGGAGGAACGATGTCACCAGACTCTGTACTTGACTTCTGTTTTGGCACCGAGTTTGCCCTCACATTCATCACTGAGGTCGGCTTTCCTCCGAGATAATTACAGGTTGACAGGGCAGTGTGTTTGTTTTCTGTGGCTTCTGAAAAATGAGATGTTTTGTTCTGTGGTGGAGTCGAGCCAAGACAACCAGAGCTGCTGTTCAGAAACTTCCCCCAATTACAACCACTTGTTCACCACTGCAGAGCAACCCATCATGACAAAAATGATACAAAAATACCACGCCAAACCACACACCCCCTCTCTCCTCCATGTCTGCCTCCAGAGTCTGCTGACGGGGCTGATGTACTACCGACCCGATGACCCCATCGAGTACCTGGAGGGCTGCCTGAAGAAAGTCAGCGAGCTGGGAGGACCGGACAAGGTGCGGTGGGATACGTTTGTGGGTCAGGAGAAGAAGTCTCTGCCTCCTCTCAACGGCGGGCAGTCACGCAGGTCCCTCTTCAGAAATGGTGAGTGAGTCAAAGATACTTGGTTTATGGATTTATTGATCGGGAGACTTCATTAGCCACAAATCTGAAGCCTGTTTGATCCGTCAGGTTACACAATCTAACTCAAACCAGTAGGGAGACGATTTAAAAGGTTAATGAACAGATTCGAATGCTTTCCAAATTATTTAAAAGCTTGATATGATTGAAAATGATGCAAAGACAACATATCAAACAGAAAAAATATGTTGTTCCAAGCTTCATTTTAACATCATGCCAAAGAAAGTCTCTCTGTTGTAATCCATGCAGAACAGAGTTGCAGAAAAATACAAGGTCTCACCTAGAAAAGGCCTCGTCGATAACAGCATCTGTTTCACTAACAGATCTATATATGTCGTTCAACATTAATAGTGTCTGCTAACCATGCAGTCATGGGCTTTGGCTGTTCAACTGTGGTTTCTTTAGTTTTACAGCATGATTTCCTCTTTGTGTGGTACAGGTTTAACCTGCATTTGGAGTCACTTTGTACCAATGTGGTGACTCCCACTACAGAGTCATGTCTGTTTAGAATGCAGTGTTCTCTAAAGGCATGAAGATAAATCCCGCACAGTATTTGTTTTGGTCTTTCTCCCTGAAGATTTCTCCTGATTCTTTGAATATTTTAATGATATTTTGTACTGTAGATGATAAAATCCCCAAATTCTTTGCAGTTTTACTCAGATGAACATGATTCTGAATCTGTTGAACTGTTTGTCAACACAGTCTCTCACAGAGTAGAGAACGTCATCCTGTCTGTACGTCTGAGATACTCAGCATCTCTGGAGTGTCCTTTTGACATTCAGCCATGCGACTAATTAGATTGGAGATGTTTCTGCTGGTTTTTCTTCTGCACTATACACAACTTTTCCAGCAGTTTGTTGCCCCTGTCTCAACTTTTTCGAAACGTGTTCCCTTCAATGTGGCCTTCAATTTAAAATGAGCATATACGGTAATCATTCATAAAACATTGCAGGTTATTATTCCAACTTCTAATTTGCCTTTTTTGCCTCATTCTTTGTTTAAATATAGAGGTCAAATGATCCAAAATCAACATTTTACTTTGCATCCCAGCTTCACACAATGTATGGGGGAAAATGTCAAATGGTAAACAGCATGTTTTGTTATATGCAGGTTGCAGCTGACAGCCCACTTTCAAGCCCCACAGCCGGGGAAAATTTTCTATTTCCCATCATCATTCTATTTTCCTGCAGCCTATTCTTGCAGCAGACTTCAATTACACTTGCAAATGCATGAAACTCAAACAGGGATCACCGATAGACTGATCTGCTTCTGCCTTCATGATGAAAGTGTGAGACCTTTATTAAAAAGCAGCGGCGGTTTAGCTCACCTGATAAAATGCACGCTTCAAGCCAAGCGCCATTTTTTTCTAATCAAGTGTATAAATATTTTACTTTGCTTTTAATTTTGCATAAACATTGAGCTGTTCTCATTTTATAATCAAACATTTACCTTAAGGAAATAACTGATTCATTCACCTTTGCCTTGAAACTACGAAGCCTCCACTGTGATCCTGCATGGAAGTTACAAAGCGTTTGCACGTATTGCACAATCTTACCCAATACTTCTCTTTGCATTTTATACTGGTATACTGGTGGAAGATGCAGCCCAGTTTTTAGATTTAAAAAAAGGTGATAAAAGTGCATCTTTTACTCCAAACTTGTTATCCTGGTGTGCAAAACTAATTTAATAGATGGTTGTCTCACTCTCTAAAATGACCATCTGATTAATAAGGATGAATTTGTGAATAAATCAATCAAGATAATAGTATTACTCTCCGCAGGGGGTTGAATTATGTTCTCCTAGAGTATGCAGTATTGCTCTGTGGACTAAAAACAATGAAGCAGAAGCACAGCTCTGTTTTATCCCACTGTGTTTGATTAATGTAATCAGGCGTGAAGCGAAACTTGTCCGCTCACAGCCAAAATATATATTTTCAAGTACTTGACTTCTTTCCAAGGATGCTGGCAGCAGTTCATCTTCCTCTCCTTCACAACTACAACCCGTCTGGTTCACAGTTTGAACAGGAAAGAGAGCTGATATTTGTTCTCCTCCCTCAGGAGCCCCACAGCAGATATATTGTGTAAAAACTGCTTGAAACTAGAAGCAGAAGACATTTAGAGCATGGAGAAGAGAGACGGTTTTTCTCTGGTGGATCGGGGTGTTTCACAGCTGTTGCAATCCCTGTTTCCAAAAGGATCAGGAGCTTCTGCAGAGACACCAGAACAACCACAAACTGTTTCTGCAAAACTTATTATGAGAAGAGTCCAAGTATCAAGGCTGATAAACATCTTGTGTGGTAATCATTCACCTGACTGTGGTTACTGGGAGGATGTAGCTGTGGTTTCAGGCTACATGATGCATTTTTAATGGGTCTGTTTTGAATTCACACAGTCGTTTCTTTGTTTGATGAAGCTCGGCAGAAACTTGCACATGAGATTAAAACAGAGCAATGCTATATGACTCTGTGTGTTTTGCATTTCAAAGCTCAAAGGCAAATCAGCCACGCAGCTCAACCGGGAACACACAGAGAAGTTTGATAAAAGAGCGTCGAGGGCTACGAGGAACTCACATTTCTTCTACTTCTCAGCGTATGTTTGCAGAGACGCCTGAGAGCTCTGTCAGCTGCAGAGTCAAGGAGCTGCAGCCTTATGTAACCAGAGAGAGAAATTCTCATAATCAGTATTTCTCGCCTCAGTTTGAGCTCAAATCTGTCACATTTCCTATCATATGTTAGAGAGGGAAATGCTGCACAAACATCTAAAACTTTACATTTTTTGCGTGAGAAATGGACTCATCTGGAGGCTCTGTAGCAACATATGAAACCACAGACCAGCTCAAGAATCTGGGTGCTAAACTGGCCTGTCTGCTGTTCAGGTTTGACACCTTGAAAATGTGGCACATCTCCAGAGACTGATCTCCTCAGCCCCCAAACAAGTAGTTTCAAAAGTGTCTTTGTGCTAGTTTCCATTAATATCCACACAAAGACGATACTGAACATCTCAAGTGGATTTTCCTTCTGAAGAATTTCAAACAAAAATCAAGTTTAAATGATTCACAAACCATCAAAAAAACCTGATTTTATCTCCATCTCTATGATCAAACTTTTTGGAGAGTTTGGGTTGATAGTTTTTCATTAAAAACTTTGTCCTCTTTAGATTTAACTTAGCTCCAGCGAGCCCTGCAATCCTCAGCATTTAATTTGGTTCAGTATTTGAATAACAGCAGCTTTGCTTCCTTGGAGAAACATGAAGGACTGATTTGTATCTTTATTAAATCTCATAATTAGTGCTGTGATCCAGTAGGCTGCGGTAAAATCACTGGGAGAAACAGATAAAAATCTAACTGACAGTTTAATTATTACACAGGTGTAACTTTATCTTGAGTTGGTGATGCAGAGGGACATGGAGGTGATGTACAGTGCAGAATTTTACACCGGACAAACTCTCAGAGCATGATTGAGTGGATTCATTAAGTTTTTAAGTGTCTTATGTTGAACTTCAGGCTGTGGGAAATAACATTCAGGAGCACCACTTTACCCAAAACTCATCATGTGTGTTTGTGTGTGTGTCTGTTACAGTGCTGCCCGACAGTCCCAACTTTCCCTACAGACGCTACGACCGCCTCCCTCCCATCAGCCAGTTTTCCATCGAGAGCGACTCGGACCTGTCAGAGACGGCGGAGCTCATAGAGGAGTACGAGGTGTTTGATCCCTCCAGACCACGACCCAAAGTCATCCTCGTCATCGGTAAAGGACTCAAAAAAACACACAAATACACAAACATCCAAACTATGAGTCTCCCTGCACAACATTAACACAAAATAGACTCTTCAAAGACACACTCTGGTAAAAATCATGTTTTTCTTGTTGTCTACGTGTTCATATGGCATTTTTCTGATGCTACAGGACATATCATGAGAAAAATAAGTGTGAAATTGCATTTTTTAATATTTATGCATTAAAATCGCTGTGAATCTCTGGCAGACCCAGATATAGTGAGATTTTCTATGTCACAAATCCAAGCTCCGCCCTCTGGAGCCCCGCTATGCAAGCCAGGCTTGGAAAAGTAGAGAGGACGATCGTGGAACCAGCCTGTACGTTAGCAGATTGCAATGCTCTTAAGAAAGCTAATTATAATATTAACTTTCATCATGTCCCCAAAGACATTAGTGTCCTACAGCTCCTATGTTACCTGCTTCTTTTACTACACTGGCAATGTTAGGCTGCAAGGTAACGTGAAGACAAGCAGTGATGTCTCCGCCCACTCAGAGACGAATTGCTAATGATCTACTGGAGCTCTGCTGAAGAAAAAGTTACACAGGTAACACGATTTTGGCTAAAAACTTCATCATCACAATTTAAAGACCACTGATTACACTTTAAGTAGTTTAAAAAATGATCGGAGAGAGACTTTAAAGTGAAGAAAGAGAGAGTCAAGTTATTTCTTGAGTTCCACACACTTAGTGAAGCCATGAGTGAACTGCAAAGACTGCTTTGTCCACAGGGGGCGCCAAAGCTGACACAATCTAAAAGTTCCTCACAGGAGCTTTAATCTAAAAATGTTTCAAGGCATTACTACCTGTGATTGGCGGGTCGCTGCCACAGGAAAATCTGTTTACCAGAGTAGAGCCCCAGCAATGACTCATTTCTAGCTGCAAATGACAAAGTAAGGCAGCAGCAGCGACATAGAAAGATTTAGGATTCACAACATTCGTCCAATGCTCCGTCTACGCTAGCTACGTCTACAAACTGCATTAAAAGAAATCATGTGGATCCCTGCTGACTCCTGTTTTCCACCAGACGAGCTAAGGACATGGAGATCTCTGAAATATGTAAACAAAACTTGTACAAGTTTCTCCGCAGATGCATGCAGCCTCATCTATTTACATAAAAAGGTCAACAAGAATTCAAAATAGGAGTTTATATTTGCCTCGGCGATGAGCTAAAAATACACGGCCTGCATGAGAATCTGTGTGGGTTCACTATCAGCGTGTTTTTCCTGGTATTTCCATGGCAGCTCCGCCTTTCTTGGTGGGTATCTGCGGGGGAGATCTTGTTGCACGTCACTCTCTGTGTAAGACACTCACGCTCTCCTAATCTCATTTCCTTGATGGGCTTGTATCAGCCCGTCAAATGCATTCATTAATCTTGTGAATCCTGCACATCAGTCATGCAATAAGAGCGATGACACTGGTTAAGCTAAAGTGAAACCCTGCTATTTTTAAACCCTCCTGAAAGTATTTTATTCAAGGTTTGTCTGTAAAAGAGCCCTGAAATGCGTCTGACAGCCTTCTGTGGCAGCATGTTTTGCTCCCTGGTGTGGAGACCGTGGCTATAGTGTGGATGACAGTTATTTGTCCTTGCAGCACAAAGCCAGTTCTGATCTTGTCTCTGTGAGCGCGCTGTGCCAGATTTTGGAGGGGTGGATGTGTTAGGGTGGCAGTAGCTGTCATCCCTTTGGAGGTTCAAGGCAAATGTTTTTATCTGTCATGTTTGCAGAGAGAGAGAGAAGCTGACAGAGATGCGTTTGGTCAGGAAGAGGTTAGAAGGAGCAGGAGGAGGAGAAAGAGGCAGGGTCGAACATTATGAAACACTCAGATCCAAGATAAAGTGCATATTTGTTTATAATGATTTAGAGTAACTCCCTTTCACCACTAAAAACATCACTTTATCTGTTTTCTGAAAGCATCTCGAAGAGTATGTTGTGAAATCCTAGTTAGTGTCCTTCTGCACTGGTTGCCACATATCGAGTGAAGAAGAGACGAAGAAGCAGCAACAGCAGCTAGTGAGTTAGCTGAAGTAGCTAACGGTTTTATTGTGAATCCAAAAACAACTTTAGGGCTCGTGCCTCTCTGGGCAGGAGAACATTTTTTCCTTCAAATTTTCTCTTTCAAAATAAAAGAATAGTTTTACAACTCCAGGAATGAAACAGCCTGTGCATATGCGCCAGAAAAAATTCAAAATTAAAGCATGGCAAAAAGGTGTTAAAGAATTTATACTTCAAAATAAAAGCACATTTTTTTACGCAGGGAATAAAACAATTTAAGCTGACTTAACCCAAAATTACCAAAATAAAAGCCTGACAAACTGTTGTTTTATGATGCAATTTCTGTGACTATGATGAATCTTAAAACTCAATGTCATTCGAAATGTACGATCACGTGAGGTCAAAGATATTACTGTGATGATACTGTTATTTGGATATTTTACGACCACTGTAATCATAAGTTTAAAATCTATATGAAGGGAAAGTACCAGTACTAATACTATCCCTCCCTTTAAATGCTTTTAAGCATAGCCATAACCAATTACAAGGTTACCTAGGTTACCATGGTCTGGACACTGCTAATATTCCAATAAATTGGACAAAGATTGAGGTTTTCCATCTTTTTTATGTGCATCATCCAACATCTGCAGGAGGACAGAGAAGACAAGTGTTGATCCAGACCTCAAGCAAAAACAAAACTCCCTTACACTGTCTAATTAGTAAAAAGGACACCTATTCAATACGATTCAGTGACTGAGACTGTTCGCATAATGAAGGTTTAGGACTGAAATGTTTTGCAATCTTTTATTTTTTTAACAAAAATAATTCATTTTTGGTTTTCATTCCTATTTTCTAAAAGACAAATCCAACAACCTAAAAATAGACAGTCCAAAAGGATCTGATAGATAGCTTGGCTTGGATTTGATACGAGTTTTTAATACCCTGAAGATGGAGAAAAACCTCTATTTTTTCTTATTTCTAAAACCTGGTTACATCCCTGCTTACAATAATTAAAATTCTAAGAAATGCACATGAGACTGTAAAAATTCTTGTTCGACTTGCTCTCTGGACACGAAAGCTGAACCAGAACTCTGTTATTTGGATTTATGTTTGTTTTGCACAACTTACTTAACAAAGAATGGAGAACAAACCTTCACTAAGAGCCAAAAAATATATTTTTTTGGCACTTGACTTCTTTCCAAGGATGCTGGCACCAGTTTGTCTTCCTCTCCTACACAACCACGACCAGTCTGGCTCAGTGTTTGAACAAGAGAAAGAGCTGATATTTGTTCTCCTCCCTCGGGAGCCATATTGCGGATACATTGTGAAAAAACTGTTATGCTTTTCTTAAGAAACACTAAGAAAAAAAAAACTGCAAGTAAAGCTTAGCTTTATGCTCTCTCCTCTTAGCTATAGATGTAGTTTCCCTGAAAGGGTCAGAAAGTTTTTCTACCAACACACCATATCTAAACATGACTATACTTTAATGTCACAAATATCAAATCAGCCAGAGATTGGAGAGGAGCAATGGTGCATCAAGTGTGCTATTTATGACTCCACCTTTTCCTGTTGATGTAGAATAGGCAGAAAGAGCAGCAGCAAAGACCCTAGGCTACAGAATAGAGCAGGCATCAGTGACAGTACACCTGGCATTGGTAAAATCAAACGGCATAAAATAAAGCGGCTAGGCTTAGTTGTTTAGTGGTTTCAGAGGTGGCAGGGAGAGCAGCAGCAAAGACCCTTGGTTACAGGACTGAACGGAGCAGGTTTCAGTAACACTGCACATAACACAGGTAAAACAGAGGCAGCGTAAAAAGATGAATCTAGGGTGGAGGCGCGTTGCTAAGTAGTTTTTAGAGGTGGCAGGCAGAGCAGCAGTGAAGGCTCCAGGTCACAATACAGAGCAGGTATTAGTGAAGATACATGTGACCCTGGTTAAATTAGAGAAAAAAGAAGGAGCTGGGTTGGAGGCAGGTTGTTAAGCAGTTTTCAGAGGAGGTGGGGAGAGCAGCAGCAAAGACTGCGGCTTACAGAAAAGAGCAGGCATCTGTGACGGTACATGTGACACTGGTAAAACCAGACAAAGCATAAGAAAGAGTTGGGGTTGAGCCGGGTTGGTAAGTAGTTTGCAGAGGTGGCAGCGAGAGCAGCAGCAAAGGCTCCATGTCATACCTCAGAGCAGGTATCAGTAAGGATGCATGATTCTGGTAGAATTAGACAGCCAAAAAAGGAGCTGGGTTGGAGGCAAGATGCTAAGCGGTTTTTCAGAGGAGGAAAGGAGAGCAGCAGCAAAGACTCCATGTTACAGAGGTAGGGAGAGCAGGCAGGTTCTAAATAGGATCCACAATGAAATCAGATCAGCTAATATCAGCCAATATTGGCTGACGTACTTTCGGCTGACTTTCTGGCCTGTCTTAACTATTAACACTATTCTCAATATTTGGTGAGCCTTTTATTGTTTTGTTTCTGCAGAGATAATGTGGATATTGAAGATAGTTTCACCAGCCTGTATGTCCTCTTTTCAACAAAGCACACCAGCATCAAAAACGACCTCACCTCTCATGGCGGTATGGTTCAAACTAACTAGGTCATTCAATGTGTCGTCCCACTACGGCGAGGCAAAAAACCCGCTGACAGAGAGGAGCGTGACGCCTTCAGTCTTATGTTTGACAGTCTACTTAAAGCTAGTCATCGTGTTGGACTCGATTGCGCACATGGGAGATGACAAGGGCAGGTGCATGAAGACAGAGGCAAGGAACAACTGGAGAAGCGTAAGCCGTGTATGCATTCACACCTCTGCCCACCTGCTTAGCTGCAGCGTACAGTGGGTGTGATTGACAGGCCGACGTTATTTACATGATCACACAGTCCTCAGTTACAGCATTTAAACAGGATGATTCAAACGGTCAGAGCGGGGTTAGACTGTCACAACTGTTTGAGGCTTTGCTTCCAAGTTAATCCTGTGATTATTAACCCCAATTTAAAGATTAAACCAACAATAAGTAACTGTTTAAGACTTTTTCCCAAGCAGCAGCACCAGCCCCACTTTAGACACACTTTGCAGTACCTTTAATTACACTCAATAATGAAATACAAGCACCATTCCTGATTTGTGGATGCGCTCTTATGCCTCTTATACATTTCTTATGTCTCAAACACCGACAGCTTGACGGGATAATCATCTAGGACAGTTTGTTCCACACTCATTTCACATCTGTCTGAATGAGATTTGAACCTCTTGCAATTTCTATATGGTTGACATACTGTATGATCGCTTTAGATCCCGGACTGAGATGCTGTTTGTTTGCCAGCTGAGCAGCATTTAGGTTGTCAGACGGCTTTTACAGCCACTGAAACTCGTCTCATCACAAACTGACAGCTAAAATGGCATGTCTCTCTCGCGCCATTAAAGACAAGTTTTGTGGCTTTTAACCTTCTCTCTATCAGAGTTCGGTTTATGGTGTGAAACACATGCTAGTGCTGTTCTCCGGGTCTCTTGGGCAAAGCTTGGCCAAGCTACAGAAGATGTTGGCGGTGCTGTTGTTTGATGTAGACAGAAACACAGGATACATCAGTTTGGGTTTCTTTTTATATCTTTTGCTTGAAGTGTAAACTAAGGACTAACTTGTTGCAGACTTTTTGGACCAGGGTGGCCAAAATGGGTCAGTGACTCTCCCAAAACCATCATGTCCCATCAGAGTCTTTAACCAGTCTTACCTGGGAGTTCAGTGTTTCCCCTATAGTGTTTTTGGCAGGGAACCCCGCCCTGCCAACAAAATCCCAACCCAGAAACTAAATTCGTAGATAAATATGTACGATTAATTTTTATCTTTAGCAAAACGGCCCCATAAAATATAGTTTTGCGCAATTTCAGACTCTAAAGCTTGCAATCATTTCATTACTTTCGAGAAAAATATATCTCTCCGCTCCTCTGCAACAAGCGGAAGCTTTGCTCGCTCCTCTCTCTATCTCACAACGTACACGCTTGCTGACATGTCGCGCCGCGTAGTTCAGAGGCGTGACATGTCAGCACCACTGAGTCTGGAATTCTGATCGCAAGCACTTGCCGCTCTTACCCTGCCAGTTTTGTGCAGTATGGTTCAGTATTTCTCCCAGCCCTGAAAACAGCGCTGGCTCATCTCCCGCCACCCCATACCACTTAGACATACGTCAAACGGGGTGACGTATGTCTACGTCATACGTCTTCTGCCCCCCTGCCAAAGTGAAAAGGCTCGGGGAAAAACTGGAGTCCCTGAGCTCCCTCATCCTGTAGGTTTCTCTAGATCACTGCTGCTCAAATGCTGCAAAGTTTTTCTCACCTGGTGGATTAAGATGGTCTGATTTTACGAGATAGGACTCAATCCAATCCTATCTTCATACTTGGTCTTTGTAAACGAGTGGCGCTATATAAACAAAGACTGACTAATGAAACTAATTTGTTCCCACATTAAAACGAGGCCAGACATCATTGATGCTTTTATAATGATCCACTGTGTTTTTTTTTCCTGTTTTCTTCCTCTTACACCTTTTTTTCCGAGTTGACAGAGAGAAAAAACATTTGTCAGAACATGTAGGAGGTTCACACGTACCTGCTTGTCTCATCTGCAACCCACCTGCCCTCCTCCCCTGCAAAGAATTGAACCCACGGTCGCGCAAAGAGAGACACACACAAACACACAGTCACAACCAGCCTCTCTCACACACACACACACAGAGTCTCACATAGTCTGGGTTTCTCTCTCCCCTGATGCAAGCACGCGCCCACGCTCACACACCCACACATGAAATGTTTCACACTCACACAGACACATTTCGCACAGACGACAAAAAATCTCCCAAAACATCACCGACTCCCTCTCTCCCCTCTTTCTCTCTCCCTCTGTCTGTGTCTAGGTGGCCCTGGCAGCGGCAAAGGAACTCAGTGCCTGAAGATTGCCGAGCGTTATGGCTTCCAGTACGTGTCTGTGGGCGAGCTGCTGAGGAAGAAGATGATCCACAACGCCACCAGCAACAGGAAGTGGAGCCTCATCGCCAAAATCATCACCAACGGAGAGCTGGCACCGCAGGTATCAGAGAAACAGATGAGAGGGGAGGAAAAAGGGGTGTGTGTGTGTGAAATGAGAGGAAAGATGGGTGCAGTGTGTCCAGTCACTTGCAGGTCATTATCACAGCATGTGTGTAACAAGAGACTAATTAGCAGCATCCGAATCACAGGCGTGCAGCAGAGAGGGACGCTTATCCGTCTCATGTGATGGATAATGACTCTGCTTGTGAAGAAAATGAGACTCAGACCCCCTGCCGTTTGTTTGTGCTGCATTCATTCAAACACAGTATAGAAAATGCAAATGATGCCTTCACATGTCACAATTTCACCGGAATGAAATTAAGATTAAAACCGTGACATAAATCTGCATATTCAGGAACAGCAGGAGGTTCGAACGGCAATGAAAGCAACAGGGAATCAGCAATGAGAAACACACGTGTCGGGAAAAATGTGGAAAAAAAGAAATACAGTGATGGAAACAGGTAATAAAGTCAAAGAGGTAAAGTGAGTTTGATTAAGGGATGTGAAAGTTTGACCCCAAAGATTACCACAGCTGAGATCCTTAATCCCAGTTTTGTAATCTCCAAAGTGAGTCCATGCGACTGAAGGTTAAAGCTCCTTAGAGTCTGCAATTAGAGGAAACATTAAAAGACATCCGCAGCCACAGTTAAAAGGATGCTAAAAACTGGAATAAAGATTGAACATCCATTAGGGCCCTCTTAAAATGATATTAAACACACGGTCAATAAAGCATGGCACAAAGTGGATTAGTGCACATCCAACTACATGTTGCTAGTTTCTTTCCAAGCCCTCTGTCCCATTAAATACTCCATTTTTACTATATCAGCCAAAATGAAAAATACAGATACTTTCCTTTGAGGAAAAGTGTTGTTGCATGTGTTTAAATGTGTAAAAAGCAGAGGAACTTAAAGGGATATTCCGGCATAAATTTAAGCTAGGGTCAAACACACCGTAACACCGAGTTAGACACCCACTCGAGAGATGACTGTTGCCGACGGCTTGCTTCTCAAGTTATACCAACTTTAGTAATGACCGCACAATAGCAATACACAGTGGTCTACGTCTCCACGCTGAAACCGCAACTAAATAGCCTAGTTCAGCGGAGTTTCGCAGCTCAAGGAAGAACATTTATGATTATTACATCATGGAAATGCAATCAGAGTTACTGTGTATCTTGTATGTGCACTGCAGACGTGGCACTTCTTCTGCCACAGCCTGTCTTTCTGATTGCATTTCGTGTTTAGTCTCTTTGCTAAAGAAATTAGACAAAGTTAAAAAGATGTTTGGTGGCTAGTATGATGGCTGGGACTCTATATGTACCGTTGATGAAGTTAGGTGCTGTTCTGAGGATTATTTGTGGCCATAGAGTGGCTTTTTGGTTGAGGTGTGCGCATGGAGACATAGACCGCTGTGTTTTGCCATTGTGTGGTCATCACTAAAGTTGGTATAACTAGAGAAGCAAGCAGTCGGCAAGATTTATCTCTCGAGGGGGTGGCTAACTCGGTGTTACGGTGTGTTTGGCCATGACTTAATCTTATGCCGGAATATCCCTTTAAGTGCTCATCTCTGTGGCCTTGGACTCCTGACTTTTGGTTGCGATTTTGTTGGTTTAATGCCAAGGCATGTTCTGTTTCCAGGACCAATACATCCAAAGATGCTAATTTGGGTTAAGTTTACGTGCTATTTGCACAAAAATGATAACTACGTGTGGTGGAAAATGACAGTGATACTTGCAATGCATATTATTATATTATCATTATTATTATTAACAGCAATTTTCAGGTCACATCTCTAACTTAGAGTAGAAATTAGATGAGGTTAAAGTGCGTCACAGTCATTCAAGACGACCTTTGGAGAAGAAAGTTGTATTGAACCCATGACTCACTGCATGATTGTCAGCAGCTCATTATAACTGACGTACTAGCTTTTACTGCTGCTGCCATTTGTCAGGTATCAATTAGCCATGTCAGCATCAGGGGGTCGTTCTTCGGTTCTGCTGCACATTTTTGGTACCAGCGAGTGTATGCTTTTTCTTTCTCCTCTTCTGTCATTAAAACTCTTTTTATTTCCTTTTTCATGTCTCTGAACCTTCTTGATAACATCAGTCAACCCTTGAAACATGTAATTAAGTCTTTGTGGGAGAAATAAAACACACTGACATTAGGGCTGAAATTAAAATACTACTGGGAAACTACTTCATTTACTCGACCTTAAAATAAAACATTCATCAAATCATGAGACAGAATATTACTGGCTCATATTGGGTCTCAAATGTACAGACTTGATTTATTCCAATGTTGAGACCCCAGCTGGTGCTAACTGAGTTGTAGGAGTCGGTAGAGGAGCGCTTATGTCAGCAGTGTGAATGTAGAGGGTCAGTCTGTTAGCTTCGATAAATTTCCAACTAAATCAAAACCCCAAGGTACAGGATTTTTATACCAAGGTTCTCTGCGTCGTGACTCGCAGCTTCAGCTTGAATTTCCTTCGATACCTATCTGCCTCATCAACTCTCATCCCTGCCTCGTCTGGCAAACACCGGCTCTGGCTTCAGGCCTTTTCCTGGACGTCTGTTGTGATAAACAGCAGGGCAGGCTGAGCTGAGGCACACTGGGTATTATTAAGTGAGTTGTGGCTGTTGGGCGTTTTATTTCCAGGTTTGGTTAGTTTAGGAAAACAGATTAGTGGGCAGGGAAAAGGAAACTGCAGTTGGTTTGTTTGCAGACTTTGTCGTTCAATACTAAATTAATAAAATAAATCTCTGCGTTTATGTCATGAGATTAATTCAAGCATTTCTCCCTGTAAGCAGGCTGGAAGATGTTCCTCCTCGTAAACCTCGGCTCTCTAACTCTGTTAGCCGTGCTTCTTCCTACACGCTGCAAATAAATCAAAATGCAGCAAACACAGTTCTTCATATCGCTGCCTCTCAGCCAGCTACCAATCATTGGAAGTTCCTGCCTCATGGCCGTTACTCTCTGCGAGGTCATGTGACTCTGGATGTTTCTGAACTTCTGTTCCCTCAAAAATCCCCTCAGCCTCCTCTTGAGATGGACTCAGACAGCTCAGAGTCCACTTTAGATTGAGGATCTCAAGGCTGTGGAAAAATCTTTATGTTTGGATGCTTTAAGAGGATCCTTCAAACATCCGCTGTGACGCAGCAGAAATGGCGCATTGGTGGACCTAATATACTGACTATGAAACAACTACTTGTAAAAGAAATAACTGTTGTGATGGGAATTTGAATTTTCCAAGTAATTAGTTACTGAATCTTAAAAGACTGGGCTTGTTTTCAGAGGTTCAGACTGTGTCCTTGTTTGACAACTTTCACTGTGATCAGAAATGTGCCATTTTATGCAGATGTGTAGCTTTTTTCTGGAAATATCGGTCATCTTGCTGCCGGTGACCTTTTCAGCAGAGCTCAAGCTACATTAGCAGTGATAGTTGTAAAGTACAGATTAGGCTGACCAATTTTCATACGTTTCAGAGTCACAGAGTCGCACAATGTTAATTTTGAGAGTTTTTCGTGTCGGATCGAGTGTCTTTTGTGCCCCTCTAACTCAGTAAATCCACATGACACAAACTTGAAACTTCCGTACAAAACCGCAGACACTTGAAGGATTTTATAAACTTCCCTGAACAAAACCAGACAAGCCTGGACAGCCCCCCCAAAAGAGGACATGTCTGGGTATAAGAGGAAGTATGGTCACCCTTGTACAGATATCAATAAACAGGAGGAAAGTTTCAAAGTCAGAGATAAATCTCATGAGAAGAGGCATGAGATTTACCCAATTCATGACATCACAAATTGATGTATTTTCTTGAAAGAGCACACTTTGCATTCTTTTCAAACTCAGTTTCCAATCTCAGAGTCAATTTTGGGGTCTATTTTCATATAAAAAGGAGAAATGTTAGTTAACTCATTAAAACAAGTTTGCGGCATGGCAACAGTGGAGGAGGCTTCCAGTAAGCCGGCTTCTGGAATGCTGGGGAACCTTAAAAGGACAGCTACTATAAATCTTTCTCTGCTGTGTCTTGTAGAAAACTTATTTTTAATGATTTCTTACATCATTCCAACATTTAAAGATAAACATCAAACCAGCTGTACAACATAATACTTATTAAAGGGTCTGTCTTCGTTGATCATTGACGATTGCATCTATTTTTTTTCTGGGACAATCTTAGACTGAGAGGGAAAGAGTAAGAGAATATAAACGTATAAGAGGAGTTTGCTATAGTGTTTCATGTCAACGTGAGGAGACCAGATAAACCTTCACTCTGTCCTCTGTTTTTCATGCTCTGACTCTAATTACACGAACAGCTTGATCTGTCCTGTATCTCTGTGCACACCCTGATGCGACCCATGATCAATGCCTCCACATGTTGCTTGTTTGCTGGTACTTAAAGCCGGTCTCTTCTGTTCCACTCTCTAAAAACCACACGCTGCTGCCTCAGACACTTAAAACAGGCCGTAAACACCGTTTCACATGATTTGAGCTGCCTGACGGTACTGATGCGAAATGATAATCCACAGGTGTGGACATTTCAGTGTGGTCCTCTCCAGTGAGTTTGCCACAGCATGTTTTCCAGGAGAAGTGAACGATTGAACTGGTGAGGTACTTGGACGTAGCTGCGGCGATGATTGTCAGCTGTGGTGTTAAAGATAGGTGGGTAATCTCTCAGACAGTCGGAGATGATTGTCTTCTGATGCCTGGCATTCTTGTGAGAGCTCAGCATCGAGCCATGCAATGGATCAGACGGCTTTTCTCAGATTAGCTTTTCTCATTTCATCTCACATGGGTACTGCTATCTACAGTAGAATCCATCTGAAGTGTAATCTCCCGGTCGTCCGCAGGCCCGCTGTTTTTATTCTGCGTATGGAGAGAAATTAAACATCTGTGTTACTCAGCGTCGGGGACGGCTGGCGATAGGAGTTATTTTTAGAACAGGGCATTGCTCACGTATCTCTGCCGTATCGTATGATGCATTGTGCCCGCAGAAACACATCAGAACATGCTGACCTCCTCCAGCCATGGGGAAGTAATTGATGCTAAAGGATGCTGGCACTCTGTAGCCTCAAGTGCAGTCAAAACATTTGTTCTGCTGCATGCAGATATGTTGGATAAGCAGGTTAATCATATCCTGGAATCCTCCAATGAATCTAATAAACCCACCTCTCTGCAGGAAATTACAGCAACATTAACTCAACTACTTCACACGACTTTTGTTTACATTTGTTGTCTGCAGCAGCAATCTCAAAACCAACTGTGCGGTTCATGCAAATGTGAGTTTGGAAAGGCAGAAAAAGAAGCATCAGGGTAACGGCTGAGGTCCAGTAAACTGAGAGGGATGTTTGTTTTCACGCTGTAGAGATCCTGTGGTTGTTTTTTTTTTTACATTTAAACACAAATGGAGGCGTCGACTGATCGTAATTATGAATCATTTCTTTGTTTTTCAGGAGACGACAATAACCGAGATCAAGCAGAAGATCATGAAGATCCCAGACGCCAATGGGATCGTGATCGATGGGTTCCCTCGAGACGTGGGACAAGCCTTGTCTTTTGAAGACCAGGTAAGTTTCTTGTAAAGGTGTTGCGTAGCTTTTGTGCAGATAATGGAGTCAAGGCTTCCTTCATGAATTAAAATCCTGTGAAATTTTGTGACCTTTTATGTGATGAAACAAGACTTGAGGAGTTGTGGAAGTAGAGACAGTGAAAGAGTCTTTCGGTAATTGCTGGAAAAAAAGTTTTTCTTGTTGAGATACCTTTTTGGAGCGTTCCTGTTTCAATTGGAGAGCACAGCCAAGGCAAGACAAGAAATATGGGTTCAGAGAGTTGGAGATAGCATGGACCAAACAGCACCATCAGTGGGAGTTGAACCTATGACCAGTGTGTCAGGGGTTGAAGCTTCTGTACACAAGACGCCTGCTCAAGCTACTGTATCAAATGCTGACTGTCGTCCAAATTTCCACCCCATGATAAACGTGGCTAAAATAAATCCATGATAATGATATTTATTGTTGTCAATTAGTCAAACTGAGGAAAGGCAAGACAAGGATTAAGAGACACACTACTTCATAATCTTGACTAAAATGTTCGAATGATTTGCTCACATCATCGTCCATACCTCACTTTTGTTGGTCAGCCAAGTTTCTGTTTACCTTTGTGGAGAAGATTTCCTCATAAAATGATCCTTTCTGAGGCTTTTATTTTTATATATTTACTGTATTGGGTTTACGTTGCTTTGTTTCCTGTATTGAAAGATTGTGCTTTTATTTTGAAATTATAATTATGCTCCTTCGAATAGATTGTGAGTTACAGACGATCATTTTCAAAACATCAGTCCTAGAACCATCTGAGACATCCCTTTGTGACCGACATGATTACTATTATATACCGTACTGACAATGGGCACTATTAGTGTGTACTGTTAGACACACACTGTGTTGTTGTTGCCCTTCAATAACCGGCTTCAACTGTATTATTTCTTATATAATTTGTCTGCCAGTCTCTTGGCAACGGTGACAAGGAGGAACTTTCTTTTTGGCAGCAAACTCGAGCAGAACCAGGCTCGACGGTAGAGGGCCATCTGCCGCAGCTAAGAGAAACCCTGCAGAATCAAACTTTTGCACCATGAATCAATCGTGAATTCTCCACTTTGCTACTCCACTGCTGGAGCTTCTGACCCTTGAGTTTTCATAAAAGCAAACTCAAGATCCACCAGCTATCATTGTCCATTATCAGCGAACTGGGTTAGACTCTCTGGGGTTTTCAGGAGCCAGTGGTAAGTTTTAAACCACTCCAGTCTGAGAGTCACTCTTTCAAGTGGGATTTATCAGTACATTTATTTTATCACGTAACACAATGATTCAGATTTGTAAAAAAAAAAAAAAAAAAGGCAAAATGCAAACTTTGTTAGGTTTGCCTCAAGAGACGAAATACCTCTGTAAGTTCTTGGTTGTTGAGCTGAGGTTGGATTACTCACGTCTGATGCAATCCAGGAAGTTAAGAAATCTCACCGCTGATCAGCCTTTGCAGGACAGTGTGAAGAAGTTTCTAAGATAAAATAGAAGTTGTCAGTTGAGTGCAGACGGGGTCAGAGGATGTCATGCCATGAGACCTTCTTTTGCCCAGAGAGAAAAATGCAATCAACCAAAATCGCAACAAACAAAACCCTGATCGTGCTGAAGATCCAGACTCCTCACGACAGATTTTCTGTTTCTGAGTAAAGTCTGCAAAATGAGATTTAACTGGATAACACTGAGTTTCCCATGACCTACATTTAAGATGGAGAAGATTTTAAATTTCGCAATAAAAAAGACAAAACTCGCAAATGAGGAGATTTTAGATTTCAATCTGAATCAAAACATGGATCTGAGCAGCAGAGTCTGCAGCCTTCAGTTATGCAATAAAAAAGTGCATGAATGTGTTTTGAAATTCTCATACTGATGATATCTGGGGAGACTTTCTGTTTTCTCATGATAGATTGAGATCAACTTCTCCGGTCCTTTTTGAATATAAATATGAACCATATTTTAGTCACGTTTTGACCGTAGAGTTGACTTTTTCCTGCCAGCTCTGACCCTCAGCTCACACTCCTCCTCCTCCTCCTGCTGCAGCTAATCAGCTATTCAACAGTGAAACACTGCTTTTCCGTTTCACTGCGGTGCTCAGCGTCCCTAACCCTTGAATGAACAAGCAGTGTCACGCTGGGGGCAAGGACTCACTGCACTCTGACCCGCAGACAGGTTCACCGTCTTTGTGCTCCACTTAAGGGTCCTTGAGCAGGATGTGAAATAACGCATTTCAGGGAGTCAGATGAAGCGTTTCCGTGCACACTGAAAACATCAGCGTTAATGTAAATCAGCAGAGTGAGGAAGATGGATTAAAAAGGCGGCGGCACAGATTTGTAAAGCCGTGTTTCTGTCTCAGCGAGAGGCTCAGGATGGACATTCATCCTGTACAACTGAGTGTCCAATTGTGTCACAGGGCGGTCGATTGCTTTCACAGGGATTGATCCTCCGTCACATTTAAACTCATTTAACATTAATCAACTTTTAAATGAACACTCAATGACTTTTAGAGTGGTTGGGGGATCTATGGAGGTCTGTCTGTGTCAGAGAGCCTCTTTATACAATCGACTAAATTTAGCTGCATTGAAGGGAAAGTGGAAGAAGGACATCAGAGTCTCAACCCGTATTTAGACTGGATTTATATTCATGGAGGAGCTGAACATTCACCCTGCTCCAGGATAACTGCACTGATTGTTCCAGATGGGATTTCGGCTGTTCTCATTTTGCAGCTGCATAATTCAAAGGAGCTTTTTGCATAAAAAGCAAAAGATTAAGTCCATTATTGCAGGTGATTTTTCATTACCAACATATTAACAATTAAAGCTCCCATGAGGAGTTTTTTATTTAGAGTAAAACGGACTGACATTAGGATATGAAAGCGAATGAGACTCTATGAGCAAGAAGACTGACTATTAATGCATGTTACTGGTGTCAGGCAAGCATAATAAAGAAAACACATAAAGAAACAGCTATGCAGTGATAAATGTAGATTAAAGGAGTCACAATGAGATGTTTGTCGAAAAGTGCATGTACAAGACGAATTTACAAATCCTTCTTGTAACTAAAATCATTCCAGATAACTGACTTTCCTTTTCTTTTTGGCAACAAGTCTTCATCTTCTGTGGTTTTCTCTTGTTTGTTGCTCATTTTGCAGTCGTTGTTGTTGTTACCGGTGTTGTGCGCATGCCCTCCGAGAATTGCATGCACCTTACAAAACGAGCACCGCTTACAGTAGAGTGGTCCACGGAAATGTACAATTTAAAATTCGAAGTGTTCATGCGTTTCTCCGCACAACACCAGCAGCGTCAGCGACTCACTCTGTGTGCAGGCCGTGGTTTCCTCCTCTCTGATTTTGATTGACGCCTGGCAGGGTAGTCTGACTGACAACTGAGTAAAGAACGAATGTGATTGGTGGATCGCTGCACGGCACATGCAGAGTCACATGCAGTGTATCTCAATCAGCTACCCTTGAAATGAAATGAGTTCATTCACCTCCTATATCGCAGGATCTGCGATGTGACTATCGCACACGTACATCACGATGACGATGCTCAAACGATATATTGTGCAGCCCTAGACAAAGTTAATGTGGGAGGGGGTGAGCAGCTTGTGGAGTAGTTATCGCCCACTTATCGCTATCAAGGTGAACTGCTCAATAAATCGTGATATTAATTTGAGGCCATATCGCCCAGCTCTACCTTTTCAAATCATTTTAATAACAAATATTCCATATTTGACTGTAGGAGACAGAAGTAAGTTTTAAAATGGAAAAAAACAGTCATGGCATGTACAGAACAAGATCGGGAGCTTTACATTTTTCTTGCATTAACACACAGAAATCCTGGAGGGCCTCCGACTCATTCATGTGTGTGTGCTCACTGATGAAAATGCAAAGCAGTTTTCCTGCTCTCCAGGCAAACATGACAGACACTTTCATTGAAAGCGTCTCTGCTCAAGTTTCTGCACGGAGCTTAATCAGCCCCATCAGAACGTATATCCATCAGCTGTTATGTGTTCTGTGGCACCGAAGTAAATCCTGATTGTAAATAAGAAAAAACCGTCGCAGTCTTTAAATGCCGCCCTGGATGGTGATTAAATGTGCGTTTGAGGGCCCCTGCAGGGACAATCAGACGGGGTTCCTCTTGATGTAACGCACAGTGAGGGATGATGCGGTGCATTAGCTCGTCATCTTTGGTGTTAACGCATGTAAACGGCTCGTTAATGTGGACGGCCAGAGGCAATCAGCCGGCTGTATAGAGTCTGACTGCTGCAGTCAGTTTCATGAACAGATGACACAAAAGGCTATCTCTGCTTTCCACACATGCAATTACATGTGCTCTTTCATTAACACAAAGAGAGACCTTGTACCAATGTAGTTCTAAATTTACATAGGTGCACATGATCGCACGTTCAGGTTATACACATTGACATTAGCACACACCGGAGCATATAAATGAGAAAATACAAGGATGCATATAACACTGGAGTATTAAACTCGTATGATTCACACAAATCCAATATGGAGTGTCATTTGCACAAACGGTATAAAAGTGCAGAAAAAAACAGATGCAGCGGTGTGACACTAAGCAATATGTGGTTTAAATACCGGTAAATTTTATACATGGTTAGGGGCGCACAATTTGGGCTAAAAATAAAATCCCTGAAAACTCGATTTTCGATTAAGGGTTTTTTAGTCAGTGACAACTTCACCAAACGTCTCTTCAAAAATAAGTTTTTCTATCGTATCTCAAAACGAAACCACTGAAAACGATGTAGTGCACATGCCAAGCCAGTAAGTGGCGCTGTAACGCTGCAGAGGGAAAGCAACAAAAGACAGAAGAAGATTTTAATTTTTCTAACATCGTCATAATCAAATGATCCCATTACAATTTAAAATCAATTAATCGTGCATCCCTATACATGGACAACAGAACATCTGAATCACTGTCTTTGAATTTACTCGAGCGATGTGCTAATAGTGACTCTTTCTTAGAGTTACAGATCCGACACCAAGATCTGAGGTACATAAATTCCAGAGATGATACGATACACCAAGAGTCCAAAACCCCCTGATTTTTCATTCCTTCTTCACTATAAATAACAGAAATAAGCAGCTCTCACTCTGAAACTGTCTTTTAAAGCACTGACTGTGAACATCAGATATCAAATCTACCTGAAAATAGAGACACTGGCGACGCTCTGAAGCAACTGACCTCAGCGTGGAGGTGAGAAAGCGCTCATAAAACAGTCAAAATGGATTTATCCAACACCAATGAACACTGAATCACAGAGTCTGCAGGCGAAGAAGGCCAAAGTGGTTCATAGCATTAGCAGAACTAGCACCTCCGGTCGTCAGGTTAGCTTCCACATGCATGTGCTGGTTATAGTGGAGTGTTATGCACCCTAGAGAAAAACTTTATCTCCATTTTCTAGTGTTGTGCACGAATGAAGATAAGAGCCCTGAATACGAAAGTGAATACTCTGTCATAAAAAGTATTTACTTCTTTTAAACCTTGATTTTTTTTATGACTAACAGTCGCCTACTAAGTCCTCCAGCCTCACCTGCTCTTTTCTGCAGAGGTCTTTAAACACGAATTCTTTGACTCGTCACGCTCACCTCAGCGGACGCCTTACCCGCTCTCATGTCTTCATTACAGCTTCTCGTCTTCCTAGTAATTGTACATTCTCCCGCCTCTCTTCGTGAAAAGGCCAAGACTCAGAATAATGAGAACTCTAATGTGGTCCTGCTGTCCCTCGTCTGACAGCAGACTCCACTTAGTACATGGTCCCCCCCTCCCCTCTGAGAGCTGCATGAGGAAAGACAACAGAGAGGGAGAGATCGGATGATGAATGTGGCTGGCTCATGCACAGAGAAAGGGATTTCTGCACAGATAATAACGCAAAATCACACTCTAACATCTCATTGACAGAGCCCACAGCTGAACTATAACTGTGGTTATTATCAGCAATCCCAGCTGTTTCCAACAGTGTGCAGATTACATTAAAAATCCTTCCCTGTGTCTAAATAGGAGCCGATAGTGACTGACGCGCTCAGTCATTCTTACACTGCAGAGCCTGGAAGCCTCATAATTAAATGACTGTTTCCTCTCCCGTGTTATAATGTGGTAAATTTGCTCAAAACGACCAACGATCTTCATTTCTCCTCACAGCGTTACTTTAATTGTCACATTAGAGGTGCTACACTACGAGTTTGCATATGTTTATGTCTAGACATGGATTAAGACGTGAGAAAGTTCACAAATGAGGTCATGCAGATAACAAATGCATTCAGGTAGGTGTGTTCCTGACCTTTATCTGGAAAACGCTCAAAAACAGACGTCGATAATTGGACAGGAGGAAAAAACACTCGGCTGATAACGCACGCAGCAGCAGCTCTGGGATTTACAGTGGGACTTGGTGACAGCTGGTTATTACAGGGTCTTTTGTGCAGCTCAGGAGGAGCAAAGAAAGAAAATAACAGTGGTGTGTTACAACAAACAAGACTCTGAGACCTTGTGATGTCGGGTTAGATCATTTTAGTGTGGGTTTAGTTTGGTAAATGAGGGTACGCCTCTGGAAAGCTCAGGTTTTTGTGATCTATTTCAGTTTTACCCTCTGTCTTAATAGCTGCTGCCCTGATTATTAGACATGGTTGTCGGGATTTTTTCAAAATTTCCCACTTCCCCATTTTATTCTACCAAATATTAAGGTCTTCAAGTCAGAAATATGAGGAAATCTGGTCAAATCTAAAAGTTATTAAATCAGCCATCAACCAGAAACACAAACAAGTCTCTGCTAAGTATCGATTAAAGTTATTTATTCATACAGCCAAAATTTAGCCCCCAAATCCCAATGATTATCAGTGTTTTCATGGCAACAGTATTCCAATTACCCAAAATAGGAGTCAAATTAACATTTTTATTTACAGTTTAGTCTTAAAATAATCATAAATCACATTAAACTTAAGATTTTAATTTATAGTAAAGTCAGGATATTTGCATTTTCACTAAATCCTGAAAATATCAGCAGAAACTGTCAAATCTTCTTTTGGAAACTTTTCTGTCGAAATTTTTTTCACTCTTAGCCTGTATCCTGTAATCCTGTAATGGGGCGCTCACACCAAGCGCAAGTTAAATCATCCACTTGCTTAATTTGCACGAATCTTGATGCGTGAATGAATTGTTCGTTTCACTCACACGTCAACGGTAATTTCAACGGTAATCCCTGCCAATTCAACCGGCGGGATCAAGTGATCAGTTTGTACTCCATGTTAGATACCAGTGAACAACCGTTCGTTTTCATATGTCCCTTGACAACCATCATCCAGAGTAGTTATCGCGGCGCCAATATCCGCTCAAGTTGAGACATTTTCACCTTCCGCCCAATTCGCGTCATTCGCTCTGCCAGAGTAGTAGAGTGTCTGATCACGTCTTTGCGTTGACTTATCATGTAATTCGTTCGCAAAAATGATTTTGCTTGCGCTTGGTGTGTGGAGACAGTTAGACAACCAAAGCCCACACCATGTTGTGGTTTTTGGTTGCTTTTGTGTCTGTTTTCTTCACTTTGGTTGAAGTCTCTCTCACTCAGCTTTTTGTGCGTTTTCACGTCATTTTTCTGCGCCGTCTTCAATCAACATTCCCTTAAATATTTTACATAAGAGCTGGTCTAGACTGTACTCTTCATTACAAAGACCAAACATCAAGATGGGATCAGATCGAGTCCCGTCTTGTAAAATCAGACTTTAGTCTTAAAATAATCATAAATCACATTAAACTGAAGATTTTAATTTATCCTCACTACTTAGCAATTTCTTAAATTTTTAATAACTGACTTTTTTCCTGTTACTGTTTTGTGCTCAGGTTTTTTTTTCAAATGTTTATAATCCTGAATAAAGGAGCTGCCTTACAACCATGAAATTACAGTGAACTCAGGAAAAGTTAAAGTGCTCCAGGCTGGAGCTTTATATGGACTCTGTATTCCCAGATCAGGCTCTCTGAGCCAGCCAGTGATCCTCCGGGGACCTGCAGCATCAATTTTTATGATTCCCTCTTCACCCCACGCTGCTACTTTGCCCTTTACAACATCACAGCAGCCATTTATGAGCGTCTCCCATGGGTCGCCTGCATGGGTCCTTTATAGCCGTCCAGAGAGGCTGTCTATCATCTTCCCTTCAAGCTATTTTACCTCTCCTCTTATCGACTGTGGAGCTGTCAGTGTACATGTTCATCTCTGTCAATCTTCCATTTGGGTGCCTCAATCTATTACACGCGTATCTATATTTGAATTTCATTAAGTGATCAATCATTCAGAGCTGAGAGACGGTGCCAAACATGTTCTTCTTACAGCTTAAACAGGCTTTTTGGGCACTTTGGGTCATTTCTAAGGCCATAAATGAAACATATGCAAAGCTTTTGTTCAGATATTCAGATATGAATGTTTAGAGGACAGCAGAAACAGTCCAGGAGCTTCTTTGCTGTGCTGCAGTTTGTTTTGTGTGGTTGTCATAAGTCCGCCGATCCCTCTGTAACATCAGAGAAATAAAACATTTTGCTCAGAGTTAAATTAATAACCGCGTATTACAACTGCCAAGCTTTCATCTCCTTCCTCCTGAAGATTTCTGGACGCTTCAGGGAGGGGAGCTGCAAAGACAATAACGTTACATAACTGCTGTTTAAGCAAGCGTACAAAGCTGCCGTGCCTTTTCTTTTCATTTTCTGTAAAGTTAGAGAAACATTCAAGACGAGAGTGAAGGTGACATTTACAAAGTCTGTGCAGGCTGCAGCTGAAAAATAAGGTTCAGACTTGATGGACATCACAGATGACAACCTGGTAAATCCACCTCAGTGCTGGATTCATGTATAGCCGTGTCCTGGAAAGCTGTTCTCCGTGTCCTTCCTGTTTCTTGTCCTGGCAGTGCTCCTGACCTCTATTTAAGAGCACTTACTGTTGCTATCATGAAAACTACCCTGGGGCTCTTCCACTCCCCTGAACAGTGACCATTACGTCTGTTTTAAAATGCTCTGTATGTTCATATTTGCTCTCATGCAATGTCACTTTAAAAAGAAAATGTAGAAAACAACGGTTGGAAATTGTGTCGCAGCGTTAGCAGCAGCTCTGGACCTGGAAATGACACCTTAAAAAAACAAGGTTATAAATGTATGAATAGTTTCCACTCCTTCTTGATACTGATTAGATGATGATCAAAAAATTGAGATTGACAAGCATGGAGCGATTTTTGAAGTTGCATTTGAACCTGCATGTTTATTTTGCATTTTAAAACAGTTTGCAGGTTCATTTTAACAGTATAAACCAAAGTCTTCTCACTGCAGATGATTTTGCTGCCACCGTCCAGGAACTTGCACGACACTTGTACTTTTAAGGAGTTCCAGTTTTTGGTTGCTTTCTCTCTTTCACGCTCGCTTTTTGTGCACAACTCTGTTGTTCCCTACACCCTTAAGTCAGTGAGTGTTTGTGATGTGGTTTCTGCAGACATCAGTCCGATTAGCCGCACATGTATGGTGGTCGCCCAAAGTCAAATTGATGTTTGAGTTTTCTACCAAGTCGTCTGAGAGTTGTTGAAAGATAGATGTGCAGGGTAGAGGTTGCCGATTGAACTGAAAATGTACCAATACTGAAAGTTACAACAATAATCGTCGTCATTTTGTATATTTGGTGTCAAAAATAAATGAATAAATAAGAGTTGGTTTTGGATGTGTGGAGGTAGGCTATGGTCTCATGTCCCATTAAGAGGCTGTCCTACATCAGAGACCTAACTTCATCCCATCCAGTCGGTAACAAAGAGGGAAAGACTGGTGAGGAGATGGAGGACGGTTCAAAAGTTGTCACAGCTGAAGTAGACGAAGTTAATGTGGGAGGGGGTGAGCAGCTTGTGGAGTAGTTATCGTCAATTTATTCAGGCGAGCTGCTCAATATATCGTGATATTGATTTGAGGCCATATTACCCAGCCCTAGTGCAGGGTCTCTAAACCTCATGTATGGTTTGATTCCAGCCTGTAGCTCCTTTCCTGGCACAGGTTATATCTCAGCTTTCGAGAAAAACTTAGTACACGGAACAGATTCATCCAGATTAATAATAACTGCTACAGCCTTTCTCAGAGTCTGGCCATGTACTTGTAGATACCCCGTGGGTTCAAGTATGTTCAGATAAACGCAGTTATTCCCTTTAATGTTGTCTGAATAAGTAAGATTAATGCGATTCAGCCCCCGTCTGTGTGAATGGACGGTCTGTTGTGCTCGGTGAGAAATGCTGGATGGCGGAGCGCGAGGAAAGGACCGCCGGGTTTATGGAGACAGATGGAGACGTCTGATAGGCAGCAGCTCCACTTGCCCAGAAAGAAGGCAAACAGTAGTTTGGACTGAAGCCTGTAATCAGCAGTTTCCTCCTTATACGACAGCAGCAGCTATATGAATACAATCTATTCCTGGAGAGGACGTCATGATTACTAAATGTTGTTCTGCTGGAATACAGTGCTTTATTTTCCAAAGTCTTTCATACAAATACAACCTTGGCACATATTGTTTTACCTTGAAGTGACAATGACTACAGCTGACATTCATGTGCAGAACAACAGGAAGCTGCGTCTAACCCCTCAAAACGCCTCTATCAGCTTATCTTTCTGCTTTTTTTATATATATAATCAAGCGTGTTATGCAGAACCTCCCTCACATGGTAAAAATTGAGTTTATCTTCCTGCTTTTGCACCTTATTTGGTACTTAGTGAGAGTTCAAGAAGGCATTCCTACCAAAAATATCCAGCAAATGTGTAATATGATGTAATCTTGTGAAAATAATAACATACTGCTTCATTAACAAACATCTGCAGAGTGAGACTGCTGCCCCGCACTAATGGTACAACCTGGAGAAAAAGTAGGGCACAAGTGCGGTCACCATGGAAACGGAAACTTTGATTTGCCTGACTCCAAATTGAGTTGCGTTCATAAACAACACCACTGGAGCTATTTTTAGCCCTGACAGAGACTGGGGGGACGGTTCGGCAGAGTGTGATTCATCTGAGGACGGAGGGAAACAAACAGACAAACGGAGGGTGAAGAGTGATAAACTGTCCATGCGTGATTTTTAAAGAGGAATATCCTTTATGGTGACAGTGTGGAACACATGGTCTAAATGATCTGCTCCTCTTCCTTGTGTGTTTAAAGCTCCAGTGAGGAAGTTTTGAAATAGACAGACATGAACGATAATACATTTGGATGTCATTCAATGACAAGCCTGACGCTCTCTAAACTGTCATTTTTAGTGCCTGTAACAGCTAAGGTTGTTGTGGATGCTACCCAAATATTCGATCAGTAAAACTGGAAAGCTTGAGAGAGATGAGAAAATGTGGGGAGAAAGTAGAATACTACCGATGAGCATGTCAGGGTCAGGAACTGAGCCTATGACCCCTGCAGTGAGGACTGTAGTCTCTATAGACTGGGCACCTACTCGACCAGCTGAGCCAAACTTGAACCCCAGAGTAGAGTTTCAGGCTTTTATCAAACCATAGCTGCACTCCAAGTGTCATTATTTAGGGTCTACTGGTTTATTCACTACAGAAAACAAGAACAGCCGTGGATTTTTCTTTATTTTTCAATGCCTAATTATCTTGTGATAATGACTTATTATCTCATTATCTCGAAATGACAAAGTTTGTTTTCTCGTTAGAGCAAATCATTTTGCCGACTTAAAACGGTAACTTTTAAAAACACCCTCCTAGGGCCTCAAATTAACATCACAATATGTTGAACAGTTCACCTCAATAACAATAAATGGACGATAACTACTCCACAAGCTGCTCACCCCCTCCCACATTAACTTCGTCTACTTGAGCCGCTACAACTTTTGAACCGTCCTACATCTCCTCACCTGTCTTTCCCTCTTTGTTACAGACTGGATGGGGTGGAGTCACGTCTCTGACGTAAGACAGCGTCTTAAAGGGACATGAGACCATAGCCTACCTACACACTTTTCATATATTTTTTTGACACAGAATATACCGATATGGGCAAAATGACGTCAGTTATTGTCGTATATTTCGGTATCTGTAAATTTCGTTTGCCCTCCAGATTAGGATATTTCTGAAATGCAGCAGCCACTGTTGTCAACAGCAAGCAGGGGTTTTCAATGAAAACACTGACGGCACACTCCATTTTGCACATTACACTTTCAACGTGAGAACATTTAACTGCCATGTGTGAATCAGACAACAGCAGTAACAATGGCCGACACATTATTAATTAATTCCTTATCAGGAAACTTTGTTATATCGAGATAATGAGATAATAAGTCGTTATCATGAGATAAAAGTGCATAAGAACAGGAAAAATCCATGGCCATTCTCATATTCTGTAATTTAATATAAATAAACTGTTAAAATCACAGCTCCTCATCCTAAATTGATATCTCAGACACTGAGTGACACACACACACACACACACACACACACACATATCACGGGTCTCTGAGGTCTCACTGGTTTAAACTTATTTTCCTGCTAAGTTCAGACGCACCAGTACAATCACCCCAGCTGCCTCTAATGATCATTTTAGCACTAAATCAACGTCTACCACAGTTTTCAAGTCAACATAACATAATCCCTGCTATATAATATAATCCCCTGATAGATGTTTAATCTTTCAAATCTCCCATCAAGCTAAAAGGTTGACAGCCCCCCTGGTTTAACAGATTAAGTCTCTTTCACTGATCTCTAAATACGTCACACTGCTCAGTGACGGACTCGGAGGTTTCCGAGGAGTCTTGTTGTGTCTTGGACTCATTGGAGTGTCTCAAATTAAACCTCTATGATTCAGGCATCAGTCAGCGCTGCTGCTGCGGTTTCCTGACCTTTTCCTTTAAACTACAGAAGTCAGAGCTTATTTGTTCGCCATCATCTCTTGGCAGTGTAGTTCATTCATCATCTCATGGCGGCAGTAATTGGAGTCGCACCAGACAACTTCCCTGAGAACTTAATGACTGAGCACCAACGGTTAGCCGCTGCACCAACTTTTATTTCATTTATTTACAATTTCATTTTGAGACTCTTATGAATATTTATGAGACACACGCGCATGTGTTTCCTCTTTATGAATACAGAGATACTAACTCAAAGTTCGCTGTTTCTCGAGTGTTCATTAATTCGCTCCAATCTCAGCGGCTGCGTTTTTGTTTTTCCTGTAAATAAGCACCTCCAGCTACGACTTGGGAAATCACCGTCAGACAGTAAGTCTGTGTTTACAACTTATTTAGCTGCCTCTAATGAGCAAAGAGGAAACAAAAATGCCATGAAAAATGATAGTTGTAACATCTGCTGGCATTTACAGCCCATATTGTTAAATATCAAGCTGTTTGGAATTAAATATGTGTCGCAGAAGAGGCGCTAAAACCCGCCATAAAGTTTTACGGTAATGGCCTCCGCGGGAGAGTGAGGAGCAGTCGCAGCGGTGTTCACACCTGCTGATGATCCGCGGGAATGTTGCATCTTCAGTTTCTGTATTACTCTTCATCAGCGACAACTCCTCACGTTTAATTCTGAAATAGATTACGGGCGTCACCGTGGCAGAAAAGGCTGCATGTGCGATCGCAGATAAAAATGTCCATCACTGTTACGACAATCAGACTTTTTTTTCTCTTTCTTGTTTTTCCCGTTTCGGTCTCGTTGTTATCTGATTGTCACAGATAAAAACAGAAAGTGTGATCGTGAGTGTAACGAGGGTGTTATCTCCGGTGTCATTTACCTGATTCATAATCCGAGCTTTTTTTAAACGTATAACTTCATGATCAGAGTCGACTTTGGTGACATTCAGATGAAACCACTTTTTCAAAAACAGATATTCAGTCTTTACAGAGATCGAGGTTTGTATTCTTGTGTGAACAGCAGCTCTGACACTTCGACCTCGGCGCACTGACTCAGAAATGAGACTAACCGGACGTGTCATCATCACCATCACCTCTGGATGAACCCGAATCCCTCCGGTATGGGCCTGACTGTAATATTTCACACAATTTCTCCCCCTCGGCAGATCTGCACCCCTGACCTGGTGGTGTTCCTGGCCTGCACCAACCACCGCTTGAAGGAGAGGCTGCAGAAACGAGCCGAGCAGCAGGGACGACCGGACGACAACCCCAAGGCCATCGACCGCCGCCTGACCAACTTTAAGCAGAACACCATTCCTCTGGTCAAGTACTTCCAGGAGAGGGGCCTTATCGTCACGGTAAGCCCCTTAAGTCATTCATATCTTTCTTATTTAATGAGCCCATTATCTAAAGTTACAATGATACTGATCAACTTTGCTATCAACACTCATCATACCACTTTAATCTGCTGGCTGAGTATCTGTCAAAAGAGTCAAATTTAAACACACTCAGAGAAAATCTGCATGGGAAAGATAGTTTTTACATCTCTTCAAATAAAGAGGGTCAAGAGTGGAGAAACACTGAACAAACAATCTCAAAAAGTCAATTATTCTCCTTCAAATGTTCACAGGGGGCTTCATCAGCACCATCGTCTACATCTGAAATACATGCCAGGTGCTGAAAATCAGACATAAGATACAGAGCTTGGACCCTTCTGTAGGGTTTCCACTGTCTCCAGAGTTTAATAAACGCAGTCGTTTTAGTGCCTGGTGATGGGTGTTTAAGTTACAGTGTCTCCCCTAGCTTTTTCGCTTTGGCAGTAGACGTACGTCACCCATCATACAGGGTTGCCAGAGATAAGCCAGTGCTGTTTTCAGGGCTGGGAGAGATGCTGAAGCTGGCATCCACAAGAGATTGTGCGGCGCCTGCATCACTACATATGAACGTTCTGGGACAGTTCGGTGCTCCATGACCAGTTTTTTTTTTTTTTTTTTGTTGGCGGCAAACATGATGGAAAAGAGCCAGAACTCCAGGTTGTGAAAACCATATTACGCAAAACTGGCAGTGTATGAATGAGCAGCAAGCACTTGCAACCAGAAAACCATGTCATGGCATGTCAGCACGTGTGTTTGTTGTGAGATACAGAGAAGATAGAGCGGAGAGCCCTGCCAAATACACTACAGGGGAAACTCTGAGTTAAATCTCTTGCATGTAAAGCATCAGTGGGATGTTTACGTACGTACGTGCATAAATGAATCACTGTCGATCTTATCACACGTACCAACAAGTCAGAGGGAGTACGATAAATGTAAATCACTTTCTCTCAAAGTTTGTCTTTGCGTCGTGGAATCACCTCTCTGCTCTTTTTGATTCATAGGCACCTCTCTCCAACTATTCCAGGTATGTAAGAAGGAGATTTGAGCCAACAGAGAGCCCAAATCTAAAACCCACATACTATAACTAATGACTTCACCATCACAGTGAATAATACAGAGGACCGCTGTGACTCCCATCTGCTGCCTCATAAAAGATTATATCTCTATTGAGAGTATTTGTTTTGATTGAATATCATCCAACCGCTGCCTTCTCTTCTACCTTTATCCACACACACATACTGAGAATCCTGAGCAATAAAAAGTGTTTGATTTCGGCTGACACCTGTTAAAAACTACAATAAATAATCTGACTATCTTACCCCTGATGGTCTTGTTTTCTTTAGTTTACTTTTTTTTTTCATAAACCCTGATAAAAGAACTCCTCACAGGAGCTTTAAGATGACTTGATCAGTTCTTAAACCATTTCAGCGCACACCCTGATCCCTCATCGTTCAGCCTATTGGCATTTTCACTTCGGCTCATGTCTCATCAACAGCAGCTACAGAGCAGAGCAGGATACTGACATGTATAAAGAGTGAAGGCTTTGAATTTTGTAGGTCAGCCGATAACATTTCTGTACCGCAGATTATCTCGAGCGTTTAAGATTTCCTTCAACAAGAATCTCTCCCTCACAGTAATAACAGAGAAGTTATTCAGTATTCCCTCCGCTGTGAGGAAGATGACGCCGCGCTGAGACCCAGACGGATCAATGAGACTCCCACACGAGGGGCGAGCAGTCACTTCCTTCAGCGGCGAGAGCGATCGCCTTATTAACACCTGCCTCAGAGATACCAAGGGTGTCCTGATGCCCCCTCTTCACCACACCACACAATATAATGAAGATCCCAGTGGTCTCCAATTAACATTTAGTAATCTGTTGGAGCAGTGACAGTCCGTTTCAGCTCACACAATGATGAGGAGACTTCTTTCGTTTTGTATTTTTGCTCTCCTTCAGCCGAGGAGCGAAAAATGAAACTGAAGAGAAAAGATGCTTTTAAATGAACCTTCGCCTGATTCACGGATCTGAACAGAACTGTTTCACCTGAGCTCTGCCGCACGAAACCAATTTCAGTTTTTTTATCATTCGCTGAAATAAAACAAGACCTTCGACCCTCTCTGAATATCCCGGCTCGGCAGCTTTTCAGTGTGATGGAGATCTCTCATAACTTTGTTGACCTTCCAGCTCCTGAGAGATGGGGGGCTGGTTATTACTGACACTACGAATAGGTCTATTTTTGCAATATGTAACTGATTGGTGTTATAGATAATACTAAAATGGCCTTGTAGGAGCTAAGTCTATACTTAAAGCTGCTGAGATGCTCGACCCAGATTAACCTGGGTTGTTTTCTGTTGTTTTCATGAACTACCGTGAGTTTCTTGATGATCAGTAAGAGTCTGGACGCATTTCCTCTAGTGCAGCGGACAGTTTTATTCTTGATGTGGATGAACATGGTCAAAGTCCATTTTTTTTGCCATTTCCATTAACAGCTGAAAGACCGACTCCGATAGAAATCTTGTTTTTCATTTTTTACATGTTCATATGATATTTTTCTGATGCTACAGGACAAATCATGAGAAAAGTAAGTGTGAAATGTCTGCTGTGAACTAGAGGATGACATTTTTCGGGAATGGGAGTCATTTTTTAATTAATCCAGTAATCAGCTGAAAATGATCATCGATTAATGTTATTCCTGCTCCTGCCTGCTCCCGTTGCTTTTTTTCTCGTCCCGATCACAGGATTAATTAAAAAATGACTCCCATCCCATGGGATTCCTGCGGGAATCACGTGACCCACGGGAATTCCCGAAAAATGTAATCCTCTATTGTGAACCTCTCACAGACCCAAACAGCAAGTTCAGGCCCAGTGAGATTTCCTATGTCACAACTCCAAGCCCTGCCCCCGGAGCCCCGCTAGAGGACAATCTCGGAACAAGCGTGTGCGTTAGCGGATTGCAATGCTTGTAAGAAACTAATTATGATTTTAGCTTTCGTCATGTCTCTAAAGACATTAGTGTCTGAGAGCTGAATAGCTCCTATGTTACCTGCCACTTCTACAACACCGGCAATGATAGGCTACAAGCTAGCATGAAGAGGAGTGTGCAGAGCAGCACTGTCTCCGCCCACGATTCAGAGGCGAATTGCTAATGAGCTACTGGAGCTCTGCAAAAGAAAAGCACTTAAAAATGACACAGGTAACGTGATTTTGGCGAAAAACTTCATAATCACAATTTAAAGGCAACTGATAACACTTTAAGTAGAAAAAAACGATCGGAGTGTGACTTAAAGAAAGAAAAACACAGACATGTGGCACCACAGCGGTCAGAAACTCTTCGCCCTTTCGGGTCAATCACCTCAAAACAGCAGAGCGACACCCAAAGCACACAAAGAGAACCATAGTTCATTTTATATTATCACAATAACATATCTGGCTCCTACAGGCCTGATGCCGAAGTCTCTCAGTCTGAATTAAAACCATAAAACCTGTTTTTAATAAAGTTACCAGAATAAAAGATAGTCAGAGTTTATCTTCCATGTGAGCGTGTGTGTACAGCGTTTGGATTCTCGTGTAAAACCATTAAATCATTCATGACCAGCTGAGCAAGTAATGGGTTTTCAATTTCAATTACGAGTATGAGTATATAGTAGTATTACGAGAAGTACAGCAAAGTTTGGGAGCTCAAGGAAGTTGAGTGACATCAGATTGCGCCGTCTTATCAGGACGCTGCTAAAGAACGAGCAGTCAGTGAGTAAGATTGACTTTTGTTGAGTCATGTCTCTGAAAGTAATTGTTCTTTGAGTTGTGTGGTAAAATCACAGCTGTTTTCCCCACCCACAGATGAAGGAAAAGTCTGTTTCATAAGCAGAAAAACCCTCCCCACAGGAGCTTTAAACTGCGATTGTTGCTCCCTGAGTCAAAGACAGCGACTGCTACAGTTAAATGTGTGATCCTTCTAATTATGAATCTCTACTGTGCTGTAAAGGCGCACTAACACATCTGTCTGTGCTCCATGTCCCCTGAGAGTTTGTTTGAGTCATGTTTGTTGAGTCATCACATCCACCGTAACATCAAAAATAAAAACACATTTCAGGCTCTAAATTCATGATTCCAAACTCCTGGGATTCGACCAATTTTCTCCTCTTCCAAACCTGTGAATGAAAGAGGACTCCACTCCTCCCTCCTGTGAGTCGTTGGCAGTCACAGTCGGACTCAAACACACAGGTGCTGCCTACCTTGTCATATCACCACGGTTGTACTGGATCACAGAGTAGGAGTGTCTCCTCTTCTATTATTAGATATTTACATTAATCTCTACGATGACCTGGCTAATGGCATAATCCCGATCAAGCAGAGGTGTGCCATTAAAGGACGTGACATAAACCTGTTAAATGGATTTTCAGTCATTTCCTCAACTCTCGGGTCTACGTCCTCTACAGTCAATTAACACAATCCTTCTCCCATGAGGTTCCCTCTCTTAAGCCTGTCAGGTATAGACATCCAGTGTAGGTACCAGATGTGCTCGGGCTGCCAGATCGGCTTGGGGCCCAGCACCTGTTGAAGATGTCACATTACGGCAAGTCCACTCTGACAAATTACATTGCTCTCCATTTAATAAGTCAAATGTGCTTAGTGCTTAAAAGTTTTCTTTATTTCAGTTTGCTCATTCAATTCACCTCGAATCTTTTCTCTCCATATAATACAAAGAACTACAACTTAATAGGGCTGGGCGCTATGGCCTCAAATCAATATCACGATAAATTGAGCAGTTCACCTCAATAACGAAAAATGGATGATAACTACTTCACAAGCTGCCCATCCCCTCCCACATTAACTTCTTCAGCCACTACAACTTTTGAACCGTCCTCCATCTCCTCACCTGTCTTTCCCTCTTTGTTACGGACTGAGTGAGGTGGAGTCACGTGTCTGATGTAGAACAGCATCTTAAAGGGACATGAGACCATAGCCTACCTAAACACATCCGAAACCAACTTTTATTTATTTATTTTTTTGACACCAAATATACCGATATGGGCAAAATGACGCTGGTTATTGTTGTAAATTTCGGTATCGGTAATTTTCGGTTTATCTCCCAGCGCTACAACTTACTGTCCTGTAATTTTTAGATGGCTTTAATTGTGTATGTTAATTATGCCATATGTTTCTAAGGAAAAAGACAGAAAAATGTACACAGGACCTCCATTTATCTAGAGACAGTTTTTCCTTTATTCCATATTTCCTTGGCAATCTAGAAGAGGCAGTAGTCCAGCTGTCCTAAATCCGCTTTGATAAATCACGATAGATTACTTAGTAATATTTGTCCATGTTTTCTCTGAAGAACTACAATCCCATTAAACCTAATTTGGCATAAACTGCTTCAGTAATGTCCGGACCTACCACATCTGAACCAACTTCCGGCCAATTATATAGCATGATGTCATCAACGTGGGCACACATATGGCTGAGCAGGTTAGCACGCCTTACTCACAGGGACCACGGTCCCCGCAGCGGGCCCCAACCATGGCCCCAACCATGTGCTGCATGTCCTCCCCCCTCTCTCTCTCTCTATCTCCCTATACTTCCAACCTGTCCTATCAATAAAAGGCAAAAAATACTTTAACAAAAAAAATAAAGCAGACTTAAGAGTCACCTGTGTGAGTCCTGCAGGACAGATTTCTAAACCTTGCAACGGTAATCACGGCTGAAATTGAGATCATGGAGCATTTTCCATCTTAAGAGCTCCTCTATCAGGATCATGGAAATAATTTCTTGATTGAAGTGTTCTCTTTAAATTGCTCTTTGTGTCAGAGAGTTTTGAACCCAGCTGAGCCTTGAAAATCATCACTGACGCCTGTATAAAACCTAACCAAACGAGCGATCTTTACTCCATCTAAAGTGTTTCCTTTCAGAATAAAAGTCTGACAGAAAGCTGCCACTTGAATAATGTTAAAACCTTCAAGTCGAAGATCAGGAGTCTCTGCCTCACACAGACGTTTTTGGTGTCCTTGAACGCACCGTCCAAAGAATTCAAACTTATTGAAACCTCAGTAGAAATATCACAATAACTCATGTCCCGTCACAGCACCTGTTCAGTCTGATAAAACTACAGCAAGATTTCTGTCTCAAGTCGTGACAATGAAGACGATGAAGGTGTGTTTTCTCTGCTGGATGAGTCAACTTATCTAAAACACACACACGCACACACAATGAAGCCTTGGCGGAAATTGCAGCGAGCAGAGATAATTGTTTGTTGTGGCCTCTATTGGAGCCGTGTTGTCCTTCGAAGAAAGTGGACTGACTCTAATTAAATATTCCCAGAGAGAGTTCAGCTGCTGCTTCCTGCTGCGTGATGCCACTCAGATATAAACAAACAAAAGACGCCCTGATCTGGCTTTCTGAACGCCTTATCTTCACAGGGATGTTTTGAAAGCTTTTCTTCATTATTCCTGTGCGCTACGGATCAGATGCTGGTGTTGGATAATGGACAAAAAAAAACAGTCAGAGCTGATGTGAATTTTTAAACTTAGTGAATCACACTGGAGGAGTTCAGCAGATCAGTTTGTGGCTGTTTGCTTGAGATTATTTGGGTAACACTTTCCCGTAAAGAAAGGATTTAGATTACCTAATCGAAGGATGACTGTAGCTTCACTTTAGAGTCCTAAAAATCTGGACTACAATCAGGCTAAAGTGCTAGGTCACTGCAGACTTCTTCAGATTTACTAAAAGTTCTCCGAATGAGAGTCCAGACTCATCCATCAGCTCTGACCAACACCCTCCATGGATTTTTCTTTACGTCCCTGTACTTGGTTTCACGACTTTATGCCAAAACACAACAATAAACTCCTGACAGTGCAAACAAATCACTGCAGAGTGGAGCAGCGAGGCCAATAACCAGCCGCTGCGTTTGTCGAGTGGGTGGGATATTTATATCTGTGCAGCCTCTTCAGAGACATGTAGCTGTATGTCACATCCATGAAACTTCTTACAGGAGTGTTCAAGAGGAAAATCCATGAGTAAAACATGAGTACTGCATGTCCTAAACTAAAAAGCATGCTTGTTCAGATCAAACAGATGACACTGAAGGCACCAAACATCTCTCTTCAAAGTCCGGAGGAGCTGCAGCTTTTAGCACCCTCACAGCTTCAGACTCGGTCTTTGATTGTTCTCCTGGCTTTAATCTGAGTGTCCATCTTTGAAATGTTTGGGTGTTGCGTGAGACCGTAGCCCCCCCTCTCTTTACTTGAACTTGAAAAAGACACGCTCTTGTGTATTTTCTTAGTTTTTCAGAGCATGGAGACGGAATGAGTTCCTGGAAAGAGGCTGATTTTGAGGGTGCGTTCAGCTACTTCCTCTGACACTGCTCGAAGATTAGCTCAAAGAGAAGAGAGCTATAGTGTTGAAAACAAACTGGATTTTGGCGCTGTGGTAATAAGAATCTGAATTAGAGTTTGTGTTTCCTCTCTGAAACTTTAGGAGGACGGCTCCAGTGAAGTCTGGAGGACTGGGTATCACTTCAGCCATTAATCTGTCCTTGTAAAGTGACATTTTCCTCCCAAGTGTCTTTTTTGTGGAGCATAAAAGGATTAGATGAAGCCTCTCTATTATATCAGGGACAAATTTGGGTAAGAAAAGATGCTGCAGTATGAGAGCAGTCCGTTAGCTCACTTTCTCTCTCTGTAACCGGATCCTAAGAGCTTTGAGAATCCTCTAGTGCTCTATGGAGGAATCCTCAGTTTGAGACCCTCTCTTTCAGACCTATAAGCAGACCCTCAGGACTTTAAGGTGCTCAAGAGACTCTCTCATAGAGCAGTGAGCAGATAGGTGTCACTTTTTTTTGGGATGTTACCATGGAAACAGCAGGTGGATGGTGGTATTTGGAGCTGTTTTCCTCCTGACCAACACTTAAACAGTTGAAGTTCATTCAGTCATTTCTTTCAATCTCACATTTTAAGTCGAACTTTTTAGTTATTTACCAACGGAAATACAGAAAGACTTCATTTCTTAGAAAACACATTTTATATTTAACAATATTTTCTACAAGGAGGATCATTAACAGCACATAAATAGTCAGAGGGAAAATGAAGGTAATTCATGTATACTGTACAGTAGAAGTGAATCCATGCAAGAAGCAGGTATATACAGTGGTCAGCATAAATGAGTATGCCCCTCCAGAGCTGTCAGAAAACCTTAAGTTTCCTTTCAAAATCAAGATTTTCTATATCAGACTATACAACAAAATACTCCCCCAAATGTCGGCCATTGATTGTAACAAGATTTTTTAAGTAAAGTACAAAAAAGTATTTTTTAAATTTAAAATCAGGATGCAAAAATGAGTAGACCCCAATCAAAGTTCTGGGAGCAAAGCAAAATTTTAGTTACTATATCACCCAAATTTTCATCTTATGGTAAATAAAATGTGATGTTAAACTCAGCTTTGTCAAAACTTTGGAAATTGTACTTTTGCTCCTCTAGATATTGAGAAATACATTACTTTTAATAGGGGGTGTACTGACTTATGCTGGGCACTGTATATTCCAATGTATACTTGAATGTAAATATAAGTATAAAATGTACATAACAGTATTTGGTCAATAAAGTGCAGGTTAAACGATGAATATTTCAGTCAGTACTGTATAAATAATGTCTGATAAAGATCATAAAACAGTAACTGTAAACATGGCTGATAATGTACATTACATAGTTTATACTGTATTTGAAATGGTTGAGAGTGTTAAATACATGGTGAATATTTTAAAATAATGGCTAATAATAAATATTATATAGCGATTACTGTGTATAAATCACAGTAAGTTATAAAATAAGGAGTATATAATATACATTGCACGACAGGGTAGATAATGTATGAACAATTAATATTATTAAATATGGACTAGACCATGTTTACTGCTCATGAAATAAGCTGTAGTAAGGAAACAGAGATGGGAGATGAGCTGGAGGGTGGGTGTGTTTGTGCTCCTGTTGGTTAAGTGGAATAAAGTGAGTGTGTATCTGAGCTAAGTGGAGTCTCGCCTTTAGGAAACTCTTTTTTTTTTAATATATATAATGGAGGCTTTGGTGTGGACTTTTCTAGCATGCAGCCTTTCATCGCTGGTCCTGATGAGAGCAAAGGGACGGCCAAAGAGCAGATTAGCGAGGAGGAGGAGAAGTCAGCTTCAATCAGCTTCTCGCTCACTCCCAAAGCAGATTCTTCATGCTCAATTTGCATGTACTGTACGTGCAAAGAGAAACAGCCGGCCTCTGAATAATCTGGACCAGAGCTTTTGATACAGAAGGGAGGCTAATTAATCTGGTGTTATTAAAGCTTGTGGTGTGTGCTGAATATAAACTAACCCCAGCGTGTGGCTGCCACTGTCAGACCTCGTTTGTTTTGTTGGTTCTCATAATGAGTCTCATTCTGGATGTCATGGTGACTTAGCAGAGAGAAGAGCATGTCTGTTATGTTTGGGATGTTTCGGCTGCAGGTCATGACTCTGGAGCACGTCCTGTTTCAACGGTTTACTCAGGTCAACAAACTGTCTAATGAGTTATAAATGAACAGAGTGTGAAAGATGGATTTTTTTTCTCTCTCTCTCTCACTCCTTGCAGCTGGATGCAGATCGAGATGAGGAAGAGGTTTTCTGCGACATCAGCATGACGCTGGACAACAAGCTGTTCCCCTCCAAAGAGCCGGCAGCAGGTGAGTCACAGGCTTTTATTTTGAAACGTGATTTTAACAAGTGAAGAGTTCTGTTCTCGGGCTGATATCACCTCCAACTTTGAGGGAATTTGCTGGCACCCTTGTAAGTTTTCTCATCTTATTTGGTTGTCATAGTAACAGCCTGAAAGCTGCAAGTTAAAGCCTCTATCGAGAAGTTTGGATAGGTTACGTGTTAAGGTCCCAACACACCGGTAATGACGCACATATATGACGCGCCTGACTATACACATCAAGCGCGATGCGAATTTTCCGGGGTTGGAAGACGCGTCCTGGGTGGAAGCAAGAAGACTGACCCAACAGCAGACTGACTGTTTTCAGTTCTGATTAGACTCTAGTGTTGAGATGTCTGTCTGTCATGATAGCATGTACTGAGTCGGGGCCAGTACCAGATAACCACATTAAATTATAATCCATAAACGTAAGGTAACAACCGAGACCTAATGGTGCTGTGACAGCAACGCTGTGATTGAGTTTGAGACGGTGAAAATACATATGGTATCTTGTATCATAACAGGTTAGCTTACGAGCTAAAGTTACTTAGCACAGATGAAAGTTAAAACAAAGACGTTTAGCAAACTGTTAAAACACGCAAACCATCGTCATATGAGAAATCTGACGCTATGACTCGCCACAAGTTGTCCTTCAGGTCGTTATCTTTGTAATGTTTGTGTTTTTTATCAAAAAGCACTCTGTTCTCCGACACATAAACAATCAGCCGGTCGGCCATGTTGGCTATATTGGTGAAACTGACGTCGACACAACACGCAATCTGATTGGTCAGAGGTGGAAACGCAGTATGCAAAACTTTAGAAAATTCGGGCGTGATCCGAAAAATAAATGCCACAATATCGCAGGACGGGAAAACGTTGCTGATGTGAACGCTTGTATTGACAGGATACTGGTTCGAAAAAATACTGACGTCCTTAATAATCGCACGAAAAAATGGTCCCGGTGCGTAAGGACCTTTCATGCTTGATACTGCAGAGTGAGGAGGTATGGACGCTAAAGAAACAGTTTCTTCATAAATATACACACACATATGGTGAGTTAAAAATTTTACTGTCAAACAACAACCGGAGGAGATTTTTTGTTTATTAACGCCGACAAAATAAAGGGTTATCACTTTGTCCACTAGGGGTGCCATATTTAACACAGACAGGAAGTTACTGACAGGAGCTTTAAGAGGGATGCTCACAAAACTGCAGCACTGATGTCTGCCTGTATAGTACTCAGATGTTGTATTTTTGGCTGGTTAATGTGATTTCAGAATAAAGGTAAACATGAGCATCAGTGCTTAAGATAGCCAGCTATAAAGGAAAATTCCACCTTTTCCTGTCATGTCTGGGATCCTAAAAAAGAAAAGTTATGTACGAAGTGGTTAAATGTTATCATTAGCTGTGCTATAATGTTAATAAATGGGATGTCAGGTTTTTTTACTTGAAATATGTCCCAGCCTCTCTCCATTTTCACTATCTAATATCTTTGTAGCTGCTCATTAATCTGGGTTTGTCAGGTTATCAAGGTTTACAAGACCTTAAGACTGCATGTTGATAACGAGTGTGTTTCCCACTCTGAACATGGACGTATAATAGATGGCCGCCATTGGATTATGGTCTGTAGCACCTGAGACGGGTTTCGGCCCCTTGACCCAGAATAGATCGAGGTAAAGATGATGGATGGATGTGCAGTTGCATTTTAATTCATCATAAATCTTCCTGTGTGTGTGTACACAAGATAAATGACGCATAGCAAGTCTCAAGTATTCGAAGAGCACCTGTTTGCGATCAATACACAGACACAGCCTCTCCTCCGAGCCTTCAGACTGATAAAGTTATTCAAATTAAATTCTAGCATGAGTGTTTGAGGGCGAGGACAGATTCATATATGCGGAAAAATCCTCCATGAGGCCTTGTATCTTATAGCTGAAGGTATATTTTCCAGTTTTTGGCTTCTTCGGGGGTTAATTAGTGCATGTGTAAAGTGTCGAAAGGCTTAACCAAAATCCTCCACATTCACATGCAGAGAAAACAGCATCACCCACCAGCACCATGGTTACTATCAGAGTCGGCATGGTAACCAGTGAAGCAGAGTTATCCATTCTTTGAGAGAAATAGAAAAATCAGCGCGGTTAGAGCCGGTCTTTGATGGAGTTTGTTACATAAGACGTGATGATTTACCGATTTAAAAATCCGCCCCGCACATTTACATCTCTGAATGTCAGTTTGAAAGATTAGATCAGTCGGCTCTGTGCAGGTGTTTCTTCACATGTTCTCCTAAATGACTTATCACCAATGCAGAAAGGAGCAGGAAATGTGTGGATTTTTTGTTTTAATTATGTGTGGGTAGAACCTGTAAATATTACAAAACACAGAAAGCTCACATCTTTTTACACTTTTTTAACAGTATAATGAGCTTTATTTCAAAGGAATACGCTGGGTAAAGACAGACCTCTAAAGGGAGGAAAAATAAGGGGTTGATTTGGAACCTGGATGTGATGTTTCCACCTGCTTTTGCTCTCCATATAAGCAGTAACTCCTGCATACACAAAAACTATAACTGTACCTTCACACCTTTTACTCTACAGTTTCCTGACATTTATCTACGGTGTAAATCCAGACACAAACGGCTGTTATGAAGAAAAACTGGTCCACTTATGTGTCCTTGCCTGTCTGCTTCACTTCACTATGATTCTATTTCTGCTCCATAACCGACTCTGTTATGTACACAGAACATCTATTAGAGGCGCTAACCTGAAGCAATGCCTCTATCACTTAAATGCGATCTCTAATTCAGCGTGTCTTTTATTCATCTTTATAAGAACTAAAGTGCTCTCTCAACGTTTACAGTCCATATGGAGTTTAACGGCGACAGTGTGAACACAGACGAGGCTTCAGCTCTGTCCAACACCGTGCATGTGCAGGTTTCGTGACTTGATTTGGCCTTTAACGCCTTACAGTGCCTAAAAAGAGAGATATTACCCAAATACAGTATTCACATATTACTCCATAAACCTTGTTAGGAAAGGCAACTGACTTGCAGTATGTAATTATCCATTTCTGATAAAGTTTGAAGTTTTGTTTGATCTGGATCACCAGCCCTGGGACGGTCTGTTTTTTATGCTTTTATTTTGACATTTTTATCAGCACATATCTACGGAAGTGTAATGCATTCACTAACATTAAAAAAGTACTGTTTTTTTAGTTTTTTTTTGTACTAATACTTTCTCCCCTCTTTCTGTTTTTTAGACAATTTTTTATTCCGTTTTTCAGACTATTTTTTTTCGTCTTTCTGTTTTTCAGACTATTTTTTTCCTGACTAAATAAGATACTTCAAAATCCTGCAAGAAGTTCATACAATCAGATAACGTTAACCATCATGGTTGCTCCAAATCCGCGGATTCTCCAGCTCCTAGATAACTTTGACTACGTGGTCAATGAGAGTAAGGCATGTTATTAGTTAAACATAGGGTATGCAAATCCTGAGGTGCCTGCACAGTGTAGACAAACTTATGAGGAGTACATCTTTCTGACTTAAAAAAAGGAGCATCTCTCAGTGCCTCAAATCCAAAAGAAAGTAAAACTTGATTAAACTAAACAATTGGGCCATGTTTGCTTCCAATAAATCAAGCAGAGAGTGATGAAAGCATCTGTTTTTAAATTATCATGATCCAAGAAAAGAGGAAAAACAATTAGTCTGAAAAACAAAACAAAAAATATAAAGTCTGAAAAACAGAAAAATTCATCTGAAAACAGGAGTAAAAATATTCTGAAAAACAGAAAAAGCAGAAAAGAAAAAAAAATACTCTGAAAACCAGAAAAAAAATAGTTTGAAGAACAGAACGTAAAAAAATTATTGTCATGTGTATTGTCCCTAGCATAGGGGGGTCTTTGCTGCTGCTCCTCCTGCTTTGGCTGTGAGGAGATGTGTTCTGCCTGCCTGCCTTCACTTAGGTATTCCACTTTTTCATAGATCGATGGACAGGAGGCTCCCAGAATAGAGCCAGACCATCAACTCTAGCTAATGCATGAAAATAGTCATTATCTCTGACTAAAGCCGTCCTGACTGACAGTTAGTCGTCAGTACCGGTACACTAAAACAGCCCTACAGACTGTAATCACTATTATTATACACACATATATAATTAATGCTGCGGCTTTATCTGCTGATGGTTTCACCACTTTTGCAGAATCTGGAGCCGATAACCGTCCTTTGGCTCGGTTTGAAATTCTTTCTCTGTTTTCTGCTCTAGTTTCTTAGGTTTTCCAGACTGTTCTCATCATAAATCCCTTTCAGAACAACCTGTGTTTTAAGCTTTATAAATAAACTCGGCTCGCCTTGTCTTGTGTTCCTGCCTCATTATGTCGTGCCACACAGCTTGCAGCACAGCAGGAAGCTGCGTAGGAACAGCAAAATACATTATAAACACTGTTTAGGAGCAACGAGCAATCTCCTTTCGAAATCAGAAGGTTTAGTTTAAGAAGCGAACACTTTTGTTTGTCTGAACGGTTTCCCTCAGGACGAAACACAGACCTTTGTATCAGTCAGGAGGCGCCAAATCGTCGTGAGAGGACACATGGCACCTTCAATGGCATCCCGGAGGAGTAAATATGTTTAGCTGCAGTGTTTATCTAAAAACATGATCCACTCAGAGGTGTCACAGTTCATACGCAGCCTCAAAGAGCGCACACTTTAAATCTGGCGTCATCATTCACCGTGAAATCATCCATTAAAAAAGCAGCTTGGGCGCACAGTTTGACCATCAGAGGAGAGAGGCCGAGCTCATAACACAGCTGAGGTTCATATTCCCTGTGATCCTTGACATCAAAATTGCTGTCAGCTACTTGACGGCTGCCCAGCACACTTCTGCACCTCTTCTTATCACACTTGGGAGCGATGTGATTCATACCAGGACACTGACACACCAAACACACACAAACACAGGTACGGAGGACTTGAGCTGCGTAAAAACCACAAAGATGAAGAATGATGGAAAAATGTTAAGGTCTGATCTCAGCAGAAGAAAGCCCCTCAGTCTATTTAATGTTAGGTCAATGCTGCTAGATGATGCTGTAGGTTAAATCACAGCAGACTAATCTGAAGAGACAAGAATCCACTTCATACTGCAGTCATGGAGCTGCATTCAGAGATGCGTTTAGGAGCTGTGTGACATTTTTACATTTTTCAAGATGTTCCTCTCTATTCTTCTTTCTGCGAGACAGCCTCACAGTATCGGCGCTCCACTCTGAAATACAACAAAAACACTCTGAATGGAGTGTAATTTAAAGAGCTCCATTACAGAGTCACTTTGGCAGCTATACACATCGTAGAAATTGGGAAAATCTGAGTCGCATGTAGAAGCTGTATATAAAAGTGGAGCCTATAAACACGGTCATTTTCTCCAACATGCTGCCAAGGTTAGAGTCGCTATTATGCTGTACAATCAAGGTCATAGTAAGTCTTATATATAAGGGAATCGCAAAAGACGATCTTTGACGTTGAATTTTGCACAATTTTTTTGTTTCGATTGCTGATCAATCAAGTAGCTTTTACGAAATACGATTAATAAGATGTCCTGTAATTATGAGTAGGATTATATGCAGGTTGTCCCTGGTGTTGACTTTGCTTTTTCACCAGTGTTAGAGGGTTTTGACCAATCAGGATTAAGTATTTGACACACCTGGGTATAGGTACACCCATAGGTATTTTTTTATTGGTTAAAGTAGGGCTGGGCGATAACCCGAAAATTTAGATACCGAAATTTTCTGACAATAACCGATGTCATTTTGCCCATGTCAACATATTCGGTGTCAAAAAAATAAATAAAAGTTGGTTTTGGATGTGTGTAGGTAGGCTATGGTCTCATGCCCCTTTAAGACGCTGTCCAATGTCAAAGACGTGACTCCACCCCATCCAGTCCGTAAAAAAAAAGGAAAGACAGGTGAGGAGATGGAGGACGGTTCAAAAGTTGTAGCGGCTAAAGTAGACAAAGTTAATTTGGGAGGGGGTGAGCAGCTTGTGGAGTAGTAATCGTCCATTTATCGAGGTGAACTGCTCAATATATCGTGATGTTGATTTGAGGCCATCTCACCTAGCCCTACTCCTACATACACATCTTAACCTGCATGGCAATTAATGAAATGCAGCTAATTTTGAATCAAAGGGTTCAGTCCTCAATTGAGGTTAGATTTGATGATAAAGTGGAGAAAATCATAATCCAGATAAATCTGTGAGCCAGTATAGAGCCAGCATAGAGACTGCACAGTGTGTATCAGCTGTCATCTCCAACGACTGTCACTCCTGCTCTTAAAAGTAAATAAAGTGACAGCCAGAGTGTCAAACTTCAGGGTTCAAAAGAGGGATGTTTAAAAATAAGAGCTTTATTTTACATTGTTTTTTAAGGTTACATCTGTATTGTCCCAGAATTCACTTTTTTCCCTCTGAGACAGAACTCAGGTGGCGTCTTCAAACGATTAAAAAAAAAAAAAAGCTGCCAGACAAAAAAGAAGCGAAGAGAGATTGCTTCTGAGTCCATCTGCCTCTCCTGGAGCCTCTTTTTTTTTCCAAAAGAGATGAAACTGCTGCCAATCTCCTCCAGCCTCGCCTATCATCGGTCTGTGATTATCTCAGCTGCACATGTGGACCAACCTGAGGTGCCGCCGACGCCTGCAACCCAACACCAGCGGCTTCCACAGCAAAACAAAAAATGTCTTCCCTGTCATACCTCAGCACCGCGCTTTCTGAGGGCCACATCCGCCCTGACATGTTTACTGACTCCTGGCCTGTGGACTGCAGAGAGGACACATGCTGCTTTTGTTATTTTAGGCTGATTTCCTCAGAAATCCTGGTCCATTTTGACACTTTTTAGAATAACTCTTACAAGAAACCCTCGGCTGCTGGGAGCTTTCAGAGCGTGTGTAGCTGCTCCTATCTAACCCAGACCTTGAACAGAGAGGTGGCTGTGGCAGGCAGGCAGGCAGGCAGGGAAGGAAATGTGCTGAGGGGATGTGTTATTCACGACCCATTTCCACAGAGGAAGAGGACGGAGATGCTGCGTGTCAGAATCTGTCACTGCATCAGCCTCAGCAGCTCTGACAGCAGTGAGCTCAGACAGGTTTTCACATTGTGTGTCACATTGTGGAGGAGTTTGTTGTGGTGTTGCATGCTGTGATGCAAATTACAGTTAATTAGTTCTAACATATGAACCATGAAATATATACAATAAATCTATACGGCCGTAACTGCTGTCAGCTGATTGATTCGGCTGGGGCTGATCATTTGCAAACTCAATACTTCTTTTAAAGTTTTGAAAGTTTGTAGATCTTGTGGTTGTTGATGTGATTGTAAACTTAATATCCTTGCGGTTTCAACTTTCCATTTCTGTTATCTTGAGGTGATTTTTCATATTTTTCAAATAAATATAAAGTTGAAACTTTTGATGTTTTTTGTAATCCCTGAATAAGACCACAAGCTGCTCCAAACAGCTCATCCCTAAAGTCGCACAAATATTGTGCAAGAGGGACACAAGATACACTCCAAAATCCTGACAACACTGATCGCTTAATCTCCTTAAAAAGACAAAACAAACTTAAACTTGCCAGATAGAAACATCCTGCTCTATTAACAAACTTTCAGATCTGGAGTTCAAACCACCGAGAAACACGAGTGAACTCATGACGAAAACTTTGAAGCATGGCAACAGCAGAGGAGGCTCCTAGAGTACTAGGTGGAATTTCATCAAGAGTATAATCAGTGTTTTCATTTATCTTCAAAACACTCTGGGTCAGATTTGCAGTTCAAAACAAATTCCTGTATTTCATAATTTGACACTTTTATCTAGCGGGTCAACTCAGGATGACTACTTCATAGTATGGCAACAGTGGAGGAGGCTTGCTTGGAGGGGAAAGGCCAAAGAAGCAAAGACAGTAGCTCCCAAACAAAGAAGACAAAGGCTGATTTTTAAAGACACCAAGCTGAAATAAATTCAGAGTTTGAGTCATAAAAACTTTAATTCACAGTAAAATTGTCACATTTTAAAAAAAGGCTCAGAGACCACAAATGTTTTTGTACCAGACGGCTTCATGCAAGTATTGCTGTAGTAAAAACAGCATGTTAATATGGGCTCCAATGGGGTTTACTTAGCTGTTGGAGCCAGCCTCTAGTGGACACTTATGGAACTGCACCTTTTTTACACCTCTGTGTCAGTTGTACCTCTGCCTCTGGAGACTGCTGCTTGGGCTGTCATGACAGCAGCAACTTAACCGTCATGAATTAGACAAGAAGTTGAAATTTTTATGAGCCAGACTAAAAATAAAGGGGAAACACTTGATTTATTTATGATTGGGAGAGCAGCCCCAAAGGTCACTAAAACAACTGCCTGGGTTGAGTCATTTGAAGAGAGTTACCAGGATCTCTGGAGCCCACTCAGAGTTTGTCAGAGTCTCACAGATGGTTGTTCTGTGTTTGTGTCTTCAGGTCCCAGTGAGTTGGACCTCAGTCTGCTGGGAGAAACCAGCAGCCTGGCAGATGTCACCTGCAAACACGACGAGGTAAGAAAAAGTTTTATTTTTAACTTTGTTTCTCGGAGGCGAGATGGAACTTTTTAGAAACTGCCAAAGTTTACCGGTGCTGTATTTGAAAGTATGAAGACTTCTTCCAACTTTATGTGAAACAGCTGTCTTTTTGAATTTTCCCCTTATTTTGGAAAAGTACAAGTGCATCCAGGAGAGACAAGGAAGGTGTGGGTGTGTTAAGATTGTATTGTGGCCCAAGCAACAGTATCAGACCAAATTATCAGACAGTTTGCTGACGACCTTTCTGACTTTTGCAGTTGTTTCATGTCTGTAGTTTTCCCAAACCTTATTAAAGTTCCTGTTAACAGGGGCGGGACTAGACTTTTTGACTTGGGTGGCCCATCTAGAATAACAATTTATGGAGGGGTCGCCTGATGTCATTCTTTAATACAGTGTATATTTTCTAACTATGGTTTCTTTGTCTGAGAACTTGACTTCTGTATGACTAGAATAATGTCAACATTAGACTGAATATGAACTATTTTGGCCAGAGGGAGCACTAAACTCCACACAGACCACATGTTCCAGTCTTGGGAACAGATTTGATGAAAGGACAAACACAACCTAAAAAAAACAGTTTACATTTTCAGAACAAATATCACGGTTTAATCCCATTTCCTGAAAGGTGCAGCTCAGACAGAACAGAGTGACTGACCTATCATGGTGAACCCTTATGACCCTGGAAATAAAAATCCACCATCTGCCCTTTAATAACGACATTACATGACCGACATGACCTGTTCATACACACACAGACGGTCTTAAACTACAAAACTCTTCTTTCAAACTCGGCAGCAAATTTACAGACAAGATCGGCTTTAACGTGCAGCAGCTCTCAGAGAGACTATGAAGCTCGAAATTCATTATGTTAATGCATTTAGATAAGACAATGAGCTAAATGTCAATTATCTGAAAGCTGACCTTTTACCTCAATCATTGCAGTAACAAAACGTTCCAGTTTTTGTATTGGTGGTAACTTAATAATCTCCTCATCCTTTGAGACTGATGTTTTTATCCTATAACACAATCAAATCAAGCAGTTACATTCAGAAACCTTCTCTCTCCCTCTCTCTCTGTCTCTCTATTTCCACGTCTGCCTGCTCTGGCTTTTCCTCTGCCTGCTTTAATGTGAAAACATAAATGGCAATCTGCAGATTACCTTTTTCAAAAATGGCATCTAGTGAACTGGTTTTCAAAGGCCGGATGATTCAGCACAGCACATGCACAGAGACGCAGGCTTCTGCCAATGCTGCTGCTGCTGCTGCTGCTATTGTGTAATGTTGGTAAGGTTGCAGACAAGCGTTGCTTCTCCACACGAGCGCAGCGCTGAAGTGAAGGATAACCCTGACCTTCTGTCTCATTTCCCATCCTGTCAGTGTCTGGGAACACATTACTCAGCTTCCTCTGCCTCTGTGCTGCCAGATTTTCCAATGTTTGTCCTGCTCTTCATTTTCAATCTCAAGGTTTGTTTGCTGTATGAAGTGTTTCCAGGTGGAAGCACTTTGTTGGCTTTCAGGGCGTACTGTCTGACAGAATCTCTTGTTGTCTACATGAAAAAACAGTAGACTGAATCTGAGGTTGAAATAACTGTTCGAGGTCTACACATCTGCTTTGTATGCAACCATTGGTAATCCCCCAGACTCCTTTACTAAGGCGAACTGGTCTGGCAACAGCAGGATACTGTTGTGGCCCTGCAGCCAAACACCTGTCCACATTATGTCCCAGTAAAACAAACATAAACCACATTCAGCAATCAAAAACTACAGGCTTTGTTGATAGGAATTTCCTGATCTGATATTGATATCAGATATCAGCAAAAAAACTAATATCCGATTATATCAGCCTTCATCTAAAATATCCGATACAAGCACTCTGATACAAGCAGTCCATTCCAGACTCCGCTCCGGCACCTCTATCTAGCAGCGCCTGGAACCAGCATGCAGAGCCAGCGTAATCACAACAACACTGTGTACTAAGGTACTAACAAAGTACAACAGTGTGTACTAAGGTACTTACAAAGTAGCAAGAAGTAGGAGTGATGTCGGCAGTGTGGCAGTATTTTTTGTGTAAGTCTGAAAAAGACGTTGCAGCTGAGTGCAAAACTTGTCATGTACAAGTTTGTGCAACTATCAGTATCAGCCGATACCGAAGGCTACAGTATCAGTATTGTAACAGAGGTAAAAAAAAAAATGTTGACACCTCTATTCGTTATTGAACTAACAGTTAACCAAACCACTGACAAAAATCAAAACTAAATCAACAAGTAACAACACAACTGATACTCAAATCAACATAAATGATGACAACAACAAAGCTACAAATCCCCGTCTGAGCGGCTGCAAACACTGTGCGAGAGCAGCTGTTGGCCCAAAGCAGGTGAACCCAGTCTGCTAACACTGGATTCACCTGGACTCAGAAGCACGGACAGAACCAGCAGAACAGGAAAACATACAAGAGTAACACCCATGAAAAAAACTGAAGATTTACTGTATTTAAAGCCTCCTTTAAACGAGTTTGGCTGATTTGATTGACAGGTGACCTCATCACTTTTTCTGTTTCTTAATTGGCTGGAAGTTAGTTTAAGAAACACAAGGATGGGGTCACTGTTTTGTAAATAGTTTGTTGTGGTATTGTGATCAGTGTCTCATGTTCGACTGTTGTATAGTATAAATAGTTAGCACTAACTTTCAACACCGCAGCGCCGCCACACAGGTACTTAATTTGATATGATCATGATGAAGATGGGGAGCAGTCCTCAGCACACCAGAGCGTCTCCGGGCTCATTTGGACAGGCGTGACGGTTTAATCTCTCCGTCCTGAGGATTGAGAATAATTATCTGTGGGTGACAGACGCAGCTTATTTGATCAGCTCACACAGGTGACTCACACGAGGAGAGTCTCAAACAAATGAAGACTGAGAACCTTCAAGCTGCTGGTGCTGCAGGATCCTGCTTCATTTACCGTCAAGCTGTCCGGTCCTCAAAGCCAGAGAGACAACTCCAGCTGCTCACACGTTTGTTTTAGGGAAATAGAACAAATTAGAGGGTTTTTTGTTGTTGTTTTTTTGTGGGTATTTAATGTCTGTCATTACAAGATTCATTTCATTTTACTGTTTGTTCTGAACCTTGTGTTCGTAATTGAAAATCCTGGGGGGTCCTGAGAGTGACACACCTCTGTGCATGTACTCAGACAAGGATACAAGAAATAATTTTGACAGATTTAAGGTAAAGTTTATATTTATGTATTAAAATCAAATAATTACTCAAACTTAATAAGGAAAAACTGAAACTGCAAGAAGAAAACACTGGTAATTTCCAGGGTTAGTGACTCTTTCACTTCAATTCAACTTTTCATGTCCTCTAAAAGAAAAGTAAAAAGTAAATTATCCTCTGATTGGAAAAGCTTCACCTTTCTAAAAAATAAATGAGTTTTTAGTCAGTTGAGATCCGTCCTTATTGGTTCATAAAACATCCTAAAATGTTCGACAGAGCTGCTTCATCGGCACCGCTAACTACACCTGAGAGATATCAGAGATGAGAAGCTCCTGGTGCCATACATCCGGCTTCAGCTAATGTAACAGTCAATGATCTGTAACTCTTAAAAAATGAAAGTAAAGTTAGTTTTGATTGCAAAGAAAACTCTGAAGTCTGATTTAAAGGATATATATCAGATGAATGTCCTCGGGGTGTTTTGTGCTCTCTGACTGTAAAGTTTTAATCACTCTTTCTTCTGCTGTTCCTTCAAAACCGTTTCAGTCAAACTCGGCGCCTCTCTGCTGTGTTTGTTACTCTCAAAGCTCAATGTTTGTTGCACTGCTTTGAGCCTCAAGGCCACCGTAGACAAAAACTCCACAATAAATCTATTGAAATTTCTAATTTGTGACGAGCAGGAGATGAATCAGAGGGATGTCAGTCACCATCTGACTCAATTGTTCACGAAATTAATTCCCTGTTCCCCGAAACTCTGAACTCTGAATTATGATGATCTATTATTTCCGCTGCCGATGACGATCTCTGTGTGCCTCATTTTCCAAAAAGCAGACAGGATTAAAGTTTATTAAATACGTACATTTATGCTTTTAGAGTCAGTCCAGAAATACATTTAAGAGACTCTTCTTTTGGACATCAAAACTAACCTGAAGTCCAGCTGCTGGTTCACAAAGGTCTGACACCAAAAAAGCTCTGCTCACACCCATTTATTTATGTAATATAGTCATGTTCTCAGGAGCACCTGGATTCTTCAAGTTTCACATCTGGTCCAGACTTAAACACCAGAACAGCTGTCAGATGAGAGTGAGAACTGCTCGACTTGAAGTCACTTTAAGGAGTTTGTTTACATGGTTTAGATGAGAAGAGCTTCCACAGGGACGATCACACACACAGTTTGTTTTTGCAGTTTGTGTAGGAGTGTGTCTCTGTGACGGTACATGTGTTACCTCGTGTTTGACATGCAACATACAGAAGAAAATACCCAGAATAAAGACTTTTCGTGTGTTGGTTGGTGAACGTTTCTTTGTGCATCACGTGTTGGAGAGCATGCAGCGCATGTGTTTCTGTCTCTGAGTCATCCGACCAGTTGGTGTATCCACATGCCAGCCTGGCTCATCTTTGGCACCCAGCACTCCCCCACACTGACGGCATTATTCAACACTGACAGAACTCATCTTCACTTTATTCTGAGTCTCTGCAGCTCTCCTTCTGTCTGTTACTGCAGCTCCACTGCACACTAACTCATGTCCACATCACAACCTGAACCAGTCCATCTCAGAGGACTGTGAGGCTGCTTCAAGTGGTAACAGATGAAAATGTCAGGGGAGGTAGTTTTTTTACTTTTTTTATCAGAGTCATGCAGAGAAGAAAAGTTTGACTTTGTTAATAACAGTGCAGAAAAGAAGACAGGGTGAAAATCGGCTGGATGTTCTGAAGCAGCTCAAACACTGACAAACCAGCTCAAGTAAGGTGGGAAGGGGGCAACTAGAAATCCTGGTGATAGCTCATCTCCACATAGAGGAAAATATAAACCTTTGAATATGTTCAGAAGGAAAATACTGACAAATCAAAGTAACACTACAAGGGTTTAAAGGGATATTCTTGTGAAAGTTTAAGTTATGGTCAAACACACCGTAACACCGAGTTAGACACCCACTTGAGAGATGAATGTCATCGACCGCTTGCTTCTCTAGTTATACCAACTTTAGCAACGACCACACGTTAGCAATACACAGCGACTCCTCGCACAAACCTCAACCAAAACGCCACTCTATAGCCACAAATAATGCTCAGAACTGCACCTAACTTCATCAACAGGACATATAGGATCCCAGCCACAGTACTAGCCACCAAAGTCGATCACCGAGTGCAGCGGAGTTTCACAGCTCAAGGAAGAACATTTATGATCATTACTTTATGGAAATGTAATCAGACCGAGACACTAAGGCAGAAGAACTACCGTGTCTGCAGCGCAAAATGATTAAGATGATGATTATTACTTCATGAAAACGATCTGCTGCACTCGGTGATCGACTCGTCAGGGCTCCCCAACAAACAAGTGACTTCTTTTAATGAGTAAAAATGCCCCAAGAACTTGATTAAAACTGCATGCACCATGCACTTGAAGCTCCAGTGAGGAGACTTTAGCTGGTTATGAAACAGAATAAATTAATAGAGATGCGTCTATGATGTCTCCAACAAAACTCCAATAAAGCATTGTAAAATCCAGATTTTGAGTGGTGTGGAAGAAATGGACAGTTTTGTCCCAGTGAGAAAAAGTTTTAATCTGCAAGTCTCCAATCCACAATGTGCAGTCTCTGTCCGGCTGTGAAGCTCTTTCTCCTGCTAGCTCCCCCTACAGTAGATGGGCTCTGTAGAGGTAACGTCTGCTACTATAACTCTGTCATGACTCGGTTCACCTCCTCTGCTGAGCACTAGTTGTTATAAGATTTGAGAAATCTTTTTAATCAAACCAGCTCTCCAAAGCGTATACATTCATGTTGCATTAATCGAGCCACCAAATTAAACCGTTCATTTACTGAAACTCAAACTGCATGCATCGCGTCACAGCAATAAAGCCTCTGCATCCAGTACTTGCATTTACTGAGCATCATGCATATGTTGATTTAACTATTTAATATCCAATACTACAGCAGGAATAATTATTTCTTTAGGTACGATAAAGAAATATTTAGCTTGTTGCTCCTCTTGCTGTTTCTGTAAATTTTACCTAGCATATCTGAGAATAAAACACCAAAAAAAAAAACCCACTCCACTGGCGCAGAATGTCAGGACCAAACACTGTGCTGAACTGTGGGTGTACTGTATTGTAGCATCCCTATTGTGAAGCGCTAACAGCCCTGTCTTATATGTTAAACATCTTTTGTTGACTCCCTCATCCATCCTGACCTCCTTTCAACACAGATTTATCACATCGTCGCCTGTCATGCTCCTCTGCTCTCGTCTTAATCACCACATTATCACTTCAGGGTAAACACATGTCCTTTTGAGTCCAACGCTGTCTCTCTAAACTTGGGAGGACAGGCTCTGATTACTCCACGTTGACTGTTATGTATCTCGGCGGAGTTTATTTATGCTAAACGCTGTTTTGTGCGTCCGTGTTGACTGAAAAGATGATAAACACAACCTGGAGTTTACACCTGGGTGGAAACTGTCACAACACCTCAGGCGTGATCAATGAAATTCTGGATTAGGGGTAGGGTCTGTTTGCTCAGTGTGCCGGTGCAGATATCTTAGTGCTGATAATAACGCAGGAATATTTCTACTCCCAAAAAAACAAACAATTCAGAGAGGCGGTTTGAGAAAAAGGGACGTGATGTATTTCTACCCACAACAAAATCAACAGATGGTCATCTCACGCTCCATTTCTGTGCATGTTGGATGCTTTTTTCCTCTCCAGTTTTCACACATCTATTTTTTTTTTTGGTGATGAGGCACATTATGTGTTTTGAAAGTTAAACATGCATGAGAGAGCCGACTACACAGACAATAGAAGTCTGTTTCATGTTTACAGGCACAGTCACACTTTGTCAAAGTGTTTCATGATTTGAAACATTGAGCCAACAAACACCAGCAGGTTGGAAATAGTGTTGGGCGATGCAGCTCGATCCTGTTTTGTACTAAATAAGCGCCACAGTGATATCAGTATAATGACCTATGTTTTGATACATGGACTCTGCACTCTCATCTATTACTGCTCTATTTCTAAACCTGAGGGGAAATCAGGCTGGAGTCCATTAGGAGTCCATTTGTTGTGACGCATTTCATAAATTTCCATAATCAAACTGCAAGTCATCCACTTATTGAATTAAATATCCATTAAATATAACTTTGGGCATCTATCCAACCCACTGTCATCACCCCTTAAAAGCTGGACACATTATTTCAGACGGATCGATAGTGCCGGAAAACTACTTTCTTTGTGAAATTTATATTCATGCCTTTTTATGAGGTATTAAAGCTAATAAGAATATCAAAAACCAGACTGATGACTTTCAAAGTGTAAAATTTAATGCTTGAAACCCATGCGGCAAGGTAGGTGCCGGCCAAGCAGCTGGAGAAACAGCCTGGTTTGACATTTTTCACATCAAATATTCGTAAGAAATGATAAATTTGACTGTCAGGATCCAGAATTATAAGAGTTTTTGTCACAAAACTAAAGAGGACAAGATAAGCTAAGAGTGGTTTGTCCACAGGGGGCGCCAAATTCACACAAACTGAAAATTAATCACTGGAGCTTTGTAAACAAACATTTGAATACAATAGAAATACTTAAAGCTGCTATAAGGAACTTTTGGTTTGTGTTGATTTTAGCTTCCCTGGTGGTCAAAATGATACCTCTTTTGTCTTGTCCTGTTCGTGAAAGTAGTGTTTTTGAGGGGGTCTGGCTGCAGACCTCCACTGTAAAGACCCAGGATTACGTTTTTTCTCACGTGCTACACTTTGTTTTAGCGGTGAAGATAGTCAAGTGATATGTAAATGAGTCCAAAAGTGCAGGAGGCGACTTTTCAATGATAAATAGTATAAAAGCAAAGAAAAAAAGTATATTCACTTTCAAACCCAATCATTTTTTATTTAAAAGGCTTTAAATCAACGACCGGTCCTCACAGTGGAGGTCTGCAGCCAGACTGTCTTGGTGTTGTCAGACAAAATAAACTCTACCGGTTGTCTTGTATGAATGAGATATATCACTTACTGTAAGAATTTCAGCCTGCTGTCAATCATCTGGTCTGACACCTAAACCCCTTACAGCTTATTTAAGCCTCCAGATTTACTACAGTGGAATTATTGGACCGCCCGATTCGTAGGACTGAAAGTCTTTGGCACAATATTAAAAAAAAAGGTCTTGTACCAAGGAGAGCTTGCTTCATATTCTTAGAGAGTCCATAGAGAGTGATTGAGATTTCCTGTGTTTCTTAATATCCACTTCCTCTTATTCATGTGGATTGTTTGTTTTGAATGTTATGTATTTATATGTACTACTCGAGAGGCAGCTTCCAGATCAACTTGAGATGACACAGATAAGCACCCGGCGAAGAGGCCCATCCCGCTGCTCCCTCGCCCAAACATTTATGCTCTACTAATTAGTTACATAACCCTCCATATGGCCCCTAACGTCCCCAAACACCCAGGCATGATGAGAGATGGAGAGAGCCAGCAGAAGCTACCAAGCAGGCTCCTCTCTTCAGTGTTTTGTTGAGTTAGTCCACCCTCCCCATCCTGCCCTGGTTGCTCTGCTGATGCTGATGCTGATGCTGAGGAGGTTACCATGAGAACCGGAAGCTCTAAAACTTGGAAGAGATTCATTTTGACAGTGTTTTACAAAATCTAAAATTATTCTTTTTAAATAGAAAGAATCGGATTTCCTCGCCAAACAGATTGGATTTAGTGGAAAATGTTTTTCAGCCAATGTTCTTCAGCCCTGTCTCGACATTTGTGTATCCGAGTGATGATTCAGTGAAGAGGCTGCGGAGAGTCTGAGCCCTCCTCCAGGCTCAGACTCAGAGTCTGCTCCACAGAGACTGTCTGAGGGTTTAAGTAGCTTTCTCTCTGCTCTCTCTTGAACACTAAATCAACTTTGTTTTCTTGTCTCATTCTCAAGACCTTCCTTTTTACACCCAAACACTCAAAGCAAACAGTTTCTTTGTGTTTTTTATGCAGTATGTTAGTCCTTACACAGATGGACATCCCTCCTTCCAATGCCACAGGAAACTGTCACACTTCATGCGATCATATATTTTCTACCTCAGGAAACAGTTTGGGAGGTCCTTTCCTGTTTAAACCTGACAATGAGCCTGAGCACAAAGCCAGGAGCCAGACACACTTAGATATTTTAGACCAGACTGTACAAGAAGTTCAGGACGGCATTTCATGAGTTATTAGACCTTTAAACAGCATTTATCAGCTGAGACCAGATTCAGAGGGGAGCAGGGCCCTACCCTTCCTCCCGTCTACACATCGAGTCACAACAGAGGTATGAACCAGGCTTAACTGCATTCATTTGCATTCTTTTAATAGCCAGCAGAGGACGACTCTTCTTGTCCAAATCTGGTCACCTCTGAATCCAAAAACAGACAAGATGGTGACAACCAAAGCCCAGAATTTCAGACTTTCAAAGAGCTGGTTTCCGAACAAACGGGTTGTATCCAAACCACAAACTTAAGTCCTAAAGCTTCAGTGACAGTCCAGCCTCACCTGAGACTGGCTGCTAAAGCCAATCAATCCCCATTAGATCCAATGTCAAACAGAACATTTATAAGGAAGCAGCTTTAATCACATGTTTGGTCTTGATTGTTAATTTCTCTCATCATGAGCCCTTTATCTGGAGGAAGATTTTTATATTGCATCCGTTTGATTAGAGTACGGCTAAGAGTAATGCATTCATTTGCATAATTTGTATAATTATAGGAGCATGGCAGGGTTTTTAAAGTGATCGGTGGGTCACTTTGCTTTAATAGGATATGACAGCCTAAAAAGAGACTGGAAATGAGAAGAATAGAGAGTGGAGGAAGATGCGCAGCAAAGGGTCATGACCAGGAGTCAAACCAGCAACTACTTCAACAAGGATTATAGCCTCTGTACATTTCTGTATATGAGCAATTTCTTTGTTGTTTCAGCCTTGGTGTCCATGTTCTAAGGCTGGGTGATAAAATTTACAGATACCGAAATTTACGACAATAACCGATGTCTTTCTGCCCATGTCAATACATTGTTGTATTGTATATCAATATAAAAATCAATAAATAAAAGTTGATTTTGGATGTGTGTAGGTAGGCTATGGTCTCATGTCCCTCTAAGACGCTGTCCTACGTCAGAGTCGTGACTCCACTCCAACCTGTCTATAACAAAGAAAGACAGGTGAGGAGATGGAGGACGGTTCAAAAGTTTATGTGGGAGGGGGTGAGCAGCTTGTGGAGTAGTTATCGTCCATTTATTGTTATCAAGGTGAGCTGCTCAATATATCGTGATATTGATTCAAGGCCATATCGCCCAGCCCTAACATATTCTTTTGGCCATGTAGGATTTGACTCTCTCAGACTCAAGCTCTGCAATCATCAGTTTTTAAACCAGAACAAAAGCTCTTTATAAGATTAGCAGGTTTAGGTGTTCCTTTTATTCTAAGAGTTTTACCTCAGAGACTTACAAATAAGCAAACACTGCAAAAAAAACAAAAAAGCAAAACGCTTTTATCAGCCTCGAGCAGGTGAATATGCTTTGAAATGGGGACAGCCAACGTGCTCATGAGACAGGAAGCAAACAAAGCAGACGTGAGAGCATGAGACTTGTTGAATAACCCGACTCTGTCTGTGTTTTTAGGAGGAGGAAGAAGAAGAAATCGGGTTTGCTGAAGGATCCACAGAAGGTGAGTTTATGAAGCGACTGATTTGATTGATCGTCTGCAAAACACACAAAGAAAAAACATGCAAAGTCCAGACACATTTTACCACCAGAGATTTTTCAGCAGCCGACTCCATTCAGCGTTTCTTCACACACACAAACCAACACACAATGATCCGCCTGAGTAAATGCCATATGTGTCAGGTAACTGCTATTCACCGGCAGCCTCAGTGAACTCCTCTCTGCAGCCGTGTGTGTGTGTGTGTGTTTATCAGCGAGCTCCGCATCAACAGTATTGATCGTGTAATGGATGGGGAGGGAGGCTCATCTTTTGATTCAGGGTTTAAACTAGCCAATCGCTAAGCTAACACCTCCCTGTAGCAAGTAGACAGGGAAGAGGAAGAGGAGGGAGGGAGGGAGGGAGGGGGGCGCCCATTTGATCAGGCCTTGAGACACTTTGGCATTCGACTGTGCCAACGCTGGGTGCGGTCGTTGGCTGGACACACTGTTCATAAAGCTTTTTAGGGAACAGCAGAAACACACAAACACACACATATAAGGCTGAAGTACCAACAGCTGCTCCTCCTCCCGCCATATTTGGCCAAACTCCTCCACTGGACAAAAGAAACTATACATGTCGGCTGCAGATGTTAAAAATAGCCCCTAATCAGCAGCTTGGTCTCCTACTGCTCTGCTCTAAAAGTCCATCAGTCTTCTTGGAGAAACTGAACCTCAATTTGCTTTTGAAGTGGAGCCATTAAATAGTTTTTGTGAATGAGCTAATCAATTTTAATGGGGAAGTTTGCGGCCTCTGTCATCAGTCATAAATTTGTGTACCTGAATGATTAATGGCGGCAAAAAGAGTACGGCACTCAAAGTGATTGCAGTCTGGAGAACTACAGGCACAATTATAGTCCTGAAAAAGTTCATTTTTTTCCCCATAATTTTAATCAAAAAGTGACGCTTCCATAGATTTTATATTCATCACACACAAAGTGAAACATTGCAAGACTTTCTCTGTTTGAGTCTCAATGAATACGTTTAACAGAAAACAACAAAATCCACGATCTGAGAACATTTAAAAATCATGGAAAAGTCCAGTTTCTTGTCAGTTCTTTCAGTCCTGGGAAGAGCTGAACAACTCTGAACAGCTGTAAAGGTTTACTGAGCCTTTATTCTCTTACTCTGGTTCAGTCCACACAAACACAATCATGGGGAAGACCAGAAGATGATCCCTGAGGATAAAGTCTGGCTGGTCAGAGAGTGACGTATCAAAGCAGATTAATGGAAATTGTCAGGAGCGAAAGTGCTCAAGGAACAGGTATGTAGTCAGAGCATCAAGAGTCACTACACACCCATATTTCCACTGTCAAGATGCTCCTGAACCAGAGACACCATCGGAAGCGTCTCACCTGGGCTGAGAGAGAACTGGACTATCGCTCAGTGGTCCAAAGTCCTGTTCAGTAACTTTGGAAATCTTTTGGAAGTCAAAGTCCCAGAGTCCGGAGGAACCCAGAGAGACACAGAATTCAACTTGCTCAAAGTCCAGTAGGATGTTTCCACAGTCTGGGATTATGCGGATCATTTGCTGTGTTGGTCTACAGCCTGAAGTCTACCAGGGAATTTGAGAGCACTTCATGTCTCCATCTGCAGAGAAGCTTTATGGAGATACAGACTTCCTGGCATCTGCCCACAGTGCCAAAACTACCAGAAACTGGTTCGTTGACTGTGGTATTACTGTGCTTTATCAGCCTGACCTGAACCTCATCGAGGATCTTTGGGGTGTCATCAAGAGAAGATTGAGAGACACTAAAGAAACAATTCAGATGAACAGAGAAAGTCTGGAAAAATTTCACTCTGTGTCTCATGAAACATGTTCAGTTATGAAAAGTGTGTCAGAAAGTTTGAAAGTTTGCTGCTTACGTTGAGCTGCAGAAGTTAAACTTTGTCACTTCTCTCGTTCTTCTCCGACAGGTTATTGTACAGAACAGAAGAAACCAAAGGTCGTCTTCGTGATGGGTAAGTACGTGACTGAGCATCCACTCACACACGCACTCACACACAGGTGCAATACTGCTCTGCCGGTGGTTGTCTGCAGCTGTAAAACTGTTACACATCTACGCAGATTTACATGCACACACACACACGGAGAAACAGTGAAGCGTAGAGACGACAAGTTTCAAAAGGACAGGACTCAGCGTTTTTGCTCTGATAGAAAAGGTGCGTTCAGGACTATCACACACAGGAGAGCCCTAAAGCTCTTGTGATAATCGCTGCTGAATAAAAATGCGACACTGACATTAAATCCAAACTGTTCCCTCTGAACCTCCCCGAAAGTCTTATTTTACTCCTTCATATGAAACTGTAGATGTCTGACTTATGGGCCACGCACCAGTATAAAGAGACAATCTGACAGTTTAAACTCAGTAGTATAAGAGGCGATATAGACTCTCTAATGAGCTAATCTCTGTCTCATTAAACTGATTAATTTCAAACAAAATGGTTTTCAGATGCAGCAGATAAGTCACGCGTGTTGGTTTAGGAAGCGTTACCAGGTTTAATGAGAGCAGCAAGAGGAGCTGGCGTGAACTAAAACATCGACATTGTTGAACCACAAAACAATAAGCTATTAAAGAAACGTTGGGGTTTATTCTGTTTTAAAGTTATGTAAAACTCTCACAGCTGCTTCAATCACGTCTTTTCAATCACAACAGAAATTATAATATGATCAAAACATGATCCTCTACTTTTCTTATTTATAACAATTTTAATTTTTGAACAGCACTCAACGTGAAAATGAAGCAGCTTTTTACTTATGCTGACTCATTACCTTAAAAACACACTCAGTGCAGCTGCTGAGATGTACTAACAGAGCGAATCCTGCTGGTGTGATCATGTTTGTGTAGCCTCATTGGTCAGGGTTTTTTTTTTTTTTCCAAGCCTCTGCGAACAGTTTGGAGGCTCCCTGACACAGCGTGAGAACTCCTCACTTCTCTATAAAAAGTTAATGCCAGCCTCAGCCTCAGCCTCACCATCATCTTCTTTTATAAACCTGCTCACCCCTGCTGATCTGACAAAAGCTGATCTCTTCATCGACACACAAGAGACAGGAGTCACTTGCTCCCCATCCACCTCCTCTCTCTGAAATGCTGATGAAGAGTGCGGTCAAAGAGTGAGACAGTCATACAGCAAGGGTGGGAAAATTGCAGCCTTATATAAGAGGTAAGAGAGGCTGTAGAGGAATGGGAACAGATGAAGTCAAAGGAAACTAATTTAGCACCTTTGTTGCACAGAAGTTCAATAATATCTCTTATTAGAATAATAGTTTGTTACATATGCGTACTTGTATCTGTTCTTCATGTTTGTACTGTCATTAAGGAGTGAAAAAAAGACCATGTAGGTTAACCCATAATCACTGGTGGGAACATTGAAGCAGGGTTGCTGAGTGAATTTGCCCCAGAAAGAGGAGACGATGATGCCCAGAGGAAAATACAAAGGGAAGATTTCTCTTTTCTCTACTCCCACCTCCTCTTCTTCACGTTCCCACCACTATCTCTCTTCCTCATTTTAACTTCCCAGCACTGTGCAGAAAATTACCATTTTAACCCCCTTTCAGAGAAGCATCAGCTTTTTTATTGACTTTCTTGGCAGGATGCAGAGGCAGGTCTTTTAGTTCGGCTTTTTGACAATATCAGAGTAAAATTAGAGTTGTTAACACCTCACAGAGCTTGCCAGTAGTTGCATAAAGCCTAAACTCTCTGGAGGTTTTAGTCAAGTATAGTTACAATTATGCCAAGTGGGACACATAAGACTAAACAGCAAGTGAATCTCCAGCTTAACAACAGTCAATTTGTCCGTTAAGGCAAACAGTGCCATAAATTCTTGACCAACAGACGACACAGTGGTACCTGACCAATCACCACAGCTGTTGCGATGACTTTGGTAGGAAGAGGGTCTGGGTTAGACGACACCCAGAAATGCTAACAGCTGCTGTTTTTAACCAGAGTCCCAAAGTGCATAAGATACTTACCTTCAGTATTTATCCTTTGTTAATGTTAGTTTAAAGGAATAGGATCCATAATGTAGGAAAATTTACTGATCTTTAATAAACTGATAGAAAAGCCTCTGAAGCACATCTGAAAGCTGTCGGTCTAACAAAGCAAGTGGATTTTTCCCCGGTCAGATGTATTTGCACTGGTCTACATCACGCCAAAGCCCAGGTGACTAAAAGGATGACACAAGCAATAATTTGACTAGCTTTAAATTACAGGAGAGAGGGTGTAAAGACATAAGGAGGGATATGACAGTGGCTAATTTTGATTGACAGGTATGCTGTGTCCAAACATGCATCCCTGCTAGTTGCCGCTTGCACCCACCTCCCATCCCATCTGTTGCCCGGAGAACCGAAGGGTTTTTGGCTCAAAGTTCGAGCATAAATCCAAACCCTGACTCTCTACAGGAAAATCTCCAGATATAACACTCTCTCTCTTTTACACTCTGTGTCCGTCACTCAAAGCTAATTTATTTTGACATCAACAAAGAAAAGCCTGTAAAGTCTCTCCTGCTTGATGGATCCTGACAGTGGAAGGAAAAATCTCTTCACAGCAGATTCAATCTTTTCTCGGGTATTCAGAACTCAATAAATGCACTTTTGCACTTTCTATGCCCTGAAAGAATTTCTTGAATCATGGGTGATGTTGGAAATTAACGTCTATAGATGAAGCATTTCAATTAGCAGAGGCGGGTATTTTGTCTAAGGCCCATTTGTCATCTAGACTGATTAATGCTCACATAAAAAGTATGACCTGCCGAAGCACAAGAATGGATTCACAAATTAAATTACTGTATTTTCTTCAGCGCCACTTTGCCTCATTTCATCTCTGTCTCCTGCTTCAACCCCATTTCATATAACTGAGGACACTGCTGTGACAGGGCTGTCCTGATTGGTGGAGAGATTTGGGCTTCTTAGTAATAAACCTCCACCTATTTTAAAGTCTGATAGAGAAACTGACAAAGGCTGCAGAAGATGTAGACGTCTGCTGCTGCTTTTACTTTACATTCAAGTTTAATACGAATGCTGGGGAGCAAGTAAACCTCAAAGCTGATTCAGAGAGGAGGTATTTTTACTGGCTAAAAGAAGTCGCCTGTCAGACAAACTCTAATTTGTTTCCTTTGGTTGCATGAGAAATAAAATGTCAGCTGTGTGAAAGTATTACAGGGTCGCTGAGAAAGATCAGCGCAGTTTGTTAAGACATATTCCAGCAACCTTTAAAGATGGGAGACTGCAAAAAACAATCTCATACATCAAATCTCGCAGCTTATTCAAAAACCAGAGTAAGGACTTCAAAGAAGTAATGCAAAAACCATTGGTATCGAAACTGACTATTGGCTGAACTGTATCTTAAACATGAAGGAGGTTCGGGGGGGGGTTTAATATCAGGGCATCTCTGGATACTCAGGTCAACGTTTAATACCATCTCAAAGTCTTATTCACTTACTGCAGAGACAATAATAGAGGTATAACACTTTTTAGTGCTGTACATCTTCTCTTACAATGCAATTATTTTGCTCCAAAGATATACGATATCCAGCAAAATCCTGACAGCGATCTATCAATATTGAAAAGTTTTCTTGATTCAACACTGCGGGTGTTAAAGGATGGAAACGGGCATGGATAAAGATGTATTATCAGCATAACAATGAAAACTAGATCCATAATTACCAAAAAAATCACTAAATGGTGAGGAACAGAAAGTAAAGAGGACCCACGATAGATCCTTGGGGTACACCAAACATGACAGCAGAAGGGTCAACTTATTGTGATACTCAGTCAATTCTGAAGGGCAAATTTGGCATTTAACCAGCCATAAATATGTGTTCTCAGCATAGAAAAATAAACTGGACCCATGATTACAAACAATTCTTCTTAATGGGAACCAACAGAAAGTTGAGAGGATCCAGGACAGAGCCTTGGGGTACACCAAATACAATAGTCAAAGAGTCACCTTATTATTGCGATATTCAGTATATTCTGCAAGAAAAATTATCTAAAAATGAATATTCAATCATGATAAAGATTAGCTAGTGCAGCCTCTAAATGACCTTCCAGACAGTGGACAGATACATTTAGTTTCCAGCTGGTAATTACAGTGATACATTAATGAGCTAATTAGCTATATATTTCCTTTAAAAGATACTGGAGACTGAAAAAGGTGCCTAAAGGGAGTGAGTATTTAACTAGAATGTCAAATGTTGCTCTGTTGTTTTTGGATGTTCAATTAGCAACTGTTTGCTGACTCGTTTGCCACGTCATCATTGACTAGCCTTCAACAGCCTGGCATTGGCACAACAGCAGGTTTGTGAAAAGCTCAAAATAAAAACGTACACAAAAAATTTGACAACACTGACAAGGCAGTGAAAATAATAAACACATCATTAAATGTTATTGAAGAATCAGAAAATAAATGCAAGCGATAAGAAACAGCAGAAAATAAGAAAATACAGCACAGCTGCATTACGAATACATCTCATCTTGTCTTCAGCTTTGAGTTCATCTAAATTCAGATGGTCTGAGAGAGAATATTACCTCGACACACAGAGGCAGTTCATGCAGTGGGCTGGAGTCTGACCTGACAAACTTCCACTAACAAGCTTCTCAGGGCTTATGCTTCGGCTCCGGTTGGTCATTATTTTATTTCCTGGCAGAGGTGTCAAGCAGAGGAGGAATACTTTAGAGAGTAGGCGTGGGAGGGAGACTGTGCAGCGTTTTGAGACCGGAAAAAAAACATTAAGTCTGTAAATTTATGCTGAATACACAATGAATGAATCTAAAACAGCCCCACCTCCTTATAGACCTCCTCTGACGTTCATGGCATACCTGGGTAGACTGAGCTCTCGCAAGAACTGATGATTAGGATGTCTGTTTTTGAGCGCAGGTGAAAGGTGGTGGTACTTGAGGAGAATTCTGATGAATGAGAGGCGCAGCCTGAGTTTTATTACCAGGCCCAAGGCTGGTTATGATAAATCACCTCTTCCTGCTGGAGCACCACACAGCCTCATGGCCATGTAATGCAGTTAACCTGTAATAAAACTCCTGCAGACCTCACAGCAGAGCAGTGGAGCGGCCTGACTGCGGAGATATTCTTATATATTTTCTTGTGAACAAGCAAAAACTCAGTTAAATCCTTCTTCTTATGGTTTTGTTTGTAATCTACTTTTGAGAAAAGCAGAATTAGATTTTAAAAATGAAAAAAAGTAAAGACTTAGTGGTCAAACGCTACTTTAACAATAAAGGCATAGCTTGAAGGTTCATGCTGGACTTTGGCCTAGGTTACTTTTCATTTTAGGTTTGTAGCTCAGAACAAAACAGCTTCTTTTTACATTTTTCTTATAACTGGTTTGTGTAAAAAGTGTCCAATTCTGTGGTAGAATATTTATCTTGATTAACAGATAGATTTTTATCTTAGGGTAATAAATAAAAAGTTTAGTAAAAATACAGAATCAGCCTTTTCTGGCTTGGTTTGTTATGTCACCTCATTCTTATTTCATCCCTTCCCTGTCTGTATTTTTAAATGCTTTTATGCATGTGTTCTCAGGTGGTCCAGGGTCGGGTAAATCTCTGCAGTGTGAGCGGCTGGAGGAGAGGTTCGGCCTGCGTCGCGTCACTCTGGGAGACCTGTTGTGCGCTGAGCTGCAGTCTCACAGCGACAGAGGGCGACACCTGCGGGACGTTCTGGAGAGAGGGGAGCAGCTGCCTGAGGTAAGTGAAGCACTTTAGGTCTGCTGTTAGAGGACAGGAGATACAATTATAAATCTGTGCAGGGATTGTTTTTCTTTTAAGAAAAATCTGTGACCATTACAAGCCACACCCCAGAGTTTTTTTTTTACTGTGTTTGGCATCATGAGATTTGGGGCCCTTTTAAAGCGATTTCAAATGTACGTCCTAAAACCTTAATGGTTGGTGTAAATTAGGGCGTGTCCAACTAACTTTTGTAGCTTCATAGTTTTGACGCAGACAATGTTACAGATGATTACAAACCATTTTACTGAATGGTAACCAACAGGAAGTTGCTTTGAGTGTCTGCTTAATGAAACAGTGATGTAACGAAAAGTTTAGGGGACCCAGGAGAGAGCCTTGGGGCACGCCAAACATAACAGTGGAAGACTCAGCTACTCATGCAAACGGGGATGGCCGCTTAATGCGAGGAAGATGTGTGAGGTTACAGCAGTGACTGTGCCCTTGTCTTCTGGCATCCTATACTGTATCATGGTGTAAGGCAGCAAGTAAAGAAATACTTGTGTTCCCAAGCACTCCTAACAGATACTTGATTTCACAGCATCAGAAAAGACCTTGATATTTCCCTTTGAGAGTGTGAAGGTCTCATACTTCGAGGCACTCTTCTCTTCCATCTGCTGAAACTTTGTTCACATCCTGAAAGCACTCCGGAGATGAAACGCTCTGAGTAAAAAGGTTTTAAAAAAAACTTGGCATCTGTGGCTGTTAAAGGCCCGCACGAAGCCCATCTAATCATCTCACTGGTTTGTCTCCTTGTCCACCTTTAGACACCCAGACATGTCCTTATTGTACATGAAAAAAGTCCTTCACAGCCTTTTAACAGGATTCTCAGAAAAAAAGCAGTTTGATGTGGTTTGCGATGTCAAGAATCCACTGCTCCTCTCTGACCAGCGCTCTCCTATTAACTACTGAAAAAGCTCAGATATATGATGATGGCCAACTTCAAAAGAAAGTTCTCAAATTCATCAAAATCAAAAGTCTGGGGTGAAATGATTAAAGTTGCAAAATATGTAAGAAGTTTTCTAATCTCTGTGCTAAAAAGCTTTGACGTAAGTAGAAGTTTTTGATTGGATTTGCTCGCCAAAAAAACCCTTTTGTGGTCTCAGCTCTTTGAAACTCTTCCTCAAACTTGTACTTTTGACCGCCCAAGTTTTAGAAAAGTTCCAGCTGTCGGCCACTCGACATTTTCTGAGGGTGAAATCAAAAGGCACTTACCACCAAAAATACCAGAAAGTGTTTTTCTTCCTGTGGTCTGGTTTGTTCAGACCTCGGGAGCTTTTACCGGACCTGCTGGCTCAAAAACAACAGACTTGTTTCTGAGTGCCTGAGAGGATGATGACGGTGTACGAAGAGGGTTTTTTAGGCACAAAAGATTTTGAGATTTAACTAAAATCAGTCATCCATTTGACCAAATAGAAATTAAGACTGAGGCGTAGTCCTCCTGACTGATCACACATCTAATTGCATGGTTTAATTATACAGTATAAGCAATAATTTCCTGAGTCTAATTTGGAAATTAAACAAGTGAAATTAAATGTGTGTAATGATTTTAACTTTTAGATCAGTTATTCAAATTAATGCCGCACTGCTACACCAGTCTGATCTGAAATTATCACTTAGAGGTTTACAGCAACTCAGAAAACCGTCATCCACTTGAAATCACAATAACGACACGGTCACCATCACTACTGAGTGCTGAGTTATTCACAAAGAGCTGGCTTCTCTGAAGTAGAAGGGGACTGTCTAGACCAAAACAGCTGTATCAGTCAGTCTACCACGGTGGACGACAGAGAAGAAGAGCTGTGTACCCCACAGAGGCTTTTTCTTAAACAGGTAGAAAGAGACTCTGCTGATCAAATAGAGTTTCCAAACATTTAGGAAGCAGACAGAAACCCTGCCTCACTGTTACATAAGTACATCATTAAAACTTAAGTAGACTTTATAGTTGTGTTATTGTGACTGCTGCATTTCTGTTCAAGTAATCAAAACGTTCAATAGAGTTTATTGAGAATATCAGCAAACATACTTTTTGCCATTGTCCTGATGTCACACCTTCTGACACTGTCTGTTCACACTCTATTGTAGTCAGCTCACAGCGATAGTCAACACCCATCTTGCAGACAATTTCAACATTTTTTAAATGCGTGGGTCCTCTAATGAATTCAAAACCAGGATATAAAGTGCAAGCAGTGATTACAGATTTGGCGAAACATCAAATCAACAAATAAAGATGTCACAGAAACACCCACACTGTTTGATTGACGGCTGACAGCAGTCACGATGTAGAGGTCCGAGCCAACAAAATCTTAAAATTTAACAGATCATTATTCAATAAAGAGAAACAGCTGAAGATGTTCGAAAATCTACAAAGACAAAGCCTCTGTATACTGGGAAAGTGAAAATCAAACACCCACCACAGCTCTCAGACTGAAACAAAGGAACCCCTGCTCTCCTGCCAGAGGTCTAATGAAATAAACAGGAGAGGGAGCACTGCAGCAGCTGAAATATTATACAGTCAAGGGTGCTCAAAATGGCTTTTATAGAGATTGAGCATCTATACACTCAGACAGAGGCCTGGCTGTCTGCGCCCATACAGGAGCTGGAAATAGAGAGTGCAAATCAGATAAATCATCTACAGCTCCAAACACTCTCAGGAGGAAGACACGTTTTTCTGAGAAGACGTAAACGAATCACCGTCTAACAGACACTGTACGCTCTGTAGTTTAATGGTGATGTACGGCGGGCGCTGTGCAAACACTGAAGCTCATCAACATCCACTGTTTCTACGATAACAAGCTCAAAATACAGTCAAAACAACACTAAACCTGATCGTGACAATCTGTTCGAGCTACTTAAGTGATGCCGTAAAGTTTGACAATCCTCGATACGATGTCATTAATATAAGTGAAGTAGCTACTTAGATTATCTAAAGAGAGCCGAGGGAGTCATTTATTTTAAAGATGCCCTCAAGACATGAATTATTAAGGGGAGGAACAAGTATACACACATCTTTTAGTCGGTGAAAGGAGCAAAAACCACAATGTAGGAAATAATCCTCTGTTAGAGACATGAAGTACAGCAGGATATGGTGTACAAGATCCACTTTTTATACATTTTTGTCATCTAAAAACTGAGCTGCATCCTTTACACCGATTCCACCATTACCTAGTAAAAAATAATGAGAGAGAGTGGAGCCACTATGATAAAACGCAATGCAACTTTGTGAAATCAAGCCTTAAAAATTATGGATGAACAGCAAACCCAGCATATGGCACCGCAGTCACAGTTTCATTTGCTCAGATTCGATCATCTTTTCAAATTAACCACGCTTGTTAGAGTTTTTAAAAGCTCACAAAACTCAGCACCATCAATTTTTCATGAGGAGGAGAACAGCTCGTGGCAATGTTAAAACTGCTCATCGTAAGACCTCTCTTTGGACGTCAGCTTTTCCATCAAATGCTCTCAAATAGGACTGGACGATATGACCTCGAATCAATATCACCATATAATGAGCAGTTCACCTTGATAATGATAAAAGGACGATAATTACTTCACAGTCACGATCATATAATCGCCCAATCCTACGTCAGTTATTGTCGTAAATTTCGGTATCGGTAAATTTTCAGTTTATCCCCCAGCCTCACTCTTAAATGTGGAACAACACAAAGAAGCAAGCAGCCTCTGAGTAAAACAAGCGGGAAACACAAGTGGACCAGTCTAGCAATCATATTCTAACCTGAATGTGATGTGTGTGTGCAACATCCATATTAGACCTTGATCGCACCTCGATGTGTCCTTGCTGAGAAGGGATTCATGAATTCTTTAAAAGCCATAACACCGTTCAATTCAATAATTCACACACAATTCACTAACATGCTCTGTTTCCTCCTGTAAATTACCAAAAAGACTGATTTTTCTCCACGTCTCTCAGAGTAGATTTTTCTTTAATCTTAGTGAAAACTTCTCTCACAGTAAAGATTCTTTTTTCCGGGTAAAAGGTGAGAAAAACGTCTTCCTCCTGGTCTTATTTTTAGCCTCCACGTTTATGATCTCACTTGCAGAAATTATGAACAGATGTATTTTTTCAGTTGATAGGTATTAATCGACAATAATGTACCTGTGTTTGTCATGGAGCTGTTTGAAATGCACAGCCACGTATGAGTGACATTTCACATCAAAGAAAACACGTCCCGCCTGTCAATCACGTACGCAGCGCCATCAGCAGCCTCACATGATCAAAGGTGTAAATGCACATACACTCACAGCACACTGCGTATGTGTGCATGTGTGTGTATTTGAGGACATGGGTGAGTCACTAATATTGATTGGAGTTCACACGTGTCAAACTTGAAAAGATATCCATTGCAGCGGAGTGTCTGTTCATTGCCAAACTGGTGTCTGGATTTTCAGCCTTTTTACCTCTTCAGGGAGGATTTATTGAACTGTGTATGAATCATTTCTCTGAACTCAACATGACCTCCAAACTAAAAGGTAGCTGAAAAATTTCAGGATAAATGGATAGAGAAGAAATCAGTTAGTCTAATCTTTAGCTTTCTGTCAATAAACAGAAAACATTTATTAAAAAAATTCTCTACATAGATTTCTTTCTTAGACACTTAGAGCTTTTAGTACTAATTACTTGATGTGCCGATGCAATCTATGGTAGCCACAAATGAAGACAAAATCAACCTTGTATGGAAAAAAGTATTAAAAATGTCAATAACCGAGGAATCATTGCACCAATTATCAAATCGAATCGACAATCATTATAATCTAAGAATCAAAGCTCCCATAATCCAAATCGAATCGTGAGGTACCCTTGTTGGAACACCCGAGTGATTACTCTATGTGCTTTTGGCATTTTATCTTATTCCTAGTACTAAAAGTATTCATAATAATAGGTTCTTCCTGCTCTATCGTGCACAAAAGGAACTGGAACAAACAAATTTACTCCTGTGATAAATGTTTGCAGCCGTTTTTTGACTGTTTTCTGACCTTTGCACTTTAAAAGCGCAGTCAACAAATTTATGAGGAGTAAAAGCCATCACTCAGGAGTCACTGCGAATAAACACTGCTGCTGAAAAACTTCACGGTTAAATTGTTAAACTGCTGTGCTTTTTAGTGCATGAAGAATTTATGAACCAACAGCACATAATATCTATTTCTGTGCTCCATATCTGCAGGGGATTTATGAGTTTGTTCAATGGCGGTGACTCAGCGAATATTTCCTCACGCTGAGACACAAAAGCCTTGAAAAAAACACTCTTTGACTCCGGGCACAGACTGGCGGTGTAAACACACCTGCTGATTTCAACACATTTCTGCTACAAGGTCTTAAAACTTTTCATTCCAGAGCCAAAAAAAAAGGAAAAAAGTTGATTTACTACTTTTCCTCTAACTTTCCATGAAATATTTACACTCTTCTCTAAAAGTATGAGCCCTCACAGACCTGTCAGTATTGTAGTTTGTCTGCACCTCATTAAAAAGAAGTCACGGATGATTCAACACTATGACAGCAGTTGTTCCTCATGAACTTCCTGACAATAGCTTTTTGGAGGTGAACTCAGCACGAGCAATCTTCACGTTATATTATGAACCTCTATTGACTGGTTTGCAAGGTGAAGGGTAAACGCTCTGTCAAACAGTCTGTGTGGTCTGACTCGGTTCTTTGTTATCACAGGAAGTGCGAAAAGGAATACACAAACTGTGAATGCAGTCTGCGGGCTGTAGAGCTGAACAAATGGTGAATGTTCAATAGCTGACCTGCTTCATTGTACGCTGCTGGAGGTTTGGATGGTCAGGCGGGAGATAAAACCAGCTGACTGAGAGAGCGAACAAAGATTCAGCCAATCAAGCAGAACCAAATTATAGGTGAGAGTCCGAGGGAGGAAAACGTAACTGTGCAGGTGAGAGGAATACAGGGTCAGGTGATCAAGACACTGGATAGTAGTAAAGCTTTTTTACACTATGTCATTAAAATATTGAAGATATTAAACGTGATGTTGAAGACACAGCAGGCAGCCGAATACCACTGACCAGGGGTGAGAGAAAAAATAATTCATATAAGTATCGTTATTTTTTGTTTTACAATTTTTAAAATCGATTATGTTCAAAATCGATTTTTTTGTTTGTTTGTTTTTCAAGTTTAAGAATAAATCTTAAAAACTGATTTACATGAAATGTGTATTTTTAGGGGAAATATGGTTCCTGGAATAGTCAGTATACAATCATTCAACTGCTTCACTGGTGTTAAAAATGTAGACTAAAATCGAGAAAATCAACAATATTGTAGAGTCGCAATTTAAATCGAATCAGCATCCAAAAAATCGTAGAAGAATCGAATTGGGAGAAAAGCATATTGTCCCAGCCCTACCAATCACTCTTGATCTGTCCACATGAGGGCACCAAAATCAACACAAACCAAAGTTCACACTGTTGCTTTGACAACCTGTTGCCCAACAAACTCAAACACATGATGGTCTAGTGTCTACAGACTTCATTGGATGGAATACAGTCCCTATACGGATCACAGATTCATGTCAGGCTGCATTATAAGAACATATTTAATCTGTAGTCAAAAAAAGCCTCCAGACTTCACCACAGGTAGCAGGAAGATTTTCCCCCAGAGTGCAATCTTGGTTTGCAGAGGTGAAATCCCACTTCACGTCTGGCGGATTCGCTCGGAAATCAACATTTAATGAATTCATCTACCAAAAAACTGTAACACTTGTTTTCCTGGAGCTGCTACTTATGATGGAGCACATCTCCTGCAGCCCAGGGTCTCATGAATACTCAGTTCACTCAGAGCCTGTTGACAAGGTCGTGTTATCTCAAGCCTTAGCTCTACAGACTACTTATTCCCCCACCCTGTTTCTCCCTCCTGAAAGGTTCCTCCCAAAGCATAAAACACAAGTAATGCCCCAAACAAACCAGTCACAGGCTCAACTTTAGGCTGTGAAAAACAGGCAAATTGTGTCGATTAGTTCACTTGTTGGTTTTGGGAGGAGTTTTGGAGCCCAGCCGCCACATTGGAAATGCTGTCTTTTGGTTAGCTGCAATCTTTTGCCATCAGAATGATTCAAGATAAGATGGATTTGGACCAGAATGTTTTAGTTTCTGATGCATTCAGATGTGGAAATTCACTGTGAGGACATCCATCTCGGGCTTTATTGAAAAATTCATGTTGGTTTTTTTTCGGCCCCTTGCAACACATTTCTCTTTCAGCTGAACCATAAAGTACTACAAATGTGAAGATTATGGTGCTGACAAGAGCCGCTCACAAAGCTTCAATACATTACAAAGGTTCAAGAAATGGTGACAGAAAATAGATAGAGGATTAGAGGATCAGACTACCTAAAAACTAACATTAAAAAATCATCACACCCAGACAGACCAATAAATTCACACCAAATATTTCATTAATAGTCCAATAAATTAGTAAAAGCCTGTGTGCAAAATGTAGGGTCTATCTCGCCTTGTTTAAAATGCATACTGCAGAAGGGAATGTATCGGGTCGTCAGTGATGTTAACTGCTTTCTCACTTGAAAATTATTAGGCACTGTACTAGGGTGTCAATAACTTGGGTTTGGTCTAAACCCATTAATTTCCACAGCCCACCTATAGTGATCGTCATGTTAGAAATGCTGATCCTAATTAATTTACAGCTGATCTGGAAACCAGCAGAGACCCTAACCCTATGCACAACTCTTAGGACATATTGAGTACTAAATCAATGTACATGCCCTCAAGCAGAGGTGAGGTTCCTCCATCCAAGAGAGACCACAGCAGAGTAGTGGGGGACTATATAGGGAAGGGAAGCATGGTGTCATGATAAATGTAATCATTGTTTTTCTCTGTTCGAGATTATTGAAGGGTAAAGAAAGACAGCTTATGAGAAATGACTGTAATCTTGACATATCCAAAGAAGAGTGATAAAAAATTCTCCTCCAGTGCTGCTGTCATAATGACTGAAACAACCAGTCTGCAAACATCTTCTACTCTACTCTAAAATGGGCATTTTAAATATGGGCCCTGGTGGGTTTCCTAGACTCTTAGTGCCTCAAGTGGACACTCGGCTGAACTGCAGCTTTCTGCACTTCATCCCTGAATTTCTCTTTCAACACTAGAAGGTATCACCAAGATCCTGCACATCTGGTTTAAAATAATTTTTGCAGAATTTTACCTGGATTAGCCACATCATAAAGCCGAAAAGTCCCCAGTGAATGCTCAGTACCTCATGTCACTCTCACAACGGACCAGGATACACAGAGAGCAAGCTACCCTGGTTTTATTTTCTGGTTCTCTGACTGCATATCCAGCAAAGCCAAAACTCTGACAAATGTATTCTCGTCCATTACTGTCTCTGCACTCTAGCTGTCAAACCACTTTCTCTATTCACACTGCAGTCTGGTTGTTGGTTTGAAATTGAAAAAAATAGAGAATTGATGTCGAAGCTTAAATAACCTGAACATCTAATAGAAGAGCCACCAACTTTGCAGCAGCAATGAGTCACCCTCTAAAGTCAAAGCTTTTAAGGAAAAAATGCATATACGTCTTCATGTATTTCTACTTTGCAGTAAACTGAGCAACCAGCAACAAGCCAACATTTCCCAGCTCTTTCTGGGAGACCCTCAGGCGTTCCCACACAAGGAGAGATATTTTATTCATCCACAGTACTCTTAGTCTTCCTCAGGGTCTCTTACAAGTTAGTCGTGACCAGCAATCCTCCACAGGAAGACGCCTGGGAGGCATCCAGATCAGATGCTCACCGACCTTGACTAGCATCTTACAACGTGAGGGAGCAGCTGCTCTGTTCTTTAGTCGCTCCTGAGATGTTGTAGCGCTCCTTCACATTAACACAGCCTAATACAACAGTCCTGCGATAAATCCTCACTTCACGAGGGTCAAATGTTCACTTCTTCATGAAATCGTTTCATGGAGGTGATACATCAACTTTATGGTCATTTCGGAGCCCTGCAGTTTGCGGTGCTAATGATTTCTATGTCACCCGACTGGTGTGTTTCTAATATCTAGTCCCCCCTGTTTATGTAGATGGTGTGAAATTATAATTGCAAACACACATCACCTTTATGAAGCATGGATTTATTGCCGGGTTGTTGTATGAGACCCCATCAATTTCATGCTAATTGTTCCCAATAAGCTTGCAACTCTGTGCACCATCTAGAGGGCTGACAGGGATAAATATGAAGCTAGCAAACCACCTGACAGGCAGCACTCACACACAGCATCAGCAGAGGAACAGTAGACCATGAGGAGCTGTGATATAACTCATTAAAATAATCACTCTTATGTCTGTCTGAGAGTAAACTCTAGGTACTACCCTGCCTCTGTGTACTGCATTTCCATTAAAGCATGTACTGCAACACAATAATAATGTTTAAAAATCAATTTTCTACCTCCCAAAATAAAGATTAGAGTCTCCAACAGAAATGAGCATGAAGCACCAGAGACAGAAGCAGCAACTAATTATATTCAGCCAAAAAAAAAGCAATGTAGCCCATTATAAGCATGACAACAAACTTCTATAAAAGCAGCAATGACTCAGGAACAGCAGCAGCATGACAGGACAATTAGCATAATTACCAGAAGTAAGCTTCAGAGAGCAATAAAACACACAAACAATGACTTAACTGAGCAAAAACACACAAAACACCTACCTGAGATGAGTCAGCAGATTTAAGCTAACTTACCTTCCAGGCTGTAGTGGAGCTGGTAGGTTAATCCCTGCGATAAACTGCGATGTAAACGCTGATATTTCACCTGAAACTTCCTCTGAAGGCGGTTTGAACTGTTAATTTTGATATTTTAAAAGTTTGAAGAGCAAAAATACGTTGAAATGAGTGTTTGTATCACTGCTAGCCGACACAACAGCACAACTTTAGCAAGTTAGCAAAGTAATAACGGTCGAGCGGCACCAACGGTTTTTTTTATACGGGGGCGGGGCTGATTGCGGAGGGAGCGCTTGATTTATGAGCCAGATAGAACGGGCGGTCACGTGATGCCGTCTGACTGAACCGGTCAGTAACAAACAATCGCGAGACTTGAACCAAAAACCCTCGAGAACAGAAGGGTTTGATTCATGGATAATCTCATGCAAAACAGCAACACTCTTTTTGTTGGTAAACCTGCGAGATATTAATCATTTATTGATTTGTTTATTTGATTTATGTTAATTTTAACTGTTTTTTTTATTAATGAGATTGTTATTTCAAAGTTACGCTATAACTTTGTAACAAAAAATATTTATGCTGTTCTACTGAATTAACAAATAACTTTCTTGTTAATTCAGGATTAAAGAGTTGTTTGTTTTTTCATGTTAATACAATAAGCTGCTGTATTAAACGGTGTAGTTCCTTGTAATTATTCATAAAACACTGTAAGTTTGTTCGTTTTCTGGTTTTTAATGTGTTATGATTTTCCTTTTCAGTAATTTTCTTCATTAGGATTTGAGACAGACAGCACAGTGGTGTAGTGGTTAGCGCTGTCCCCTCACAGCAAGAAGGTCCTGGGTTCAAATCCGGGTCAGGGGCGTTTCTGTGTGGAGTTCGCATGTTCTCCCTGTGTCTGCGTGGGTTAACTTCGGGTACTCTGGTTTCCTCCCACATCCCAAAAACCATGTAGAAGTGGGGTTATGTTAATTGGCCACTTTTAAATTGCCCGTAGGTGTGAATATGAGCGTGGATGGTTGTTTGCTGGGATAGGCTCCAGCCCCCCTGCGACCCTGGGAACGGGAATAAACGGTAGAAAATGGATGTATGGATTTCAGACAGATTATGCAGCTTAGTGTTGTGCAATTGTAATTAAAGACATTATGTCTGTTATGTTATTGTTACTCATACAAATGTGGCAGCTTGGCAGTATTTATTTGAGATGTTTTGGACATTATGTGCTCTATTCTAAAATATTCTATTGTGAATGTTTGGGTTTAACCATCTATAATGTGATGTGATATGACATAATACACCTGTTTAATCTAGAAACTGCAAGGAGCTGCTCTTTAGAGACCTTCTTTGAGAGCTGACTCATTATGTTAACCTCAAATAGCCATTATATACCATCAACTCTACTTATTAATGTACTTGTAGCACCGCAATTACACTTTACTCATAAGCCCAGATCTAACACCTCAGACTGGAACCACTATCCTTTACTACTCACAAGATACGACAACAAAAACTAACTTTAACTATTTATTTGTCAGTTTAAGTCATTCATCCAGCAAACATACCCAAAATACACTTGTTATAGTTTCCCAAATGAGAAGATTAATTCATTTTATTGGTGGTGCAACGTGAATTGTGAAGACAAGACCCCAGGCTGGAGAAAAATATTCATAATATAATAATATTCTTAAGTTTTAGCTGAGGTTTGGCATCTCATACAACTTTGATGTGAACTGACACGCGCTGAAACTCTCTGAGGAGCCTCATCCTTTGCATATCCTCGCTTTTTGGTTGATTTTATGGTTAGAATATTAACTTGAATTTCTACAATGCTTGTTTTTTTATACATGTTGCATATGTTTTGTTTCCAGGACACCATGTTGGAGCTCTTTTGTGATGCAGTAGCAGCATCAGCGCGGCAGGGCAAAGGTCTGGTGATCAGCGGCTTCCCAAGAGACCTGAGACGGGCAGAGGAGTACGAGGCCAAGGTTAGAGCGGCGTCTAGTCTGACTGACAGACATGCCAGACATGTGGTCAGGAGCATGAATAAAAGAAGAGACAGTAGACACAGCTCTTAGTCAAAAATTCAGAACCATATCAGCTGGACTTGTTGGTGAAATTTGTGTCTTATGTGTCAGATGGGAGAGCCCAGTGCAGTCCTCCTGTTGACCTGCTCGGTAGACACCATGTCCAGCCGCCTGCAGTGCCGCAGCAGGTCCACCTCCAGCTTCCATTCGGCCTCAGACCGAGACGACGACCTGCTCAGGAGGGCCGAGAGCTTCTGCAGCGACAGCCAGGCGGTGGCAACTCACTATGAACGCAAGAAACTTCTGCATACGGTGAGCTTGATTTCCTATTAGGATGAAAAATTATCAAGGCCTTTGCACATATAATTATTCACATATTACTCTGCATATTACATATTACTTTTTTCTTCTGCTTAAACAAGTGGCATAAAATTGCAAAGTATAAGTAATTGGGGTTAATAATGTCCTAAAATGAGATGTTTAAACATTTCAATTCAAATTCAACTTTATTTTAATGGCACTTTTTCAGACTAAAAAAAAGTACTTCAAAGTGCCTCACAGAGGCTAAAAAAACAATTAAACAACAATAAAACCCGACCCTCCCACCCACACACCCACCCATGGACCCACACACACACACACACACAAAGACACACACCCACCCTCAGTCATCCACACACACACACAAACAAGCGCACACAGAGTGAGAATTTAAGATATATTGTTAGAGAGACATGGCCTGACACCGAGACGCTGCGTGAGGGAAGAGCTACCTTTGGGAAACACTTGAGATGAAAAGATTTAACAAAAAAAGATAAAAAACGGTAACAAGAAAGGCTTAAACCTGATGGACAAAAACAAGAAAATTATATTAAATGAACAGATAAGTAAGAGCTCTTTACCATGTAAGAGGGGTAAAAGAATTAAGGAATTAAAGGAATTAAAAAGAATTAAAGGAATTAAGAAAAAGACTAAGAACAGAAATAATAAAATGACATAAACATGAAGAACTTTGATTAAAATGAACATTTGCAGTAAGAGAAATATAAAAAGGCAGTTAGTGAATTGCCTGGTTATAAAGGAGAGTTTGAGCCTCTTCTTAAAAACATCAACAGTCTCTGCGGCCCTGAGGCTCCACTGGGGACCATAGGAACTGAAAGCTACCTCCCGTGTATTTTTGTTTTAACTTTGGGTATGGTTAAAAGGCCTGTGCTAGAGGACCTCAGGGTCTGCGAGGGTTGTTATGATAAAAGTTAGTCAGATAAATAGGAGTGGCCAAGACCATTAATACATCTAAAAACTAATAAAAGAACCTTAAAATCCATCCTGAAACGGACAGAGAGCCAATGCAGCAATGCTAAAACTGGGGTTTTATGCTCTCGCCCTTTGGCCCCCGTCAGCACTCTTGCAGCTGAATTCTGTAAAAGCTGAAGGGTATGGAAGTTCTTCTTGGGGAGGCCAGGTTCTTTATTGTGTGTATGTTAAAGCCACCACTGGTACAGAGGCCATGTGTCTTTGCATACAGAGGTTACACTACAGCAGACTGCTGTCCTCACCTGCAAACTAACCCTCCAAATGCTGCAGAAAGACTTAAACTGAGTCCATTTGTCCGTCTGCAGATTGACGCCGAGCAGTCACCAGATGAAGTGTTCTCCCAGATTTGCCTCACCATGGAGAACTTCTGATTCCAACAACAACAACAACATCTCCAGCCCTGATTCTCTGCTGTCCAGGAGCTCCACCTGTGAAGACTTCTCTTTCTCTCTCTATCTGAAGGAGACTCACCCACCTCCCCTTACACCTGCACCACACACACACACACACACACACACACACACACACACACACACACACACACACACGCTCATTGAACTCCAGTGATCTGCATGCCCCCAAACACTCCCAGCTGGCGGTGAAACCTCTCCCTGCTTTAAACACCGATGAAGCGCCTGGTTGTCACATTCTGCTTCACCCACTCGCATCGTCTCTCTCTTGCATCGACCTCGATATACGCTGTCAGCTGCCCAGCCGAGGCGGTCAACTGTACTGAGAAACCCGGCGTTCCTGCTGTGACTGAGAGCATGTTTCAAGTCTGAGGGAGAGGAAAGGTTCCCCCCCACGCAGGGAAGTGGAAATGTCAGTGTGTGTGCATGTGTGTGTGTGCTCATGCTCTCATGCACAGCGTCGTGTTTTATATTGTGACAAGCATGCAAGAATTACAATCAAAGCTTAACTGCCTTTTGTGCATTGATTAAAAAAAAGCAGAAAAAGATTTTCAAGTGTTGAAGAATTTGGCATTTGTATGTTTCTGAGCTCATCGTACAAGTGCTTGTTTTCAGTCTGGTATTTAACATTCAATAAAGCCAGTGCATTTGCTAAAAGGAGGATTTCTGACCGTGTGCTTTGTTGTTTTGGGTGCCTGCTTCAGGAGGGAAAAGGAACACTCATACCTTATCTTATAGCACCATCTGCTGGTGAGGAGACCGCAACAACAAAAGAACAATGAACAACAACAATTAAAAAATAAGGTTTGAGAACAGTTACATGGTTTACAAATCATTTAAACGCCATATTCATTAAAAATAGTGCTAAGACAACATGAAATTAATATGCTGTGATTTTAAATTTGATGCCAGCAACAGGTTTAAAAACAGTTCGGACAGAAGCTTCTGGAGTTTTTTGAGTGAAATGTTTTCCCACCCTCTCCTGTCACAGGATTTTTTCTGCTCAACCGTTTGGGGTCCCTTTAGCCAAATTGTTTGTTTCATAATGTACAGAGTTTTCAAAAAGGTGACAAGCCTGTACTGCATGCAGGACTTTTCTATGACGGAGCCATGCTGTTGTTATATCTGCAGAATTTGGTCTTGCATTGGAGGATCTGGACGGCAGCATATGTTGCTTCAAAACCTGAATTGATATTGATTAATTCGACCACAGTTCATCTTAAAAAGTCTCTGGCACAGAGAGGTTGTCAGTTTTTTTTAAATACTATATTCATATGATCACCTTCTTCCTCTTAAAACTTGCATTTGTTGATGCCGTGACTAACTCTTTGCAGACAGCAGTTTCTGGAAGGGATTTTGAGCCCATGTGGGGATTTCTACTACAGAGTCCTGTCTGTACTTAATGCAGTGCTGCCTGGGAGGCCAAAGATCGCAGGTATATAGTTCTGCTTTCACTTTTGTCCCTTTAATAGAGTTTTCTCAAAGCATTTTTACTGAGGAACATTATCGTGAAGATGAACTATTTGCTCACAGAGGGGCGAACCTCTTCCTATCTTTACTCCTGTGGGACTCAGAACCTTTGAACCCCCTTTTTATACTCAGTCATGTTACAAACCTGCTGCAAATGAGTCTTAAAAACTGCAACGTTCTCACAGGTGTTTTTTTTTTTTTTTTTAGCATTACCCAGATTTTTCTTTGATTTGAAAATGTGTTTTGCGGCATCAAATTTAAAAACTGGCATGTTTTTTTGTCACTTTCAACAGTTGATGTTGTCTGTACACTCACTTTTTTTTGACCTGCGGCTGTAAAAAGCAGCTTTGGATCCTGGTAAAACTGTAGAGGAACATGATTTTCTTGAGTTCACCTTTAAGCTGACGCAGTACACATCTCAGGCCAGCTAAATGGCCTTCAAGAGCAGAGTTTGAAGTGTCGCCAAAGGTCACTTGTTGGAAAGACAAATGTTAAGAAAAAAAAATGTCACTAAGATTTTTGACCTTACACTAAGAAACCAGAGTCTATTGTTTTTAGCGGGCAGAGAAAGAAACTGATTTGCAGCCGTTTATCCTGCAACTTTGCTCATAAAAAATCTGCTATTTTCCTTGATGTGAAAGTTTACAGAGTTATAAAAGATTGTGCCTTTAATCTTTTCATCATTTTTTTTTATGAGGCTTCTGTTGTTAAGCTGCTTTTTGATTATAGTTCACTTAAAAACTGCAGTAATCCTTTCAGCCCAGAGTATAAAACCACAGTTTTCCTCTGACGGCTCTTCTGGACAAACTTCTCGTCTCTGTAAACAGCTGCCATAAATGATTGTTTTAGCAACACAAACCGCTTATTATACAGACTGAAATCAGAGTTCATGTTTCTAGATGATCCACGGAAGAAAATGACAAAAATGATGATTTTTTTTAAAGCTATTTTCTGTGGTATGCATCAGACAAAGTGAGTCAAACAGGCTGAAGGGAAACTTCTGTTTCCATCTGACTGTTTAAAGAGGAGGATGAGATTTATCTGCAGAAAACTCCCTGCAGATTTACAGCATCAGGATCAGCCAGAAGGGGAGAATTTCTTTTGTTTAAGGGACACAAAGAGTTTCTTATTGTCATGTCCTGATACAAAGTAAAACTGTTTCCCAGACTTTGCACTGTTAGCCAACATTGGCACCTCATAATTCAATAGAAAACAGCTGCTGGAAGCTTTGGTAAATGAATCTTAAAACCCTGCAAGGAAACTTTTGAATTTCAAACACTGCTCATCGATCAAAGCGCGTTCAAGCCAACGAATGTGAGTAACTAACCACAGCTGCTAACTCTTAATCAGACAATTGTTTCCAGAAGACATGAATCTGTTGCTGAAAAAGTTCAACACCACTTTTTATTTTCACTATCTGAGCGCTGGGTTAGCTCGGTGGTTGACTTGTAGGTGTCACTCCCTCTTCCCTGACTCCTACTCTGTCTGCTGTCGTTTCCTCTTCCAGTCTCAATAACACTACATGAACCACAGGTGTAGAAACACTATTTTCACATACTTTTATTTCCACGGTTCTCCTCTAGCATTTTTTTTACATTATTATTTTTTACATAAGAACAGACTGTTATACACAGATATTGAAGCAGGGCAGAGGGGGTGAGGGAAGGAGACGAAAACCATACAAAATGGTGTCTACTCAAGCACAACAAAATCTATGTGTATAAAACTGTTTGGGTTGTTCCACTGCGGAGGCGCCAACCTCTACCTCAATTCTTTTGTTTTTTTAAATAGATTAATAAAAATACAATCTTTTAAATGGACCTTTTTCCAAGTGGACTGCAAAAAAATTAAAGAACTAGAGGCATGATGATTGGATCGATAATGAGGGGGGGCGGGCAAATGTGGGTCAGGGGAGGAGTTGTGGCCACGTTCAGAGGTGGAACTCCGCCCCCTCGAGAAAAAAAAAAAAAAAAGAAAGAAAATTTCTCTTTTAAAAATGGCACACAGCAACTAGCGCTGGCTACTTTTCACCATATACTTTTACACTCAACATGATCAACAACGGCACACATTGGGGGGAGGAGAAAAAACAAACAAAAACACAGTCTTGTGTACTTTTTCCAAAGGTTTCCATTCGCCTGCAAGTCTGCCTTCAAGAACATTTGCTCTCCATGCTGTAGTGCTTCTTGTTAGACATGTTTTAGTGGAGAGAGAGAGAGAGAGACAGAGAGAGGAAGAGAGAGAGAGAGAGAGCGCTTAGGGAAAGAAACACAGATGAAGGTGTGTGAAAGGTGAGGGCTTAAGAGAGCAGCGTTGTGTGACAGTGGTAGGGATGGCTCCATGCTGGAACATGGCACCCGATCTGTTTACAGGTCTGCAGAACGTCACGAGGATCAGCAGAACTTCCTACAGTCTGCAGCTCGGAAACACGCCGGCCTCGAAGTTCCACGCCGCCAAACTTCCTTGCGTCAGCCGCGCCCCTCTCCCCGGAGCTGAGGAGGCCGCGACTCATAAATACTCAATCTACAGATGCCTAGCTAGAACGTTTTTTTCACTCTTGCATATCACGGAGACCACGCACGCACATACACACACGCACGCACGCACACGCACAACCACCTATGTGTATCTCAGTTGATGACTTCACAGCCCACTATGACCACACATCTCCATTAGGTGGCGCTTCACCAGACTGGCTGTCAGGTCTCCAGTTTGAAGCAGCACAGGGAGGTCACTGGAGGAGGAGGAGGAGGAGGAGGAGAGGAGGAGGAGGCAGCCCTGGTGGAGTCACAGAGCTCGGGAATGTCGGTGTGCCTTCAGTTTAGTTTGTTTGTTTTAAAAATAGTGTATCATTTCAAATCACAGATCCATTGATTAACCTGGCTGAGGTGGAGCGGGGCCCCCTTTGATCTGAGGAACCAACATGGCCGCCCTTTTGCTCGAGTCAGGGAGGCCAGTTTACCAACAGCCCCTCCAAACCAGCAGCACCGTGGTCTGCTCCGAGGCCCCCTTGGCTGTCTGCCTGCCTGCTGGCCTTCCTGCCTGGCGGCGGGTTAAGCGGTTATCTTGGACTTGGAGGATGGAGCCATGCACAGAGTGGCCTGTGGGATATGTGGAGAGAGCCTGGAGCTAGAGGCGCCTGCGACCCTGTCATCTGTTGGCTGGAAAGTAGTTCGGGTCCAGGTAGTTGTAGCCCGTGCTCTGCGGCAGGCAGTAGTCCCTGTCCAGGAAGGTGTCAGCCTGGTGCACCGGTTCCAAGTGATGGTTTGGCTTGTGGGTCTCCGTCTTGAACAAGCTGAGGAGCGAGCCAGAAGAACCAAAGTGTCATTGCGTTGGCAGCTAAAGCAAACACGTCATGTGAATCTGAGAGGTTAAAAAAATATATTTGAACTTCAACAGAGACGTTTCTCTGAGTGAAAACCTGCCGACTGAGAAACATTTCCATTTAGAACCTCTCAAAACAACCGCTGAGAACATGCTGGATTAACACAATGACTCACTCTGCCACCGTCTCTTTTCAAGGTGAATGAGGCTGTGATATTATTACTCACCTTGATAACTGTGGGTGTTCAGGGCCCACCGGGGCCGTTCGAATTGACCGGTATTGACTAAAACAAACCTCACCCTTTCTTTCCGCGACGGTTTATATTTTAAAGCTGCAGCAGCGATTTTCTATTACCACAGCAGGACTCGACTGTATGAATCAGAGACGTGTGTGTGAATGAGAAAAAACGGGCTTCAGCAAACTTCATCGTGAGCGACTCTGAGTTCAAGGTAGCAGAAGAGAGAGATTTACAAAAAAGCTCCAGTCAGTGATATTTCCTTTCTTCTTATCAGCCAACAGCAGCCTGGGAAACACCGGGCTTGTAATTGGTGGCTGACGCCTTTTAGTGCTTCATCGTGGCACAGTGATAAATGTCAGAGGCAGAGGGTCGTACCATCTGTCAAAAATGAACTTTATTTTTTTTCAGTATTTAGATCACGTCCAACAAACCTGGTTTATTACCGGCCCAGATACATACTGAGTCAACACTGAGGTTACACAGAGTTCCTCTAAAAGGTCAAAAGGTTTCCTGCCGTGGAAAAGCACCGCTGGATAAACTACATCCCCCGGAGAGCAGCACAGGGAGCATAATAAGTATGAATTTTTAGGATAAAAGCTTTATTTTTGTTTTTCTGCTTCATTTTCTGACCTTTATTTACTCTTTTCTTCTCATTTGTTTTAGATAACACCTCTTAATCTGTGCGTCTCATACAGGAATCAGTGATATGCGGCTGTATTTCAGCATTTAAATTAGGAAATAATAACCTAAGTGCAGAGCTCGGTGACATTATAACAGGCTGCTGCCTTTAGAGCAAACATGCCAAACACTGAGCCCGTCAAAATGTCCTCATACTTCTCCTCTTTGAACACACTGTGTGGTTAGCTGTCAGATAAATGACACGGCTAATATTACTTTGAATGATGTTCACAGCGTGGCTCAGGCAGCCGACATGACTCACCACCGCCGTCCTTTCAAAACCACAAAGTTGAGGACGAGTTCAGTACCGACTAAAGCGCAGGAAAACGGGTCAACTTTCGGATAAATCTGCGTCCCTGAAGGATAACAGAACAAGAGTGAAATACTCATTAGATAACCTCGTTATACATGTTTAATCATCTCTGCCTTCAAGGGCGTCAGTTTGTTTCAAAAAGTGGGGGAGGCGGCTACTAGCAAAAGTGACTCTGGGATGACGACTATAACTGATTTTTCTTTTGGTATGGCTACATTAAAATGCGTAGACTTATTTCATGTAACCAACTAACGCCCCCTAGCATAGATATATTACAGGGGATAATCATAGGGTTAAATAAGCGAACAAGTTTTCTAACTCACCAGGTAATATCAGAAGAAAAAGCACACTCTGGGCCGCAGCTTCAACGTGGCACAGACGCAAATTTACAACAGCTGCACGTTTTTGTTATCCTCGCGGAGGTCTGCTGCATCTCTCAGCGACTTCAGACAAATACGGATGATGCGTTCGGGAGCGTCAGAATTTTCTATACTACTGAAAATAACTGGGGTTACAATGGCACATCCCCCTGTCCCCCCCTAAACTGACGCCTATGTCTGCCTTTAACAGACGGGGTAGCTGGAGAGAGACAAGTAAAGTGGTGAGCAGGTTAGCTAACGCTACACTGGACTGTCCAGATCATCTACTCTTGTGTGGCTCTGACCTTTAACCCTTGGGTCGCCGCTTCAGGCAGTACTGCATAAGAGAGAGTAACAGACTTCAGGTCTCACTCTTCTTGAGTATAATTCATGAACCCCGCGGTGATTCATGCTGCACCACTATGATTTAAAGTCTGCTTAACTTAACTTATGGCTTGATGCTGTTAATATTATTCTCTTACACTGTGCTAAATTTGATGTTGTTTTACTTCCAGGATTTTTAACTGGGTTTTATTTGATTGTTTTTCTCGGCTGCGTGTGTCTTTTATGTGCTCCTGCTGAAAAACTCATTTCTTCCCCTGTGGGACAATAAACAGGAGAGTCTGAATCTATCGCCTCTGTGCATGAGCTTTACGCGTTTAACTTAAACGCCCTTTAATTCTCTTTTCAGTCGGATTTGATTATCTAATTTCTGATAAACATCATCCATACAGTCAAAGTTTCTCAGTCCAAGCAGAAGCAGGAGGAACTCACCAGTCTGAGCAGTTGGAGCAGAAATCGACTGAGTTGTCTTGCGGACAGTCCTGACAGTGCCACCGCACTCCCTGGATGGGCTCCATGCCACAGACATCACACTGCACAGACACAGAACACAGACAGACACCGCAGGTCAACGACACAACTATGGAGCTGTTTCAAACTGTTAACTATACTCATGTTTTCAGGAGAAACAGCGTCTAATGTTTCTTTTTTTGGAGACTTTATGTGCAGTCAACAGGACAGAAGGAGGTAACCTTATTATCTGTTTATTTCATACCACTGAGGAAGCGCTCTAGGATTTTATTTCCCCTCATACATCATGAACAGGTGTCAGTTTGTGGAAAAACCGGCTTAAAAAGGCTTTAAACAGTCGTCACCTTGTAGCCTACATGCCGCACCCCGGCCTTCTCTTCCTGGAGCTCCTGCAGCGCCTGTTTCTTCAGCCGCTTCAGCTCTAAAAGCTCTTTGTACTCCGGCAGATTTCTCAACTCCACTGGAATTCCCTCCTCATCCTGCATGTCAGGTAAAGAGAAAAAAAAACCATGCAAAAACATATATTTACTGTCGTGCACAGGAAATAAACCTGGAGTCAACAGATGAAAATATATCCACAAACACCATTCAAACTTTTCTTTCAGTTATTTAGCAAAAAGTACAGATTTAATCTCACAAGTGAATCACTTTTACAATGTGAAGTTTTCCCTGTCCAACGAGACGAGTGTTGGAGGTTCGAGGCAAGATGGCGCAGCAGGAGTAAAAGTCTCATGTTTAAAACCTATCCGATAAGATAGGTGTCTGCTCTTATATCAAAGCTTCTTGTAAACCAACAAATGCACCAAATAAAGGAACGAGTGTAAAAGACTATGCCGTGGGAGTCGTCCACTTCACACCTGTGGCTCACTCTGAATATGCGCAGAGTTTTCAGGTGTTCAGTGCGTGTTTGCTTCAGAGTGAAAACAGAGATTCACTCTTTAAAAAACTTTCATTCATCCACCAGAAGTCCTGCTGACCAGCAGACGCGCTCGCCTTCACAGCAAACCTCCCTGTAAACAGGACCGCGGTCAGGGACAGCAGCCTGGTGAAGTGTGAAATGATTGTGGCCGTGCTGGTAACACCTTAGTGCCTTTCCTTCATATCGGTGGCGTCAGGGGTTTTGTTAACGCTCTGGTGGAGCCGGCAGCCTGTGTTCTCAGCTGGGCATGGCGACCTGGTTTTATTTAAAGGTTATAGCCATCAAAGGGAAAAAAAAGAAAATGTCAGCGCTTGGGTAACGGCGAGCACCAGGAGCAGGGAGTTCAAATGAAAGAGAGGCGAGGCTGGCTCCGCATCCTGCTTTCATTTGGCTTTTTAAAAACAGTCCACACTGCCGTGACTGAAGAGTGGAAAAATAGAAAGAGTAGAGACGTGCATGTTCAGGGGACTTATTTCACCCTCAAGTGTTGAATGGTGTCGAGAGGGAGGGGGGGAAGCAGACATAAGCGACAAGGTGCGCTGGATTATGTTGTCTTGTGTTAAACAGATTTGAACAGACTTGTCAGAACAACACAAGCTCTCTGTGGAGGAGTGTGGAAAGCATTAAAATAACCACACTGGTCTCTGTAGAGGGAGAGTTTTTGACAGAGGACTGACCGAGTCTTCAGCAGAGGGGTCCTGCATGCTGCCGTAATACCCCGCACGCTCTTCGTCCTCGTCCATGTAGACTGGAGGCTCGTAGGAGGTGAGGAAGGTAGACGGCCGGTACAGATGCTTGTTGAGGTGATGCTGCCTCTTACTGGACGCCTGAGGAATCAACAGAACAGACGAGTGGAGTGAGAAGAGCAACATGTGCTTTTGTACATCATTTAATTTGTGATTAGTTTACTCAGGAGACACTTAAAGGGATATTCCTGTGTAAAATTAATTTAGTCAAACAAACCATAACACAGAGTTAGACACCCCCTCGAGAGATGAATGTTGCAGACCGCTTGCTTCTCTAGTTAAACCAACTTTAGTAAAGACCGCAGGATAGAAATACACAGCATTACTGCAGCGGGGTGTTGCAGTTCAAGGAAGAACATTTATGATCATTTCTTGATCATTTCCTTCAAGTAATAATCACCATATTAATCATTTTGCTCTGCAGACGCGGTAGCTCTTCTGCCTTAGCGTCTCGGTCTGATTGTATTTCCATGAAGAAATTATCAAAAATGTTCTTCCTTGAGCTGCGACACCCCGCTGCGGTAATGGACTCGCCTGAGGTCTCGCTACAAACAAGCGGCTGCTGAAGGAGAGAGGTTGAGTTGTGTTTATTCTCTTTGCTAAAGAAATTAGTCAAAGTTAAAAGATGTTTGGTGGTTAGTACTATGACTGGGACCCTATATGTCCTGTTGATGAAGTTAGGTGCTGTTCTGAGCATTATTTGTGAATCCTAACCCTAAATTAATTTTATGCCAAAATATCCCTTAAAGCCATCAGTTAAAAAAAACAAACAAAGATCATATAAAAAGGATTTAGCAGCTAACATAAACCCCACTCACTCTCTCTGCAGCTCAGTTACACTGCGATGGTTCTGCTGTCATTGTCACTTCTGTCACTGTCACGCTGCCACAACCAAGATTAACATGACAAACAGATGCATGGAAGTGTTTGTCTTTTTTTTTTAACATTTAAAAACGTCCAAATGTTCGTTTTTTTTTAAATATCCAAACATAGAAAAATCTTTAACATCTGCAGAGGTTATTATCCTCGAATCCAGCAGCAGCCTTTTGCTTCTCACTCCTCACTCTCTCTTCCCAGTTTCCTCCTCCATCCACTCTCTCTTCATAAAGGCATAAAAAAAAGTCTCAAAGGGAAAAAAAGACATGCAGTAAGCATAAGTAGCTCCGTAGTTAAATACCTTTTTAGTGTACATGCACAGGTTGGGAGTTCTTCCAGGCACGGGGATACCAGCTTTCGTCAGTTTGATGAAGTACTTTTGAACCCGACTGGCAACCTGAAATGTTTTAACAGGAAAACGTCTCCGTTAATGATTTCCAGCAGAATGGGGGGGAACAGCTGCTTGAAGTAATTGAGGTCATGCAAATGTATCCAGGATCCAGGTACTTAAAGAGGGCACGGTTATCACACGAGTCAGTCTTTGCCTTTCAGCTCTGCTAAGTGTTTCGCTCGACACTCCTGCAATTTAACAGCCTGTTTCCATAGTGAAGACACAGATTCATCAATGTCAGGTGGTGATAAGAGAAACAGGGAGAAGTACGACCGCTTCAAAGACGACTCGGTTTGTGTTATTCAGCTGCAGAGACACACTTTTACTGAAGTCGGATTTGTCATTTTGAAAGTTCTCTGTAAACCTAACTAATGAATCTGTCATCTATTATTAATGTCTGCATTATTTCTAAACAGAGATATCAACCAAAATATTCTGATAGAAGCACGAAAATCCTGCACATGCACCTCATCCGTTCATTTTGACTAACCCCTCACCTGTTTTGCTGTTCGGTTGCCCAGCTCGTCTGCAATCTTCTGCCACCTTCTGGACTCCACTTCCTCGGGAGGAAACTTCACAAGAAGCTGCTCCAATTTTTTCTACAAGAAGAAAAAAACCAACAGGTAAAGACATATGAGGGGACACAGACACGTGTAGATTTATCCGCTCCGCTTTGATCACACATTACACACTAAAATAAAAACAAACAAACAAATGAAGCCCTGTGTCAAAAATCGACAAAACTTGAATGAAGTCGATTTTTCCTTCAAATAAAGTCAAAAAAATGAGAATCTGTGCAAAGATTCAGCGTGGTTTTTTAGTGAATGGCATATTCTGTTAAACAGGGTGTGATTCCTTACACACTTGTTACCTACCTGTTCCTCCACAGTCCACAGCTGGTTGAATGTGTCAGGCTTGTTTGGGTGACAAATCCTCCCCCGGATCATCTGTCGAGAAAAAACAGGAGTGACAGCCAAGTTAAAAGACTCGCACGGAACGAAAATAATGGGCGCTCCACCATTTGAGGAGATCTGTGCACACGGACTGCCTGGCACAGAGAATCTGTCAGATTGACAGACAAAGATGTGACTGGAGATGTGTCATGGGAAGACGACGAAAAACACTTTGACTGACAAATGAAATCCTGTTAGAATTCAGAGGCTGTAATCTGTGCGAGTGCAAATGTGGCTCCGCTAAATAAACAGCGCGAGCAAAAGGAATGATCAAGGAGTTGTTTGCTCAGTGCTAAATACTTGGCACGATCTAATCCCAACAATCAATTAAACCCGAAGGGAGAGGGAGACGACAAAAACGTAAACACAAGCCAGAGGGGAAAAAAAAAAAAAAACATCATCAGAGGTGGAGGTGGAGGAGAGGCGAGCTCCTTGCGTTTCCATAGATACCACCTTCATGCTCACATGTGCTGCATGCTTAACTCTGCAGAGAATCAAGAAGGGGAGCAGAGCGGGCAGTGTAACCTGGTGATAAAGCTGCAGGAGTGACTCATGGTTATAGTCAGGACAATGTATGTCTAATGTTCTGCAACAATGATATACAGGGAGACAGAAGCAGCACACACGTGTGTGATGATGACGAGAAGGATCAGGGTGATACCTGTGTTTGTCTGCCGTTCTCTGGAGCGTCACTTGTGGGCAGAGAGGTGTACATGGTGGAGGACTCTCCTTCCTTCCTGGGTTCAACAGGACTTTTTGGTCGATCAGGCAAACCTGATGAGAAGAAACGAGCAGAATTTTTACTTTCATGAATTTAACAAACCAAAATTCACGCTCTACAAAAAAAGGACAATTGAAATCTGCACATACCTTGGTCAAAGATAAGCTTTAGCCGCCTCGTTTTGCGTTTCTTGTCACAGAACTCTCTTTCCAAGTCGCCGAGGCCTGAGGTGTACTGCTCCCACGCTACGTCAGGGAGCTGGACGACCCGCTGAGGACACGGCAAGCCCAGATTCACCTGAGGGTCAGAGGCACCTCTGTCATTATCCATTAACAAAATGAAGAAGGGTTGATATCTCATGTTGATGTATGAGGCAGCAACAGGCGCAGAGGGACAAAAGCTGCTTTCATTCACAGCATGGCAGTGCTGCTGGGAGCCGATACCGGTTCTTTACGCTGCAGGTGAAACGGCTCTCTGCTCAAAATCATGACTGAACTGAATAATAAGGCAAAACCTGATGTCTTCTCTATTCTCTTGTAAGGTATAATAATGTTTTGATAACCTTGTAATCTTTGACTTTTAAAACCCTGCTTTGAGTCCCGTCACTGCTAAACATTATTCAGGTTAGCTCACATCACTGTCATTCCTGTAACAGGCTCGATCCACAGGGGCTCTGTAACCGATTCAGTCTCCAGATCTCACTGATAGGATGAAAAGTGAATACTGTGGAGGTCCTCAGTTATACTGAACATTACGAGGTTAACTCACATGATTCAAAACTCATCTTACTGCTTTATACTCTTGTTCTGTGTTCAAATAGATGTAAATATGAGCAGAGATCAGCTGACTGCAGTTAAAACAGAGTTATGTTGTACAAACGTGTCGGTTGTGGCATCCCTGTATTTATGTAAATGATGTTTTTGGCAGAAAATCTCCTCCTTCCTTCAACAGTGAGATGCATCACTTGTTATATCATTGCTGGTGAAAAACAATAATAATAATAATAATAATAATAATAGGCAGTTGACAGTCATTTAGCTTTACACCTACCCTCTAAGTGGAAACAAGCACAGAGACTTTCAATGTGGAAAAAAATAGTTTAGTTCTTATATGTTTTTTTTTTTACATCATAGATGTACTGTATACATCTGCAGGGTTTCTGCAGTTTTCAACAAGTTAAACTGAAAACTTTTTAAGACTTTTTAAGACCATAATAAATACAATTTAAAACCCATTTTACATCCATACTGCCAAAAAGATACCAAAGTCATGAAGGGAAATCGGAACATTTTAAACTAACCTCAAAGTAATCTTAACTGTAAGTAACATTAATACACTTTTAAGACCTCTCAAATATATATTTAAGACATTTCACAAGGTTTTAGGGGAATTTAAGATGAATTAAGGCCTGAAATTTAAATTACTGTTTTTTTGGACGTTTTAAGACTTTTTAAGACCCAGCAGAAACCCTGATCTGTTTTGCAAAAACTGACAAATTTAAATGTTATCTGAGTTTGGGCAGAGTGAGAGTCTCCAGAGGGAAAGTGAGGGAGAAAGCACAAGAGACAGAGTATTCTGCAGCTGATCACTGAACAGCATGGACAGAGAGAAGTGACAGTCTTCTAATTAAACAGTTAATTGTTGATTGACCTGAGGTCCCACATTTTCCTGTTTGTTCTGACATTATCTTTTTATTTCCCAACCTAGCCATTATTCACGTGAGTCAACTCTTTAGAGTCATATTCCTGCTAAACGTATTATTGAGACAACTGTTGAAAGACGTCTCAAGTCTCTTGGGCTGACAGGATGGACGTTGTGCACACCCTGGCCCAGATATGAACAGGTGCAGAACCAAACTTGAGTCAGACAGTGGAAAAGTCTGCACAATGAATTTTACAAGCGCCCAAATATTTATTCCAGCAACGTTGCAACCGGCAAAGTCTTCCTCAGGCAGAAAACGGAGAGCAGGAATGTGTGTGCCACTTAGAAACATGCACATTGTTTTGGCGCTTTATACATTTATGAAGCTGCGTGGTGTGAAAGGTGTGAAAGATGATCACATCTTAAAGATAAACTAAGACATCTTAAAGATACTCTTTTCATTTCATTATATTTTTTAAATAAATGCCACTTAAAAACAAACTGGGTCTTGTTTCGTTTGTGTCCGGGTCTCTGTGTTTTACCCGTTTCTGTAGCTGCTCCACAAAGCTGATGGGATCTGCGAGGGCCTCTTTCTGCTGACGCGCTAACGTCTCCAGGTCCAGGATAGCCTGCGTGCGTTGGGCTTCGAGAACTCCGATGGTCTGCAGCAGCCTCTGATAACTGACACGGAGGGAAGAGAGGTTAGACAACAGTGGGAGGGAGGGACTGCTTACATTATTTAACCTGACACTTGCAATGCTGCAGTGCATCAAACTTTTAGACCCCAGACCATGCATAATTCAGCCACGATGCTGAGAGACTAAACACTCGCACAAGACACGAACCATTTCACTGTGTTTTCCACCGATTTTGCAAAAAAAAGTGTTTACGTGTGTTTTGGTGTGCTAGAAATCTTGGCACTGACTAACAGTTATGCGCCTTGGAGCTGCTCATACCGACACAAAACACTTTTAGAGTCGCTTTTATAGCACTTCTACTGATTGGTAAAAAATTATACGGACAGAGAAGATGAGACTGAACCACTAAAAGCTTTTTCTGACCCGTAATCTCGGAGAAATCAGAGCAATGTGAAAACCTTTTGCATGACAAACACTTGGGTTTTGCAGTGCTTTAGGAGCCTCTTGCACTGCTAAAGCTTGACCTTTCCTCTCACACCCTTTGGGGCAAAAGAAGAACTGCAAACTGAGCTGTCAGTGACTAAGTGTGGCACTGACTCAAGAGGCCTTACAGTGCGAGGAGGAGAGCTGGAGAAATCGGCACGAACGTGACAGCATCCCTTCGTGGCCATAACCTGATGCAGGTGCTCAGCGAAGCAGAGAGGATCAATCTCCTCTAACAGGACATGAATGAAAATCAATGCGAGGGACACAATTTATTCAACAGCTGCTGGTGCTTTCAAATTCCTACAAGCAAAAACATTCAGATGGTGTCGACTTTGTTTAACCTCAGATCTGTCAATTAGCTACAGATATAACAGTTCTGCTTTTTGTGGAGCTCGGCTGACCTTGTGGAGTTATCAGCGAGCGCTTCGCTGCGAACTGAAATCTGTTTCTGCAGCAAGCATACTTCGGCAAATTTCCTGTACTACAGCCTGGCTCTGATTCGCATGAAGGCAATCATCAAAAGAGAAACAGCATGCATGCAGACTTCCTCTGATGAACAGATGATCTGTGCATTAATCTGTCACAGGGAAACGAGGAGGACTTGGCTCTTTTTTCCTCAGCTCTCTGAACCCCCGCCAGGTGTCTAGGGAGAGGGTTTCATTGCCACCTACGAGGCCCAAGGTCCACCGACAAACCTTGGTGCCAAAAGCAAAGCTTGCCAGAACAATACAGCATTAATGCTTGATAATCAGGGGAAAGTGGGTTGGTGTGTGGGAAGATGTGTCTATATTAGCAAATCTTTAACAAACAAACACAGGTTTTCTATTCACCTATCATTAATCATATCATTATTGAATCCTCATATACAGCAACCTTAAAATGCCTAGTCATGCTTGCCTTAAGATGACTCCACACTGTATTGATTGTAGAGTCCAAAATTTCCCCTTACTCAGCAGAATCTAAAACTTGGCATGTAAGAGAAACTTCATCGAATTACCTCGCAATACGAGAGCAGTGAGCGCTTACGCTAAAGCCACTCTCCAAATCTGAAACATCAACTAATACTGGTGTCAAAGACAAGGGGACCTCAGCCCCTCTCCACCACTCCTCTGATGAGGTTTCATCCTGAATCAGCTGATCTGCAACGGCACAGTTAATAGTGGCTGTCTGAGCCCAGCGTGGCGGCTGTCCATAGACACAAATCTTGCAGAATAACCGACGATGACAGCGGGAAGGAGACCAGACACTGAGAAACCATTTTCCTCTGAAACAGCTTCTCTTACCGAGAAAAGAGAGAACGGAGGTAATCAGCAGAGTAAATTTAACATCCAACCTCTGTGAGCTTTAGAAATCTTTGAATGGCAGCTGATTCACACAATTACAGCACCAGACCGAGGGTGGAAATAAAATGTTAGAACGTGTGAAACCTGAACAATAAGGAAGGAGCCGTACTTATGTGCTTGTTGATATTCCCATTACAAGAAAGAGGAGACTCTAAAAATAAATGTGATAATTAAACATCTATGCGTTGGCGGTGCAAAACCCGGATACACTTGGGTGCAAACATAATGCTGCTTCTCATTTGTTTATGTCGATAGAGAGAATATGAATAAACCCTTTTGGGCACAGCCAAGAGGAATTCTTCTTTTTTTTTGCACAATGTCATAAACCCACAGAGAGGAAAAGAGACATTTGAGGAGTTTCAACACAGTAAACAGGAAAAGAACAAAAAAAAAAACAAAAAAACATATTCTGTCCATTTTTGATTTCCTTCTCTCTGAGATGCTGCCTCTGACTGTTCGACCATCTAACAGGTTAGGGGGAAAAAAACAAAACACATTCTGAATCCATCTCCACAAAGTCAAGAAGGTTCTGATTGACTGAGTAAGCCTGAGTTATCAGAAATCAATACCTGCTTTCTGATCCTCATGGAGGATGTTTTAAAATGTGTCTGGGGTAATTTAAATTCATGTGGACATCTCTCTAACAGCAGTCCACTTGACCACTAAGATGCACGATGATTAAATCAATCAAACCTCTTGCTGGGATGGTCTAAATTTCATTTGAACGGTTTTATTTGACTGTAAACACTGACAACTCCTAATGCATTAATGCCGCACCAGCAAACCCTGCTTTATATTCCTGCATTGACTCGACGCTGGAGCCACTCCTCAGTGACCTTGCTGTAACATCGTCATGTGTGTTTGAGTGTCTGCATCTCTCGTCACTATCCACTGTAATGCTATACAAGCAGTACAAGAGGTGCTGTAAATGCTGCAGGACATATGAAGCCACTCAGCAGACCTGTCAGAGGGTTTTATCAACCTGGAGTTACAATTTTGAGGAAGTGCACAAAATTGTCAGGCTACATCCATTAGCTTCTGCATACAGGTGCAGGACTATGTGAACCCAAGGTGTAAATTTGACGCAGAAGTGTAAATCAGGCTTAAAGGGATATTCCTGCGTAAAATAATTCAGGGTCAAACACACCGTAACGCAGAGTTAGACACCATCTCCAGAGATTAATGTTGCCGACTGTTTGCTTCTCTAGTTATACCAACTTTAGTAACGACCGCACGATAGCAATACACAGCGGTCTGAGGAGCCAAAAACAAACCTCAACCAAAACACCACTCTATAGCCACAAATAATGCTCAGAACAGCACCTAACTTCATCAACAGGACATATAGGGTCCCAGCCATAGTACTAGCCACCAAACATCTTTTTAGCTTTGCCTGATTTCTTAAGCAAAGAGACTAAACACAACTCACCTACTCTCTTCCAGCAGCCGCTTGTTTGTAGCGAGACCTCAGGCCAGTCCATTATGGACTACAGCGGGGTGACGCAGCTCAAGGAAGAACATTTATGATCATTTCTTCATGGAAATGCAATCAGACCAAGACGCAAAATGATTAATATGATGATTATTACTTCAAGAAAATGGTAAAGAAATGATCATAAATGTTCTTCCGTTGTTACTAAAGTTGGAATAACTAGAGAAGCAAGCGGTCGGCAACATTCGTCTCTTGACGGAAGTGTCTAACTCGGTGTTACGGTGTGTTTGACCCCAACTTTATTTTACGCCAGAATATCCATATAAGTTGGAAATGCATTTGGCCTGTTAGGAATAAATCTGCTGTTTTATTCATGACAAAGTGGAGTTGGAGTTGTTCCTAAATTAGCCCAGATACAAACAAACATATTTATCTAAACCTGCGTGATGCTGAGGTTTTCTTTAGCAGGAGCTCAGCTGAAGGACTATGAGCCCCGCTGCCACTAATGTCACACATAAGAGTTTCAAACGAACAGTAATATATCAAGAGGTTGAAGTGAAACTAGATCATCTCTGATGGACCGGCACAGAGCCCTTTGACCTTTTAAGAGGGACGTTTAAAGTCATTAAATCTGAATACATGCAGTTAACTGCACACCATGGAGATGCATCACAGGCAGAGGCAGTGGGACAATGACGTCCAACGGTTGTCCACTTTTTGTCATATCACCAAAACCCTTTTAAAAGTGTTTGACCAGGTTAAGAAGGACTGGGTGTTGAAAACTAGAACAAACCTCAGTCATGTGTGAGATTTTAAAACACATTAGAGTGTCGTATCAAAATCCTGATGAGTATTTTTTGGGTTCATTCAAAAGCAAAGAGCAGAAGTAACCTGATGATGACAGGATTTAGTCAATGACATGTGTGAGAGCTGCACCAACAAAAGAAGAGGACAATCCCCAGAGAGCTCCTACATACTCTTTGTTGTGTTTAAGTGCCAGGTGGTCTGACTCAAAGTAATACACGTCGGGCTCCTCCTCTTCCTCCTCCTCCTCCTCCTCCTCTGCAGCCTGGCTCTTTGTTAGTTCCTTTCTCTTTTCTGCCTCTTTGCTGTCTACAAGCCCACCATCTTCATCGCCCGCCTTGTACCCAGGATCCTCAGAGACCAGCTCCTCAGTGGAGAGGCCGACAGAGTCAGAGGGAGCGGGTTCTTCTACCATGGGGCAGTCCTCCTCCAACCCAACCACCACCTCCCCCTCTTCCCTCAAGGGACCATTGTCTCTGGGAGGAGAGCTGAGCTTAGAGGAGGAGGCCTTGCCACCAGTGGCTGCCCTCCTGGGTGAAGTCCGCAGGGTATATCTGTGTTCATAGAGCTCAGAGAAAGAGGGAGGCGTGCTGGATATTAAGGGGTTGCACCCTTGCTCTGTGGGGGAGGGGGTTGTTGCTAATGGGGGTGTAGTTTCTCCTGAGTTGCTGTTAATGTTGTTGTTGATTGGACTACTGTTCGTGTTGGTGGTGGTGGTGGAGGTGGAGGTGGAGGCAGCAGCAGCATCCTGCACCGGTGTGAGCGACCGGCCGTTTGTATTGTTGTCAGTCTCCGTCACCTGCTCCTCGTGGGCCAGGCATAACGTGTCCCCCACCACGTCCACCTCCATCTCCTCCACCTCCTGCTCTTTAGCCACTATCAAGTCAGGAACAGGGTCCTCTGAAACAGCTTCTAATGTGGGCACAGATGAGACTGGCGATTCCCCTGAGCCAGAGACCTCCATCTGCACAGGGACAGAGTTTCTACAAGGCACAGCGGGGTCAGGGGATGAGGGAGCCCCCGTCTGACTGCCGTTGAGCAGCGACGGGCAGTTGGTAGCAGAGGGCGGAGTCGCACTTTGCTCTTCAGTGAGTGTGCAAGATTCCTCTGTTTTATTGTCTTTGAGTCCATTCGAGGCCTTGTGGGCGTTTGGGGGCTGAGCTGCCCGAGCGGCCCCGTCACACTCCACATGGCCATCCTCTGCCGCCGCGCCCCCTGTCAGCTCACCTTCCTCTTTACTGAGGACGGGTGAGGCAGGAGAAGTGTTAGCAGAGTTTTGGCTGGGAAATTCTTCACAACTGTTGTCTTTGCAGGGCTCGAGGACAGAAAGCGGACTTTCAGATTTCAGAAGCTCAGAGTCCTCGTCGTGTCCCTGAGAATCTCCGGAGCGGGAGCACCGCTTGGCCCTTTTGATTTGAGGACAGACATCGCGCGCCCCCTTCCCTCTATCACAGTTCTCAGGACTAATGTCTTTTTCTAAGCAGGACACATTACGCTTCCTTGAGCTGGTCAGTTGCTCCGCTTCAGCAGAAGAAGCGTTCAAGTCAGTTAACTTCCCCTGCAGCGAGGCCTGCTGTTCCCCATCCTGCTGAGGGTCTGGCTTTGTGTCCTGTGTGTTGTCTTGCTTTGACTCCTGTTTGACTTCTTGTTTGGTGTCCTGTTTGGACTCCTGCTTGCCCTCTGCTTTCGAGTCCTGCTTGGCGTCCTGCTTCGACTCCTGCCGCTCGGGGTCCTGCTTCGACTCCTCCCTAACCTCTTGTTTGGTGTCCTGTTTAGACTCCTGCTGCCGGGTGTCCTGCTTAGACTCCTGCCTAACCTCTTGTTTGGTGTCCTGCTTCGATTCCTGCTGCCTAGTGTCCTGCTTCGACTCCTGCTGCCTAGCGTCCTGCTTCGACTCCTGCAGCCTAGCGTCCTGCTTCGACTCCTGCTGTTTGGCGTCCTGTTTCGAATCCTGCTTCGACTCCTGCTGCTTGGCGTCCTGCTTCTTCTTAGGCGAGCGGGCCCTCGGTAGCGGAGACACGGAGGTCTCTTCCGGCTGGGCGATGCTGCGGTTCCTGAGGGTTCGACCACAAAAGTTCTCATCCAATCCATTGAGCCCCACTGACGACCTTGTGACACGCGAGGATCGGGACGCGGCCATACTATGGCGAGTGCCTACAGTCTCCTCATCCTGGTGCTCTCTCCTTTGCAGCAGAATCTGGGCACCTACAAACACACAAACACAGGCAGATACGAGCGCTTCATTAAGGTGAAATAACTACTGAAAAGTGCAAACCTTTACAGCTCCATGATTACACCGTGGCGTTACCTTTGGCACAACCTCTGCAGCAGCTTTAAGTTTGATTGGATTCAACTGCCAGCATAGCTCAAATTTTAAAGCGTGAACGGCACCCCGGGGTGTTTAAAACAAAGCGTTCATAAAATGGCCTTTCTTAACTACGGCTCAGATCATTTCTCAGCTCACACAAGAGGTATTGATTTTCCATGTCATTGTAACTAAGCAACACCTTCTGTCCACAGGCAAAACTAGGAGTCTCATTGAATGTATACAAAGATGGAAGTAGTGCTGGGAAATAGAGCCTAGAATCAATATCACCAATGACTGCACATTTGACCTCAATTTTAATGACGGCCGACTATTTTGTTTTCGGTCCTTTATCAATCGCAGACAGGGTTTGTATTTAAAAGAGCACATATCTTCATGATTTCCAGAAAAACACAGAGGAAACACTCTGATGAAGTGTTTATCGGGGGTGTGATTTAAATCAGACCAAAAGCAGGAAACCTCCACTCCCTTAGTGCACACACAGACACACACAGACACACACAAATGCAACATTACACAGCTATTAAGTGACATTTAGCATACAATCCACCGTCCGTACAAGGACATACACAGGGATATGTTACCTGGCTGCAGGGTGCTGGTGCTAAATAATCTTATCCACAAATTTCCCACTGTTAATTGTAAGCTTCATATACAACCATGATTATGTCCTGTTGTGCAGTGGAGTGAAATCTATATCAGGTAAGGCTCTTATAGATTTCTATTGTGTGCTGAAAAAATGGAAAGAAGGCAGAAGTGGATCACAGCCATTTAGCCGTTTTAAGAGCCCTAATGATTCCTTCATGTACTTGTTCCCTTAATCTAGCTGCTCTTATGTCATCTGCTTCAGTCACACAGGATTTTTCACACATCAAAAACATAAACTAACAACATCACCCTCAAGAAAAAAACAACCAAGGCAAGGTGTCGACAGTAAGAGGTAGGGATGGGTGTGTTTGGTCAACCCTCAGTCAATATTATCATCCTCACTCACAGCAGGATTACTCGTCGGATAAATAAAGTCAAACATTTGTTATCACTAGGGGCCTGAAATTTCACTCAGCTGTTGCATCTAAGCTGGAGCACAGCCACGACTCTAATGCTGTGATGCTCTACTCAGATGTAGCATGGCATGTGTTAGCTCACTGTACTGTTATCTAGAAAATAGAGATCAAATCATATTAACCTGCATGGTGTGCCTAAGGCTGGCAGTACTATCAAGGGCTGGGCGATAAACCAAAAAATTTACTGATATAGAAATTTATGACAAAACCAAATATTTGGTGTCAAAAAAATAAATAAGAGTTGGTTTTGGATGTGTGTCAGTCAGCTATGGTCTCATGTCCCTTTAAGACGCTGTCCTACGTCAGAGACGTGACTCCGCCCCATCCAGTCCGTAACAAAGAGGGAAAGACAGGTGAGGAGATGGAGGATGGTTCAAAAGTTGTAGCAGCTGAAGTAGACGAAGTTAGTGTGGGAGGGGGTGAGCAGCTTGTGAAGTAGTTATTGCCTATTTATCGTTATTGAGGTGAACTGATCAATATATCATGATATTGATTTAAGGCCGTATAACCCAGCTCTAGTACTAGCTCTGCTAGCTTTGGCCACACTCAGCTAACCTTTAAGCATCATTAACCCGCAGAATCTGTGATCTCATTTTTATCCATGTTGAATAACTTCGCTCACTTTTGACTGTTTTCTTGCCTCAACATTCGTCATAATTAAATTCCCCTCAGAAATGAGTTGCTTTGTAACATCCCTCGTTAGTAGTTCTGGATGAGGGTTTTGATTGAGTTTTAATTAACCGCCTAGCCCCAGGTGGGAGATCTTAAACTGTTAGAAAATAATGAATGAGGTAAAATCATCCATTTCTTATTTATCATTCATCAAACAGCCTCTTTTTTTCTAATGCTTCGTGAATGTCACAGCTTTGAGGCTCATCTGTATTTGCTTTGTAACTCGAGGGATAAAAGTCACTACGAGCATTTTAAGCGATGTAAAGCCCCCTAATGTGTCAGGCATTTGACATACAAAAGGGTAAACTACCTGCGGTAAAGGCAAAATTAAATCAAATGGATAAGCCATCACACAGACTGGGTGTTTATGCTTCAATGAAAGCCGGTTTATTTCTTCCCTGCAGAGATTACTGCTTATTGTGTCTCACAAAGAATAAATATGTCGACACTGGTTGACTGATTTCTGACACAGATGCTACCACTGTAATTCACACACCCAATTCAGCAGAGATAACACTGCAAACAGAGGTTTCTCATCGCACACTGCAGAATGTTTATCTCTTTGTAACAGGTGTGCCGGAGCAACAACAGACTGCAACTTATCAGAATGTACAAAAAAATGAAATTCTCCACCAACAAGAGGAATCCTACACGAGGCTTACAGGCTCAGAGCCAGGCCAACCATAGGGGTTTAGGACAAGACGATTCACTTCCTGACACAATTTAAGACACAACAAAACAAAAAAACCCTCCCCAAAACTGCTCCGAGCAAACACCGCAGATGAAGTACATCATTGTGCGTCTGAACAGAAATCCAGGCTTACAGTGTGAAATGAAAATTAACACAAGCAAAATGATACCAGGGGCTGCTTAAGATATATAAGTTACTCTTTACTTAGAAATGTGATTTCACGGATGCACCAACATCCCACTGTAATCTAGGTCAGAAGATTTATTAACATTACTCAAACATATCTCACTAACAGTGAGGTTACTTAAGCAAACACAACTTCGTTTGCAGAGTGGAGAGCTTGAAAAAAGGCAGATGCAGCAACTCTGTTTTGGAAAGAAGCACTGCAAAAAAAAACACAAACACGATTCCTTCAAGAACAATCTAACAACTCCTTTGACAGAGCAGGTCATTTAAAACTAATCACAATCAAGTTTGAATCGAGGTTTAAAGGATTAAGAAATGAAGTTTTCCGTCTGCTTGTAAACATGCAGCAGAAGTATGTTGGCAGAAATTTTGAGATTACACTGCAGGGATAAAAAGAGATTTCTGTCCTGGTAAGAATACACACATTCATTCCCTAATTCCAGGGGAAAAAAAATTCCCGACCAGGCCACACACACACACAGAAGTTGCCATTGAAGTCTCCTCTAGCTCAGAGCTTCACATAATAAATCTAAGAGAGCACAATAAAAACGAGACGCGGTAAAGGTTATATTAAAGTAACATTCAAGGGGAAACATTCCCACATGGCGTCCTTTCGCAGAGGATGAGCCGCAGTCAAAGACTCCCCTTGTAAAGGAATGAAATTATTGCATCAATTAGCGTTGTGGTCATGCTCATTTACATTAATTGCAAGTACATCAATCTGTAGGCCGACCCCTGTCAAAACTGATTTGAAAGCTCCTTGATGCCTTGCTTGGGACAACCTCTCTCCTGTCCTACATTGTGCTAACACAGCAACAACAAAGCCAGAGGCTACCCTGGCTACAAATACATTTTGATAATTTTTCTTCAGGGGGAGGGGGGCAACATACTAGTCACCTGGAACAGGCAGTACCACATGCACATATTACTCACACTCCTCTGAAGACTCCAACTGAGAAAGCTAATGTGATTTGTCCAAGCAGAAAATAAGCGAAAGAAAAGAAGGCAGCAGGAGGAAGACAGGTTATTCAGACAGAGCACTCACCCTTACCCTCGAATCAACAAAACTAATTAAGCCTGCTCATAGGAGATGCCCTCAAAAAGAAGAAAACTAATCACCTCTACCAAATGATAAAACCGACGGTTTTTCAGCAGAGTCACTATCTGGAAACTTCGCTCACTCTTCAGTGTCCCAATAATTAACACATTGTAGGCAAAGCTGGTAAGGTAATTAAAAAACAAAGTCTGGGACCGTCTTCGGGTGCCTCACAATTTAAGACGTGAACCCATTAAATGCTACAACCAAATTGGGTTTGCACTGAGAGTCTGGCTACCTTGGTTTTGTTTGGGCTTGTGAATCTAATGAAAAACATGCCTGAAGGTGGTGAAAAGACTGGAGAGTTGTAAAAGTGGCACACGTGTGGTTAAGGACGGGTAACCAGTGAGATAGATCTCTTGTGTTCCAGTCAACGTTGCTGCCAGGTATGCTGCAAGAACTTCCAATAACATCTAAAATGATGGTTATCTGCTCAGCTGGTGAGCATAACAGGTTATAACAAATCTCATAAAGCCACAACCGTTTTAATTAAGTTTACACATTATTACATTTGGATTTTAATTTCCAAACTCCCATTCCTCACCTTTAAAAAAAAGACTTTCATGGAGAAAAACAGCAAGTCAGCATATTCAAATAAATTCCCATTTCACCAACGTATACACTCCATCTTCCCCGCCATCTAAATCCATGCATTTTATGTTACTTTGCCACTTTGAATGCTTGTAGTACGAATGCAAATGCTGTCTCTGTTATTATTCTTATCTCACTTATCTCTTCCTGTTGACGTTATATTTTGCACCTCCAGCCCAACACCAGTTTGCTACAGCCTTGTAGAAAACCGCCAAAGATAGGTGATGTTGCAATTACGTTATGACTTTTCTTCCTCTTTTCTCTCTTCCTATCATATAACACTGCACCCAACAACACACAACAGAGCCCTGGCAGTGTTTCAAGTTAAAAATCTGATACAAACAACAACTCCGTGGTCGAGCTGGTAAATCGTAAATCATGTCAGCGTCCGGGTCATAATGTCTGAGGAGGGGTCAAAAACAGGCATTGCTTTGCTTTATGGGGTCAGATGCCAAAGAGGTTGAAGGAACTGCTTTAGATCACAAATAAGCATTTGATAAATGTCCATGCTCTACTGCTGGTGAGTTTATGGCTGTAGTGCTGCTGCTGGTTTATGTTTCTGTCTGTATGTTGATCATCCATGTATACATATAACCCAGTGGTGGACAGTGGCAAACTACATTTGAGTACTGCACGTTTCTTTAGTATGTATACTTTACCTGGGTATTATTATTGGAGAAAACTATTGCTACCCTGGATTTGAAAGAAGAATACTGTACTTCTGACAATGACACATTTTAAAACTGTTCCCATTACTCTCTACTTTTGCTCTGACATAAGCTGATGGTTTTTATTTTTTAAGATCCAATCCAAAAGACATAAACCATGTTGATGTGGTTTGTCAAAATGCGTACATTTACGTGTCGTCGTGGTTGAACGTAAAGAGCGAGTTTCACTCAGATCACGCAGGTTATTTTGTGTTGGCAACGGCGGACCATTCTCCACCCGAGTACCTATAGTCTATCTTCAGCCTAGGGTTGAGAATTCCTATAAGACAGCCAACAAAATATTCCTGCTGAATCCGAGAAAGCGTGTCAACATATGCTGTTACAAATTTGGTTTATTCCATATGAACATTTTCAGCACAGTTGTCTTGTTTATAGCAACTTACTCGCTGTTTTACTTCTATGTTTGGCTGTTCCTTTTATTATGGAGCTGCAAACCTTGAGTTTGTGATTTTAAAAAGAGTAAATAATGTTCTCTAAAGGAACACAGCGGAATGTAAACCTGCGTATTCTTGACTGCACTCAGTCATACATTGTGCAGATTATATACTGAAGCACTTCTTATACTATACTTTTACTTAAGTAGCAATTTGACCAAGCAACTGTTACTTGTTTTGGAGTAACATTTGTCAAGGCTCTGCAGATAACACCTACTAGTCATAACATTAGGAACACTTTAGCAATCTGATGTAATCCAATATAACAGCACTACAAATTCTACTTTTAGGACGCTCGCAGATTTTCTGTTTTGACAGGTGATTATTGTACTTTCTACACACTATCGAAGAGCTAGATGATGAGACTTGTGTACTAATGTGTGCTGGGAACATCTTTCAATATAATACACTGCAGTACACCATCAGCTTCCACCACAACTTTAACAGCAGTTATCGCCTGTCTGACCACATAAACAAAAGCAGAAAATGTATAGTATGGGTGTTGTATTGGACTGCATTTGGTCACCCATGTGTTCATAATATTATGGTTGGTGGGTGTAACTCAAGTCATATGAAAGACAATAAAAGGATGTATTCTCAAGGACCATCTCCACAGGCACCAATAACCCAAAAGGCAATTCTCACCACGTTTAAGCAGAAGGGTTTTTTCATTTCGTTACAGCCACACTGTATTTCCTGTCATGTACAGCCACCGATCCTGACATGTCTGTGGAATAACTATTTACCCTTCCTGGGAACAGCTTCATCATCAATTTCGGAAGCGTGGATGCCAGAATATGTCAGTGGAGCGACACGGACAGCACCCATGTGTCACTGTTTTCTCAATCAAACCACTTCCTGTTCTTTTACTAAAGCGCGTGTTTGGTTGGCAAGTAGTGTTAACACGTGCTGATTACATTACACTTATAATGACAAACACACGGTTCATTTACAATAATAACTGTATATAGATAACAAATATGCAATGCCAAGAACTCACAGGTTTAACGTGAGGGTGAGTGTTGGAAGGCAGCTGAGCTAAAGTCCGTGACAAAGTTTGGTCAGAGAATCGAGTTAAATGAGGAGTACAGCAGCTCTGTGCAGTTAAACCGCCGTGTCCTGACCTGTAGTTCAACACTTCCACAAGGGCCTGCTGGCAGCAAAAAATCCACGGAGTGTGTGTTAGTATACATACCGATGAGAATCGCTCAAATCCCAACATCCCCAGTTTTACCAGCCGCCTTCAAGCTCAACATGGACAAAGTTGAAGATGCTGTAAAACCCGCTGCAAGTGCACGTGCCGCCGGCTAAGTTAACTCTAGTTTTTTTTAGCAGCAGGTGAACTTAGAAGTTTAAGGATTTAAAACTCCCGAACACACATTCAGACTCTAACACCCAGCTGGTTTTACGAGCTAAATGTTAGCACGAACCAACTTCCCAAGCAGACGTTACTTGACCTAGCTGGCCGTTAAAGCGGGCTAACCTTAGCAAACTAACTTACCGTTAGCTCTCATGGCTGTGTCTGTATATGAAGCATTAACGCTTAAGGCACCAAACTGCAGACTGTTGCGCCCGTGATATCCGAGCATTACCCCGGACACTAAATGAACAACAACAACAAACGCTCCAATCTAACCAAAGCCAGCTCCCCCTGTTTCCATGAGAGCGACTAGTTAGCCAAGTTGGCTAGTGTTACCTTGCTTAGTTGTTCTCGGCTAGTTTTCCTGTTAACTGCATGGTGCGGAAAAGAACCGAGGCGATATCAGCCGGAGCACCCCCCTTTATAACGTTAGCTAGCTAAATGAGCATAACAACTCATTACTCATATAGTTAGGTGAAAACTAACGCTACCTTTCGCCGAGGTTTGCATTACAATAGTAGCATGGTTAGCAGCCGAACGGTACAACGGTTGGTTGCTAGTTAGCAGCTACAGCTAGCTGCAGCAGCCGAGCTAGCTGATTGTTCCGCGCATAACTTTGTGTACTTCCATTAATGCCGGCTGTAGGCATTCCTAATGGGCTAATAGACTCAGTATTTTTCATTTGCTGTACTACAAGCAGTGAGCTGAACGTATACTTCTAAATAGCGTTTGTAGCTCGAGAATTACACATACCTCACTTCCGTAAATTTGCTGCACGCTCGGCCGCAGCCATGTTTTCAATCCAGTCAACTAGTCGGGGTGTGTGAGCCGATTCAACCGCGCTGGTGAAAATTCAACACTATACTGTACATTCATGAGTCTGCGAAGATTACAATTAATAACAAACTCTGAAAGCCCTCTCAGATAAATAAATTACTTTAAGTCACGGCTTTTAAAAGCAGAAAATAACACCATATTTGATTTTTTTCGGTTCTAGTTTACTTTAGCAAATCAACACTTGCACATCTCGCAAACAGAGATTGAATCAATGTGAAGACAGTGTTTAACATGTTATCAAGTTTTAATAGTGTCAGCCAGCAAAAGTCAGGATGGATCTTTCTCAATGACATCCATATGCAGAAACTTACAGTACAGCAGCAGTCTGTTTCCATTGTAAGCAACACCATGCCCATACACAAAAATAATGCCTTTAATTCATTAGATTGCTGATGCTGCTGATACATATTGCAATATGCTTTCTTTAGCTGTACATTTTAGTGAAGATCCACATCGTGATTTCTCGTGCACATTTTATGAGCAGCTTTGCATTTACATGCAAGTTACATGTGATGTTAAACTGGGATTGAGTGTTAAAGCATGCATTCTTAACATACTCTGCCTGCCACATATCGTCTACAAAAAAAAAATCTATCAACATCAAATTTTATCAATCCCTTCTGTGATAAATATCCAAGTGCTGAATCTTGACCAACATACTATCAGAACTGGTACATTCAAATACAAACCAGACATCTGCGTGAGCATGCCAAGTTGTATTTCTACAGAACAGTGCAAAACAAGAAAATCATTCCTGAGACTACTCAGCAATTAGTCCCTTCATTACCTTGTAATTTCGATCACATTTTTCTCTCCCTACCGATCATTGGACAATATTCTCAAACAACAGAAAAAATGTGTGATATATATCTACAGCAAGATGTATTTGATTCTTCAAATATCAGCAACACATGACACATGGACATACAGTATGTGCTCATTTTGGTCAAGAAAGAATGGCATTCAGTGGAATATTTAGCTGCATATAATTTAAATGCTTGGTTCTTAAAACAACCTGACACATGAACACTACAGTGCTAATAGAAATTTAAGAGCTCTTTATACAGATTTGTACAACATGACAACCCTTTTTCAGACATGTTCATTCCCTCTGTCAGGTGTCAAAGGCTGCCTTGTAGCTGTAAAGATGAGGTCCTTTGCTTGAATGCTTTTCAAATAAAAAGTCAAGTGCAAAATAAAAGGCTTTTCATTTCTTTAACGTTTCCGTTTTTGTTTTGTTTTTTTCTTCTGCAGAGTGCTTTGCTAAACAGAGCGAGTCTCCATTTCAATCTTCTCCTCCGACTGCGACGAGTCTGCTTCTTGGTGGCTGCTGACGCTTGGTCGGACAGTCACGAGTGGCCCGCCACCGTAGATGGAGTGGAGGAAGTTCCATGTTTCTTCGGAGATCTGTCCCGAATCAGCTCCTGCAGGTAAGCGCAAACATACACATTAGATACCGCTAATATCTGCAGGGTTCACAACACTGCAATCAAAGGAGGTGCTGCAGGAGCTGTACCAACAAAAGTGACATTTTCTTTGTGGTTTTTTTTTTACCTGTGCTCTGATACAGATTGAAAAAAAGAGATGTCATATTTTATACAGCAGTAATAACAGTAATAGTCAGTACCTTGTTTGAGTGTTAAATGGCCGTTCTTGTTTATGGTAATCTTGGAATTATCAATGGGTCCCGGAGGATCTAAAAGAGGAAGAAACACAATTAGTTGTTGTAATTACACACGGCGCGCACAGTAATGTGCTTGGAGACATTTTCCCAATCCTAATTGTTTCAAAGAACAATGGTGTCAAAATGTCAAATGTTTCCGTCACGCTATGAAAAGCAATTTCTGCTCCCTGCCTGCAACACAGTGAAAACAAATATTAGAGGAGCAGAAGTCGGAGAGAAAGAGACTTTTGCGGCCGTGCCAGATGTAAGCTGGTATAAATAGATATGACAATACAAAGCACGGCAAGCAAATAAAAAATGAGAGCGGGAGCAAGGAACTGAAATATTTTTTGACACTTCATTTTGCTGCAGCAGGAGGGAGACTTGACTCTGGGGACTAAAGCAAACTCTTTGAAGATAAATCAGAGGAAGGAACGGGACTTCCACTGTTTCTTTTGAGTCTGAGCAGCTTTTTGGAACAAGAGAATCTGGATTTTCTAAATAAAACTTTTATTTGCCGTCCACTCCTTTTTATAGAATCTATAAATTTGATATTCTCCTTTTGTTTTAACGTGGAAAAAAAGGCAGGTCACTTTAAGCAGATATGATAATCAACTGTCAAGGGGGAACATTTTGCCTTTAAATCAGACATTTAAACAAGAATGGGGGTGGAAAGGCAAGACTTCTGCCCAATTACCATTGTCTTTTCCTTTGACAAAGCCCTCCCACTCACGAAACCACTGCATGCTGATGCAGTATATGACCACTGGAGACTCCTCCTCCTGGAACGCCTTGTTCAGCTACAGAGCAGAAGGAGAAAGAGGGGGTGAGAGAGGAAATGGGGGAGGAGTGAGCAGTAGAGACAAGAGGGAGGAGGAAAGGACGCACAGGGATGGGGAGGAGAAACACAGGGTGGAGGGTGGAGGGGGGGCAAAAAAAATAATTAAGTGAGGATGAAAGGAGTGAGAGGAGAGGAGATGGAAAACCTAATCAATTCTCTCTGGTGGTTATTCAAATTTGAAGACAGTCTCAACATCACACTGCAGTAATTTCATCTTTCTTGGAAATGACACAATCTTGTTCATCTTGTTAGCTAACCTCTTTCTTTCACACACACATATACACACACATACACACACACACAAAGCCATCTCTCTGTCCTTTAAAAAGCTTCTGTGTGAGTGGGCAGACTGAGCAGACAATAACAGCTGCATCTGTCCCAATGCATTAATGATAAGGCTTTCATCAGACTCACACCTCTCATCTCCTGCCGGGGCGAGGAGCACCAACACATGCAGCCTATCAACTGGTTCAATAGGCAGGAGAATAGACCTGGACACACACCCATCAACACAGACAGCTACACTGAGGCTCACTCACTCACACACAATGCATTACTAACACTTGAGCTGATTTCAACTGTGCCTGGCTGAGGCTCTTTCTCTTTCAGCGGGAACATGTGGTGTAAAAGCCTCACCCTGACAAACATGTCCAGCTCGGACTTTCGCCGCTTCTCCAGTTTTTCGATCTCGATCTGGCACGTGTGGCAAACGTACAGGTGGTTGACAGCTGGTCCCCCTCCGTACCTGCGGGGGAGCACATCATGGATGAAATGAACTTCACAAAGGATGCTGCACTCTGAATATTTGAGTCTTTCCTTCCACACTGTGTCCCAAGCAGCTCGTCTGCAGCTCGTACGCACCTGCTGTAGAGGTGATCCCACACGTTCTGTGGCAGCATCACCACCAGGTCATCAATGAATGTGGCTTTGTTTGGCGGCACACCTAATGAAACAAACAGATTTAATCATCCGACATAAACGGGGTTACATTTTAGAGGTGAAGCCAAATTTTATAATGTTAAATAAGCCAACAGTGTTTTTCTTAATGTTACTTTTACATCTAATATTCACAATATTTACAAAGATACTTTAAAGAAGTCAAAATATACCCCTAAAAATATCAATATTTTTATTCCTTTAACAGTTTCACCCCTTTAAAAACTCTTCTAATGAATCAATTCAAGACGGAAATGATCTCTTTTGAATCCGTACTAAAGCCAGATTTTCAGACCTATTAGGACCTTTGAAAAACCTCAAACAAAAACAAACACATCACTTTTGCACAGAAGCTAATCATACTTGAGGATTTTCATCATCCTCCTTAAACTTTCATTTCCCCTTCTTTATTTCCTCACTTCAGTCTGTGGTTTATAAATGAAGACACGACATGCTGACGTGACTTGTTTTGTAAACAAGTGAATCCAGAAGAAAGATCAACGGAAAATCAGAGGACACTGACTCGACAGTATACAGTAGATTTCATTAAGTATTCAGAGTAAAAATTAAGACCTCTTACAAGTAAAAAATAAAAAGATACTCTAATTTAAAAAAGATTATCAAGATGATCCACATGAACCCTGAAGAGATCAAGTGTCAGAACAGCTGGGTTGTTTTAGTCTTTGTCTTTTTATGGCTTTAGAGGACAAAAAGCTGCTTTGGTGCCTTTTAAGAATGATCTTCTGTCAAAAACATCCGTTACTACAAATTCTTTTGCGCATAACAACCCCATTTTTCATCTTCAATATGTCACGAGGCCACTCACTAAATACAAACATGGACATCAACTGTAAATATGATGTAAACCCTGAAATCAGAGTTAGCATGTTCAAACAGTGAGGTTTACATTTCTCCTGACTAACTTTAGATGTGATGAGAAAAATGAAAAGAAACAGATTTCTTAAGAACATTGTGAAAGTAGGATAACTGCAACATGGCTCCTCTGCACTGATATTATCTCCAAGCCTGTGATTATGTGTCGGATCACAAAGGAGGAGGTAACAACCTGTGCGTATGATTCACTAAATGAGGCTCATTTTCCTCCGCCTTTATCGTTTATTTTCATACTTATATCTAAAGTCCGTAATTCCTGCTCTCTCCGAACAGAGGTCTGAAAAGGAAAGAGAACTTGATTGGCAGAAAACCCTCTCAGAAACCCTCCCCTCTTCTCCACTAAAATGAGAAAGCAGGATCATCTGCACAAAGAGAAGCAAAACCCCCCTTTGAAGTCTGCTGTGTTGTGAAGGGAATACTCTGCTTTGTCAGACCCGAAAAATCCACAGCAAAGATGAAAGCAGGAGCTGAGTTAAGAGACGGTGGAGCACAATTTTTCCGCTAAATGCTTGTGCACGGAGCAAGTAAAAGGGATTGCTGCCGAGGGAAACTTTGACCTCAGAGTTTTTTTTTAGTATGATGACGATTTAGTCTTACGCACCTCCATGCGAACACAGGAAGTCGTCGTTGGAAATGGGGCCCGGTTCAGCAAAGGTCTTGAACTTGTTAAGCCACTGGCGGGAGATGTAGAACTGCAGGAGGCTGGGCTCCATCATGTTGAATAAACCTGACACCCTCCTCCGTTCTTTCAGTGCGTCCTCGTTGCTCTTCCTGTAACAGGAACAGAGAGCAGAGATTAATCATGAGTGAGAGTGAATCAGAAAAGCCAGTTTGTAAACTGAATCAAAAGGTTTTTGTTTTGCGACTGTCTTACTTATAGAAGAGCACATAAGCCTCAGCGTTCTGGACGCAGGATTCAGACACCTCCGTCACACTCTGGTCATCAAATTCATACCACAGATTGTTGACATCATTCCTGCAGTAGGCTATGTAGTGACCACCTGGGGATCAGACGGGGAGAAGCGTTAGAGCTGCAGTCGTAAACCTAACAAGTACATGTGAGATATTTCTGCGGGCTCTAATGAATGCAGGACACTCAGTCTGAGCACAAAGAGGAGTGACTCTTCCCACTCACTGCTGGCAGTGCCGTGGTGACAGATGACTGACAGCAGGTCATAGTTGGAAGTCTGAGCGGAGCTGTCTTTGGCCAGAAAAGGCTGCAGGTCCAGGCCCTCGAGCGGGAATGAGACGTGGGTGCTTATTTTGGTGGAGAACATCAGTTCGTGCCTGAAGCGCTTCAAGTGAATACACAGGATCTGGAGCAGAGCAGTTCACACAGAAGTACAAGTTTTATTTTGGAAATGCGGTCCATGAGGCATTAGGGGAAAGGATTTTGGTTTATTCATGACATGAATCATGAGAGTTGTCGATTTACCTCTGGCAAACTTTGCATTTTACAAAACTTGACTCCGTTTCGTAACCTAAAAGGAAGAAGACAATCAGCACGGTTCTGAACAGGTATGAATGAAAAATGAATGAGTCCAGCTCAGTTTTCAGTCACTCACTTCTTGCATTTTTCACAGCTGTACATGTTGTCTCCTAGGAAACAAACAAACAGTTATTGAGCCATCAACCTTGATGTTTGTGCTGTTTAGCAGATAAGCGCCCACTGCTCACCCTTTAGTTCATCTCTGGCGAAGAAAGCTGCGAGGCAGTCTTGTAGCGTAACCACCGGACCCCAGAACCAACTGAGAACACAAACAGATAAACAAAGCTAAGTAAAGAGCCAGGAAGAGAGATGAATATCAACGACTGCGCTGCACACACCATCAAACTCACCTCTTGATGTATTCCATGACGAAAGCGATCCATCCCTGCGGTGCGTAGGCTTCCCCACAGGAGCCGGCTTTAACCAGGGAGGTCTGGTGGGTGGAGGAGTGCAGCTTGGCCAGGTCTTCTTTTCCTGGGATGGGCAGCGAAATATCCTGGAAGTTCTCCAGCGTCACAGACACCTGACAGCAACAGAACATGCAGACTATGAAGCCCCACTTCAGTTTTGTCTTTTGTTTTTACACGGTTCTGATACCAACTGATTCCTTCTTATTCCAAAACCAGCCAATAACCATTCGTTTTAATCCAACCACAATAAAATACTCCATTAGAGCTGCATTTCAATTATTCCTGTTTCTGCTGTCAAAAGTTAGGAAAGAAACCAAACTAACCAATCCATATCATCCCGCTTTTTAGGGACTCTTCTGTTGGTTTACTGAGGGAGGAGCTAGGCACACTGTAATCTACTGACCACACCCATATATATCTTTCCTGATGTTATTTGGTTAGTGCTTTCAGGACAGGCGCTAAACATGTGAAGGGGTTTAGTCTTATCGGGAAAATGGCTGCATGAGAGGGACAAAAGGATGGATGCAACAATTAGAAATAGACTCTTAATATGGGCGATACATTAAAAATTTACCAATACCGAAATTTACGACAATAACCAACGTCATTTTGCCCATCACGGTATATTTGGTGTCAATAAATGAATAAATAAAAGTTGGTTTTGGATGTGTGTAGGTAGGCTTTGGTCTCATGTCCCTTTAAGACGCTGTCCTACATCAGAGACGTGACTCCACCCATCCAGTCCGTAACAAAGAGGGACAGACAGGTGAGGAGATGGAGGACGGTTCAAAAGTTGTAGCGGCTGAAGTAGACGAAGTTAATGTGGAAGGAGGTGAGCAGCTTGTGGAGTAGTGATCGTCCATTTATTGTTATCGAGGTGAACTGCTCTTTTATTGTGATACTGATTTGAGGCCGTATCAATCAGCTCTAGTTTATTGTCTCACACAGCTCACCTGCAGCCAGTGTGATGTACTGCAACTATTTCCTGCACGAGTTTACTACTGGCTTGAATTAAGCACCATGCAAGTTATTCCAAATAATTATCCTGGGCATAACTTTGCATGAAAACAAGGACTGCACAAAGAGAGCTTTAGCTTTGAATCTGTAAGTACTACAGTGCAGAATTCGTCACGCTTGCGACATGAATACAGCTGATACGGAGCCAATACAGCCCTCAGCTTATCATCTTTTCTGTGTGCTTTGGCCGTGATCCACAGCTTGTGGAAAAAACACGAAGATGCGCCGCTCACACCAGCGCTCTGATTGGTCTAATCTGTTAAAGTGCGAGCCAAAATGAGCCGTTCCAGAAGCGTCATGCAGCCAACACAGTTCCTGTGAAGCACCAGGGTACAGTCTGCTGTGGAAACGCAAGCAGGGTCAGGGTTGACCATACCAAACTGTATCAAACTGAGCTGAACTGAACTGGGCTGATCGGTGGAAACAGCCCATTAAAGTCTCATTTACTTGCAGCCATCCTGACTCCATTTGACACCAGCTTTTTATGCTGTCCAGCACACACAGAGCTCTATGTGTGCTTTACTCATAAAACCACAATAATATCGTCTGTGTTATCCGTAAGTGCCAAATTTTATATCAGTCCTTTTTCAGCTCCTCTCAACCTCTCAGAAGCAGAAAAAGCGTGTCTGTCCACACTAACCCGATCACAGGTGAGGCACTGCACCGAGCTGACAATGGTCCCATCAAACACATCTGAGATGACACTGCGGTACTTCTTCTGACGCTTGTTCTTTGGTGGGGAGAAAGTGGTGACTGCTGCGGGAGGGCAAAGAGAGAAATGTGAGAAAATTGCTTTTCAGTCTGTCAACAGACGCAGACTCAGGGTGAAACCGCCCCTCGTTTGATCCCAGACTTTTAAGAGCTTTGAATTTGGACTGCCTGTTATTGTGCTGAAGTTCTAACTATTTCTGTTTAATGATTTTCACAATAACTAACACAGAGAGTTTGAAAAGTACCTTTCTTGTGTGCTGGGTTGAGACTGGGCCAGCCTGAGGAAGCTTTGGGCGGGCTGCTGGACAGTTTGGGAATGTGTCCCTCCATCGGGACCGGACTCTGTGGTCTTGTGTTGGACATTTGGATGTCTGGGAAGGAATCTGAATGAGAGTAGATGTTTCAAACCACTTATTTCACCTCATACAGTGGAAAGATTAATGCAGCATTTCTTGATTCTTCTGTTAGTACCTGATGTTCGGCTTTGAACCTTGATGGCTCCCTGGCTGCTGATTATGGGCGTGGCTTCAGTGGTGGTGTCCACATCCTTGTCCATGTCCACTCCGGTGCTTCCACCCATGACACCATTAACCCCAGAGCGGTAAAAGTCATTAATCATATTCTTCTCCTTCTGCCACTCCCTGTTGGCCTGGATCTCGTCCTGCTCCGGGATGAGCATCTCGGCCTCGTTGGTGACGTCCATCATCACGCTCCCGCTCTGCACCTCGTTGTCGGCCCGCTCACTGCTGCCGCAGGACTCGCATGATTGGAAGTCGTTGTCTGACTGGCTGTGGTTGTCCTCCTCGCGGCTGTCGTCCACGGTGATGCCGTTGGATTGGTCGAAGGGCTCCGGCAGCGGCTCCTTGAGCTCCTCGTGAAGCTGATCCATCAAGCAGCGCAGAAACTCCTGGGAATCCTGGAGGTAAAGACAAATGTTTGTTGAGGAAGCAACTCCATCTGAGGGAAGATTTTGCCTCGATTTTAGGCACAGTAAGCAGTGAGAGAGGAGTTAATATTCTCTCTGAAATGAATCTTATGAAGCTCAACAATAATTCTTCTAAGCCTGATCGAGTTTGACAGACGCGGCCAAGTTTTCCCAAAGCTAATTTTTTTCAAATTATATACAACAACCAATTTACCTCTTTGTTTATCCCAATTCTGCATCACCAAATCTGAGACCAAACGCTCATGAATGTGTAATCAGACTTAATGAGCCTCAGACACATCGAATCCCCGTCTCCAGCCAAATAAACTCTCTCCTCTCAGAGACCTGGAATGTTAACTTCATTCACAGCAGCGCTAATTCCAAGGCTGTGCAGCCCGGCACGGCGTGACAAATGAATATTCCTCAGCTGACCGTGCAGAACAAACACAGGCAAACCAAGAGCAAACAGACTCTTTAATTATTTCACCACTCATGCTTATAAATCCCTTATTTACAGAGGCTGGACAAAGACAAGGCGTGCTGGAGTAAAATGACTTCTCCGCTCCTCATACAGCTTTCTGCTTTAAAGCCCCACCTGGAATCAAATCAAGTGAATTACCTAAAGGTTTAATGTGTGCATTTGAGGGTGAATTTACGTCCGACTCTTTGAGTTGGTAATTGCAAGGGACAGGATTTGGTTTATCTGGCTGAGTGGTTTGAGTTGGAGCTAATGTAATTTATGAGAGGGAGTGAGCGTGGAGGGATATGGAGTGGAAGAGAAAAAGAGGGAAAGACTGTAGAAGACACAGGCCACTTTATAGTCAGGGCGTTTGACTCTTAATCGTCCCAGCCAGGCAGAGGAAAGTTTAATTACAGACATTTTTGCATTAGTCCAATCAGTGTTAAGGACAGAGTCATTTATCTTGAAGTTTTAGAGCAGAATTTGAGACGCATAAACATCAATGCAAACACGCTGAAAACCCACAAACCATATCCAGTAAAACCTTGATTAGTAGCCTGGACTTGAACTTGTTTCCTTCTATAAACTCACTCTGTCTTTATTTAGGACAGGCATCATCAAGATCATTTTTAACAGTTCAGCTTCTGCTCAGCAAAGACAGGTTTCTGTTTATTTCTCCTTTTTCTTTAAAGCCCACACATGCAGTAAAGTCCTCCCTGTCTTTCCTGTCACATACTGGGGCGTACATTTCTGTCCCCATTTCTGAGACTGTAATGCTAATTGATGACACGCTCATCTGCCTGCTGCTCCGGCTTATCATTAACGTTATTCCCTCCATTACCCCACGGTCGCCTCCTTTTTTACCCTCTTACTCAGACAGAAATAAAAGTTCGGATTTATATTTACTTTTTCCTTTTTTTTTTTGCTCGAGATTGAATGATCATTATGCCCCCTGCTGTGTTGCACCCATTACATCCTATACATCGAATGTGCGTTCTCCATCTCTTCCTTTAAAGGAGAGCGTGGGCAGGGCCCCTCCCCTCAAACAGCAATTGAGACCTGCTGCTAAGAGGGCCCTGGCTTTCATCCGATTAGGCTTTTTATAAGTTTCACAGTAATTAAATTAACTTCTCGTACATGATTTATATTCAGAATTAAGTTTGGACATAAAAATTGACATAAAAGGCGTTAAGCTTGACCTCATCCAGTCACAACATCTAATCAATCTTTAAACTTGTAAATCTGCACACACACACACTGTGAAATAAGTCTCTAACTGTGAAGAGTGTCTGCATATTTTATTGATGTAACAGAGGGGGACATGTGGGCTTAAGTTGCACATCCATTTCACCATCTGCTTTGACCCACCTGCTGAGAGTATCCTCTGAACATCGGGTTTATGGCTTTGATCCCCTGGAACAAGTTGGTCGGGACAACGTAGGAGGGTCTGCAACGTGACGAAACACGACCTGATTATCAGGTATTTTACAACGCAACAACACAACAAAGTCTTACTGCAGAGTGGAGTTTAAAATGGAGACTGTGTGGAGCAGAAAGGTGTCAAAGTAGAATTAAAAACTCTCTGGAGTCATGTTTTAAACACTGGAAACAACTGGAAGGGAACACTGATTTATGAAATCAACTGTGAAAGGTAGGGTTGGGCGACAAGCAAATTTCATTGTTGCATCTGAACCTGCATATTTATTTTGCTTTTTAAAACACTTTGCAGGTTCATTGTAATGATGTAAACCAAGTCTTCTCACGTCCAGGGATTTGCACGACATTTGTACTTTTAAGGAGTTCTAGGTTTTGGTTGCTTTCTCTCTTTCATGCAGGCTTTTTATGCATGAATCTGTTGTTCTCTGCACCCTTAAGTCGATGAGTGTTTGTGATGTGGTTCCTGCAGACATCAATCCAATTAGCTGCACGTGTATGGTGGTAACCCAAAGTCAAATTACTCCTGTGATGTTGAAGTGCATTTGACTTTTGAGTTTTCAACCGCTCCGTCTGAGAGCTGTTAAAAGATAGATGTGCAGGGTAGGGCTGGGCGATAAACTGAAAATTTACTGATACCGAAATTTACGACAATGGCCGATGTCATTTTGCCCATGTCAATATATTGTCAAAAAATAAATAAAAGTTGGTTTTGGATGTGTGTATGTAAGCTATGGTATCATGTCCCTTTAAGACGCTGTCCTACTCCACCCCATCCTGTCTGTAACAAATAGGGAAAGACAGGTGAGGAGATGGAGGACGGTTCAAAAGTTGGAGCAGCTTGTGGAGTAGTTATCGTCCATTTATCATTATCGAAGTGAACTGATCAATATATCGTGATATTGATTTGAGGCTATATCACCGGGCCCTAGTCTGGAGTCACGTTTTAAACTGTGGAAACAACTGGAAGGGACCACTGATTCAACTGTGGGAAGGTTTATGCTTTTTCGACTCCAACAGTACCCAGATCTGTGCCCAACACCTACCTGCTCTTGTGCCACAGGTCTGACACCAGTTTCTGGTAGCTTTTGCAGAGCGCCGGCTTCTTGTCCGTCCTCACCATGCCGCCACATTCAAGAAAGAACTGTGTCAAGGGCGGGCTGCGGTGGAGAGAGGGATAAATATATCATAAGTGGGCACCAAACAGGCGTTAACAGGGTGACTACCTCTTTACAGGTTCACCATTAGAGGTGACTCAAACGGGTACCATTCAGAGAAGTAGGAGATAATGTGATGCTATTCTAGTCATAGAAACCAGCTTATATAGCTTTGTAATAAAGGGTTAGTATGTGTTCACTATTTCCACAGAGGGAAAAATTACTGAGAGGAAAGTGACCGAATTTCCTCCTCTCAGTATTCTTGATTCGGTTTGTTCCATTATTATCATATCTCACTCATACAGAACGATTACAAATTCCCAAAGGTATGAGAGCATCAGAGAAAACACCATATGTGTCCAAGAGTTGGAGGACATCGGAAATAGCTGGAAAGAAAAGCGGCAGAGGGGGGTTTGACTTGATGGGTACAGAGTGGACAGGAATGTGTAAGAAAGAGACAAACTGCAGAATGAATAAGGCATGGACTGTTCCTGTCCCTTGGCGAAAGGAAAGTCCTTGGAAGTGAATAATGACCCGACAGGAAAGTGAAAGAAGCAGCGCTCACACAAACAGACATCAAAGAAAGTTTCAGAAAAAAAAAGGGTCCCTCCTTCCGCAGCTGCGTGACTCACTTCCTCCTATTTTTGGATTTGTGATTTAGATTGCAAATTCTGACCCACATCTTTTCCCCATTTTGACTTCTATCAAAACGAGGCATCATCAGTTTAATCTTAAAGAGTACAAGCCCCTGGGTACCCAGTATGAGAAAAGAGAGAGGGTTTAGCTGTTCCATGAAAAATTAAATCACAAGTAAGAGGTAAAAAAACTAAGTAATACAATACAGCCCGGAGCTCTGCAGTCCCCAATTTAGAGGCCACACCAACAATCCAATCATAACAAAGAATCAGAGGGGAGGGCGATTCGATAAACAATAAAAAATGCAGCGGATTGGCAGGAAGAAAGTAAAAGGAGTAGCATAATGAGACATTGTGGGAGAAGAAAAGGAGACGAGGAGGAGGAGAGATTGGGAAAGAGTTGGTGTTCATTTGAAACCAAAGACCCTATAGGGAACTACAAAAGGCCATTTCTGCCTTCTCAAATGGTGCACTGCAGCAATTTTCACTCAGCCGTCACTCTCCCAAATGAGCACAGTAATGGGTGTTTTTTTTTATTTTTTTAAATTCAACAAGAACAAGCAAGCAGTGAGTAAAACAGCAAATAACTCCTGACAGAAATCTGCTGAAAGAAGAGGGAAGAAGATCTGAGAGCAGGGACAGAGCGTGGAGGGGATGTGGGGCAGACAGGTAGGCGAAAAAGAGGACTCACCAGTTGGACAGAGCCTGCAGGGCGGCGTTCATGTAGCAGGTGTTGCCGATGTTCTTCAGCCCCGTCAGGCCTGAGGGGGACAGAGCACACCAGGGAAATTAAAACAAGCCTCTCATCAAATGCTTGTAAACTTTGATGGCAACCACAAAGCCTGCACACTGTTCAGAAGACTCCTTCCAATTCTAAGATTAAAATTTTATGGCTAGAGAAGCAAAAGTGGTCGCCTGCTGTGTTTTAAATCAGCTGCCACAGTCAACCCATTTTGATGTTTTTTTTTTCCACAGAAGCAGGTGCAGTGAGTTCATCAATACTGAAGGTTAAAAACACTGAACCTTCAAAGCAAACCTCTAAAACTGTTCATCAACTGGATTTGGTTTGTTATTATTTTATCATTTTAAGAACAGAGAGTAAGAGAGAGTAAGCATAGTACAACCCCAATTCCAAAAAAGATGGAGTGCTGAGTAAAATGTCAACAAAAATGATTTAAATACTCGTGAAAAGTTTTGACTGTTTTATGAAAAATACATGCTCATTTTAAATTTGAAGTCAGACAGTTTCCAAAGTTTCCAAAAGCTCGGTCAGGGGCATGTTTACTGTTGTGTTGCATCAGCTTTAACAACACTCTGTTCCAGTTTGGAGCCAAGCAGTCCAGTTTCAGGAGTTTTAAAAGTGAAATGTTGCCCCATTATTGCCTGTTAGGGTCTCCTTTTTTTCTATTTTTATTGCATAATGCACCAAATGTTTTCAGTGGGCTGCAGTGGAGACAGTTTTACGAATGAACCATGCTAGTGTAATCCTTGCAGAATGTGGTTTAGAAGTGTCTTGTTTAAATGTAAAGGTCTCTGTGGAAAAGGCCGTTATGTCGATGGCTTTATATATCGCTCCAACGTCTTTCACGTCACCAACCTGTTGCAAATTATTAGAGCTGTGCAGTCCTAGTCAATTGGTCGACTTACTGGTTGATACCTGAATTCTGATTGGTCAACTCATTTTTTTTTTCTGTGTCAATTTAAAGCCTGTGGTTAATTTCATCAGGAGGAAGGTACCAAGTGCTAATGGGGGTGTTTTCAGGGCACACCCCTTGTTTTCACCATTTTGGATTCGCCCAACCCACTGGAGACAGACGATTGAAGAACGTTCACATTAATCAACATTCGGTGGGCGTTTTTTTTTTTTTAGTAAGATGGTAGGGTAAGGTCCCGCCTCCTTCACCACTGATTGGCTGTCGGCTTTGTACATCGAACAGAACATCATTGCAATTCTGAATCTCCTAACCCTAACCCAAAAGACGATGACATTTCACAGCCTTAAGGAATAACCAATCGGGGCCCAGCACTTCTAGCCAATCAGAGGCGAAGGAGGCGGGACCTTCCCCTACCATCCTACGAAAAAAATGTTTGCGTCTGATAGTTTGCCGAATATTTATTTGTATTTTGAGCGTTTCAACTTTGATGGTGTTTAATTGCCTTCTTGTGCCAATATCATTATTCTTTCACCCCACCGAGCCGCGTCGTCCCCCGCCACAGAAGGGTTTGCCATCAGAGTCCAAACCTCCTCATTAATCGAGTTTTAGCCGACCAAGAATTTCTTTGGTTGCCCTACAAATTACCGTAATTACCAAAGAGCTGTCCCTTCATGTGTTTTCTTTTTAACAGAACCGTCTTCGAGTTTGTGTCACTTGTCCAACTTTGCTGTAACATGTTGTTTGCATCAAATTTAAAATGAACATATATTTTTCCTGAAACACTAATTTAATATGTTGTCTTTGCATTATTCTCGATGAAATACAGAGTTTAAGGGATTTGAAAAAACATTTGACACAGCGTCTCACTTCTTAAGGAATCGAGGTTGTAGATTAAAAGTCACACTGAAGGTGTTAAAGTAGCTTAACTGCTCTCATGAGCTGTGTGTCACAGCAGCTGCTCTGGCTCCAACAGTTGCCTTTACTGATGGATGGAAGTGAGTCAGTGACACATTTTTGGAAAACGACTATAAACCTGACGCACTCCTTTCCCCACAGTATCTCCCTTATCTCCACGGAGCGGCAAACCCCACTTCATAAAAGTGTCTGATCTCATGTGACCAGCGCAGTGGACTCTGTGGTGAACGTTAGTCACTCCACCTCCTGATCACGTGATCTGTATTTGTGACAAAAATAACCAAAGCTGTAGCCGGTGCCAACGCCTGGGCTGCTCCACATGAGGTTCAACAAAACATATGTCATTGTTGGGGCCTCACAGTGCTGAGTGAAAACAATGTTCGCATAAGAGGGGCTGGGGGCTCTTGGTTTCCCTCCACTGAGCTACACGGGAGCATCCTTTGGTCTCCACTCAGCATTTGACAAAACTGTTTCAGATTCACAGACGTGTGGAAATCGTCGGCCTGTTGGTTCTTTTCCTGTTTCTGTCAGTGATCTGTCGGCTGTCGGTTCTGGTTGGAGTCGGCATTCATCGCCCCTTCCTTTGAAGTCTGCTTTGTGCGTCAAACATGATCAATAACATCTGTAACACCGGTGCATCAGTTTGATGCTTCAGTATATTCCAATCATCACCTCTGCTTTGAACTGAACGCTGACTTCTGAGCTCTCTGTTCCAAGTTTAATCTCACATCTCTGACGCAGCGTTCATTTTTCCTCTATGTTACACTTGGATTGAAAGCTTATGAACTATAATCACACTTCAGTCACCTCGCTGACTTTTAGAGTGCTGATTTTAATAATTAATAATACCATCTTGGCAAGAAACATGCATTTATGTCAGTGGAACTTCAGCTGCAGCTGTACTTAAGTCATAGATGTCTGAATGGGTTGTGTAGTATTTTGAGAGTCGATGGTTTATTTGAGTCAATCATGTTATAGTAAACCGACCTCGAGCTCTCAGCTCATCCTCCTCCTCTGTCTCCATGTCCAGGTCTTCACAGCCTCCATTAGGGGGCACTCTCAGAGAGGTCGGGCTTCCAGGGGCCCTGCTGTTGTCCTGGAGGAAGAGCACAGCGCACACAGTCCACATCGTGAAGCTCTTATCTGGTAAATGAGTAACCCAATTCAACTGGACAGCTCAGCTGTCATCCACGATACACGGCTCGAAATCTTATCACACAGCTCTGCCTGAACAACCGAGTGTGTGCGCAGTTACATAACCAAACAACTCTGCAGAAACGTGTAATAGAAATCTGTCAGTTAAGATAACATAGACTTTCAAAAACAAAAGTTTAGTATTACACTAGAGCTCACGTTTCTGCATTCCTGCTGTTCAATATAAGACATGTTTTATGTCGGTGTGGTATGAAAGTATCAGGATGAGCTGTAAAGACAATGAAACATGTGGATGGATGGATGTGTGGTGGAAAACGGTTCCCTACCTGGCCAATACTCTGTGGGGAGGGGAGGGGTTTGCTGTTTGGGTGATGGGAGCTGGGGCCCAGCTTACGCTCCAGGAAAACCTCCTTGCCGCAGGCGTAGCACCACACTCGGAGCGTGGTGAGGTTCACCGTGAGGTTGTGCCTCGTCTCCTGCACACATGGGGGAAAACATTTCATGAATATTAAGCTGTGAAACGAGACGACAGTGTTAATGTTTACCTGAGAATAGATTTTCTTATCACCGTGATGCTTCTTAATCTTCATGTGAATCTACCAATCAGCATTCCTCTGGATAATAAACAGGCTGTTTTGCTGTCGTGGTAATCACAGGTGCGTCTCGACTGTTTTGGCACAGCTGACAGTCCAGAATCATGTGAGCTTTGAGCCCAAAATAAAGTGACCTCTGATTGAAGCTCTTCCTTTTCTGCTAATAATGACCCATTACTGTGGTCTGGTGTGTGAAACTGAAAACTAAAATGCTCAAAGGTGAAAAGCAGGACAAAAAAATGATCCAATCAGCTGCCGAGCACAAAAACTCCTGGAGGAAATAAGTGCGTTTTTTTTAACCACAGGAAATCGGGTTTACAAGCAGTTACGGGTGAGTCACTTTAACCATCAGGAAGTTTCTTCTCAGAAGTGCAGTGATGCTGCCTGTCACTTTTCATACTTCACTGGACTAGTTTCCTTGTTCTCCAGAGGTCTTTAAACTGCAGTGGAAATGCAGATGACAACCAACAGTCCACTGCAAAGACGTTCTCCGGAGTGAAAGCTCTCTGAGTGTCTTTTTGGGGAAACACTTTTTCAATCTGTCTGCAAGTAGATTCTGATATCAAAAACCCAAATTCCAAAAGAGTTGTGAGGCTAACTGAAATGATGATAAAAACGTCATTTGATGGGGAAGACAGGGGGAGGTTCATGTGAGAGGACGGGTGAGGAAATAGTGAGGATTTCATCGTCTACAAATATTCAGGGAATCTGCAGAAATCTCTGAACTAAGGCTACAAGACAATAACTGATTTTGGACCTTTAGGCTGTACTACATAAAAACATACATGACTCTGTAGTGGGAATCACCACATGGTAGGGCTGGGCGATAAGGGAAAAAGTTTATCACAATTTATTACACAGTTTATCACTCTTAAATAAAATTTAACATGTACTCATCATACTTTGCAGTGCACATTACTCTACTTCATGTCCAACCTCAAAAAACCCAAATTCCTCCACACCACAGACGTTTTCATGCCAGTGTTGTCGACGATGTCATCATCTGTTGAGTCTTCATCTGCATTTCTTCTAACGAAGTGCATATTGACCATGTTTTATATCGATATCAAGGGAAATTAATTTTTGATATCACCCACTACCATGGGTTTAAAATCCTTTCTGCGTGCACAGTTTATTTGCAGACTTCTGTCACTTGAAAGTTTGCTAGTTTCATATAATGATGACTGGAGTTTGCTCAACAGGCGATAAATCCACCAAAAACAGATGTTCTGAAGATTTGCACTGAAAACTATGATAATTATTAAGTATCTACATGCCCTTCATATTAAGAGACTGCAGTTCTGGAAGCAGGCAGCTCTGGTTCAGTTCCAACCTGCAGCCCCCCTGAACCATTTCCCATTTTCACTCTCTCTCTCTTTCTCTCTTAGTTTCTGACTCTTCCCACTCAGAATAACACCAGAAAAGCTCGGAAATAATCTTTAAAAAGATCAAGTTTCTGAGCGTCACAAATGTACTAAACACAACCCAGAAGAACCCATCTCTAAGTTTAAGGTTTTATTTTTAGGTTCCACTCCATTTGTCCTGAGCGGAACGCCTCGGGCTACAGGTAGAGGCTGCGTCAGAGCGAGCGAAATGTTGCATTAGGAGAGCTTTTCTACTGCTGTGGAAACATGGCCGAGTTCTGCTGACCCACTGCTGCTCTGACAAACACGGGCAGCCTGGCAGGTCGACAGGAGACAGAACGTGAGCAGCAGCAGACCAGCAGCGCCTACATTATTCATCAGGCCTGCATTAGCCTTCACACAGCGGGGCAGAGCAGAGCTGGCACAGGGGCAACGCCAGACTGAGCGCGGCCCCGAAAAACTCGATAAGTTAAATTATTTATGAAGGAAAGTATACCAGGTAGGGCATTAATAACAAGCCAGATTCATGAGGCTTTGGCAGGGGGTGTTTTACAGGTCTACATAATGCATTGTTTTACAACCACCTTTTTTCTGTATGTGTGGTCACAATTTATGATGTTGATTTACTGCCGCGACTGTTTTTACATCAAAACATCTTTAAATCTGTTTTATATAAGCGGGGTTAGACATGAAAGGATGTAAAATCGCTCTGAGCTTGTCAGCAGTTCAGTTTATGCTCACAGACGCTCCAAAATAAATCGTGCGTATCATTTTTGTTGTTGCAGCACCCGCACCGACTCCACATCTGCTTCAGTATGAGATCGTCTGATTGAAAAACTGGTCAGGTCGGATTTTTTTCTGAGAAATACGGTCCAGTCTCCTCTGCAACGACACATCACTGATTTGAATCTACCAGGAACAAACACCATCACACACATGTGCATGTAAAAGTGCTCATTAATGAACTTCATATTCAATTCTGCAGCAAGTGGGAACTTTCCAATCCATCTTCTGCAATATTAAGGAACAATTCTCCAAGTTAACAACCCTTTTAATATGCGGAAGAGTCCTTTTTGTTGCATAATGATGTTTCAAATATGATCTATATGCAAATACTAATTATGTGTCCTAGTTTGTTGCAGGAAAGAAAAAGTACACACAGAAGTGAAGCCAAACTTCTGAAAATGAGCTGATCTAGCTGCAAGTTTTTCCTCAACGCTTTGAAACAGTCACCCGTGTTTACTCGCAGCGCAGAGCCCCTCATCTGCTGCATCTGCTGCGATTCAAAAGCACTCTTTCCTCACCGCATAGTCGAGAGATTAAAATGTTTGTCTCCCTGCGGGGCCTCCGAGCGCTAATTAAGCACGGCCTTCATTCTTAGAAGATTTAAAGATGGCGTCACAAAAAGGCAAACACAAAGGGCGGCGGGCAAACTGAACAGACAGATGTCCTAGATAAGCCGTCAGAAATCAAATTCACATGTGGAGCAATTTAAAATCAGCAACCTAATGTAATGATATTTTACTAGCACTTAATAAAAGCAGAATTTATCTCTACTTTGAAAAAAGAACGAGCTGTTTCTGGACAATGGATTGTGCAGCTGTGCAGATGCGAATCAGCAAAGCAAATTATATATTTGCTGTCTTCTTCTTCTTCTTCTTCCTCCCTCTCCTTCTAACCCCACTTGGCCCTGTTGTGCAGCCGGAGGAAAAAAGCCTTAGTCAACACCAAGAGCAGCAGAGGCTGAGCCAGGACAGGCAGAGAGATACTGTAACCATAGAACTGACAGTATTATTGAATCTCCCCCACTTCCCAGAGGAATGCCAATTAATAATGGATGATCTGCTGCTGAAGCTGCACCGAATGTTAAGGTGTAGGCAGACAGAGCTGGCTTGATGGGTTTTAACAATTCGTGCACTTAAAAAAGCGGAAAAAACTCACGTGCCGGCTCTTAGAGAGAACGGCGTTAAAAATAAATCAGCGCTGCAGGCAGTTTTTCTTTTCGAGTCATGCCTCCTCCTGGGAAGCCTAAGTGGTATTCCTGTCCTGTCCTGCCATATGTGCCTCCTCTTCCTCTCCACTGACACCTCCACTCCTTTTTTTAGTAACATCTTTTTTCCTTATTTCAACATTACAGCAAAGACTTCACTTTCGTTACATGCCTCCCTCTCTCTCATTAACATACTGTATCTGCAGTGAAAGCCACAGCAGGGAGGTCTGGGTTTTCTCACCTGCGAGTGCACAGTGCTGTGGTCAGTGTGAGATTCTCCGCAGCCCACATACGCGCAGCCGTTCTGGACAGAAGAAACAAACAGACGTGGAAGCAGAACAGGTGAATAAGAAGGAAATCAAACTTTTCTTCTTTGAACTCAAACTTTAGGATAAACACAGTCTTACCTCCAAACACGCCCACAAGTTTGGTCCTCCAACTTTACAGTCTTGACACTGGCCCTAGAAAAATATGCAGATGCTCAGATTAGAGTTACATGACAGCAAATCAAAGTTTTTATACAGGTTCAGGATTTCTACAGGGTTCAACATATAAACGACTTTCTGTTTACCTCACTCAGTGAAGTAAGGGTGTGAAATCAGGTGATTATGAAGGATAAAAATGCATTCACAATCATCAAGTTCAGGACGACCACCATATCCAAACATCCTGCTCTTATTCTCTGCAGCTCCGTGCTCACTCAAAGATGCATGTCGATGTTGATTATGAAATACAGACCGAGTGGAGACCAAACAAAGCATGAGTTACTGAGCTCTGCACGCTACATTTCTCCGTTTTCCAGGGCGGGCTGTGTGTTTTGCAGTGAGTTTTTTTCTCCTTTTCTTTTTTATTTTATAGAATAAACAAATATTATTTACCAAACGGATAGTAAGGACAGCCCCGCTTACACGAATATCCGCATGACCACGCACATCCCTAATTGGTAGCATGTCTTTTACAATACAATAAGCTACTGCATCTGTGAGGTCTTTGCGTTGCGCTAGAGAAAGGAGACTGAATGGTCGGTTCAGCGCGGCGCAGACCTGGAGCAACTCCAGAGCATGGCAGAATGCCGGAGAATGAACAGCATATTGACCGTGTATCACATCGATATCAAGGGGAATTAATTTTTAATATTTACCGTTTTATCGCCCAGCCCTATGTCTGGGTTTAGCCTTGATTGACTGTTTTCTTCATCTCTTTTTAGCTTTAGTGACATTCCCCTTTACCCTTTTGAAAGTAAGAGCTCTTAGCCTGAGTTTACTCGTAGTTTTATTCATATCAACATTTTTGTTTTATGTCTATGATTATTATTCACTGGCATAGTTGTCTAAACACACAGATTAAAATCTGTTCTAATAGAGACTTTGACCTTAACGGTTCACTCTTTTTTCTTTTATGACTATATTCTAAAATAAGAAAATTAAATTGAATGCACTGCCAGTAACTTGCCAAATAGTTTTAAAATAAATATGCAAAATCATTATATTATATTTATTCCATTTAGTGACACCGTTAAGGGTCGGTTCATTTCTCAGGCTCTGCAGCTGGAATATTTATCTGCAGGTTTGATGGGACCAATAAAAGGATCTACAACCTCCTGTGAACACAAACCAGTAATAAAACAATCCCACTCTCAGATTACAGCGGCTAAACGTCTCTCTACAGCCCACAATTAACATCAAGTGATATAAAGTCAGGCTATCATTAACTTACCAGGAGATACCAACAAATTAAAAAACTTTTAATGCAATTTCATGTCTTTTTTTTCTAGAAAGTGGGTCGTACTGTATGAGCAGGGCAGGGCTACGGCAGAGAGTTTACTCACATGAGATTTCTGGATAAGTTCTTCCTTGGTGATCTCCCCCACACGGTCCAGGTGGGGGCAGTCACAGCTGGACGCTGGCGGCATCACTCAGCCACAGATCTGAGAGAGGGAGAGAGAGAGAGAGAAGATAAACAACATTAAGTACATATCTAACACTGACTAATTCCCTTAACAGAAATCAATGCAGGACTTGTAGTTCTAGAAAGAAACCTCATCCGCTCCACGTGAGATACTTGATAGAGTAATCAGAGATCAATCCAAGAACAGCTCAAAGGACGAGGAAAACAGCCTGTCCGCTGTAACCTGAGTCAGCAGCACACAACACAAGTTTTCCATGCCTGCATGCTGGATGAATTCCCCCTATTCTGAGACACGCATCAAACACACCAGCAGCACATCACGCCACAACTGTCCCCAGGTCATGTGAAACACACAGGGACTACGTGCAACTGGGGGAGGGGGGACTTCTATATGTAGAGAGATCTACAAATTCAAGATGACTTTAAGTGTTTCTGTGAGTAAGACCCTGTGATTTGATTCTACTCCCCCCCAAATGCAGGTCTCTACTACAGGCAGCCGCACTCACACAGGTGGCAGCTCTGCAGCAGCGGGGGACCTGTAGCTGCAGGAGCAACAGAGAAAAAGTAACTGGTGTTACAAAGCTGCGGCAGAAGCAAGAAGTGATACTGACAGTGCAAAAAAGAAAGTCCTGTGTATGTCTGAGGAGCTGAAAAATGAAATGCAGTCAAAAACAGACTAATGTTCCCCTAAGCTGAGGCTGTAAGATAAAGTATGTTTCATTTGGTTCGCAGATGCCTCGGATTATAATAAATGCAGGAGGATTTCTGGAGTCTTCATGGAGCATCAGTTTGAGAGTTTCTTCCTGTGAGAAATTGCATTATACTTTGATGATCACAGAGTTCTGCCCTCCTATTACTCAGTTTGTCTGGAAAGAGGAAGACTAGCAGCTGCAGGACTACATGTCCACACCCTGTCCAGTGGGGTGACAGGAAACCTCTGGAAGTTTCTATGATCACATCAGGCCTGCACACAAAGCCTCAAACCACCTAAGAGCTGAATCACAGAGGACATGGATCAGCACGTGGATCTTAAGGTTGTTTTTTTTACAACCTGAAAACCTGTTTTAAATAAGCTATAAATTTATGCTGGAATATTTTAAGGAAAGCATAGACAGAGTTCAGTTTTTGCCCTGCTGTAAATATCTTATTCAACAGCCAGTAACATTAAAAAACTGATCAAAATCACAATTTTCTGGCTGTAAAAGCCTCTTCAGTCTCCAAACACATCCGAGTCCCATGTGACGCCACATTGTCCAATGAGTGACCATGACGCCTGAGGCGCAGCTGCTGAGGAAGAGCCTGTAAAAGGGTTTCGACTTTAACATTTGTGCTTTCTAGGAATTTTCAGGCCTCAATAGACTGATGACAGCAGAGCTCAGCCCTGTATCTGCCTAATGAGGGGCGAATGATTCAGCACATTGAAACTACAGCATCATGGGAAACTGAAAAACCCCCTCTCTTGACGTGTTTGCCACAGGACGTATACATGTCAACATGAGACTAAAGTGTGTGTGTTGGCAGAAAGCTCATAAAACCACCTGATGGTTTCTTTGTGTAGGGTTTAAGTAGTTATACAACAATGACACCATACTGCAGTGACTTCAGCTTAGCAGAACCACATGAATTCTGTACTGCTTTATATGAATTCAGGGAAACCTAAACTAACAAAATTCAAGAGTAATGATTCAATATGATGCTCTGAGGAACTATAAGCAAACCCACATAAAGAGTTTCTCTGTTAATGTATTCGTTCTGCATAAATGTGTGTTTTCAGATCATTTTCTTGAATCAGCCTGAACAGTGGGGCCTGTATTTCTACGACTCTATTACATAAACAGTGTCGCACTGGTTTTAAAAGAATTAACAATCATGCAAATGCAGGATTACTTCAAAACGGAGTTGTTGTTTTATTAATAATCAAAACAGTATTGCAAAACATAATTTGGGGCCCAGTGCTGCACGCTACTGGGAGAGAAAATCTGGGCAGAAACAGATTTCTATGTTTAAAACATCAAATTAAACCTGTTGTTGCTGCTTATTTGAATTTTTCTGCTTTCAGTTCCTCCATCTGGGCAACAAGAGACCCAATTAATCTTAATTTTGTACAAAAGAAAACTTACTAAACTATGTCAAAGTTATGTAGGTCTTCATTGACAGTACAGTGTGTAGAAATGGCAATGTCTAATGTTTAGATTCTCATGTGAATTCCCTTGATCAACCTTCCCATCTGTGAAGTGACAGTGGCTTTCGAGGAAAAGAAGCTTTGCTAAGTTTTCACAATCAAAAACATCTAACACTTCTCAAATTGGTACCACTAATCAGGTACTAAGTAGCGCTGGGCGATAAAACGATAATGATATGTATAAAAAATTTATTTCCCTCCATATCGATATGACACATGGTCAATATGCTTTTCAATAGTCGTCTTTCTGCCATGTTCTAGTAGAAGATACAAATAGCCAATGAAACGGGGAGTAGCCGCTTCGCACTGAACCAATCATGTGCTTAATTGAAACCAAGTAGCAAAGAAGTAGCAAACAACTGCATAGTAGTAGGCTGCAGCTACACGCAACCATCGCACTTCAGCACGTGAAGCTGACAGCACTATCGGTGAGGGAAAAAAAAGAAAACGAGTGCTACCCCTGGCAGAAACGCAGATGAAGGCTCAACAGATGATGACAAACCCAGATCGGAGCAACGAGCCCATGGCGCCTGTGCAGCCGAAACAGCCGACCATTCAGTCCGCTTTCTCTAGCGCAACGAGGAAGAGACACAAAGACCTCACACAGTAACTTATTGTATTTCAAAAGACATGCTACCAATAAGCACTATTAAGTTTCATTTTTTATATCGTGATATATATCGATATCAACTGATAAGAAAAAAATATATCTCGTGATGAACTTTTTCTCATATCGCCCAGCCCAACCCTTGTCCCTTACTGACACTAGTTTGTCCATTCTGAGCCACTGTAGGAACATGGAGGTGGAAGGGGACGTACTCCTATGCAGATATAAAGACTTGACAGAGAGGTTTTATAGTCCTCTAATCTTATATAACAGGTATACTATTCTAAACAAACTGACAATCATTGTATTGATGTGACACAACTGATATGTACTGGCTCAACTGCCATTAGTCCTGGCTGACTGGCTGATTCAGGGCGGATATTGGCTGATACAGTTACACAGCTGATGGATCCCTAATGGTGTCCCTCAGATGTATTGATATTTTCCTACACTCCCAGTATTCTATTCAACAACAGGTTGAGTTCATGTCCAGGCTTGTAGGAGTCAAAATTTCTGTTTAGTCTACTCAAAAATCACGCTTGTTTACATAATTTAGTCGCCATCCCTTTAATATACTCTTACAAAATAGTCTGAAACCGCTGTAACTTCTTATTAGGAAAACTTCCTGAGCAGCAAACAGTTAAAAGTCTTCACACAGAGAGCTAACACAACATTACACCCAAAGAAAATCGAATTAGCCGGTGGTTTCAATTGCAAGCCCCCAGAGATAAAGCACAGCTGCTGAATGAGTAATGTCTATCTGATCTTTTTGATTTTATTTCTAATCACAAATTCTCCTGACCTATATCACTGCTGTCCTCATCGACAGAGTCCTGATCCACATGATTCAGTTTGGGACAAAGAGGAGGTACATCTGGGTGGGGCGTCCACCCAAAACAGACTGTACACATCACACTGACGATGATGATGATGATGCCAATCCAGTGTTATTCTATGGTTAAATACTGAGTAACAGTAAAAAGCACAACACTTGAAAAGCACAAAGGCGTCAACATTAGCCTCTATGTTTAAAACGTAATAAATGTGGGCTAGCAGAGTGGTTAATGTGACATTTTTAAGAGGAAACAGATTATTTCCAGCAGGTTTGTCCTGTTATAGGAAGTCATTTTTCTCTAAAGTAGACAGAGAAAGCGTTGTTGTTTGAAGAGTTGTAAGGCTTTGGCCTTGTGCTCGTATTGAGCTGTCAAACCCAGCCGAGCCGATGACAGCAGCGTCACACTCACTCACTCACTCACTGACCAGCAGCAACCTTGCGCGGTTAGCATTAGCCTCTTATGAGCACTATCTGATCAGAAAATTCATCTTTTAGTGCGAAATTAAGAAATTAAACATATATTATCCTAAAGGTTGAGCATTATGTGAATTTAGCCGCATTAAGCAACGATAGGAAAAGGATTTGATAGGCATCTCGTTGGTAACACGCTAGCTTATCTTAGCCAGCTAGCCTTCATGTATTACATGATCATCGACAACCAGCAGCAGCAGCTAACTAGCATCCATATATTCGGACGGCTTCGATCCTTACCTGCTCTGTTACAAAGGAAGGGTGTTTCTCTGGTGTATCCGGCTGTAAATGACGTCCAGGAGATAGATTTAGTCTGTGTTTAGAGGCATATTTCACAGAGCAATCCTTCACATTAACGATAACCGTTCCTGTCCCTCAGCGTGGTTGCTAACGTTACAGCTGACTCCGCCCCTTTTCCGGTTTAAAAAAAACACTCATAAACCCTCCCTTTACTACTGGACCTCTGACAACATGCAACTATTGTACTCCTTTTTTTAAAAAAGTCGGTTTAATATGTTCACAAAGTAATAAAATAAGCCATTGATAAAATTGTAATACAACCACTGACGCTAGTGTTTTACTATTATACTACTATTACTATTATAATGAAGGAAAATTAATGCATAATGGATGTATACTCACTTTTAGCCTCCCTGCTTCAGTCAGTTTTACTCCTTTAGTTAAGATGAATGGGATGGGAGACAAGAATCCTTAAAAATGAAAATAGTAAATGGAAGGAATAATAAACAGTGGACATCTCAACCCATCCCCAGCGCCATCTAGCGGATGTATAAGCAAACTGCAGAATGAATATAAAGAACCACCCTTTCACAAACCCCCTGTGTTTAATGTAAAAGATAAAAAAGTCAGCACAATTATTTTACTTTCTGTAATTATAAAGTCATATTTATCTGTACATAATCTTATTTGGATGCAAATACTAGTACAAATTCAGATATATACTTACTGTATTAATGGCATTCATATTCAAATGTTATATAGGCCTTTTCTTCATTCAATCAATCAATCAATCAATCAATCAATTTTAAAGCACTTTTCATACATGGAATGTAGCACAAAGTGGATATTAAAGAACAAAGAAGTAAAATAATAAATAAAGATAAAAATACCAAACCCTCCCACCCTCCCAACCCCCATCCAACACATACAGCACTCACACGCTCACACACAGAGATGCACACTCATAGGACCAGGTGAGGACTCTTCAACTTGCCACAGATGACTGAGGAAACGCTATCTTCAGTTAAAAAGGATGAGACACTGGATCTAATCGATAAAACCATGATAAACTATAATAAAGGTGATAAAGCATTAAAAGTGAATTAAATTAAGCAGTCTTAAAATCAAACAATAAAAGAAAGTAAATTTAAAAAAGAGGTAATAAAACACAAAATAGTTATCCTAGGACTAAAATAGTGTAAAATCACATAATGCAGATTAAAAGATTAAAACAAATTTAACTAAAAGCCAGACTAAAAAATGTAGGTCTTTAGTTTACTTTTAGTTTAGTTATCTTTCTTCTTTGCATCTTTTGACTTCACATTTTGGCCACATTTATCTTGTGTTTTTGATTATATTGCATCTTCAAGCAGCTGCAAATACAGCTGCCAGTGAGAAATTAGAGTTTTAAATGACAATGTGAATTTAGATTTTTGCAAATTATTACTTTTACTTCAAGATTCAGCTTCTCCATTGATTTAGAAAAAAATTACAGTTGTTTGCAATGAAATTAATAACCTCCACCATTGTCCATGTAACACTTTGACCCTGCAAATCAGGTTTGTAATACTTAGTACAGCCACGAGGGGGCGCGTAGGCTCCACAGAGACAGACCCAATGTTGTGCTTTTATTTTGAAGGCCACGCTGGATGAGGCGCTTGCTTTGCGGCCGATGAGTGAGTCCTTCACACGGCTTCTACCGAGGTCAGCGTGCGCACCGGCTGATCCACCGGGAGCAGACTCTGCAGAGGACACCTTCACATGTACCGGTGATATTATTTGGATTTGCAGATTTATACCTCTCAGATATCATCCGGGTTCGTTGTTGTTTGACTGTTAAAATCAAGCAAGTTTGAGGACACACTGCTAACTCTGCTCGCTGTTATTAGCCTCGTTAGATCAGGTAGCAGTCGGCTGTTCAGCTAGGCCAACAACAGATGATCGGAGTCAATTTCAGACTTCATGCTGCTAGAAACATCAACCTGAGAAGCTGCCTTAGAGCCTGAGTACTGCTTTTGTTTTTGTCAGTATGCTACAGAACTAGGACTCCTGCAGAAAACCTAATATTCTGAAGCTCTGTCATGATATTTTGTTATTGATGAGATGCTAAAATGTTCATTATTTTGTGTTTTGTTGCAAAGTAATCCTTATTTAAAATGATTTGGATAAGTAAGAGACAATTCCCAGTTAAAGCTTGTTGCAAACACATCATTTAAGGCAAAGAAAAGCCCTATAACAACATTTTAAACACAATAAATAGGTAAATAATGAGATATAAACATATATTTTTAAGAATCTAGATGTAAAATACTGCTGTTGAGTTACAAGTGTGTTCATACATTTAATAATAATACGTTTTATTTGTAGTGCTCTCTACATCAAGAGACCTCAAAGGGCTACAAAGGGACCAAAAGTTCTGTTAAGAGGGAAAGTTTTGAGTGTTTTTACTCATTAAAGGGGTCATATTATTCATCTTTTTGGTATTTGTGATGCATTTGCCAGTTTAATGTCCTCATTTTTTCATGCAGGACCCCATGTTAATGAAAACTAATCTGAGGATCAGTTTGCATGTGAAAAGGGAACTTTACTTTCTGTAAAACATTAACTGTGTCTGGCGAAGAATGACCTTTTTTGTCAGGTTACATGCGGTCAAACGGGGCACTCGTCTATCTGAGCCTCACAAGTCTCTACCAAACTTAATTGGATGTTGCTTGTTGTCTTGTTAGTCTGATTGTTAGCAGCTTAGAGATGTTTTTCTAAAGTGTCTGAGTAGGAAAAACCATGGCGGAAACCTAATTAGTTATTGGACGGGCTCTTAATTCAGGTAAAAATGATGTGAGGTCTGGAATATTCTCATAACTTTGTCTGTTAGTTTAACCCTGATACTTGTTGTGCAGTGATTTGTAGGAACTTTTTATGATCAGAGTATTTTGACAATATCAAAACAGCACAGCTCTACTCTTGTTAAGCAGACATTGCTTCTTGCACACACTGTATGTCAAGGGATTTACGTAATAACGTCAGTATATCCCCCCTGAGCTGTCAAGGTTAAATCCTTGCGTGCCGCTAACTCCTGTCATCCTCCTCAGCTCCTGCAGAACGGCAGCGAGGATAAGGGAGTTGCCAAGTCATGGATAGTTCGCAACAATGACACATGAGACCCTCACCAACTCCCAGCTGCCCGTCAAGGCTGCTGTCGTGCGCATGGTCCACCTACCGCTGTCCATGTACAGCTCTCTGGCACAGGTGAGTTTGTGCTTGAAAGCTGCTCTGCTGGGATGTCTTACGGTTTCTATTTCTGGTGCGAGACGGGCGAAAGGCTGTTGAGGACTGAATCGTGATTTCAGATTCTTCCCACACAGAATGTTTTGCAGACACTAGATGTGGAACTGTTTTACTTTATCTGTTTAGCCAATGCACTGACAGATATTTGTAATTAAAGCAAATATCTGTCTGTTAAATACAGAATCCTGTCAGTGCCATGGAAAGATTGCTATAAAACTCATAGAAATCTGGTATTTGAGGGGGATACTTTGCATCCCATGTATGAGTATTATTTTATTTTCTGTGTGAGTTTATAAAACATGTAATTTAAGACACACATTAAAGTCTGAACCCATTATAATGCTCCACTGTCAGGGCTGTTCAGTGCTGCAGGAAAATGAGTCTGTGCAGTAACAGCAGCAGACAGAGAGCTGCATTTTTCCCTGTTTTTATAGGATGTAGAGGTACATGACATGTGTGTTTGTAATTTCAATTGATGGTTTTACTGCAAATGTAAACAGTAGTTGGTGTTTGTCGTTTGATCCCACACCTGGGTAGAGTCCATACACCTGACAGGGAGGCTCCAAAAAAGATTAGTGTTGGCTCTTCCTTCAACATAAATGCCCTTCACCAGTCACAGCCTGTTAAAACGAGAAACTGTACGACAGGTGGTTGGTTTTGGAGATGTCAAAGAAAGAGGGAAACACAGATTACCTGTCCTCACAGTGTTTGGTTGTTTTAGAGAAGGAGAACTGCAGCCCTCCACTCCTGTACTTATCGGTTACATCCTTATACCAAAGCTGGTAGAACATGAAATTCAAACTTTAGGACCTGTTCATCAAACTATTCAAGCTCCACCTGTTGCAGGAATTTCCACTCTGGCTGTTCCTCAAACCAGTTTTGTCATTTGGTGTGTTTCCGGCTGAATTTGACGTACCAGTTCATAGTTTTTACAGACACTGCCGCCCAGTTTTATAGTCAAGATTTTGTGTGATTTAAAGATATCAGCCAGGAGTTGAGTTTAATCCTGTCTCCGATGAGAGGGTGAAAAAGGTGAACTTAATACGAGCTCAGTGCAGAAACAGCCTAGGACAGTGTCTGTGAACTCCTTGAGCATGAACGCTGCCTCGTCTCAAACACAGCAGATATGATTTATGATGCTTCAGCCACAGAGGCCAATATGTTTCTATTAAGATTACTTCTGAATACACGTCTAAAATCTTGCTGTAATAGATCACTTACACCCATCTGTGTGTGAATATATTGTTGCGTTTTGATGTTTGGTCCCTCTACTCTCTCCCAGACCGTTATGATGGTTATAAGCCCTTCTTAAGGAGAAGCCTGTGTGTGGTCAGAGTCACGTAGCAGATCTGATTGCGTGGGGCATCTGGTGTGAAGGTGTTCGACATGTGGTAGTAGCATGGAAACACTGCAGGTCTGCAGCACTGTTTGTCATCACGGCATCCATGTAATTCAATATTATGGCCGTTGTCATAGCTCCAAAGTCGGTGTTTATGTAATCGCCAGTTGTTGGGGAAATGCAGCAGAGCCGTCTGTGTGGATTATCTCTCCTGTCAGTCAGAGTTTCTATCTATAGACAGAGAAGGCTATGCGCACTATCTGAAATTGATTTTTTTAAATGCAGATGACAGTTTTTATGGTTGGTTGCATCATGGATATCTATTGTTATCTGTCGTAAACATCCTCAGGTTGAAGTCACATGGAAATGAAACGTCTGTTACTTTTTCTTCCCTGTAAAATGGGGACATGAGATCTCAGCCTCAAAACGCACCTTTGACAGCTACATAACTGACAACTCTGACACTCAGTAGGCAGTTGTATCTTTTATTCTTTAACACTTTCTGTTTTTTTTCTCAGTCTTTCTCTGCTCGCAAATTTTTTTCCATCTAGAGTTTTTGGGCATTCAGTCCCAAAACATAACCAGCCTTTTAGGAGATTTGTCTGTGGGTATCACTGAATCAAACATGAAGCTTTTGGTCCATTTTTAGTTTATTGTATCAGAATGACATTAAAAAAAGAGAGAGAAGAAGATGAGGGAGAGATATGAAAGGGGTTTCTGCCAGACAGGTTAAAGTAGATTATAATGCATAACGCTGCTGTAAAATCAATATATATTTAATATGAGTCAAACTACTTCAATAGATGCATGCTGAGTTTTCCTGAAGCTAAGCCGCTGCACATTGCCTGAAGAGTCAGAGGGAGACCTTATATTTAAATAATAATAACCGATATATACACAGTTGGTGTAACATGTAAGATTAAGATATGTTTGTGTCAAACTCCTCTCGTCTCTACCTGTCCTTCAGGTGAGCATCAGCACAGGGACCAAGAAGCTGGTGGCGGCCACCGCCTTCAGCGCCATCTCGCTCCTCTTCCTCGCACGCCGCTTCCAGAGGAGGAAAGGCAGAAAGAAGGCTCAGTCGCCGCAGTGGGAGAAAGTTGGATTTGAGTTTTTCCCGCCTGTCTTAGCAGAGAATGGTAACTTGGAGTTTTTTTCTCTCCGGTCTGTGGTTTCCCTGCAGCATCTGCCCCTGTACCTGTGTTGGGCTGCTTCTTTAGTACCTGGGATTGTAAACAGGCTGTAAACACATTTAATCTCCTTCAGGAAGAATTACCACCCAGAGATTAAAGAGTTAAAAAGAAATGAACAGGTCAGAAATGAAGTCAGTCAGGGTAAATAAAAGTACTAAATCTACACTTGTAATAAGAAATATTTACGTCATTATAGCTGAATAAGAAGGAAACTTTTATAAAATCTGCAATATAACAAACGACATAAGATGCACTTTTTAATGGAGGTAATGGGCAATAAAATCAGCGCCATGATAAAAACTATTTGCTGAAGAGATGAGAGTCCCTGTCAGCTAATCTCTTTCTCTAGATGTACAAAATAAAAAAGTTAATTCTGCACTGAACCTCACAAATTTCGCATCAGCAATATAACTGCAGTTTAACTATGAAACAAAGATGTTTAAAATCACTTTCTCTCGTCTTCTACATTTCTAGCTGATCTTAGGAGGAAAATTGAAGTTACTCACAGTTTGGGTTTATCAGTCCTCAGACCAGCAGACTTTGTTCATCCGCTGTGTCAAACTGTGTCACATCCAACACTGTCTCTCAGCTCTGGTCTTTATCTGCCCAGATAACACAAGCCAGAACATCACCCTCTCCCTCAACTCCAAGAACGGCCTCCCCTCCGGTCTGCTCCTCCCCACAGGAGACTACAAGAATCTGTCCGGGTCTCTGCTCAGCCTGGCCTCGGTAAGTCGAACGCAGAATTACGTGATCTGGAATCTTAAAATCCAGATACGTCATGTTTAAAAAATACGTTAATGGTCTTCATTTCTGCACTCGCAGGTAAAAAGCATGAACTCCTCCAGCAGCAGCACCTGTGCGAATGAATCCTCCTGCTGGGACAGAACAGGAGAGGCTGATATCTGTGGTCTGGTCAACATACCCGTCACCACACCTGAGAACCTCTACCTGATGGGTAAATACAGGCACATTAGAGACGTACTCAGGCTGTAAAAGCTTAGTTTCTCTCTGTTTTGAAGTGCGTTCGTTTGAGTTATTGATTGATTTGGGTGACTCAGTTTTATGCCTGTGTGTGCGCAGGTATGGATCTATTCGAGGAGGCTCTAAGGCGGTGGGAGGAAGCGCTGACATTTCGAGGCAGGCAGGGAGAGGACGATGTCAGCTGTGTTTCCGTCAAAACAGGAGCCGGAGACGCCATCGCTGAGCAGGGCATGGAGGTGAGAGAGGCAGTGAAAATTTCAACATAAATCCAGCGAGTAGATTAACCACGCTGCCATATTTAACACCAACTAAACAACCCATCCAGTTCAGTGTAATGGCACTCTTAATCTGGGATAGGAGCTAAGTAGGATGATGCTTGTGAGATCCTTGACTATGAAGTGGCCAATGAAGGATTTATTCAGGATTTTAGTGGTGCTTATAATTGAAACTCTTCCCTCTGTTTTACACCAAAAGAGGATAAAGATCCTTTACTGCCCACATCAAAGCGCTATAGGGCACATATACCAATAACCTGACCTCTGACAGCCCACCAGAGTCACAGCGTTGGGATTGTGTAAGAGCCTTCTCTCTGGCTCTCTAACCTGGATGGGAGGATTTTGGATTAGTGCAGGTCAATGAATAAATCTGCTGCTCGGTCTTCTGTGGAGGATATCCCCCCGCTCAGTTTTCCCTCTTTGGAAAGCTTATTAAAACTCTGGTCCACCGGGGAACCTTCAGAACCAACTTGAGTGTGAAGAGGGCTTAAAATGTGACGTTTGACTCCTGAGTTGTTGCGTTAATGGCAGTTTGGAAATTAAACTATTTTGTTGAAGCGTTTCCCTTTTTCCATCAACCAGCTCTTTGTTTGTCTGCCACCAAAGAACTGGATCTGGATCAGAAAAAATGGATTTGGAGTTGCACCAACTCCAAAAGAAAGAATTGCATACGCCAGGAGCTGGGGCTAATAACGGCTACTTAACGGTTAACATTCAATGTACAAAAGACTGAAAACATTTCTTATAATTATCTGTTTTCTGGAACTTAATCGCCGTCCATATCTGAACTGGCGAGCAGAACCCTTTTTTTGGACCATCTGTGTTTGTTAAGCTAGGAGGAGCACTTAAAACAAGACGCTGTAGTAGGGCTGGGCGATAAACCGAAAATTTAGCGATACAGAAATTTACGACAATAACCAATGTCATTTTGACCATATTGGTCTAAAAAAAAAAAGGAAATAAAAGTTGGTTTTGGATGTGTGTAGGTAGGCTTTGGTCTCATGTCCCTTTAAGACGCTGTCTTACGCCAAAGTCAGGACTCCACCCCATCCAGTCCATAACAAAGAGGGAAAGACAGGTGAGGAGATGGAGGAGGGTTCAAAAGTTGTAGCGGCTGAAGTAGACAAAGTTAATGTGGGAGGGGGTGAGCAGCTTGTGGAGTAGTTATCATCCGTTATTGAGGTGAACTGCTCAATACATTGTGATATTGATTTGAGGCCATATTGCCCAGCCGTAGTCCTCCATTGTTGTTGTTTTGCTGTGAGCGTTCAAGTTGTGGGGTCAAGAGTGTCGTGCGATGGTCAGGTAGCGATGAGAGCACCCTCTGCTGCATCCGACAGCAAACTATTTCAGACAGCTTAATTCGCTGAGAAAAAGAGACCCTCAAACCCAGATGATCTTTTGTTTCCCTTGTTGAACTCTAGTGTTTGTGTTTCCAGGACGTCATCAGTGCAGAGTTCATGCACAGGCTGAAGTCCCTGCTGCAGAGGGCCTACAGCCTGCAGGAGGAGTTTGAAGGAGTGCTGTGCATGTCAGAGCCTTCATCCCACAGCAACAGCCAGGGTGAGTCACCCATACGAGACAGATACCTGCCCACCTACCTGTGCTCCATGCATCATTATTCATGCTCTAAATTTTTCTCCATCACAGATAAAGTGGTGGAAATCTTGTCCAGAGAGGAGCTGGATGACGCCTGTTTGAGAGACAGTATGAGCATCGCTTCGACAGACTCCTTTGTGTCTGCTGCTGAGGTAATAAGCTCCTTTGGTGCATTTAAGACTCCTGCTCGAAGGTGGACAGAGGTGTTGGAGTCAGCTGTTGTTTTCCCAGCCAGTTTTACTCCAGTTTGGAGTAACCTGGTGTTGCCTTTAAAAGGCTATTAATGGTCATTTTTCTCCTTCCTCAAGGTGAGCATTTGAGTTTTGGCAGCAGAGAAAGCAGACATGTTAATCTCAAACCGTCTGAGGCGTCAAATAAAATTAACAGAACACAGCAGGAGAGTAATTCAGTTAGCTCTGATCCTCCTCTAAGTCTATCTCCCGCTGTTTACTAGAAGTCAGCTGATCTCATTAAGACTCTGTGTGGACTCGAGACGTGCGTCCGTAAGCTTGACCCACAAATGACAGAGAGAGACAAAGGCTACGATCCTTACAATGACAGTGAAATATGAAGGTGAAAGACACACAGGCGCACTGCTCAAAGTTAAAGACACTGCTCCTCAGTATTGGTGCACAAACCGAGAGGATCTTCTAACGGCAGTAACTATAACCCTCAATTTCCACCGCATCCGGAACAGTGGCGAAAAGGCCGCATGCGCTGATCGCAGCTGATCGTTTCCATTCAAGTTAATGTGTCAATTTCCACCAGGTTCTTTCTGTCCTGCTGCGGTTCAGCATGAAGCGGCCGATCGCCAGGGTTCTATTTTTCCAGACACCGCAACATGCCGAATAAATTCAGCACAGATTAGCCTGTGCTGGAAAGGAAGTCGGGAACAGACACAAAATAAAACATCCGGCTTCTTTTCAAAATAAAACAGGCGGATCGTATTTCACACCATGCAATCGCGGGCGGGGACGAACAAGTCAAAGGTTTTCAGACATCATTTCACCCCATTGATTCTAGAGGTCTAGAAGTAGATTTCCTCCTCTGGAAGGACGCAATCTACTGCTCGACAACACGTTATCGCGTGATTGCATGTGAATCCATGGGTTCTTGTGAATTCTTGCAATTCCTGCAGTCAAAAATTTGCCATAAAAGTCGCCTCACAAATGCATCTGGTAGGAATTGGCGGACAGCGAAAATTGCCGCCATTCCGAAGCAGTGGAAATTGGGAGTTCAGTGAATGGGCTCTATGCACAGATCCACTACTTCCTGAACTTAAGGCAACTCTTTTATTTCCTGTCTTACATTATCGGACAAACTGATTAATCCAGGTGTGTCTGACTCGTCACGATGATCAGTCACACTGTAAGACAGGAAATAAAGGAGCAGCGTTAAGTTCAGGAAGTAGTGGATCTGTGCATAGAGCCCGTTCTCCTTGGAAAAACAGCCTCAAACTAGTCCAGCATTCACAGACCAGTAGATGTGACACAGGGGGAGCTCTCAGCAGTGAAAGTGGGTCACTGGTTTTGAGTCTCTATAAATAGACCTTCTACATTCCTCACTATACAACATACAGCTCTCTGTGACTCTGCAGCTGGTTTTACTATAACTTCCACTCATCACATCAGCACAGAACACCGTTTTCTCTTTCTGCCTCACAGCTCTCTTTAGTAACCGATCATTGTACCGAAGCGCACTGATCGATTAGTCCGCATATTTTGTGTTTGGTACCTCTGTGTGTATTTGGTGCATGCATATTGAAGAAGTTCAGGTGCTGATGGATAAAGGAGAAGAGATTGATTATTAGGACCATAATGATCTATTCTGTCTGTGTTTGTACCAGCTGACGGAGCACAGAGAGCTGAGGAGCGTCCTCGCTCTGGGTCATCATCCGTTCTACGAGGAGGCACTGCAGATGGCTGAGGACGGGAAGATTTCCTGCAGAGTGCTGAGGTAATTACTGATGAGTGTTAAAAAAGAAAGTACTTTACTGGAACATGCTGCACATTTCACAAGATTTCTGCATTTAAGAGAAGTTATGAAACAGACTGAAATGACTTTAAAAGCAAATGACAGACTGACTCTCTGTTCTGGTATTTTGAGGGGGGTAGAAAAGTCCTACTCCAGCTGATTTTCAGTTTGGGACATTACAAGGAGGCGCCAGAATCAGCACAGACAGAAAGTTCCTCACAGGAGCCTTAACCTCGTAATTTTTCTTCTTTTCATCATCAGGACTGAGATGCTGGACTGTCTTGGAGACTTGGATTTTCTGGCCAAGTTGCACTGTGTGCGTCAGGCGAGCCAGGTAGAGTAAAACCTCAGATCCAGATGACTTCACATCGACAGAAATAGAGACAATCCATAAAGACAACATTGTTTCTCCGCTCTTTGTTCTCCAGCTCCTTTTGTGCGAGAGGAAGACCAGGATGTTTCTAGCTGACACTGGAAAGAAAATCCTCTCCTCCATTATTGTGAAAGCACAGAAGGTGAGATATAATTATCAAAGAGCAGAAATCCAGAGAGGAGTTTCAGCGCTGACAGTTTAATCTCTGGTTTTCAGAGCCCAAAGAGATTTGAAGAGGTGTTTGAAGAGATGATTTCCTTCCTGGAGCACACGGAGCACTGGGAGAACACCGAGGTGGAGCTGGCCACACGAGGGGTGAGAGAGCTGCTGCTCCATGTGTCCTCTGATCAGGGTCTGATCACAGTGATTCATGTTTTCTTTTGTGCTCATCTCCACCAGGTTAAACACCTGAACTTCTACGACATCGTGCTGGACTTCATCCTGATGGACTCGTTTGAGGATCTGGAGAATCCGCCCATCTCCATCCAGAACGTGATCAACAATCGCTGGCTCAACAGCTCCTTCAAGGAGACGGTGAGTTAACGCAGATGGCTATATCATGTCAGAGTTTTAAGTCAGTCTGTGAATTTTGTCGACTAGAAGACCAGATATGAGATTCTTCGCAGTTTTCTGTTTTGGGATATTTCTAAGAGATATAAATCTGTTCAATCCTCACAGGCTGTTGCATCGAGTTGTTGGTCCGTGATGAAGCAGAAGAGACAGCACATGAAGGTATTTGCTTGGCCAATAATCAGACACCAAAGTTCGTTTAAAGTTTGTCTCCTGCTCAAAGTCTCACTGTCACTGTTTTTGGTCTGCGTCTCAGGTTCCCGACGGTTTCATCGCACATTTCTACGCTGTCTGTGAACAGATCAGTCCCGTCCTGGCCTGGGGCTTCCTGGGGCCAAAAAGCTCCCTGCACGACTTCTGCTGCTTCTTCAAGGTCAGTATCAAGAATTTCGTGATATTTTTGGTAAATTCTTGCTTTAACGTGTTTGATAAAATTTGCTGTATCATAAGGATGTTAACACTCAGGTTGATCTCGTCCTTCAGGATCAGGTGCTGTTCTTCCTCAAGGACATCTTCGACCTGGATAAAGTGCGTTACTCCTCAGTGGAGACTCTAGCGGAGGACATGCTCCACCTGCTGCACCGCCGCTCCGAGCTGCTGTTAGCCTACCTGGGAGCCGACTCTCTGCGGCACGTGAACGGCTGCAGCTCCCCTCAGGTTCAGCTGATGCCTAACGGAGCCCTGCTGGAGGGGAGAGTGCAGTGAGAGGGACCTGAACCTGGGTTTGTTAAATGGATCTCTGACATGATTCTCAAAACTGGAATTCATCAACTGTAGTGAAAAAACAATTTCTCTAATGTCTGAGATCCACTCATCACGTGTCCCATCATGCTTTGTGCTCTGACAGGGACCCACATGAACTGAACCAGCTGTTTGCCTTCACAATTGTATCATCCTCTTCCTCTCCCCAGCCCTCCTTCACTGTGCCATCGCAGTGCAAGTTCGATATCTTAGCAATAACATGTCATTCGTATTTGCAGTAGATACTACTCCACTGTGTTCTGTAGAGGTCTGATTATCGCTGCTAAAACAATGTTTGTGAAGAGAAAAAGGGTATTTTATAGTATTTATTTTGCTATAGAGCTTAACAGCACTTATTTTCTTGAAGTTGTAGTTTTGTCTGTATGCATCAGTGGATTTGTGATCAGCTTCAAACATGCAGTAGCTTGATAAAAAGTTGTATTATCAAAATGTATGAGATTTAAACATGTCTGTCTACATATTACTGAGCATCAGCAATGCAAACCCATCCATGTACATACAGTGTGTTTTTGTAACAAGCAAAGACGTGAAATGTAAAATGTGTGGAGTCAGAAGTGGGTCACACTAACTCTGTCGTGATGTTGAAGTCAATAAAAAGGGAAAAGTTGTTTTCTTTATTTGGGAACTCGAACGCCTGATTTGATATTTTAAAGAAGCGGAGAGCGAGCGCCCCACGAGAGCTTTAATCCCAACATGGAATCAGCAGCAGCAGGAAGTTAAAGATTATCCATCACTGTTGTGTAATCGTACAGCTGTTTAAAAACGCGTGCTACACGCTTTCCATTTTAGGAGAAGAGCTGGAGCCTCATCTTCATCACTGATTGTTAGTAACCAGTTAGCTTCACAAATATAATACATTTTAAAAGTCTGTGGTGCTGCTCAGTCCCCGTCGTGTACAGGACATGGTTTGGGTAGTGGACTTGCTGCAGGGGGGTAAGCTTGAGGTTAAGAAGATTTTAGAGGGAGTGACTCATTGTTGTCTGTTTCTGCAGGGTTTATCTCCTAAAATGATGAATTCACTAATTTGATTTCAGGTCTATGTGGAGTTTAAGGATCCATTTTCCCAAATGTCTATGCTAAGGCTTTATTTTTGTGAGCAGTTGTTCCAAACATGGTTGAATACCTACAGTTGTAAATATATATTCTATGTATTGATTTACAGTAAAGGTGCGTTCATGGTCAGACCACAGGACAGTTCACCTCCCCACATCAGTATATTGAAGATGTGCCCTACCCAGAGAAAGTGCCAGTATCAACATGTTACTGACAAACTGTGATCACAGTTCATGTTTCTTATCAGTGGATTCAGGCCAATGCAGTGATTTCTATGACAGTTAAGTTTTTTCTTACTTGTGTCACCTGAGGGTTTAGGTATCACAATCATCCAACCACTAATGAGCATCAGCTCTGTCCCTATAGTGCAGATGTCACCCAGTCTTCCTACAATAAATTTTTTTGCAACTCTGAAATATTTCCTTTTCGATTTGAACATAGTGCTTACACCTGTTTTGTACAAACTCATGTTACTAACATACTGTTTATTGACCTAATTGGTTTAGGGTCGTCCCACCAGATTGTTTTGTAATACAAAAGTGACTGTTTTGTATCATCAGACACCGGGGGAAATTGTTTTGTTTTTTATCTCTCGTAAAATTAGAGTAACTTGTTCCAGATAAGAAATACGCTGTAAATCGTCAAGATTTTTGTTACAACTTTATTAATGAACATGGCAACATCTTAAAAGTCAGAACAACTGATTCAGAAAAAACAAAACCAATATATTGGATAATATACACAGCACATGAACCCTTGGTTACCTCTAAGGCATGCTCCTTGTTTTGTGTTCTGTCTACAGCCCCAAACATACATTGTGTGACCCTTTAACTACAGAGGAAAAATGATTTAAACCCCCCCAAAAAATGTACTGCCAATAAAAGTGCATCATGTAAATGAAAAGTACATCAGTCCCTGTCCTCATCCAACTTTCTAAAGCACATTCTCACTGACTAGAAGGTCATTTATGAAGGCATTCAAGCAGTTAAAGAAACAACCATCAGACAAAGCTAAACACACCATCATGTTGAAAAACAGAACAGTCAATCCGAGCAAGAAAACATGGAACTGACCAAAACTTTGCAAATCAGACAAGTTAAATTTCATTGCGTTGCTGTGTTTATTTTTTTTTTTTTTACCTTATCACTGGAGCTCTTGAACGGTCTACATTCAGCAGTAGGATTGACTCAAAGGATTCCTCCTTTTGGGGACAAACTACGACAGGGCCTGATTCTATGACCTAAGCTTGCAGCACCATCATCCTCCAACACTGTGAGCGAGAAGTGAAGGCAGCAGCGTTTCAATAGGAGATTTGCACTGCACTTTGAGGGCAGATTCACACCACGACAGAGAAATCAAATCATGTATTTCAACGACTTTGACCTAAGCCGGTTTACCACATTTGCTAAACTTCTGACATGGCATGCAGTTTTGATAAACCACTCAGGACTTACCAGGTATGCAAAGTTTAAGGCTAATATCAAACCATTAAGAGTTTACCACAAAAACATTTCCTTAGTGAGCCTATGCAACGACTTGGTGAAATCACTTTAACGTCATGTAACAAGTCATATCATGCAGTTCATTCATAAATCAGATCAGCTTTAAAGGGCTACTTGGAGATCCTGAACATTTCTAAGAGTAAAAATGCATTGAGGGCATATTAAAGACACAGGTAAGCATTTCTTTGCATGTCATATTTGTCATGTCACTGGACAAAAACACTTGTTTCCTTAGGTTTCGCTTACCTGTGTAATTGCAGCAGAACCTAAGGTGCAAGGTCTGGGACGACACTGCAAAGATCAGATATATAATCGCACTGTTTGCCATCAGTGAACAAGCAGTCAAATATTCTTTGCTTTTTCTTTCCTCTTGGATCTTTAAATTAACAGCCTCATTCAGAAAATGTCATTATCAACACTGAACGAGTCTTTAAGCACTTCCAGGACTAGCATTCAACATGCTCATATGAAGGACATTAAAGTAAGAACAGCAGAAACCTAGGCATGCTACACTGGAGATAATGCAAGAGGACTTTTTTTTTGAGCAATAAATGGCATTAGATAGAAAACATAACAGTCTCAACTCTAGACAATGGCACTTAACAGGTCAGGTGTTCAGAAAACGCATGAAACTACATGGACATCTTTATGAGCAGGTCCTACCATCAATGTGACGTTCAAACCCTCGGTTCAGAGATTCAACTTTCACGGAAATCCTACCGACACAGAGACTAAGAGCATCTAAATGAGCATCAGCATACTGTAAAGATTCAAAGTCTGAATATGATGTGCAGTCAACACAAGGGGAAATTAGTCTCAAACATGTGGTACAAGAATCCAGAGCACTATTCCTCTCCTCAGGACATTTCATACTTACCCACAGACAAAGGGAAAATATTTGCAATTTGTCACAAAAAAATACTACAACTTTTGCAGTTTGAAAAGCATCAAAAAAGGCGAGTGTCTCAAAAAAATCAATCACAGTTTTGTACTTACAGTATAGGAGGGCTCAACTGATGGATGAGGACTGCTTAGCCACCCCCGACCCTACAACATCTACGTTCTTAAACTGGTGAGCACTAACAGAATGGGCACAGCGAAAATGACTTTTTTTGCAGCAATGTTTTTATATTAAAAAAACATTCTTTAAAAAAAACATATTCATACATGTCAGATCGCAGTTTGAAAAAAAGGGCATGACAAACTTCAATGCATTTTTGATACAGTGACAAATTTACCTGACTGTCCTGGAAAAAGAATAGCACAAAAGTATGGATAACACTAAAAACATTTCTCAAAACCACGCTTTTCCTGAGGAACATGTGAAGGAAAACACGTGCTTACCGCTTTTCTAAACTTGCCTGTGGAGGAGGAAGTGTCTATCAAGGCATGACAACAGTGCATACTACCTCAACAATATGTCAGCAAACCAAGCAGAACTTTAAAAAAGAGAGGGCCACAGCAACGCAGCAAATGCATGTGATACGATAACACACACACACCTGTCAACTTTCTAAGGACAAACATGTCTACTGCTAAATCAAAGCAATGTCAGTGTAAAAAAATGTCTATCGACAAGGACGTTTGTTGATCTGAACCACTCGGGATCACTGCACGCACATAACGTTTCTAAAGAGCCTTATAGACAGTTGGAGAGAGACAGGACAGCACAGCTTTTTTGGACATTAACCCCCACACATGGCCTGCACTTCAAACTTTTCCCCCCTTTTACAATAAAAACATACAGAATTCATCTCCACCCTTTTGGTTTTCAAACCACCCCAACTTACCAACACAGGAGGTTTCAGTTTGTTTTATTGCAAAACACAACAGGCAAATAGCATTTTAAAACTGAGATGATTTACATGGTAATGTCTACAGTTTAATAAACATGACTTCTAACCACATTTAATGTAGATACAGGGCTGGAATGACCATATGTATAATTACCTCACTAAAAACAAAGCATTTACAAGGAAAAGAAAAACAAAAAATAAAGAAAATGAAAGAGGACGTGTTCTCCGGGTAATCTGCCATCTATGTGAAACGCTTTTCAAACCAAGGAAATTTAAGATCTTCATCAAGGCGTCTGCATCCAAACATTTAACAAAGGATTTTGTTTCGACAATGTAGCATTTACTTTATGTCCACTTCACATTACTGGCCCTGTGCAAAGAAATACATAGAAGATACATTGCATGTTAACAGCAGAAACAGTGGACTCAGCTTCCCAAAATAAAAAGTTAAAAGCCTGTATAAGGAGGGAAAGGTTTTTGGTTAAGTGTGTGACGCTGCTGGATCACTGCAACTCCTGTAAAACCTGTGGGAGGAAGCGGGATTAGGGCACAACAAAGAATTGAGTATTGAGTGGATGTGGAGGGCTGATTTTTAGTGGGGGTGTACCTGAGGGGCTTGTGGGGCTGCACCCATCGACTGAGGGTTGGCGGTGCCGTAGTAAGCTGCCTGCTGACGGTAGTACTCCGCCCAGGCAGCGCTGTAGTCGGGCTGGCCTCCGGGTTGGGAGGCTGCTGCTGCCGCTGCTGTGGCCTGAGGAGCAGCTTGACCTGAGGGGAGGGGGAACAGAGCTGGTTGGTCAATGCAGCTTATGAAACAAGTGTGGTAAAAAGTGCTGAAATGTGTCGCCCTGTTACATCATTTATGAGAAGGGGAACGAACCCACCACAGTTTTCTCAAAGTGGCAGGACAGAAACCTTCTGATTTTCTGTTGGGCGGCTGAGGGAGCAGCCACTCTACTGAAGAGGGTTGCTGGAGAGGCACAGCCACCCTTTCACATCGCTAACTGATAATGTTTTACATCCAGACATTTAAAATCAGATGAAATGCACTGAAATTCTAGATTAAAATATGACCTAACCAGATTAACAATACTGTCTGCATGTCTTTAAATATTCTTCTGCATGTTCAGCCTTCCTGAACACATGAAATCCAGATAAACGTGGTGCATCTGTTTCTATAGCAAAAACGAGACTTTATGATGTTAGACTCACAGTTCTCACCTTGTTTCTTGTAATACTCCTCCCAGGCTTTCGTGTAGTCCTGAGGTTGTTGACTCTGTTGACCTACAGAGAGAATAAAAATTGTATAAATGCAACAAAGCGCCAAAAGACATCTGATACAAACTCAAGACATTGACTCTACATTTCATCTGTTATCTCTTTAACATTCAGTGGCAGTAAACATTCATGGCACATCCTTCAGTGTTGGTAAGAGCCCTAAGATACTCTGGAAAATAAGCTACTCTAAGCTCGTGAAAAAGGTGGTTCTGTGTCGACAGCTCAGTCCTGTAGATAGTCAAAGTGTTGCAGTCTAAACAGCACAAGGGTCAATGTTAAGACAAAGTGGAGGCACAGTGAAAAGGCTCCACAGCAGGCCAGCAAAAACCCAGACCTGAAAAAGAAGCTGATTGAACACCCAGCGGCTGTTTAGACTGTCTTGTGTTAATAGGTGTACACTGAAGCTACGTTCATATACCCATTTTCTTGTAATATTCCTCCCAGGCCTTGGAGTAATCTGCCTGTCCACTCTGACCTGCAGCCTGTGGGTCACCTGTTAAAAAGAACGGTAACTTGTAATTAGTGGAGCATTCTCAGCAGTCTGTCCTCCACCTGCCTGGGTCGAGCTGTCAGCCTAAGGGGTGGTGGAAGAAAACTATCCTGTCCCTGGGGTAATATAAAAAAAATGTTTAAAAGAAAAAAAAGAAGCTTCTCTGCAAAAGCAAAGTCATTTTAAAAGGTTAAATCAAACAACTGGCCTCCTGTTAGCGACAGCAGGACGACATGAGCACAGAACACTACGGACTCCAGCTAGTTAGCTACACTATTCTGCGCTTGTCTAAGCACTTGCTGCTTTTTCTAGGGGGCACCGAGGAGCTGCTAGAGGAGGAACATGTCAGTTACCTTGGCCGTTGGCTTGAGTCGTGCCGGGAGCTCCGCTTGTCGGGGTCATGGGAGCCTGTGGCTGCTGGCTGTACTGAGCATAGTAGGCTGCCCACGCCGCCGCGTTGGCATCCGCAGCTGCTTTATCTTGACACAAGCCAGATTTTTGACAAAACCGGAGAAAAGCTTATTACATCAAATTTCAATTCCTTCACACAGTACAGTGTGACGGAGAGAGCAGAGTCAACACTTTTTCATTTGTTATTGTAAAGCTGTCCAACAATAAGAGATAACAGCAGGTACTCACTGGGATCAGGTTGTCCCTGTTGCCAGTGTGGGTAACCGTTGCCCCATCCCTGAGGCTGATAAGGCGCAGGTGGACCGCTAAAGAAAGACAACACAACACCATCAACTTTCACACCTTCACCTGTGTCTCAGCACTGCTGTACAGCTCTACACACACTCTCATGAGTTGATTTAAACATTATTTGACTAATTTCTTATGCTATACAGAGATAAAGTCTTGACTGTTTTTAAAAAGGAATCAAAAAGAAACTAAACTTCACATTAAACTAGTCATCAGTTATCCTGCTTTGACTCCTTTGGTGCTTCATAGACCTGCAAACACCCTATGAACTTGATTCATTAATCATCCACTTAAAACATGAAACTCACTGAGGTCCTGGAGGTCCCTGGTTGTATGGCCCAGGATTGTACGGACCCATGGGGGCCCCAGGTGGTCCAGGTGGCCCAGGGGGACCATGTGGGCCTGGACCTCCATGTGGACCAGGGGGACCGTGCGGCCCACCCATTGGAGTGACTGGACCCTAAAAACAGAACATTTCCCAGTCAGAAAAAAAAACCTTCAAAGTAAAAAAAAGTTAAACATCAAGTGAAAAATAAACGAACCCCGATTTTCTCCTCCACCAGCTGCCGGGCGTAGTCGATCTGTTGAGGGGAGCCGCGGACTGTGAACATTTTGATGTTGGGGTCAGCATTGGGAGGAGGATTCCTCTGCAGCTCGATCCGGGCTCCAGACTGCTGGCTGATGCCTTTGATTGTCTCACCACCTGAGGAAACCAGAAACCATGAGTGAAAAAACTGCCTCACGTATATTCCTTAAATTTGTCCACCAGTCTATGAGACAAAACAGCAAACTAGGAATGTTAACAACTTAAGAATCGAGGAATCATCTTTGTCTGAATGGAAATCTGGTTCAAAGTGGCCTCTTCACTTGCCTTTCCCAATAATGAGCCCTGTCTTCATGGTTGGGACGGTGAAGGTAAACTCCTGCAGGCCACCAGGGGGGCCCATGTTCCAGTTTCCCTGCCCGCGACCACGACCCCTGCCACCACCATGCCCAGGGGGACCGCCGGCCTGTACGCTCCTCAGCAGGTCAGAAATGATCTCTGCTGCGTGCTGCGCCTGGTCAGGGGGGCCCATGATCTGTGCTATCCTGTCAGGCGTGCTGCCATCGTCTGGAGGGAAGGAAGAAGAGACTTTGAGTTTGGTTGATTCACATCTCTACACAGAACATTAACTCCCATTTGATACGCAGTCTTGTATGTGTTGAGGTCTCAGATAAATTAGGGTTAGGGTTATCCATCACTTCTTCAGCGTGGTGCATGAGTTTTCATCACGGACCGTACACATTTTAATCTGTGCCATTATCCTTCCTTGACCGCTCAGACTCACCTGGTTTAAACTGAATTCTGACGCCTGTGTCGTTCTGGATTTTCTTGATCATCTCTCCATTTCTGCCGATCACGATTCCAACAGCAAACCGGGGAACAGGAACCTAAATGACAGAAAACAGAGTTAAGACACAGATTCAAGCCCTCAGCTCCAGAACAAAAAAGACAAAGCTCTAACTAATACTCACATCTAAACTGTCTCCTCCGCCACCTCCGACTCGTGAGCCGTACTCTCCCCTCTGCTCCCTGAAGCCCTGATCTCTGATCAGCTCCATCACCATCTCTTTGGCTTGCTGAGGGGAACAGAAAGTACAATTCATTATAGCACGGCTCTCTTGATCGCCAGCCTACAACAAGAGGTGAGTCACATCTCAAAATACAACAGTCAAACATCTTACTCACCTGGACTTTGAAAGGTTCTCCTGAAATGCGGAGCGGCTTGTCTGCGCCTGTGTTTTGGGGTCCGTCTTGGATCATGACCATCTTCACTCCGGCTCTTTCCTGAAAGCAAACAGAGGAGGTGAATGATGCCATCATGGTGTGGTAATGCTGATTGTTTGACCTGATAAAAAAGCAGTAACCACTTCTCAAACATCAACTTTCCACTGACCTGAAGGCTTTTGATGGTCTCTCCTCCTTTTCCAATGACAAGCCCAGCTTTAGAAGCAGGGACCATGATCTCCTGGACAGTCATTCCCGGACCATCATTGTGGTTGAAGGCTGGAGCTGGACGTCCCTTCTCTACTATCTCTGTTAAAAGTCTCTTTGCAGTCCTGGTGGGACAAAAAACACAATCACACACTGTATGTAAGATTTTGAACAGGACTTGGCATAAACACACAATTTAAATTAAGTGGCTGGCACACAACACAATTTCAGAAACTTTCTTTGCTTGTCTTATTAAAAAAATTGCATTTCTGCTTCAAAAACTTCAGGTTTTTCCTCTTAGGAACAATTAAACTAAAAACAAAAAGAACTTACTGGATGGAGTCTGGTGGTCCAGTTAATGTTACCGACCTATCCGGCATGCCACCGCTATCTACAACACAGAGAAGAAGCGGTTAGTTACAACTTAAAGATTACAAATTGCAAATGAAAGCCAATAAAAATCTAGCCCAATCTTACCAGGTGCGATCTGTATTTTACAGCCAGACTCCTGCTGCAGACGAGATATTTGTTCGCCACCTCTTCCAATTACTAGGAGAAATTAGGCGTGTTATTGCCAGATACCAATTACAGGTGATTAAATATTTGCGTCTGCTTTAATGATTACTTACTGAATCCAACCATTCCATCAGGGACTTTGAACTCCTCTGATAATGACCTGAGAACGACAGGATGGATCAAGGTTAGCTTTGCAGCAGATGGTTGAATATAGAAGAAGTAATAACCGGAATTTTAACTCCAAGTGCTCACCTTGGAGGGCCGCCCATTCCTCCCATTGCTGAAAAGGCTATTGAACCAAAAAAGAAAATCATTGCATTAGAGGAAATATCCCTAATCATACAGTTTCACACTGATGAGTCTAAATGTAACAGGTGGGAATGATCAAAACAAAACAACAAAATGCGTACCGTCATTTGTCGCCACTTTCTTTGTCTCTGGTTGATCTGTGGAAAAATGACAAAATAACTGGGGTAAATATTCATCATATCCACAAGCTAATAACCAACAGTTTTCTTCCATGTGAAGGGAGTGATAAGCATTAAAGGGAAGGCACACAATGAGGCACAAGGTAGAAGCTTGCACTGCTCTAAGAGTTCAACATCCATCGATAAGGGTATGGTCAGTTTATATGATTGATATATAATATATATATATATATATATATATGTGCCAAAGAAATATCCCATTCAGTCACACAATGTAATGTAAGATCAGAAGTGACTATAAACAACATGGACACCGTCTCAGTGGCATCATTCGTGTCTGATGCAGAATTTGGAGGCTTATCAGTCGAGGTTACCGCACTGGAAAAGATGACTCAACTTACTCTGGCCCTTAATCATTTCAATAACAGCTAGTGTGTTCGCCTCTCACTCCAAGTCAGCAAGCTCCAAGTTACATGAAACTTGTGACCTTTTCTCTTCAAAACCAGTGAGTGAGAAAACAATTTAGGGAGTGCCACTCGCCAAGCGGTAAACACAGCCAGCCCGGGTTATGACCGTTTCTAGCTGGAGGCTCCTTTTCTGCGTGTCACTTACCACGTTTGCTCCTAATTAGTCTATCCTATCAAGTGAAGGCGAGAAAGCCAAAGAAAATTGAGAAAACTAGCACTACTAAGAGCCAAAACATTTTGGACTAAGATGAGAGAAATGTCATATTTTCTGGATTACTTTCAGGCTTTTGGAGACAGCTTTGAGTATTTAAGGAACTGTCGTTTTTATTACTTTCTGCAGTGGCTCACATTTCACCACCAGAAGATGCCTTAGAAGGAAGTCAGGTTGTTAAAATAGCACCAAGAGAAGGAGAAGTACCCAAGTAAATAAGACAAAGCCACGTGCAAAAGTTACAAAGCTGTAAACTCGCTCAGGTTCCTTCTGCAACAGTTGCAACCAGCGTGCTTTTCTATAAGACACAACGGGTCAGCTGGAGGGTTTAGTAGAATCTGGCTAAAAAGGGGGCATATTTGAACTTGCTGTATAGGAGACAAGCACACTTTTGCCAAAAAATGACTCTCTATTTAATACTTTTGTACCAAGACAGTGACAGAAGCTTGACTTAACTGCACCAAGACTTCATTAAACCAATACTTAAAGTCAAACTGAAACCAGCTCAACCTGTTGCCCATCTTCAACCCCCATTATCAGTCTCAGGCCTATCTTTTTTTATACAGAAATAATCAGTTATTACAAACATTGTTTCATCTCCATCAGTGGACAATGATCTCACACACCTGTGAAGGCAGACAGTTAAAATATCAGATGTCAAACATGCATCTACTATTAACAGAAGTATACAATCATCTCTAATGATTAATGGATAAACAGAAATTAAGACAGATCAGTAAAACTGTTAGAATGTAAAGACTTTCTGCTTGTATTACGATAATTTGGGTACATCTTCTCATACAACAACCATTTCATATTAGCTAAAAACAGAGGCAGGCATTGATTATCTAGACTTCATTGAATCGATTTGAGCCACTGACCGATATTCAGGTTAGGCATGGGAAAATACCCACCAGCGTCCTCCAGGGGCCTTTTCTGGCCTCCGTAGCCGAATTCGTTCGATGGAGGTGCCGCTACGCCATCACCACCAATCTTCGCTGCGATCTAAAACATAAAAAAAAGACATAAAAACACATTTTAAATGTACAATCTGCATAATGTTGAGGTTACGATGTTCAGACCGGGAGACGCTGGCTGCGGCCTACAACTGTGCCCGGAGACTAACCAACAAAGGAAGGCGAAAACTTCCAGTCTTCTCACTAAATTTAACTCTAAGCACACCATGAGGTGATTTAAAACTGTTCATTTTTGTCTATTTAACCCATTTCATTTCGCTGTAGTCGCTTCTACGTGCATATTTGTGCATTTTTCGATGTGGCGTAACAGTTACCGTGAAAGTTAGCGAGTCATGGTTTTAGCTTAGCCCGCCTTGCTGCAGTATGCCGCGACGCTTAAGAGGTAAAACTAGCCATTTTCTTCTGTTTTTACCTCAATTTTGGGGGGCAGAAATGAAAAACAAATTCTCTCACCTGTCGTGCTCGTTGCAAGGCGTCTTTGAAAGCGTCGTTCATCCCACCACCGGCGTTAGAGGACGGGGGAGCCACGCTGCTGTAGTCAGCCATATCTACTGCTCTTCTCCTCAGCGAGACAAGATGGCGGGTTTCATTTACGGGATGTTGACGCCAAAACTCGCGGTGGAATGTGTTCTCGCGATAGTAACAACAGACGTTTGAACTCTATTATTTAGCTCCTGATAACTCAAACGGTAAATGCCATAACAATAGTTAGCATGTTTGGCACAGTAAACATGATGAATCAGAAATATTTCTATTTAAATTGTCGACATAACAGATTATATCGTTACTTACAATATGGGTTTTAGATCGGCTTAAGTTAAGCAGTTTTAAAATTAACTTAAATTCAAATTTAGCTCTTTTGTCTGACGAATAACTAACCAGACACGATGTTAACAAGTCATTCATACACCTTAGGAGCTACAGGGCAGGAAAGGTAAAAATAGAAAGACTGTTTCCTAAAAGTGTAGAAATCAGACAGGATTCGAGTCAGATTTTAACCTATAAAGATACAACTCCTGTACGTAATAAATGGAAGTGAAAACGCCTTAACTCTGTCATGAAATATAATTTTATTAACATCTTACACATGTGCAGCTTCCTCACTGTTTTGGTCAGTATAGTTCCCTGATGAGGTGACTGCGATAAAGGTTGGGACACAATACATTAAATCACTGTCTGATAAACCTTACCCCGTTAATTTCAACCAGTTTAAAGGTTTCCATTCATTTTGAGGAAGTCAATTTTAATACATTTCTTAATTTTTTATTTTTTTTTGCTTTAAGTTCCTAAAAAAAGTTTAGAACTCATTGCTTCATCTCAAGACTCGATTGAAGAAAACAGATCTTCAAATTTCCTAGTTAAAGTGTAGTTTATCAGAGCACATGGAATAGCCCTGACAAAGCTGGCTCCCATCCCGTTATAATATCCTCTGATTCCTCTTCTTTCATATATCCCGATAAGTCCTTGTAAAACACCTGAAGTTGGCCGCGAATCTGAGCTGAAAGCTGGAAAACAAGACAAAAAGCGATGAGTGTAATATGATCTCATTATTTTGAATCATCTCTGGAGTTTCAGAGGTTTACCTTGTGCTTGCTGCTGAGTCCTGATCACTGCCAGTGGGTAACTAGTCATCTGTCCTGAAGCGAAGGCCACAAAGCTGAAGAAAAACAGTTTTGAGTCGCTGTTGTAGGCTGGATCACTCTTTGCCCAGTTCATGATAGACTGAAATCAGAGACAGATAGTCAGAGAAGTTATAGCTTTAAAGGGAAAATGGAAAGAAAGCGGTGGGTGTCGTTCTGTCTCACCTGATGAACCGCACACTCCACACCTGCATAGGGGATCATGCAGAGAATGCTGGGCTTGAATCCTCTATAAAAAGAGGTTATTGACTCATGTCTGTATATAGATTGGGCACATGCCACAACACCATTGTAGGTGCCGGCTTGCTGTAGGTTTAACCTCACCTTCAGCACCTGTGGAGGAGAAAATAGGACAGAAATCAGCAAAACACATAACACTGATCTAAACAATCATGCAAATACAGTAAGGGGAAGTCAGATAGTAAGGGGTCATTTGAAGAAAAAAATCACATCGTGTTTTCCTCAAAATCCTTCAAAATAAAAGTCAAACTTTCAAGGTTCTTCCTGCAAAAGCAAGATCTTTATTAATCAGATTATCTGCTTCTTTTAGTTTCAGTATTTCATGCAGTAGGAAGTACAGCTCAGTCAGATTTGGGAATAAAATCTGGGAGATTAAGTCTTAAAAGCACAGTAAAGAAACTGCTTTCTAGCACAGTTTTTGCACTTTTGCTCAACTCTTCATCTCTTCACATTGTCAGGTCTAAAAATAACTGTGTGCAGGTATATCATGCAAAAATCTCTGTTACCTATCATCTCTGAAGGATTTTTCCTCCTTTGGGCTACGCATAAACTGAAATGCTGATTCTGTTACATTTTGATGTAGAAACTTTCTACAATATTCTGATTTGGTTGTTTTTAACCAACACAAGTTTTATAACTATTCTAACCTTGAATACCCAAAACATCACAGATCTTTAGGATGTGATGCTCAAAAGTAATCCGATCGCATTGAATTTAAAAGCTGGGTTAAAATCTCAGTTATTTAAAAGGAAAATGGGATTCTGTTATAAATTCAGCATAACCCTCCAGTTTGCACGTGTTGTGTCTGGACTGTCCTCGATGTGTAGATGCAGAAGGAGGCTTCGTGACACTGGCTTGCTTGTATAAGAGGAGTTTATTATAAAGACAAAACCAGTATCAATACAGCACTGCAGTTGCTGGGAGAGGACTGCCAATGATGTCCAGCTCTCCCTGACCACAGTTTGTAATCCTGTTATATAGGGTCATCCTCTCTTTGTTCCCCAGCTATCTTTTCGTTATCATCTGTTTGTTTGTTGTTTATCTAGTCTGGAATCGTGACCTGTGAACTGTGACCTGTGCTCTACAAGCACTCAACAGCCAGGTGACCCAGTGTCTACAATCCACACTTTGATTAGTTCATGTAACTTTGGGAAATACCTCGGCCTGGTATGTTGATGCTGTACTCCAGATACCACACACGTCAAACTTTTGAGGAAGATTTGGATTGGTTTTATCCAAAAACAGGATTAACTTGAAGCCAACAGAGACCTGAATTAAGGCTGGATTACCACAACAAAGTACAAGAGAATTTAAATTGGTGAAAAAAGACAACATTTTTACAAGGTGGATGATATTTTGAGGTGCTTTTGTGAGTCTTTATCCAGATCAAGTCAGTTATCTTTAAAAAGTAGGTAAAAGTGAGCTGGAAAACATGATTCCTGATTAAAACATCAACTTTCTCATGGACGTACTAACATAGTCTTTATGTCTTGACAATGTTATGACAAACAGAGGACAGGACAGAAACGTGAAAGCACTCGGACCTGCCACTGATCTCTGATACCTCTAAAGGGTAGAAGACAGCGTGAGCACCGGCCCCGGACACACACCCCAAACCGAAGCGCTGCTGCACCGTCAGAGTCTCCTGAGTTCTGTTCTGAGTGTACACCTTCATCTGCACAGAGTAGAGACGCTCTGAGTGTGTTTGTCGGATAGAAACAGTAAACTGGTACATTAATAATTCACACTGTAGAGTCTCTCTTCTGCTGGAGTCTCACCTGAGCATAGATCAGACACTGCAGCGTGGATTGAGGAGTTCCTTTTAGCACATTGACAGCGTTACCTTGCCACATTGAACGCAGACCACCTGCCTTCAACTCCTGGAAGCCTTGAGAGAACGCCTTGGACCCTTGAACCTGAAGAGCAGAAAAGAAAACACTTTGATATGAATCCTTTTGATTATGTGTTGTAATCACAAAATTTTTCATTATTAATACGAGTCAAGATGCTACAAAAACGATCTGCAACACACAATTTACAGAATTCTCTTTCTCATTTCAAAGCGGCTCTTAGCCAGCCTCCCGAATGCAAACTATTGCTGCCTACTTTGCTTTCTACTATTGCTTCTACATGGCTGCATTTAAACCTTTGCATTGGCTTACAGCTGCACACTCAGTGTCATTAGACTAAAGATAACCTCAGTGACGTGAAACGAGGCAGATAGCACTTGACATGCTATTTCTTTGCGCTTAAACATGGAAAATTATTACAAAGATCTAACAATCTGTGGTTTTGGTTTTTACTTTACTTAACTTGGACTTTGTTTGTTTGGCTCGGAAGGAAAAATGCAAAAAAATAACACTGAGAACTGAATCAAAACCACATAAAAGAGGTCTTGATTTGTCCCTCAAAGACACTAAATGACTGGATTATATGAAATCAAGCAATTGACAGTCAAATGCTTCCTTTAACAACAGTATATGTATCATTAATCCAGGCTGTCTGATAGTCAGATTCAAGAGTGAAAAGGTCCTCCTGCTCACCCCTCCTGTCAGTCAGTGGGCTTACCAGGCAGGCACAGGGTGGAGGAGTACTTGGACCAGTTTTTGCTTAAGATGACTTGTGCTTTTTTGATGCAACATTGATAAAATTTGGCAAAATGAACACACAGATACAAATAATTCAAGTTTGAGTCTGTCTGCACTGCCGGAAAAGGGGTCAGGGAGACAGTGTGTATTTGTGCCCGGGGCCTTCAGTGCAATATGCTGCACCTCTGATGCTTCAAGTGCAGAAAAAGCAAAGTAGTGTTACATGGGCGGTCCTTATTGGAGGAAGTGTTACTTTTTATTATATAAATTGAAAATAAATGGCATCAAGGGAAATTGTGACCTCAGGAGTTTAAAACTTTATCCCCGTAAGTGTAGCATGAATTTTTGGATACTGAATTCATGCATTTTACAGCAGACCTGCAGTTGTGTCTTAAGTCGATCTATAGGTGCCGTCACAGTCCTGGACACACCATCAGCCAATCCTGCGGCAAGAACAAATGTCCTCCACGCACCAAAACCAGACGCCTCCTCAGGGAACTCGATGGGCATCGCACGACTCTCACCCACGTCAAAAACCTGCAGACAGACCAAATGAACAAAAACGTTTGTCATCCTTCAATCATTGTGCTTTCACTCACACTCGAGTGGACACTTACAGTTTGTGCTTACACCTCTGCTCTGCTTGAGTATCAACAGTAACGTGAGAGTGAGAATGAAGGATGATCTCACCAGACTGTGTTTCCATGAGGACACCAGCTCCCCGATGTTGTCCACGGGGTTCAAGATGACGTGTTGCAGGAATTCACCCCAGTCCACCGTCATCGAGCTGTCTTTATCCATCCTGAGGTTCACAGATACGACAGGGACAGAAAAAAACCTGTTGGTCTGTTTCAACAAACGCTGTGAGGGAGAATAATAACAAGCAGCACAGTGTCATCTGTTGTTTTATTTAAATAAAAGATAATCAAATACTGGTTTTACACGTTTCTGGTAATGTATTACTGAAGTGCTGAAAAGTTTGTCAGATGACTCCAAACTGAAGCCCAACTTTTACATGTTGACTGACAGTTTAGTGGCTTAGTTGGTGGAAAAAAACTTCATTGACAAAGGAGTTTGAGGCCAAAACTTCTTCTACTTAAACTATAATAACAATAAGTAATAAATCATTGATCCCTAATAATATGTGCAGTGTTTGAATAATGCGTGTAACCTTAAAGTTGTTTAAAAAGTACAATTGTGTTTCTAATCCAGCTGATATTAACTGCCATAATTTCATATTTCACACATGTGTGAATAAAGAATAGTGGAGTGGGCAAAAGAAATCTTACATTTGTATAATCTGATTTGCATTCGGCTTTGATATGACCACTCCTAACTCCTTAAACAAACTTATGATGTCCTCCTGGTCAATCACTCCTGATCAGAGAAGAAATGCACAAAATTACAAACAGATACGGGCACTGCTTTTCAACTTGTCATGGTAGTGGGAAGTGATACTGTAAACTCAAAAAGTGCAAGGGTCAAACAGCTCAGGGCATTGTCTACTGTGTACCATAAACAAATCTTCTGTGTATTTTTCTTACCTGTCTGACCTTGAGCATGCATTTTACTGTCACAATGAAGCATTTAATATTGGTTAGTAAAAACTGTATGTTGTAAAAGTAGAAAAAGAAGGTTGAAAAAAAGATAAGGCTTTCATTTGGCAGTATGCAAACCGTTTAGTGTTGTAGAAGGTAGGAAGAACATGAAGAAGAAGTAAGATCTCTGAAACTCACCACACTTGTTCTTGTCAAGCTCATGAAAGTGAATTTTCCATTTCCTCTCTCTGTCCATCATGTAGCTGAGAAACTCTCTATAATCCAACAGGCCATCTTTGTCTTTGTCATAAGAGTCAATGATACTCTAAAGGGGGAACAAGACTCGTCCATAAGCAGGTTCATACCCATAAATAGATGACTTACAGCCATGCAGAGACAGCGAATGCTTTCAGAATAGATGAAATATCATTTATAAGCTTACCTGGACTTTGCCATCTGCTGAGAGGATCCCGTGTTTTCTCATTTCTTTATGCAGCTCCTCCACCGATATGAACCCATCCTTGTTTTGGTCTAATTTTACAAATAAACCGCGGAATTGATCCATGACTCGTTCAGACAATAATCCTCCAATTTCAAAAATTTAAGCTGCAAAAATGAGTCTAGCCTCTCGAGCTGCTGGTATGTTAAGAGGTCAATTACTGCATTGATAATAAGCAGTGATCATTGACCTGCCGCTTTGACGCTGACTCATAGGCAGAGCACAGAGCCTCTGCAGTGTAAGCGGTTTTCAGATAAGGGATGCACTTCCACCGAGGGACAGCAGGTGGCGCTGTGGTACAGGAGAGCAGGAGAGGAGAGCATGGTTGAAGGGCAAATAGTATGAATATGCTCCATAAATTGAAATTTCATTCATGTTGAAAGAGGCAAGAAAAATGTCTGAAATTGCACAAAGTTTGAATGAAGAAGGAAATTACCTTAAAAGGCAAGAAGGTGAGAAGTGGCATTAGTTTAAGTTGGAGTACTAGTATTAGTATGATAAGTAGTCATAGTAGTGATATTAGTAGTCATGTAAGCAGTAGAAGTAGTTTGAGAATAGAAGAAGTAGAAGTCAAAGTAGTAGAGCTAGGAGTACAAGTAGTAGTAGCAGTAGAGAAAGCAGAAATAGTAGCAACAGTAGTTGAAGTAGAAGTAAAAGTACTAGTTTAATTGATATGAGCAGTAGTTGTAGTAGTAGAAGTGGGATTTTGTCACCCCTCTAGACACTAGACTTTAAAATTCAACTTAACCTGGATCGGATTCAAATAAAGCCACACAGAGTCAAAACAAAACCAGTCTAAAATCACATTACACAAGGGCACATCTTCGTCCCTTGGGAGCAATTCTCCTCTCCTTTTATAGGCACCTCAATCTCCAACCCACCTATTACAGAGTTTATCAATGGGTTTCTCTTTTCGAATACTAATAATAATAATCTAACATTGCGCAGTGTCAGTTAAAATTGGCAGTCTTACAGCCCTTCACAGGAGCTTTAATAAGAGCATAACCCGACCTTACAGAGTAATTTATTGAAAGAATTTAAACAGTTGTTTAATTTTTGTTTTTTTTTGTTAAATATGTTTTCAGTTCTGCAATCAGAAAATATTCCCATTCATTCACAAAAACACAAAACACCAAGCTGATTGCTGATCAAACTCAATTTTAATTCAGAAAAAAAAAATTCAGGTCATTGAACTAATTTATCCACTTCATTAGTTTCATACACCACATTCACCTGTAAAGGTATATAATTTCAAACCCTTATAAATAAATAAATATAATACAAAATAAAAAACTAATAGTGTAAACCATACTCTTTGTTCCTTGTTCAAGTTTTCTCATAAATCTAAATTAAAGGCACCAGTTAATAATAACATAACAGCTATCACATAATTTTATATTCCAGTATATAGTGTAGATATTATCCTCTTTTTTATATATTGCACATTCACCATCACCAAAGCAAAGAGGTAGGAAACAGTATCTTTAGTAGGCACAGCACTTTAGAGAATTATATATTTTGTATTTTTATTCTTTCCAGGAGAGAAAGTAGATCTTCCCCTGTCCGTCACCACAGACCAGCTCAGTGGGTTTTTTAGGATTCACCTCCAGAAGCAGAACAGGACCTCCACACACAAACATCCCCACCTAGAGGAGAAAGAGAAAGAGAGAGAGAGAGAAGGGTGACATCTGTATAAAAAACAGAGCATAAAACAGCAGTTCATCGTTTTTACTTTTAATTTTCTTTGTTGACAAATCTGCAGTTTGGCTTTCGATGTAACTTTTCTAAACTTCCCAAACAGTCTCAGTCTCGAGTGTACCTGTTTCTTGGTGTTTCTGTCCCACAGCTTCACCGTCCTGTCGTAGGAGGCGGAGATGATGGTGCTGTCTGTGAGTCTGAGCACGCTGATCCTGTCACTGTGGGCCTGAGGATCAAACATCAAGATAAAAAACAGTAAAATACTCAATGTTACTGGTAGGGATACATGTAATCACTGTCAAATATAAGTGTGAACACTTTTAGAGACACTCATGGCTGATAAAGTGATAAATGAATAAAGTGATATGCAGCTCTTCTCTGGGCTCTTACAGGTTTTCTATTGGGCCATGTAGAAGGTTCTGGAGACTGGATGAACCACATGTTTCCCTCAACGTCTCCACACACAAATAAATCTGAAAGATATCAAGAAGAGGTTCTCATTGTTATTCTGACTTTATATTCATTATTAAGGTAAGACTATAGAACAGGAAGAATAGATGGTCGAACCTTGGTCCATAGTTATAGCTGTGATCAGACTCCTATCCTTCTTCTTCTCGTCGTTGTCGTCACTCTGCAGGGATGCTGAGCTGAAGTTGGAACCCAAATTCTGATTGGTGCCCAATGAAAACTGAGGGGGACAAAGAGGAAGGCTTTGGTCAGTAATAGTCAAAACAAGACAAGTGGTGGACTTCACTTCAAGTTACAATTGGATCAGAACTCACCATAAAGCCAACCTCAACTTCTCCCTCCGCCTCGCCCACCACCCACATGCTTCTTTTGTCGTTACGGATCAGCTGCATTATCCTCACCCTCTCTGTCAAACTGCAACAAAGGAAAATGTATTAAGAACTTCAATCAATCAACCCTGAAACCCCTTTAGGACAGAATCTTGTGTTACTTTGAGACCATGCTCCTCCACTTCTGGTCCTCATGAGCTGCGATGTCGACTATTGTCCCATTGAATGACACACCCAACAGGACCGAGCAGAACATGAGCTGAACCATCGAGTTTTCCACTTTGTACGTTTTTACCTTCACCAAGCTGGAGGAGACAGAAACACGGGACAGAACGGCACATGATTCAACACATCAAATAAATCAACATTCTTTTATATCGAACTGATCTCCAGTTACAGAGCGTAAACTATGAGCTGTAACAACATGAACCAAAACAACACACTTTGAACTCGCTGCTAAAATGGCAAAGATCTCTCATCTTGTGTTGGTTTGAAGGAGTGACTCTGAGAATTCAGGGACTTCTTCTCCTCTGCTGATCTGGTGCACACAGCAGAGCAGGAGCCTCATTTGTTGACAGAGCTGTCAATCATGATGTCCTACTCTTTTTATCGCTCTGATCAAATCTAAACTCCCTCAGATATTAGGACGTATTTCCATCTCCTAAATTGTTCATTTCCTATTTATCATGATGGACTCACTCTGCAGCTCTCATGTGAGGTTTTCTTGATGCTCCGTCAGTTTGGTAGAGTGATCGTTTTTACCTTGCGGTGCTGTGTTGTTCATTCCACACCAGCCTCCACACGTCCACCGCTTTTTTCATGCAGCTGACAGCGAACTTGTTATCAGGCATGGAGCAGATCGCTGTGACGGTGCTGGCTGAAGTCTGACACACAAACACAAACAAAAACACCAGCATTTAAAACCAGCTGTGAGTCCAGTATTCAACCTTTTCTCACGCATGTTCCTCACCTGTTTGTGTCCGACCACGGTGTTGTTCCACCATATTTCCAGATAACCAGATTCATAACCAACAAAGAGCAGATCGTCATCCTCCTGAGAGAAGCACAGAGCTGTGACCGGACCCCTCAGGCTGGACGAACCCTCTGAAAAGACACAACACAGAGATGAGCTGGGTCAGATTTCACAGCACTGTGACACACTGCTGACAAGATACAGAACAACACAGCGCAAACACAACTGCTGAAACATCCTGATGAGGCCCTCAAAAGGTTAAAATTAGCCGACTGCCACCAAATATGTATGAGTATATTGTATTATTATGAGTTGCAGTTCACTTTGTGTAACTTGGGTGTCGCTGTCCTGTTATCTGGGGGCTCAGGGATAAAGGTTTTTGACCGTCTTGGCGCTAATATCCGGCGTTTTCCTTGTTTGTTCAGCAAGTTGGATATTAATTGCAAAATGGATTTGGTTGTCCATCTCAATAAATTTTTTTGTTTGCTGAATCTAAGGACCAGTAGGCCTGTCACGATAACAAATTTTGCTGGACGATAATTGTGCTACAAATTATTGCCGATAAACGATATTATTGACACCGTTTTTTAAATTATAGATAATGATATTATATGGCATAATAATGCGAGTACGCCCTGTCAAAAGTGATAAACTTTAATTTCACCCACGACGAAGACGTAACGTTGACGAGCTAAACATAAGTCGGAGATGACTAAAATGTGACGAGATGAAAGTGCGTTTACGTTGATGGGACGAGACGAAAATGACGAACAGAGTTGCAAAACTCAGTCAGTTAAACGCTAAACATATAGGAGCAGCTTAGGTCCGCTCTGACAGCTCTCATCAGCCTGCTGTGCTCCTCCAACACACAGACACACACACGCGCGCGCGCACACACACGTGGAGTTTTGTGGTTGACGAAAACAAAACTGGTTTAAAGCCGAAATATCCCCACACTTGGGCTGTTGCGTTCGGTTTAGACACCAAAGCTGTCGTGTTCATTCTGTTTGCTTGCTTTTCACTCACGACGCTCACTTGCAGCACTGTATCCAAAAGTCTGTGGCTGTGTCCGAAATGGCCTACTACTCCTATTACTCCTACTAACCCCGCCTCTGAATTGAGTAGGCAGTGCGTTCACACTGTACAGTATGTGAATTTTGTGTATGCGAGAAATGCCCGGATGTATACTCAATCGGCTTCGATTTCTGAGTGTGCAACGGAGCTTGCTTCACGTACTGCTTCTGCCCCACAATGCATTGCGCACCTCAGCTGGTAATATGGCCCTCCTTCCCGAGGCTGAAGAGAAATAGATGGCATGTGATTGCAATAATAATGATATTTATATAAATAGATAAACAATATTTAGTCAGTATACATTACACAATTTTCATCATTTTATCATACTTTGATCTTTTTACCAGATTTATTTGTATTTTAAATTAGGATTATAGGTAATGTTTTTAACTATTTGTATGAATTGACTTTATTTAAGTGTCTATTAAAGATGTATTTATTACATCAAGTTTGAGCATCTTCTCATCTCTGAATGCATCATCAAAGTGGTCGCTCATATTAAGCACAGACCTCTGATTAATAAAAAGTATCTTTGGTAGAGAGCACATGGTTCAGAATATACAAACGGGGGAGTTTCCAGTTGACAATCTATGTGAGCTTTACTAATTCTTACTTGTGATTGAAAATCTGATGGTTTCTGAAATAATCATTGTACATGAAAAGAATGTAGTCGGGAAATGATGTATTTGCCAAGGAATAACCGAACGAGGTCATAATAATTATGTTGTGTGTTGGTCATTTTGCAGCCCTCTGCTGCTCATCACAGGCCTAGCAGGTGGTGTATAGCATTATCACCATGGATACACGGATGTTTGTGTGATTTTTTTCATCCACTGCCGCCCGGTTTGTGTTGTGTAGATGTTGATTATGAAAACACTAAGCAATAATTTGGAAACGTAAAGGGGGAGCTGCTGCTGCCCGGTGTTTACGGTAAATGGACGCAAACACCGACCAAGCGGACACTTCGGTCTTCGAAAACGCCGAGACAAATTTACAAACAGCCACTATTTCAAACAACTGGGCTCATAATCGTGATGTAAACACTTAGTTTCTCGCAAGAAAAAATATTATTATTGAATGAATTTATATAATTTGTCCAGAATGCAGTCGTTCTATGTAGCTTGTGGTAGGACTATTTAAATTTTCCCGGCGCTGCGTCCGGCCGGCACGAAATGCATTCTGGGGTATTTAGTATGCATCTGTATGTAAACGCTCGGGCAGCCGCGGCATACTCAAATCATCTTTGAGTAGTCAGTAGGCAGTAGCTACTGCTTGAGTAGGTAAGTAGATAGTAGGCAGTATGCCATTTCGGACACAGCCATTGTCTGTGTGCCTGTGCGCGCCTACGTGTACCTGTGCGCGCGCCCCCCAGTGACAAAGATACTGAATGACTGACAGGAGGGTTCACTAACTCCGTTCATTCCGCTATAGAGCCAACGCCCCCAGGTGCCGAGAACAATGCACAGAGTGAGACCTCTTCTCTCATCCAGCGTGTTTGGTAGCGAGAGAGGAGGAAAACAAACGCACGTCAATTATCGAGGCTGGCAAAATGACCGACCTCGTTTTTATTTACCGAGCGATAAGGCGATTTATTGATTATCGCGACAGGCCTAAGGACCAGCGTACGGACTCTCACTGATCATCACAACTCACAGTAAAACTCAGTAGCGCGGCGCGTCAACCAGGTTACTCCAGGTCAAGCATCTCAGTAGCTTAAAGTATCGACTTCGCTCCTGTAGCCACAATGTGACAGAGAGGAAATCAGGCTGTTTCACTGATCTAGAGTTTGCACCAGATTTTGATTTCCCAGTTTGGAAGCAGAGATGGAAACCTGCCACCTTTGCGTCTGACCACAGCTCATTTTAAGACCTATTGCATGCCTGCATTATCACATTTCGACGACTCATAATGTAATGAAACTAAAACGAGATTTTCTATGCACTGACAGAGCTTTTTCATAAGGTGGCTGAGGGTTTAGTTCCCTCTGGAGATGAACAGAGAAGTTACACATTTTTAAGTGAAGGAATTTAGAGATTGTCTGGAAGAAAGACAGATGACTAATTTTGAATATTTTCTTTACAAGTACTTTCATAAGCAGGCGGTAAATTCTAACCTTTTGTCAACGTCCAGCATCGCAGCGAGCAGTCTTCAGAGACAGAGAGGAATTCTGGGAGTCCCTGTTTGGGAAAAACTCCATGTATTGAGCCGCTGTGACCCTGGAAGGTGTTGAAGTGCTCCACCTGTACATGAGGACACAGAAAATTGTTGACAGAGGCCAAACTTTTCTATGTATGTTAAACCTGCAGTGGTATTTTAAAGACAAAAGACCTGTAGAGGTTTCCAGAGCTGCACAGTCCCATCATCAGACGCAGTGAGGACAGACATGTCCTCTGGGTTTACTTCTTTGTCTTTGTCTTGAAGAAACAAAGAAAAAGCAGAGATTATTTGATCTAACAAAGATATTGAGACTTCTAATATTGAGTAGAGGAGACACACAGATATGACATGTAGAGTAGAGAGAGTTTACCTGTGTTTGGTAGGATAGTGCAGTGGTGAATACGCCGTTTGTGAGCAGCGATGTGGCTGATATCTGAGTTTGTTTCCCAGTTCCAGACATGAAGTCCTCCTTCTGCACAGCCGGCCACCACAAACTGTCCCTGTACTCAGAAACAACAAACAACAAATCAACATCCAAACTTCAAGAGAGGACAGAAAAAACAGAATCTACAAGACTAAATGTTTCCTATGACCTAGAATCAACGTCTCCTCAACTCTCTCTGATGGATCATTTTCATATTTTCTCACCAGACAGCAGACAGATGTCAGGGAACTGGTCCAGGAGATTTCTTTAAGTTGTTTGCCTGCAAGCAGATCCCAAAAACAGAGCCTCCCATCGTTTGAGGAGCTGATCTGGAAGAGAGAGGGGAGCCTAATGAAGACAGGTGTTATCAGCAGGTGTTGTCAGCGTGTTTACTTTTTCTTTCTTGAACAATAAATTACTTTTTTAACACTCAAACCAGACCGATCATTTAACGAGTCACAGATGCAAGCGAACCTAAACCCCAGCGGTCTTTTTTGACGAAGGAAAGCAGTCGCTACAATAATATTTACCACACAGTCTGGAGTCCAAACACATCCGGTGATCCAGTCTCTGTGAGAGTGAGGGAGTGACTTGGAGAGAACAGCAGGAGTCACACTCACATCCCAAACCATCAGAGCCTGAAACACACACAAATACACACACACACACACCACTTTTAGTACTGTGATATACAATACCATACAACCTTTTACCATTTATAAAAAGTCTCTGTCTCCAAATCGATCACATATGACATAACTGTTCAGGGCTTATTAACTGTAATGGCTGATGTAAGTGTGACAGTTCATGCACCAAAGGACAGACTGCATCAGATTCAAGTTGCATTAAAGAAATCGGAGTTTGTATCAAACCAAAGTTCTGCTGTCGTGTCGTGATTACAGCACAAACACATTATACCTTATCTTTTCCACCAGAGAGCAGCTGTTCTCCATCAGGGCTAAAAGACAGACATGTGACCCCCCCGGTGTGGCCGTACAGCTGAGCACGAGGTTCATCGCAGGAGTCGTCAGCCAGCTCACTCAGCAGATAGAGAAAAACAGAGCAGTCACCTTAGACAAGAGGAAACACAGAGAACAAGTTATTCACAGATTTTCCTCCAGGTTTAAGTTTCTGCAGTCATGTTTCGACTGTCACTCACCTGAAGCCGTAGCCAGGTATTTGGAGTTTTGTTCTATTGCCTGAATGGGCTGATTTTGGTGATAAAAAACTCCCTTCTGGTCCAGACCTCCCAGGAGCCCCTTCTCTTCATCTGTCTTTTTCCAGACCCTCAGACGTATGTCGCTGCCTGCAGACACCAGTATCTCAGATTCGGTCTGCTCTGGATCCAGATAGATCCACTTCAGGCAGGGAACTGACACCGTGATGTCCCCTGAGTCCCAGATCTTTTCACCTGTGATAAAACAAAAGAAGAGAGCCTCTGTTTGTGACGTTTCTGGAATAATATTATCTCAGTTTGAGCAACGTGTACAAAAGTCACATTTACATGGGCAAAATTTCTTGATTCGATTGAAAATTTAAAGGATCTGATAATCTGAATCCACTGGTTATATGGGTGCAAAATCAAATAATTCAATAATTTGTTTTTACGCCTGTGCAATCAACAAACCGACAAACGCAGTAGTGGCTCACTTTATCCAATTCAGGAGTTTCCCCTCTGTTAAATGCTGTCATTAGATGGCGCCCTCGCTTACTTATTTTACTGTTCTGTCAAAAGTTGCGCTGTGCGTGCAGATGTGACATCATCATGCTGTGACATGCATCCTTGTTATGTTATCAGAGGAGCAGGCACGGCAAGTGTTAATAATGAAAACTCCTGAACTGACCTCAATAAATAAACCAAAGGCTCAAGAGTGAAGATCGAGTCAGGTTAGAGAGTCATGTTCAGAATAAGTGTTTACATGGACGCGTTTCAGAATATCAATCGGCATAAACCACACCTCTTGATCGGAATATAATTTCTTTCTGATTGAGCTGCATTGGATCAGAATCTTCCATCGACATGTTTACATGACGCATTTTTATTCCGATTATTTGTGCCCATGTAAACGCAGCTAATGTGTTTAAAACTGTCTTAAGGAATTTGGTTGATTTGAGATGCATGAGAACTGGGCTTTAAAATACTGTGTCTAATATTCTGTCTGGTGTTGTCCGATTAAGAAAATCTGTAATTTTCTTTTTTCATTTCTTTGACATTGAACCCACCTGTCTCAAGACTGAAGAGTCTGACACCGTCACGTTCATATCCCACTGCAGCAAAGTCTCCATTAACAGCCACACACAGAGCAGCCGGTACAGACGTCTCACATTTCTGTCTCTTACGGGGAGGCTCCTGCTCGCACTAAAACATAAATAAAAGTTTTAGATATTCACCTCTTATCACCTAACATCAGCTGCCTTCAAACTTATGCACAACTTTTTCAGTTATGACATCTATCCAAGAAGACAAACCTTGAGCAAATGCACAAAGAGCTTACCAAATCACGATTTAATGTGGTCATCGAACGGCCAAGTCCCCCTGACCAGAGATGAAGCTGTTGGACAGGATGAGAAGACAGAGAGAAAGAGAGGGACTCTCATTGAAATAATAATATATAATAAAGTAATATATAGTGATCTATCTTAAAATGTTAGAAATGTGCTGATCCAAGCTTCAGGCTAAGATGAATCTTTCTCTTGTTTTTTGTAGCTGGTGTTTTTAAGTCCCACCGGCCGACTCATATTCATTTTCACGGACTAGTGGGTCAGGAACTGCTCTCATTTCCCCCCTCAGTGTCAGATATACACAATAATCATGGTCCTTAATGGAAAATGGGCACAGGAGCACTGCTTCAACTTTTCCTTGAAAAACAAGATGCCAGCTTTTACAGCAGGGAGGCTCCATGAATCCTTTAGTGTGGCTGGTTTAAACAAACAACTGTGTTTACGGCATTCAATGGTAAGAAAGATATGTCCAAGGTGGATTACTCTTGTAGTGCCAAGCAGGATTTTTGAATATTAGAAATAAATAAATTTCAGCCAAACAGTACTTATGTCGTTTCCTCACCATGTGATCAGAGCCAGCACTCAGCAGCATGCTCCCTTCATCCACAAAGGTGAGAGTCTCTGTGGCTCCGCTGTGAGCCTGGAAACATCCCACACAGGTGGAGGTGGGCACCGACCACACCCTGACCTCTCCAGACACAGAGCCGGAGCAGAGCATGGAGGAAGAGGAGGAGGAGGAGGGAGCGAAGGAGAGGGAGCGAACAGAGCGCTGATGACCGGACAGATTCTGAAGAGAGGTAGAGGAGAAAAACAAAGAGTCATTTTTACAGCGGTACTACAACCTCAATCACATGAAGTTCAACAGGAAACAGTCTTTATTCAACTATATATGACAAAAAGTCAAAAAACATCAGAAAATTAAAGTTTTTAAGGAGCAAGATTCAAACTTCACACTCCAGAAGATGTGCAAGAATCAATCTTTATCTGCGTTCTCCTGTACCTGCACAGGTTTTTGCAGTTTCAGAGTTGTTCACAGGACCTCTATCTCATTTTTCTCGGTGTGAATTCCAGCGAGCGATTATTTTTCATTTTGATTCTCTTCATGAAAAACTTTTTATCTCTTTGTTAAAACTCACTGTGACGGTTTTATTCTGGAGCCAGTTCCAAACGATCACATTCCCATCCCAGCAACCTGCAGCCAGCAGGTGACCATCGGGGTCAAAGGTCACACAGTTCAAAGGACTAGAGCTGTGAAAGGCTGCAACTTCATTACCTTTAGCCGAGGACCAGACCTGGAGGAGAGAAAATCAGCTCATCATAATTCAAAGTGCTCAGATTTGTGTATATTTTAACAACTATAGTGGTTTAATGACATTTTTCAGAACTAACTTTTAACATGAAGTCTAAGGACACGGTTGCGAGGTTCTTCTTGTCCGCAGTGATGTCACTTCCTGTTATTGTGTTTGTGTGGGCATCAATGAGAGCGGTCCTGCAAAGAGACGAAACATGAGTCCGTCAATTTAAACTACATCCACCAAAAACAGACACCAAGTGATTTAAACAGGCAAAAACTTTCTGTCCAGCCCTCCTCTCACCTGCAGCTGTTCCCGATGTCCCAGATTTCTATCCGCCCGTCATAGGAGGTGGTGGCGAGGCGGCCATCTTTGAGAAACACACAGCTCGAGATGCCGTCACAGCTGCTCACCAGAGATTTCACTTCCTGTTCAAAACCAGAGGAGAGTTTGGATTTTATCATCCGCTTAAGATCACTGCAGACAGTCTAATGTACAACCTATTTTGATGAATGTATTTAAATTGGAGTCTGAACTTTAAACAAGAGAACTTATTTAGAGTTTTCAAAAAGTGAAAGATGACCTGAAAGAAACCAAAAGTGAGTCCATCGAGGTGACAAGATCTGTGAAATGCTAAAATCTGATCAAACTGATCCGTCTCAATAAAAGTAAAAGAAGTTTGTTCAAACCTGTCCAGTCTGTGTGTCGATGAAATGCAGCGTTCCCTGTCCGGTGCTGACCACCATCAGATCTTCATCTGGACTCACAACCACACAGGTCGGTTCAGAGGAGAAGGTCGACACCAGCTCACTGAGATTTAACACAACACTTTTCTAAAACATTCCTCCACATGAATACTTACTTCAAACTCTGAACACAGAAGGTTGAACAGAAACAACTGCAGTCCTTCCAGCTTACCTGGTCTCCTGCTGAACCTTACTGTCATTATTCAGCCACTCCACGACACGGACTCCTCCTTTACCCATCAGGCCCTGTGCCCAGGTGTGAGCAGAGGTCTCCGGAGGTTCGTTGAGGGCCTGCTGGATGAAAAGAGCCGGCCAGGAGGAGAGCAGCTGAGAGTGACGCTTCAGGAAACTACGACAGTCTTCAAGGAGACTTTGGGAACCGCCTGAGAGACAGAAGAGAGACGAGCTGAAGAGGAATGAAGAAAACTTGGAAGAATATTGTGAGTCGGTTAGTTTTCAGAACTTACATGAGGATGTAGAATCACACTCTTCATCTACAGAGAGGGGAACAATTTACAGGATACAAACGTTAATTTAGAAACCCGCCGTTTACTTTCATCACACAGTTCAGTCATGCACACTCACCGTATGAGCTGTAAGTCTGCAGGAGTTGGTGCAGGAGGCCGTGACGCACCTGAGCGTACACAAAGTAGAAGCTGGAGAGCAGAGAGTGAAGAGCCTCCATCTGATCGCTCTGAATCTGGAAAATCAGACATGAGTTCAAATCTACAGGACAAAAATCTTATCTTTAATTTTCCTCTCAACATCGTTTAATTACATATTTCTCATTTAAAACCGGTCATTATGATAGATGTGTCAGACCAAAAGTCTACACACAAAGGGCTTATTCTCTGTACACCTTCAAACTCATTTAAATATTCATGTCAAAGCATTAGGGGCTGCTGCAAACATTGTTCTCATGTGTGTTTCAGAGACTGCTCACCAGGTTTGAGGGCAGCTGCATGACTGAGTCGGCCTCACAGTGCAGGAAGGTGTCTGCTCCCTGAGGGTCGGCAAGAGCCCACAGATGAGCTGCACAAGGAGATACAACGATGAAGCTAGAGTAAACTTATTTTTAATATTTTGATAACTGTGTGTGTGTGTGTGTGTAATCTACCTCCAAGTACAAGGTGAGCTCTGGTTCTGTCCCGTTCTGTTGGCAGCAGGAAGTCCTCAAAGGCCCTCCTCACCTCCGGATTGGTCAGAACCAGCAGGCTGTCAGTGTTGTGGCAATGAGACGAACCAATCAGACTGTATAAAAAATACAAATTGAGGTCTGTAATCAAATGTTGGACCTCTATAGAATCAGATTTATTCCTTTGAAGAATGGTGTCGCTCTCTGCTGGCCAATAGAAAGACTGCAGCTTTGAAGTACTTCTACTTGTGACCGGTATAAAAACGACCCTTCCCATGAGCTCAAACTCAAGCTCTTACCTCTGTAAACTCTGAACTACACGAGTGAAAGTCGCCATGGGGATGCGTCCTTTAGGGTTCCTGGACAAATGCAGAACTTCCTCCCACTTGGCCTGTCTGTCCCGTGAGGATAAGTCATTACATGTGTTCAGAACAGAGTACAAGTCTCCCTCCCTCAGACCTGAGGATGAAAAGGACAAAAATGTTGCTGCTCACGGAAATCAATTTAAAATGAGGGTGAAACAGACAAAATACTTGACAAATCCTACCAGTGGTGCTGACAGTGAGAGCTCCCAGGGCCCAGCGGAGTCCCAGCATGCCTCTGTACTGTGAGCAGAGTCTGTCCAGGCCGTGCTGCACCAGCTGACTCAGAGACTGAGGTATCCCTTTGAGGTCCTCCTTCAGCTGAAAAATAAACAGAAGTGGAAATCTTACAATTTTATCAAAAAGATGATGCCCATGAGGATCTATCAGTTTCACCCCGAGTATTTGTAAAACAAAATAATAACCGATGATAGAAACCTATTTGTTCCATTGCACTTTGGGCGTGAAAGAAGTGTTATTAGACCTTGTCAAAGGAGGCGTAGTTCCTCAGGTCTTCACAGGCCAGGTGCAGGTAGAGAGGACTCACTGCTCCTTTCTTCATCATCAGAGTCTGGAGCTGCACAAGCAAAAACAGCACCGATGCGGTCAAAAAAGAAAAGTAATACGTACATGAGAGAAGGTTTTTATGACACCAGAAGGAGACACGTGGGATAATCAGAGTTCAAGTAACATATACAGCGTCAATAATTCAAAGACAAACCTGGTTATTGAACGCAGACTCGCTGAGTTTCTTCCCAAAGGTGTCCAGTCCCTCCTGAACGATCTCTCTCCGGTCCTGCATGGTGAGCTGACCCAGAGAAAACAGGACAGAACTTCCTCTTTTGGTCAGAGTTTGCAGCAGAGCAGCTCTGGATGGGACGCTCACTACTAAACAAACACCCTGACGAGGAAAGAAGCAGAGAAATACATGATAAAATTAAAAAAATGAGCCAAAAATATTAATACTGTTAAACCAGACCTAGAAAAAAAGGTACATATTTTACTGTCTATTTGTGTATTTTATTTGTCACTAACCTTTGGGAGCTGCTGTGGTATCCAATCAGAGCAGAGCTGGCCCTTCTTGTCTTGGAGCAGATCCACTCCATCAACCAGCAGCACCAGAGGTTTTTCTTTCTCTATGTCACTGATCCTGGAGTGAAACTCTGACAGCAAATCTCTGTAATAAATAATTAAAGGAAAGTCAAAAGTTAGTGTAAAGAAAAAATGGACACACCTGGAGACTCAACCAAAGACCATTCAAGATCTATCTACCCGTAAGAATGAGGGAGAGCTGCTTCCTCTTCACTATCTTTCATTTTCCGTAATAACTGAATAAGATACTGAAGCAGGTTCTCCACAGAGCGAGCTGATTGGCTGGCAGCTGTAGAGTAGGAGATGACGTCACAGATGAACTTGGTCTTGGACTTCACTCTGAGGGTCCTGAGGGTCTCTGCTAGAGCAGCCTGTATGCAGACAGAGAAACATGTGTGTCGTTATTCTCAGAGGAAAATCCTCAAACATCACAGTTCAGTGTTTCAGAGCAGAACTCCAAAAACAAGTACCATGAAGACAGTTTTTCCCTCTCCAGGTCCTCCCTCCAACACCATCATCCCTCCTTTAGTCTGGACCTTCTCCACCGTCTCCACAGCTGCACTCAGCAGCTTCTGTCTGCCAAAGAACTGTCTCTGCAGCGCCCCCTGGTGCACCTCCTGCTCTCTCACACCGGACACAGCCTCGTAGTTGTCTTGCTCCTGTTACATGGAGAATAAAAAGATGTTTATCTGTAATCTTCAGCATGTCAACCCAAATTCACAGTCTAAACAGTCCACATTCAACAGTCAGATTCACTCACGTCAACAAAGTGCTTTAAAACAGCCGTCCACAGGTCTTCCAGCACAGCTTTGCCAAAGTCCTCCAAGTTTTTCAGATACGGTTTCCCGTCCACAACACCTCCCCACTCACACAGGTAACTACGACAGACAAAGAAAAAGAGATTCAGTGAAATAAAAAACAATAACTCTCTGAAAGTTAATTTTACCTCAAACCAGAGTCTCTGCAGGTTTCAACCAGTCAAATTTAAGACTTTTTAAGACTTTTTAAAGACTGTAACGAAAACAATTTGAGACCCATTTAACATCCATAATACATGAAGGGAAATCAGAACATTTTACATGACTTCAAATCAATCTTTATTCCTCTGGCACATTATTTATTTGTTAGTAGAGTTCATATGTTTTTAACACCGTTCAAAATCGCGTTTAAGACATTTTATGAGATTTTAAGAGAATTTTTGGACATTTTAAGGCCTAATATTCAACCTATTAGATTTTAGATGTTTTAAGACTTTTTAAGACCCCATGGATACCCTCCAAACTCACCTCTCAGTGACCTTGACTTCACTGTTTCGTATCATCCTCTTCAGAGAGGTCATTTTAGACTCAGCCTCCTTTGATTCAGGAGCAAAGTGAGATCTCCACGCCACAGGTACAGATCTGAGTAACACAAACAGAGTTTAGACAAATAGAAAACGCTCTCAAGGATTTTTTGTAAACTCCAGTGTGTCACTGCATCAAAATCAACTTTAAAGAATTCCAAATACTTGAAAACATGATAAAGACAATCATCAGTGAAACAGCTGCTTATGAACGTGAGCATAGATAACATACTTGGTGATGTTTGGGTCTCTGAAGTAGCAGACCATCCGCTGCTGTGCTGTGTCGGGGTAAAGAGCCTGAAACTGACGGATCTCCATCTCTGTCATGGACATGCCTGCTGGAGCCTTCACCAGCTGCACAAAGGGAAACAACAAAGATCTGACTGTCATCTGTGAACTCAGCCCTCCTCTAAAACTCTTCAAACTTCTCTTCACTGTCACCAGTCTTACCCAGCTGTACTGGGGCAGGTCAGGTAGGTCCGGTTTGGGAGGCACCAGGCCGTACCTCTCTCCCAGGATTCCCACCATCATCTGACTGCGACAAACCTCTGACAGACACAGCTCTGCGGCTCGCTCCGACTCCTCCTCTGTCACGCCCCAGCGCAGCTCCACCTCCTGCAGGTAGAGGCAGTGTTGAGCGGCACGACGCCTGAGCTCTGGGAACACGCTGCGCACCAAGATGTCCCGCTCGGCGTGCATGTCTCTGAAGGTGGAGGAGACAAACACACGGACACCTCTCCACCTGGGGACAGACGAGGGAGTCAGTGTTGAAGTAGTTTTAAAAAAATAGAGATCTTTGACGTTTGAGGTTCGATTAAACACACAGAAACTACCTTAACTTGGGGCTGGCAGGGATTGGGACAACTTTGGCTGAGCTCTGGAGGCCTTCAGCGCCCTCTGCAGGTGGGATTTTGTAGAGTTTGTCCAAATGCTCCACATGGTCAAGCAGCCTGGATGATCCTCGCTCTGCCACAAACCTGGACAAGTTGTAAAATTAACGATTAAACACTGCATGGAAAAGACTTACTAGCTTTCTCGATGACTTGAAGAACTTTACTAATATCTCATATCTGTGGGATAAATGCGAAACATCTACCTGAGTATTTGTTCACTGAAGCCCGTGAGACTCACACTGTTCCTCTCAGGTGTCGTCTCCGTGCATCTTCAAGAAATGAACACAACATCATCTGATATCATCCAATCAAGAAATGTAAAAAACAGAAAGGGAGACACATTTACATTTATACAAGTTTGACAAAAAACATTTAAGCACACACCTGTGTCCCCTGTCGAAATGAATCACCAAAAGGAGAAGAAAGGAGACATGTTTTGGTCAACAGAGCGAAAGATTGATCACTCTGGTTTTGTTTTTGTTCTCATTTTGTTGTGATAAGTGAGATTGATGTGCTTCTAAGTGAGGCACTTATTTTATTTTATTCTTAACTGTTGTTTTGTGTGGTTTTTTTATATAATTTTTTTAACCATGTCCAGAAATAAAGAAAGAAAGAAAGAAAGAAAGAAAGAAAGAAAGAAAGAAAGAAAGAAAGAAAGAAAGAAATCTGAATTTACCCTTCTGACATGGAGATCTTCACCAAGAGAGATTTGCAGTTTACGTCCGCCCTGTAGCTGTTGATGGCCCACTGGATCGGATGAGGCACGTAGTAGTCACTCAGCACGATGATGTTGTCGATCTAAGACACAGAAACGTTTCCCCGTTCATCACACTTCACATTTAACGACAGACAAAGTCATTCATTCTTTCAGAAGAAATACTCATTTGATGAATTATCTTTACGCAACTTTGAAACCGCCGGAGAAAAACGCACATTTTTTAATCACTATGAAAATAATCCCTCTCAGCGTTTGAAGTCAATGAAAAGTAAAAATCTGACCTTGCTTTTGTTGTTGAAGAGTGCGGCGAGGCTTCCTTCCTTGTTTCTATCCAATGTCTGTGGATGAAAAGTATTACTTTGGGTTACGGGTTATTCAATCAATGGTGGAATTGGAGGGCTTTGTAAGAGATTTTCATGTGTTTAAAGGACTCAAAATAAATAAGAGATATAAAACGAAAAAAGCCTGACCTTCATTTGTTTGACCACAGTCCTGACATTATCCAGAAGAACATCAGACTTCAGCTTGACTTCCTCACTCATACGCCAATCATAAATGTGCAGCTGACAGTCTTCAGCGCTGCTTTCAATCATCAGAGAAAGCAAAACTGCAATCTCCTTAACCTGCAAGGATGTAAGAACAAAGAAATTAAGGAGAGGTTAGACATGTGAGGATTTCGAGGATTTCTTCTTGTCAGTTTTCGTGTTAAAGAGCCTTACAGATGGAGTGAGCTTATCCTCGTCTTTCTTTTTGTCCCTCCTTCTCCTCCGGCTCCTCTCCTCCTCCTCCTCCTCCTCCTCATCGTCTTTTTGCTCAGGGTCTGGTGGGAGGCAGAAGTCCTGTTTCTCAGTCATGGTTGTATTGTTCCTCAAGTCTGTTGGCAGCAGGATAACAGTCCGTCCGGGGAGCGGGGGCACGTTGTAGCGACAGGAGAGCTGCACGGCCGTCTCCAGAGCTTTACGGTAACGATCCAGAAGGTCAACGGTGAACAGCCTCTCACTGGATTCACACACACACAGAAACAGTGACACTAAGTTATCATGGATTTTCCTTTTTTATTTCAATCCTGTTCATTTAGCAGGTGAAAGAGCGGTGTATAAATAGTCACTAGTCTGAAAACTTCTCTTGAATCTTGAAAACATTCACATACTTTGCTTTTATGAGCTGAGCTTTCTTTGTTTTGTAGAGTCTGTAGACAAACGGTACTCCGAGCGTCACCCTCAGTCTTTTCCGTCCTGCCGTCTCCCACTCCATTTGCCGAAAGCGTTTGCTCTTGGGAATCTTCTTCAGGATGTCCTTCAGGATCTCGTGAACAGGGGGGATCGCCAGCACTGATGCTGAGGCTAGATCACAGAAAGGTAAAGAGCGGGGGCGGAGTTTTCTTAATTATACAAATCTTGGTAATAGCAGCGTGCATGTGCGGGAATCATCTAAACACATTTTAGCTTTACTCTTGACCATCTAAATCTGTTACTAATAAATCTTTTACTTTAATCTTCAAATCTCGTGTTATTTGTGTGTGTTTCACTGTATCTCACCTAAAGTTTGAAGCTGCATGATGACCTTGTAAGCAGCGAGAAACCTGAAAGGAAACTGTCGGCTCTGAATAACAGCTTTCTGTAAAGACACAGAGAAAGTAGCAGTTACAAAAAATGACTGAGTCCATGCTTTCTTTTATTTTGATGGATCTGACCTTGTTGGTGAGTCTGCTGAGGATCTTCTTATGATGAGCTTCACTGATGCCTTTGATAATCATGTTCCTCAGGTTCCTCAGCATGGCCATGAATGGAAGAGACTTGTTGTCTGAATAGAGGAGGCATTATTCAGCAATATGTGGACACGTCTTTTACAATTTCTTTGTGATGTTGACCCTTGAAAGTTAAAAAGACAGGTTAAGTTGGTCCAGTGGGAGTCTCGTCTCCTCGCGAAGGAATTCCTCCACCAGAATGACCCACTCATGCTATACAAAACCCCTTACTTCAGGGCTATTTGGGCCCCCGAAAAACAATACTTTGAGATTGAAATAAAATAAATAGGAGGAACTTGGTGAATGGAAATCATTGCTACGAACATGTACTGTAAGTAAAAACTCATTCATTGATATTTGCACTTGGTATACCTATGAGTTTCTCCCAGGTAGCAGCCTTGTTTCCCTCCTGGCTGAGCAGACGCTCCCACGTCTCAGGCTGCTTGAGCTTCATCCGCTGCCCGGCTCGCTCCCTGTCCCATGAGCCCTTCATCCCACTTTTAGTGAAAGACTTTGAATCAGCAGGATACCTGAGAACAACACAGGTGTATTTTAAATCAGACCAAAAAACAAACTCTTTTTTTCTTTTCAAAATAAATGACTAAATACTGAAAATACTAACTTTCTAATTTTTACCAATACTATTTCATATTAAGTTAACAGCCCTGCAAATTATACTTGAAAAAATCATCATGTAAAACTAATTAAAAATATTTTTGTGATGTAGATTTTGAAGATTAATCATTTCTAAGTATTTCAGATTAAACTTCGATTAAGCCCTCATTACTTTGTCCATGTATGCAAGCATATAATTTTTAAACATCAAGTACATTTTGATGCACTTTTCACTCAGATAACGAAAAATTGAAAATGGAAAATACTGGCAGTTGAATTTTTTTTTTTTTAGGAGACAAAACATGTACTATGTAATAATGTGTACATACATCTTTAAATGTCCTTTTATCTGCTCTTGAATACAATAAGTCATTACATATTATGATGATAAACACATAAAAGAAGAAGTTAGAAATTATCAGAATATAAATATATCTGTGTTTGTGTTGCTTACTTTTTTCCCAGGATGGCCATAACGTGTTCAGCCGGGTCTTTAATGTGAAGCCTCTTGATCATCTTCTTCATACTGAACTCACTCTGCTTTTTATCCACCACTACCTTGCTGCCGTCTACCTGCAACTGCACAAGCGCATTCAACAACAGAACAAATTAACTCTGCTAAAATAGAAACAGAAATATAGAAGCACTTGAAAACTCTGCCAATAAGGCTCAGATGTATTTAAATTTAATCTTCATTAGAAATCGCTTTAAAAACCCTTAATTCAATTCAGTCATCTCAAGCTGTAAAAACAGTTAAAGCAGTTACTGACACACAAAGATAAGTGCTGTTTATTTACTTACAAACTTGGAGAGCATGGTTTTGTCTGATCGTAACAGGTTTGCCCACTGTTGCAGCTGCCGACGGCTTGCTTTCTAGGATGTGCAGCACAATATATGAATTAGAAACACGCCATCGATAGATAAAGCCCGATATGGATGCTTCTTACCTTATTTTTGGGTCTGTTGCGGCTGTGTTTGCAGCGGTGTTTCCGTGTGTTATATTTAGCCAACTGGTACTCATTGAACTGCTTGAACTTGTCGACCATCGCCTTCTTTAAGCACATCGGCAGAGAGCGGCTGAAACACTGGAAACAGACAAATATGGTGTTTCAACTAGAATAATTTAATTGCACTAATAAATTTTGTCACTATACCACACTCATGATTATTATTTTATATAATTACAACCCTAGCATTCAGACGCTCAGAAGCACTTACAGTGGTGTAGATTCTGACGACTTCCAGCCAGTCTGAGGGCAGCTGTACGGCGGCACAGAAGTATCTGCGGACATGGGACTTGGTGGACGGTTGATGAGCAGCCAGAGCCAACAGGAAGTTTGCTGTGATGCGGATGTTCAGCTCCTGTCGGGCGTAAACTGCCACCTGAAAACCCCAAAAATAACAAGAAACTTACATGATATAATACTGACAGTTTTTTGACATTATAGAAGTGAGACAGTCCTGATAGGGGTGGAAGATCTGCAGGTTCAGGTGTGGATACACACCTTGAGAAGAAACTGTGGGTCAGAGTCTGAAAGGTCCTTAGCCAGGTTCGTGATGCTGGTCCAAACACTGTTCTCTGAGTCCCACTCCTTCTCACCTGGATTTGTCTTCTTATTGATGAGGGAGCAGCACACAGCGTTCAGCAGGAGATACTGAGGAAAAGATTACATACTGTCAGTTTACGTGATAGAGAGTGACACAGTGAGGTTTCACCACTATTATAAATGCAGACTTCTAAAACCGTGTCGTCAAAATTATTTCCTCCTACTTTTTTATCCTTCAGCTCCTCTGCAAGTTGATCATTTCTCCTCTCCAGCTCAGCAAATTCCTCCTGTCTGATGACCAAAGACTGATCAGGTTCTTGGTTGGCCAAATCTGTTCCCAGAGTAGCTAAATCCATGGGTGACCCAATGTTATCCTTCTCCACAACCTCCTCCTCCTCCTCAGACAAGTATTCATCATCTTCAGAGTCCGTCTAATGTAGAGGAAGTAAAAAAAAAAAAGTACTGTCAAACGTATAACATTTTAAAATGGACCATTATTGAGAAGGAGCAATGGAGATCATTTTATGTACCACACTTGTATCTTCAAAAGAGGACTCTGCCTCTTCAAATGATTCTTCTTCATCAGTGCCCTTCTGTTCTCCCAAAACAAGAAGACGAGAAGGTTCGGCAAATCCACTCTTGGCTGTAGAGAGCAGGGGTTCATTTGGGATGGTAGTGCATGAGGTCAGGGAAATAGAAACAAGAGGCGATTTGCTTACGAGGAGCTTATTCTCTGTGCTAAGGAGAGGAGAGGTGAGGGAGGGTGAGAAAGAAGAGGAGGAGAGAAGGGAGGAGGAGGTGGAGGACAGGCTGGAGGGCTGCAGAGCAGGACAAGAGGAAGGCTGCGCTTCAAGGTTTAAAAGTGGGGGGATGAGTGAAGAAGTCTGATCCAGGAGCTTGTTCTCCAGACGTGGAGGAGTGTAGTTGGAAGATAAACTCCTCCCACATGTGGTCTGCAGACGTTGCTCGCCTTGAGACACATCGACCGGCTGCAAAGTCAGCGCCCTCATCTCTGCGGAAAAGAAGAAAACAGATCACTCATATCTGAGCCTCTCCTCTTTATCACACACACACACTGTACAAAGCTTCCAAATCCTTTTAGACAGACAAGTCGTCCAACAGCATTTCTTTAACTGTTGAAACAAGCTTTGTATTTCTATAGCCGAGGGTGTGTTACTAAAGACAACCATAAAAAGAGAGCAAAGTCTGGAAATATAGACTTTTTTTATGGTTCCACAGGACACCAGGAGAACAATTATGTGAAAACGTGCAACAAATTGCACTATGAAAGTCTGAAATCCTCCAAAACTGCAGTAAAACTTAATTTGATCTAGTCAGAAAAGTCAGAAAATATAAACTTTAATGCACACTAAAACTGATCAAACTCAAAGCTCTTAAATGCAGAAATATTAAAAATCATAATATACAGCTTTAGTTCAGTTTAGCAGTAAATTCTAGGATATTGCAAGCCTTTTCTGCATATTAATAAATCAGTTCATTACTTCCATCTACTTTGAAATTAGATTAAATGTAAGTAAATTCAGATCTTCTTCAGCCAAGACAAAACATTCCTAACTTTGCTATCATGTCCACACAGACACTGGATTATACCTCTGTGAATAAAGTGAGACATTAAACAATCACATCAGTCAGGATGTTTTCTCATGGCCTACTTCAAGTTCTCTGAAATGACTCAAGAGTTTTGGGGTGTGGTGTTTGGCTGTGAACACTCAGATCAGATGACGGAAACTCACCGCAGCAGTCCCTATATAGCCTCCGCAGACAGTGCTGACCGTAAAACAGGTATCCTCTTGTGTTTAATGTCGGCGTTTGATCTACTGCGGTGTTAGCATCTGTTTCTGACGCCTATTGGGCTAAATGGAGCTGCTGGTTTACAGTAAATTTCCTCCTAGGAAGCAGCTGCTTCTCGGTGATTGGTCAGTATTATTGTGTACTTTTTTACCGTAATGGCAGGATTATAGGCGCCGATGTTCAAATAACCGTTGAAAATTCGGGATTGCCCCACCAGAGCATCATAAAACTTCAACATTTTGGTACTTTCCCAAACTACACAGCAAGTTCGTAGCGGTTTGGGAATTTTCTGCAGTTTTTATTATCATTTCATTCAGGTTTTGGTTTTTATTTTCTGGTTTATTAAATATTTAATGCAGACAGTAGAAAAGCGGAACATCTATAGTGATTCCCAAAAGAAGTGTTTGTGCTTTAATAAATGGACTGACAGAGATGTAAAATGAAGGCGTCCTAATGATTAAGTAAGACACACTGTCATTTTTACTCAATTCATCACAAGTACAGTTAAGGATACGTTTATAGTACTTTGTATGGAAGTCAAAAGGGTGCATGCATCTAAGTGTTTTATTTATCTTATTTATTTGACTGGCAACTCTGAAGGTGTGAGCTCATGTTGACTCAAGATCTTTAAAAAATACTGGAAAATCATTATGTAACGTAGTAACAAAAATAAAAGGATGCATGGCTGCATAGGACCTCAACATTATTGGTATTCATTTATGAAAGCTTTCTTTACTCAACAAGTAATGCATGATACGAAGACATAAAGTGAGCAATAAACAAAGGAAAGAGACAAAACAACACGGTAAGGGGCCCATAAAAACGTATTTAAAAATGAGATTTTCTGAGACTTTGAATTTCTCTTAACAAAACAAAAATATATTCAGAATTAAAATAAATTTATAAGTGTACGACAGAGTAGTAAGTATTAGCGCCATATTGAGACAAAAAATTTATGACTTCGAGATTAAAGTCATTAATAAATTAATCACTTGAGAGTAACGTCAGAAGAAAGTCCTATATTTTAACCTGTTGTCCATAGAAGGGTAATAAGAAATTAGATTTTCTGAGACTTTGAATTTCTCTTAACACAACAAAAATATAATCAGAATTAAAATAAATTATTAAGTGAAATAAGAAAATTAAGAAAATTAATCTTGTTTCTCGGATTACGCGCTGACGTTACCGTAACTGTGCGTGTACGGCTCTAAAGAGGAACTGAAAATGCTCTACTTCCGCTGCAGCAGCGACAACGGGCACGTCAAAAAAGAAGGAAAATGTGGAGCGAAAGGACAAACTGAGGCCGGAGAAACAACGTCGAACTAGATTTTTGTTATTTTTCGAGTTTAGCTCCGAGGTGGCTGTTATTGTTTGAAGTTACCTGACGAATCTGTGACAGTTAAAGGGTGGTTTCGAGGTGAACTCGTCCCCTTGTTCTGTGGTGGTTCTCTTCGAGGAAGCTGCTCGGCTAACCAGCTAACTCTGCCTGAGATGGGGACGAGAGCGAGCCGCCTTCAGGAAGACCCGGTACCCTCTGCTTTCGGGAAAGATGGTACAAAGCGGGGCTCCTACCGACGAACCCGCTGCGAAAGACCCACTAGTCTGATGGTGGACTTCTCCGTGAGATTCGAGGACACAGAGGCCAACCAGAGCCGATCGGAGGAGGGCAGCGACTCGGACCTTGGACAGCATGGAGCGAGCGCCGATGGTAGTCCCGCTGACCACCACAGCATCCCCTCCAGCATCAGCCAAGCGTCCCCCGCGGACGACAACAACAGCGAGGGGAAACCCGACGATGGTGGGAATATAAGCCCGGAGCCTCCCGTTGTAGCGGAACATCAGCCCGGAGAAGAAACAGGCCGCACGCCCCACCGCACCTTTTCCGAGCGGCTGCCCGGGAACAGGCACTCTTCCTCCCGCAGCGTCGGCGCAAGATCCGCCCGGGTCCGGGGCACGCACCAACGGCCAGTGTCCGAGGCTTGGATCGGCCTTTACCGTGTCAACAACCGTCATGGCAGTAAGTTTAAACACTTATCCACAGCAGTATTATTTCCACTACAGAAATAAATATTACTATTTTTGCCTGGTTTAAGAAATTTAAACCATGTTTATTCTGAAGCACCTGAAAAACATTTAGCTGTTTCAACTCTTCAACAACCCCTTAAAACACAACATGGAGAGAATTAAAAGAGGTATAGCATTGTGGGAAACGTGGAAAATCATCATCCATGTATTTTAAAATGTAAGATAAGGTTGTTACATTACATGTGCCATATTCACGGTGCGTTAAAAGATGACGGTAACTTGTGACGATAGGATATCCACGATATGCTTTGATAGCAATACAATGAGTCATTCAGGAAAAGTGGAAAATCATAATCCATGTATTTTGAAATATAATATACGGTTTTAACTTAGGCTGGGACGATATGCTTTTCTCCCTTCTACGATTTTTTTTTTGGATGCTGATTCGATTTAAATTGCGATGCTACGATATTGACGATTTTCTTGATCTTTTGTCTGCATTATTTAACACCAGTGAAACAGCTGAATGATTATGATTGTCTACTGACTGTTCCATGAGCCATATTTCCCCAAACAATACACATCACATGTAAGTTAGTTTTTAATATTTATTCTTAAATTTGAACATAAATAATTTTTTTGATCAGAAACAGTGTAAAACAAAATATCGTGATACTTACGTGGATTCTTTCTCCAACCCATAGTTTTTACTTAAATGTACCATACAGTGGGTTAAAAGATGATGGTAACTGTTACGATATGAGATTGGGATACTCTCTGGTAATACTGCAATTCAATTAGTTGGGGATAATAAATCCCGGAAAATAAAAATTATTAATATACGAATACAAAATTCTCCTTAAAAGTAAAGTGCAGTATTAACGTTAATAGCGCCACCAGGAGAAATCAGGAAGTTGGGACCCACTCAAGTGTAAAGAAATTAAAACAAAAAAATCTGATTACTGGATCATACCTTTTTAAAAACTGTGTTGCACAAGCCAGGACAATAAATAGATGTGTTGATATTTTTCCACCCCACTGTCTGTTTTCAAGTTCATGCTGGTTTATGTGCAAGTTTGTGATTCATGGTTTTGTGAAAGACTCTAAATCTCACATTAACTTATGAATATTGTATTAAAACGTCTCCCAGCCCAGCTTTTAATCCACCCAGTCTGAAATTAATATGGATTATTTGAGGAATTTACATTCCAGAACAGATAATCTCCATTCCCGTGCCTGCATGTGAACTGAAAACATCAGAGACCCTTTTGTATAAGGCACAGAGTTATGGCACAAAACTAGAAAGAGTGACATACAAGCCCTTTCATGTCACAAGGCCGTGCGTTGACACGAATTGTCAGTGCCAAATCCTGAAACATGCGAGTTGAAAACATTAAGTAACCAGTGACCTTTGTGTTAAAATGGGAACATGAATTCTCGCAGGATGTGAAAAAGCGTACTTGGTCTGCAGCGGACAATCGCTTGCTCAGAAATGGTTGATGGTAAGGCCTTTTTGTGACCAAAAAAATGAAACTGAGAGTGATAATACAGCGCTATGGTGGGTTTCCTAAGCCAGCCCTCTAGCAAGTGTAGGGAAATGGGTCACAACTTCGCATGCCCGCTCACTGCTGGCAGCGGCTCGTGGTGAGGAAATTAGGGCAGCGAGGCACTGTATCAACCCGTCTGTCCTATCCACTCACGGCTCTGGCAAAGTTTACCCCTGCAGCTCTTGTTACTGCTTTGTGCAGCGCATACAGTCGGATAACAAACTATTTTGGGTCAGTCACACTCGAGGCAACATCATTCGCACTATCTACTACAGGGGCGGCAATCCGGCGATCACACCGCCTGATTATGTTTCACTCTGCTCCTGCCAAGTCTGCGTGTGTAATCTAGATGTCCGCACACAAGCAGAGCGCTTCTGCCTGATGTGACGCACGCTTCATCCATCATTCATGTCTCACTGCGTGACACCGTGTGTTAATCTCAGCTCTGTTGTGTCTTTGCTCTGTGCAGATATCCGCTGTCCTTTCTGCTCAAAGCCTTTCCCCGGGGGTCGGATTGAGGATCACCTGTTGAGCTGCCTCACGTCCCCTCCTTTACCTTACAACAGTAAGTGTCATATCACAGAATTCCCCCTCCTATTGAATTTTTTAAGGTTCGAAACACTCACGGTTGTTTTGTTTGTGTGTGTGTGTGCAGCGGATGTGCTCAGTAAAGACAGCGGAGAGTGCTCCATCTGTTTGGAGGATTTGGTGCAGGGGGAGACCATCGCCCGGCTGGCTTGCCTCTGCGTCTACCATAAGAGGTAACAAAGTACAGCTGATGTATTTGCATCACAATACAGAGAGAGGCAGACAAAGGGAATGCAAATGAGGCCAGGTGAGAAGAAAAACATCACAGGAAAGTGTGTCAAGCCTTTTCCAGATCTGAAAAAACATGTGGTTACGACGAGGCTTAGGGGTTTGGGAAAACAATGAAGCAAAGGTTTCTCTGTCTGTGTGCTAACAAACATACAGCAGCACAGTGACGATAATTACAGACCCATTGTCCTTTTCCATGATATCATGTTCTTGGAAGCGATCTTGACAACCTCTGCTGGTGATGTACTGTCATTAAGAGTCATTATGTTGAATATGAGATTAAATAGAGACTGCAGAATAAGAGCAAAAGCCTTTCTGCTGTGTGCTTGTGGAGATGTAACCACATTATTTTCACATTTTAGAAAGATAAACATAACACCTCTGACAGCAGACTCTTGGAAGAGTTGTGAAACTAAAGATAAAAGAGATATTCGTCTAATTGCGTGATGACAATCAGTGTTTAGGTACTTTTGATTCGGTGTAATGTCGGATTTCCCGACTTCAATCGAGACTTTTCTTCTATACTGTCAGCTCAGAGTGAAACTTTGCTTGCTGAGACTTGAAACACACCAAGATTACGCAATCCACCTCGGCGAAGTGAAGAATCCGTCTGCTATTTTCATTTGTCATGATAATTGCATCTTCAGCGTGCGGTATTTTTATTGGGATGAAAATCCACTTTCTATTTCCATATGGTTTTTCCACACATCAGTCATATTCCCCAGACTGCTTATAAAAGCAGATTCAATGTTTGAATAGTATGAAAAACCTGCGGTGAAAGGGTTAAAACGTGCAAACTCAAAGACCCCGTTGAAACTTAAATCAAGTCCAGATAAGGCGCGCAATATGTTTGTCTTTTTGTTTTGTGCTGTAGTGAGTAGGTGTGGTCGTTTGGCTGTTTAAGTGACATTCTGATCCACCCAGCAGAGCAACTGGGATCTACAAAAACATAAAAAAAAACAGCCTGGAATTTTTTAATCCAAGAGACGTTCTTGTCCGAAGACTCTCCACAGAAAAACAGTCGAGCTTTACAGCAGATAGAAAACCATTTATTTGCAAACTATATCTGAGATTAGCTGTAAACGTCACAGTTTCCCAAAAGTCAACATGATTCTTTTAAATATTTATTACAAGGCTTCTCGGCTCACTTCTCTTTATAACAGCTGTTTTCTGTCATCAGTATGTCTCTCTCATGTTCGTCTTTATCCTTCACGCCCATTTTAATGTACTTCAAATACACTTTTCAATACTTTTCAGTGCTAGATCCTTCAAAATGTCACAATATCTGATATAGGCTGATAATAGCACGCGAGTTTACGAGACAAAAACAATCCACGTTCATATTCTCAACCAGAAGCTGACAGAAAGAGAGGAAGCGAGCGACGGTGGTCAGTCAGCCGAAAGATTAAGTGAGGAGTATAGAGAGAGAGAGAGAGGGAGAGTCCTGGTAAACAAAACAGCAGAACTGAAAATGAGAAGTTATTTTTTGATTGACGCTTTTAAACTCCGCACAGACAGACAGGAAGGTGTCAGATTTAGTTTGTTGTTTGCAGCTGAAGTCGTGCTCCTTCCTGCTCTGCCCTCCGTCACAGTTGCTGCACCACCAGCCCCTCGAGTCACCGCTCTGCAAATACTGACGACTGTTAGGTGTTTTTAGCATCTTATAAATACACATGATGTTTACGTGAGAGCAGACACGAGAGAAAGAGAGAGAGCACGATATCACCGTCTCCCTGTATGTTTTCTATTAGTCCAGACTGGAGAGTGTTTACAGGGAGCTTCACACTGCTGTACAATGACTGATGCCCAGAAAATGACCAGAAAACACAGGAAACACACAACCCCCACATTTCTCCTGAATTCGAATGACAAATAAGTGGAAATATTTTAATTTGATCATGACATATTGAGGAAAAATGTGATTATTTTTTTTTGCCTTTTCTAGATCTGATATCTTAATCACTCCTCCTTGTTGAGCAAACGTTTCGATGTTGTCTGGAAATAATCTCAACTTCCTCTTTTTTTATGTTCAGCCATCAGTCTCAAACTGAAACACGCTCAGTTTACTATCAGACACGGGAGAGAAAGAGTCAAAGGGAAGCTGCGTGTTTTCTATTTTAGCTGAAAAATGTCATTCTGTAAGAATTCAGAGCAGTTACAGATTGTTTGGTCCGTCCTGTTGCGCAAAGACGAATGTTTTCCACTCTTATTAAGTGATAGAAGCAAATAAAAAAACCACATCTGGCATCTTATCTCAGTTCCTGTTTTATTTAAAGAGCTCGAGAGCCTTTTTAACTGGTAACAGTCACCAGACCGATTATATTTAGTTTCACTCTGTCAGTAAGTGGATCAAGCCTCTCTGAAGATACCAGGTTGGAAAACACACAGCAAAGTTTTGACGCTTTAGCGTGAGTGAATCAGAATCTAAAGCCTTTGTGTTTTATCTCCAATCTTTAACTCTGCAGCTGCATTGATTCCTGGTCCAAAGTGAAGCCCTGCTGCCCCGAACATCCCTTTGATTGACTCGCAGGTCACATGTATTCTGCACAGTGACCAACCCGACTCAGGTATGTGGATTTACGACCCGGATAAACCACGCGGCTGTTCAAAAATACATCACGTTTGTGGTCTGTGATGTAGAAACCAACTTTGGTAGATGGGGGTTCAGGAGGTCACGAAGCCACAAGGATTACTGTGACGCATTTATTCGATGGTGGGAATGACCAAAGTACAAAAACTCAGCATACAGATTTCAATCAGCATCATTACCACTAAACTTTTTCAAAGCTCTTATTTTGGTGCCCCATGACCACCAAACTCAAGCTGATAATAAGTTTTATTTATATTCAAGGAAACGCCTCCTCAGAAAATGGTTGCCAGTGTGATAAATCATTTTTTGTATTGATACTAGGAATTTTAGGAATAATTCGAAGACTCACTATGCAGAGTTTTTAAGAAGAGAGAAATAAATAGTTCTCCTGAGCTGCAGACGCACATAAAACCACGAGCTTGAGGAGTGACTATAACAACTAAGTTTAACTTCTGAAACTGCCGCCGGAGGCTGGGTGTTAGACGGAGTGGGATGTCTATGTGATGTTTTTAATCTCTTTTATCCATGAGTCATATTTCTGGCAGTTTGAAAAATGAGGACAGGACTTTAAATCAAGTAAAAAGTTCCCGCGTTGTCCACAGGGGGCGCCAAAATCCACACAAATGGAAAATTCCTTACAGCAGCTTTAATAAGAATGCGTTATAGAGAACTCATTCATCATAAATTTCTCGTTTAGCCGTTAGTATTTAAAGATTTTTATTCCAAATTGAGTCTCATAACCAGAGCTTACTTATTGTAAACAAACCTGTTAGAAGGGTAGGTGGAGCCTGTTTAATGAGGTCTAATTTGAAACTCAACCTATCTCCGCTGATGTAACTGAGAGTTTGCTGCTGCTGCTTATCTGGAAGACACAATTATCATAAGTCCAGGAGTGACAAAGACATGTTTGTCACAGTTATAGTGATCCTCCAGGAGACGCTGATGTGTTCATTTGTACCTCTTAAAGGTCTCACTCAGTGTTAAAAGTAAAGCGCTGGTTTAGCTTAGTGTAGTGTAAACACTGCGCACTCTATGTGTAGAGTCTTGTTGCCATGGTCGCCGGTTCAGCTCCCAGCCTCGACCCTGTGCTACTCTCTTCTCCCCACGTTTTCTGCCTCTTCAGCTGTCCTATCTAATAACTGCGAACATGATACACCACCAGACACACCACACCAGATCAGTTTTAGTCATCTTTCACTATGAACAACCAACACAGAGATTAGACCTTAAAAAAAGTCAGGGTTACATCCTCTGCTCTCATCTTTTCATCAGATGTCCAGAGAAGCTTTAAAAATTCATAAAATCTCATAAAGTCTCTCATCGTCTCCAGTCTGATATATTTCATCACTTCTTAAATCTACTGTGAGGACTCGAGGGGAGAGGGTCACTCCGCTGCATCAGCACAAGGTGCAAAAAGCCAGCTAATATACGGCCCGTGGCGTGGGAGCGAATTCAGCGGTGAGAGGGGGACGGATCTATTAGCACCTCTAATATTTTGGACTAAGTATTAATTAAGAACAGAATCCTTGACGCTTGCAGGAGCTTGTTTGCTCCTATCACGAGGAGGGACCAAATCTGACCTAATTCTGGAGGCCCGCCGAAGCTTGTACACTGTCTTGAATTGTGTTGACATGAACGTGTCGTAGACGGATAAATGAGGTGAAAAATGTTATCACGGGTTTCACCTGGATTTGGTTGTTTTAGCCCTCCTCTGGTTTGTTTTGAGGTTGAAGTAAAGCTGCACTGATTGAGGTTATAGTGTGTATCCTAATTAGAGAAAATAAGGAGAGTAATCAGAGTCTGAGTGAATAAAATGAGATCTACAGGAAAGTATCCCCAATGTTAAAGGGATATTCCGGCGTAAAATTAATTTAGGGTCAAACACATCATAACACCGAATTAGACACCCCCTCAAGAGATGAATGTTGCCGACTTCTCTAGTTATACCAACTTTAGTAACGACCGCAGGATAGCAATACACAGCGGTCTGAGGAGCCATAAACAAACCTTAACCAAAACACAACTCACCTACTCTCTTCCAACAGCCACTTGTTTGTAGCGAGACCTCAGATGAGTCCATTACGGATTGCAGCGGGGTGACGCAGCTCAAGGAAGAACATTTATGATCATTTCTTCATGGAAATACAATCAGATCGAGACGCTAAGGCAGAAGAACTACCACATCTGCAGTGCAAAATGATTAATATGATGATTATTACTTCAAGGAAATGATAAAGTAATGATCATAAATGTTCTTCCTTGAGCTGCGGCACCCCGCTGCAGTCAATGGACTCGCCTGGAGGTCTGTTGTGTTTCTTTGCTAAAGAAATCAGGCAAAGTTAAAAAGATGTTTGGTGTCTAGTACTATGGCTGTGACCCTACATGTACTGTTGATGAAGTTAGGTGCTGTTCTGAGCATTATTTGTGGCTATAGAGTGGCGTTTTGGTTGAGGTTTGTTACTAAAGTTGGTCTAACTAGAGAAGCAAGCGGTCAGCAACATTCATCTTTCGGCAGGGGTGTCTTACTCGGAGTCCCGGTGTGTTTGACCCTAAATTAATTTTACGCCGGAATATCCCTTTAACTTGGACCATTTTCACCCTCCTGTTGCAGACTTCACATTCATATGCTCATTCCTGTACTCCTGACTTTGTCTAATTCCTCCTCTCTTGTCTTTTTCTTCCCTTTTAGGAGACTACACTGAACCCCCAATAAAAATCCCAATAAAAATGTGTATTTGAACAAACAAAAGCCCACTGTCCCTTTCAGACACCAACTTTTTTTATTCGAGTGGAGAGCGGACGATCCCAGAGAAGACGAAGAAGAAGAAGCTTCCGTCAGAAAAAGCCAGCTCTCTCTTTTTTTTTTGGATCGGTCCACATGAACCCGGTCTCGGACATTTCAAGCCAAACTCCGACCCCTCTTGTCTAATCTCCGGCTCAGATCCTTGTTGGAGCAGCCGTGGAGGAGTTCCTCTTTCTTTGTTGACAGACTTGGCTTGAGTCCTTTGGATATTTAAAAGAAAAAATCTGTCAGATAAACATTATCATCCCAGAATGATGGAACTGTGCCCAGAAAGATCTTGAACTTGGGAGAGGAGCACAAAAAATGTCAAACTGTGACTCTGGATCCTCTCCTCTGTATTTTTCTGTCTCTTTGTACGGGATTGGTCATTTTATCGAGTATTTTGCAGATCGAGTATCGTTCCTCGTCATACATTGGATGAATGTTTTCTTTCCTCGGCTTACCCCAAATGAACCAACCTCACACTGAAAGCGTGAACTGTTACCATACAAACAATGCTTTATTTTGACCTAGCTAGAAGTTGAGGGCTTGTTTTTTTTGGTGAATGGGGGCTGCCGTTGCTTGATATTTTACATTTTCTTTCTGTTACCAGTAAACATTTCAGGGGAAGTTTGGGGGCTGATTGTTTTTCTGAGTAGGTCAGTTTTCTTGTAGGTGGTTTGTTAGCTCTGAGTTTAATGTGCTGCTACTTGCTGAGTGTTCAGGAGGGTTGTAGGTATTTCATAGGGCCACAGTAGCGCCGGTGTTGGCATTGATATGAGCACTTTTGTCCCTCAAGGCTGATTTTTTTTAATTTTTCACAAGAGGTCTGGGATAAGGTTGTGTGTGTGTGTGTGTGTGTGTGAGAGTGAGGGAGTGTGATAATGACGATGACCAGGGGCAGAAAATGTCCTCATGAATATGGTTGTGTTTAAAAAAGGTGTGTGGCTTTGTGTGTGTGTGTGTTTACTGTAAATTGCCCAGAAGTCTGCTTGGCTCAAGCGGGTTTTATAACTTTTAATGCCAGTTTGTCGCTGGCAAACATCCTGTTACATGTGGCTTTGGTACGCAGCGCGGCTGCACATGTGGTCCCGTGTGAACTAAAAAAATGGTTATTTGGATTTTTGTCCCGCTGCCCCCTCCTCCTGACTCCATCTCTGGGGTACAGTTGGGACTTTTTTTGGGGCAGATCCCGAGCGTCAGTTTGACCATCTGGTTACGCGAGGGGGGATAAACTGAAGGATAGATTGAGGGATGTATTTTTGGGGACATGTTTACACCATGTGGCGTCCGCCTCTCTTTCCAACTCTGGAGGCTATGGACAGCTGATGGTTAAATATTACATAAGAAGCCCCTCCTCCTTTCCCCTCTCTGATTTTTTGAATCATTTAGACATTATATCATCAGAGTTATTGCTAAATGTGTAAAGTGGCTTTCCTTTGCCTTCTTTGTGTGTGCGTGTGTGTGTGTGTGTGTTGGTTGCTTTGGCCTGGTGAGGGTTTCTTGTTGGAGCAGGTATTTGTAGTGTTTTTTTTTTTACTTTTTGGGAAGAATAAAGTTAAATCCCAACGAGTAAGGCTGCTCAGCAGATGCTTGCTGATCAATACAGGTTGCACACAGGCCGAGCGGGAAAGTGAGAACGAACAAAAACAGGAGTTAACTGCTATTTACAGCCTGTTTAAAAAGACAGGACTGCTCTGTGTGTTTTAATCTGTGCGATGGATCAGTTTAAAGGTCAACCCAGTGCACAGGTTTCCTACCAGCTCGTTCATTCACCCCAGTCTTTTTCATTTTCTCCAAACAGTCTGAGGTGCTATGACTTGTGTCGCCACTAGAGGGCAGCCCTGTGCATGTTTCTCATTTCTTTTGTATTGGAGGATATAGAAAATTAATGCCAAAAGTTTGTCTGCGCATCAGGGTTAGTGTGTGTGTGCGTGTGTGCATGTGTGAATGAGTGAGGAAGAGGTGGAGTATTGATCATCATAGGTGTTACGTTTGTTGTGGTGATAAGTTATGTATTGTAGACTTTGGCTGGGAGGGATGGGGGTGTTTGTGTGTGAGTGTGTGTGTTTGTTTTGAAGGGGTTTGTTAGTGGTAAATGGGTTGTCGATAAAGAAACAGGACAATCTGAAACCCCACATTACTCTCTTTACTTTCTTACCCCCTCCAAACTGTGTGGTGCAATACCTCAATTTTTACCAATGCTAACTAAACGCTCTGTGTGTGAACTAGCTCCTATCCAACATGGATGGTATTTTGTATAAATGTCCCAGAATCCTCGGTTTTTGAGCCGCAGGGTGCTGATTCCCTGTCTGCCCTGTGTTTTCAGGCTGATGTATTAGATGAGAATGTTTTTCAAAGAGTCACCACAGCGGTTTCTGCATCCCCAAGATATGGACAATCTGCCTTTTCTCTGGTATAAAAAAAAAAAACAAATTGAATTTTATTTATTAAATTGTAAATATGTAATGCAATTCAAGAAAATGGCTTGGTCTTTGTCTGTTCAATATACTGTTTCTAAGCTCCGATCTTTTGTATGTCTCAGAAATTGTTTTTATATGTATTTTTTACAATAAATATGTGTGAGAGATGTTTTGTCAATGTCTGTTTGGTATTTTTAAGTGTCACTGATCTGTCTGTGGTTTGTGGTGAGGGAACTATTTTCCTCGTCGCAGAGCTGCCAAGTGTCACCCATTCTCACACCACACGCCACACTCGACATTTCTCACGCTTATGTTTCCAGATTCAATACCCTGTATTTATTTTCTCATGATAATAAACGTGGCTTGCCATTGTTCGAGTAACTCTGATTGACGGACCGAGATAACCAATCCCAGACCCATCCATCAGTCTTTGTGCCTAAATCTAACCAACCATGGAAGGCATCACGTAATATAAACCAATCAAAAGCAACATAAGGCAGGTCTTGGTGTCTCTAAATTCTTTTTATGGTGGCCGAGAACCACCACTGCGGAGATTACTGATGCAAAAAAAAAACAAAAAAACCAAAGCCTGCTGCAATTAAAAAAATGAAACGGTGCAGATTTAAAAAAAAAAAAAAAAAAAGCAGTTTACATTAAATTTTTAGTTTAAATCAACATTAAAAAAGGCCAAATTTTTTTCGTGCTGACCACAGGTCAGCGGCCGAACACATCATATCGCTAAAGTCTCACTCTTGTCATTTTCTGAAACTTGGCAGCCCTGTAGTCGTCACCTTCTGACTAGTCTAGAAACACCCAGAAAATGACTGGAATTGAGCTCCACTGATTTGACATTTAACACCGCAGAACTAAATACAAAATCACCTTCAAGCTCAGATTTGTCCTGAATTACTGTTAACTTCCAAAACCACAAAAAGAAACGGGGGCGATTTTGTGTAATTTTTTTAGAGGATATTTTCTTAATTGTATTTATTTATTTTTTTTATTTTTTTTAATTTTATCTATTAATATATATTTTTTATTTTGTGTACTTGTTTTTTAGTTGTTTTTATTAATTTTTAAAAAAATTTTATTTCATTTATTTTTATTTTTTTGATTTTGTGTACTTGCAGCGCCCACGACCAACCGTCAATGACTGTTGCTAGGTTACCAAAATTGTCTCACGGCTCAGTTTTCACTGTGTATTCTGTCTTACAATGTTGTATCTGCCTTGTGTTTGTGTTTATTCAGTGGCAATTAACAAACAAAAGCTAAAAAAGTTTATAGAGATTATGCCATAGCATTAGTAGCAGGCTCTCGACCTGGAAACTGTACCTCGATAAAACCAGTTTGTTCGTTTTTTCCGAACAGACCTCCACCGTCGTCGCTGAGAAAGACATTACCATAAGCCCCGCCCCTTCTTCATCCTGATTGGTTGAAGGACAACAACACAGTCCAGGCAGCTGCTTAGGTAAACAAATGATTAGCATTTTGAGCCCTAATTAATGATATTATTGTTCTTATTATTAACTGGTAAAAGTGACAATGTTTAATTACTGAGTCAACTAAACCCACAAATCCCTGCCCTGATTATTAAAGCAATTCAGAGCAGAAAACACTGCCCTACTTTCAGAGGACCTGTTGCACCAGCTGAGAGTAAATTCACCTGCAGCCTAGCCTGAGGGTGATTTCTTATGTGGGATGGAGTTTACACTTAATTAACATTTTAGTGGTCATGCATTTAAGAGTGCGTACACAGGAAAGATCTAGACGGAAGGAAAAAACATGAGTAGGAGCCTCAAACTGCTTCAAGTCTAATTGGATGTTAGCCTGTCAAGCAGTGCTAATAGGCCCTCTTCCACCTGGCTCTGAGTAGGTGTGAAACCCTGCGTTAATTACTGCTGGTCGTGGCACATCATTTTGAAAGACGAGATAAGTTGTGTGTGTGAGGAGAAGCAGAGAGCTCTACCAGCTTTAGATTGCGTTGATTAAAAATGTATGATGACTTGATATGTACTCCTGAATTTAATAGGGTACAGCCCCTATAAAAAATGAACAGTGTAAACTTTATCATGAATCTGAAGTTAGGTTAAATTTTTTTACACATGCAAAGCAGGTGCAGCACAGTGCTGTACATTTATTAGTTTAAAATTACAGAAAAAAATGCATAATCATACTTTAATGTCTTTTTCAAGTGCTGTAGTTGCACATTTTTAGATAAGTCAAAAGGGGGTTTCAAAAAGTATTAAGTACAAGTTTAATGTGGCAAAGTTCACCTTTAAATATTGAGATATGTTGATTTTAGTAGAGGAGGAAAAGTAAGTTTACAGCTTTAATTGTTGTTAGTTTCTACTTTGTCTCTATTTTTTTATGCAGTATTTGCAGGAGGAAAAACATCCAAACACATTTTATTCTTTTTTAAGAAGTGACTAAAGCTGCAGTTAGAAAACTATTACCTCCACGAAGTTGATTATAAAGCTGCACTAAGTGTGAAAGCATAAGTACCTGACATTAGTGGCTGAAACTGCTCTCAACTAAATGTTGTCTTATTCTATAAATGAGACACAAACACCCTGTGGCCTGCCGTTATCCTCAAACTGAACTTTCACTTTGTTTTACTTTCAATATAAGAAAATTTAGCAGATATAACTAAGAGGACTTTATTTAAAGCTCCAGTGAGAAACTTTCTGTCTGTGTTTGTTTATTTAATCACAGGAGCTTTAATTTTTAGATAGTGTGTAATCTAGAGAGATCTCAGTAAAAGCTGATTGATATGAACTGTGCATTTTCATATGAACACCCATATGTATGTATACTTTGTTTAAACTGGACCGTTCAGTGCAGTATGTACAAAAACATACAACCCTAAAAGTTTCCAGACACCTGTGAGACGACTCCTGACCCAAAGTGAAGAAACGGCGGCGTTTCCCATTTCTGCACTTCAAGTATTTTTCTTCACCTGCTGACATCAGGAAGTAGAACGTTTCACCACAGGATATCAGACTATATAACACCTTCTGAGAGTCTCTTCCCCACTAAACACTGAGTGGTTTTTGACTGTTGTTGAACTCAGCTGTAACCCTGCAGAGAAGGTAAGTAGAGAATTTACTCCAATCACTTGAAACATAAACTTCACACACTGCTGCTTTTGTAAGAAATAATAACTCTTCACTTGAAGCAGATGAAACTGTATTTGCTTTTATCAGGTGTTCATTCATTAACTTTAGCTTCTGTTTATATTTTGAACCATTACTCTTCAATTTCTCTGAACTGTGGTTGATTTCCACTGAGCTGCTTCAGATGTTCACACAGCTATCATTTATTTAGTGGCTATTTGTTTCAGCGACATGAACCTCGTCTACCTTGTCAGAGATATGTTTATTAATGTCAGTGTCGGTTGTCACAGATGGATGTTATAATGGATACAATCAGATTTTATTAGCTTAAATTAAAATCTGCAATTTCTCTATGGCTGTGCGCCTCCCTGCAGCCAACATGGCAACACACAGGGACTGAAAGGGCTGATCTCTTTCATGGAAATGTGTCAAGGACAGATTTATTTTGGGGGCATTTTTACTTTTATTTGATAGAACAGCTGAAGAGGGACAGGAAATGTGCGGTGGAGAGATCAGCAAAGGGTCGAGGCGTGGGACCAGTGACTGCTGCGACCTGGTGTCTTTACCGCTAAGCAATCAGCGCCCCATAAACATTGTCTTTTGTGTCGTTGTTGCAGGGTTATCTGTCTTTTGGTTAGAACAGCTGAAGAGGGACAGGAAATGTTGGGGGTAGAAAGTGGGGAGGACATGAGAAAAAGGGTCCTGTGGTCAAATCAGCAACTTCTGCAACTGTAACCTCCTTTATATAAGCGCTTTAACCTCAAGACTTAAACAGCACCTCAAACATTTCCCACAGACGAATCACTTATGCTGAGTTTTTTCATTTTAAAACACAAAGATAAAAAGGTAAACACAAAGCAAATCTTTTAGAAATAGAGATAAACAACAAAAACAAACAAGATTGATGATTTTTATATCGTATGTTTAAATTCTTAAAACCAGTTTGAGACAATTTTCCACATAAAATTGTCACAATTAAGGTCATGCATTGAGTGTCAGAAGACAGCTGGATAAGATTTGTCGTCTAATCGGATTATTATTTTAGCTTTGAATGTAACTTTTAATCTGTTAAATGTCTTTTACGCTGTTTTTACTTTTTAAATTGTATTGAATGTTTTGCCTGCTTGTTTCATGTAAAGCACCTTGAATTGCCCTGCTGCTGAAATGTGCTATACAAATAAACTTGACTTGACTTGACTTGACTTGACAATTAAGGAAACTATTGAGTGTCAGAAGACAGCTGAATAAGGTTTGTTGTCAAAAATCCCTGCTTTAGATAAGCAATGACTGCTTTGTCCACAGGGGGCGCCAAAACTAACATAACCCAAAAGTTTTTCATGGGAGCTTTAATCCATAGACTGTAATCCAGCCTCCTCGTTGGGTGAAGCCACTCCGAGAACAGCACCCTCTGTTGGCGGGCTGCAGTATAGGTCTTAAATCCCACCTCCTCCAGCCATATAAATTTTTCTCCCCCCTGCTTGTGATGTTGACACTTAGTTACTATAAGACTGGTTTGTGCTCAAGTTCTCTTTTTGCTGTGAAGCTGTGTTTTTAAAAGTTATTAGGGGGTTCATGCTATGATTGACACCTGATGCAGCCTATGGGCGTACACCCGGGGATACGCTGTTTGAGCCGAGTGTCATCACAGCGACTCTCGGCAACTCTCCTGCCGAATGCGTACAACGCTACTGCGCAATGCTGGTTTCAGGAAATGAAGAAAAATCGTGGAAATAACGAGATCAAAACCTCAGGCTGTTTTCACGTAAATGAAGTAGGACTGGTCTTTACTCAGTGTTGCCACACACTGTGAGAGAAATGTCCCAATCTTTCAATCTTGGGAAACAAAGTTGGGCTCAAAAAGTCAGATATGATGTAAATAAACCCATACATGCCAGTAAGTCTGGATCTGTTTATGCCCTTATCTGTTTTATGGTTTGAAAACAGATGTAACCGAGGACGGTGAAGTCGAAGCTGAGTGGCAGATGAGGAAGACTGAACAGTTCGGGGTAATAGAAGTCATAAAACGACGACACAGACTGTCAGATCTGCTGTTTGGTTCTCATTCCCAATTTACAGCTATTGATGATTGACAGCTGGAGTTTGATTAAATACTTTCAATGTGGCATAAATTAACAGGTGATTATCCTGCAGTGTAAAACCTCCAACACCACAGCTAACCCCCCAAAATTAAACATTATATTTAAAGCACCAGTAAGGAACTTTTAGCTGGCTTTAAAACTGATTGGAAATGTTTTCTCATCCCACAAAAGAAGTGGTCCATTTTACAGTTGAGAGGAGGAAGGACAGGAAGTGCTTTTCAGACAATACTTTCTGCACAAACTCAGGACAAGAGGAACTATTCAGTCCACAAGAGACGGCACTGTGGACACAAAGTTCCTCATTGGCACTTTAATTTAGTAACATGGACTTCCCTTTTTGATAGCCAGTATGTCTCATTGGACCCATGTCTGGTCCTGTCCAGGAAAGGCCAAAAAAGTCACCCAGAAATCAACCTGAAAAATCCACTAAAGTGATAAATCGATAAGATGTGTCGAGATGAGCGTGGACTGAGTGTTGTTCAAGCAATTAAAGCAGCTTTTTTAAAGTTAAACAAACTTCTTCTTCAGTTTCCTCCAGAATGTCCGACACACAAGACTTCCTCCAATCTGGTGAGACCCAGGTCGCTCCTGTCTATGATGTATCCTTTGAACCAACAACCCCTCCGTTGCCGTCGTACAGCGACCAAGAGCAGCAGCCTCCACCCTACACTGCTGCCCCGGAAATGTACCCTCCACCCAAAGAAGAGGCAACCTGGAACCCTGAGCTGCCTGCTGGGGATCCAGACGCCATCGGCATGAACCCAGAGGCCCCACCAGACACAACTGAACCCGAGACACCATCACCTTTTGAGGACAAGACCGTGAGAAGGGCCTTTGTGCGAAAGGTTTGTAGTAAACTTTGGTTGTCTGTAATTATGTGATAAACTTCTGCAGCACAAACGTCTGATTTTCACGCTTTATGCTCTTAGTGATGAGGATATTTTGTCCCTCCAGGCCTCTTGAAACATTTTCCATCAAGTTACATGAGAGACAGAAAAAACACTTACATATGAAACCTTTGAAGTGATCATAGAGCAAACAGATTGAGTGTTACGCAAACTGAATCACTCCGCGTCTCACCCTGTCCTGATGTTTTCTATCCTATCATCACATCATCTCCCTGTGCAGGTGTTCTGCATCGTGACGCTCATGCTGCTGTTCACCTTCAGCGTGGTGTGCTTGTTCACCTTCTCCACCACGGTCAAAAAGACGGTGCAGGACAACTGGTGGATCTACCTCACCTCCATCGTCCTCTTCCTCATCGTAGCCATCTCCCTGAGCTGCTGCAAGTCACTCCGCCGGCGTTACCCGTGGAACATTGTGGCACTGGTGCGTAACAGGAGCATAAACCCTTAAACATACAAACAAGAAAAAAAACAGAAATAATAGAGAAGTGTAAAAGATGCATTTGTTCCTTGCGTTTTTATTTCCCAAATTTTAAGACGTCATTTCTAGAAACTGTCGTTTTTAATGTTTGTCAATCAAAACCTCAGCTTCCTCTTCAGTTGTTTTCACATGCCCACAGATTTACCGTCTGTTTTCTCTGAGGTTTTGTTGGCTGGTTGATCAATACAGACTCTTCCTGTAATCACCAACCATCCAAAACACCAACACTGAAGAATTGTGTCAACAGTGAAATCTGACACATCGAATTTTCCCTCCACAGGTTTTGATCACTGTGAGCATTTCGGTCATGGTGGGGACGGTCGCCTCTTTCTACGACACCTCTGCTGTTGTCATCACCATGGGAGCAACTCTGGCCATTTCTGTGGCAATCATCGTATTTTCTATGCAGGTTAGGAAAACCAGGCGGCGCCCAAAAGCTGCATTTCGACATTTTCGCTGTAGAAACTTTTGGTCTGTGTTCATTTCATGTAAAGGAGTGGCTTTACTCATAATTTTAGACTTTTAGATGTTCCTATTTGAGAAAACTACAAAACCCAGTTCCATTGAAGTTGGGAAATTGTGATAAACGTAAATAAAAACAAAACACAATGATTTGCAAATTCCTTTTCAACCTATATTCAATCAAATACACGACAAAGAGGAGATATCTAATGTTCAAATTCATAAACTTTTTTTTTTTTGCAAATCATCATTAACTCAGAATTTAATGGCTGCAACACGTGTCAAAGTAGTTGGGACAGGGGCATGTTTACCACTGTGTTCCATCACCTTTCCCTTTAACAATAAACTCAATTAACGTTTGGGAACTGAGGAGACTGATTGTTAAAGCTCTGAAGGTGGAATTCTTTCCCATTCTTGCTTGATGTACAGCTTCAGTTGTTCAACAGTCCGGGGTCTCCGTTGTCGTATTTTACGCTTCATAATGCGCCACACATTTTCAATGGGAGACAGGTCTGGACTGCAGGCAGGTCAGTCGAGTACCAGCACTCTTTTACTAGGAAGCCACGCAGTTGTAACACGTGCAGAATGTGGCTTGGCATTGTCTCGCTGAAATAAGCAGCAAGGGTTAAGGCGCTAATGCACCCCCATACCATTACAGACACTCGCTTTTGAACTTTGCATCTGTAGCAGTCCAGATTGTTCTTTTCCTCTCTCGCCTGGAGGACACGACTGCAAATGTGGACTCGTCAGACCACAGAACACTTTTCCACTTTGCATCAGTCCATCTTAGATGAGGCCCAGAGAAGCCGGCGGTGTTTCTGGATGTTGTTGATAAATGGCTTTCGCTTTGCATAGTAGAGTTTTAACTTGCACTAACAGATGCAGCGACGAACTGTATTTACTGACAGTGGTTTTTGGAAGTGTTCCTGAGCCCATGTGGTGATGTCCTTTACACATTGATGTCGGTTTTTGTTACAGTGCTGCCTGAGGGATCGAAGGTCACGGGCATTCAATGTTGATTTCTCCAGATTCTCTCTGGACCCTAGATGTTGAAATCCCTAAATTCCTTGCAATTGTATTTTCAGAAACATTGTTCTTAAATTGGTTGTTCACAAAGTGGTGAACCTCGCCCCATCCCTGCTTGTGAATGACTGAGAATTTTTGGGAAGCTGCTTTTATAACCCAATCATGACACCCACCTGTTCCCAACTAGCCTGCTCAACTGTGGGATGTTCCAAATACGTGTTCGATGAGCATCCGTATTCTTTGCCACCTTTCCCAACTGGATCCAAGATTTGATGGATTTCTATGCGATCATTTTAGAGGTCAAATGTCCTCACTGAGGCTGTTGAAGATTTGACTTTGGTTCAAGGGTTAGCAACAGGGGCAATGTTTTAACCTCAATGAAACTCAAAACAGGATGTTATGATCTGCAAAACACCGACTTCCTGGGGAAGAGAGGTAGGAGGTGAAACACAGCGGTAAACATGACCACGGTCTGACCTTTTGAAACATGCGGTTGGCATCAGATTCTGCATCAACAATCAGATAAACCTCATTCAGCACATCATATAGGCAAAGTCATGTCAAATGGCAACTTTCTGGCTTTAAGAAACACTAAAAGAAATCAAGATGAAAAATTGTGGTAGTCAGAAACAGTTTGTAGTCTGTATATCACTTTCTAGTGTAATTTTCAGGTAAAATGAACACAATATCAAGGATTGTCCTCGTATTTGTTTCATATAAAATGAAAACTGTATCTTACGGTTTAAGTGTTTGTTAAAAGACGTTTTAATGAGATTGGTAAATGTGCTCTTTAATATTTGCAGACTCGCATCGATTTCACCTTTTGTTACGGGTTTCTTCTGGTTCTGTTGGTGGACTTCTTCATGTTTGGGATCTTCTGCTCCTTCTACTACTCACACGTGGCTGATATCGGCTACGGATGTCTGGGGGCTCTGCTGTTTTCACTGGTGAGGGGTTAAACTGCACCGCCATAACAACTCCACTCCTTAAATCATGTCCGATTACTTCTACAACTACGACTTTCCAACATACGATAAGATGATTGCGCACTTAATTTTGTTAATCATGGGTGTGTTTGGATATTTTTTTCCTCCAAGCTGCTTTAAAACAGAAACAGAGTAGAAATTAACATCTATAAAGCTCTGAACATGATTTCGGAAGGTGAGGAAACAGTCTACGGTAATGTTTCTTTATGAAGCTAAAATAGTGGCATTGGGAGTCCTGATCCGATATTGAATATTGGTCTGATATCAGCAAAAAACGAATATCGGATTATATCGGCCTGCATCTAAAATCTCCGATATCAACACTCCAATACAAGCAGTCCATTCCCAACTCCACTCCAGCACCTCTAGCTAGCAGCTACTGGATCCAGCATGCAGAGCCCACATAATCACAACAACAGTTTTATCAATATCAGTATCGGTCAATACTGAAGGCTATAATATTGGTATCATATGGGAAGTAAAAATGTTGTATCGGGACACGCCTCATTTTTATTATTAGTTTTAAATGGTTTCTTACGTGTTGCTTTCTTTTTAAGAAAACTTGTTCCATATTGAGTCTAAACTTGGCAGAGTTAGAACAAGTAGACTAAATTTGGAGCAGCTGACTGTAAACTTGAACTTACAGCTCCACCTTTTCTCTCTCGGTCCTGTTTCAGTTCCTGATGATTGACGTCCAGCTGCTGACGGGGTCGATGAGTCACCGCGCCGATCCTGAAGAGTACATCTACGCCGCTCTCATCATCTACCTGGACATAGTGCTCATCTTCCTCTACCTGATGGGGAGGAGGTGAAACTGAACAAACACACACAAACACAAACACACACACACACTCTAAGATATACCCACAAAGAAAATGTCCTTTTATTGTTATTTTCCTGTATGTTCTTTTTAAATCTCTTCTTTCTGTCTGTTTTAAATCACCATAAATAAACAGAAAAAAATATTAAAACAGCTTTACAATTTTGGGTTTTTTATTTAATGTTTAAAAATATTTGACACGTCATTGTTAAAAAAAAAAAACAAGCAATTCAATATTTTTTTTTTCATATTAGTAGGCTACAGGCAATGATGTTCTGTCAGTTATGCAGTTTAAAGTCTTATTTCCAAAAACAGACACAGAAATCCAACATATGTATGAGGCGTTTTTTTATATCACCACCAAAGCAGAGAGAAAAAAAAGGCATATTTTCATATATAACATGCATTTTAGTGCAATGCAGCTTACATCAATATCAGGGTGTACAAAATATAAAGAAACAGGATAAAAATAGTGCAAAATCTTCTGCGTGTTTTCACTCTGTTCACACGGACCCTTCGTCAACCATCACAGCTGAACTCAGCTCCTGCAGCAGGACGATAAACCTCAAAACTAACCGAGCAATAACAGGAAAACTTTGGACAATTTCTGCCTCAAAGGGAGCAGATTTCAAGACAATAAGAGGACATTACGAGCAGTTCTGTCTTTAAAATGAAAAATTAACACTCCCATCAGATATGATAAACCCCACTGTGGACACGACTGTGATGCTCCTAATAAATGCACAAATTGTTTTGTCTGTAAACCCAAAAGAAGGAAGAATCGGACAATTTTTTAACCCTATAGGTATCAAATATCTTGTTCAATGCTGACCCTCCTGTTTGAGAAGAAGCTGTTTTCACTGGTGAGGGGTTAAACTGCACCGTCATAACAACTCCACTCCTTAAATCATGTCCGATTACTTCTACAACTACGACTTTCCAACATACGATAAGATGATTGCGCACTTAATTTTGTTAATCATGGGTGTGTTTGGATGTTTTTTTTCATCCAAACTGCTTTAAAACAGAAACAGAGTAGAAATTAACATCTATAAAGCTCTGAACATGATTTCGGAAGGTGAGGAAACAGTCTACGATAATGTTTCTTTATGAAGCTAAAATAGTGGCATTGGGAGTCCTGATCCGATATTGAATATTGGTCTGATATCAGCAAAAAACGAATATCGGATTATATCGGCCTGCATCTAAAATCTCCGATATCAACACTCCAATACAAGCAGTCCATTCCCAACTCCGCTCCAGCACCTCTAGCTAGCAGCTACTGGATCCAGCATGCAGAACCCACATAATCACAACAACAGTTTTATCAATATTGGTATCGGTCAATACTGGAGGCTACAATATTGGTATCATATGGGAAGTAAGAGGGGTGTATCGGGACACGCCTCATTTTTATTATTAGTTTTAAATGGTTTCTTATGTGTTGCTTTCTTTTTAAGAAAACTTGCTCTATATCGAGTCTAAACTTGACAGAGTTAGAACAAGTAGACTAAATCTGCAGCAGCTGACTGTAAACTTGATCTTACATCTCCACCTTTTTTCTCTCGGGTCCTGTTTCAGTTCCTGATGATCGACGTCCAGCTGCTGACGGGGTCGATGAGTCACCGCGCCGATCCTGAAGAGTACATCTACGCCGCTCTCATCATCTACCTGGACATAGTGCTCATCTTCCTCTACCTGATGGGGAGGAGGTGAAACTGAACAAACACACACAAACACAAACACACACACACACTCTAAGATATACCCACAAAGAAAATGTCCTTTTATTGTTATTTTCCTGTATGTTCCTTTTAAATCTCTTCTTTCTGTCTGTTTTAAATCAACATAAATAAACAGAAAAAATATTAAAACAGCTTTACAATTTTGGATTTTTTATTTAATGTTTAAAAATATTTGACACGTCATTTTTAAAAAACAAACAAACAAGCAGTTTAAATTTTTTTTTCTCATATTAGTAGGCTACAGGCAATGATGTTCTGTCAGTTGTGCAGTTTAAAGTCTTATTTCCAAAAACAGACACACAAATCCAACATATGTATAAGGCGTTTTTTTATATCACGACCAAAGCAGAGAGAAAAAAAAGGCATATTTTCATTTATAACATGCATTTTAGTGCAATGCAGCTTACATCGATATCAGGGTGTACAAAATATAAAGAAACAGGATAAAAATAGTGCAAAATCTTCTGCGTGTTTTCACTCTGTTCACATGGACCCTTCGTCAACCATCACAGCTGAACTCAGCTCCTGCAGCAGGACGATAAACCTCAAAACTAACCGAGCAATAACAGGAAAACTTTGGACAATTTCTGCCTCAAAAGGAGCAGATTTCAAGACAATAAGAGGACATTACGAGCAGTTCTGTCTTTAAAATGAAAAATTAACACTTCCCATCAGATATGATAAACCCCACTGTGGACACGACTGTGATGCTCCTAATAAATGCACAAATTGTTTTGTCTGTAAACCCAAAAAAAGGAAGAATCGGACAATTTTTTAACCCTATAGGTATCAAATATCTTGTTCAATGCTGACCCTCCTGTTTAAGAAGAAGCAAAATAGTTGATAACCATTACAATCTTACAGTGCAGCAAACTTCTGTATTAAACTTCCAAGCACCAGGAGCTGAACCCTGACTTTACAAAGAGAGTATCTGACTCAGACCTGCGAGCTCTCCAGACTCCTCACAGCTTCACCACAGAGACGAGTAGTTGAACTTGATCCTCAGCAGGTACCTCATACGCGTCTGCGCCGGGTTATAGACGATGAACTCGTTGTAGAGGAGGGAGTAAGCGTTGGATCGAGCCACCTTCGTCTTCACGCCCGGTCCCATCGGCACCGTCACACCATCCCTGAGACAGAGACGGGGGGGGGATAAAAATCAAAGGTTACTTTTGTCTGAAGGGCATTTTAACACAGTCAGAAAGTTCACACTAGCTGTAGATCCAGATCTGAGAGAAATTCTACTTTTGATCCAGGCGGCACAAGACTGAAATGAACAGAAGAGTGCAGATCTAATCTAGAAATTGTGTTCAAAATGGGATTGTTTTTAGTTTGCAAATGTCAGAAAAACCAAAGTTCTAACATAAAATTCTTGCATTTATGTTAAAAATGTCACTGAAACACACAGATCTTAAAAACTGCCCAAAATTAAGTCCCCATGAGCCGATGATCCCAGCTCTGTTGAAGATAAACTAACTCTGAAGCAAACACGAAGCATTACAATTAAATCTGAAGGACATCACCGGCTGAAATCAGAGGTTGTCCCCACTCCAGTGACTCTTACGTAATAAATCATGATTATTTTTCATGTTGTGAAATCCACAGAGAAGAGGCAGCAGAGCGGTAGAGAGGGCAGAGAACAAACGAGAGCAAATGGAGGTCAGTCCATTAACGAGTGAGTCAGCGCAGAGCAAACAAAGATCAGCGTTTGATATTTGGACTTCACTCGAATGCTGTCACTTCAAACGGCCTCTTTCTGCTTTTAAACCATCAAATGTTGCTCCAAAACGGCCCTGAACCAAAGGGGCTACTTAGATTTGATAAACAGCTGTGGTAATTTCGTGGATTTCTGAGCTAAATGATGCTTCGATCTAACAAACATTACTTTGAGAAGGATAAGAAATAAAGAAACAGCTTCATTTCGCCTGACTTTGCACCCCAAACAAACTCATCTCGGTTGTTTCACACAAAGCAGATTTACTTCTGATGTTTATGTGCTGACCAGCTCGTTAATTCCTCTCCTCTCTCTCAGATAATCTAATGATTCACACAGTCAGATCGATCTCCAGCCTGTATGAAATGTGCGAGTGTGTAGTGCCGCGGACTAACAGAGTGACAGAGTTTTTGGGGTCAGGTCCGGTCTGTCCCAGGCCTTTGGTGCTGTGTTTTCCAGCGGGCAGATTATTGGCCTCGTAGTCGGCGTCCAGCAGCTCATTACAGTCACCCAGAGCGACCTGCGACCACACACAGACACACACAGAGTGAGGACAATGACACGAGCGTTGCACCATATCTGTTCAAATCATGTTGGTTTTGTGGTTAATGTGAGCTGTGGACTTGGCAGAGCTAGAAGAAGTGGAATAAACAGCCTGACAGCGCCAAATACTGGAGAGACAGGAACCCTTGAGTAAACTACAACAACAGAGAGTGTGTAAAAAGATGAAAAAAATGTAGTCAGATACAAGAAACACAATGAAAAGTGAAGTAAAAGTATAAAGAAGGATGATCATCCTAATACTTATCAAAGCAGGTGTGCTTTACTTTTTTTTTACAGCATCTATAGTTATACATCTTTGTTAACAGTGCTGCTATATGTCCATACTGATGTTCCTGTATGATTATTATTATAGTGTATTTCCATAAAAAGTCCCTCTCCTTTTTAAAATAGCAGAAAAAGATCATCTTTTCTAATTCAGTCTGGAAGTTTTGAAGTTAAATTTTAACTTAATGGCAAAAAGTTAGTTTTCTCTCTTCAGATTATCAAACAAAAACAAAACACAGAAATTCATTTAGATGCATCATGAAACACTTTGATTAAATGAAAGCAGTCAGTAATTACCTGAAGACACTATTTATAACCTTTAAACTTTACAACCAGAGAGATTCTGATCATTAAGATAAACAAAAGATACTTCAGGGTAAAGTGTTGTTGTCATAGGAGACAAACCAGAGTTTGTAGAGTCTTTTCAGGAGTTTTAGAAAGTTTTTTCACTTTAGTAAATAAGTCTGACGTCTGTCTACACATCGGCTTTAAGCTAAGAAAGTATTCACCGAGTCAAACATGACAGGATACGACAGCAAGTAACATACTTGTGGACATCGGAGTATGAAAGCTTAAATTGTGTTTATTGTTTGGTACTCTATTATATACATAGATATATAGAGATAAAGATATTCTCTCACTGATAGGTTTAGGATCTTTTCTTTCTTACTTTTCTTTTCCCTGTAACTATAAGCTGGTTAACCAGAGGTGCAGCATTGTAAATATGCATTTATCGGGTGAACCCAAAGGGAGATAAGGACTACAAATCCCAGCGAACCAGGTCAACGAGGACACGTCATTTCTTGTCACTTTGTATGAAAACCTGTTGATTGTGGAATTGGGAACACCTGAACAGAGAGCGGGAACTCAGTAGCTGTGGAGTCAAGGACAGAGATGCTGAGAAGACTAATTTTTGCTTGCATATCAGATGGAGGCTTAAAATACCAAAAAGACATTATCCTAAAGTTTGGCCCATGTATTTTTTACACCCACCATCGCTCACACCAGCTCTCCACCAACACCCTAAAACCCTGAACGAAACCCACCAGATGGAGCTGGCAGGTCATGGGGGCTGAAGAAGAAGCTCGTCGGGTAAGAAGACGGTAAGCACCGCTGCTACTGATTCACCTCCAGCTGACCGCTCAGCTCTCAGTCAGGGAGAGTTTTCTTTCTTTTCTTAGGTTTTAACTCTTTTATGACATATCATGAACAGCCTTGACTCTGAGTTGCTTTAAAATAATTCTGACAGGAGAGAAATAAAAAAAAATAAAACCACTGAACAAAAATAAAACCAGCTCACCTCACACAGAAGCAGCAGTCCGACATTGTTGTTACTCTGGCTCGCAAAACAGTAGTTGGCACTCTTTGATGACATGTCAGCAAAATAGATGCCTTTGCCAAACTAGACGGAAGATAAACAGGGAAATCACCATACATATCACCATACGTACGTACGTATCACCATACTGATTATTTTATTCCCTAATGGATAATCAGTATCTCTTAGAAAAACTAAATCTGTTCCACGTGTGGTTCAAAGAGCTTCAAAAGCAATAATATCAATGAAATATCAACCAATCAGTCGTCCTACCATGTAACCAGTGACTGGAGCTTCAGGTGGAGCCACTCGGAGCCCCTGACTGAGGATGCCGACCCAGTTGGAAAGTCGAGAACCGTGCCACAGCAGAGTCCTGTCAGACAGAGACAGGTAGAGGATTATAACAAGACTCCACTATAGACCATGTCTTTGTTTACGTCACCGCAGGAACAAATGAAACAGTGAAAAGGAGAAGATTTAAAAGTCATATTTATGCAGTTTTAATGTCTCACCTGTTGTGTAACTGTGAGTTGAAGTTGCCCCTCTCGCTTTCTCTGTCCACCGAGAAGATGTCCAGGACAGTCATGGTGTAGTCGGAGTGGGTGGGCGCATGAGTGGACTGGAGATACTTCTCGATCACCTTCACGTGGAGAGAAAAGAAACTTCAATAATTCAAACTTTAGCTTTTAAAACTGTTATATACAATTATTAAACATTTGGCGATGAAAGTTGAACTCAAGAAATGATCTTTATTATTGTTACTATCATATGTGGCTCCAAATTGCTGTTTTCACTTCTGCTTCCACTTGCACTATCGCAGCATAACTTCCCTGCAGCTCTTTGTCATTTCATAACTTTGCTGCTTTTATGATCTGAGAGGTTTCATAATGAAATCTAATAATAGATGCATCCTATAGATCATCAGTCCCGGCTGATAAACCTTTAAATATTTTACTGTAATTACTATAAGCAGTCAGTCAGTCACAAACCTTGAACTCCTCAGTGCTGGAGTCCACGGACTGCAGCTGGCACTTTAGTGAGAGGTACTGTCTGTCCAGAGGATGCTCATCACCGTCTGCACTGGACTTCACCATTTTGACAGCGATTTGAATGTCACTCAGAGCCTGAAAACAGACATAAGACAGAATAAAATATGAAGATACTGAACCAAAACACTAAGCAGAATACCAGAACAGGTGTTCTAGATGTTGATGAATGGCTGTTACCTCTAGCAGAGCTATTTTCTCCTTCAGCTCCTCTTCTGTGCGAATGAGCGGAGGTGTCCTCAACCTGGAGAATTTCAGATTTTTAGAAAAACTTGCTGCTTCTTTTTCCAACCTTCTCACTGTGCAGCTGCATATTACTCACCCAAAGTCATGAGGGATGCGGGTGTAGAACTGGTTGCACGCTTCCAGCAGCTCCCGACTGCTGCCCTTCTTCGTCTTTAGACAGTCTTCGATTTTCTTCAGCGCGGTGTAGCCTGCTTTGATCTGCTCCGAGGTCAGCTTCCCTGCAGGGGGACAGAGAAACACTGAACTTGAAAAAATTGATTCAAAAACTCTTAGCAGAAGTTAAATTTCGAGACTTAACAGTGAAAGTGTGACAGGAGATTATTGTGTATTTCCTGTTGTTGTTTTGATTCAGTCGGACTGACCGAGAGGAGCTTTCTTGGTGTCAAACTTCATCTCCAGCACACACTCCTCCATGGCTTTGAGGTCACAGATCAGCTCCAGGAGCGACTGGATCTTCACATCCAGCTTTGAGGTCCTCTTTTTGGGTACAGCATCTATTGTGGTCTGGTTCTCCTCCTGGAACAGTCAAGAATATTTGGTATGATTTACAATGACGGACCTCACCTTCAACTCAGTATAATCTCCTTCACATGTAAGGATTATCAAGATGTTTTGTTTGCCTTTTCATCGGTGCTGTAGTCCATGAACACCAGGTCGTATTTCCCCGCTACTTTCTCAAAACATCCCCGATCTTCCCACTCATTCTTGGTCTTATCGAGGAACCTGTAGAGAAAAACAAAGTCTCTAAGTTTGGCTTCCCTCACATGGATTTAACACATTTGGTTACATTTATTCAAGACCACAATCTCACTTTTTCTTGAAGATATCTTTGGCCTTCAGCAGGTCTCCACCACAGGCGGTCAGGCTGTTCTGACCCACTTTCCCCACTTAAAAAAACACACAATTAGACAGAGATGGTAGAAAAAAATACTCCAAACAGAAGAATGTTGTTGTTTTCATGTGTAAAATCAACATTCAACAAATTTTAATTCGGATCACAGGCACAAAAACTCACCTCTGCCCCACCTCATCCACACACTGTAAGACTTGGAGTTGTCATCCTGCAACAGCTGGATCAGGTAATACTTGTTGTTGTTGAACTGAAGGTTTGTCTACAAAACAGAAAAGACAGTATTTGATTTAAGCCGAACATTTATCTTTGACCCACAAAAAGGATGTTTAAAATTAGATGAAAGTTAATCTAATAGTTTTAACTCTTTCCTCATTATCTGTTATTTTCTTATAGTTTCAAAAGCAGCAAAGAAGCTGCATACTCATGGTTCCTAAAGAGAAACCAGACTTTTGTCACAGGTGTAAATTCCTTCCTATCAGTTCAAGAATTGTAATCTCATGTGGAAGACCCATTTGAGTCATCTTGTAATTAAGTATTTAAAATACTGTACCTGGTTTAGCATCACATCGTAAACATCCTTTTGTTCACAGTACACATGGGCCTGAAGAAGAAATAGAAAATTTGTTAAAAACAAAACAAAGTGAAACGAAAAAAAGTGCTTTCCCACTTTTTTTCAGGTATTTTTCTGACATTAAAATCATTTTCTTCTCAATATGCAAATAAGTATGAAAACATCAGAGATGCAGTACCTTCCCGAGTTTGGCTTTGCATTCAGAGTCCACCGGGGCTTTTCCTTTCATGACCACTGTCTTCACAACTTTTGTTTAACAACCAGAGAGCAGAGACAAACCGTAACTGAAGCTAACTAATAACCAAAATGAATAACAGGAAAGTTCCTCTTCTTCAGAAACCACAAACAACATCTCTGAACATTACACCTACAGTACTTTACCTTCACTTTTTACTTCTTCTTTGGGTGTTTCTTCTGTTTTTATCTGACTCTCCTTTTTGCTTTGCCCTCTTTTCCTCTTTGCTGCAGGTTGCTCTTTCTCCTCCTCCTCTTCCTCTTTGACTTTAGCAGGCATCCCATTGAGAGCGGTTGAGTCACCAGCATCATCTGCACTCTCTGGAAACAAACATAACTTATTTTTAATTTAAATTCTCAAATCTAAAACAATCAATGACAAATCAAATCAGCATGGAAAGGTTGTTAGGTGCAAAGATTCAAAAATGAAAAAGTATTGGGGTAGAAAATCAGAGTCAGAGTCATTTATTTGCCATTTGCAGAAAAAAAGCACATTGGAAAGTGTTTGCGAGAAGACAACAAAGACAAACAAAGCAAGTTACATAGAAACACAGAATAAGGTGAGTCAAAATTACAGTTAAAGTTAAGCATAGAAGGACACTGCAAGTAATAATAATAATAAGTAATAAAGATAATAAAAATATTTAAAAACTTCTATTTGGCCCAAAGTGCTCAGACACAACATGAAATTAAGAACACCCCTGAGGCTGGAGGTTATTTAGGCTGTACACAGGGAATAATAGTGTTAAAAGCAGAGTTAAAGTGTATAAAAAGCATTCTCACATAAGCATTTCCTGTGTCTAAATGTACATCGGCAAAAAATCAAAGCAACAGAGATAACATCCTCCAAAGATCTAGTTTTCCTGTATGCGAATTGCAAAGGATCTGGGGAGAACTAAAGAGAAATAAGGCATCATAGGTAACACAGATAAACACACATACCTGGTTTTACAGCCTGAAAGCGAATTTTCCTCTTGTACTTTGTGACAGGGTTAATCTGGACCATCTTCTTTAGGTCGACCTCATAGGCTGTCCCTGCACCCAGAGTCAGGGTGGCAGAAGTTTGTCCTGCAGAGACAGCTGAGTCCAGAAGGGCACAGACTGAGGGCTGGTATGGTTTCCACTGTCCATCATCTCCCATCCACTGCCACCCTGATTTAAGACACACACACAGAGAGGGTGGGAAAGTTAATGCCTTTCTACCTGTTGTTATAATAACTCCAGTGATATCAATACTTTGAATCTAAAACTGCACATAAATCTCTGACAGCTTGAAACCTCTCTGACATAGTTGTGGTTTTTCATCTTGTGTATTTTGACCACATGTTGTACACAGATCCTGAGATTATTTTTGTATTTTATACATCATGTCAAAGTTTCCAAACTACCCTAGAATCTGATTTTTAATTCATCATAATACAACCATGCCACTGTATCAGGCTATATCATCCTGCCCAAATTGTTCAAACAAAAGCTAACACTACATAGCAAATATGGAACTAAAATAAAACCGGGCATTTTAAAGAAGTGTTTAAATAATAAAATGTTAGTCTTGCTGCTTTAAGAAGTGATTAAAACGAATAAAATAGGCCAGTATTTTCCTGTCCTCCTTTGCCCTGACATGTCCACATGTACTGCAGCTAACCCACAGCTATCCATATCTATATATAAGCATTATAACACCTACCTGCTCCTGACTGGACTTCAGCGTTTTCTGGAGCACTTTGACTCTTATCCCTAGAGGACCTTGTTCGTCTCATTGCGGTTAAAAGTTAAAAAAAGAAAGCGTGTGTTGAATTTCAGGGACACAACAAAACAGGCGGAAAACTTTCCCTCGCTCTGTTTCCTGCCCGGTGCAGCTGAGGATCGCAGTGCGCATGCGCGATACTAGGTTTTTAACCGTTACCGTGACAACGGCACAGACTCTCGAGTGTAAAACAGCACGTAAATGTTAAATAATTTTTGATAACTTACGATAACAATCTTTATAAGAGAACTCGTCTAGAATGCACCCGGAAACAAAGACGTGCGTAAGCATAGATGTATATATAAACGCTAGATGGTTTACGCCCGCTGTTTGCCAATGGAGACCGACGTCCGTGTATAGCGGCCATCTTGCTACGGGCAGCTCGCCCACGCAGAAAATTACGGTCTACGGTGCATGTAGCATTTAAATAACCATAGATTGCTTAATTTTAAACCAATCTTCGAAAGGTTTCGTTTTTAACAAACCTCAGAGTTTTAGTTATGCTCCTGCATACTCAAGAATAATCTTAACCATGGCTTTTCATAAATAAACATTACGCAGAAAGGTAGAGCAACAGCTATAGGCCTACACACACAAGGCAGTTATATTAAATGATTAAAATATAAAACATTTAATCATTCCATGTATGTTTTATTAGTAATGTTTCTATTATAGGGATAACTTTAATAACATATAACAATAACCTATATAAATATTTACATTCAATATTAATTAGTGCCTAAGACTGTCACTTAGACGAAAAATATAGGCTGTCATACAAGAAATGAAAACTGTGGTCTCAGAAACTCAAGACAACTCAAGAAAAAGCTGCAATTTCAATATGTCCAACCATTCCGACTCAAAGCCACGTTACTCAGGTCTGTAATAAACAAAACCATTTATAAAAATGTCCAGATTTCAGCAAGTTAAGAGTATTTTTGTTCATGCAGATTACTCAACTTCCCAGCTACCATAGAGCATACCAGAATGTTATACTGGAGTAAGATGGCCGCCGTGAACGGATGCCTTGAGTCATCTAGCCTTTCTAATATCTATCTATGGTGCGTACGGTGTGAGGGAACACAACTTTGGGATTTAAAGGTTCCGTTCTATCATGAAGTCGGGGGTATTTTGTTGAAGGATCGTTAGAAATCCAAACGTGCCTTTACGCAGTTTCTTGCTGCTTTTTTCTTTTTCCTGAAAAAGAAAGACGCTGTTTGATATGGCAGCACGGAGTTATTGGGCTTGTGTCCTGTGTCAGAGGGCGGTTGTTGCGAGGATGATGTGCAGGGTGAGTGCAGTTAATATAGGTGTCATTGAACGCAGGTTCTTTAGTATGGAGGTCAGACATAAACTGTCAAATTCAGACCAAACAGGAGTAATAATCCAACAGGTTTTGTATATCATCATTTGCTGGTTCTGTATTAAATGTAGCACTTCTCTCAAACAAATAAGCTTCTAAAACTATGTAATTTGTTTTAATTTAACAGTTTTTGTGAATTGATTCGGACAATATTATCTAAAAGAGTCTAAAAACATCTTAAAGGGATATTCCGGTGTAAAATTAAGTTAGGGTCAAACACACCGTATCACCGAGTTAGACACCCTCGTCGAGAGATGAATGTTGCCGACAACTTGCTTCTCTAGTTATACCAACTTAAGTAACGACCACATGATTGGAATATACAGCGGTCTGAGGAGCCATAAACAAACCTCAACCAAAACATCACTCTATAGCCACAAATAATGCTCAGAACAGCACCTAACTTCATCAACAGGACATATAGGGTCCAAGCCATAGCACTAGCCATCAAACATCTTTTTAACTTTGACTAATTACTTGGTAAAGAGACTAAACACAACTCACCTACTCTCTTCTAGCAGCCGCTTGTTTGTACAGAGACCTCTAGGCGAGTCCATTATGGACTACAGCGGGGTGACGCAGCTCAAGGGGGAACATTTATGATCATTTCTTCATGGATATGCAATCGGACCGAGATGCTAAGACAGAAGAACTACTGCGTCTACAGTGCAAAATGATTAATATGGAGATTATTACTTCAAGGAAATGATTTAGAAGGTTTTTTTTTAGTCTGGACCACATTGGACCAGGACCTGACTTAAACTTTTCAGATCTGGTTTAAATAATTTTAAATATATTACAGCATCTCTAAAACTTAGTTTAACATTCTGTTCATTGTTTTTGAGTTTGTGAAAGACCAGAGAGAGTTTGGTAACTCTCAGTTTCCGTTTTAAGTTTGGCTCTATTATATAAACTCACTGGAGTTTAAGGAATCTGTGAGAAACTTTTACCTTCTTTGTTCCACTTTCAGAGCATGAGTGCAGCCACACACCCGCAGCCCCAGGTAGATTTTCTGAAGGGAGAACTTCACCGGAAGCACCAAGGTGTCACCAACCTGAAAACTCTGCACCTACCTGGGGAGCTCTACACAGCTGCACAGTCCATTATTTACAGTAGGTTAAATTTTAAATGTGACTATCACCTGGTTGCTTTCCTGGAGTTTAAATGAGTCAAAAAGCCAACACTGTAACGTGTCCACCTGCAGGAGCGCAGATCACTCGGCTAACTGACCGTGCTCAAAGCCTCACTAACTTTCTGTGGAGCAGAAAACGGTCAATCGAGGATTCAACTCTGAGAAAAAAGGCCGTGAGCCTGGAGAAAGAACTATGGGAGGAAGCCATGCAGAAGGCCGGAGGTGAGTGACGCAGAGTAAAGACGAGCCAATTATTAAATAATGACTGCAAAAACATGCTGTGGTGCTGCAGTTACAGGAAAGTAAGCATGCTTTACATTGCAGATGTAGATGAACAAGCTCTTGAGGACCGCATCAGGAAGAAGGTGTTTTCAGAGCTCAAACGAACCACATATCGCTGGACTCCCATGAAGTAACATTTGCTTTTTTTATTCATCTTCTTTTATATGACGAGAATGTTTATGAAATCCTGTGATATTTTCTTTAATAATCCATCTGGTCAGAAAAAACCTGCACAGAATCCAATCATCGACAACTTTTGGGCAGTTTGTATCTAACTCTATAAACTGCTCTTCTCTGTGTGTCAGGTATGATGAAGAGTTGGGTGTGGTGTACATGGCGGCTCGGCTGGCTGGAGGCTATGCAGCAGTGAAAAGAGCTTTACATGAGGTGATGAGATCATCGGATAGTGATTTTTTGTTTATTTTCTAATGCATGGAAAAATAAAATCAAATGTGATGTTTCTGTTTTTTCTGTATTGATTCAGATAAAGAAGAGGGATCCCTCTTTTGCACCGCAGACGCTCCTGGACTTCGGTTCTGGGCTTGGAACAGTTGCCTGGTTAGTGTAAATCACTTGTGCAACAAAGACAGGACTTTCATACACGCAACAAGACCCTGAAATGAGCGTCTCATTCTCTCTCTCTCTCTCTCTTGCAGGGCATCACACTCATGGTGGGGCGACACATTGAAGGAGATGGTGTGTGTTGACAGCTCTGCTCCCATGAATATCCTTGCAGAGCGGCTTCTCAAAGGTACACACACTCCTTTCATTTAGGATCAGTAAAATCATATTTTCTGAAATCTCTTTTTTCCAATACACAACCAGGAAATCTAAGCCTTTTTAAGTTTATCATTGTTTTTTTTTTTATTCAATTGTGTTTTGACCAGGTGACGATGAAAGAGCCGAACCTCACATTAAACACGTCTATTTCCGACAGTTTCTCCCCGTTTCTCCGAAGGTAAAACCACTCAATTTTTAGCTCAGCAACTCAAAAAAATACATAGTTATGATAGTTATTTGCTCAAGTATAGTCTTCTGGAAAATCTAAGCCTTTAATCTACCTTGAAATTAAACTCATTACATTCTAATTTGATATCTTTATTGTTCAAAGTGTGTAAAAGCAAATGAATGTGCACTGCTGTGATCGTTCCAGTATTCGCCAAAACCAAATTTTTGAGCAGGATTTTTAAAACCAACAATTCAAACTATTATTTCTGCTGCAGGTTAATTTTAGTCTGAGTGTTTATAGCTACAGTCAGAAGTAAACAGTGATATCTGTTTTGTGTGTGTTTTTGTTTGTGGCAGTAACAAACACAAACATTACAGAAAAAAGTATTTTTACTTCTATTTACAACAAACTGAGGAGCAGTGAGTCTGAGTCTGGGACCTTAAGGCTACATTAGGAGAGTTAAGAGAAAAATAAACGTAATCTGGAGAAAAAGCTTCAGTATTGTTGAGATGTCCTCTTTTTAATAACCCGTCAGCATTTATTATGTGTTTCTAAAGAAAAGCTTTAGGATAAGGGATCTTGACTGGGCTCTGTTCCTCCCCTCCAGGTCCAGTTTGATTTGGTGACTGCAGCTTTCACTCTGTCAGAGCTCCAGAATTCAAAAGATCGAGAGGAGACAGTGATGACCCTGTGGAGAAAGACGAGCTCCTACCTGGTCAGCTGACAGATTATATCTACTGTTTCTTCAAGTTGTGCCGTGTCTAAACTTTAACAGTTTGCTGCCTTACTCTTTGTGTTGTATTTACTGGGTTTTCCTGTGTTTTGGTGTAGGTGCTGGTGGAAAATGGGACTAAAGAGGGTCACCAGATGCTTATGGAAGCCAGAGACGCTTTATTACATGTATTCCGATTCAGAGAAAAGATATTTTTAAAGTTATTTTCTGTTATGAAAGTTTTTGTAATTTACTCTTGAAGAAACAGATGAATAACCTCCAGTTCTGTGTCTCTAGAAAAAAGATAAGATCGTTTTTGACCACAGACCAGCTTCAGTGTTTGCTCCAGTGAGTTTGATCCCCATCAAATCCCTTCTTAACCTTCAACCGGTGGTGTCTTTAGCGTCTCTCTATTGTTTCATTTCCAGTGCCCACATGAGCTGATGTGTCCTAAACTGGCCCGGGAGCCACTCAAACCATGCAATTTCCAGCAGGCGTACCAACCTCTGCCTCTGCCCGGGGTGAGATTACACTCTGGATTATGTTTCCCAAGTTTACTGATCATGCAGTACAACAACAAAAACACGTCATAAATCTATATTTGAGCATGCTACAGAACTTTCTACTCTGATGTGCTTTATAAATCTACAGATGAGGCTGTAATTTGGTGAGTTTTTGGGGTGTATCAGTTAGTTTGATGGCTCGTTAACCTTGAACAGGATTGGAACAAGAACTTATTTGTTTTTTGCACATTTTAAAAAGTGTCCGATATTCAAAAAGTGAGGATTGTAAAGAAGAGGTTTGTCAAACTTTAACAAATTTTGTCCAGGTGTCACTTTTTAAATTACATCATTCAGTGACTCAGAGCTTAAAAAAATCGAATCAGATTTTCTTATGAGGTGTAAATATCTCCTTCATACTTGAGGGCATGTTTGAATTAAACTTTGTATTTGACTTTATTTTCAGCACTTTCACCAGCAGAGGGAGAAGTTCAGCTACCTGATTATGTCTCGAACTCCACCGGCGGGGACAGACACTGAAGGCGTGGACTGGGCCAGGCTCATCGCACCGGTTCAGCCCAGGACGAGACATGTCCACTGCCGCGTGTGCTGCCCTGATGGAAAACTACAACACTTGGTGGTGACGGCACGGAAACACAGCAGGTGAAGTACAGCAAGGACAAGAACCAAGATAAACCAGGAGGAGAAAAACGTTCATGTAGATCATTCCCCTAGAGGCCCGACTGTCATTCTAATATGGAGTTCAGCGCATTTTTTACTGATGCAGTTCATGTAACAGAGAGATTTAAAGACACCTTCTAGTACAGGGAAGGTACTGAAATTTCAGAATTTGAGATTAGATCATGTCACTATTTCAGAACACATTTTAAACAACTCACAGCATATGTTTACGCTCAGTGATAAAAAGGTGGTGAGATGACGTGAGTGAAACCAGTAAGACAGAGTAGAGCTCTCCTTCCTCACTTTCCAGCTCCGAATGTTTAAACACGAGCAGCTGCAGGAGAAAATGGGCAAAATTCTGATTTTCTTCCTGATCAAAGACGAAGTTAACAAAGTTACAAATCAAGCAGAAACTCAACACCAGCTCTCAGTATTTGGCAGCTCTTTTGTTTTTATGCTGGCGTTGAAAGTATTGCAAGATGGCTCTGCTTTTACTGGACGCTGAACGGAGCTCGATGTTTGTGATCTGGTCATAATTTCCTGTATCATTTAATTATCAAAACTTGTTCCATCTCTTTCATCAGAGATGTGTACCGCTGTGCCCGGAGTAGCGACTGGGGTGATCAAGTTCCGATCATTCAGAGCTCCGATGAAGACATCCAGACTGATTCAGAGTGATGATTCAACACGCAAGAGGAAGCAGGCACATTCTTCAGACTTTATGGACTGTCCAAACATGACGCCAAACTCTGATAAGAGTGCATAGGTTTACATATTGACTTATTTAACCACCTGATTCTCCAATAAAAGGTCATAACCAAGTCTGAATTCACCATACTTTATTGAGCACCACCAGCAAGAGATCATAGTCCAAGTCTCCTGTCGAGCTTGATGCAATAGGAAGACACAAAATGAAAGAGGTGAGATTTCCTCCTGTGTGAATGTAGGCTGTTTTTGAATACAGTCTAAATCAGTACAATCCCTTTTATTAAAGAAACCCATTTATTATGAAAAACTGATCTCTGTGGTTAATTTCTGTCGCTAAGGTGTTTGCAGATTAAATACTTTTCCAAGGAAGTTGATGGATCAAATGTGTCGACTTTTGTAAGGAGAAGTGAAAGAAGTTAATCAACAGAGGGCAGAGATGTCCTGTTGACCATGAGAAAAATGAAATGCTGTGATTAGGGTTTATAAAGTCAGATTTTTTCTTTCACAGTTGATATGAGCAGTAATAAATTTATTTTCTTGTGATACAGTAATAATGAAGGCAAAATTTCCCCAAACACCTCAGTCTGCACCTTTTCCCGTCATGATCAGTTAACTCCCAATAATCTCTTTCAGTGCTGAGGTCAAGTCCGGGTACTTGTACTGAAAGCCGGCCTCCAGAGTCCTCTTTGGTATGACTTTCTGGCCCTGCGTGAGGACCACCGCCCGCTCTGAACCTAACATGGCGTTCATGGCGAAGCCAGGCACGGGAAAAATGGTGGGCCTCCTCATGACCCGACCCAGTTCTTTTGTGAACTCGTAATTGGTGTTCAGTGCAGGTGCCACTCCGTTAAACACTTGTTGTGAAGGGGGCGGGGTTTCAGCAGAGGGCTCCAGGGAATGGGCGATGATTCCTGCCAGGTCAGAGACGTGGATCCATGGAAACGGCTGTCGTCCTGACCCCAGAGTCCCCCCAAGGCCAAGCCAGAATGGAAGCCACATCTGCTTCATGGCACCACCGTCACGGCCCAATACTGCCCCTGGTGGGAGGAGGAAGGAGTGAACGTTCATCAGTCTAAACTGATTATAACTTAAAGGCACTTTGAGGAGTACAGAAAACAAACTAACCAGGATTCACTAACTGTAAATTAAAGTGGAATATGCAGTTCATACAAACCAGGTCTGATGACGACTTGTTTGGTGGTTGTTGCCAAATTCTCAGGAAGAAGTGCTGAAGCCTCCCACTCTTTCACAAGTTTGGAGAGAAGGTCAAACGGTGTCCATTCACTGTCCTCTGTGTACTCAGCTGTCATACAGGGCTTGTAACACGCTGTGGAACAAGAGTGGGACTCAATGGGATTGAAAAGTATTTTCACTTTTTGTGAGTTTACCTGGTCTGATCTGGAGGAAAAACAAAGTTTCATCCTGATATGAAAACTTACCCACTCCTGATACCAGGACCCAGGAGTGAGGAGGACTGGGTGAATCTGCAATAGCCTGAGCCAGAGTTTTAGTAGTGTCAATGCGACTGGAGAATAGATCCTTTTTGTAGCTCTCGTTCCACCTAAAACCACAAACAAAACAATTCAGGTGGAGATCCCACAACCAAAACCTGGCTGCAGAGATTTAACTCCTTGAAAAGTTTACTTCTGAGGCTGACTTGTGCAGCCAAAGTCAAGAAAAACAACTCATTACTGTACTGGTAAAACAGGTGTCATCTTTTTTTAAACTTCTGGTGCATTAACTGGACAAAAGACAGTGTACAGTCAGCAGTTGCCCTTCTCACCAGCGCAGGGGATTCATCAGGTTTTCTCCAGCCAAATTGACAGCACCCTCACATGGTGGGAGGCCCCTGGACTCCAACTCGCTCTGCGGAGGTAACAAGTTACAAAAGATTGGATCTAGGGCCAGCTATTGAAATGATGATAGCAAAAAAGTGTGATTATTAATCAAAATTACAGTGTAAACCTTCAGTGATCATCACCCATGCTGTTTAATTAAAACCTACTTAAATGTGAGTTCATACCCATGTTATTTTCCCTGGACCCGGCTGGCGAGATATAACAGTGACTTCATGTCCTTTTGCTTTGAGAAGGCGAGTAAGTTCACGGCCCACAAAGCCAGACCCCCCTCCTACAACACAGAGGAATTGATAATGAACCACACAGTTTTCATCAATTAGCAATCACAGTAAATTAGACAGGAAGCACTTTCATGACTATATTTGCCTTAACTTTAATGGTAAATCTAAAACAAAAAATCTTTCCTTTATACTAAATCAGCTTTCCCGTAAACAGCAAATTAAACTGTTGTCAGTGAAAACTCACAAGCACAAGACTGTTGAACTCATGCGCATGCGTATTACACATGCTTACAAAACAGGACCCTGAATAACTTAGACAAACTTCGCAGTGGAAACTGACACCTTTTTTAAAACACTAAGTTTCCCGGCTTTCTTACTTTGCTTGGACCTTTATGTTTTCAGTCACTGTACATTTGTTTTAGGCACACACGAAAATTAACCATACAAATAACGCCTAGAATGCTAACAGGAGCTAACCGCTAACTGCTAACGTTACATTGACCTTTAAAATTTGTAGTTTTGTGATGAGTTATCGGTAAATGCACATACCTATTAAAACTCTCATGGTGGCCAAACCGTCGGTTTTGAATCCAGCTATAAAACTTGGCTGCAGGTGAGAAGGTTTCCTTTCGTCCGTGTGCTGCTGTCAATGAACGGTTATCATCATTCTTGTTCCAACGCGGCTTCCGTATCTGAGCACGTCGTTACGTCATTTTGTAGTTCTGAACGATGAGGAAGTGTTTCAGAGGGGCAGGTGGCAGTAAATCACAGCTTATTCAAACATACTTATCTTTTTTCTATATTTACTTAGTGAAACTTGATACGTGTTTAAATAAAATATCCTGCATGACGACCAAATATTGAGTTTGATGCTAGTAATCCATCATTTGCGTATTTTACTGATTTAAAAAAATAACGAAAAAGAAGTTCAAATGTTATAGTCTTAGTGTAGATGGTATTAACTTGTTTATATTTGTTTGTACTTATTGGCGGGATGTGTTTATTGATTTGAGAATGTGTTAATATCCGGAAAAATGATTCAAAAAGGATGGAGAACATCATAAATCCAGTTTTTTTTTTCAATTATTACCGATATTAATATTTGTTGCTTTAATTTTTAATTTTATTATTAAGAATATTTTGATGATTTCAGATTTTTGGCCCTTCCAATCGAATGATATGTTTATGTTTTACATTCAGATATAAAATAATAAATATGAAATTATATTAATAACATAATAAAATAATAATAACAAACATAAAATGTCAAAATAAATAACGTATCAAGCGTGGTTACAAAACCCAAAGACCTTTTTTACGCTGTTAAAATGATTTGATGAATAAATATCGTCCCACGCCGTACCCGGAAGCCACATGTGTGGTGACGGAGGACAGCAAACACGTGGTTTTGATCAGGACATAAATAGAGCCGCCGCTTAATTACACCCTCTCTCTTTCGTGTGGTCGTTCGAGTGGAATGTGTCGCTACTGACCACCGCGTGTGGAGCTGCAATTACGGTAAATGCCAAAATGTGGCTCCATCCTTCACTATTAATGCCAGAAATCGTCTTTTAATACATCTGTTTAGGGTAATTGTTATGGTAACTTCCGCACTGATTTGATTGTTAGCTCGCTTCTGGAGTTAGCGCCAAACCGACCTCATGGTGTGCTCTGAGGAGGCCCTGCTCCACAAATAATGGGTCATATTGAAAGGAGTTATGTGTATCTATGAAAATACTTTACAGCAGGAACTGTTTGATTTAACTATCAACGCTGGAAACCTTCTCTTTTTAATGTGACCGTAAGTTAAAGGCAGTTCAGTTTATCAAATCTCTACTTGAGGATTAACATATCCACATGTGTGCTTCATGTTCATTTATTGCACTTTGCCCCAGGGATGGAAAGCTCTTAAACCCTTTTTTCATATCTTCTCTCCTCAAATGTTGTATTTTCTATTATCTGATTACTGAGAAGGGTTAAAACATTCTAGTCTCCCTACAAATGAAAATGGTTCTTATGATGAGAAACAAAACCACGAGGAAGATTTTTTTTTTTTTTTTTTTTTTTTTGTCCCATTCTGTTCAGTCAAACCTTAATGATGATTTGCATGTGAGTCCGTGTTTCACCTGAACCTCATGATTACTCTTTCACTGCACTGATGGGTTTGACAATAAAGGTACCAGTGAGGATGATAATTTTTTTCTTAATCTCATGAGACTAATCAGTCTGTTTCTTTATCAGATTTCAGAGCCTGGATTGAAGAAATCTCTGCAAGGTTAGTATTTTTATTTTTAATAACTCTTGCACATCATTAATCAAAATGTTTGCTCTGTCCATGTGCTTAAAATCAATACAGTTAATCAAAGCACTGCTACCAATCTAAACCCATGTTTTTTTTCTCTTGGAGACTGTAGTTTGCAGACCTCTAAAGCTGTTTAACTCTAAAATAAAATATCTTTGGTTTAATTCGGTGTCATTGATTTCATGTGGATGCAGCATAACTATAAACAATATCATTACCTTAAATGACCAAAACTGAAGTTGAAAACACTTCAAACTTAACACTGTTGGATATTAACTCGCCTTTTCTTATTTTACAGGTAATGGGAACTGTGAACACTGACCTCTGGGATTCCAGAATCTGGGTTTTAAAAACAGATGGTTCTCCATTCTGACCGCTAGTGTATAGAGATTTGAACCTTATAAAATATTGCTTTTTTTTTTTTTTTTTTTTTTAAATGAGTCCAAGCACATGTTGATTTAAAATTAGATTGTAACAGACTTGGTGTGCATGATCTATTGTTGGGTTTGATTGAATAAAACTGACCTTTTTGCCAAACTGTATACTGTCTCTTTTAATTTGCATATAATGCTCAAGATATTTTACAGTACATCCTCCTTGTACATTAATTGCTGAAAGTGTAAAGCAATATTTTGTGGGTCAAAACCTGTTATTTCATTGAAAAAAAAATGGGTTTCTGTAATTTAATACATGCAACTTCCCCTTAAGTAAATCCAGTGCAGTCAGTTGTAAATATTAAATTTTATTTTAGTTTCATGAAAACATTCACTTTAAAATAGAAAACATGTAAAAGTATGTACAGTTCTGATATACAGATCAGGTTGTAAAAATAAATCAGATTTCTTGTACCTGCACAGCTGATATTCAAGTCTAACTTGTTTCTTACAAAACTATTTACACAAAAACTCAAATGATTGTTGGTTCTGTACATGATTTTTTAAAGCATTAATTTGCTTATACTTGCTCTAATCAAAATCCAAGCAAATCACTTTGCTTGAGCTTGCTTTCATTTCATTTATGTACAAAGTTCATTTGTTGTTCATCGCCCGTTCCGTAAAGGAGGAGTTCCTGTGCTGTTTGAGGATTCATTCGTACTGATCCCAATCACATCTTTACTTTGTCCCCGATTCTTTTTGGTTCCTGCTTGGTCTAATGAAGTCCCTTCAAAGAGTCGAGCCATGAAAGCAAGGCCGTTCTTCTTGATGTAGGACTTTCCAGCGAAGGTGTAGAGGACAGGATTAGCACAACTGCTGATGAAGGCCAGAGCTGAAGTCACTGCACGACTGGATTTAGCGATGTTGTCCAGACTGTAGATGAGAAGAAAGAAGAGTTGATGCAACAAGTCAGATTAAACATGTCCCTGATCAATCCGCTTTCATACAAGTATAGGAGGGTAAATGGTAAAACTTTGATTACTCACACTTCTCTTCTTGGTGACGTATCCGAGTACCACTCAGTTGCCACCTAAGATGGAAACAAAACATCCTCACTGTTCAGGCAAAAGATCAGCCCCTTGATTGTAATTCAGAAATGAGCATTTAATGTGATGAACAATACTCTTAACATGCCCTCACTCACCTGTATCATGTTTATAACGTGGTACGGCAGCCAGAAAAGGCCAAACATCACCACAATTGCCAGGATGAGTTTCTCACTTCTGACCTTTCTGCGAAACTTGGTCTGTCTGAGGCGTCTTAGGATGAGGACGTAGCTCGTTATGATAATGGCATAAGGAAGAATGAATCCTGCCACTGTCTCAAAGGCGTACTGAAACCTCACCTGCAAAGAGGATGATAGAAACATGTCAAGACTTGATGTCCAAAAATACCAGGAAAGCCAAAATAGACAAGTAAATCACTATTCACACATGCGCTCCTGCAAATAGACTTTGGGTAAAAAAACAATATGTCTGTTTGTGTTAACAAATGCAACTTTCTTGGTAAATTCAGTAAAATTTTGGCACTCATGTTCATCTCTAGAAAAAAACCTTACAAGGGAAAAGCGAACTAGGATTCAAAAGAAATATGTGCCTGATCTTGCTTATTACAAGTTTATCTCTAACAACAGCAGTATCCCATTATTTAGAGTATTCAAAGTGTTTTTGCACGCTGTAATCATTCCTCCACCATTAAAATGTATTGATCAGCCCTTGCCAGAGCTTTCAGTCACATCATAAGGTCATCATTTGCAGAGCATGTTTACCCAGCTGTACAGGGCTGATTTTTTTTTTTTTTATTAAATCACCAACTGTGTGCTTTGCTGTATTTTTTTTTCTTTGGGGGGGTGGCTTTTTTTCCCCCATGGGCTAAGTAAAATTCTTGGGGAAATACTTTGGTCATACTTTGGTCGGTCAGAAATGTTAAGTATGTATATTGAAATTATTCTTCATTTATTTTTGTGTTTCCTGGATTTTAAAATGTTTGTGCAAGTGTCCTTCAGGGCCACCATACTTGTTGCTGCTACTGGCGGTCTGTAGGTATCATCTCAGCCGCTACATCAACCCTCTTGGTAGTGTGTGTTATCTTGACTTTTTAAGGTTTTTAATGCAAATTTCTGACAAAAAGTTGAGTTGTTTCTCAGACAAAGTTGGCTCCCATCCTGTTTATTCTAGTGTCTCTTTCAGTTGTGTTTACCTCGCCGCCATAAAACCAAGATGGCGACGGTTGGGTTGCCATATCTCCGGTTAGACCAACCGTTACTGGAGGTTACGTTGGCGAACTGAGTTTTTACATTAAGTGTTTTTCCTCACCGCTGGTTTTTGCCGACCAAAAGTGGAAAAACATAAGTTAATGCCGTGGGTGTGCCTACTTACATGTCGAGGCAGGGTGTGGTTGGGCGCACACACCAATCTTGTTTTATTCCTCTCATCTTTGTCCTCTCTCACGTCCCGAAACACCAGCGAGGGGATCGATATCACCATCACCAGTACCCACATGCACACGATCACCCTCCGCACTACTTTTTTGCTGACCAGCTCAGCGGCCTTCCTCGGAAACACCACGGCAACCAGCCTGTGCACGCTCATCAAGGTGATCAGGAAGATGGAGGCGTACATGTTGGCGTTGCACAGGTAGAAAAGGCCTTTGCACATGGCGTCACCAAACACCCACGTCTGCTTGGCCAGGTAGACGACGAAGAAGATGGTGAGGGCCATGAGGAAGCCGTCTGCACACGCCAGGTTGAGGATGAGGAGGGTGGTGACTGAGCGCCGGCGGGTTCGTGCCAGGATGCTCCAGACGATGAAGAGGTTACCGGGGACACCCAGGAGGAAGACCAGGCCGAGGATGAGGGCGCCCAAGGTGGTGGAGAAGTCATTGCTCACCACGCTGTCATCCTCGGGGCTTGTGTCGTTTTTGAGGCCAGATTGGGAAGTCAGAAAGGAAAGAGTGGAGGAGTTCATGCTGGGAGGAGGTCTGATCCTGAGGACAAGAGACAAAGTAAGAACTCAAAACTTCATATTTGTACCTCTGATACTTTTGCTCTGTCTTCTGTTTGGGATAATTTACTATTTCAAATGTTTTAATCATGCAAGAATGGGAGAGTGTACTCTTTTTAAAGCTCTTGAAACTGCTCTCGGAGGTTTTTAAACAGTCATTTCATTTTTTTAATCAATCAAACTTTATTTTTAAAGCACTTTTCATACATATAATGTTGCACAAAGTGTTGTCCATTCTAGCAGGATATTAAAAACAATGAAATAAGATAAATACAAATACCTAACCCCACTCACCCTCCCAACCCCGTCTTAAAATCTAACAATAAAACAAAGTAAATAAAAAAAAGAGGTAATAAAACACAAAATTGTTACTCTACAACTGAAACAGGGTAAAATCACATAATGCAGATTAAAAGATTAAAAAGAAATTAACTAAAAGCCAAATTAAAAAGGTAGGTCTTGAGTTCACTTTTAGAAGTATGAACAGTAGGTGTCGCTCTCAGGTCTGCAGGTAGGCTGTTCCACAAATGCGGACCATAATGTTGGAATGATGATTCACCGTATGTTTTTGTTTTTACTTTGGGAACAATTAAAAGACCAACACCTGAAGACCTGAGGGCTCTACTAGACTCATGGTAAAAGCAAATTAGAAAAATAAGAAGGACCAAGACCATTAAGAGCTTTAAAAACTAATAAAAGAACTTTAAAATCTACTGTAAAAGACACAGGTGACCAATGCATCCTTCTTTTTAAAGAAGAGAGGATGGATGCAAAACTTTGTGAGTCATGCCTTTATTACTTTTTTTGGCCTCAACTATAAAATGGGCACATATTTTAATGAGACAGTTCAATTTCCCAGTTTTGATATAATAAATAATAATAATAAATTTTATTGATAACGCGCTTTTACAGGTGCTCAAAGATGCCTTACAAAGAAAAAAACAGAATAAAAAACAATTTAAAGTACAGAAAATTTTGAGAAATAAAACCAACAATGTAAAAGGTTAAAAAAGACTGAAAGAGGTGTGTTATTATGAGTGATTTGAAAGTATGGGGTCTGGGCAGGAGGGCGTGTAGTGGTGGAGCAGGTCTGCGAGGTAGGCAGGGGCCAGGTTGTTAAGTGATTTGTGGGTGAGCAGGAGGATTTTGAATTGTATGCTGTGTGAGACGGAGAGCCAGTGCAGCTTTTGGAGGACAGGGGTGGTGTTTTCGCGGGGGTTGGTGTGGGTGAGCAGGCGGGCAACAGAGTTCTGAATTTATATCACCAAATTTTTTTTTTTGTTACTTCTTTTTTTACACAGTAACCAGTGGGAACTCAGTTTCACAATCTAAAATTACTCAAGTTTCCACATGACCAAAACTCATGAGCATGAGAGGCCAAGTTAGATAACAGCATTTGAATGAAGGGCTTACATTCATCTGACAAAATAAACATTTAATCTCTTGTTTTGTCCTGTAGATGCTGCCTATCATTTTGCATTGCCTTAGACTGTGACAGACAAAGCTCTGATAATGATTTTTATCGCTCATGTTTGTGGATGAATTCTTGCTCTAACACCTGATTATATCGTTAATGTCGCAAACCTCATGCAGCCCTATCATTCAAAGTCAGGCAGCAAACGTTTGCATAAAAATATCTCACTTCATGGTTTTATAAAGGCTGGTGTGAAACCGAAACCTGACGTCAGACATGGCTGCTGCTTTCTTTGTCACTGTGAGTCTTCTTGAAAACATGCTGACATCTTTGCGGTGCAGTTTTTCAGCAAAATCACCTGCGTTTCAGACGACCTTTTGATAAAACTAGCTTCACAAATCTTTGAAAACATGCGTGACACGGACTGTCGCTAACTGACACATCTTTGAAGAAAACAGGAACAGGTGGCACATGTGAACTTCCTATTCGAGGAAATGGTTTTTGAGATTAAATGATAAGAGAGACAGCGAAGAGATGGTAGAGGTGATTTAAAAAAAAAAAAAAGGACTCAACAAATTCAGAACTTAATAAATCACATTGTGGAAAAATTTGCGAGGTTCTTGAGCACACCGCTGTCTTCAAGATGACACTGGTGATAGTGTGCAGAAACAGTGTCTGAGTCAGTTATGGTAAATATCGTCAAATGTTGTTCACTGATGGTGCCCAGGCTGTTTCCAGAGCGAGAGGATGCCTGCCATCCTGACGCAGCCTCTAAAATATTCACACCAGAACCCTTTGGCAAACAGCAGCGATGAACTCAGAGTCGACATGCTAAAACATGCTGAACATGAGCAGTACTGCATCTATTATGACACTGGCTTTGATTCATTAACCTTTTTTTTTTTCTTTTACATATTTGTTTCAAGTCTTCTTTGGTTCCGTTCTCACTGTCCGTTCACATGGAGGACAATACCCTTTAAGGCAAAGGTCATGGAGGGATGACCTTCATAACCGACCCAGATTTATATATGCTAAAATTAAAATCTTAACATGAGTGTTGTGGAGAGAAAGTAATTGGTTCGGATATTAAATGAAGCCATATTTCCTGGCATGAGAATGAGAAATCAAGCTCTTATTTCCAGATTAAGTCCTAGTTTCCTTTCCCTGTCCCACTAAAACAAACAGTTTATTTTCCCCTGGTGGCTCTAAACGAGAGTGTACGAGTAAACAATCAAAGCCAGACATACATCACCGCGAAAAAGAATGCGCTGGAAACGAGAGTCTGTGCATGATGTCAAGTGGAGTCAGTGCTTCTCAGAAATGACGACAAAAGTTTAATTTTTTGAAGAAAATCCAGAGACGTGAAGCTGTAACAGGCCAAATTCTGGTAGAAAAAAATATTGAAAGGATCTAAATGTTTTTTTTTTAAGTGTGCATGTATGAAGAACTCGTCTATAGTAAGTTTATTACCTGCAGGGGGTCCAGCTCTGCCATGCCATTAAGGTAATTTTACAAACACCCGACCCCAAAGTGATAATAATCTTAGGTATTTGTTGCTCAAAATTATGCCAAACTGAGATGCAAAACTATCAAAATTGGCCAGAAAAGTGCAAAAAACATTGACAACGTGAAGCACTTGAACTGTTCGAAAATTCAGCACATACTTTCACTGACAGAGGTGTTTGGGTTGGAGCTGACTCTGTCTGCCTTGCTTCTGTTCTGTCCCAGACATCTGGCTGCTTTCTCAACAGCCGAGCTGACCAGCATCCCCTATGAATAATACACTCAGGGTTCCTCCCTACAACTTGTGATTAAAACCCACTGAAAACATCCCTCAGACCAACACAACATTATATTGGTTATAGCGTTATCAGCACATCGGGCAAATCCGTAAACGGGAAAAACCCACCAACTCACTTAACACGACAAAGTGATGAAAAATGAAACAATTTCAACAAGAAAAAGTAGAATTTAAGAGGGAAAAATGTGTTTCACTCAATAAGGCCACCCTTTACAGACGATTTACAGACTAAAAACATCTATTTCTTTCTCCTGTATTGGAGATAGACTGTAAGAACAGAATTTGAAAATACAAAATACCTGTTACATCTATATTAATACCATCAAAAAGTTTGGGAAAACATACTCTATCACTTAAAAAAGCGCACCTAAAAGAAACTTTTGGAGTCATCTGCGCTGAAATAACACATGAAGAATAGGATAATAAAACGGGCAGAAATGTTTTTTTTTTTTTTTTTGCGATTTCAAGCAATAATTTGCAAAACAAAACCTGAGAGATGTTTAACAAAAAATAAAAGACAGAAAAGCCCCAAAACGCTCCAAAAAACATATCCCTTCCAGTAACTGTTTACCAGAAAAGTAATAGCAGCGGATTAACTTGCCGTCCAGAGTTTTGAAATAATGAGTCACCGGATTGTAATAAATCTGTTTCATGTAAATAAAGGAGTCAAGAAAGTAAATTATTATGTTAAGATTGAAGAAAGAAAAAGCAGATGTTTGTGAAATCTGACTGAGATTTAAAAGTGAATGAGTTGATTAAAGTTGTGCCGGGCGAATGAAAGCAGGACTGACCTTTCCAGGGCTCGTTTCTCTGTGAGATCTGTCAGCTTCAATTATCCCTCGCTGCTCCTGGCTGCGTCCAGCTCTCTGATAGTGTTTCCACTGTGTGACAGAGTCTGTTAGCTCCGGTCCATAATAACCTGAATCACATCCTGCCCCACAGGCTGCGACATGCTGCAAGGGAGAGGGAGGCAGAGAGGTGTGTCCTTCCTCAATTCTCCCCCTCTTCCTCCTTCTAACAAGCTTTATGTATTTCTCCTTATGTATGAGTCATTTATCTGTCTCAGGACAAACCTTTTAATTAAACAAACAGGAAGCACCCCCCTGGGGAAGAGAAAAAAAACAAAAAAACAAAACCCATCCCGTTGTCATGTTTATGTGTCCTGAGGCACTTTCTTCTTTGCGTGAACTGTGGCGTAATCTGAAGACAGAGGAGTATACGTAGGTGATTCAAATTCTTGCACAAGACTCTTCTGTCATAGATGCTGAGCACACACAAGTGCAAACACGCATGGAGATCACACACACAGAAAAAAAGCACACTCACCAGTCGATACAGGTCTGACACTGACAGGAATGTCTCTTTCTGGAAGTTGTGGAAAATATAGAGCATGGCTTCTCGGTTTATGTAGTTGCGGGAAAGTTTGTTGAAGATGTGCTTGTTAAGTGTCCTCCAGCTCACATTCATCCTTCACACTTGAGCAGTGGAGACAACTCGTGTCTCAAACCGTATAGACAGCTCTCCGTATAGACGTCTTTCTCTTATTTGAAGTGGAAAACCCCTCGATGGAGAAATAATCAAACGGGTTTTCTCAGACTTAAGGGTTCTGAAGAGTTTCACCGAAGTATCTGCTTCCTGTACCATATCTGTGTTAACAAATGAGGCCTAATTGAACTTTTTTATAAACTTGTCATCAGAGTTTTTTTTTTTCCAAGTCTAAATCATTAAATAAACATTTTTATAGACAGTTAACCTCCTCCTCAAAGGGTGCTTATAAATATGTTGGGCTGGTGGAGCCATTGCATTAATGTTAAAGCCCTTCTTCAATCCAAAACACACTCTGAATTTTCTCTCTAGTGGCTATCAGGTCTTATCTTACGTTATCCCATCTCATCTCATCTCATCACCCACCTTACATGACCTCGCCTTACGTCGCCTCATCTAATTTACTTTCATTTTATAAACTCCCCTCCTCTACTTTCAGTTTAACTCACGCCATCTGATGTTATCTTGCCTCATTTCACTGGGCCTTTCTTTGCTTTGTCTTATTTCATCTCATTACGTCTCATCTGATAACCCACCTTACCTCACTTGGCCTCACCTCTCCTCAACTCATGTCATATCACATTACAGGACTGTGCCTAATCTGATTTCATCTCACCTGGCTAGATCTTGACTCACATCTCATCTCATTTCATCTTAACCCTCTATCTATCTATCTATCTATCTATCTATCTCTCTATCTATCTGTCTATCTATCTATCTATCTATCTATCTATCTATCTATCTATCTGTCTGTCTGTCTGTCTGTCTGTCTGTCTGTCTGTCTGTCTGTCTGTCTGTCTGATCATATCTCACCTTTCCTCAAATCAAATCAATTTAACTCACCATATCATCTAATTTTATTTTACCTCATCTCATCTTTTCACATCACACCTTATCTCAGCTTACTTCACCTTTCCTCCCCTTATCTCATCTCATCTCATCTTAACCCACTTTATTTCTTCTCATTTCTACTGGCCTCACCCTGTCAAATCTCGTCTCGTCTCATCTTATTTTATCTCATAGCTCACCTTTCCTCAAATCAAATCAAATAAATTTAGCTCACCTCAACTCGCCTTATCATCTAATCTTATTTTACCTCATCTCATTTCATCTCATCTATTTACATCACACCTTATGTCAGCTCACTTCACCTTTCCTTTCCTCATCTCAGCTCACTTCACCTTTCCTCATCTCATCTCATCTCATCTCATCTCATCTCATCTCATGTCATCTCAACAGAGCTGTCAATCACCCTTTTAAGGAGTTATTTTGATCATTGTCACTCTTACATTGTCTTCTCATAGCTTTGTGGTAGTTTTACATGATCTAAGACTCAAAAACTGATCATAACTCTAATTATTTTTAAAAACCCTTACATGAGCTTTAATCCTTTCAGAACATCACCTGAAGTTGGTTTGCTCTATGATTTCAGCTCCAGTTAAATTGTACGTGTCTCTAAAGAACCGGTATTCTCAACTTCTCGAAACACTGATTCATTGATCAGGTAATAGATAACTTTGATTCGTCTTTGACTCAGAGAATCAGTGAGACGGATGTGAGGTTGTGAAATATTTCTGGGATATTCATGTCCTCGGGCTCTGAAAACAATCTGACAGTCAAGGAAAGTTATTATCCATCTGCCCCGTTTTTCTCCACAAGAGGGCCTCGTCCTCCACAGGAATCTGCTCCCCGTCTCTCCTCCTCCCATAAACTTGACACTCAGCAGCTCCTCCTCAGTGTTGCACTCATCCATCACATTGCAGCAGTCCTTTAAACAATTTATTAGCCATTCAACTCCACAGTTTAACAACACCCAAAACTTTCCATTTTACTAGAAAGACTCTGTGCTTGAACTACTGACAGGGTGCGTATAAACAGTACCAGAGTAAAAGACACTTAAAAAAATGATGTTTTTCTAATTTAAGTTAAAGCTTAACCAACCTAAACCATAACCCCTCAAAAACTAAACAGCTGGAGTTATCTTTTTGGCAGGATACATTTTAATTAAGCTGTTAAGACCAAAGGCAGCTCAATCTGACCATAGCTGTGATTTTGACTGTAACAGCATGTGTTGCTTTTAAACTCAGAATAGTTGAAGTTAATATTATCTACAGCTGCTTTTATAAATCAGGGTTTATTTTTAGTTGTTTATTCTCATCTTATGTCTAATATACCACCAATTTCAGACAGTTTCTGTGTTAATGGCAAGGATTTAATTGAGTTTTCTCGTCCTATATTACATGGTAATAAAACTTTAATTTGACCTGAACTTTGACTTTCAAATTTTATTGATTTTTTTTTTCTTTACATTTTGGGTTGTAATTAAAATGCACTAATTGGGGTCGTATAACCAGAGCAGATGAATATTGCATTCACATTTGAGTGTAACCATAAGCTAACACTGGCTCTACAAAGTAAGTGATTCAGCCCAGACCGTGAGCTTTTCCTAAACCAATCCAAATGGTTTTGGTGCATAAAAGTTACCAAATTAAGCTCATCACGTAAAAGATATTTTTCAGCAAACGTATTTATCTTTTTTTCAGTTTATTGAACAATCGTACCATAAAGACATCAACGAACACTGTGATTATCACATATTTTGGCTGCATATAAGCGAAAGACACAGCTAGTGTTTCTTAGATGAAGAAAAACTGTCAAATTAGTTTGATTAGTACGGCTTAAATTACCAGAGGTAGCGCCACCAGCCTTTGGTCCTCCTTGCAGATTAACATCGACACCCCAGTGCTGGTTAATCTAAACAAGCCCACATACAACTTAAACTCAATTTTTTTTAGATTAAAAACTGCACCACACAATGGGACAATGTCTATTATTTGTGCTTGTTTACACAACAGTTTTGATATATGTTAGTATTATTAACTGTGACTTTGATCAGAATTGAGAGCAAAACAAGTTTTTAAGTGTATATTAGTGTGTCCAACTCTTAATCCAGATAGCCACTTATAAACCGTAAGGTAGCCTTTCTTGATACAGCTGTTTGGCCACTTATTTTGTAAAAAAAAAAAAAAGCCGTACTTAGAAAGTGAAGATCATGCATAAATAACTAACAGGCAATTTCCACGGTTACGAAAAGGCCGTATCCGGCGATCACAGCTGATCGTAACCAGGCAAGTTAAAGTGTCAATTCCCAATCGGATTCTTTCTGTACCTCTGTGAATCACCGGACGCTGGAGCATGCCGGATAATTCAGCACAGATTAACTCGTGGAAAGGAAGTCGGGCACAGACACAAAATAAAACATCCGGCTTCTTTTCAAAATAAAACACTCGTGTTTTAGGCGGATCGTATTTCACACCACGCAAACAGGCGGAGACGAACAAGTGAAAGGTTTATAGACAGCATTTCATCCCGATGACACCATGGATGAGGAAAGGGTCATTTTTTAAATCTAGAAGTAGATTTCCTCCTCTGGAAGGACACAATCTACTGCTTATATGGTTAGCCTCCGTGGCTAGAGACAACTTGTTATCGCGCCATTACACGTGAATCCGCGGGTTCTTGTGAGTTCTCGCAACTCCTGCTGTCTGTAATCCGCCACGAAATTCGCCTCACAAACGGACCTGGTAGAAATTGGCATACGGTAAAAATCGCCACAGTTCAGGATCGGAGCCGTTCCAGATGCAGTGAAAATCCCAGGTAAGAATTAAAACTAGGCAATAGGGTAAAAAAAAAACGAACTAAATGAGGCGCTTCTAGCCAAAAAAAGCTTCAAGTGGACACAGGCCCTAAAGCATTTGCAGCTTAATGGCACTCTGACTTTAGAATAGAACTTAATAGGGTTTGTGTCATCAGATCCTGTCTGCCGGGCCCCAAAAAGTCTTGTTACGGCCCTGCTGGTGGCAGAGTTTCTATTGTCCTTGACCAGACTGCATCATCTCAAGATCAGCCCAGGATCTGTGGCCTGCCCACACAACCTCAGGAGGATGACAGGGAGAGTGAGACAAGCTCCCAGCTACACACCAGTACAACATACTGTACGCCTAATGATTGTGAGAATCAGAGGAGGATGAGGAAGGAGGACGGAGGGGAGAGACTGCACAAGGGGGGTAAGGATGGAGGGGGGAGAGAGAGAGAGAGAGAGAGAGAGCCAGAGAGAGTGTTTATTTAAGTTTTTCGTCTCCTGACTCAGACAGAGAGCAGACTACAGAGGATAATGAGAAACAGATCTTTGGTGGAGAGGAAGGGAGGGGAGAGCGGAGAGAAGGAGGGACAAGAGAGGAGGAGTGGGGTAAATTTAAAAAAAAAAAAAAAAAAGGAAGAGGGAGAAAAGGGGAGGAGAGGGACGAGTGACAGCCAAAAAAGGGGGGCAGTCGTGTTTGTCGCCACAGGAAATCGGCCCTCTCTGCTCACTCGCTGACAGTTAACATCACAGCACTGGTGGCCGTGCAGCAGGCCCACAATGGCAGGTTTAAGAGACGGAGAGGCTCGCCCCAAGCCCCGCTCATGATTGGAATAATAATAACTAGATTGTTGTTGGTTCACATGTGCGAAATAGGTCACCGGTGCCAAAGATGATAAGCAGATAAATTTCACAGACAAAAAAAAGTCCAGAAACCAAGTTTGGACGATACACTTTAGGATTTAAGATGTTAAGAAAAGCCATGTGTGTGTGTTTAGTTTGAAGTCCCTGTTGTGTTATTTAGTAAATGTGAAGTGACTACAAGAGAAACCTCCAGAGTGAGTGAGGAAGAGGGGGAGAGGAGGGAGGCTGGAGGTTGGGCAGAGGGGATTCATGACTGACAGGCCCAGGGTCCTATGGGGAATGACTAACGGACCAACTGGAGCTGGGAAACCCACCCAAAGGCAATTAAGGGTAAAGGACGACAAAAATATTTGATAAACTTTTTTTTTCTCCTCCTCTCTCTGTCTTGAACGGGGAAGAAGAAGAAGGAGAAGTAGAAGAAGAAGAAGAAGCAACAAGGGATGGCGGTGGAGCTAAAAAATGACAGACTGGACTAAATCTGGGGGGAATGTTTGAGAAAAGTTTGCCAGATCCCGGAGAGGAGGATTTGATCTGAACCGCAAGGCATGACGGCTGAAAAAGTTGCAAACATCCGAGCAAGACGAAGTGATCATCGCGTGTGAAAAGCTGCTGAAGTTAAATCAAAACCTTCCACGAGGAGAGGGAGATTTGCGCAATGACGCGCGCATAGACACGGATCAAACTTTTGGGGATATTTCTCTCATTATCGAGGACGTTTAATCCGCTCGAGGAGATAAGATTGTATCAGTGTATCTGTATCCTGTCCTCACTGCCGGGGGGCGATGGGGGCCGCGCCGGGCTCGGGCTGGGAGGAGGGCGAGTTCGAGTTCAAGCTGGTGTTTGAGGAGGACCCGCCGCTCCGCCAGAGCCAGGGGCCATCCCCGGCGCGCGTAGCCGAGCCGGAAAGCTCCGTTCCCGGGGAGGAGAGTGAGGGAGCCCTGCTGCACCTGGAGCCCTCCAACAGCAGCAGCAGCCTGGGTGAGAGTCATTTATTGGACGGTTTAATGTGTAACATAAGTAAAGGGACACGGAACACTGGCTCAAATGCATGGGAACTTCTCTCCGTGTGCGCATGTGCGTGTGTATGTGTGTGCCTTCGTGTGTAGTTGGCAGAAGTTGCATGTGCTTTAATGAGGCCTTCATCTGCATGCCTGTGCTTATGTGAAGTGTGCATGTAATGTGCGTGCGTGCCTCCATCTGTAAGCACGCGAGCGCATTGTTATTGTGCGTCCGCTTTGTGTGTGTCTCTTGATTGCGTGAGTTTGCGTTTGTGTGTTTGTGCATGTGTGCGTGCAGCCCTCAGACTCAATGTGTTTCTAATCAGCTGTGCGTGTGAGCAGAGTTAACAGCTGCCATCTGGGAAGGAACCTCAACCTCTGTGTACTGAACACACACACACACACACACACACACACACACCTCCTTCCCTCTCACCCTCCCTCCCTCCTTCACTCAACCTCCATCTCCCCCATTTTTCACAGCACACACACACACACCTCGTATCCTCACATCCACTCTTTCATTTGTTTCCCGCCCACACTGGCATACAGTTGTATTACCACACCCTAAGCATGAAAGTAAACTTCAGGAGAAACAAGAGAACAATTCTTCACTCAGTTTGATGGGCTTTCAAGGCCTTTCTTAACCGGAGTGCGTTTGTTCACTCCTGACACACTTTCTCGTCACCTCTGGTGTCCATATTTACATCCTTGGCTCACCTTGTTCATTCACACACCAGGGAAACTGTTTAAAAACAATAAAAATCAAACTAACATTTCAACATCTTACCTATTTATCAGTTTAAGTCAAAAACATCAAAACATCATATTAATCATTTTGTTTTTTGCGCCATTAGTACCATTAGGATTGTATATGAAGGTGGAGCTGGACACAAATAAGCAAATAAGTTCACAAAATTATTATTATTATTAGAAGATTACTCCATCTATTTATGTGTGTGACTGGTCCTCTTAAATGGAAGATGCTGCCAGTGCACATTACAAGAAAGTGCATTTCTTCACCGATGCATAGAAACCTCTTGTGGCTGTGGTGAGGCTAATTCTGCCTATTGACAGATAAATCTGACTGTATCAAACTCATACAGATAGTCTGACTGTATGTTTTGCATGTTATAATGTGTTAAACTAACTGATCAAAAAAAATCAACATAGATAAGTAACTTTTACCAAGTTAGAGGCCTATTTGCTGTCTTATGTCCTGTTTCCACTCACAAATGTGGAATTCTCCGTGATATTTGATGTGTCTGCAAAACTCCTCTGCTTCATGATATTGCAGCCACAAGTATACAACTCATAAAATTCAACTGAAGCTGTGTACTGTATGACAGCTTTACAGCCTCTCTCCTTATGTTGATTGTCAAGTAAATTTGTATGTTTAAAAAGATGTAATGTTATTGTCGGATAGGATTACATACAGTTTGATATGCAGACAGATTTATCAGATATCAGACTAGATCAGCCTCTCTCCTGTGGTTATAAATAGTTCCTCTCAGGTTTCTACCCGTTCGTTAACAAATGCATCTTCTTGTGTTGTACACTGTTGATTTGCAGACATCAGTCACCTTATGTAAGTGGAAACACGGTGTAATGGCCTGTCTGAAATCCACAGTGAAAAGTTGCATATTAGACCTAAATGATTCAGAGAGAAGGAGTTTTACAGGCTCATCAGATATTATTAGAGATATTAACTTTTACACACACTCAGGTGAAAATGAGGCTTTATGGTTTTACCACATTAAACTGAAGAAAAAAATTTGATTTTCAATTAATTAGTGGTAAACTTTGAAATTTGTGGTCAGAGAGTCATTGAATGAGTTAAAAAAATAATGCGCTTTATAATCCGGTGCGCTTTATGTATGAAAATAGATGCGAATAGACGCGTTCATCGATGGTGTGCCTTAAAGTCTGAAAAATACGACAAGAGCAGGGTAATTTTTTTTTTTTTATTATTCAGGGAGCTTTATTTTGCTTAAAATGCATCATTTGTCCACCAGGGGGCGTCAAAATCAACATAATCCAAAATTTCCTCACAGAAGCTTTAATTTCTAACTTTATGTATGTTAACTCTTATTGATGACAAATACAACACTATCCAATCCTTTAATTTTTACAATAAATTGAACAGAGAGGATAAAAGACTGATGTTGTCTCAGTGATATAAACCATTTGTTCCTGAAGAGGCATAACGGAGTCAAAAGATAGTGGTCGCCATCATTTCTAATCCAGGTGAACAGAAGGTGAAGATGAGGCGGGCTTTAAGCCTCTTGGCTAATAGTTATAACACACCTGCCTGTCAGTCAAATAAGCCACGCCCCTAGTCATGTGAAGTTGGTGTGTAACTCTCTGCTGAAACAAATGGGTGATGAAAAATTCATCTTTCCTACAGTTGTCAGAAATAAATGAGTTATAGAAACCAAGTCTGTTATTGAATCAGGCTGCAAACATGTTTATTTCTTCATTAAAGTCGACCATCTTAAAAAAAAAATTTGAACTTGAGGTTGCCGCTTGCAGACAGCTTGCGATCCGTCTAACTTCATGTTTGGATTTCTTGCGTGCTTGTGCTAACACAGCTGCTAGCGCCCCCGAGTAAACCATTTACAAATGAAGAGGGCGTTCATTAAGTGTTACAGGTGTGGCCCAGTTTAGTCGACCCCCACTTTGAAACTTGCGTCACTTGAGAGGAACTGAACACCCAGCTTCGTAATGTTTAAGAGGAGTTGAAGATGTTTTTATCTCAGATCTCTTGGACTCTAATCTATATGGGCTCTTGGTCCAGTTTTCAGTGTGAAGTTCAGCTCAGGACACGACAAAATAGTACAGTATATTAGGTCTTGCTCTCTTGAAATCAGTTTTATAGTGTTCAATAAGTGTTAGGTACGTTTCGTGGCTCATAAACTTCTCCGCTGGTCCGCTCACAAACATCTAAATCATTGTTTCATGTGAAAAATCCTCCTGCAGAAGAGTTGCCTCAGCGCTGCGGCTTTAATCACTTGGAAATATTTTTTGTTGCCAGGAAACATTTGAAGAGGTTTTTCACCCCGAGTCTTAATTTGCTGGCAGTTGCTGTTGTGTGTCCGTGTTGCCCAAAATTTGTCTGTATGGCCCTCCGCCACTGCAGCCCAACAATGATTCGAATGGAGCCTCGCTCATTACAGACTAACTACTGTTTGGCTCCGTGTGCAGGCCGACCGCTCCACGTTTGGGAAATGCTGCGGTGACGACTGTGGCCTTGACTGTGGTATCTTTCAGATGATTGTTTGGTGATGTCAGAAAAGTTTAGACGAGAACATTTTGTGAAATTAGAAAAAGAGATTGTAGAAATTAAATCTTTATAAGTGAGTTTTGTTGCACGAATTGGGATTAGAAAAAACAAAGAAAAACAAAATAATGTTGTTCGTTACACTCCAAAGTTCAACTTCAGATGTTGTTTGCCAAATTATTCCCATATGTCTGTGAGGCTGTGCAGTCTAAAATCAAATCCTGCCATGTCATTTAAAAACTTCAATATTTATGTGAATCTGATTCATACAATATTGTTGGTTTCATTGGCATACTTTAGAAATGTGTAGAAACCACTGACTGTATATCAATATGGACACCTGGTCTACTCTTATAGAGAAGTGAGGCCAAAATACCACCTCAATGACTGCTGAAATACTGCACTGATAAAGCCAAGGTATGCACAGAAGCAGCTGGTGGAGCTGCAGGAATGACAACACAACCCTTGTGCTAACCAAAACACACATTTGACTCATCAATAAAACATCCCAAATCCCTCAGATCAGGGTCAAACATTTACATCTTTGATGTTTTACTGATAAATCGTGTTGTTTTGAAGTGGTTATGGAAAGTTCACCGGCTCTTCTCTGCTCTCCTAATACAGTAAAAAAAGTCAGCAGGAGCCCACATCTGTCAACAGAGCTGTCGAACACCTTTTTAAGATAACGTATTGAAGATGAACCATCCAGAAAAATGAACATTTGAGCATTATTCAGAATGATAAAGGCTCATTTATGCCCCCTGTGTGCAGAACATTAGATTAATATGTTTTGCAATGTACATTTTGCGGAGTACAAACATAAGACTCCATCTGTATCCAATGTAGATCATAAATAAGCCTGAAGAAGTAATTAAATAAGATAAACCAGCACCCCACGGGGCACCAATGGGCCCCAGCAGTGTTGCGCCGCTGCCTCTTTAAACCACCTCCCTAGTGCACTGCCACCGCAAGCCAACCCAGTTGCAATGCTCTCCACAGCAGGCCTAAAATAATAGAAAAATATATGATGTTTATTTCAATTTAATGTGTGACCCAGAAAAAGGGGCGGGGTTTCTGACCTATTCTGCAGTCGATCAGCAGGGGGAGCTCCAGATATTGTGGCTTCGCAGTTCATGAACATTTGTGGTGTTCATTTTAATTCACTGTTTATGGTAAATAAGTATCATTAACAACAGTTCTGAAATCATAGTAAAATAACTCACACTCTTGTTCTGAAAAATGTGGCAGAACACCCGGTGGAAAATACAGAAGTGCTGAAAACTGCAGTTCCTCGAGTTTCCACTAGAGGTTGGTTGCAAAAGCCAAAGACTTCCCACTAACTATCCCAGCATCCTTGGGCGAAGGCAGAGGACACCCTGGACAAGTCGCAGGGCTGACATATAGAGACAAACAACCATCCACACTCACATTCACACCTACGGGCAATTAGAAAGTGGCCAATTAACCTAACCCCACACAGCACACATCACTCCTAAAGCCGCATCCTAAAATGAGCATTATGCCAAGCTTTTAATCAAGTGTGAACAGTTGTTTTCTCTAAAATATCAAACTGTTCCTCTCTCTAAAATGGGACAAAAACCATGCCTTTGCTCTACAGACTCCTCCACATAGTAAGTATGTTCCAGTTGTGTGCAGTTTCCAGATGGTAACAATTACACAACTGTAAACTCTTGTATGAATGATTTATGTATGTTGATAATGAAAAACGAACCTCTACTGTCCACAAACGGCCTTTCCGAGTCCTTTGAATGACATGTAATGAGTGTTTCTCGTGCCACATGTGAAAAGACAAGTTTTCAAGAGCTTACTGTCACTCTGTGGTGTTCAAATGAAGGATTAATACGTGATTTAATGACCCAAACAGAAAACCGCAACCTATGATATAATAGGAAAGTATGTGTGAAAAATAGAAAAGGCACATTTTTATATGAAAGAAATCAGCCAAAGAACAAATTGTTTCCACGTTGGAGCAGAGGTGTATGTTAGGAAAATGAGCAAAACTGTAAACTCCTTTGCCAACGAGCTCACAGTATGGCTCTGAACTGTACCTGTCTTTGTGTTTCTTCATATTTCATCAGTAACAGATAACCACCTGGTCGCAAGCGATGCAGGACACTCAATCAGCATCCCCAGCCCTCCTCCATCGTCCAATCAGAGGGCTGGGATGCATTCCCCTCCGCCACGCCGGGCGCCTGTTAGAGAGTTCAGCGGGACTTATGAGAGCCTGCCGGCACGCTCAGTACAGGTGACACAACCTGTTTATGAATTTCCCACACTTTTTCATAATACACTGCTTTAGTAATATATTAATCTGACAATTAAATGAATGAAATGACACTTTTACACTGAAGTTTTAACATCTAGATCTTCATGAGTGTAGATTTATTGTTGATGTTTTTGAGAAGTTATCACTAAATTCACTCTCACGGCTCAGATTTGGCCTCCAGAGTAAGATTTTTGAGAACTAATGTGGAATTTCCTCCTTTTGAAAAGGCTCTATGTGATTTATTTTACTTTTGAAAGTCTAAAAAACAAAGAGTGCCTCAATTCTAGTTTTACATTTTTCCTCTGAGGGGACCTCTCTACCACTGCTGCATTTAGCTCCCTGTATCATAACCCATCGTCCCATATTTGACACTGAGCGAGAACAGGAAATGCTTTCACGAGTTATGTTGATGAAAAGTTAGATAAATGCTCACCGACCTGAATGTTCTTTAAGTCTGCAGAAGAGCAGGATGATATGAAGAATTTCTACAGAGGAATTATCCAATCATCACCCATAGTTTTCCATGATTAACCAATCAGATCACAGGTGAAACTGGCCACGAGAGAGAGAGTTGCTTCATTTCAAAGCCCTTAAAATATGTTTTCTTGGTCTCTACTTGAAATGGAGATAATTACAGACTTCAGGAGAGAGGACTGAGGAGAGAGGAGGGAAATCTAAAAAGAATTTAGCAAGAAGACACAAGATTTGCCTTCTCTGAAGTCTTTTGAGAGACAGGGTGTATCAAACATCACTGACCGATTGGAAGCTGCAGTGATTTGGACTTTAACATAACTTCAAAACATCTCCAGAGAAAAGAAAGACTCCAAAAGTGTCTCTCAAGAGAGTCGTGATACAGATCATGAACATGCGCAGCTTTGGATTGATAAAATTATCGTACTCGACCCAGAGAGAGACAGCTTTGCCATGCGGTTTTCTTATTTGTGACGTCTTTGCAGTAATTTTCACAGAAACAACTACAGATCAGAGTCATGTTGGTTGTATTTTCGTTTTGCTCTTATTTTGAAGGGATTTTTCTCTTCCTCTTGTCTTAAGGTGTCAGAGTCTCGTGTGGTCGAGTGTCCCAGCATCCAGATAACGACTATTTCCCCTGAAGACGACCCCCCTCCCACCATTTCCACTTACTGGGACATGGGTGGTGGTGGCGGTGGCTGGGATCGTGATCGCCTCTACCTCCCCCTGCTGGACCCCTTTAGTTACCGCGACAGATGCCCCGGGTCCCTCAGCCCCAGCCCCGCCTCCAGCCCCTCCTCCCGTGGTTGGCTCAGCCCCGCCTCCAGCTGTGACTCCCTGCTGGTGGAGGAGGAAGACCTGAACGAGGCCACTATCAATTTCGGGCTCTCGCCGTCCTCAAGGCCGACTTCTCCGGGGGGAAAGAAGCGTCGAAACTCCCCGCTGGCCTCGCCCTGTACCTCACGGAGGGGCAGCTACTCAGAAGACCTGCAGGGATGCAACCTGGAGGGTGGAGACTCCATCAGTCCATCACAGGGCCAGCCTAACAGCTGTGAGCTCAGCATCCCACAGAAAACCAGGAAGACGTCACTGGAACAGGTAGAGGTGTTTTTCCTCGATGTTAAAGTGTTTAAAAGTGAAGATAGAAACCAGACTACAGCGTTGAAACAAACTTTGTTTTCCAGTTGTCCCCCAGGGAGGTGGATCAGGAGCAGGCTCCAGGACACAGCTCCCCCTGCCTGCTGCCGGAGACACAGCAGACCAGGAGAGAGCCCCCCTCAGTGGGCATGGACTACCTCTCTGTGCCCCCTGCTCTGGCCTGGGGCCGGACCCGAGCGAACGCCCACAGTCCTCTCTTCAGGCAAGGATACACTCTGTGATCTGAACATGTCACCAACAGAAACCGGTAGAAATTAAGCATATAGATCTATAACTAGATAAATTTATAACTTCAGGTATGTCACGTCTGCATGTGTGTTTCATAAATCCAATTATTATTTGGTCAGGCGAAACAGTTTCTGATCGCTAATGTCGTGAACACTTTCAGGTCGAATGCTCTGCCGCCGCTTGACTGGCCTCTTCCGTCTCAGTTCGACCAGTACGAGCTGCGTATCGAGGTGCAGCCCCGCCCACACCACCGAGCTCACTACGAGACCGAGGGAAGCAGAGGAGCCGTCAAAGCCGCACCAACAGGACATCCCATCGTCAAGGTGAAACAGGAACCTGCAGAAAGTTGTAGTGATGCAGCTTTCATGTGTACAAACTTCCATTTTGATCATCTCTGTAGGTTTATGATGATGTTATTCTGACTGCACGTTAAGTGTGATTATCCTTTGAAGCTGAAGTTGACATTCTGCCTCTTAGTTTTGTTTTTATGAAGCAGGGACAAAGTGTCAGGACACGTGTCGTGGTCTCATCACAGTTTGATTCCTCCCTCTCACCGTGTGTCTCTGTGCAGCTGTGCGGATACGCCGAGAGGAAGCCGCTCTCCCTTCAGGTTTTCGTCGGAACGGCCGACGACCGATCGATCAGGCCTCACCCTTTCTATCAGATCCACAGGTACTGAACCGTAATAACATTTTACAACTCATTCTGAAGCACCATTTTATTTTCTAATCCAGCGATGCTCAAGGGAACACAGAGAAAAAACACCACTGTGGCCGTAACCATTACATAACCCACCACCAACTGCTTTGAGTGTTGGTCCAGGAAATTTCTTGCACCAGAGACTCTCAATCGAGCTTACTCTGGATGAGAACATGAACTTAAAGCAGGAACAGCGAAATCTTTAAATGAAAAACAACATGAAACCGCTTTATTCCATCTTCTTATAGTCTAGGGACCCTATATTTATATACAGCTAAAGGAAAATGTTCTTTTGGCTTGTCTTTCATATCAGTAATTTAGGATAGAGGATAAAATGTCCCGTATCTCAATTTGCCGTCATAAAAATGTATTAAAAAAATCTGGTAATTTGAGGCGTTACTTTCAAATTTGTCACTTTTTCGTTCAATAAATGACTCTATAACAGATTAAATTGGTCTTAAATTGTAAAAGTTTAACTCCTTCAAGATTACAGGGTGTTTCTTGATCACTAGTTTTTCATTTGGACACAAAAATGTGAAACAAAGAGGGCGTTAGATTCATGTTTTTCCCCCCTCAGGGTCACAGGAAAGATGGTGGGCACAGCCAGCCATGAGAGTGTCCAGGCGGGGACCAAACTGCTCGACATCCCGCTCAACCCCGAGAACAACATGACCGCACTGTAAGTAAGAGAGAGATACTCAACCTCTGCTCTAAAAATATAAATTTAGTTGTACTAGATTCAAGGCTTTAAAGCAAACTGGAGGAGCAGGTAAATACTGAAATAAAGCATCGGCTCATGACCGAAGTCGCCTCTCAAGCAGAAGTTCTAAATCCTAAAGAAAATGTTTGTCTCGTAGCATCGACTGCGCTGGGATCCTGAAGTTGAGGAACTCGGACATCGAGCTGAGGAAAGGAGAAACGGATGTAGGGCGAAAAAACACCCGTGTCCGCTTGGTTTTTCGCACCCACCTCCCTCTGGCACCTCCTGTCGCCCCACCTGGCCGAGTCCTGGCTCTACAAGTGGCCTCCCTGCCCATTGAATGCTGTGAGTAAAGCAACTTCAGAAATATATGCCAGAGAAGGTACTGACAGCTGCTTTGTAAGATTTAGACACTGGGGGTCTAATTGACTCCTTCATTTCAGCCCAGCGTTCGGCTCAGGAGCTGCCCGTCATCGAGTCTGTCAGTCTCACCTCCTGCTCCGTGGAGGGAGGAGAGGAGCTTCTTCTGAGCGGCACCAACTTTCTGCCGATCTCCAGAGTTCTTTTCATGGAGAGAGGGACAGGTAAAGGCCTCTGTGTTGTTTCTCACCTAAAAAAACAAAAACGAGACACGGACCGAACTCATCTGCCTGTTTCTGATCTCCATTAGCGTGAGTTTTAGTAAATACCTGATAAATACAGGCTGAAAATAGCCGTAATGGGAATACATCATGAAGTGGGATGGGAGGACATTTGTTCAAAACACGGCTGTGAAATAAACTCAAGCTGTCGCAGAGAGTGAGACAGGACTTCCAGGAATCTGAATCCACAAAAACATGATTTTTAATGAAAAGTAAGTAAACTTGTTTACATGGTTAGGCCCAGAAAAGAGAAAGCATAGAGGGATTGTTGGTCATTTGGATCCAGCCAACTGGGAGTCATGTGGGAGAAATGATGCACTTTTCCATCATTATTTTTACGGTTTAAAACAAGCAGCTCTTTTGAGAATTACACGCTCGCCTCCCACTGAAAGCTTTTGCTTTTGCTAAGGTTTCACGCGCAGGACATCGACTCTGAACTCAGTATGTTTGCACAGAAGTTAATACTGGGGTGTTTCTTGATTTGACTTGATTTAACCCTGTGTGTGTTTCTCTATCAGATGGTAAACTACAGTGGGAGGAGGAGGCTCATGTTGACAGAGACAACAGCAATGAGGTAATTCTGTCCGAGTCGTCAGAAATCCTTCAAATATTCAGATGAGAATCTGCAACAAAATACAGCTGCCATCTCTCAGCGAACGCCTCATGAGTTCTCTCAATGTTTTTATGTCCTCCAGTGTTTGTTGTGCGTGAGAGTCCCCGCCTACAGCGACCTGTCCGTCAGCCGGCCTGTGTCTGTTAGTCTTTATGTGTCCAACGGGAAGAGGAAAAGGAGCAGCACTCACTGCTTCAAGTACCTACCGAGTGAGTGTCCACTCTCACCTGCACACCAAACACACCGTAACACCGAGTTAGACACCCCCTCCAGAGATGATTGTTGCCGACCGCTTGCTTCTCTAGTTATACCAACTTTAGTAACGACCGCACGATAGCAATACACAGCGGTCTGAGGAGCCATAAACAAACCTCAACCAAAACGCCACTTTATAGACACAAATAATACTCAGAACAGCACCTAACTTCATCAGCAGGACATATAGGGTCCCAGCCACAGTACCAGTCACCAAACGTCTTTTTAACTTTGCCTAATTTCTTTAGCAAAGAGACTAAACACAACTCACCTACTCTCTTCCAGCAGCCGCTTGTTTGTAGTGAGACCTCAGGCCAGTCCATTATGGACTACAGCGGGGTGACGCAGCTCAAGGAAGAACATTTATGATCATTTCTTTATCATTTCCTTGAAGTAATAATCACTAAATTAACCATTTTGCACTGCAGACGTGGTCATTTTTTTGCCTTAGCATCTTGGTCTGTTTGCTATGTGCTATGGCTGGGACCCTATATGTCCTGTTGATGAAGTTAGGTGCTGTTCTGAGCATTATTTGTGACGTTTTGGTTGAGGTTTGTTTATGGCTCCTCAGACCACTGTGTATTGCTATCCTTCGGTCGTTACTAAAGTTGGTATAACTAGAGAAGCAAGCGGTTGGCAATATTCATCTCTCAATGGGGTGTCTAACTCGGTGTTATGGTGTGTTTGTCCCCAAATTAATAATACGCCAGAATATCCCTTTAAAAGCTGTTTTTAAAAGTGAACTTAAATGTAGGAGATTAAACTTACTGAAAATTCCTTCATCCTTTTACAGACATTGTTGAAAGAATTTGTTGTAAATGTAAATATTTCCTCCTCACTGTTTATGATCGACCTGTTTCTGTCTCTCAGTCATGTTCAAAGAGGAGGACCCTCTGCTGTCCCGGCCCCCTGCTCTTCCTCTGGATGGGGGTCCTCTGTGTCCTGTCGGGGGTCAAACCAGGATGGACAGAGGCTTCCACATGAGAGGTGACCCCATGGCTGATGATCGAGGCCTGGGCTTCCACCTTCCCCCTTACCCCTCCACCTACTCCCCCCCGTGCCCGTCGATGGGTTACCATGAGGAGTACTGCTCTAAACCCGACTCTGCGCTGGAGGATCCTGGCGGGCCCAGGGCTGCTCTGTCTGAGCGTCACCCCAGCTTCGAGAGCCTTGAGCTGGGCTTCACCGAGCTCCTTCCCCCGTTGTACCCTCGTGGCCCTCAACCTCCCTCCCCATCCCCATCCCCATGGCTGGACTCCCCCTACCTGTCCTCATCGCCCTCTCCCTCCCACTCCTCCTCTCTCAGCCCGTTTCCCACCGGCAGTCCCATCTCCACCTCTCCCCTGCCTCCCCTCCCCACCTCCCCTTACCCTCAGTACTCCTCTTACCCTCAGGAGGTGTGTCCCTCCCCGCCCTCCAACCTCAGCCCGTATCAGGACATCTGCCCTGCACCTTACTCCAGTTATGATGGCTGGGACCCTCAGGGGAGGATGCCAGGGGTGGGACACGGGGGAGAGAGGGATGCGAAGATCCAGGAGTGTCCTCTGGAGTTCAGCAGCTCTGCTCCTATGCACCACATCACGTTTGAAGAAGGTCAGTATTTATCGCTGTCTTTATTTGGGCACTTTTGTAGGAGATGAACCACAGAAACAGTCTGCTTTGGTTCAGTAGAGTTCAGGACGGGTTGGTACGGCAGACTTTGCTTTACCCCGGTGTTTCCCTCAGGATGCATGTTGGCCTCAGATTTTGATTAGATTTTTCGCATGCATGTTATACATCAGTACAATTTTTGTCCTACGTTTCTTTTGAGGTAAGATAAGATGTGAGGAAATATAAGATAATACGTGTTTTTATGCATTGAGGGGGGTTTTGTTCTGCCGTTATGTCGTTGCACTCTCAAGGAACAACAGTTTTTAGCTCTTCTGCATTAGCTTCATTGTGCACTGAGGATTGCTTCTTGCTGTGGATCTGATGCTCGACTATCTGGGTGTGAAAAAGCACAGATGTCATCTCATAACCTGATGTTGTTTGGCGTCTTTTTCATCTTTAAAATGGAGATAAATTTGTATGAATGCTGTGTCAGTTTAAACCGATGCAAAATGTATCTACCAAAGAAATTTAAAATGAACCCTGCAGGGAGGACTGCAGACTGGTGGAGCTACAAGTACTCTGTAACAAAAGAGTCGCTGGGGTTTAGGTTCGCTTGCATCTGCGACTCGTTTGAATGATCAGTCTGGTTTGAGTGTTAAAAACATGACTTGTTGTTTAAAAAAAGGAAAGAAAACACGCTGATCCGGGTCCAAATCTTTTGCCTTGAAATGAAAAAGTGATAAGATGAAATTACGTTAAAACAGGATGAGTGAAACGGTGAAAAATGATGGAAAACGGTCAACAGAAAATAATCAGAGCTTTCCAAAACCATTGTCTGACGACGCCGGTGAGATTTAAATAACCCGCCAAACACACCAAAACCACACCCCTCAGTGACCAACCCTGGAAGTGATGTACCGCGTAGAAGTCAAACTCAACAAGTATATTTTGGCTCCTATAAATCCCTTGTTTAGACTAGTTGGTTAGGAGACTGGATGAAGTGAAAACCAAGGTTGTAACTGTGTCCTTCTCCTCTTCACAGTGTCAGAGTTCATCGGGGAGGATATCCAGTCCTACCACATGGACAACCAGCCAAACTGAGCTCAGAGCGGCTCATTTCCCTCTGTCTGGTATTCAGCGAAATCTAAAATTGATTACGAAGACACTGTTGTAATTATGACCACAGGTAACTGTTATGGTTTTATAAAGGGAAACTAATGTTTTGAACATGTTTTCAATATAAATTATACAAGAAAGTGAACGGGTTTGGTGTGATTTTCTTGCAGAAACTAAAATTAGGTCTAATACTGGGAGAAACCATGGAGGGAAAAGGGTTTCAAACCTGAAATACTGAACTGTTTATCAGGACATTATGCAAGACTCCCACCTGAACTACATGAATAAGTTTTCTTTGTTTCAAGAGACACAGTTGTTTCTTTTCCCCTGAATGACTCTTTATATGACCAGAAAATCAGTCCATCATGCCGAAAGAAAGCCTCTCTGCTAAGCTCTTAGGATTTTCAGAGTGATAGAGGTAGGATTTAAGACCCTTGTTACTGATTTTATTCTGAAAAGTACCTCATATATTCAAAATAGTTTTTTTTTAGGGAAAGTTTTTAACAGACAAAATGACCTAAATCAGCTCAGAAATGTCTCTGCTTCATCATCTCCGTGTGGATGTTGAGTGTGTGGCTGGTGTGAAGGTAACGTGTTAAGACCAAAGGTACTCTGACCTCATGAGAGGATGATAAGGCTCGGCTGTGTCTGTTGAAGCTGTTTGAAAGGTTTATATGAGAAATAGTTTGTTAGCTCCGCTGTAAACAGAGCAGGTTTGTCTGGTGTAACACTGCCATCTGGGGGGAGTCAGGACCGGGACGCCTCATTAGCAAGTATTGCAGCCATGACTCAATCCGCTGTAAAACTTCACAGTTTGATTTTCTGCCATGCAAACTATTCCCACTAGAAGTAGGTTGAATACAAGAAAGACACGCGATAATGTTTGATTTTAGCAAAACAGTCGAGTCTTCAGTCGCCATCTTCACAAAGGACTCTAAAGTGGCATTATATGTTTTCCTGACAGTTTTATGAGTTTAAAACAGTTCAGTGCTGCCTTACATGGGCATGCCGAGAGCTGCAGACTAAAAAAGCTCCAACAGAAAGAGATAGATAAAGCTAGTGTGGAGCTTTGAACATCTTCTAAGAGGAACTTTCTGTAAGAATTTGCAGCCATAACTCCTACATGACACCGACTGTTCCAACTCTGGCTCCTGCTCTGCCTTTTCCCTCTGGCTGCAGCTCAGGAAAGGTTGTTACACATGGAAAGTTTATAAGAGGTGAATGTGGCAAACATAATGGAAAGGAGGGCTCCAAGCGCAAACCTCTGACCAACATTATTAATAGATCCAGCCTTTTTAATTACATCCTTTTATAGACTCGGCTTACTAGCAGATATGTATGTGGTGCTTAACCAAAGTCATATGTTTATTCTGGCGATGACAACAAGCAGGCTTACTTCACAGCAGAGTGGTTCTGATGAATGTGCAAAGAAACAGGGAATCATGTTGTGAGGCTGGTTTTATCTTTCAATCTTTCCCCTGATTTCCACTCCAGGGCTGTGCTAAACAAAGGAGGCAGGGGTGGCTCCCCTTGGAATAGAATTGGCCACCCTGCGTGCTAGCCTTGCCAGAGGCTGTCCTAGCATTTTAATTAAGTGCATTTCCCTTTGTTTGTCTATTAAAATATTACTTTGCACATGATTTTTACAAGTGAAGAGTTAAATGTCCCAATCCTATAGTGTAACGTCCATTATGAATATATTCACAGATATGAAACATCTGTACTACGATTGTAGTTAAGCATGCAGTATGTTTTACAGAACAGACAGTTAAACTGGAATATAATAATCAAAAAAATGTCACCCAAATATTGACAAATGTTTTGTTTTTGTTCACTTAGAATAAGGATTTTATATCTACATAAGTATCCTTCCATGGAGGCAACCATCCTGAATGTTTCTACAGGAGCACAGAGGAGACAAACAAGTAACAACACAGATTTCTGTATTTAGTGGGTGACAAGAAGAAGAGGATGGTTGTATCAATTTGGTTTTATTTACCAGTGTAAGTCAATTAAAACACAAACATCACATTAGTGGGGGAATTTGCAGTCCGCCAGTCTGCAGGTTGTTCAAATGAAACCATAAGAACAGCAACAAACCGCTGTTAAAACTTAGTGAACATGGAGGAACCAAAAAAAGCACTTGATCTCTTATAATTGGCCTGAACACCTTTTGGTAAAATGTTGAGCAAAGTAAAATAAGGTTGTAGCTATGTTTAAGTTAATTTAAAACTCATAAATGTTAGTAATCGTTTCTCTTTTTGATTTCATGGTCCTTTCATATCATTTTAGGACTCACTGTACTTTATTTGTACTTATATTATCTGTACAGCATAGTTTCCCAGCCTATGAATAGACATATAAGGTCACTCTGACTTAAAGCTGCTGACTGATCTCCTGGAATATTTCATTTTTTAGTTTGACATCCAGCCCTGTAATAAGTTTTTGCTTGAGGGTTTTTTTTATTCTGTGTCCAAGAATTACATGCCTAAATCAAAAGTTAGCTCCTTGAAAAATGTCCCACGCTTAATAAACCAAATGCGTTTGTTTGTGTGAGCATATTGTGCTCTCTTTTGTCAGCAGGGGGAGGTATAATCCCAAATATCAGACTGTGACTTCTGAGTCAGTCTGACTGACAGCCGCAGGTTCATGAAACAGCAGTCATTAGCCCCCAAATGAAAAGCCCCCATTAAGTCAGATCTAGTTTGTGATAACAGATGGACTATTATTTCTGAATCCAGCTTCTAAAACTGGAAATCTAGAGTCCCAAAAGACAAGCTAACTATAGGATGATTGAGGTATGTGGGAGCAGTATGGAGCTGCCAGACAGCTTCTGTTTGCAGGTAATGTGACCCCAATCCACATCAGTGTGAACCATCATACAGTGGCCGAGAACTGCCACTGCTGCAAATAGAAAAAGAATGTAAAAAAAAAAAAGTCACAACGGAAGTTAGCAATACAAAACAGGAAGGAATAAAGCAAAGTCCAAATTAAAAAAAGAAGCTGTGCCGATACAATGAAAAAAAAAAAAAAAGCCACAACGTAATTTAACAACGCAAAAAAGTGGTGATAGAAAAAAAGTTACTTACTACAAAATAAAAGGATGTAAATAAAAGAAGCCACAATGAAAGTGAGCTACCAGGGACCAATAATCGTCGTAAAATACTGGTGCATCATCATTATTGGTCCCCGGCAGCTAACTTCGGTTGTGGCTTTTTTTTAAAAATTTGCATCCTTCAATTTTCACAGTGAGTAACTTTTTTTTTTTTCTTTTTTTCCAACGCCACATTTTTTTGTGTCGTTTACTTCTATTGTGACTTTTTAAAAATCTGTTGTTTCTTTTTTATTTGCAGTGGGCTTTGGTTTCTTTTCTTTGCATTGGTAACTTCTGTTGTCGCTTCTTTTTTTTTTTTTTGCATTCTTTTTTATTTGCAGCAGTGGCAGTTCTCAGCCACCGTACAATCATGATGTCCGTTATTTTACTACAACAGGAGTAGCATAGTTTTAAAGTGTTTGACTAAAATAAAGTCTTAAATTTGCGTTGTTGGACTACTTTAAAAAGTGAGATAGTAATAACCTCCACCCTAAAATGCCTCTTTTGACAGTTATACGCTTTTACGGTCGTTAAAGTCATATTTACGAGCATAAGGGCCGTTAAAAAACGGAAGTATATATGAACTCACCGTTGATGCTAACGCTAACTCGTAGCCTACTTGACGCTGCACTGGTGCTAATGCTGAGCATATTCATAAAAATATAAAATTTGTTTTGGTATTTCCTCTATCATTTTATACAGCTGACATTCAACTAACCAGGTCAGGAGAGAAACGCTACAAAGAATTAGTTGCAGCTTATTCATGGTGGTACAGGAACACTTAAATGCTAGCAGTATCTGTAATAGAAAACAACAAAAGCAAGGACATCACAAAAAGATTTAAAGCATAGTTAGAAGACATTAGACTCACAGCAAGTCATATTTATGGACTGAATGAAACAGAAAGGAGTATAAGGGCTAACAAGAAATGGATTAAGATGAATAGTTTGAGGTTTTTTTGGTTTTATCATGAGCTTTCTTTTCGATCATTTGAATGCCACACTGAATGGATAGTATGTATGCATGGTGAATTTGTAAATTTAATATCAGCTCTGACCACTAGATGGCAATAACTTGTTAGTTCAGTAAGAAAACACCACCCACTTTAATCCACTGAGTTATGATAGGAACTTTGCCATAACTAAGGGCAGGAAAAAACAAAAAAATGCAGCTTCTTCTGTGGGAACTCCCAGCAGTTAGCCTGGTCCAAAGGCCTGCTTTTCATGTGTGCTGAGAATTAGCTCGGTCGCTGTCCTCTGATGGATTACAGCTGGAGGTTTTCTCACTAACTGCATTGTGCAATAGTTATCATACTGTTTCCTTGGAAAGGCTTGGGTATCAAAAAAGGTGCAGGGGTTGATCTGGGTCAGTGTCTGCCAGTAAATCTAATCAGCGGTCTGTTTTTCCTCCCTCTATGTGCTGTGTGCCTTTTTACCATACCGTTTCCTTGGTAGGTCTGGCTTTTCAAACAAAATACAAAAAAAGTAAAGTGCTGATATGTTTAGAGGAACTTTCCTGGCCAAAGCAAGTTGTCTAACAGCAATGACTATCAATACATAGGTGGAGCACACAGTGAGGTTTGGATTGTTGTTGGATGAAATGATGATCAACAGCAATATTGCAGTGAATCTGTACAAGAAATAGTTGCTCTCATGACCCCCAATAAAACTATAATTCGTTCATAGACATGACTTTTGTTCATGTGGTCAAGTTCCCTTTTTAAAACGAGTGGTTTCCTCTTACTGTAAGTATGAAATTACATAATACTCAAAGGGTCGGAGAAGAGTCAGAGGACACAAATGTGTTGACACCCCATTAAATAAGCAGCTAAGGGAACAACCCAACAAATTACTTCACTTTCAGCTCCAAAACAGCTTGCACAGCTGTTTGTATTTGAGACTCTCACTCTTTGGAGGGAGAAAAGGTTCAGACTCAAGCCAAGCAGAAAGCTATGAGCTGTGTCTGTGGGATGGTGAGAAAACATGCGCCTCAGTACTTGAGGAATTTCAGGCCTTTCCAACCTCTCCACATATCTCTGTGTCTATTTTAATAAGCAGCATCATGTTTTCAGTTATGTTTTATTTAGTTTTGTTTTTCAAGTGCGCTCGTTGGCAGGGCTGGGAAAACGCATCCGCTTTAAAAGTGGAAACAAGATGCTGGGTTTAAGACAAGTTTTTTCCCCCCTCCCTGTTTGAGGTTGTATCAAGCTATTGTAGTTGTGATGACTTCAACTCTTTGTTCTTTTTATGGATCGGAGTGGGAAGGCTGGGAATTCATTTAGTTACTCAAACAGAGTACAAGGTCACTCCCTCGGGACTTTGACTTTTTAAAGCAGCAGCAGAGTCAATGAGAAATGGAGCAGAAAAGGAAACCTCTGGTGTTAAAAAATGAAGAGATGTGGGACTGTAAAAAACTGCAGTTACTCCAATGTCCACTTGGGGCTGGAACTCAAAAGCAAGGAATATGCATAAACACCCATGTTAAAATGTCAGTTTTTATAGCAGAATTCAACATATTTGCAGGCTGGTGCATGTAGAGTTTGGGCCCAAATATCCAATCTTTAATTTTAAGCAAAAAGAGGTCCTCACTAAATCCAAGGTATAGTTTGTCTGCTTTGGGCAGCTGCTGAAAAAATGGCTGTGCAACATGATTGACTTGATAGAAGATACTCTGTTTCCTAGTTTCAAGATACTGAAAACACATTTCCTCTTGTTTTTATCTGATTTAAACATCCTTATTTCTACTCTTGCCCATAAATCTTTTTGATGTGATTAATGACCATTTTTTAGTGGTCTGAGGAGAGATTTTGTGTTAGTTTTCTTGCACATGGGGCCTTTAATCATGGGGCTTCTACCCTGTGATCCATGTATGTAACTGCTTACATGCCAGTGGTTAGACTTGCCGCTGTGGTAGACATGTTCCCCAGCAAGATAGTTTAACCCTTCCTTAAACAAAACACACAACATGACATGTTCTTGTCTCAGAACTGTGCATCATCGTCGCTTCCTTTCCAATTGATTTATAGGAGGCTGAAATGTTTACTTGGTTCATCTCCGCTGTGCAGAGGCAGTGGTATTTACAAGTCAATCTTCCTGACAGTAAGTGCTCTGGGACCCTGACACAAGGTTGTTTTGGGGCTCTCAAGGTGCTGGAGGGAGGATGTGGGGAAAGTTTAAAGCGTGATGAGAGAGAAAGTAAACAAGACAGTATAGATAATGTGAAGTAAGCAGAAGCTGATTTATCTTGGGTTTACTTTCAGTTCAAACAATCCGCCATCACGCTCCCTCTTCTTCATATTAATTCAGTCATAACACCTGTGCACACTTTTAGATGTGTATGACACAATTGAACAGGGGTTTAAAATAGCTTAGGATGGATTTTTTGCTTTTTAGTGGCCGGTAGGTAGGTACAAATACAAATTTTCATTAGTAGAGAAAACCTGTCAAAATTACCCAAGTTCTGCAAATTCATTCTGTTTGTTGCAGGGGTGTGGCCAGATGGAGGCTAGAGGTGGCTCTGCCCCTTTGAAATCTGTGGCCACCCCAGACAACAAAAGTCTGGACATGTTTCTGATCCTTACCGTACAAAAATATTTGGAAGAATAATAATAATTGTTAATAATATTCTTTGCATCAAATCAGCAGCTCATGGGGTATCTCACTGTCATATATTTTCCCTATTGGCATGGCTAAAATTAATAACAAACAAAAAGGGTGATTAAGCAACATAAAAAGACACAATAATACAAGAACACAGACATCTATCTACCGTGTGGTTTTATTAAAACACTGGATTATGTAATTTTACAACACTGATGTGGTTAGCACACTTAAACAGGAACAGTGGAGTATAAAAAGTTGCAGAATATAACACAAAAAAAAACGGACGGGGAGAAAATTATCTATTATTTGTTTCCTTCTCTGAGTATACAGCAGAGCACAGCCAATGGACCTAATCAGCAATATATGTCAATTTATTTGTGTTGTTTTACTCTTTATACTTGGATACAGCAAAAATTTAAAAAAAAATTATAAACAACTGTTTTAATACGAAGTGCACTTTGAACATGTTTATAATTCCACAATCTTGCATATGAACATATATATACTCGCCATTTATTGAAGCTTTCAGATGAAGATACATGTATACAGTATAATAACAGGAAAAAGGCTAGCCTAGCATTTACCATGTAGCCTAGCAACACAATGTCAACAGTTTTTTGTTACTTCAAGTTCTGGATTTGTGTAAAAAAAGGAAAATTACAATGATACAATCTGATCAGTCAAGAGAAAAGATGGATTTTTGGCTTAAAATTGGGTAACTTGAATCGCAAATTTTGTGTATTCAAACAAAGCGCTGCTCGCATAAACACTGAAATACTGCTTGGCAGTCTTTTTATAAAGACATCAAATAAAAAACAAACTCAAGGCAGAGCAATGACATTTACAATATGTAAAATATTTCAACAAAAAACACACAATGAGCGGCCATTTTCTTTGGGTTTTCTTTGTCATTACAGACTATGTTTACACGGACACCGTATTTTGGTTCTTAGCTTGAGATTTTTAAACGCCAGATGAAAAACACCTCTGTTTGCAAATTAAGAGCTAATTTTCTGAATAATACAACCAGCAAAGGTTCTGTTTTTTTAGTCTTAGCATTATCCACCAATCACATTCAGGTCTCTGTAGTTGATATTTACATGCTGCAACACATGAATAGAGAACCTTGGTAATTTAGGGGAAGATTGTTGTACGTGTAAACATAGCCATTAATGTCAGCCTCTCTATTTTCTCTATCTCTGTGGTCCACGACTGGCAGTATGCGTTTTACAAAATTAAATTTGGCAGGTTCTGCGAGGACAAAACATCATATATGGGGCCGGAGATTATTCAGGATTTCTTTGTACGATTACCCAGAATGGACATGTAGCATGAACTTACCAGATGTTTAAAAAAGCCCCCATCAGTCAATCTTTTTGACCAGAATTACAGAGAAATCCTTTAATAAACGAAGGAAACTTAAGCCAACGAATGTAGTCAAACAATCCTGTAATATGCTTTGCAATCAGGTGTTCCGACTTCACCTTAAAGCTCCTCCAGCTCGTATGAATCTCATTTAACCATCACCAGAGTCCCATTTCTTTGCAGCACTCTATTTGAAAGCAGCTCAACAGCCTTTCAAAACATGCCAAATTCAATTTCATTTGAGCACACTGCGGGCCTGACGTCTGTCTCCTCCCTCAAGCGCTGACAAACACCAGGCGGGTGGAGTAGACAAGATCCACCACGTAGAGGATGAAGTTGACACCCGTGAGCACAGCCACCGTCATGAGCTTATCCCAAGTACACAGCTGGCCCATCCCGCCGCCGCAGTGGTAGGGCCTGTTTTTCTGTCCGCCGTGCTTGGAGTCGAAGTTGTAGATGGGCCAGATGATGGTTGCAGTCAGATAGAGGACAACGGCAAGCAGGGCGTAGGCGGACAGGAAACGGGCAAACGGAAAGGGGAGACAGCCGGTGCACTCGCCAATGCAGAGCAAGATGATGATCGATGACAAGATGAAGCAAATGCAGTAGACGGCCATGCAATACTGGAGTGCTTCATGGCGGTCATACACAACAGGGTCACTGACGAAAACGAAGATGATGCAGGCCACAAAGGTCTCGCATACTTTCAGCAAGCCAGGGGCTGTGGCCATATAGCCCGCCACCTCTCCTGGACGTGCTTTGCTGATGCTCACCTCAGTCATGTAGGCAATGGTGGCCAGGCAGGAGAAAACAGTTGACACGATGCGGCAGTCGCGGGTTTCATTGGCGCCCGCAGAAGCTCTGAGGAAGTAGACGGGAAAGATGATAGAGGCAGACAGACAGAGCAGAGCGGCGTAGCAGGCGAATGTGATGGGAAAGTTCTTCCAGGAAACAGGGGCTTTGGTCTGAAGGCCAAACAGCTCTACCAGGAGGACGAGGAGAGTACCAGCGAAGCTGAAGGCCCAGCAGAAGATGCACCAGTCTCCTGTGCCGTGACTGAGTCTGCCGCAATGAACCGCCACAGAGAAGGCCACGCAGGAAAAGATGAGGGCTGCCAACCTAGTCCAGAGGAGGCTGTTGAGATTTAGAACTACAGCCATGATCTGAGACGTCGATGTAGGTTCTTGTGAAATATGAGTCTTCCTTTGGTGGGCACCTCCTCAGATTTTCAGCATCAACTTCTTGCAGAATCTGTTAGAAAGAAAAATATGAAGGAGGATTACTGAGAATGGTTCTTATGGAACAGTCATGACCTCTGTAGATAAGGTGGAGGGTACCAACACACGAGAGCAACAGCTTGCAACTCTGCTGAAACAGGCTGTTTACTCCCACTAGAGATTGCTGAAACACACAATGCTCTTATTGTATTTCTGTGAATGGCAGAAACAGCAAGTGAAACCATGAAAACACAATTATAACAGAAATAAAGACTGCACTGTGGAAACCTTCGTCACAGCCCATTTAGATCTTGACTAATTATCGACTGGAACCCAGTCTCCTTTTTTTTTTGGTATTTTCTGCCTCATACCAAACTCCAGACTGCTCTCCTGTCAGAATTCCTGCGCTAAGTGCAGACGGTCTGCTCTGACATTCCGGTATGGTCATTACTTTAGTGATGGGTGTGGTGCCGCAATCTTCGCCGACCACTCAGTGTGTCTGTCATCTTCTGGAAACACGACCCTCTTCCCTTGTTCCACTTCCACGCTTGGGGATTCCCTGGATTCTCATCCGCACTGTGCACTAATGCCAGATCTCGACAGGGGTTTGAATCCTCAGCTGCTTCGGTGTTAAACATAGTATCTACAGATATAACATCTTTTCATCCTTATGGTATTTATACTACTTTACCGGTGATCTCAGCTTACATGGGACAAAGTTAATTTGGCCATTACTATTGACCGGAAATTATGGTCCTATGTTCTTGAAAAGATGTAGTGCGGTCTCCTAAATGGTCTGTGTCCACAGATCAGGAGGTTGCAGATTCAGGACTGCATTTCTAAAACCACAGTTCTGAGACTTTTGTCGTTTGTGACAGCACCACCTTGTTCATCGGGTTGCCAGGGAGCACATTTTTGTGGTTAAGTGTACACCTCATCTTAAACTCAACAGTCAAAACAATACAAGAGTCCTTAAGATGCACCTGAAACTGCAGCTTGTGGCTCTGCAGACACATATTATGCGTAATGCCGCCCACCATTACCGAGCTGTGGTTTGACATTATTTGTTTGCAAACTCAGCGATCTCGGCGTGTCTTTCTTTGATAAATTGTGCTCAATGTTGACTGAATTTGAGTGTTTTCTTATCATCACACTAGTTGGTTCGCTGGAATTGAAATGTCTGTTCTAAAGTTCTATTTTCCACCATAACTACTGGTCATAGATTGTATAAAACATGTATGCAATCTTAGTGAGGTTGCCCTTGGTTTCTGAAATGGGAGTTTTAAGCCTAATCATAAGGGAGGTGCCATACAGGAAACACTGACACAACATAACTTTCATATTGACCAACCAAGAAGCAAAGTGGTGAAGAGAATGAGTCAGGCCTTTAGCTTCTTGGCAAACAGCTGGCGAGTCATCTACGAACCTTATTACGCAAAAGTTCGTCACCTCGACACTCCTGTTAGGAACATGGAGAAAGTAGTCTTATCTTGACCTCAACATGCTTGAGTTGTTATCCTCTATCATCCATCATGAATATTGTCAGATGGCTGCTACCGCTATTGATAATTAGGAAATAAAAATTCTAAGTCTTGTTTCTGATGGTCTGGTCTGCTTTTAGGTGTCACAGAAAGGCAGAGATACAAATTTCAGTGTTTTCCATCAACATTAACAAACTCCTCATAAGAGCCTTAAAATCTTGGAAACTGTTTTTATACCAGGCTGTAAACACGTTTATTTCTGATGCACAAATAAGCTTTTTTACATGAGTGTTAATGGAGTTTGCATCAAGTGGACGCATGAGGTATTGCAGGGTTTTTTTTGCATTAGCTGTTGCAACAAATCTCCAAGACTTTGGCATTATGAAGACCAGATATTTTCATTATCTGACAGATGTTAGGTCAAAGTTTAAGAACTACATTTGGTCATTTTATGATATAATTCCTTTGTGTATCTGAAAAATACCAAAAGTGACGCCTCAAAATTCAGAATATGTCAGCAGAGGTCAAATAAAATCCCCTCAAATGACCTCAAAAAGATAATCAGCATGTCTTTATGTTTGCATTCTGCTTTTTCAATCACTCTTTCACTCTTGTTTCTGATCAGCCCATCATCTATGCAGCAGTTTTCATACAGTTAGTTTCGACACATGTTCTGGCTCACTGTGACCCAGGATGCAGCCTTCAGGCCGGTCGACTGGAACACATGCCCTCTGATATTAAATTTGTGGCTTGGTAATATGGCGCCAAACTCAACTCCAGGCTTTATAAATGCCTTTTACTATAAACAACAACATGAAGATGTCCTGTTTTCAAACACGGCCTACAGAGGCAGCAGAGCAGTTAATGGTTTCTAACCGATGTATCCACTGACAGGAAGTTCAGGGGTTTTCCACTTCATGTAAGTTTTGCAAACCACAACTGGTGGTGCAACTGCATTTGAACTGTGATCCGATTTGGTTTTGTTGTTAATATACAGTAGATACCTCCCTTAAAAAAGAGCTTTCTGAATGATACCATCAATTTGAACTAGTAACTTTCTTGGTGAGGCTGTTTCTATATCTTTGGAGAGATTTGTACTTGTCCATTTTAGGCGCTCAGAAAACAAGATTTTGAGCCAATAAAATGACTTCTTATCAGAAGATATTCTCTGACTGCCAGGGGTGGGAATCACCAGTGGCCGCACGATACGATATTACCACGATACTTGCGATTTTTAACCTTTTGCAATACAGTGCATATTGCTATACAATATATTGCGATTCATACAATTTTTTCAACTGTTGAGCTAATCGAACATTTGTCTTTCCTTTATGTTTGTCTTATTTACACAGTATTTTATTTTCATGTAGCTGTTATATTTGCTGTATTTGTTGCACTCACTTTCTCCTGCCCTCTGACGTCTCCTCTGCCAACCTCACTGGACAAACAGTTGATTTTATTTTTCCATTATCATAGATTTGACTTCATATTAACAATTAATTTTTAAAAAATCGATACTTGGCGAATGAGACAATATGATATATCACCAGACAAAATATCGCAACACTATGCTGTATCGATTTTTTTCTCCCACCCCTACTGACCGCACAGCTGTCCAACCTCCCACCCCTCCTGACACCTTTTGCCCACTTGGCTCCTCCAGCGCTGTGCTCCCTGTTCCCAGTTTACAGAGAGAGAGGGTTATAAACAAGCAGAAAAGACCTGTTTACATTAGTCCCATTAGACACCTATTAAACAAGCGAGGCTGGGGAGGGGGGCGGCTGGACTGGTGGTGAGGTATGAGTGGAAAAGAGACGATCAAAAAAAAAAAAAAAGGAGAGGAATGGAAAAAATGAACCCTGACTCCCCTACAGGACGACTCATTTGAGGTCATCTGGGAGTGGAGAGGGGGTGGGGGAGTGAGGAAAGAGGGAGGAACACGGGGGAAGCCCTGTGCCTCGGCCGCAAAAGGACACAAAGTTTAAACACAGTGATGAAGTGGAATTGCAGAGGAGTGAGTCACCACCAGGCCCCCTTTCTTTCACCACTCCCCCTCTCTCTCTCCCCTATGCCTCCTCCCATCGTCTTCACTTCTTGTAAGATTTTCCAACTTACTGATGCGTTCCAGATGTGCGGCAGTCTGGCTGCTGCTGAACAACTGCTAACTTTGTCACATCTGCCAACTTCTTTCCTTCTCTCCTCCTTTCCCTTCCATCCTTACAGCCTCATTTGGCGGCAACTCCCTCTCTTTTCCATCAGTCGTCCTCGCTCTCCCTCCCCAGCTCAATGCTCCCACTCCAGCTTTAAAGTCAGGGTACCAATTACGCCTCATGTAAACCACTCAAAATAAACGTATACTGGGGGTCGTAATGGAAAAATCAATCGCGCCACTCTTGCTGCTTATGGAATCAAGTCAGGAAAGAAATGGGAGGAGAGGAAAATGGCCATGGAATGAAGAAAAATGAGAAAGACAGGAGTGGAGTTTGGAAAATGGGTCCTTTTTCTACAGCTCAGCATGGAAAACATGACAGAATCATACAAACAGGGGAAGAGAGGCTGAAAATAGACTTCACACCTCAGGATGGCAAACAGGATGGGACACTATCGCTGTCCTCTGCGTGCTCACTTTTTATGCAGGCAGCAGGAGAGTTTGCAAACACACACCCACACACACTTGAGTTTCAGAGGAAACAAGTGTTTGTCTCTGGCAGAGAGGTCATGTGCGCTGCTTGTTTGGTTGTCATGACACAATATCTCTAACTTGATTTCACCCTAATCCACTTACAGGGGATCCGTGGGTCGAAGCGCAGGAGGGGCATCTCAGTGTGTGTTGGAAAGGAAGGTATTTATGTTCGTAGATTATTAGTTTACGACCATTTTAGAAAGAACGTACCCTTACAGTGAACTTTAACGAATCAAAACAAGCACTCAGCTTTTTCCAACACCGGAAGACTGGAAAATAACTTTAAATGATACTAAATCTCTCTTATAAAAATAAAACAAGCTATTTTTTAAGGATTAGCCCCCTTTTTTCCATGAAATGTCCCACCAAAACTACACAACAAAGCTCAGCATTTAAAATGAACAATAAGAGACTTGTTCATTGTGAGAATCTTACTCAATCTCTTCAACAAAAGCCAAACATTTTTTACCACAATTGGAAAAAGAGTCTGGCAGAAGACAGTATGAGGCTGTGACAGCTGTGCGTTGAGGCTCCCGCTGAGGTTCATTCATTGACAGTGAGGGTGGGTGTGCCGCCTGCCGCACCCAGCTCCTACCACACCACACACCACACTGAAACCCATACTAAACACAAACTGAGGCAAAACACAAACACAAATATGCCCCTGAGAGTGCATTTCTCTTACAGGAATACTTTTCAAATCATTTTTGAACAAAATTCTGCAATTATTTATTACTTGTAAGTCATTTATAATGAAAGTTCTACAGTAGAATTAGTGTTAACAGTCATTTGAAGTCACCAACATCAGACTGATACAGTTTTTTTGTCCATGTTACACATCCTATCAACTTTTTCTTCATAAATTCCACTAACAAATTAAGTGCTGACTCAGATTTAAAAGCAAAAAAGCAAACTACTTCTCAAAGTGACCACTAACATGCAAAAACAGCCACACTCATAACTTCTGGTTGATATCACATTCCTCTCACGGAGCATGCAGGTAAGCAAGATGCAACAAGTTGCAGCCCGAGACTTCTCTTTTCCACAGACCGACTGCTTTATCTCCCTCCAACATCTGTTTCTTTAGTCTGGAGAAGCCCGTATGAAATAAGTGTTACGTAAAAGTTGGTTACCTTCCTGTTTCTCAGCCTCGTGGAGTCTCCTGGTTCTCTGATCTCTAGGACGAGCAGCGGTGGATTGTAACCCCCAAACTCCGTCAGCAGAAGCAACAGCTCAGAGGAGCAGATCCCCGCCCAGCAGACCAAATAAGGCGTCAAAAGTCTGCTGCACCGTTACTCACTTGTGTCTGAATCTCCTCATGCTCATTCTCCTCCTACTACTCCAGTCGGATGGTCACACCCAGGGTAGTGCAGCCGAAGTTCAGGTCCTCTGAGGAACATGAGGGTTCAGACATGCTGCAGCTGTGCTGAAGGTAGATAGAATCACATGTAGGGGAGACCGGGGCTTGTTGTCACATTGCAATTATCTTTGCCACCAGAGGGCGCAACTGAAAAGTAGAATACTAGTTTTATTCCTTTACAAAGTCAGGGGTCGTGTCCTGTCTGAGAAGAGAAGAGCACTTCAATTAACCATTTCGCACCCAAAGTAAAAAAATTAACTAACTCATTGTTCTGTTTTAAGCTAGAGCTCTAATTAGCAAACATGGTAGTTTGGAGTAGAGCATGACACGGGAGCAGATTTTCACTCCTGTCCCGTCCCACTCCCAGAGAAAAAATCCCGTCCTGTCACGATCCCGGACTGGAGTAAAAAAATTAATCCTGTCCTGTCCCACTCCCATAGATTGACTCCCACTCCCACTCCTATTCCGCTCCCACTCAAAATCACTCCTGCTCCCATTTGAACAAAACTGCTGCTCCGACTCGGAGTGGCTGCCGGTGACACACATAATCGCCGACAGCCGCTCCGAGTCGCTTTTCACTTCCAGTGGTGACAGAAAGTCAAACCACTGTTGTAGTTCTTTTGTGTTGCTAGCGCGGTCAAGAGTGTTGGCTCTCACTGAGAGATGACTACAAAAATGGACGCATCTGTTCATCTGGTTGTTTAACACGGCTGAATATGATCATCTATTAATGTTGTTCCCGCTCCTGCTCACTCCCGTAGCTTTTTCTCCCATCCTGTGGAATTCCCGCAGGAATCACGTGACCCACGGGAACTCCCGATAAATGTCATCATAGCCTGCTTCCTCAAAAACAAACAAACTCCTACATCACTCATAAGCCACCTTGATAACAGGCTCGGTAACAATAAGAAACGAGGCCTCATAGGCTGTATTTTTCTACTTGGACATAGATTGTGTCACTGAGACATAAAACTGTTGTTTTCTCATGGACTGTCTAAACTTGTTTTTTGTTTAATTAATACTTAATTACTGATACAGATCATGTAAATCCCCTAATTTGTCATTAATAGTAGACCCTGCTAACTGACTCTCTGGCACAGTCTCCTCCCCAACACTCTGGATGACAAATAGAATGCCGTCATTTTTATTTTTAACCCCTCCATCAGCGTTTCTATCAACACATCCCGTGATACAGCTAAATATTTGTCAGACTTCTTGTCTGTTTCATCGACTCTTCGATTGTTTGTATGGGTTTCCTCGCAACCGCAGCTGTTACCATGACAACCACTTCCGTTTTGACTGAGTTGTCTCTGCGTTTCCTGACCACACAAAAAGTGAAGTTAACCTGTTGCCATAAGCACAGAGGCAAATTTTCTTTGGGTTAGGGTTAGGTTAACAAATATACAAGGGAACTGATGTTGCACACTAATTCTTATCGTGTTTTAAAGGGTTTCACTCTATTGTATTGGATTTATTCTATTGTAAATCTATCATAAATCTTATTAGATGCATTTTGCGGCTAAATTTATCTTAGAAAACAAGACACAATACCAAAGAAAATCTGAAGTATTTGTGTCTTTTTTTTATTTTTATTAAGTGATGCAAAACAGAACATGACAAGTGAGGGACAACAAACAAACAAATAGATGGACAAGACAGACACAAGCTAGGATGACAGTTTAACTTTGTGTTTGTGCGAGTGTGAGTATGCAAGTCTTTGTATGAGTGCTTGTTTTGGGGAGTTATATAAAAAGATAACATTTGTATATAATAATACTAACTAATAGAAGTAAAAAGAATAATGCAACAGAGCAAAGGGACAAAGCAAAAACTAAAAAAATCAAATGAAAGAAAAAATACACACACACATATAGCTATATCAATATATAGATGTATAGATATATAGATTTACTGTAACTATTTATTTATTTATTTTTTTACTTAAAAAAAATAAACTTAAATGTTAAACTTAAGGGTCTTGTAAAAAAAAAAAAGGAAAAAGAAGTCAGTTAAGATTTAGACACCAGGCTTCATTTGTTTTATTTCGGTAGTTGGGTTAGTTTCAGCCGATACAAACGTCTCACTTTCATCAGTTTATATATTTTCTGTAGTGTTTCAGTTCTACCGCTAGGTGTCGCCAGATCTTCAACCAGACTTACAGGCATGACGTCACTTTCTGCGACATTTTTAACGACCACAGACGTCAGTTTTCAGGGACTCGATTTCGGTGTTTGGAGAGAGAAGGCAACATCATGGCGTCTGGAGCCGGAGACCCGTCCACTGGACATGATGCAGAATTGGACGAATTATTGGACAGTAAGTAATAAGATGAAGTTTCAGGAGTGAGTTTCCTTAGTTTTGACGCTCCCGGGGGTTTAAAGCGATGTTGTTCCTCTCTGTTAGCTCATATGTTCAGTGGGACCTCCTCCCATTTCAGTCCAGGGTTTCGACAAACAGCTCCAAACTTCACTGTGACAGTTGATTATTTCATGCGCCACAACAACCCCGTACAGTTAAACCTGCCGTGGACCGTGTGATAAAGGACTCTTGGGTTTCTAATGGGAGTTAATTCAGCTGTAAACAACAATTATCAACTGTAATGCCCTTGAGCTTTTATCCAGTCGGATTTAGATTCAATCAAAGTTTGACTCTCTTTCTGGAAATCCTGTACGCCTGGTTCTCCTCTCTAAAGAGAGGGGGGACCACCCTGCCTTTCATCAACTATACAGGGATACAGATCTTGCATATTCTAGCATGACAATGACAAACTAGATTCTGCATGGCTCTGTAGTAGAAGAGTGCTGCTGCGAAACTGGCCTGCCTGCACTCCTGACGCATCCCCTGTTTCCATATGTCGAGTTTAAATGTTTTGCAAACCATCAAATTTGGATTTCATTAACATTTGACAAAATACAACAACGTTTTGAAAAACTGGGGTTGTATAAAAAGCTCAAATGCCATTGAAATTCAATTTTCCGTATAGTACTATAGTACTGTCATTGTGGGCGGCAGTAGCTCAGGAGGTAGAGCGGTCGTCCAATGACCGGAAGGTTGGCGGTTCGATTTCCCCCTAATCCAAGTCTGTCCGTTGTGTCCTTGGGCAAGACACTTAACCCACCTTGCTCCCAGTGTGTGTCCTCCACTGGTGTATGATTGTGAGTGTTGTGTGGTGGTGGTCGGAGAGACCGTAGGCGCAGAATTTTTCCACCACCACCAAAGTGCGTGAGCGAATGAATGATGTATCCAATGTAAAGCGCTTTGAGGGTCTCTGATAAAGCGCTATATGAAATCTGATGCATTACTATGAGGAGAAGTATTACATCAAACTCAAATATAACTCATAACAAAAGAGGTGACTGTTGTTTTTTTACAGCTTCAAAATAGTTTCAATCTCTGCTGGAATATATCAAAAACTGTGTGATATGCAGCATTACCTAAGAGGAAGATACAATATATGTTACTGTTAAGCTTTATAACACTGTATGAGATGGAAAGATTTGCCACACAAGCTGTTTGAGTCGACTTTAACTCCTTTCTAAACCTTTTTTTCCAGATGATGTTCACTACAAATGTGGATATGTACTATATAAAGAATAATCACGAGTGTCATTAGTTTACATATTACAGCAGCCTCGTCTTCCTGGGGTCCACCGTAGCTTTCAAGTAGCGACAGTGTATTAACGAATTTACATACTGTGTAACATTTTCCATTAATGAGATAACAGATTGATCCCTGATAGAAAACATGTCAAAATAAACTGATCTTGACTGCAGCATCCACTTTCTTGTGTTCCAGGTGCCTTGGATGATTTTGACAAGACTCCAGCTCCTCCAGCCCCAGAACCTGCTGCTGCTTCCTCCTCAGCCAGCTGTGGTCCAGAGAAGGTTTGTTTGAAGTTCTCTGTGTTTTGCTTTTGTTGTTAAAAGGAAAGTCTCAACTTTTTTGAACTTCAGGGGATGTTTAGTGATAGGAAATAAAGACGTATCTGATGGCATGGAGTCTTCTCTTGAGCCTCAAAGTTGTTCTCCTTTGTGTAGCCGCCTCTGCTTGAAGACTGCAAACTCTTCGAGACCCTGTTCGAGGGGGATATGGCTGCCCAAGCCAAGGAGGAATGGGAGAAGGCCATGACCGAGCTGGCTCAGGAGGAGCCTGAGTTACTGCAGCACTTCCATAAACTGTCAGAGGCTGCTGGCAAAGTTGGTAAGGCTTCTTTGCATCATTCCTGCTTCTTTTATATTCTTAATTTTTTGATCTCAGAGTCGAAAAACTGACTGTGTATTCTGTTCAGGCACTGACACCGCCTCCCAGCAAGAATTCACCTCCTGTCTCAAAGAAACCCTCCGGGGTTTGGCCAAAAATGCAGACAACCTGCAGGTGGGTAAAGACAGGGTTCATGAATTTCAGGTTTTCCATCCTAAAGAGGGGACCCTTGAATGATACATAACAGGTGTAGTCACTTTTAGTAATGAACTGCAGGTCAGCTTCTACGGTTTCTATGGTTACAGGACGCTCTTTGCCCAGTGCCCAAATTTCCTTTCTACATCCGAGTTTATCACTTAAAAAGCTGTCCAACAATTTGCATTATAAAAATGAATCAAATCCTGAGTTATGATAAAGTTAAGTTTCACGCTGTTATGTGGTTTTAAAAGATTTCACATTGCTTTCATAAGGGGCTTTATTCCTTTTTCGTGTCTCTCTGTGGTATGAAATGCTAAAGACTGATTTGAAAAGCTTCTCAAACTATCTGCATTGTCCTCTTTCAGTCCTCAGGCTTAGCGGGGGATGACCTTGTGAAGGCTCTGGAAGGCCTGGGATTGGAAGAGGGCGGTGAAGGAGGCGATGATGGAAACATCCTTCCTATCATGCAGTCCATCATGCAGAATCTCCTCTCTAAAGAAGTGCTGTATCCTTCGCTCAAAGAGATCACTGCCAAGGTTTGCATCTATCTTACAAGCACACATTATGTACCCCAGGCTCTCTTTAATGCTTCACTCATAAATATCTCTTGTACTCACAGTATCCTGAGTGGTTGGATGCTAACAAGCCAAATTTAAGCCCAGAGGACTTCCAACGCTATGAGCAGCAGTCTAAAATCATGGGGGAGATCTGTAAGCTCTTTGAGAAGGAGGAGGAGGGAGCAGCGGATAAAGAGAGCACCTTTGAGAACATCATGGACCTGATGCAAAAGGTTGGCACACTCTGCCTCTCACTCCAGGGCTGCTGGTTACATATGAATGAAAGTGTGGGAAATGAATCCGATTCAGTCTGTTGCTTCTTGCTTTTAGAGGGTTTAGATTTTGAACCAGTTTAGATCTCTTCTGTGATCGTACACACATGCAAATGAATCACCTGTTACATTACCATTTGGCAGATTAGCGTGCACAAAGGTTTATTGTTGTACATTTCATGAATGGACCTTTTTCTTTTGTTAAATAATGTAACACTTATGTTCACATAATGTTTTATTTACAGCTGCAAGACCTCGGCCAACCGCCTAAAGAGCTGGCAGGTGATACGGTGAGTTTTCTGCTGCTCTCAGTCAACAACATTAAGAGTTACAATATTGTTTATGTCCAAAATGAATAGCTAAAGATATTTCACTGCTACTCTCAGTTCAAAAGGATTTTTTTATTTAAGGACTTTGGTGCCTGTCCATGTTTTCTTATCAAGCTTAAAGCAAAAGGCATGTTGACGATGCATAGTTCAAATAATCATGCATAATGAACTGTTATGTAATAATGGGTGTTATTATGATCAAATAGCTATATTTTAATAAACAGCTGAAAGAGGGAATATCGGCATTCTATATCAGCCATCCGCTGACCAGTTCTGTAAATGTTTACACCAGCTTTGGAAAAAAACATCTTGGTGGCCTGATACCCAGAGGGCAACCTGCAGTGTCTGCAGATATGATGTTTGTATTTTTCATTCGGCCTCATGGTTGGAGGTATCAGCTGATGCAGGTTATTTCAAAATGCAGTTCTTCAGCCTAATTTGTTCGGTACCTCTGTCATCAAATGTGTGAATTAGCCGTAGCTGGTTAGCCTGTCAGCTTAGCCTCCAGAGCCGGTCAAAATAGTTGGTAGCAGACAAACTGTGATCCCAAATCACTGAAACCTTCTTCTAATGGAAAGACTCTGAATGGATATGATTGGCAGAGATGTTGAGTTGCATGTTTGGATGTGATGTGGGATCACAGTTCATCTGCTTTCAGTGACTTTGATTAGCTGGACAAACAGGCCAGACTGGCTCAGACTGAATTAGTTTTGTAACTAAACAGCCACGCTGTCGATGCACATAAAAGACATCCAAATAAACACACGGTCCCTTCTTTCAATCGATATATTGCATTTATGAACAAGCAGCAGTGATTGGTGACATATCACAGTTCCAGAACTGGATACATGCTGCAGAACCACTCGTGTATGGTATTCACTCTTTGTGTCATACCATTGACCACTTTTCAGTCCCGCTTGAATTCTGAAATAGAAAATAGCAACAAACCAGCTTGTTTTTTCCTTCATTCTTATTTATTTTGGACTCATAACGACCTTTTTCTGACCATGGACAGAGAGCAAAATCAAGGTGTAAAGATAGGTGTAGCTGTGGGTGTCTATAATGCCAAATTAATAACTTTTATTTGCATCTCCTTTCATTCCACTTGACTCTAACATGACTGTATCCTCCCTTTCCCTCCAGCCCCCTGGCTTCAACTTCGACATGGAGTCCCTCAATCTCCCAGGAGGCCCCGGAGCGGGGGCAGCAGAGCAGTGCTCCATCATGTGACGAGGTGGTGGTGCGGTCCATCAGAAGCACTGGAGCCAGAGGGTCACTCTGTGTGGGCGTCAGAGACAGTCAGGCAGCAAAGGCAGGAGGAGATGACAGAGAGAGGAGTGAATGTGAGGCATGAGTTTGACCGGACTGTCGACACTATTCTCCTTCAAGCAGAAGGTGTGTGTGGGTGCAGGAACATCAGGAGGAGGCAGGAAAAGCTACAGGAACCACACGTGCAAACACAAACGCTTCTGTTTTAAATCACTGACCGCACAGATGAGAACACTTCTACATCCCTGCGTTTGACTGTCAGCGGTCTCCATTAGCCCTTTAGCGGTTTAATTTTAGCATCATTCCTTTAGTATGAAAACACAGCTGCAGTTCTCTGTCTTATTAGCAACGGTTTAGCGACTCGGTTAAAATCTACCAAACCACTTCACGGGTATGAATAGTGCCTTTGCAAAATGACTTTTATTGTGTAATTTTAGGCCTCATCACAACGAACCGACTTTGATATCGTTCAGTTAAGCACTTCTGACTGCAGCCTCAAAATGAATTCATGAGCTCATCCCCAACATACACCAAGATAGTTTGGTACCTCGTTCATTTGACTCCTTTGTTTCTGTACAGTCTGTATAGGATCTAAATGAAGAGCTAATCTATTAACATGTAAGGAAATGGAGATAACTGTGTGTACATGAGTTAATTATTTATAAGAATCAAAAAAAGACTAAAGAGGATTGAACACCTCATCAAAAGTTCCCGGTTCCTCCTGTAATCCAGCCAGATTATTTGGCAATAAAACAAAGACCCATTCCCTGTTACTGCCCCCCAGTATGGATTTAAAGTGATTGCCATGATGATTCCTGAATGCCTTTGCTGTGGTTACAGTGATCATTATAGTGTAGAGTTACGTGCAAAGTACTTCCCCTGTGAATCCCTGTGTGTTTAATGTTCAGAGTGGTGTTTTCTTTGGTATGGGTTCCCTGTTAGGAAAGAAAAAAAAACACTTCAGAGGTATTCACGAGCTGTTTACCGCCTGATTACATGAACGTATATCCTGTGCCCTTCTGTTTAAAGTACATTATGCTCTTTCCAGAAAAGGTGGGTAAAAACAGCCTGATGTTAGCACATTTCAGCTGCTGTTTGTTTACCCCACAGGCTGCTGATGTCCATGGACAAAATTTACTGCTATGACCATACAGACAGGTCCAGAAAAGACACGACCAACAGATCATCAATAACTGTATAATAAAGGGTTATTGTAAAAGGATTCAGTCAACCGTGCGCTGAAAAGAGCGCAGATTTACATGAAACACGGCTGAGGGTACGCTGCTTTTGAGGGCCATAGAGGCCTGTGGTTGTCACTGCAGGGAGTTCAGCAGGAGTGCAATCTATTCAACTCTCAGGGGCTGATGTTAATTTGCCCAGAGCACCGTTTAAGAAATGCATCCTTACATTTGACACTGTAGTCTTTGTTTTGTAAATATATGAAATAAAATATGTTTCAAATCATTTTGGATTGTTGTGGAATATTCATGAGATCACTTACTCAGGTTGAATGCTTGTTAAATATACTGTAAGTAAAAATTTGACATTAGAAACATCTTGATACAATAAGCAATGATACAAACTATGATAGTTTGCTAAATATACAGTGGTTTAAATAAAAAAAAAGAAAATTATAGGCATAATTTGGATATAATGGTCATAATATTGTGGCTGACAGGTGAATCTCCTGTAATAAAATATCATAGCACATAATCCACTCACTTGTTTTTTCAGTATCATTCTGTTGAGTTTCCCTGTAAGAGTTTCTGTTGTGTTTGTTGACTCATTTACTTTTATACACATATGACAGAGTAACAAATAAGACTGACAATCTAGTAAAAAATTATCAGTTGACTTTTAATGCACAGTAATTATCAAATACTTTGGTTTTAAATGATAAAATCACACACTCTCACTCTGGGGTATATTCATTTTTCAAAGTCAGAGTTTAAAGTTTCTGTGTTTGAATTCTTAGTATCTTTACTGATTTAATGTCATGCAAAATTTTATTATTATATCAACAACAACAACAACAACAACAACAACAACAATAATAATAATAATAATAATAATCTTATTCTTAGTTTCAGGACGTTTCAGTTACGAAAGGGAAAATAAGCACCTTATAATTGTTTAAAATTGAGTAACTTTTGTGTAATGATTGAGAATAAAACTGCAGCATAAAACTAGAAAAATTGCATTTCCTTGCAGAAAATGCGTGGAAATGCTGAGTGCTGAAAGCTGAAAAAGCAATGCAAAACTGCCAATAAAAAATGGAGGAAGGTATAAACGGAAAAACTGTAGAAAAGGTGGAGTAGAAGAAGAAGAAATTGTATGAATGGAAGAATTGTAGTATAGCTGGAGGTAAATTAGTTGGATTAATGTACAAATTGTCTGATAGCCTAAGTGAAAAATGTATATGATTGATGTGAATAAACAGAACTGATATGGATAATTGAATTTGAAAAACAAATGCCTTTAAACAATGTGTAACAATGTTCCTATTAAATGTACAAATAGTAAAACAGATTTTTGCAGTCTGCAGCATCCAACCATAGTAACTTGAGAATGCAGAACAGCACCATCTATTGCCCTGCTTCAGTTACTGCCCTACATCTGAATGCAGAAAGTATGAAACAGCTGAAGTTAAATTAATTGTATAAATGTAGAAAGTATAGAAAAGAAAAGCAGAAGTAGAAGAAAAAGAAGAAGTTAGTATGTTAAAAGAGTTAAAGACAAGAACTGTAACAACAAAGTTCATATTGGGGCTGTATTTTCTACTGACAGAGAGACAGTAACGCACACATGGAAACAGTGTGTGTGTGTGTGTGTGTGTGTGTGTGTGTGTGTGTGTGTGTGCCGCGCGCGCGCGCGGCCGAGCCCGTGCGTGTGCATATGCGTGTGTGATCGAAGCACACAGCCCATGACAAGTGCAGAATCTGACAGAGACAGTAAGAGAGAAAGAGACACAGTAATGCACTCATGGAAACAGTGTGTGTGTGTGTGTGTGTGTGTGTGTGTGTGTGCCCGCGCGCGCACGAGCGGCCGAGTCCGTGCGTGTGCATGTGCGTGTGCGATCGAAGCAGACAGCCCATGACAAGTGCAGAATCTCTGGCTCTGAAGGAATGTACTCACCTCCTGGGCAAGCTGTACAATTTCATGACTTCAGACCGATTTTGTGAGAAGCAGGACGAGTGTACCTCCATTTTGATGTGTTTTTTATGGCTGTGGAGTGAAAATTGCGGCCGCAGCAGCAAAATAATCATGCTTGGTGTAGTGAATCCAAAAGGCCCCGCCCGCATCTAGCGGTGACGTAACATCTGACGTCACACGCTGTAGCGTGAGTCAGGCTGAAAAAGGCAGAGAACTTCATGTTGCTCCAAGCGAAATTGTGCAAAAACGGTAGGAAATAGCAAAAAGGAGTGAATACAACATTTGTAGCAGACACGTTGCTGAACATTTTAAAGCAAAAATGAGGTCTGTAGGTGAAAGTATGCAGAAGTTATAAGGGTGAGAAGGTGTTATAGCTGTATCTCCATTCATTTGTAATGGAACAAATTTTGCAGAAAAAGTGAAATATTGCAAAAAGTATAAATGGTAGAAAGGTGAAAAGTAATAGCCGTAATGTCCTGAAGGAGTGCATTAGTATAAAGTTTGAATGGTGAATTTATTATTAGCACAAAGTGGTGAGGAGTTGAAAAGGGCCAAAAAAGGTACGGAAGAATAATAATAATAATAATAATAATAATAAAGAAATAGTAGAATAACAATAAGTGGAAATGCTGTGTCAGCATTTCCACTTAATAAAGGGAACCTATAGGACGGATGATGAGAGAGAATTGGGAAAAATACTGATAACGTTCAAGTCAAGTCATTGTAATAGAGATTATAGAACAACGCCATCTAGATAAAATCTGCATAACTGCAGGTGCGGCCTCCATAGTGCTCTTGACAGTTCAGCTCTATGTGTTGCATTTCTATGCTCCGCCGCCGTGGAGCTTTCTGCGTCAGTCTGTCGCTGCAAAACTTTATTGCTCCGAACCGGAAGACAAAGCGAGCTACGTGTCAGGAAAAGGAGACTCGGCTAAATGGGCGAAGGCGATCAGGCCGCCTGAGCTCACCTTATTGGAATACTTTCTTCAGTTTTAACTTTTCTTTTTTGGCTTTGACTTTTAATTAAACACAATAATCAGGATTTGTGACATTGAGAAGTGACGATGTTAACAAAATTTGAGACGAAGTCGGCCCGTGTGAAAGGTAAGAGTCTTCCGGCTGCAGCTAGCTGACGAGCTAACAGGAGCTAGCTGACGTGTAACAGATCATATACTCATTTTGTTGTAATTATTCTGTGATTAAATAGTTATTTTAATGAGCAAATGTAACATACAGCTTGATTTTGAATTTCTGTGTGTCTGTTGGTTGTTAAAGTGAAATTATACTGAATTAGACACGACGCTCCGTTGCGAGTAGCCAATTCGTCAAGATGTACCATATGATCTTATACTGAACTGTAACATTTGAGACAGATATTTATATTATGAGTTAGTTAATGATCTGAATTCACATTTCAGGCCTTAGTTTTCATCCTAAGAGACCATGGGTTCTTGCAAGTTTACACAACGGAGTGATCCAGCTGTGGGACTATCGGATGTGTACACTGATCGATAAGTTTGATGAACACGATGGTAAGACAGCAGCAGTCTGGATCAATCTATGCTCCTGTTTTTATAAGATTTAACTCCACACTGGGGTCTTAACAGATGTCTAATAATCTTGATGTGTCTTTGCTCAAAGGTCCAGTCAGAGGAATTGATTTCCATAAACAGCAGCCTCTGTTTGTGTCAGGAGGAGATGACTACAAGATCAAGGTGAGGGGCTGATTTTACAGACTTGCAGTTCAAGTACTGGACAAGGGTCTGGATCAATTCCATTGTGATGCAGAAGGATGAAGCTTGAACTAGCCGTCAGTTAACCCCAGATAAGTGGAGCCAAGTTACTGGAGGGAAAACCTTTTCTACTCACATCATACAGCCCTAGTGTAAATCTTATTGGTACTAACCCATTGCCCAGTGAGTTGGTGGGTCTCTAGTTAATATTCATAGATTTAATAAATGTGATAGTTAAATGTGTGTGTAAAATTAAGTTCAGAGCAGAACACCAAGTTAGACACCCCTTGGGAGACAAATGTTGCAGACCACTTGCTTCTCTAGTTTTACCAACTTAAGTTACGACCGTAGGATAGCAATACAGAGCCGTCTGAGGAGCCATAAACAAACCTCAACCTCGGTGTTATGTTTTTTTTGCCGGAATATCCCTTTAATGCCCTGTCAGTGGTTATCTTTTACCATAACATTTCGCATGTGTCTGTTGATTAAACTTCCCTGTTTTGATCAGGTTTGGAACTATAAGCTGAGACGCTGCCTCTTTACCCTCCTCGGACATCTAGACTACATCAGAACCACCTTCTTCCATCATGTGAGTTGTTCTGCGTCTGTAAACTCCCGACAATATTATGACCATCTGTATCTGTAAACTCATTAAACCTCGTCCGTTCCTGCAGGAGTATCCCTGGATTCTGAGTGCATCTGATGACCAGACGATTCGCATCTGGAACTGGCAGTCCAGGACCTGCGTCTGGTAAGACTGCAGAGATTTTTGAACAGCAAAACACAATTAAGATAGTAATTGATGAATAACTAAATAAGGCTCAAACTTTACGAATCACTTTGATTTCATATCTTGCGCAAGTCAGAACATCCAACCCTCAAACTATGGTGTAAATAACAGCTGAGGAGTTCGGGTGGAAAGTCACTTATAACATTTACATATATTATTTGCCCTCATGCTTTTTTGAGGAGTTTCTAAAAGTAGTACTATCACTTTCAGGTATTCTCTGAGGAAAGTGTTGTACTTTGCTACATTTTACTCACAATTACAGTGACTGAATTTCAAAAATTACTCAAATAAACAAGTTTTCCTCAAACTTAACTAAATACATTTGTCTAATTTCTAATTGATGATCTTATTCCACAAAATTTGATCCAAATGTACATGACAGGCCATGTTTTAAATCTTATTTTGAGATCAAATATTTTGTATAAATTCCTGTAGCAGGTTTTACATCTTAAAAGAAATAATTGCACGCAGCTATTGCAGACGTTTGTACTCATTACAGTAATTTGAAGACCTTATTTGTAGCCTGTGATAAACAGCTGCTCTGCACAGCCAGTCATTACATTATTGTGCAGAAACCAACTATAAAGAAACAATGAGCCAAAAGTAAGCACTCAGCGCCTGAGCTACATTTTAATTAAAGTACTTGTGTAAATTAACGAGCTGGTTGCTTTACCTCCTCTTGAGTAAAATGTAGTAAAAATGATTTCACTCCGACTGGAGTAGAAATATTTCAGCATTCTTTCCACCTCTATTCTTGTGATGATTGTCGTCGTTGCTCTAAATGAGAATTATCTACCCCTTCTTATCCTCAGTGTACTGACCGGTCATAACCATTACGTGATGTGCGCCCAGTTCCACCCATCCGAGGACCTGGTGGTGTCAGCCAGTCTGGATCAGACCGTGCGAGTGTGGGATATTTCCGGTGAGAGTCTGGGACATGAAGGACCAGAGGACAGTGGGCTGGGTTGAGGAAGGGTTGGGAGGGGGGCAGAGTGGTAAGACGGAGGAGGAAGAAGCTGAAACAGGATGATTGATATCAAGTCCTACATCGCCTCGTCCTCCTCTGACTTTGGAGAAGACAAATCTCTGTGGGCTGTTCGCAGAAACACCTCTCTCCAAAAGAATACATCTTGTTTGAATTCAAACACAGTATGGTGTTTATACCGTATGAAGAAATCGATAACATTCAAACAGGTTTAAGATGTATTTTTGAACACAAGCTCATGAAGAGGGAGAGGTGCCTCTGTGCTTCTGCATGCTCCTAGACTCTGTGTTTGTTGTTGTTGTTTCTGACGTCTTGTTACCTCTCCTCTTACTAACTAACAGTTGATTCGCTCACATCTGCTGTAACTCTCTGACGTGTGTAAACCTGCTTAGAATGAGGATCTGTAACTCTCTCCTGTCCCACAGGATTCATGTGCTTTCTTGAACTCACGTTTTCTGTCATCACGCATGATTTCAGATTCACAAACATTTATTAATGAGCTTCGACACTGAATTTTTATCCTCTATTCACCATGCACCGCATTCTTTTAACACAGGACGCCTCTTTTGCATCCTAAGTTTTATTATGGGAAGTATATTACTCCCTATAATGCTGTTATTGACAGTTTTTGCTTGATTGAATACTGTTCAGAAAAAAACCCATCACTACTAACAGGTTAGAGACTCCATGTAACCACATAGTTAACCTTTTTGATACTTTAAACACTGTAATACTTCCCCTTGGCATGACGGCTGCACAGCTGACTCCATGACTCGAACTTTAACATCAAACATCCATCAGTCTTCATATTTCTCTTAGCTGGAGTCACTTCTTTATCACCAGTCTCACTCCTCATCCTCAAACTGATCCCTTTTTTTTAACCGCATGTGACTCAAACATGTTTGCAGAAATACGCATGAGCCTCTTAGAGAGAGAAACCTTCATATTCCTTTCATCCAAACGCCCCATCAGAGCACGTCTTTACAAACGCCAAACACCACCCACCCATCCGCCAAGTCCACATGCTCCCTGTGTCCTCCTTATCCCATGCTCTACCCGGAAACATCCACTCCTGCACATGGGTTCCTAGTGCCATACCTTCCCGCTCCCCCTCCTCTTAATTTCATTCCTTCATGCTGCTGAACTTTCTGTTCACCGCAGACTTTTAACGGGCAGGAATCACCGACACAAGCTGCTGTGTTTTCTCAGCCGTTTTCTGTTTCCTGATCTCATTTGAGTCTGGGAGGTAATCATCGTCTTTCTTCGCTGTCCAATCAAATCATGAATAGTTTGTTATTCGTCTGTGTGCCGGTGATTCGTTAACCCAATCAGCACGACTCTTACTGTCATGATTGCTTCCAGACTTAAGTCAGAGGGAGAATGAGAGAGCCGAGGTTGTGTTTGTGTGTTTTTCCAGCCTGTGTGTGTGTTCAGAGGTCCAGCAGCTCTCATCATCCATTTCTTTCATATTTAATGATTTCAGTAATTGGTGTTTTGTTTTCCCTCTTGCCCTGAACTGTGGTTGTGCCCTGTGTAACATGAATATGGCTCCTTCCTTGCACGCGTTGCCTTGAATGTTGGTTCCAGGTCTGAGGAAGAAGAACCTGTCTCCTGGCGCTGTGGAGACGGAGGTGCGCGGCATCTCTGGAGTCGACTTGTTCGGCGTCTCCGATGCTGTTGTCAAGCATGTCCTCGAGGTGAGCAGAGGGTTTGAAGATCAGATTCTGTTTTTTTTTAAATGTGAAATGTTTTCGTTTGAGTTGATCAAACTTTAACTTCACAGAGGAGGGACTGAAGGTTTTTTTTGCTTCTTTAAAAGTTGAGCCGTATTGAAGTTGGATGCCATCCCCTTTAAGAAAACATCTTAACTCTGTTATTTGGCCTCAGGCTGCCAAATTTCTAAAATGCCTCCAGTCACATTCAGGGTGACAAATATAGACCACATTAGTGTGAACAGAACAGCATGTACCTGTCAGTACCTAAAGAGCCGAAGAGAAACAAGCTCAGCTCTGTCGCAGGCTTTTCCAAATCATCACTGACGTCCAAGATTTAGAGGATTTCATGGAAAATACCAATTAAACCTGTTTTTGAGGTTAAATATAGAAAATATTGGCAGTTCTTTGTGTTTCCAAGTCCTGGGTAGTTCCTCCTAATGTCAAAAACAAGAAGAAATAAGGAAGTGAAATTACTCGTCTGGGTTGGTCTTGAACAGAAAGAGTTGTGTGTTAATGAAAAAGATGCACAGCGAGCGGCTCAGTCGCTCACAGATCTTTTAAATTAACCTTTTCTTCTCCTTTAAATCGACATTTTTTTTCATAGTTCTGATTGTGTGACTGCGTTTCTCTGTCCAGGGTCACGACCGTGGGGTCAACTGGGCAGCCTTCCATCCCAGCATGCCCCTCATCGTGTCTGGAGCCGACGACAGGCAGGTCAAGATCTGGAGAATGAACGGTGAGCGACTCAGACATCAGTGATCAACAGTTTGCTCCTCTCTCTCTCTGTCTCTCTCTCTCTCTCTTTCTCTTTCTTCATTTGTTGATGTCAGCATCACCTCTTTGGTCTCCTCCTCCTCCTCTAATCCTCCAGAATCTAAAGCCTGGGAGCTGGACACATGTCGCGGTCACTACAACAACGTGTCCTGCGCCGTCTTCCACCCACGCCAGGAGCTCATTCTGTCCAACTCTGAGGACAAGAGCATCAGGGTGTGGGACATGTCCAAAAGGACCGGAGTGCAGACCTTCCGCCGGGACCACGACCGCTTCTGGGTTCTGGGAGCTCACCCAAACCTGAACCTGTTCGCTGCAGGTAGGTGGTGAAGCTGCTCTGCATTCTGCATGTCGCACAAACTCTTCAGACTCTTTCCTGCCACAAAAGAGCTTCAAACTTCAGTCCTGTTTGTGTGACACTTACACTGAAAGACCACATGTGTGTCCTCCAGGTCACGACAGCGGCATGATTGTGTTCAAGTTGGAGCGTGAGCGTCCTGCATACGCTGTTCACGGCAACATGCTGTACTACGTCAAGGACCGCTTCCTCCGCCAGCTGGACTTCAACAGCAGCAAGGACACGGCTGTCATGCAGCTGCGCAGGTGGGTCCAAAACTCCCTCTTTGATATCTTAGATCAGTAAATGAAGATCTTCATTTAGAGATCTGAGTGTGACACACTGTCTTTTCTACATGATCTTGTTCTAGCGGGTCCAAGTTCCCGGTGTTCAGCATGTCTTACAACCCTGCAGAGAACGCAGTCCTGCTCTGCACTGTAAGCATCTCTTAATTAAAACACTCACTCAAGTTACTCCCATTCTGATATTTACAGTCACTTAAATTAATTATTTAATTGATGTAATCTCATCCTCCTCCTGCAGAGGGCGACCAACCTGGAGAACAGCACTTACGACCTTTACTCTATCCCCAAAGAAAGCGACTCTCAGAACCCTGATGGTAAAAAAAGAAACATCTCTCACTGAAGTTCAGATATTTCCTCTTTCAAGTCATCCATAAAAATGTAAATATTGACAAAAAAGTAACACAGAGTCTGTGTTTCTCTCAGCACCTGAAGGGAAGAGGTCTTCTGGTCTGACTGCAGTCTGGGTGGCGAGGAACAGGTTTGCCGTCCTGGACCGTATGCACTCTGTAAGTTCTTTTTGCAGGTCTAGAAATTATGGAAATGTTCTGGAAAAATACAGAAGTATATTAAAAGATGAGATTTAATCATTGTCCCACAAGTCCACGCCCACTCAGTCAACAGATCAGTTGCAGTTGACGGAGCAGTAATCACCATTTTCATTTGCATATCTTGTTGAAACATGATCTCCCGTGTCCTGTAAGAGTTTTATAGAGATCCAAGTTTGGGGGGGTGGTGAGAGGTCGCTACCTTTTTTAAAAATGTTATTCTTATTTTTAAAATTTCATTTATTTTTGGTTTTATTGGATTGCAACGTACCTGTTACCTTTATCGGACTGCTGTACTTGTTTCCCTTTAAAAGCTGTTCACAAAAAAATTAAAAAACAGAGCAGCGCCGCTGTAGAAAGTAATGATCTGAAAATCCTCTGTCTCTACTTCAGCGGTCCCTTTAGTCTTTTTAAAATGTGTAATCTTCCTTTAAATCAGCTCCTCTAACATCTCCCACTCCTCTCCTCAGCTGCTGATCAAGAACCTGAAGAATGAGATCGTGAAGAAAGTCCAGGTCCCCAGCTGTGAGGAGATCTTCTACGCCGGCACAGGCTCCCTGCTGCTGCGGGACGCTGACGGCGTCACGCTGTTCGACGTGCAGCAGAAACGCTCCCTGGCCACCGTCAAGATCGCCAAGGTCAAGTACGTGGTGTGGAGCTCCGACACCAGCCACGTGGCTCTGCTGGCGAAACACGGTGGGTGGATTAGATGAATATCTGCGAGTCTGAACATTGTTATCTGCTTGTTTGTGGAGCCTGAGCTGAGGCTGTGGATCATCTCTCAGACATTAACTGTGTTTGGAGAAACCAGAGAGAGGCACTAATGAGATTTCATCACCTCTTATCATGAGGCTGAAAGATCTTTGCTCGTATTTTATTATTCTGCAGCAAACTCTGCTCGATAGTTCCACTCGAGGAGAGAAGAGGATGCTGTGTTTGAAACATTTACTCTTTGGGGTGTCCTTTAAAACGCTCCAAAATCTCTTGACGTAGACTTAATTCAAATCTCTGCTCTGTCGTTTCCCTCAGCCATCATGATCTGCAACCGTAAGCTGGAGAGTCTGTGCAACATCCACGAGAACATCAGAGTGAAGAGTGGAGCCTGGGACGAGAGCGGCGTCTTCATCTACACCACCTCCAACCACATCAAATACGCCCTCACCTCTGGGTAGGTCCTCCTCAAAAAAACAGTGGTGTATATTCACTGTCTGATCTTGACATTCATCCAAACTGCAGAAAAAAAGATCTTTTCAGGGTTGTGAGATTTACCGGCCTCTTTGTGAGCTCTGGTTTTCTTTGTACCCCTCCGTTAGCCGATATTTAAACAATAGATTTATAACACAAGTGTGCATAAACACTGTTTTCACTGTGTGTTCTTGTAGGGATCACGGCATCATCAGGACCCTGGACTTGCCCATCTATGTGACCCGTGTAAGAGGAAACAGCGTCTACTGCCTGGACAGAGAGTGCAGGCCCCGAGTCCTCACCATCGACCCCACAGAGTACCGCTTCAAACTGGCCCTGGTCAACCGCAAGTACGATGAGGTGAGTCTTTGATTTCCTGAGCTCTAACGTATCCATGGACTTTTAGGTCTCCCTTCCTTCAGTTCTAGATCATGTTTTCTGTCTTTGTCCCTCCAGGTGCTCCACATGGTGCGTAATGCAAAGCTGGTGGGTCAGTCCATCATCGCCTACCTGCAGAAGAAGGGTTACCCTGAGGTGGCTCTGCACTTTGTCAAAGACGAGAAGACTCGCTTCAGTCTGGCTCTGGAGTGTGGAAACATCGAGGTGAGCTGCTGCTGCTGGGAAAACAGTTTCTAATTTTGGACACCCACTTTTTTTCCCTCTTGGAGCTGTACCTCAGACTCTTCTTCGGCTTTCTGGGTCACTCCCCTGAACGTTTCTCTGTCCTCGTTCTCGCAGGTGGCTCTGGAGGCGGCTAAGGCCCTGGACGAGCGCAGCTGCTGGGAGCGTTTGGGTGAAGCGGCGCTGCTGCAGGGACACCACCAGGTCGTGGAAATGTGCTACCAGAGGACTAAGAACTTTGACAAGCTCACCTTCCTCTACCTCATCACCGGAAACCTGGCCAAGCTGCGCAAGATGATGAAGATCGGTGAGAGATGGAGGCTGATTTCATGTTCGGTTACAGGTTCGTGTATCTTGGCTAACTAATATTTAACGTTTGTTTATCTTTTTGTTTGTAGCTGAGATCAGGAAGGACATGAGCGGACACTATCAGGCTGCTCTCTACCTGGGAGATGTCAGTGAGAGAGTCCGCATCCTGAAGAACTGTGGACAGAGTGAGTTCAAGAGTTCAGACAAAACAATCGACCCGGACTTAAAGAAAAGAGAATCAGTCAATAAAGGAGAAAATAACATGCAAAATCATCCGTCTCTAGAGTCTCTGGCCTACCTGACTGCAGCCACTCATGGACTGGATGAAGAGGCTGAGGCCCTGAAGGAGACGTTTGACCCTGAAAAGGAGACGGTGTGTTGTGAAAACTCTCCCATTACCTTTAACTTGTTTAACTTCTAAAGTCTTGAGCACTAGATTACTAAAAGGACTTTTAACTACCTTTTTTATTTAAATATTGTTGGATCTTTGTCTTTCAGGTGCCAGAAGTTGATCCCAACGCCCAGCTCCTGCAGCCACCTCCACCCATCAACCCTCTGGACACTAACTGGCCTCTGCTCACCGTGTCAAAGGGCTTCTTTGAGGGAGCCATCGCCGCCAAGGGTGAGTCATCAGTCTAGACACATTCAGACACTCATTAGATCTAATAGAATTAGAGTACATAGAAGTACAGAGTGTTCTTGTTCCTGTCTGTGAAGACCCTAGATCTGTTGTGACATGTTTGAGTGAACAGTCCTGCGTTTATGAAGCAGTGAGAAAAGTTTTCCAAGCAAATATAATGAGTTGTTTAAGTTGTGGAAACGTGTAGGAGCTGATTTCATCTGAGTGAGAGAGTTGTTTTTCTGCTGTAGGTAAGGCAGGTCAGATGGCCGCAGACCTGGACATGGAGGCTCCAGGAGGAGAGGGCTGGGGAGATGATGCTGAGCTCCAGCTGGATGAGGGTAAGTTCAGCATCTCTGTGAAGAAGTAGTGAGAAGATTGAGTGACATAAGAGGCACATCAGGAGTAACATGCATCTTTCCCCGTTTCTCAGATGGTTTCATGGATGCCCAAGAAGGATTAGGGGATGAAGGAATGGGCAAAGAAGAGGGAGGAGGCTGGGAGGTGGAGGAGGACCTGGACCTTCCTCCAGAGCTGGTAAGAGGAGCTACAAAATAAACACAAGAAGAGTGTCTGTGTTTTTAATAATGGGTCTGCTACAGTCATACATTAAATTCGTCTCCCTCCCGACTATCAGGACGTACCTGCTGCAGGTGGAGGAGCAGAAGACGGCTTCTTCGTTCCACCCACCAAGGGCATGAGTCCCACCCAGATGTGGTGCAACAACTCCCAGCTGCCTGTGGATCACATCCTGGCTGGATCCTTCGAAACCGCCATGAGGGTGAGTACACAGATCAACACTGGATTCACAGTAATTCATCATTTACTCTGACAGAGTTGTATGCTGAGATTTAATGTTCATTTTCTGTCCCACAGCTGCTCCATGACCAAGTGGGAGTGGTAAGCTTTGGCCCCTACAAGACCCTCTTCATGCAGACTCTGTCTCGAGGCCGCACCTGTTACCTGGGACTTCCCTCCCTGCCCTGCCTGCGTGGACATCCTCAGAGAAACTGGAAGGTATAAGACTTGTTCTCATTTAGACTTTCACCTCTTTGAAAAAGCCCTCATAGTTTGAATAATAGAGATAAATTTACCTTGTTTCTGTCGTTGTAAAAGCAGATTAAAAACACACAAACACTGATTTTGTTTCCCCTCAGGACTGCGGTGCAAAACAAGGACTGCCAGCTGTGGGCCTGCGCCTCTCTGACCTTATCGCTCGCCTGCAGCAGTGCTACCAGCTGACTACAGCCGGCCGCTTTGAGGAAGCTGTGGAACGCTTCAGAGCCATCCTCCTGTCTGTGCCTCTGCTGGTGGTTGATAACAAGCAGGAGATTGCAGAGGTCAGCATGAAACACGCTGTGATTTGCAGTCAGTTAAACTCCACATGCATCACAAATCTTTGCAGAGTTTCCACCATCGAAATGCAGCTCAAGTTTGCACACTGGGGATTTAGAATGCATCCTGAGCGGCTGTGATCTGTGTGTTTTCAGGCTCAGCAGCTGATCACTATTTGCAGAGAGTACATAGTGGGTCTGACCATGGAGACGGAGAGGAAGAAGTTGCCTAAAGATACTTTGGACCAGCAGAAGAGGCTGTGTGAGGTAAAAATCTGTTCCATGTCCGCCCAAATGATCACGACTCCTCCTTTGTTTCATTAAAAGCCTAATCTTCTCGTGTGTTTCCTTCACAGATGGCTGCCTACTTCACCCACTGTAATCTCCAGCCGGTCCACATGGTGCTGGTGTTGCGTACAGCTCTTAACCTTTTCTTCAAGCTGCGTAACTTCAAGACGGCCGCGAACTTTGCACGCCGCCTGCTGGAGCTGGGGCCAAAGCCAGATGTTGCACAGCAGGTGGGCAGTGTCACAAAGCGATCGCTTAATTTAGAAGACCGTTCCCATTATTATTGTTCCAAATCTGGTGACTTATCATGTCAAATCTTTCCTCTCCATTCAGACTCGTAAGATTTTGGCAGCCTGTGAGAAGACTCTGACGGATGCTCACCAGTTGAACTACGATCCCCACAATCCATTTGACCTGTGCGCTGCCTCCTTTGTCCCTCTGTATCGTGGGCGTCCCGTTGAGAAGTGCCCTCTGTCTGGAGCCTGCTACTGTCCTCCATACAAAGGCCAAATCTGCAGGGTCACACAGGTAGGGGAACAGATGTGCACATGTTGTAAAGCTTCTCAGAACCATGAATTGTGTTTATTTTATCTATGTAAAGAGGCAACTAATTAAGATAATAGCCGACATATGCAAAATCAAATTGCAGTTTTGTAAAATCAAAAGTCTAAATGCCACACAAAAGCTATAATAACATTACCTTGTTCCCTCTAACCTTGATTTTTTTTCTGTTTGTTATCAGGTGACAGAGATCGGTAAGGATGTCATTGGTCTGCGTGTGAGCCCTCTTCAATTCCGCTAAGAGAAAACAGAGATAATAAGAAGACGAGTTCTGTTCAAACACATCCACACTTACCCTGTAGAAATAACACATTTACTGAAAAGAGAATTAAAAGCAGAGATATATACAGTATGCTCCCCTCACTGATGTTATATCGCTGAAATACTTTTAAATGTCTTACTTTATGCACCATCTATCTTGCTAAAAGCTTTTTCTTGTACTGTCATCTCTGTCCTGTAGCTTCATTAGAGCTGTAAACCTCTCTGATCGCCCTTTCTGACTTGTGAGAGATGAATAATTCAATGTTCGCAGTTACTGCTCTATGTATCTGGGTGAAAAAGACAATAAAAATGCCTGTGTAATCATTGGGAACCAGGGATGCGTGGGTTTTTTTTATTGTCATTCATGTGGTATGTGGGCACAGACTTGTAGCCTGTGCAATAAACCAATTGTGGTTTTTACTGGCATATAAATCTTTGAAGCTGCAATGAGAAACTTTCATTTTGCATCAGTCACCTCACACTTCGGGGTCAAAAGTGTTTCCTGTTTTTAGGATTTGTCGTGGGTGTTTGAGAAGAGTTTGCTGTGGGAAATGTAGAAAAATGATATAGTACAACCAAAATACCGCTGCTTTTTCAGAAATTTAAAGTTACTGCACAGGAACGTCAAGTTTTTTTTTCCCTGTGGTATTTTTTGACTTGAAAGTCTGTTTCCACAAGGCCAAAACCACCTCATATCTCCCATAACTCTCAAGTGCGTTGGTGTTACGGATTCAAATGTTACCCTGTTAACCGGTTACTTTCAGCCTAATGCCTAAGTGATGGTCGTAAAGCAGTTGAAACACTAAATACGTCTTAGTATGTTTCTTTATTCAATATATTGTCAAAATAAACTCGCTCAATGTGTATTTAATGAAAACCTGTTGTTTTAACTACGACAAACTACGCCGATGTCGCCGGTCAGCAGGGTCACCTTTTGAAACGAAACACCGGTGTGAGTCATCGGGAGTGCCACTTGTCCTGTATCCAACACCGTATAAATTTTCAATCAAAAGTTGTGAACACACGTCTGAATTTCCTATTATGAGTAAATATTAAAATATAGATATTATCCCTGTATCGGGGGGTCCAGAGGTGCCATTTTGACTGAGTACAGTCTATGGTACGCCCCCGTACAAGGAAGCGGAACCAAGAAGCAGAACCCGGACGTTTTCCATGTCAACACCTACTGTTGTGTTTTCCTGCTTTTCAAACCAGGAAGATGGATCTGCTGTCGAACAAATGGATTATTAATTTGATAGTTTGTTTGTTTTCTATCGGTAAGTTGGACTGCGACAGTGTTGAACTTTCATGTATGTGTATATAGCTGTGAGTGGGGTGTGTTTCGATTCCGGGCGGTTGGCTTGTTGGCTTCTTTGTGCTCGGAGCTAGCTGAATGCTAGGCTAATTTCTGCTAGCTGGCTGGCTGTACTTCCAACTGCCGGTGTTTAAATACACATTTTACAATGAAGGTTAGCATCGCGACAGCTGTAGAGGGGTGATAGTGAAATATAAGTTCATAAACCAGTGAATCCGTATTTAAACCACGCTTTCTTTTTTGGTTGTAGCCTTTTTTTGTCTTTATGAGTCAGATTGTTTCTGCCTTCTTGACTTCTGTCAGCATCAGCGTGACTGCGCGTGACTCCCCCTCTCCAGGGATATAGCAAGATTAAACCAAACTGCATTCAAAGTTTTAAAGCTTTAGTGTGAATTTCATTTTCTTCCATTACATTTACCCAGTGAAAAGAGCAAAGCCACCTGCTCGCCGTACTGGTTTATTCGGCATATAGGTTACCAAAGAAAACTTCGCTTGTAAGTTTTAAAACGATGTTAATGCTTTTTATTGTCTATTTGTGTGCTGTAGTAGTGTATGTCTTCATCAGAACAACGTACACATTAACAAAATGCAGATATCAATCCATTCGAATCACGCAAAACGCCTTATTTGGGTCAGGAAATGTAGGTTTTATTATAGGCAGGTTATTGGAGTCTCTTTAGTGTCTGACCTACAATCTTTGAACCTGTTTTCATCTGTTTGATTTGAAAGTAAAAGACAGACACATTTACCATGTGGTGTTAAATCACTCTAGGACACTCAGGATCTCTTTGTGAAAAGTTGTTCTTATGCGCTCTTTAATGTGATTTTTCTCTCGCAGGTGTCGGCTGTAATTCAGTGGAGAAGAAGATTTATGTGCATCTCAATTACACAGTCCCATGTGTGCGACTGCTCAATGCAACACATCAGATAGGATGCCAGTGTGAGTAAAGACATGATGCTGAGTTATTGTCAAAGGATTTCAAAGGGAAAATACTATTTACATATTTTAGTACTTGTTTTGATAGTCTGGTAGTTTTGCACTAGATTAAAGGGATATTCTGGCTTAAAATTAAGTTAGGGTCAAACACACATTAACACTGAGTTAGACACCCCCTCGAAAGATGAATGTTGCCAACCGCTTGCTTCTCTAGTTATACCAACTTTAGTAATGACCACAGGATAGCAATACACAGCAGTCTGAGGAGCCATAAACAAACCTCAACCAAAACACCACAAATAATGCTCAGAACAGCACCTAACTTCATCAACAGTACATATAGGGTCCCAGCCACCAAACATCTTTTTAGGTTTGACTAATTTCTTTAGCAAAGAGACTAAACACAACTCACCTACTCTCTTCCAGCAGCCGCTTGTTTGTAGCAAGACCTTAGGCAAGTCCATTACAGACTACAGTGGGGTGACGCAGCTCAAGGAAGAACATTTATGATCATTTCTTTATCATTTCCTTGAAGTAATAATCGTCATAATAATCATTTTGCATTGCAGACGTGGTAGTTCTTCTGTCTTACCGTCTCAGTCTGATTGCATTTCCATGAAGAAATGATAATTTCTAATTTAATTTTACGCTGGAATATCCCTGTAAGTATATGTAGATGGTTATGGGTGGACACAAGTAGATGCTGTGTCAGAACATGTACAACCTTCCCTTTACTGGGGGAGAGGCCTCATAGACACAAAGATATTCATGTAATGCATATCTACTTATTCATTTAGTCTCAGACGTTGATATTCAGTCGTCTCTTTTGGATTTCAGCTTCTCTGTCAGGTAATGTGGGTGTGCTCCATGTGCTCGAGTCAGAGGAGAACCTAGACTGGGTCCTGCGCTCTGGACCCAACCCTCCATATCTGGTGATCCTGGAGCACCCGCTTTTCACCAGGTACAGTAAGCGTATATTTCACCCTGCATAGAGAGTACTTGGAGCAGTCCTGATCATATGTATATTCATAGTAACTCTTTAAAGAATGTATTTACACTCAAAGGAAAGGTATCATGGAAAAGTTTTGCAATGAGAAAATTCCTCTAAAATCCAATCCGTCATAAGCTTTCAATAACAGAAAGTGAAAGTAAACTCTGCGAGTCCGTTCTGTTTTTAACTCTGAGGAAAGAAACTCCCACCCCGTGTCAAGCCCCCATCTCACCTGTGTTTGTACCTGTATCATTTCCTCTGCCCCGTGCTGACTGTCTGCCTGTCAGGTCCATCATGATGAAGCTGAAGAGCGGCTCCAGCAGGGTGGCTGGCGTTGCTGTTGTGGCTTCAAACACAGTTCCACCAGACGGCTTCTCACCGCACACCACCTGTCCCAACGAGAACTCAGGTGGGTGGTGATGCACCTGCTCAGACCTGTCCTTCTCTGTTACACCAGTTACAGATATTAATTGTTGTTTCAAGAAGCATTCCCTATAACTACAGCGTGTGAACAGGAATTTTATTTCCTGAGAGCCGGCCCGAGTCTAAGTCTCTTTATGTATTTCCCTCAGGTGTGTATTCAGAGAACTACGATCCAGCCCTGGCCCACTGTAATGTGACAGTGTGGAACCCTTTGGGAAACGGGTTGGCCTATGAAGAATTCGACTTCCCCATATTCTCCCTGAAAGACGACAATGACACTCAAGTCATTCGGCAGGTAATATCACCCGTTGTGTGGCAGTATTCCTTTGTGCTAACGGTTATTACACTGTTCAGCTTTCTACATTGAAACACTGCAGTATCAATAAATCAGGATCCGAACTTGTCCCAGCCGTGGTTTGGTTAAGAAACGATATGAGCTCAGCTGTATCTGTGGCATCTGCTTCTGAGAGCCAACGTGCCGGGGCACATTGTGTCGTTCGCTAAAAGAAGCAACAAATCATTAGCTGCTCCTCCAGCAGAATGTAGGACAAAAACAGACGGATCAAATTGCAGGTTTGGTTTTATCTTCTTTTGATGCTGTGCAGGAGTGTTCAGGGTTCTCCTCCTGAGGGAGCTTTGCAGGAAAGAGGAAAAAGTGCTGAGCCACTGAAGTCAGCACGAGCTGTGACTTCAGCGTCACAGTGATCCTCACTTTCAAATCATGAATATTCTCAAAACTTTGCATTTCAACTTGTCTCTCTAAACTCAATAAATCACCATGTCCTTTGTGGTGATTTTTTTTTGTATGTGTGTTTTTAGAAATGTTTTGACCCAGAAAAGTATTCTTGTGAGAGTTTATTGGTCTAGAAAACTCATGCAGAGCTTGCTGTGTCATGTGAAGACAGTAAAGAAGGTAAAGGAATTTTTCTGCAGGGCACAGCGATGTGATTCCTCCAGATTTATCAGGTATTTCAGACTTGAAGAGCTAAAAAGTCGACCCCACAGACTTTCAATCATCCATTTGATGGGCACCGATGTTTTGAAGGCGGAGACATTTTTCATTTCTTAGTTTAAAACAGTTATGATATTGTCATTTATTTTTGCTCTCAGTGGTATTGGTGTGTTCGGCAGTTGCAGGGCATCTTTCTTCTTCCTTTGCACGTAAGCTGATGACAGTGGGTCGCCATAGCAGCCGGACACACTTTGTCTGCCTCTCTGAAACTTTATTTTTATTTTGCTGCCGAAAAGTATATGAGAAGTAAAATTCTGCACTAGGATCCTGATGAAACTGAAATATTTCCAGTTATTGATGCAAAATTAGGCTTCATATATTCTGTGTTTTTAAGGTCAGCAGTTTATCGATACATAAAGATTAATGATCTTCTTCCTGATGTGAATTGGTGCCAGATGCACAAATAAAGAGCTTTCATCTAAAAAACAAGGACCCATTGAGGAAAAATGATGCAGAATAGACATGAATCAGTGCAGAAGAATATGTCAAAATGTAGGAAGTAAAGTTTTTATGTTCAAAATTTCCTGTTAAATCCTCTTAAGCTCAACTAAAACCAGTTGATGAACTGCATTTATTTGACAGATGGAGTTTAGGGGAAGATACTGTTGTAATCTAACATATCTTAAAGTTGTTATTTAATGCAGATACAATTTTCATACTTGCTGCACCCTTCCCTGTGCTCACCATATTTTACGTCCTTTTTTCGTGTCCTTTGCCAATCATATCCTCCGTAAGTCAACAGCTTCAGGTCTAACAGGAAAAGCCCGTGTGCCAGAGTGATAAATGTCGTCCCAGAGAACGAAAGAAGGATTTCTGTGCCAAAACCTTCCAGCATGTCCCCGAGCAGGAGCCACAAACCCATTTTTATGTGTTCGAACTTGCTCTGCGGATTGGAAATATTTGAGGTTCCAAAAAAGCAGGAGAGCTGTTGTGGTTTCTGTGTTTGTTGTTTAAACAAACTGACAGAAATAAAGTTTAGTGGGTTTTTTTTTCTCTTTTCTTTTCTGGCAGTGTTACATGGAACACAACCGTGCAGTGAACGGCACCCCGCAGTACCCACTGTGTGCCATGCAGCTCTACTCCCACATGTCCGCCGTCACAGACACGGCCACCTGCATGAGGAGGAACGACATCAACTTCAGCATCAGCCCAGGTATTCATTCAACATCCACAACCATCAGTACAAAAACGAACACTGAATTTCTCAACTCTGAGCGGTAAAAAAATCATCTATTTTATTGGTTTTTTTTCCAAGTGAATTTGAACCTAACTCAGTTTTTTCTTGTTTTGTGTCTCCCTTTAGAAATGGTTTGTGATCCATTAGGTGACTATAATGTTTGGGCCTCCACCAGACCTCTTAACAACACAGCCAAGGGCCACAAGGATGGGGAGAGTGTGGTCATCGCAGCAGCCAGAGTGAGTCCTTTTTAAATAATAATAATAATCCTGTTTTATCCTGTAAAGAGCGTACAGTTCTACAAGCGAAATCACCGTCACACTTTATATTTCTTTTTACCTTTGATTCTTGTGTAAATATTTCCCGACTTTGTGGCGACGTGACAAAGACAAAAAAAAAGCTGGCATTTCTGCCTCCAACTTCCCGGTTGTTTCACAGGATTTTGCAACTCACCATCTCAGTCAAACTGTCAAACTCTCAGCTTTAAGTGCTCCACAAAGAAACAAAACAGACAGAAAAATTGAGAAATACATTTATCACATTGTTGGCAAACCTAAAAAAAAGCCAGATTCAGCTGTGTTTCTCATAGTAAAGAGCTTTGAGTTAAATCTCCACCTGATGGATCCCCTCTCACCTTCTTTCATTCTTCCTCTCCTCTCCTCTCCTCAGTTGGACAGCAGGTCTTTTTTCTTCGACATCGCTCCAGGCGCCGAGAGCGGCGTCTCCGGGTTCGTCACTCTGCTTGCAGCCGCTCACGCTCTGCGAAACGCCACCCAAGAGTCTCTGCCTCCCCGCAACATCTTCTACACCTTCTTTCAAGGGGTCCGTTTGTTTCCACACTTGTATAATCTCACACTGTCAGTATCACTCATGATATTCAAACACACCTTACATCTCTTTGCTCGCAGGAAACCTTCGACTACATCGGCAGCTCCAGGATGGTGTATGACATGCAGAACGATCAGTTTTCAGTGGACCTGGATAATGTTCACTCAGTGCTGGAGATAGGACAGGTGTGTGTCGGGGAATATCCCAGTCAAGTCCCCGTTATTTTGTTCGTCAACCTCTGCAGATCACCAGATTTTAAGGAACCAGTTCAAGACCTTTAAAGACCTGAAAGAGTTTCACACCCAGACTAAACCATGTTCAAAATGCGCCCAAACAAATACCAAGCAAAACAGAACTACTCATTTGACTGGCAGTCTTTTTGGTACTCAGTCTGGTTTATATAACAAGTATTAGAGACAACAGTTTTAATAATTCTCTCTCTTCTTGTATCACTTCACAATTTTCTTAAATATGTATTTTGGGGTCAAACGGATAACGTTTGTTCAAAGTTAAAATCAACAAAGAAGAGTATGTGTTCAATCTTCTAATCCTAGTACATTTTAATAATTTTAATACAGTTTTAATGGAATTATTTCTTCACTGTATCACGTTTCCAGGAAGAACAGCAGCGTCAATGACGAGGTTTGCGCCTTTAGAGCTCCTTAGATTTTTTTGGGGCCAAACAGATAACGTTTGTTCAAAGTTAAAATCAACAAAGAAGAGTATGTGCTCGATCTTCTAATCCTAGGACATGTTGTACTCCTGTGTGTTTCTGTGATGTCAGAATCAGTGAATGATGCGCTCTGCTGCTCAAAGAAAACAGAATGACTTGTACATGCACAGGACAAATCAAGCTGTGGCTTCACACTGATCCTGTGTCCACAGAGGGCACCAAAAGCAACACAAACAGAAAGTTCCTTTCAGGAGCTTTAAGCCCCCAGACTCACTTAGCTCTTCTTCACTTACATTGGTGTCAAGATATAGAGACAAAGCGTATGTATATTATACATGTGTGTAGATGAATTATAGTAAAATGGGACTGGCTTTAAAGATGAAAACAGTCAGAAAACGAGTGTCAGGAAACCAGCAGAGTTCTTCAACTTTATCAAAAACTCAAATAACTTTTCGATATTCTCTTCCAGGTACGTAAGCTCATCGATAACCTGCAGTCGGCTGCTACAGCTGCAGGCGTCTCAGCGGACGAGCCGAGTTTCTCTCAGCCCCTCCCACCCTCGTCTTTCCAGCGTTTCCTGCGAGATCGGCAGATCCCTGGCGTTGTCATTGAGGATCACCAGTCTGCTTTCTCCAACAGGTGATACAAACTCTCCCTGTTTCATATATTTATTGTACATCTAAAGGGGTTTTCATGTTCCTTATTGTGTTTTCCTGTTCTGTGTGCAGGTTCTATGAAAGTATGTATGATAATGCTGAATACCTGAACGTCACTTACCCTCCCAACCTGACGCCGGAGGAGCAGCTGGAGTTTGTCACTGATGTGGCGAAAGTACGTCAGCAAATTACCAACATTCACCGTTGTCATGTCTATTTTTACTGTTTGATTTGTTGCTGATTTGCACACATGATGATTAAGGTGTTCTGCGTTCCTCTTCATGCGTCCTCCAGGCTCTGACGGAGGTGGCCACCATGGTCGCTAAAGCTCTCTACATGCAGGCCGGAGGAGTAGAATCTCAGCTGAGCAACATAAAAGCAGACCCTCAGATAGTAAGACTGCTGGATTTCATCAGAGAATCAGTCGAATAGAAACCTAAGCCAGTTTGATTTAAGTGTACAGACTGTCTTTATTTCAACAGAACCGAAAATGATTTTAACTCTCTGAAAATACTTTGAACTTTTATCTCCTGGAAAAGAGTTTTTATTTACAGGAGAGGACAAACTCACAGACGTGGTCATGTTCATGTTTACCTCGTCATAATTTGCATTTTTGTCACATTGAATCATCACTGATGCAAATTTGCTACTTGAAGTGAGTTATTTTGATCCAAACCGAAGAGATAATCACTTCCTGTTTCCTCTTCCTCAGGTGACTGGGATGCTTTATGGTTTCCTCGTTCGGTCAAACAATTCCTGGTTCCAACAGCTTCTCCCATCTGATCTTATCAGCCACCTGGGTAGGCGAACAAATCCTTTTTGATACTAAGTGGACGTTAAATGCTATTAAAATTAAATATTTTCTATTTTAAAGCTGGGATGTTTCACTGAATTATGATTAGGACAGAATTAAAAGCAAAGCAAGTATGTTATGAATCCATATCAAGGATGACAAACTTGATATTTCTGTCTGATGTCTTTTAGCTGACAGGCCCACAAACTTCTACGTCGGCGTTGCTCAGCAGTCCAGTGAACCGACTCTTCTGGTCCAGTACCTGCTGGCTAACCTGACAGGAACCACCCCCAACATCACGCAGGAGGACTGTCAGAACCAGAGAGAGAACGAGAAGGACACAGAGAGCAAACATGTAAGACACACTGCAGTCTTACTTTTCTTTATTTACTTACAACTTATATCACGAGGAAAAACTTTATGAAGATACAATTCAAGAGGTGACTTGATTCTGCATTATTTACTTTAATGCAGTTATTTGAACACACAGATTTGTTAAAATACAACCAGACAATACAGAAGGAATTAATTTTTGTTTCTCTTTATTACCAAAAAAAGAATGAAATGAAAATACCAAATCTCTCTCCTCTCTCAGATGTTCACCTACATGTGGGTGCAAGGTGCAGCGCCGCCCAACAGCACAAAGAGGGAGGGTTTCTGCGTCCGCTCCACGGTCCGCCTCTCCAAAGCCCTGTCTCCGGCCTTCGACCTGAAGGAGTTCACCTCCAAAGATTATTCAACGTGGACTGAGTCCAGGTGGAAGACCATCAAAGGTCGCATATTCCTGGTGGCCAGTCATGAACTGGAGGTAAACCCGCTTTTAAGTCTTGCTTGTCAGTGAGAATCTTAAAAGTGTTGTGATTTAAAATCTTGGCTCAGGCTCCTCTATGTTCATCTGAAGAGAGATAATTGATATAATTATCTTTTTGATTTTCTCTCCAGATGCTAACGCTCGGCGTGGGTTTCGGCATTTTGATATCATCCCTGCTCATCACATATATCGTCAGCTCAAAGGCTGACATGCTCTTCAGCTCAGGGAGGGAACCAACAAACGCCACCTACTGATCCACACGGAGGAAACACAGGCCCACGACCACTACCACCACTACTACTTTTACTACTACTTCTATCCCGCGCAGACATGGACCAGCCCCCTTTTTTTCTTTAACACACAGCACATGTAGGTACACAGACAGGTTAGACGCGGCGGCAGCACAGAGGGGGTCATATTTTAAAGACGACGGCGACGACTCCATGTTTGTGGACTCACTCAGGTGAGACGTGACATGAGGACCGGACCGGACTGGGTTGGCCTGGATGGATCTGGACTCATCAGGGTCTGAGAAATCACTGGTCAGGCACCAGCAGGCCCTGCCCGCGGACAAAGATGTTAATATTTCTTTTAAATCTTTTTCCCTTTTTATCGTCGAAGAATGTTTTGTTTACTGTGTCATGGGATAGGCACTAAACACGGAGCATTATTTGAGCGTGTGATTGTGAATATGTAAATTTGAAGGAGTGTTTGACTGTGTGAATCTGTGTGTACGATCAAGAAGAGAGTGCGTGTGAGGATTGCAATGGTATGTGCAATACTGTAGCTGTCTTCTCTGTCAGTGTAGTTAACTTATCAATCAGTTCTAATGATAAGAAACCACTTTTTTGAGTCAGTGAACAAGTAGTAACGTTTTAGTTTTAAGGTTTTGCAAAAGCCAGACGTGTTTGGTGAAGTTTTGTGCAGAAGTTGCAGGTCCTGGGAGGTTTCAAACAACGCAAATATTTATACTTTTCAGTCCCAGCACATGTGCAAAACGACTACAGGTGGATGTAGTTGTAGACCCACAGCATCTTCACATATTGGGATGTTCACAGGGAGGAGGAGGAGGAGGAGGAGAGGAACATCCCCGCAGAGGCTGGTGCAGCTGACAAACACTTTACTGCATATCCATCAGCTGCCGAAGGATCCGGTCAGAAAATCTTGTTTCTCACAAGAAAGCGCTGGTACTCAGGCTGTGCACTCGTTTTGGTTCGTACCTTTTTGACAAGGTTTCTTTTAACGATAACTTCTAAAAAAAAAAATTCATGCTGAGGCGATGATTTTCATGTTTCTGTTTTGTTGACGAGTGTTCATTTAATGGCTGGAATTAATGACCAATTGTGATGCCTTGATGAGGAAATAAACATGGCTTCTTTTCCAGTTTGGCTTTCGCTGTCTCTAAAATCTCAACGTGAAGACCTTCAGATCTAACTCTAATGAATGAAGAAGATATGGATGGATTTAATCACAGACTTTTGAACACCTGAGTTGGAGAGCTAGACAGTAAGAGCCTGAGTGCTGCCGGAAGTTTCACCTCTGGCTCCTCAAACTTTATCATGAAATAAAAAAATCTTTCTTCTGATCTCCAAAGCTCTTATTAGCCAGGCGCCACCGTATCTCCAAGACCTCATAGTGCCCTATTTCTTCTCTGGAACATTAACTCCAAACATGCAGGTCTGATTGTCACACCCAAAGTCTCTAAAAGTAGTCTGGGAGGTCAAGAATCATCTCATTGTCTTGATCCGGGACTATAACACCCCCTCTATTTTTAAGGGCAGACTCAAACTGTTTTAGAAATTAAGATGTATAACTACGAGTCTCTTTCCATCTCTTTCTTTCTGGATCACCCACTTTCCCGTACAGTTACAGCAGATTTGCAAAATGCTGCCCAGAGCCTTAGTCATGGTGGATAAAGACGAGATAAAATACACTCTTATCTTGACTTTGGGTCTTTGTTTGTGTTATAAACTAAGACTATGGTCTAGACCTGCTCTTTTTGTGTCTTGAGATAACATCTGTTATGAATTGGCACTCTATAAATAAAGATGATTGATGATAATATGAGATCACAAGTGACTCTCAAAGCTTTGGCTCACACTAGGCTGCCAGTTTACAGGACTGGACTTGTTCAAACTGTCTTTGGTCTGGAGAAAAGCTCAAATAAGATCCTGACCTCAACAGATAAATGGTTTTCGTAGATCCACAAAGTGCTAAATATACATAAAAACCTCCTCAGCAGCTCCACAAACTGAGTCTTTGTTTGGTAAGGAAATGGAGCCACTTACTTGGAGACGTTTCACTGTCCTGTGCACACAGCGAAACATCACAGCAGTGATAAATGAGTACGGTGGCCGAGAACCGCCACTGCTGCAAATTAAAAAGAATCCAAAGAAAAGAAGTCACAACAGAAGTTACTGATGCAAAAAAAAGAAACCAAAGCCCACTGCAAATAAAATAAAACAAAGCAGATTAAAAAAAAAAAAGCCTCAACAACTTTTTTTTTTTGCATTGCCACATTTTTTTTTGCGTCATTAACTTCTGTTGTGGCTTTTATTGTTTGCATCCTTTTATTTTCGCAGTAAGTAATTATTATTATTTTTTTGCATTGCCACATTTTTTGTTTTGCTCATTAACTTCTGTTGTGGCTTTCTTTGATTTGCATCCTTATATTTTCGCAGGAAGTAACTTTTCTTTTTTTTGTTTTGCCACATTTTTTTGTGTCGTTAACTTCTGTTGTGTTTTTCTAAAAAAAATTTTATCTGCACTGCCTCTTTTTTTATTTGCAGTGGGCTTCGATTTCTTTCTTTTTTTAATCTTTTTGCATCGGTCACTTCTGTTGTGGCTTCTTTTTTTTGCATTCTTTTTTTTTTTTATTTGCAGCAGTGGTGGTTCTTGACCACCATACACTTCCTTACCAAGCAAAGACTCAGTTTGTGGAGGTGCTGAGGAGAAAAATGACCCCAGACCAACATTATCAGAGGGTTTTATGTATATCTATCACTTTATGGATCTACGAAAACCATTTATCTGTTGAGGTCAGGATCTTATTTGAGCTTTTCTCCAAACCAAAGACAGTTTGAACAAGTCCAGTCCTGTAAACTGGCAGCCTAATGTGAGCCAAAGCTTTGAGAGTCTCATATTATCATCAATCATCTTTATTTATAGAGTGCCAATTCATAACAGATGTTATCTCAAGACACAAAATGAGCAGGTCTAGACCATAGTCTTAGTTTATACCATAAACAAAGACCCAAAGGTAAGATAAGAGTGTATTCTCCCGTTGTGACTTCTTTTTTATTTGCAGCAGTGGCAGCTCTCGGCCCCCGTACAGAATGGAGTTACTTGGAGACATTTCTCTGTCCTGCGCACACAGCAGGGAAACATCACAGCAGTGATAAATGAGCTGTGGTTGAACCCACAGCCTGAGCAGGGCTGAACCACATCGTTTCTCAGGCCTCGCCTCCCTCCGTGGGGGAGACACAGGGGAGGGGCCAAAGTGGAGCTGGAGGCGGGGCGCACGGTGCTACGGCTGAGTGGAAAGAAAGTGGAAAGTGAGAAAATACCTGAATGGACAATCCGGAATAAGTAAGTAGTATTTTCATGTACAAATTGTGTCCGAATGGTGCGGGTTGTGAAATGTTTGCATGTGTGCTGCTAAAGGGAGACGGAGGAGGATTCGGGGCGCCGGAGAGCTCCGGTTTCCACAAACAATAGTCGCCAGGACGCGATGGTCGCCTTTTTTTGAAACCGCAGGGAAGTTTAGGACCCTCATCGGCCCCTATTGTTGTTCCCACTGAGGCCACGTAGCCCAGTGGGTCGATTTTAAACGTGGGGAGGAAGGGTATAGTCTTGGAAATGTTTGTAGGGGGTGTAAATGATCCGGTGAGTGATGCGCATGGAGGGAATAACGCGTCCAGTGTGAATGTAGGCCGGAGCTTTTTCGGATTTTCTCCTTCCTGGAGAACCGGTGGGAATTTGAGTGCGTCCATTCATTTACTGTGAGGGGAAAGGAAAGGAGGAAGAAAGGGACCGAGCCGTGGGATCATTTGGCATCAGGACGCGAGCGGTGGGGCCTGGGAGTCTCCCATTGTCCTGCCGAACTACAACACCCTCCTTTTGAGATTTTATAGGTCGCACAACTCTTTTCAATCAACCCCGAATGCTCACAGTAAGTTAGCCCTTTGGTAGCCCTTTGTATTATGTTGCTGAATTATTGATTGTTGTCGCTCCTGATCTATTACCTCATTCAACCGGCTAACGGTGAAATACGTCCAAACGGCCCAACCGTTAAAATGTTAAATACAGAGAAAACAGTGTGGAGATGCTGCTGTAGCAACAGGCCACGATTTATCCAACTATAAAGAGAGTTTTATATCCCTACTGGGGTTAAAAGTCCTTTATTTTACTCTAGGGATGAGACTTGTGAGAGAAAACCCTCAGTATCCATCTGTAAATAGTCCCCAAAGTGATAAAAGTGATAAAATGTTAGCTGCCTTAGTAGGACTGTTCGGTGACATAAAAGCAAAACACTGTAAAGAACAAAAGGTTAGTATTATAAGAATTTATACCCTTCACAGTTAAGTTTTTGCTGAAAGGTGTGTAGAAACCCCAACAAGACCATCACAGTGACCGTTAAAGTTAGCATATATCTGTATTAAGCTAACTGTCCATTTATGACCATAACGACCAACCTTCATTTCTTTAACCAAACATTCATATAAAACATTGTTAAAGAACAATTTAAGATCTAAAACTAAGTGGAAACTATTCCTACTGGGGTTAAAAGTCCTTTATTTTACTCTAGGGATGAGAAAACCATCAGTTTCCAGCTGTAAATAGTCCCCAAAGTGATAAAAGTGATAAAATGTTAGCTGCCTTAGTAGGTGACCTCAAAGCAATACACTGTAAAGAACAAAAGGTTAGTATTATGGGAATTTACACCTTACGAAAATGATACCAAAAAGGGTCTGAATATTTCACAGTTAAGTTTTTACTTAAAGGTGTGTAGAAACCCCAACAAGAATAACACAGTGACCGTTAAAGTTAGCATATATCTGTATTAAGCTAACTGTCCATTTGGGACCATAACTGCCAACCTTCATTTCTTTAACCAAACATTAATTGTTAAAGAACAATTTAACATCTGAAACCAAGTGTTAAAAATGCTTGTTATATCCTATAATCACTCCTAACTCCTGTTAAATTGAACTTTCACTGATATTTTAAGAGAAAAACTAGCAACCCCAAATTTTGAGATGCAGCACAAGCTGTGACGTGACAGTTTGTCGTTATAAATCTCTAAATAAGTATATCAGCTTAATCTTTTGGGCTGTACCACAAACCACAGAGGCATTAGGTTCCCAATGTAATTATCTCAAAAGTCACAACAAGTTTGTTGAGCATGTTGTTATTAGAAGCACAGGCTCCAAAGACAGTGACTGAAAGTGGCATGGTAGTGAGAGATAGTTGTCATTACAGTAAATGAGAAATTAATACAATTAAGTGTAAATGAGTCGAGGACAAATGATGTCTTGAGGCTGAAGCATGGGTGTTTTGTCCCAATCAAGAACATTAGTTCAGCAAACACTGTAATAAACACTCACAGATAGTAGACAAGGTTTAGACCCTGATTTTTGCTCCCATGTCTGTTTTTACAGCATAGCTGCAAACCAGGTTAAACTTTTAAAGCATTAATTAATGTGTTATAGATGAATGAAATGCATTTGTGTTAGAAAGTGCAAACAAAACTGTGAAAGAGTTCTAAAAGCCAAATGGGAGCACCTTGGAAAAGCTAGCACTTTCTGAAAACTGTAAACTACTCGGTTTATAACGATAATACCAGACAGATCAATATATTGGAGACTTTAGTGAAATAAGTTGATTTATTACAAAGTTGTTAAATCTGTGATGCAAACCTTGTTGATTGAGCACTAAAATACAGATATGCCCAGTCTGTACAATATGGTGATGATAGTGTCTGCACTGTTTTTGGAAGATGAAGTGCATGAACCTACAGCAGGTCCGAGGTGCCACGTTTTGGTGATTTCTGGGCATTGTTTATCATGTACGGTTACATGATTGATCAATAATTGGAACTGATATGCGTTGATACTAAAAAATATAGTCGAGACAAAAGAAGACACACTAGCAGCAGAGCCAAGGCAGCACACTTTCTGATCAATTGATTTTATGAGCTGTCTGTAAAATAAAAGAAAGATATTGACCTTTTGAAGAAAATAGGTCTGTGTAAAAAAAAAAAATCTGCAGTGTGCCATTGCATTAATAGCTACAGCTCTAAAAAGTGCAAAAACACATATATTCAAAAGCTGACCTGAGGTATAGCTCCCAGTTTCCTTTAGCTGCTGCTCTACATGGCTCACAGAGTACTGGTTTTGCAACATGCCACTCCTCAATTGAAAAGGTCCCTCTTTTCTACACAAGTTAGTTCCAATTCATGTTAGTCTTATCTGACTAACATGAAATGGTTAAAGATGGTGTAAAACGCTTTTCCTTGACATAGTTGTCTTTTTCAGACTTCATTGTTGACCGCTCATGCTCCTAATGCATTTACAGTGAAGTTGTGATAACCTTGCAACCTCCATAGAAAACAAGCTTACAGTTGTCTTTTGATAATCAAGTACAAATAAAACATTATTTCAAACTGATTAAAAAAGTGCAAATCACAAAGAGCTGAAACTGACCCTATCCTGACACCATGGTGGGGACAGCTGGGAAATATTTGGGTGTGTTTGGGGTGAGGCAGCTCTCTAATTTGTTTTTCTTACTGTAGTTTTCTAACAGTTTTAAACGCCCCCGCGCCGCCTAATAGACCCCAGTCCCGAATCTGAACCACATCTCTCTCCCTCTCAGTTTCCGGTCTCTTTAATTCTTTGTTTGGATACGAAGACCGAGTGTGTGCAGGGGTCTCTCTGAATCACAGTACTGAGCGGAGGACAGGCCTGTTGATTCAACCATATCCTGTTGGATTTGTACTCACACACACAGACACAGCCTCACACAGACACACACCTGCTCTGGTTTGCTGGCCATGTGTGTAGAGGGCTGACAGTAGCAGTTGTCTTGTTTTTTCGTTGCTTTTACTGATGTCGTCGCAGGCAGCAGTGGGTGGTGGTCCGCTCTGTGTGTTTATGTGTGTGTGTGTGTGGCCCTGTTACAGTGATGAGCCTCTTCCCCTGCTGGACCCATGGTGTGTGTGTGTTGCACGCTTATTTTCACAGTTGGTATATCAGGCCTCAAATGGCTGCTGAATGGAGCGGGTCATTGCAGAGATGGTACAGATTGCTTTTTTTCGCCCTGACAGCTGTCGTCCCAGTGCCAGCAGCTTGAAATGTTTGATGACAGCTTGATTTCTTTCTGCTTGTGGGAAAACAGGGGCTGTGAAATCTATGTCTGCGTGTCTGAAACTTAATGGGACTTTAAATGCACTTTTGTTGCAGGAATCAGGATTCCTGATTAAATCTGGTGCTTAAGTAACCCTAAAAGAAGAGTTTGAGCAAAGACTGTAGGGCATGAACTTACTGACTTCTCTGGATGTAACACCTACATCCTCTCTTAAGGGCAAGTTTGGCCTCTGTAAATGGCACGTTTATTACATCATTGCATATGAGTGTTTAACATAACTGCCAGGTTCAGAGGACGATAAGGGCTTATAGAGAAAAATAAGTATGATTTTTATATCGTAGAATTCTGATCTCCAAAAAAGTTATGAATGTGACTGTTTGTGTTTGATCTCAATATTCTGAGGGAAGCAAAGAGAAAATGATGTTAATTTTCCCCTGTGAATATCAAGATTGAAGGTGGAAATCAGATTTTTCGTCAGGATTTTAGGTACATTTCTGTGATTCGAAGCATAATTCAGAGGATTTTCTTTCAGGATCCTGACTTTGATTTCATTATTCGGAGGAAAAAGTTAATCTCTAGTGATTAAAAGAACACATAATTACGAGATTAGAGTTAGAATATGGAAGTAAATCTGTGCCATCTGATTTTGAATTTGAATTTCTAAAGCTGAATTAATTTTTTCGCATCAAAATCAGACTTTGAATTTCGAAACTATTGAATTTTAAGCATGCATTTTTATTTCATTTTTTTTCACAATGATGAAATCCATTCAGTGTAAAAGAAATCAGTCTCTCAAAAGATTTGTTTAGTAAAAATTCAACTTAAAAAGAAAAACTGTAAAAAAAAAATTCACTATAAAAAAAATTCAATGTCAAAAAATTTTGTGTAAAACAGACCAACTCAACATCCGGGTAACCAGGGAGAGCAATCGATTCCTGGCTCAATCACCATTTTTAACAATTGAAATAAACCAGCAGGTGATGTCTAAACACTCCCTGTGAATCAGCAGTAACCTACTCCAGGTTAGTCATATTAGCTTCCAAGCATTACATGACATGAGAAAGATAAAAATCATTATGATTCTAAGAAATGTCAGCTCCTGAAGCCAGAGTGTAGCTGAACTGATACATAAATGCATCTCTGCAAAAATCAGTCAATATTGGATTTTTCTATTATCCAGTACTTTCATATCATTTTGGCCAATACATATAGAGATACACTGATGATGATCCATTTGATAACCAGTTAAAAATCCCTTACAGTGACTTTAATGTGAAGGGTTTATAAATAGACAGAGTAACTGATCAGGACAACCAATCAGGATGGTTAATGACGACATCAGTCCTCACACGGCTGATGTCACAATCATGGCACCTGACCATGAAATAGTAAACACTGTTGATTTTAATTTGTCTAAAAACAAATGTCAGTTTTCCAGAAGGACTCGTATGATTATAATGTTGCGGCCTCAGCAGATTATCTTACACAGAAAACAGTTATCTCTCCTGTGGTGTAATGATAGATATTTAATGGCTTTACTCTCCCTTTGGCCTGAGCCATAAACCAGCCAACTGTGGAATTAGTGGGCACGAAGCCCGACATTATAACAGTTAAATCTCAGACCACACACCTGCACAGATTACTGAAGCAGCCTGTAGCGGGCTTTTAAGTCCAGCCAGAGAAAAAGAGTGAATTTCTTTCATTCAGATTCAGAAACAGACTTCCTCTGAGGCAGGGTGGGAAGAAATGGAAGAAAAAAAAACACAGAAGTATGCTGAAGTGTTGGACAATGGCTGTCTGTGAACAATAACTGAAAAGGATGAAAAGAAATGAAGATGCGAAAGGAGATCTAAAGACGTAAACAGCAGTTTTTCCTCTTTTCTGAAACAGACTGAAACTCTCACTCGTGTTAAAGGATCTTTTAATCGTCTGTGTGTTAATTTGACTTAAACACTCCTGACTGAAGCCGATGAGAAGGGTCCTGTTGACGCTCATTAAGTAGGCCATAGGACACCGGGATGAATAGGAAACCTTATCCATCTCTACACTGGACCACACCTCTGTGGATCGAGTGTTTTTGTCTTATTCTTTCTAACAACTGGACTGAAAGAGAGACGGACAGGTTGGGAGGCAGGCTGGGCTCAAACTGCACTTCTGTTTGTTGCCGTGTAAATGTAAAACCAACAGATCATCAGTCAGTCTTTATTTACAGAGGACCAATTCATCACAACTGTTAGATGGAGACGCTTTACAAAAAGAGCAGATGTAGACTTTACTCTGTTTTATTATTTACAAAGACTCAAAAACCAGAAAACACTGGACTCATTCTGATCTGACATTAATCCACCATGAGTGAGACGCTTTCCAGCATCTGCAGACTCATGTTAGACATCCGCTGCTACTGTGTCAGAATCAATCAGTCAATCTTGTGTTTGTGTCATCCCAAGACTCTGAACAAAGAATCCAGTGTAGATCATCCTCTATTTACAAAGACCCGATGTAAGGATTAGATCCACTCCCATCCTATCTTCATCCACATGAGTGAAACATCGAGCAGAACTAGACTGATGTTAACCGTCATCTGCTGAGACTGAGCTGAGTTTAGAGAGGAGAGAGAGAGAGAGATGGACAGGGACAGACAACAACAGTTTGTACAGAGTGAAGGTCCTTACACACCGGGAATGACGCAAATATACGAAATATTCGGAGGCGAATTTTGCCGTGTCAGACTATACACATCAAGTACGATGCGATTTTGCAACTTTCAGGGGGGAAAAAGACGCGTCCCGGGTGGAAGCGAGAAGACTGACACAACAGACACTAGTGTAGAGATGACTGTCTGTCATGATAGCATGTACTGATTGAACATTGCTGATGTGAACGTTTGTATTGACAGGATACGGGTTGGGAAAAAAATTTTGATGTCCAAAATAATTGCTCGAAAAAAACGCTCGTGGTGTGTAAGGACCTTTATGGTTAGCACTGGGTGATAAACTGAAAATTTACCGATACTGAAATACGGAAATTTATGACAATAACCAGCGTCATTTTGCCCATATGGGTATATTTGGTGTAAAAAAAATGGATAAATAAAAGTTGGTTTTGGATGTGTGTAGGTAGGCTATGGTCTCATGTCTCTTTAAGACGCTGTCCTACGTCAGAGACGTGACTCCGCCCCATCCAGTCCGTAACAAAAGACAGGTGAGGAGATGGAGGACTGTTCAAAAGTTGTAGCGGCTGAAGTAGACGAAGTTAATGTGGGAGGGGAGGAGCAGCTCTTGGAGTAGTTATCGTCCGTTTATCGTTATCTGAGTGAACTGCTCAATATATCGTGATATTGATTTGAGGCCATATCACCCAACCCTACCTCTGACCAGCCTGGCTTCATAAGAGAGTCAGAAAAGCTCCAGCCTCAAAGCTCGCAGCTTCACTTGTTTTATCAGATTTTTTTATTCATTTACAAAGTGAAGCATTTTGAGTCCACTTGACTTTCTTCTCTTCGTGGGTCTTTAATTTCCTCGGTAAAGAAACATTCTGGTGTGTAACTCAGTCTGGTTTCATATTTCACACCCTACACTTCGTAAACTCCATGTGCTATCAAAGTGTATCATGTTAATAAGTGTTTTTGATTCCAGCACTGAGTTAATTAGCTGTTAGACTCAACTGCATATGCACCTCGACGTCACATCAGTGGCACTGACCTTCTCTTTTAACGCAACAAGAAAACTACCTGTAATAAGAGCACCGTGAGTTTAACACCCACGTCTGTCAGGCTCCTCATCATCAATGAGTAACAAAGGCCTCCTGTCGGACATATGTCGTCTTCAACCCACAAACAGAAGAAATAGTGATCGTCCTGTGATGACATAAGAGGAGATAAACGCTAAAAATATGATTCAGATTTGAGGCTTGGATGACAAAGCAGTTCTGTCGCTCCAATAAAGCTTTTGTTTCATGGAGACTCTCCCTAACCGCTCTCCATATGCTTGTTGTCCCACATGTGTCTCATTATGTGAATTATAGGTCAAACATAGGTGCTGTGACATCATGTGGGCACAGTATCATTAAGAGTCTGAGGTCAGCTCTTTGGAACGAAGGAGGCAAACGTCTTTGTGAAGCATCTTTGAAAAGAAAACCACATTTCTGCTGTGACACTGACCTCCTCACAGCGGCTAGTCTTTAAAAATCTCATATTGTTGTTTCTCCGTCTGGACTTCCACAGTGATATGTGGTGTACTCCTCTTCCTGTTCTTCTTCTCCAATCTGCTCTTTCATGCTGTGCTCTGACTATCTGTTCCCCAGACCCGTCAGACCAGCAGAGACGGACAGATCCTGAACCCTGACTCTCCTTTATCTGCTTATTCAGTTTTGATGTCATGCTGCAATATCTAAAACACATGTTTGCTCATGTCGTGCGACATTTAAAGGGCAGATTTGCCTGTTTTTGTAGAGATAACATGTGGTGGGCATGACAGACGAGTTTTCTGCATTTTATATGGTATAAAAGCGCAGCAGGACTCTGTACTTAAGACGCGGATTTCTCTGCCAAAACTGCAGATAAAAGCTCAAGATGATGTTCAAGAAAAAGCCTGTTTTGTGTTTGAGTTTTGCGGTTTGGAAAAGGCATGCTGTTGAGGTTTTGCAGATCCCTGCAGGGAGCTAAAAGCTTCTGTAGTCTGTTAAAACTTAGTGGTTTTATTGGTTCTTCCTCCTGAAACGAAATGTCAACGAAAGGCGGTAAAACAAAGAAGTGCACAAAGAATCTGACGAGGACAGACTCTGAGAAATCCCACAGACAGATCTGTTGTTGGACAGTATTTGGCTTGAAGGGAAGTAGATTTTTGAGCACAATGGTGGTGCTGGAGCAGAAACACCACATTAAGTAAAACCAGGACCCTGTGAGACAGTGATGGCAGCAAACGTCCGTCTACATGTCCCACAAAGGTCCAATCAAAGCCGGCGAGCCTCACCCAGCCTTTATCAATTAACCACCATATGACAGACCCACATCCGTCATGCCAACACTTTTAGTTCTGGGATTTTTTCTTCCTGCAGCGTGGAGAACAGGGTGGCAGAGGGCGGCGTGAGGTCAGGTTTCCACGGCAACTGTCAACCTTCAGCCCCCCTCCCCTCCGGCTGAACACCCTCTTTCATCGCCATGGCAGCGGAGAGGCCCTGTTTCCCGGGGGACGAGGGGAGTGAGGGAGGGAATGTGAGACGGCGAGAGGGAGGGAGAGGGCAAACAAGTTTTGTGAAAACACAGTAATCCAATATGGCCGCCATTGTGTCAGAGCTAACGGCGGCCAAAGCCTGCTCGTCTGTGAGAGGAGATACAGTCGTGTGATGATTAACCCCGGCTGAGGCCTGGAAGACGTGATGTGAGGACTCAGAGATGTAAGCGAGAAGGCTCAGCTCCGAGGGTTAATGTGTGTTAGATCATCCGCGTGGAGGATCAGAGCGGATCCTCAGGTTAATAAATACATCACAGACTCTTAATTCAGCCTCACTTCCTCAGTGTTCCTGTCCACTCTCGCATTAACTGAAGTTTGGGGCAGAGGTGAACAGCTGAGTCATTTTACCCCAACCAGGAAGAGACGATCAAAACAAGCTGAAATGTGACAGCATAATCGTTTTCCTTCTGGAAGAGCCGGATCAGACCAGTTTCTTCAGACTGAGGCGCTAAGAGACGATTATTCTGATGAAAGTGGAGAAAAAGTCAAAGTGAAAACTACACCAAAAGGGAAACTCATCAAAAGTTCCTTTTGGGAGTCAACATTGTCATGGCAACACTTATACGGACATGTTGTCATAGTTGCAGAATAAGGTAGATAGAAGGGTAGATAGAAGCCAATAAGATAACAAGATCAATTATCTCAGGAGTAAGGTTGACCTGCTCATCTTTGCGTATGGTGCGGAAAAAAGCAAAATCGGATGCCTGAAGAAAGATGGCTGCATCTGTGAAAGTTACTTGAGCACTTGCCTTGTATTCAGACAAGGTGATTTTGCTTTTTTCCGACTTGGTAACTGAGACGCTGGGAACTTGGGTGTGACAGCATTTTCAGCTCAGACATCTGACTACTAGATATAAGATTTAGTACCTCTATCTCCGCCTAAGTATTTATATGACCCATCTAGGTGTTATTTGTCTATTAATAAATAGGGTTGTCCCGATACAACTTTTATACTTTCGATACGATACCAATATTGTAGCCTTTGGTATTGGCCGATACAGATATTGAACCAGTATTAGCACAAAATTGTGCATGACACACGGTCACTAATATTGGATAATTTAGATGCAGGCCGATATGATTGGATAATCGTTTTTTTTGCTGATATCGGATTGATATCTGATATCAATATCGGATTGGGACATCCCTATTATTAAATTGAATGAGTGTTCATATGCACGTATTCTAATGTGTTATTTAATAAAGAGGTGGTTTGTAAAAAGAACTGTTTTCAAAGTGGTAACAGTATTATTGTGATGATTGTCGGAGTAGAGTTGTTGGGTATTTGTGACTAAAAATAGTCTTTGCAGAAGTTGCCGTCAGATTGAGGCGATTCTCAAAATAAGATCTGATCAGACTAATTTAATCTGATCAGACTGATTTAATCTGATCAGCTGTTGCTTAAAAGCCTCGATGAGAAGATGCAGAGATGCTATTTTGGTCTAAACGTTTTGTCTTTTCTGTGTGTTTCAGATCCCAGCCACTTCAGGTCCCCCCTGCTGCGACTCTCCTACCCACCATCCTCTCCCACCCCTCTTCTCCTCCTCTCTGACGCCTCCTCCCCCCCGCCTCCCCTTCTCCTGCTCCCTCCTCATCGGCCTCCAAGATAGATTCCCTCAGGAGTAAGGTTGACCTGCTCAAGCTGCCCCTCGCTCTCTCCACCAAGTCAATCTCCGAGCGCAAGAGCCAGCTGGGAGGAGTCTGCGAGCAACGCGGCACGGCGGGAGGAGGAGGAGGAGGCGGGGCTCGTAAAGCCCGCTCACCGCCGATCCGAGACATGGACAACGAGTCGCAGTACTCGGGCTATTCGTACAAATCCTCCCACTCAAGAAGCTCCCGAAAGCACAGGTAGATACAACGCAGGTGGTGTAAAAGATGCTGACACTTCTCTGTTTGTGTTAAACTATGGCGGCTAACTTCACACAGCGTGTTTGCCTGAGGATTAACAAGTCTTACACAGTGTTGACTTGTCTGCAGTTAGTTGCTTCCCACTCAACAAGAACCGTGGTCTTCTTCTGTTTAGTTTGAACTAGAGGATAACATCTGCTAACATCAGTTTGATCAGGTGTTAGCTCAAACTTGAAGTCCAAGTAATTTGTACCTTAATAGCATCATAAAGAACACGTCTGTGCTGACAGATTCAGTAGATAACCCCTCATATTGTCGTGTTTTGGTCTTGCAGGGATCGGAGGGACCGTCATCGCTCAAAGAGCAGAGACAGCAGCAGTCGTGGAGACAAATCAGTCACGATCCAGACTCCAGGAGAGCCTCTACTGGATGCAGAGTCGACCCGTGGAGATGACAGGGTCAGTCACACATATATTTGCTCAGGGTTGTGTTTAAATTTTTGTGTTAAAACCTGCAGAAATATGTGACTCTGTGCCTCTGTCTCTTTGTCTGACAGGATGATAACTGGGGTGAGACCACCACGGTCGTCACCGGGACCTCTGAACACAGTATCTCTAACGAGGACCTAACCCGCGTCACCAAAGACTTGGAGGAGTCCACTCCGCTGGAGTGCAAACGCTTTCTCGGCCCAGCTCTTGGGGGCTGCCTGAGTTTCTTCGCTCTGGTCACCCCCCTGGCCTTCCTCATCCTCCCTCAGGTCCTGTGGCGTGACGTCTTGGAGCCCTGCGGCACACCCTGCGAAGGCCTCTACGTCTCTCTGGCCTTCAAACTCCTGGTCCTGCTTATCTCCTCCTGGGCGCTGTTCCTCCGCCCACCCCGGGCCACGCTGCCCCGTTTCTTTGTGTTTCGCTGCCTGCTGATGGTTCTGGTGTTTCTGTTCGTGGCGTCGTACTGGTTGTTCTACGGCGTGCGGGTGCTGGAGCCCAAAGAGAGGGACTACAGGGGGATTGTGGAGTATGCGGCCTCGTTGGTGGACGCCCTCCTCTTCATACAGTACCTGGCTCTGGTGCTGCTGGAAGTGAGACACCTGCAGCCGGCATTCTGTCTGAAGGTGGTCCGGAGCACAGACGGGGCCAGCAAGTTCTACAATGTGGGACACCTCAGGTAAGACCTGATGGATGAGAAGTTCCGTTTGTAACAGGCCTTTGTTCACTCAGCAGCAGACATGGACTTGGTTTGGTCGTGATGTTCGGCTCTCTGTGTTTCAGTATCCAGCGGGCAGCCGTCTGGGTGTTGGATCGGTATTACAGCGACTTCCCCGTCTACAACCCGGCTCTGCTCAACCTGCCCAAGTCCATCCTGTCCAAGAAGATGACGGGCTTCAAGGTTTACTCTCTGGATGGTAAATACAGCCTCTCACAGCTATGAATCAGGTGTCCTTGATCGTGTTAACTCCATCAGTAGCACGTCTACAGCTTAGTTTTCTTTTCTTTTTGTTTTGTCTTGTAGAAAACACGACAAATAACTCCACAGGACAGTCCCGGGCCATGATAGCAGCCGCTGCCCGGAGGAGAGACAACTCCCACAATGAGTTTTATTACGAGGAGTGCGAGATGGACCGCAGGGTCCGCAAACGCAAGGCCAGGTCAGAGATATTCCTCCTTCTCTCTCTCTTTAGGAAGTACCTGATACTCTCTCTCAACAGGGAGTTCATTGTGTGAGGTGTGACAGCGAGAGCAGCAGACGCACAAATAAACGTGAACACGACTCAGACAATGAAAATGCACAGAGTGAGAAACTCGCAGACAACAAGTCGTCTTTGTGTCGAGCACAAAGAGAAGATTTAGCTCCACTTGAGTCATGGAAACCTGTGACCTGAGACTGAACACTCAGCGTAACGTGGTTTTTGTCTCAAACTAATGCAGACATCATCTATCAGGAATTTATTACAAGATGCTGTCCTCAGGGGTGAACTTTTGACCTTCTGCTCTCCTGCCTCCTCGTCTATGTGAGAACAGTTTGTGTTTGTTTGTAAGTGGAAACTAGCAGGTAACAAACAACAAACAAATCTATCTTATTTAAGAGCTACACAACCAGAGAAATCTGTCTTGGGGATGTTGGCAACTCTTTTACTTGTTCTTATCCTTTTTTGACATATTTTGCTGCTTGAGTTACTCAAACTTCTGTTAATTGATGGAGCTGTTAACGACAATAGTGATGCATCTTTAAAGCAAACGAGACCAGGAGCAAGAATTTCTCAGCTGTAACTTTTAAAGTCTTAAGCTGCTGGGGGGGGGTCTGACCAGATGATTGACAGCTTGCAAATACTCACAGTGAGTGATGCACTTCAATGTTGACAGACGACAGGGTGAGGATTTTGTCTACTTTCACATCTTCATGACAGGAGATGAGGTGCCTCTTTTTGACCACAGGGGGGCGCCAGATCCTACAGATCAAGGTTTTTTACAGCAGCTTTAACCAATTGCAGCAATGCAATTAAACAGCCGAGTATCATGTTTTTTCATGTTTTGTGAAGAAGTTAAAATATTACATTAATTCAAAACATGGGAAAAGTTTCAAATTGTGACTGAAGACGAGGGTAAGAGTGTCAGCTGCTTTAAAAAACTTCACTAGTTCAGTTCAGACAAGTGTATTTATCCTAAAGGAGGCGTTTTTGTCAGTTTACTCAGACCATACTGTATATATATTTATACTAAATTTACAAACAACATTACAGATACATGTCAGAGACAGCCAATAGATAAACGGTAAATTGGCAGAGATGTCTGCTTCAAGCAATGACACACAGAAGGAGTAGGTAAATTTTTGTCTTAAACTTTATGGGCCAGATTTGGGGTCAGAAAACATGTGGCCTTGTTTCATAATTAAACAGAGAAAGTGATTTCGGACCCCCTCGAAAACAAGATGGTGCATCACAAGTGGCTATCCTAAATAAACTGAATTGAATTGAATTAACTTATTATGACTTTGTGGCACGACAACAGTGGAGGAGGCTTCTGGAGTGCAGCAGCAGTGGCTAAAATTCAGTGTCCTAGACAGAGGCTAAAATGATGCCAAATCATGTAAAGCTGCTACAAGGCCATCAGTAATGAGCATTTTACCTCCTCTCTAAAGGAAATGTTTGAGAGAGGTTTTGGATCTGCCTGCAGCACAGAGTTTCTAAGTTGTTTCAGAGAACTAGTTCATGCACAACACACTGAAATTTAGCTTGAAATTCTTCCAACTTCTCATTTGTCTGTGAGCAAAACATGCAAAAGTTTAATCCGGTAAAAAAGAAATGAAATTGACTGTTTGTGTGAATTGTTGAAGCTGATCGAACAAAACATCTGACTGTCAAGACAAATGTTTCTAAAAACCTAAAAAGAATCTCTGAAAATGGGTCGAGTTTCTGCTCAGTAAGAACCTCACAGCTGACGGCGTCTATCTTCTATCTTCTTTTCAAACTCTCTTTAGGTTGGTCGTGGCGGTGGAGGAGGCCTTCACACACATCAAACGTCTCCACGAAGAAGAGGTCGCCTCGTCCCCCAAACACCCGAGAGAGGTGATGGATCCCCGGGAGGCAGCCCAGGCTATCTTTGCCTCGATGGCCCGAGCCATGCAGAAATACCTGAGGACCACCAGGCAGCAGGCTTTCCACAGCATGGAGAGCATCCTCACACACCTGCAGTTCTGCATCACACACAACATGACGCCCAAGGTGAGGAGATCAGAGGAGCTTAGTTACTCCTCCATGGAGATCTTCAGGACCTCTTCAAAATGAGTCCCATGTCTTTAACCGCCTCCATTCTTCCTCTCAGGCGTTCCTGGAGCGGTACCTCACCCCTGGCCCCACCATGCAATACCAGCAGCAGAACGGCAGAGGGCGCCAGTGGACCTTAGTGAGCGAGGAGCCGGTGACCTCATCCCTGCGCCAGGGTCTTGTCTTCTCCCTGAGACGCCTCGATTTCTCCCTGGTGGTCACGGTGACGCCGCTCCCCTTCCTGCGGCTCGGAGAGGAGTTCATCGACCCAAAGAGCCACAAGTTCGTCATGAGGCTGCAGTCAGAGACCTCGGTGTAAAAAAAAAAAAAGATGGTGTCCCTCGCTCTGGATGGATCTCACTCCTGTGGTGGGACATGCGGAGGCCACACGGTCCTTCAAAACTCAATAATGTCTGTCTGATGACATAAAACCCTCGACAGGAGAGGGGCGTGCGAATAACCCTTTACAGACACTCTGATATCAGATCAGCTCGATGATTGTCCACACCTGGATTAAACGGATGCCTTCACTTTTTCTTTTTGTGTTTTTACAACACGATGTTAAAAAAAAAATACACATTTTCCTGAAGGGGGATTTTTCTCTTTTTGCTGTAACCACTGGACTACATTACTGTGCTGAATCGACACATGAACACCAGAGGAGGGGAGACTACGACGTGTGTCACTTCCTCTTTCTGGTGTTTTGAAACAGACCTGATCACTGATGTACCACTGCCGCTCAGCTCCCTGTCAGTGTGACGTTTTCAGACCACAAGGGCGATTTTTACCTGAACTGGTGTGACGTTTTTATTTGTACTTACAGAATGTAGCATCATGTGCTTTGAATTCACACGTGGCTTTTCTGCAGCCTGAAGGCCAAAACGACTTTTTATTTCACTGTAGAGAAACACGGAGGAACATCCCTGTGCTGATTTTACTTCAAGTGTTTTTATATTCATGACTCTCAGCTTTTGGTTTAACAGTTTCAGCAAGAAGACTGAACAAAGACCTCATTTACACCTGGTATTAAATCACACATCAAATCTTGACCTTTAAATCCTGACAAAATCCTGACAATCCTGCTGACGATAGAGTAATAAACTGAAAATACTGATACACACAAAGTTGTTTAAGAAAGAAAATAGCTGCGAAAACACGACATGTAAATACATGAAACTGTCTCTCCAGTCTCCATATAAGTATCCAATCATAGGGAAGTGCTACCAACCACAGAGGTTAACTACCAGGATGGCACAAACCGACGTCTATAAAAAGCTCTGTACACCTGGAACGCAACTTTAGTCCCTCTAAACCAGACCCAGTCTTATCCACCGGTGTAACTTATATTCCAGACTTTACGGTAATCTTCTTAAAATCTAAAAAGACTTTGAAAGAAAATGTTCAAAATCTAAATTTAAAGAACCTAAATAAATAAATACATCTGCTTCATTGATTTACAAATAATGTTACTTGGGGTGGCCAGTTACTTTTCAAGGGGGGTGCCACCTCCTGGATCCGCCCCTGCAGATTGCAAAGTATCTCTATTCATGTAATTGGAAGATTTCAAAAACCTCCAAGAGAGGCTTTAAAAGGTCAAATCATATCAGAGAAAAAAGTAGAAGATAGGATTAAAATCATAGATCAGCTCTTTAAAATCTGTACATTTATATTCAATCCTAAATGAGTAGACAGTTTATAATGATCAGGGTTATTCCTACTATAATATCTCCTGTCTGTACCAGGTGTAAATGGGGTTTTCTTCTGTCTTCTCCAGGATTTTTATCAAACTTCTCACAAACTGGCAGCTTTAGTCAAACTATCAGCTGACTTTTATTTTCACTCTCACTGTTTTTATGCTTCTTAAGTAAAGACGTGTGATTGTACCTCCTCTCTGCAGCTCCTCTGCAGCAGTAGCGTCTCACCGCCTCGCCTTGCGCCCTCAACAGTGACCTTGCTGCCTCTATCCTAACACGGCCTTACTCCACACCTAAGGAAGACTCCTCCTTTCTAAACTTACTGTACGGCTGAAACTCGCCTGAAGTTGAGACTTGAGCCCCTCACAACCCGACTCACGTAAAATCTGATCTGGAAAATCTCCAAACCACACGGTCTGATGTTTCATTTGAGAGATGTTTTTTTTTTTTAAATGCATGCTAGAGGTGATTCAGGCTCACACACTTTTTGTAATAACTTGTTTTCTATCATTTTGAAGGTGCCTAAGTTATGACGATGCAATTTTTCTGAATGTTTTTACTTTGGAGAACTAAGTGGCTTGTAAAAAAAATTGTAGATTTGTCATGTATTTTTTCTGCTTTTGGTAACTGTAGTTTGTATAGTGTGTTAGGCATTTTTGCATTATTAAACCAGTTATTCCTTACATGTTCGGTGTGTTTTGGTTGTTTATTTTTGGAGCCGTGGGAAAACGTAGCAGACGCAGAAGCTGGTTTAAGATTTCTTTTCCGCTCTTGTGACAAACTTTTTAGGTTTCTATTTTCATCAGCGTGTCTCTTTGGATGTAGAAAGATGTCACCAAAGTGAGGTGAAGTTTTAAAGAAGTGCTTCAGAGGAACTTCAGAGGAGGGAGGATGGCTTTGTGGGGAGGCGTGTGGTTTCACAGCTTCAAAAACGGACAGAGAGCCCCGGACTTCCTGTTAGCTGCTCTGTCACGAAGCTCGCTGCTGAGGTCTCTCTCTGACTTGAAGGAACAACTAACCAGACGGCCCCCCTCCCCTCTCCTTCTCATCTCCTCTGCAGCCCCCCGGTAAGATGCGGGCTCTGGTCTTTGCTGCCTTTCTGATGATCAATCCCACCTGCACCGGTGAGGAGGAGAAAATCCTGCTTTGAGCTCCGTTTGAGGGGCGATTTCTAAGATTTCTCTCGCAGCTTTGGTTAGACCGTGTCGAGATAAAATCGCACGCAGATTAATCTCAGAGATGAGAATCCTCTTTGTGGATGATCGAGACTCAGATTTTCTCTTTTCTGTTTTCAGAGGCCACTGGAGACATGAACTACTGTTACATCTTGGATGGGATTCTCATCCTGTACGGGATCATTCTGACTATTTTATACTGCCAGCTGAGGGTGAGACAAACAGGAACAACACGCACATCGCCATGACTGAGTATCAAAAACAAGCGAGAAGTGTTTCCTACTGCTTTAGAAATGTTTTCAGAGCTTTAAAGTAAAGTTATTTATCGCTCGTATAGAAGTTTTGTTCAAAAAAGGACAAAAAAAGTGACGCTAAACTCCTTCGATATTGTCCAAAATTTGTTATTTAATACTTATATATAATATATAATATATATAATATAATATTTATCAAATTTTAGAGCTGAGCTGACATTTCTGCATCCTTGCCAGTTAAAAACACCAAAACCAGACTCACCGCAGTATTTGTCTGTGATATCTCGCGCAGATTAAGATTGTGAAAGTTCTCTGCTCTATTTTCACAGATGGGTAAGAGCAAGAAGGCAGCTGCTCTAAACCCTGAGGTAAGACAAAGCTGTTTATTTCACTTACTGTAAATAAAAACCAGCTAAGACACGTTTTTGTGAACAGAAAAGTTGCTCTTGGCTTCACATTACTCGTAGGTGCTGCTTCTATTTTAAATCCTCCTCAGTTTGTTGTTTCCTGTAAGCTTAGCTGACCACCAACCTACATTTTTGTCTACACTCAGAGTTTCCACAGGAGTTTTTGCTTCACACATAACAAATGTGTCAGTTCGACTTCCTGCTGAATGAACACGCGAGTAAAGTGACATCAAATTCAGATGAAGAGCGAAAATGACAACATCTGTTTAATCACACTTAAAGAGAAAGGAGAAGAAGAAGAAGAAGGGATGTGAATGTCTGTTTATTTAGAGGTGTCTCTGAATCATTGGTAATTCTTTGAACCTTTTCCTCCCACAGAAGAAGCCGGCGGAGGGAGGCATCTATGCGGTGAGACTTCTTATCAATCTTATGTTTAAACAGACTTTAAAAAAGTCTCATGTTGGGAAAATGACAGTTTACCAAACAGCAAACTTTCCCGAAAGTTTAAGACTGAAAAATCTCACTTTATCATGATCTTACTCTCTTTGTATGTGTGTGTGCTGCAGGGTCTGACCACTAAGAGCTCTGACGTGTACGAGACCATCAAGACGGATAAAAAGCCGGTTTTCTGATCGGAGATGATTCAGCACAGAGGGGACACGGAGCAGAAAATCTGCCTCCAGCCTCCTTAACTGTAAATGAAATATGTTTGTATGTTTGCCTGTAACATCTACACGTGAATTTTCCTCCTTTTGTATAAAGAAATCAGCTTCTATTTAAACGTTTGAACCGTGCTTTTCTGAAACTTTATCTAACATTTAACAGCAAATACTATCAGCTATCTGCGTGAGATACTCGTCTGTGTTTCATAACTCGTTTTGCACAAGCATCGAAGAAAACAGAAGTTTAAATTTGTCCTCTGGTTTTGGTTGTGTGTTCCTTTTTGGTTAACTCGAGAGACGCTTATTCTTATAAACACGTCGGTAAGGGTGCAACATCATGTGCTCTTATTTTTAGATAACTTTACGTGACTGAAAGATTTTTTGTTTTTAAAAAGGAGTCTCACTCTTCATTTCACTGTAACTTTCTTTTTGCAATCCAAGAGATAAGTCAGCTTTACTTTACAAAGTCTTGTATATAATCACACATTTTTAATAAACATATATCCTTTAGTTGACTTGGTTGTACATTGCTTTAATTTCTGAGCAGGTTACGCTGTTAAAAAGTGTCAAAAACAAGTTTAAAGCAAAAATATCCGTCATTTTGAAGAACAGTTTCTCAATCTCAGAATTATGCACAAAAACATTGTTTGTTTGCTTTATCATAGGTGACTGTGATATTGTAACATTAAACTTTTATGTTTCTTCTGAATTTTATCTGAAATAAACATCAACTTCAACAACATTTCTGTGTCTTTGTTTTGAGCTTTCAGGCAGCAAGTATGACTTTTTAACAGAGGAAACTGAACTTCTTCAGCACCAGAGGGCAATCACACGCTTTGACTGTGCAAATAAAACCCTGCTGTTCTCTCCGTGTGCGACAGCTGATCCTCACCCAGAGTCTCACCCCTTTATTGACACAGAAACACGACTGGAAATGTCATCAAAACACTCCGAGTGTGATCTGTTTCCCCTGGAGGCCGTTGGAAATGACAGAAACTCACTCACCCAGCTGTCTGTTGCGACAGAACAACCAAAAGTTATGAAACAGGAAAGGTTCAAGGACTATAATGAAGGTGGGGTGGATTTTAACATTGATATTGTTGCCCTTTACCGTGGGATTGTTGCAGTGTCATTTATTTCCTCTTCTGTGGAAACATCCTGTTTAGTGTGATTTGACTGTTACTGCGACTATTTTTGTGAATCTATTTTCTCCAAGTAGAGGGTGTCCCGGAAAATATGATGATTTCTCTGCTGAAAGAGGATCCTGGCAGGCTTTTTATAACTTTATTTGCTGAAAGAGAACTTAAACTTTGGGCACAAGAAGGCATAAAGTCCTGTTTTAAGAAGAACATTACATAAAGTCAACTTTATCCCTTTTTTCTCCTGAGCAGCCCCTATATGAGCTCAAAAACATACTTTTTTTCCACAGAAAGCCCACTCCATGTTATTTTTTTGTCAGGACAGGAATCACTTGAAGCAGCAGACCATACAACTTGCTAACGTGTGCTAACGGTGGAGTTTGAGTTGAAAAGCTAGATTCGTATTCTAATATCCAAGAAATCTCAGTAATTATATTTTCAGTTTCACACACACTAAACACACTATATGACCACGTGACAGGGACCTGTGCAATCAGTCTGTGCAGGAATGCAAATAAGAACATCTGATAGGTTCAAGTCCGACTGGGAAATTCAAGACTTCTAATGTGGGATCTGTAATTTACCACCGTGAGATGTGTGTTTAACCGGCAAAACCACTACTGCACAATACATTTAGGGAAAAATATACTGTAGCTTAGATAACAGTGTTTTTGTTTAATTTAAAAGCAATAAATGACAAATGCAGCAGTTTTGGGGAGTTCATGAGCTTGTATTTTGTAGTTTCGATGTTTCTGGTGTACTCTGTTGACTGTTCAAAGCAGTGATGGGCACGGCAGTTCTTTTAGATGTACTGAATCACTAGAATCAGTTCACTGAAAAGATTTGTTCAAAATTTTTTTCACCAAATCACTGATTCATTTACCGGGAGAAGCCTGCGACTCCAACCTCCTGAACTGATACACAGCTGAACGTTTCAGGATTCGTTTCAGATCATAGCTTCTGGGAGCCGGAGATGAGAGTGTTTGACTGTGTTGCTTTGGCAAACAGGTTTGTAAAAATGAACTTGTTTATTTGTCATGATGTTTTAAGTGTACTGTCCTATGGTATGCTATTTACCAGGTCTGCTCGGTAAATTGGGCTCAGTGAGTGATTTGTTCTCTGAACTTTCAGAAGAATTCACACTGAACATGCGGCGTTCCCTCACAAACCGCTGCAATGATAGGATGCTGCGGGGATAATGCACTATTTGTTACATGCTGTGTCCTATTGTATGAAAGTTGTTGTGGTGGCAATTTAGCAGTGAAAAAAAGGTAGTTTTGTCTGACAAAAATGATTACAGAGAGTGTAGTTCAATGCATAATTCGTTCACCAAGTGATTCAGGGGTCGGTGCGTGTGGTCCCTCGTTCGCCGGCTGCTCAACTACAATGAGGATCAAACGAATCACTCGAGGAAATGATTCGGTTCACTACATTCACTGAAAAGATTCGGTTCTTTTGAACGTATGTCCGCGAACGACAAAACACTAGTTGACTGTTGAGGCAGGAAACCATTGGAAACTATGAAGAAATTATATTTCATCATAAAGCTGACTAAAAGTATCATTTTTATTTTCTTAAGAGTGTCTAAGATTAGTGTTTTTAAGAGCACTTTAAAAGGCAACAGAAACCAAAGTGTCACCAAAAACGGTTTACTTTATTACTTTTTATTTTAGATTCAGTTTTTCCATGCTAATAATAGGCTAACTCTTTTCTCTATATGTGTTTTCCTTATTCTTTTAAAACTGATATTAGTTCAAAATTGTTTAAAAAATGATTGCTGACATTTGTTTAAATTAATATATAGTCAATTAGATTTAATTAAATCTGGATGTCGAACAGAAGGAGAGCTGCTTTTTATTTCCTGGTATTAAAAGAAGAAATGGACTTCTCAAACTTTTAAAAACAGTCTCCTGTGTTAGAAAACCTGAGTCTTTTACTTTTATTCCTTTTTATTTTAAGGCCGCGGTCGCCTAAAAGCTAAAACAAACCGTAACGCTAAAATGGCGTCCGTGAACGCATCGTGGGCGTTCCCATCGGGGGCAGTGGGCGGTGCTTTGACAGCACAGGTGTAGCTCCAACCTGTGGAGTGGGTTCTCCGGACTGTGCGTGACAAACGGGACAGGTTTCTGTTTGACTAATGCTCGGTTTATTTTCTCTTTTCAGAGTTAGCTTAAGTCACTTTGAGTCTCTCCGTTTGTTTGTTTACTCGGACTTTCTCCGCTCCGTCTCTCCTCCAGCTGCTGAACACCTCAGTTTGCTCCCAGTATGCAGTTTCTAACCTGCACTAACTTATATTCAGCACGTATTAGTTGACAGCAGTGTTGTGTTTAATTTTGGGGGCATTTAATGAGAGATTTGGAGGATACACACCTGTTGCACCCGCCTGCATGCAGACCCCCAGTGGACTTGATCCAGAAACCGAGGATGAAAGCCTGAAAAAAACCAACAAATTCAAGAAAAATTGAAAGAAGTTCAATCAGACCAGCTTTAAACTCTGGACTCAAGATGGAGCGGATCGAGCAAAGTGCGAAGTGTTTCCCTCTGCTTTTACTAATTGGTGAGTTTCCAGTTACATGAATTTACATGACAATTCACTGTTTGATAAAACAGCCTAACTTACTGTCACTGTGAGACCCTTACAGCGCCTTTGGGTGCTACTTCTTTAAGCTGTGATGATCAAAATGTCAAAAACTGAGTGTAATTTGAATTTTAACCTCATTATGATGCTTGAAAACAGTCATTAATGATAGCTTCTGTTTAAATACTGTTGTCTGCACCTAAACTACATGACCCAGAGTATGTGGACACCCCTGATTTCTAATCCACATGTTGTCCCCAGAGACAAAAGTGTACTTTTATACCACTCTTATATCCCTCTGTCTTCTATAGCAGTATGATCACCCTCTGTTCTCAAAAGTATGTGGACACTCCTGATGGAAAGTAAACATCAGTGTATTTTTATTTGCACGGTGGACAAATGGCTAAACATTTCAGGTGTTGTTCAACTTTTACACACTACACTCTTCAGCCACAGGTAGTCCAGACTCCAGAGTGTGTATTCTTGAATCTCAGGTGATCATGAGTGCTTTTAAAGGCTCCTTTCTTCCTGCAAATGGAAAGCTAAGTGCTGCAGTCGACCTCTGAAGCCAAAGTATGTGAACACTTAGGATCCTGTGCATGTGTCTCATTGTCTCAATGTGTGTGTGTCACTCGTCAAAGTACCGGCTGTTATGGCTGTTGAGTTTTGGACGACCAGGTGCATTGTTACACCTGTCTTCGTCAGTTTTGTCATGATTTGATCCAGCAAAGAGAAACTAGATACTTGTCCTGCCTGTAATTGCGCGATCTTGGCAAAAGTCAGTGGACAATCCTGATTTTGTTCATGTGTGCTCGTGTATTTTCTTTGTTTTTATTTATTTAAATCCAATTATTCAAAGGCCCACATGTCTGGTCGATCGTTTTACGACACCTTGAAGCATTTTATTCAATAAAGGAAAGACCTTAACAAATCTGAATTGTTGGGTTTATCTAAGAAAGGACCATTTTCTTGCACACAAAACCTTCTGCATAAAAGAAATGTTATCTCTGGTTATGTGTGAAGAGCATGCACACAGTCCAGACCCCTCTTACACACCTTTGCGTACTGAAAAAATATCAACAAATTGAGCTGAATTTGACACATTTTTGCATCCATGGTCAGAAATTTTGTGGAAGTTGCAGATGCTTTAAGAAACAAGAAGTTCAGGCTGTACAGACTTTAAGCTGTCCACATCCTTTTGACCCCACGGCAGGTCTGTTTGTCCCTGCAGGTGTGGAGGAGGAAGAAACAGCATAACAGAATGCAGCTCCGTCGCATTCTTACTTTGTCGTGAACGTGAATCACGACTTGTTGCCCAACCTGCGTCTTCCTGTTTTTTTGTGACTAATTCTGCCGCTGCTTTTGTTTCCTTCCTCGGTGGAGATTAAACTCTCGACAAAACTGGAGCAGTCTGATGCTCCAATTAAAAGAGCAAACGCGTGTTTCAGACTGTTATTTTTCCTCCTCCACCTGTAACCACAGGCATGATTGAGTTACTGTCGTCCTGAGTGAACAGGAAAAGCTTGTATGGCGGCCTTGTGACGCTCAGGTGAACCCGTGTTTGTCTTAAGTGTGTGTGAAGTGTTTAACTCTTTCTATTTGGTGTTTGTCTCTCTAAACTCACTCTCTCTCTCTTCTGTCTTTCTCTTTTTCCTCTCAAACTCCCCTTCTCCCTCGGTCCCTCTGCTTATTTAGGTCACTATCACTGTGGCTCTTTGTCACTGAAAGTAAACCCCTGTCTTCTCTATCTTTGTGTCCTTGCTTTGACGGCGTCCGATTCTCATCTGTGGGAGCCCGGCCTGAAGTCTAATCATTGATGAAGCTCATGAATCAGTAACCATGAAGGAAAAAAAACGGTGTTAACCCCAGATACCAAAGGGCAAATGTTTAGTTTTTCCTCTTACGACCTTTTCACTCATGTTTGCGCGTCTGTCCCACGCTGGGTCGAGGACTTTTCCACCAGGTGTGATAAAAGTACACTCAGTCTTAGTCATTCCAGTCGGCACTGATGATTGAGCGAAGGCGGCTCACTGATTTGAGGCCGTAAAAAAAGACAAAATAAACACGTGGAACTTGAGCTCTAATAAAAATCATCTCATCACGCCCTCATGCCGATATTCTTTTTACGATAAGTCACACTTAAAGCCCACTGTAATGCTGCTAATGTCCCCTGAAACTTGACATAGATGGGGATGGACGTGCAAGAAGAGCAAGGAGTTATCAAGCTAGTCCCTCATCTCAAAATACAACACCACTGTATCTATGTTGAACATGTCATGCACCAGTGTTACAGACTGTCAGGCAGCCACAGGTGGAGAGAGGAGAGCAGGGAGAGGAGCAGGAGGAGGCAGGAGTGTTTATTTGTGCGCGCCTGAAAAGCCAAAGGACAGAATGAGCACGAAGAGAGAGGCTGTACGATCACAAACGTGCATGAGCATCAATGAGACAGTGTAATAAAAGTCAAGCACAAGTCTTGACGTTATACAGATGGAGACGATTAAATCGGCCAATTTTAGCCCGTTTGAGACTAATCGCAATCAGCCAAAACTCGCCGATTTTCGCTGATATTTTCAGAAATAAAATGAGGAGAATAAGATTCGGTTTCACTTTGAAAATGTTCTGCCATTCGAAAAGATCCCCCGACTTATCCTGTAGATGGCACAGCGACCTCATGACAATCTTCATCCACTAACTACCTCACAGCACAGCAGAGTGACGATCTGAAGCAGGCAGCTCAGTAGTTGAAAACGCTTTTCTGGTCCGAGTTTGATCAGTCGGTCTTCCCGTCAGCATGAAGAGCAGTAACCTAAAGTATATCTACAGTATATATATATTTTATATAACTCCATATCGGTCGGGCCCTAGTTTTCAATGATGCAGTTAAAAAATATGTTACTACAAGAGAAATCTGACATTTGATTTAGTCAGTTTTAAAACTAAAATTCAGCCAAAACTCTTTAAGTGAAGTGAAGAAGTGATTCAGTAAAAGCCTTATTCGTATAATCTATTAAACATTTATATCAGAGCACAGGTAGACAAAAGGTTTATGCACCCCACACCACACCCCACACATGCAGATGGCCTCAGTTTGATCCCACCCTGTGTCCTCTGTTCTGCATCTCCCCCCATGCTCTCTCTCTCCTGTTTTCTGTTCTACTGTTTTCTTTGAGAGTTTTTAAGTTTTAAAGGTACAAAAATAATCTGAAAATTACAACCAAATCCTTTCCAGTTTTAAAAAACCTGATATAACTCCATCTCTTGATTTAAATTCCCCGATAAAGCATCAAATCTCTCCTCTTGCTCTTTCTCGGCACGTTTCTCCACCATAAAAGACAGATTTCTGCTTTCAAAGAAAGTATTAGAGCACTATTGTTAAAACTGTTAGTGGTATCAGCCTGCAGCGTGAACCTTTGTGTGTCTGTGTCAACACACAAGCAGGACAGGATAGTCGGAGCGGTGTCTGCCCGTAGGTGAGAATGTTATTGTCTGTCTGCAAACAAACCTGTCTGGAGTTTACTAAACTGCTGGCCTGATGCATCGTGGGATGAGGTTAAGTCCTGTCGGATATGAAACAATATGAGGAGAGTGAAAACGGTAAAAAAGAGCTGTTTGGAAGTGAATAGAGAGAATAAAATCTGATATCATGTCTGTAAACATGACATCTATAATCACTGACATTTAAAAATATAGATCAACAACAGTTTAGGGTGTTTTGTTTATGGCCTTGATTGATTAAAATAGTGCGTGGTGTCCCCCAGGGCTCTACCCGAGGACCACTGTAATTTACAATTTATATCAACAGTATTGGTCATCATGTATAGGTCATCTATGTGACTTACAAGATACTTTGGACACCTTTTATGAGTTGAATTCTGATAAACCAAGGCTCATAATGCTGCTTCTTCGATGTTCCTGGTTTATTGTGGTGATGTTTTATAAATGCATGCATCATCTTGATGCCTTCACTCTCTGGATTCTGTTTACCTTGGAGCTCTGAGGTTCATTTAGACCAAAACACTGTACGCTCCAGTTGTTCAGCCTCTGCTGTCTACCCACAAACTAGAATGCTACCAAAACCTAGTTTAGATTTACGTGTGGATATGTTCCTGTACGATTGATAAATAATCATGATAATGACAATCAGTCAACCGTCTCCCTCTCTCTTCCTCCCTTTCCTCAGCTGTAAGTGTGCAGAGTGTGTTTGTGGAGCCTCCTAAACCCGTCACCTCCTTGCGCTCCATGGCTGAGAGTCAGACCAGACTTCCCTGTCGCTACCAGGTGCAGGTCGGGGAGAAGGTGGTGCAGGTCACATGGTACAAGGAGCTCCCAGGCGGCAGCAAAGAGCAGATCATCACAGCTCACTTTACAGACGGGCACACAGGTGAGCTGCAGTTATATAAGCCAGAACATGGCATCAATACTGCTGTAGTTAACAGATTAAAGATGCAATTTCACGTCTTCATACTTTACAATTAAAAGAGCTTAAAGTCAAACAGTCGTTTATATTCATGCAGAGAATGAGCGTCAGAACCAAACGTCACCGGTCACACCTTTCATTCATCTAATTATTATTACGTCAGATGACAAAGCGATCAAGGCCTGGTCATATTTTGGTTTGCTTTCTTTTTTATTTCTACTTTATTTATCTCAAACTTTAAGAACAACAAAAAAAAAAACAAGAAACAAAAACACCAAACAAAATAATACATATGTAGACCAAACAACTTGCATGTCAAAGATAAATTAACACAACATATGTATGTCAAAGTAAACAGTTCGAGAAGGAACAGAATGAAGGATTTTTTTTTGTTAGTTTACTTATATAAATCTTTTAATACTTCTATAGTTGGTTTAAATATTTTTATGTTATTATACATGTTACTTTCAAACCTTTATTTCAGCTCTTCAACAATGACAAATACATATTATTGAACATGGGGTAGCTACGTTCATTTAAGAGGAATCAAGACTTTGCAAAAGAAAGAAAAGAAAAACCAAAATTCATAGTCAGGTACAAAAATACATAAGTTACAATGTGAATTAGGACATGGGGATCATACATTCATGACATATCATAGAGAGGACCTCAAGGCTTCGTAGGAAGTCATAGTTTGAATCACTTTCTTAGTCCAGTTAGTGTTTTAAATAAATCTTCATTTCATTTTTAAAATGGTGGATATTTAGTTTCTTTTTAGACCATTTACATTTGTAAATATAAAATTTTCCATACAAAGTAAAAAGGTTTAACAAAGAAATATGACTCCGGTCCATGTTCTTGTTTTCAAAATAAATAAATAGTATCTCTCTTTTGCAGGTTTATCTTACATCCAGACGATTCAGATAAACTTTCAATCTCAATCAAAAAAAATTTAACATGCATACAGTCAAAAAATAATGTACAATTATTTCTTTTTCAACGGTACAAAATACACGAGAGTCCAAGATATCAGATCAATATTTTTTAAGGAAGTGGTTAGTTGGATAGATTAAGTGAATCATTTTAAAATAAACCTCAGTTACTTTATTGTTGATCAAATATATTTTCTGTTAAATCCATACATTCCATCAGAAAGACCATTCTAAAAACTTTTGGCACATATTTTGGTTCATGGCAACTCTACAGCGTGTTAAAATGACGTCACAGCTCAGGCCTGTGCAGCTCTGTATTGGAGTTATTCACCTGAGTTTGAGCGTCACTGGATAAATGCTGCTTTGTTTCTTTCCTGCTGCGTCATAACATATGACCCTGAGCTAATTATTTTCCCGTCTTTGTTTTGTGGTTAAAAGTGTAATTCATGTGTGTAGATTTGTGAGGGATAATGGCTTTCTTTGCTTTGTTGTGTCAGAGTTTGGGCGTTACTCCGGCCGGGTGAGGTTCGAGGGCGGGAGGCCCACAGAGAACTCGGCTCTGCTCATCCCCAGCACCGAGCAGTCGGACGAGGGGAGCTACACCTGCCACATCTCCACCTTCCCCAACGGGAACTTTGAGCGACAGATCACGCTCACCGTCTGGAGTAAGAGTTCTGCTTCTTCCTTCTCGTACACACCTTCTTAATCCTGTCAGAGCTGCAGTAATGATGTCTAGACTGTAATCATCTCCATTGAAGGCACTGCCAACCAGGGGGTGAGCTGCAGGTTTGCCGACGTGGCCATGAACACTCAGTAATGGGGGTATTTTAGGGTTTTAGAGTGAAAAAGGGGGCCTCAGAGCAGTTTTGATGCAGCAGCAGGTAACACAAAATCATCAACAAAAAGATGATTTCCCAGCATGCATGAGGCGTTTTGGTGATGCAGTGGTAAGATAACATCACAGCTGTCAAACTCCTGAGCTGATTTATGTCAAAGCAGCAGGTGCAGCAAACAGTTTCAAGCCACAAGTTTACCAATTTTTGATGCATTACAATTACATTTCATCTCTTTTGCAAAAGAATCACTGATTTGCACCCAAGCCCTCGATCCTGAGACTTCCTGAGTACTTCTGGAGAAATGCCCTTGCAGTTAAACAAGTCTGTTCAGTTACGACTCTCTTTTAGATTTCTCGTGAATCTCAAAGCAGTAAATTCATTTGTGCAAAACCACAGATAAATATGCATCAGACGAGATGTTCTGCAACTTTCCCCGAGTTTCTGCTCGACCTGAAATTTCAAGTGAGCTCTTCCTCTGTGGAAAGCGTCCAAAAAAACCTTAACCACTCCTGTTTCCAAAACAGATCAAATATGTCAAATCTTCATCCTGACTTGTGAATTGTGTCACCATCTCGTTGTTACCATAAAAGTAACTGTGAGAAAGTCGTTCCCGATGAATCTCTCCTGCTGTTAACCTGCAATCATGCTCTCCGGTCTTAATGACTTATCACTTTGCTCCCATTCATCAGTTGGTGACAGTTCGGCTTGTCCCAACACGCCTCGGATCAGAGCGAGTCAACAGAAAAACACTAACTGACAACCTCCAGCTCGGAGTTGTCTCTGTACGAGTGGATCTCAGACTTTCTCACATGATTGTAATGAAGGAGAGCTGAGCCTGCAGGACCCTTGAGGGGAAAAAAGTGAGACACGGCTGCTCAAAGTAAACATAAACTATATTTTTTTACACCGTTCCTTCTGTGGGAAGTTGTGTAAACTCTTAAGTGAGATGTGATGGAACAGAAAACCAATGTGGCGCCCTCTCTGTGAGATCCAGAGATCACCTGTCAGTCAAACGCTCATGAGGTCATGTCTTTCTGGAGTTTCTGTTTATGAAGATTTAACTTTTAAGACCTTTTCCTGCTAACGCTAACTACCTGTTTGGTCCTTAATAATCCAAAACATCAGCGGAAAGACTCAGTAAGCTCTGAGAGCGTTTACAGCGCCGGAGGACGTGATGACCGGGGTGTGAATCAGAATCGTGTTGAACCAGTTGAAGACAGAAGAAAATGACACATCAGGTTTTTACGTGTTTTGTAAGATCGTTGTCTTCTTCCACAAATTGTGACTTCATGACAAATTTCTGGTTGGAAATCTGTCCCCTTCAATCCCTCCATCAAAACTCTCAGAGTAATTGTTGAATAATTGTTGAATTATGACGACTCTTGCTCAGACTTGTCTCTGACGCACAATGACAACGACGGAAACAATAACTTTCCTCTTAGATAACTTCACATGGAGTCAAATCGGTTTAAGGCAGGCTTAAAGCGGTATTAATTAAACCTTAATTCACTAATAGAGCCTAATTATAGGGGAGTTTCATAACATAAGAGGTTTGGATCATTGTCTTTAATGCTAATCCTTTTTTGTTTTGGTTTTGATAAAAGATCACATGATGACAAGATGATAAAGAAACTCTTTGAGGACATTTACACGGATCAGAACCTGCTCCAACACAAATCCACAGTTTAACATCATACAGACAGAAATAGTCTAAATAAAGTGATATTTATACTCAGAATAAACAAAATGTAAGGATTAAAACTCTGCTGTAACCCTAGAAAACAATCGGAAGCTGCTGATATTAACTCCTATTTACTGAAGTCCTGAAAACCAGTTCTGATAACATCGCCTTGTCTCGAATGTTCTCAGCCCAGACTCAGATTTTAAGCCGAGAAACTTTCCAGTTTTATGAGAGGAATGTGAAAACAGCTCTGAAGTGTCAAACTGGATCAATCAGAGGAGTAAATGACAAACATCAAAGTGCGGTCACATTGAGGGAAACACATTTTTGAGTGAAAGGAGAGTTTAAATCTTTAACTCCACTGAGCGTTTGTAACCCTAAACTCTTCTCCTCCTCCGTCAGTTTTACCCATCTCCTCTCTGGAGCCCGTCATCCTGGTGGAGGGTCAGTCCTTCCGTTTGGCCGCCTCTTGCCGAGCTGTGGGCCGCCCGTCTCCCCGCCTCGCCTGGGACACAGACCTGCCGGGTCAATCCACGAACCGCTCCAATGTGGGCGGGTCGGTGTCCAGCTACTACTCCCTGCACCCTCTGCGCAGCATGAACGGGAAGAAGCTGGACTGTTTGGTTTGGCACCCCGGCCTGGATCAGCCGCGTAGGATCTCCAACTGGCTGGTGGTTCATTGTGAGTACAGAGACCGAAGCAGACTAAAAGAGGAGCTACTTTGAAATAGTTGTGTCGGAATAAGTGAAAGTAAAAGTAAAAGTTTCTCCTAGATATTCTGCACTTCTTGAGCAACCTTAACAACTTCTTAACTCTTTTTTTCCTCCATTTGCATTTTTTATTGTCTTTTTTTAGAAACTTCCACAGCAGCAAGTTTAACTCCTTATATTTACAAACTTTTAGAGAAATGTTGACTTGTGTGAACACAATCAACATTTTCCCCTCTTGGCTCTCGGCAAACTGTTTTAGCTCCTCCTTTTTTAGTCTTACTTCAATCAATGACTTTTATTTCCCCCTCTAGATATTTGCACAGCGTAACCTTACTTGTGGGAAAAACTAAATGGGTGACAGTCGACTAAACATTAGACAGTACTGACAGGTTTGGGAAAGTTCAGGAGTGATGAGGCTTCCTCTAACGTCGCTGGTGGTGCAGACAGGGAGAAGAAAAGCTCAGTGTTTAAAGGGGAAAACCAGCTCTTTGTGCAGACGAGTAAACAGCATAATTGGAGTCAAGTCACACGTTTTTGAAAAATTCATAAAACTGGACTCTCAACTTCAGTTTGATTCAAGCAAAAAGACTTTTGATTCTCAAATGCCGAAATTTAAAAAAAATCCTGTATCATGATAACTGACAGAAACCCAACTTAATTTTTGAATCAGTCTTGCGGCTGGTTTCATGTCCTGAGCAGGAGGAAGGAGATCCTCCTGTTAGATTAGATCAGCGGCCGATAAAAACTGATAAAACAACAAATCAGTGTATAAACAGATACTTCTTAATCCTCTTGTGTGACATGTTTATTTTATGAAGCAGTATTTTCTAAACTTGAAAATGTCCTGGACAAACTTGAAATCGATCAATAAGATTGGACTTCACATTGAGGCTCCTGTGAGGAGTTTTTATGTTGATAAAATAAACTAAAACTTATTTTAAAACATTTTTATGAAGCACAAAAGCAAAAAAACCATCAACAGCAAGATTGAAAATTTCAAAATATTCTCAATAAATGATGCATTTGACTCTTAAGAGTCTGCAGGATATGATTTTTTATTTTTATTTTTTTTGTAATTGGATAAGAAAAGAAAAAACAGCTTTGTCCACAGGGGGCGCCAAAGATGACACAAACAGAAAGTCTCTTACAGAAGTTTAAACTCTGACCATCCCCTGAGACTAAAATTTAGTGTTTTCAACATTTTATATGCAGAAAATTAAAATGAAACATTGGCAAATGTAAAATGATAATGCAATGTAAAACATAATTACTTTTTTATATACATTTAAATATTTACAGCAAAAAAACGAGAAGAGAGTCAGTGCTCTTCGTCATAAACTGACTGATCCTGTAAAATTCCATTAAATTTAATTAGTGAAAAACTAATTACATATCCAATCTCAAAGTATGTCAAAGTTTGACATCTCAACTAAACTTTAGGACTTGCAGAAAATGTTAAAGTTTGAGTGTTCAGCGTATAAAAATCTGTTAGTTTCTGAAGCAGCGTCATATTTGTCTAATTCGAGATAAAATCAGCTCTGCTCATGCCTCTGTTTCTGTGTCAGACCCTCCAGATGCCACTATCACTTCCGGTACAGACGACTGGTTTGCTGGTTTGGAGAAAGCGGAGCTGGTGTGCAGGACTGGAGGAAACCCCAAACCTGATAACATCACCTGGACATGGTACTATCATCAGCCTGTCTGCTGCTCACACACATATCTATAGTCTGAATCTGTCTTCACCCGACAATTACATGTTAATTCAGCGTGCTGCAACACAATCTGTGCTGTTAAACTGTTCTTTACATGGCAGAGGAATGTGTCTCCAAACATAAATAGGCCACGGTTAACACCTACACACACAGACTACACACCTGTGAGCAACAAAGACGTGTGCTCGAATCTAAAGGAGGATGCTTTTCTCCCTCGGCTCGATTCACAGCAGAATAAAAGCTCAGGTGTCGTGTTGCCGTATTTAAAGTTAGTGAGAGGAATATTCTCACAGTGGAGAGGGTGTATGCGACACGAGGAAGAGCAGGAGACAAATGCTAAGCACTTAATCATAGAGCCATGCTTTAAATATCACTGTAATGCCTGCTAAAACACAGGGTCTGTACTTTAATTAGAGACACCGCAGCAGCCATTACAGCTGCGACTGAACACACAATGATCCAATATTGTGAGCCGAGTGAAAAATGTTTCACACATGAGACAATCCGGACAATATTAAGATTATCTGGATTAAACCTTTTCAACTCCACAGACCTTTCGGCGCATACATCGGTACAAACTTGTACTGTTTAGACAAGATTAAAAGAGGATTATTTTAATGCTGCAAGAGAAATGTATTACCGTTCAAGCAAATATGGAGGGTTGAGGAAGCTGCTTTAAACCACAGCTTTACGACTATAGAACCATTTACTTTACACTGAATGGAAGTTAAACCACAGGATGAGATATGATATGATAAGATATATGATATGATAGGACTCTATATGATGCACTATGATAGGAAACATTCATACAATATGCAATGATAGAAAATATGCTCATACAGTTGGATTTGATATGATATAATGTGGTACACTATAACACTCTGTAATACCAAAAACTACGATAAGGTTTGAAAGGAAAGATTTGACCCATACAACATGAGTGACTGTGGCAAGGAAATATGATATGATATGGTATGATATTACGTGGTATGATTTGATATGATACACAAAAATATGACACAATACATCACATAATATGATACAATAAGACAGGACATGTAATGATATAATACACTATGATACGTCACGATATGTTATGTTAGGTCACAAACATCACAATATGTCACGTCATGATATGACACGATACACCATGATACAAAAATGCCACAATACGTCACATTACGTCACAACATGATAAGATAAGTCACTTCATATCATGACATGATACGATATGATATGATACGCCACGATATGTTATGTTAGGTCACAAACATCACAATATGTCACGTCATGATATGACACGATACACCATGATACAAAAATGCCACAATATGTCTCATGACGTCACAACATGATAAGATAAGTCACATCATATCACGACATGACATGATATGATCTGTCATGACACCACACCACACCACATGATACCCTATGAGACAGTATGTTGGGGGAAATATGCACAAACCACATGATAGGCTTTGTCAGAAAGTGATAAGGTAGGATAGGTGCAAAGATTCAAATGATTATATTAAATGATAAATGATAGATATTAAACTACCTAAAAAAACATGGTGAATAATCTGTAAGCAGAATTATCACAGTAAACAGCTTTATCAGAGGTAACTCATTCCTCCTCAGTGCTGTAAATGTTAGTTTAAGACAAAGATTAGAAACAGTCTGCTAATCTAATTCTGCTTTTACCTCCAACACTCTGCACTGACGGTCTTTTGTGGTGCTTAGAGCGGGTTGCATGCAGGGATGATAAAATACGCTGAATTTTAATGTATGTGTTGTTTTTAAAAGATTGTTCTAAGTGGCTAATTTGACTAAAAGAGGACTAGTTTTGGTTTTCACAAACTAAAGAGTTTGAATCTGCTTAGAGTTTCAGCCCTCTGCCCAAAGGTAACAAGATATCCCAACCTGCAACCTGTTTCATTGAACCAGAACTCCTCGAATCTTTTTGGCTGCTGAAGGTGGATTACACGCCTCATCTTTATCGTTTTCAACCATCTACTCTGTGTCAGATCCGATCTCCACCTGTGACTCTGTGATAAAAGGCTGGTGAGAGGAGCTAGGTGGGGTTTTGGAGAGAAGAAATCTGAGCCTGTTCCAGTTTTTAGGAGGGGGGAGTGAAGCTGGAGCTTAGAAAGCTGCTGCTGCAGCACAGTGAAACCAGGAGCAACATGAGCCTCTCTGTGGACCTGATCAGAAACTGGCGCTCCATTATGCAGCCTGTGATTTCTTCAGCTGCACAGTGTGGGATTCAGTAGCTGGAGTGGCTTAAATCCTTGAAACCTGCTATTTATCGGGCCTTTTCAGATCAATGGGCGCCAACTCTGAGCTCAGCAGGTTTTGGTTTAGGCGCAGGTGAATTGATGGTTACACTACTCTGCGCTGAATCTGATCCTGTGAGGTGTTCAATCCACCAGAAAACTTCTGTAATTCAACACTTTCATGACATATCGATGTTCTCCCTGCTGTGACACTTGCACAGAAATACTTTGACATGGGTTTGCACTTTGTTTACTTCTTTTCTCAATCTTTAAAAGTGACTCACGGCTTTTGTTTCGAACACTGACTCATCCGTTTTGTATTTATTAACCTTTTGTCAACGTCTCTGACGCATCGTTTCAAATCAATGCTGACGTTCACTTCTGATCGTCTCACAGGAGAGGAGGAGCTCTGCCGGATGGGGCGTATGCGAGTGGAGAGAGGCTTGTGTTTGGGCGGGCCCTCCGCATGAATGACAGCGGGGTGTATGAGTGTGTGGTCAGGAACGACGTGGGAGTGGGGAAAGCAGAGCACATATTGACAGTAACAGGTAAGCTGGGATTGAGGAATTTCAGCGCAGTGGGTGATGAAAACGTGAAACTGAGCTGCTACTTGTTGGTGTTTTAGAGACAAATCATGAGACAAAAAAAATCAGAAAAATTCTCCTATTGAGTTTGAGTTGTTGTACATATTTGCTGCCCCCTAGTGGCAAATTAAAGACACATACACATGCTGTAAACTCAGTTTGGATTAAGACTGCTGTGTGCAACTTTTTCATCCTCCTTTCCTTTCCTCCAGGAACTCCTCGAAGTCCTCCCATCGACAACCAGCTGCTCATCATCATCGGAGCTGCAGCCGGAGCTTTGATCATGGTCCTGGTCATTGTTGTCCTGCTGGTCAACCGGTACCACCGACACAGGAACAGGAAACTGGAGAGGGAGCTTAGTGAGAAAACGTACGCTTGTGTGCATTTCTTTGAAACCCAAAAACTGATCACGCTAGAAATCCACTTGGATCAATTTCTAGAAAAATCCTCTGAATTCTCTGTCGTCTTTTTTTCCCCCCAGCGAGGAAATGAACAGCTTCTCCAGACAAGCCTCCTTCAGGAGAGTCAACTCAGTGAGCACGGACTCCAGAGTGCCGGTACGAACACACACACAAACACACACTCACGCTGAGAACAATCACCTGCAGAGTTTACTCACAGCCCCTCAGGTCGGGCGTAGCCGGGGTGGAGCCGCCGTGATGATTACAGGCTGCTGCAGCTTCAGATAAACAACATTCAGAGTCTGAGCTCAGTTATCATTAACGCTGCATCGAGGTTGACTCATTTTATCGATCTTTTGTGCTCTTCTTCTCTAACTTTCTCTCGCTCTGTGCAGGCCGAGGATTACGCGACGATGCTGAGGGTAGACAGCCGAATGAAGAACAGTGAGATGTCTCTGGTGAGTTTCTGACCCGAGGGTAAACCCCCCTCTCCCCCTATCAAGTCTTTGCAAAAGAGGGGGGGGTCACACACACGGCCAGAAGGGATGAAGATAGTTAGAAAGAGTTCATAATAAGATTCAGTACAATAGAATCAATCAGAATAGATGTAACACACAGAGTTTTACTGATCAGGTAACATCAGGTAGGATTTAATCTAAGAACCTCCCTCCCCCCGTCTGTGTTATTTTATATGTAAATTGACGGCCAGTTCTTCAATTGTTGATGCCTCTTAAAGTTCCTGGGAGCTCTTTAAGGGGTAGATCTTTTACCCTGGAACTAAATCCAGACGCTTGTTCCTGTGGTCGCAGCATGCAGAGTTCCTGGAGAAGGTCCTGGGGGAAATTCCTGTGGTAAAAAGCACCTAAAGCCGCTGTCAGGAACTTTTTGTTTGTGGCGATTTTGGCGCCCCCTGTGGACAAAGTGATAGAATACTTTATTTCTTATTCCTTTTTATTACTAGGTGATGCAGGACCGATTATGACAGGTGGTTGATAACATATATACAGTGCAAACAGACAATAGAGACAAAGGAGGGAGAAAAAAATAATAAAGTAATAAAAATAATGATAAATAACCAAAATAAAATAATAATAAGTAGGTAGGATAGAAGACTTTTCTGAAGACTCTCTGCCTTGTTGCTAATAGACTTGTTTATTTCTGAAGGTTATGTAAGCATTCGTTTCAGATGTTTCGCAACCTGTTAAAATTTCGCTTCAGTGCCTTTAATAGATGCTAATCACATTTTTAGAGATCTGGAGCAGACAAAGGCTTGTGCCCCTCCTTAGATCACTGGTGACCCTCCAGGGGGCCCAGACCCAAGGTTGGAAACCAATGGAAGAGGGGGAGGCTCGGTCTCAAGACACTTTTTGGTTTTTAAAGTTTAGGAGGCTGGTGTGTTTTCTCTGATTTTTACCAGCTGTTAAAATAAATCTACGGATCCAGGAAATAATGAGTTTGAACAACTTTGAAACTCTGACTATCAAAGTAATAAAAGAAGTACTTTTAATCTATAGCCGTGACATTTTATGAATTATAACAGCAAATAAGATCAACATCAACACCACCGCGGTTTCTACTGTGTCATTTTAAAGGGGGAGGTTTCAGGGACAGCTCAACTATCAGGTTATCTCTGCAAACACTTGTTATCAGTGTTGTGACTGTTTGCCTCTCCTCCCCCGCCTGCAGGAGCGTCCCATCTACAAAGGCAGCCAGTCCACTCTGGGCGGGAAGTGGGGGCCCGGAGGAGGGGTGGACGTGGACGAACTGGGGCGGCCCGTCGTCTGGGGCGACGGCAGGGAGAGCCTGAGAGGAGCAGAGATGGACGGAGAGAAGGAGGAGCGCAGGAGGAGGGTGGAGTCATACCTGAAGAGCAGCAACATGTCGCTGGTATGTGTCAGAGATGAGGTCCAAGTGTCAGATCTAGCAGTCAGATTCTAGATTGAAACGCTCCCCCGCTCGCCCCTTTGTTGGTGAAAGTCCAGATTCCAGTTCTTCTTCATGAGGATTTTCTATATTCTGGTTGTTATACACCAGTTCAAAAGTCCGAACACATCATAAACCGTTTCTACCAAGACTTTTGGATCTTGCCCCCAGTTAAGTTTACACAAAAAAAGAGGTATCAAATGTATCTATATCCGTTTCTACCAGGACTCAGGTCTGCCTTCTTCCCTGGTTCCCCTGAAGGCCCAGCAGGAGGACGGCGTCAGCCCCAGAGAGCCAGACCAGGGCCAGCCCACAGGGGGAGACCCTCCGCCTGAAGAGGGATGGGCCTCCACCCAGTCAGCGGAGGAGGAACAAGATAACGACGACACTGACAGCAGCTCCTACCAGATCTCAGAGGCTCTCACCAACCACTTCTACTACAGTAACGGGGTCCTCAGGCCCAAACCGCACTCCAACGCCATCCTGCTGCACCCCAGAGGTCAGATCATCTAGAGCACAGACTCTAACCATGGACAGAGAGAAAACACGAGATATGTGTTTCAACCATATGGACCACGGTGGGAAAAACGCTAAGATCTGACCAGATTTAGACTCTTTCTGACCTTTGAGTTTAAATATTTTAGTCCATCCTTAAATAATTTGAAAGTTTTGAAGCATTTTTAGTAAATAGGACGGTGGAGATACCTGAAAAAAGATGGTAAAACAGAATAGGTGCCACTCACACACACTCAAGATGACTGGAACTTTGGGTACGTTCAATAATTAGGACGTGTTTTTATCTGTTAATGTTTTAAATTCACTAGTGGAGATGTAGATGCCCAATCAGCTCCACTCTTCACGAACTAAACCCCGGATCTGCTGCTTTTGGGATCTTGGTGTCCAGGTGGATCCCGCTACCTTCAAGTCGCTTGTTTACATCCAAGACAAACAATTTCTAAGATCCAGTTCACCCACTAGTGAAGAGTTAAGTGCACTCAAGATTTGCTGTGAATAAGAAGCTTTTATATGTAAAAAAGAGGAGTTTTTAGGAGCTTCTGTATGTTTGAGTCAAACAGCTGTTACCCAGAGGACCTGCAGGACAAAATGTGCAAACTGGAGTTTGTTCATGCATAAACACAGAAAACCTGCCTCCTTACAGACCACGTCTGAACCATGTCTGTGTTACCTGTGAACATTCGCAAACATGCAGAAGAGGAACTGTACAGCACCACTGTGTATCTACAAGCCGTGTAAATGTCTTTGTGTACATTATTTTATATCCATTCAGTGTTTTTGTATGACGCTCAGAAACTGGTGTGTAAATGCTGAAATGTTTATTCATAAAAATACAGCATCAAAACAAAGTCACTGCTTTTTATTGTCACCTGGGAACATTAAACTTATTTCAGCTCAGACATGAGGTTAAAGGGATTTTAGTCAGTACAGCTGCAGCAGAAATGAAGCGTTTGTTAGTGTTTCCTGGCTAAACCTCCTTCTGATGCTTACAGTTAGGACTCAGATGATGGAGGAAATGTGGACACTGCGCTGAAATGACATTTTGTAGGAACGCCTTTAACGGATTAGATTACAAATAGATGCATCATTAATGCCTGAGAGGAAAATATGAAGCAAAGCTCAGCAGCGAGTTTAGTTTGGCTCTGCATACGGGCTGAAAACAGTCAGTCTGGCTCTTTCCATGACTCAATTAATCTGCCGACCAGACGGAAATGCTTTTGATTTCAACTCGACTGAAAAAGTTCTGTTTATTTTTCTAATGAAGTATCTGACTGTTAGGGATTTTAAAAGTCTTAATTAGGGCCCGACCGATTTATTGGACAATTCAGACAATTTTAGCCCATTTAATCGGTAATCGGCCAAAACTCGCCGATTTTCGCCGATATTTTCAGAAATAAAATGCGGAGGATAAGATCCGGTTTCACTTTAAAAATGTTCCGCCATTTCAAAAGTTACCCGACTTATCCAGTAGATGGCGCAGCGACCTCATGACAATGTTCATCCACTAACTACCTCACAGCAGAGCAGAGTGACGGATCTGAAGCAGGCAGCTCAGGGACGCACAGAGGGAGAGTGGTCCACCTCAACGGTAAATGAACCAGTTTGTGAAATACCGATAAGTCAACAAGTTTCAGTTCAACCCACTTCACCATGTTCCCCGCTGTGCTGGTCTCGGTCACGCCGAGTTAACGGTGAAGCACCATGAAATATGCCAGCTAAAGCTAGAGTTAGCCATCTGCTATTAGCCTTGCTACACTGTTAGCCGTGGCAGTAATGGTAGAATAACAACAGTACACATTACGTGATCGAGCTACTTCTCTTACTGAGGCAGCTGCATGTCTCCAGATGAGACCGGACCGGAAATGAGTTTCGTGAGTTAAGACGCGGCGGCACCGATCGGCCACGGCGGCGGCGGGGGTGGCGTTGGGGGGTTAGTTGAAAACGCTTTTCTGGTCCGAGTTTGATCAGTCGGTCTTCCCGTTGGCGTGAAGAGCAGTACCTACAGTATATCTACAGTATATAGTATACTGTAGATATCTACAGTATATATATTTTTTATAACTTAATAAAAAAAATTAAAAATCGGCTGATTAATCGGTAATCGGATGTTTTTCCCCCCTATTATTTGGTATCGGCATCGGCCCCAAAAAATCCATATGGTCGGCCCTATTAATGTCAGCTGACAAAGTCTCACAGACTCATCAGTGTGACCAAATTCTCTGTTTCAGCAGCAAAAACAAAGACAGCGTGAGTTCTGTTTTTCCATCTAAACAACAAATACTTGTTGGAACTTTTTTTGTGACACAGATTCACACTGAACCTGAAAATGGACACAGGAGGGGAAAAAAGGCAAAGATATCAGATATCAGAGAGTCAAAGGTTTGACTGAATTCACATCATTTATCCAAAAGAGTCCTTTGTTTTTAACCACATCACTTGGCTTGACTGATTTGAATCTCTTCACTGGTTGTATTTTCATAACAAGTACCAAAGTTAGTTTTTAAAACCAAAGCTTTTCCAAAGTTATAATTTACTCTAAAAATAATGAAATGCACAGTTAAATCAGTTGGCTACATCACGTCTCAGTAATATCAAAATACAAACAGATTTATCGGTAAATCTAAACGTTAATGCCACAGAGATCTAGTCTCCCATCCTTTAAACTCATTTGAGTCAAACAGGATTTTGAGCCAGAGCCTCTTTGTGAGTCCGCTGGTGAGTGCGCAGGTTGCTCCTCTGAGAGAAACACTTCCCACACGTGTCGCAGGTGTACGGTTTCTCTCCGGTGTGAATTCGCTGGTGAATCTCCAGATGGCTGACTCGGTCGAAGCTCTTTCCGCAGAACGGGCAGATGAACCATTTCTCCTTTATGCGGCGGCTCGCTATGGTTTTGTGCAACTCAGGGTCGCTTAACAGAAAGAACCTGTTGTCGGGGTTGAAGGCTGAAAAGGTTTTAGTGTGTGGTTTGTTGATTCTGACAGACACTCCTCTCTCGGAGTGGTCTATTGCTTCTAAAGGCTGACTTGGTTGAGCTTGGTTAAAAGTCACAGGGGTCCTTGGTTTGCTTGACGCAGCTTGGCCGTTATCTCTACCGAACCTGTCAGAGTATGGAGTCTCCGCTGAGTGATCGAAAATGTCCAGAGCATTCTGGATGAGCAGGATTTCTGAGTCCAGGTTTTGTGAAAGCTGCTTTGGTTCTAAGAAGCAGTCTGAATCATCAGCTGTGTCGCTGTCTCCCACTAAAACAAAAGACCACTGCTGGCTGTCCTGCTCTTCCACGGCTTCAGCCGGTTGAAGGTCCAGATCCATCTCATGGTGTCCTGCTCCCTCTTTATTACAGGGATCAGAGTCTGCTGTCTGCTCCACGATCTGCACATCATCCTCATCTTCTAGTTTGACGATCAAATCTTCATCATCGTCTCTACTGTCATTCTCACGCTGATCTGACCTGAGAGGCTCGCTTTGGGTTTCCTCTGTCCTTGGCGGTGGAGGTGGAGGTGGAAGCGTTGGTGGTGGTGGTGGAGGAGGTGTTCTGTGGTTGGCTGAGGGGTCTGCTGTCTCTCTGACACTCTGTTCAGAAGACAGTGTCTGCACTGACTCTATTACAGGCCCTGAAAAGACAAAGCATGTGCATGTTGAAAGCATTTATTTAACCAGACAGGAGTTACATCAAGACAATGCCAGTCCGTGTTTGCATGAAGGACAGCAGTGTGGCTCTGTAGAAGAAGAGTCCAGCATGCTTCACTTGTTCCGAAAACCGCCTCTGCTGCAAAAAAAAGAGGTCACAACGGAAGTTACTGATGCAAAAAAAAAAAAAAAAACGAAACCCGCGGCAAATAGAAAAAGAAACAGTGCAGATTTTAAAAAAGTCACAACGGAAGTCAATGATAAAAAAAAAAAAAACTAGGGAGATGGGGAAAAAAAGTACTTACTGCAAAAATAAAAGGATGCAAATAAAAAAGCCACAACAAGAGTGAGCTGCTGGGGACCAGTAATGATGATGCACCAGTGTTTTACGATCTAAGCAGAGAAGACGACGGCGAGAAGACGAGCAATTCAAACTTGGTCCCCGGCAGCTCACTTCCTTTGTGGCTTTTTTATTTCCATCCTTTTATTTTCACAGTAAGTTTTTTTTCTTCTTTTTTTTTGTCATTTGTTATTGACCCGCCCTCCCCTCTACATCAAAGGGTCCACACCGTCAGGTTCCTGGGAACCCAGATCTGCGATGATCTCTCCTGGTCAGCCAACATTACTGCCATCATAAAGACGGCCCAGCAGCGGCTGCACTTCCTGAGAGTCCTCAGGAGGAACCAGCTGGACAGGGAGCTGCTGCTGTTGGCCTTCTACCGCTCATCCATCGAGAGCCTGCTGACCTATTGCATCACCACATGGTACAGGAGCTGCACCGAGGCGGACAGAGGGAGGCTCCAGAGGACAGTCAAAACAGCACAGAGGATCATCGGCTGCCCTCTCCCCTCCCCTCCCTGACGGACATCTACTCCACCTGGTGCCTCAGCAGAGCTCAAAACATCATTCAGGACCCTTCACACCAGCAGGTCAAACACCTGTTTGACCTGCTGCCCTTTGGGAGGCGCTACAGATGCATCAAAGCAAGGACTAACAGACTCAAAAACAGCTTCTTCCCTCGAGCCATCACCATCTTAAACTCCCATAAACCTGCTCTAGCCCTCAAGATGAGGGAACAAGTACAACATTGCCAATGTTACTGCTGCTGTGTTGATTACTATATCCTTAACCTGTGCAATAAATGTCCATATACATATAAAAAATTTATTTTTACTTGTTTATTGCACTGGAAAGGAGAAGCTCTCCAATCTCGTTGTACTGTTAGTATAATGACAATAAAGGGCATTTTGATTCTAAAGTCTTCTATTGTATTCATTACTTATTATTATTATTATTATGATTATTATCATTAGTATTATTATAAATGTTCAAATGAACTTCAAAGGAAATTCCCGGACTTTTGCACTCCTGATCACCTATAATACCTTCATTGTCAAAGTAGACAGCTGCAGTTCTCACCTGCACCTGTAGGGGGAAGCAGCTTGTTGTGCTGCTCTCTTTTAGAGCAGGAGGATGATGAGGACAGATTTGTAGTCTGAGTCCGGACCGTCAAACGCTCGCTCTCCATCAGCTTCAGTTTCTTGTTCAGAGTTTCAATCTCGTTTTCCCTCCTGCGAAGCTCCACTTGAACCCGAGCGAGTCCGTCCTCCCACAGTTTACTGATCTCTAACACGGCAGCTTTAGCTAACATCTCCATGATCGAGCTCAGCTGACTCTGGAAAGCCAAACAGTTCGCCATGTTGCCCCCCGGGGTCAACGACGTGACAACCGTGAAGCTAACTCTCTACGGCGGAGGAATCACCCAGCAGCGACACTTTTGTCCTTTGTAGATCACATTACAGCCACAGTTTGAGGTGAAAAACATGGATGTGTAATACAATAGCAACCGGAAATACTGCCTAACACGTGACGGATGGTAAACATTAAAGGACAAAATTCCTCCCCGTCAAAACAAAACGCCCACAGTATGAGCCGCTGGTGGTAGAATTATAGTTGATGAAGAGAAAGAATCTCCTAATACTGCTGTAATTAGATGGGAAAGATTTTTGATTTAATTTTTTATAGTTGCAGCTTCTATCAAACATTATTAGAGCGAAAGGTTTTTTTTTTACTTATTAAAGAGAAACACAAACATTTCATGCAGTAAAATGAAGTAAAATGGCCCATCTGTTAATCTACACAATTAATGGTAAAAGGTACTTTATTTAATATGTGCTTGAAACCCATGGCAGAAGAAACGGAGGGAGAAAGATCTACTTTTTAGAAGGCCAGATGGAAACTTGTTCACTTACTCAGTAACTGATGGTACATTTGATGTAGATTACCTTCCACAGAAAATACTTGATTAAAAGTACAAATTTAAAAAGGACTGAAAAAAGTCTAACGGCACAAAAAGCTCTCAAATAAGGAAACATGAGTACCAGTAGTTGTTACTTTCCATCCCTGCCTATACGGCATTATTCAAAATTAAGAAATGACACCTAAGTAAAATTAGTTTTAAAGAGTTTAAGTATAAAATGCTGTAAAATGTCACTTATTGTTAAATCTTAAGTGTTTAGCACTGTCATATAGCCTAGTTACTCATGCATTATGATGAAATTACAATTTGACTATCAATAGCAGCAATGTTCCTCATTTGTTCTCAAACTCATTTTTATTCCTTGACTTTTAGCTCAGCATGAGAGCTGTGTGATCTCTGTCGTTTCCATTTATTTTATTTCATTTTAAATGTTTTTACCTGCTTTTTTTTATTTCATCTTGATGTTTTCTGCAGTGTCTGTTCTTTTAATTTTATTTTGCAGCACTTTGGTAAACTTGAATGCTTTTTAAAATGTGTTATATAAATAAGGTGGATTGGATTGGAATTGGAATGTTTGAACATGTGCTTTGAAAATAAGTAACACTTTCATCCCAAATTAGTCTTTTAAGTTTTCTCGATGCCTGTTTGAAGCATGATGTGTATAACAGTGGTACAACCTACATTTCTCCATTAGATGGTGCCCTATTACTACTAGAGCAGAGAAGCTGAGGTTAAAGCACCTGTCTTTGTGGGTAGTATTCTCCTCTTTTTTGTGTGTGTGCGAATTTTTGCCTTTTTTTTTTTTGGCAAATGGTGCATTTTTATTTCCCATACATTCCATGCATCTCAACTCTGCTCATTTGAGTTTATACAACTGTATCACAAACCTCTATCATCGCAACTCACCATTAAATTATTATGCATTTTATAAAAACAACATATTTTATTTTATTTATTATTGTAAGTAAGTGCAAGCTATCAGACATTTAAAAACAAAACAAAAAAGCTATAGGTATGGGGATAACTGTAACAAAGAATGTTCCACTGACATGCACTTAGAAACAGGTTGAAATCAGATAAAATTACTGACATTGAACTTTTTGGTTATTAAAGCTCCCGTGAGAAACTTTTGTTTGACGATATTGTTCCCCCTAAAAATAAAACAGTCTTTACTTTTCTTGTCTTATCCTGCTGACTTTTGACAACAGAATGAATACTAAACTGTGAAAATTGTATGTAGAAAATGCAAAAACAGGGCTCCTTAAGCTACTCTACGGACATCACTCTTTTGCCAGACCAGACTCATGCTAGACAGCCACCAGAAAGAGAGAGAGAAGTGAAGAGAGGGCAGGGGGATAGAAAGAGAACAAGATAGAGGGAAGGAGAGAGAGAATGAGTAAGGGAGAGGGAGGGAGAGAGAGGAGAGAACGAGGGTGAGAGAGAGAGAAAGCAGCAACATTAAAACAGCAGCAACAACAACAACAGCTCATGTAATGGTGAAACAAAATGTATTCAGTAATGTACAGGGTTTCCAGTCGACAGTAGACAAATCATATAGTATATCAAATTAAAAAAATACAACTGAAATACTTTTACTTGATGGATTTTTATCTATTTTTAACAAACTCTGTTTTACAAATTGACATGTTCTTGTTCTTGCCCCTCTATATTGATATCTCACCGCTCATTCGCTAATCCTCCTGCCAATCAAAAGTAGGCGGGGCGGGTGGGAGTTGCACTCTGGTGAGCCGAGAGGCGACGGAGCTGTCAAACAGCAGCACCAACGGTCTGATACTTTATCCCGGGCGGTACGAAAAAAAAAAAACATCTTACAGTCCTCTTTTCTGGAAGAACCAAGACAGAAACAACCCCGAGTTCACTTTGAGGAATCATTCGTGGAGCTTTTGAGCCGCTGTGTCCGCAGACTTCATATTTTACGAGTGTTGGTGTCTCTTGGCTCGAGTTTTGTTGACAAACTAGCCTCTCAGCTAAGTCCCCTGAGCTAGCTGCGTTTTCAACTTTGCTGCTTCTGGAGGCTCGCCTTGTCGTCTTTTAGGTCAGTGCTTCTCGGGAAAGGCATGGCACCCAGCGTGGACTTTTCCTGCAAACATCTCCACGACATTAAAACAGGTTGGTTATCTAAACTTCATAAAAGAAGCACATGCTAGTTCTAACTGTCGCTCCTTTGGTTTGTTTACATTTTCGGTGTGGCGTTCAGGTACACCACACCAACATAACGAGCTATTTCTTCTCATCTACCTCTCTTTACAGCTCTGTATGGGATGTGATTTTCTTCTTTTGCAGCATTGACTCATGAGGAGGTCATGGTATTCAGATAATGTGCAGTTTTCCTCACTTAGCTTACCTTAAGTACTCGTTCATTACTTTAAACCCCTGAAGAATGACGGGTATGCAGCAGCAGCTCACATATCACGGCAGTTAAACACAATAGATCATGGTCAGATAAGAGGCTTCTGTTCAGTTTGGTTGAATGTGACCTTGCTCATATGCTTGACACAGATTCATCTCAAAGTAAACTGAGATCTCATAATCATTTTATCTGGAGAAAAAGGGATAAGAGATAACATTAAAATCATAGTTTACTGCAAGATCATTTAAAAAATATTATTAATGGCATAAACAATAAATAACAGAGAAATATAACAACACAAATCAAACAAGATAATGTTTAATTCAGTGTGATTAGTTCTTCTATTTTCTGTGTCAGTGGTACATTCTTTCTCTATGAATAAATAATTGTTTCTCACAGACACTCACACACACGCCCATTGAATACCTCTGGTCCTTGAGAGACACCCTGCTGCCTGCTGCAACCTTTCATTATAACATCACTAAGTTTTGATTTACTGTTGACATTTTCTATTAGCCTGTAATCCACTGAGATGCAGCTGGATACTCTTCAGGCCCCCAAACTACTGTAAAAAAAACAGAAAACATGTGGCCTGAGGCTGCTTTTGAAATGTCCCATCTGTTTTGAAGTAGCATCAGGCCACATTTTACAGACCCAAAATAAGGCCGCCTTTTAAAATTCCACCCTTTTTTCGTGCACAGTCTCTTTGCTGTGGTGTTTTAAATGCGTGCCCTTTGGATACGAAGGCAACTGGGAGTTGTTCGGTTACAAATATAGTTATGAACACTGGCAGCTAGCCAATGTTTTTTCTAATCACTTGCCTCCTAATGAAAAACCAGCAGCGTGGGCCGCCGAGGGTTATCAAATTGCTGAACATTGTGGGACTGTGTAATTGATTTTGTAGGTTAAAGAAGGGGAGTGGATTCAGTGTTTCATTGAGAAAAATTTTCATATAACAATGAGACACTATTAGGATTAGGGCCCGACTGATATGGATTTTTTGGGGCCGATGCCAAATAATAGGGGTGGGGGGGAATCCGATTACCAATTAATCGGCCGATTTTTAACATTTTTTTATGAAGTTGTAAAAAAAATATACATACTGTAGGCTACTGCTCTTCATGCCGACAGGAAGACGGACTAATCAAACTTGGACCAGAGAAGCGTTTTCAACTAATTCCTAAAATATTGGCGCAAATTGGCGAGTTTTGGCCGATTAGTCTCAAACGTGCTAAAATTGTCTGATTTAATCAGCTCGCTGATAAATCGGTTGGGCTCTAATGAGGATATTACAGAGTCTGCCATGAGGGGATGTGATGATATTGAACTGTGTCTGCATGACGATATCAAAACAAAATTTAAAGGTACAGTATGTAGAAATATTAAGGAATGGCAGCAGTCATATTTTGACTTTAAACGCTACCTTTACTTTTGATATAGATATGATCCCCTGTTTGTTGATTTTTTTCCATCAGAAATATCCAATGATACAAATAACTGGAGTTTGCATGTTCTCCCTGTGTCTGTGTGGGTTTACTCTGGTTTCCTCCCACATCCCAAAAACATGCAGAAGTGGGGTCAGGTTAATTGGCCACTTTCTAATTGCCCGCAGGTGTGAATGTAAGCGTGGATGGTTGTTCGTCCACATATATAAGCCCTGCGATGAACTTACAACTTGTCCAGGGTGTCCCCTGCCTTCGCCCGAAGATGCTGGGATAGGCTCCGGCCCCCCTGCGACCCCTAACAGGAATAAGCGGTAGAAAAAGGAGGGATGGATACAAATTACTTTTCTTCTTCTTCATCATCATCTCTTAACTTCTCAATTTTGTTCTGTTACCCACCAAATAAAATAGTGCAAGATGGCAGCTTCTCCTATGTGGATATAAAAGGCTCATTTTAAGTTTATTCAGATGATTGCTCACTAACTTCAACATACCTATGAATATTATCTCCCATTATCACTAAATGTTAAATTCTACACTGCACCTTTAAAACAATCCAAGAGACTTCAGTTCAAATATCATTTTAAAGACATTTGGATGAAAGACAATGTGTCCTTTGTTGTGAGGGGAAGAAATAGATCTTTTGTTGTTCACTCATGTTTAAATGCAAAACTCCTGTCAAGCTACTGTCTCTTTTAAGTGCCAGGCTGGGCCTATTGTGTTCCCAGGGTGTTTTACCTCAGAGCAGCATTGTTTACAAGGTAAGGTTTGGTCATGACCCACCTATCTGAGAAATTCAAGGTATTTCTGCAACACCGATTTATTCAGAAGTAGGTAATTATCAGGCTTTTCTTGGCTGCATGCCTTCATCTACCTGGCACCGTGATGGACACAATGACACAGACATGTCATGGGGATTTCCAAATAGAGATGAATGTCCTCACTCTGAATTCATACTGAATAGTTGAGCATTGTATTTTTATATCAGTCATCATTAACAGATCATTACACACCTATAGAGGTGCCTTTAAGCACGTGGTTGATGTAATGTCTCTGTGGTTGGGCTGGTTGATGATTAATGATGTGACATTTAGTCTGTTTTAAATTTGGACCATCAGACAATGTTGAAATTCTTTTAAAGGGTCAGTATGTTGCTTTAGGCTTATAAGATCATCCCAAACAGAGTTAACATTTTAGTTCTGCTTTAGACTTAAACAAAAAATTGCAGGAAGTCTGTGTTTAGTCATTATCAGCTGCTTTTACGTAGGTGTGTGGTTGCAGAAATCCGAAGAGAACCAAGACTGACCTGATATCTCACCAGCAAACCTATCTTTGTCTTTTCCACTTAACAACGTAGATGAAATATGTGCCTCTGTTTTCCCTCCTGGACAGGAAACCTGCTGAAATCAGAAAGGAAAAACCTCGGCCTGGCTTGCATTTTTCTTGGCATGTGCACTTTCTTTCTGTTCTACCATTTTTAACCAGGCATAAAATCGAGTGTCATTGGGGAAAAAAAGGAAAGCAGAGGGTAAAAAGCCTTTTAAGGCCGTGGCCGGGACAGAGAATGATGTCAGAAGTAGTCCAGTGGGTGCGCAGTAACTCACAAGGATTCTCATGTCTGTGATGTAATGCTAACGGACCACGGAAGAATCTATCTGTGTCATCTCAGAGCTGTTTTTAGGATCTGATCTTATGAGACCCCTCCTGCCTAAGATTGACTTTTGTGTTCCTGCTGAGCTCTAATGTAGGTCACTAAAGAGGATTCACTTCAGACCTGCATTACTCTCACTTTTTGCCTCGATTCCTCATATTGAGAGGAACACTTTTCACCCAAATATCCTGGTTATTTCTTGTGCAGACAAATAACGCTGTATGGGGGATGGAAATCTCAGCAGAGTACACAATGACAGGCCTTGTGGTAGTAAAAGTGTGGTGTGTGAAGGCTGCGTGAACTTAATGGGTCTTTTTTATGACAGGCATGAACTCGTAGTGGGTCGAAAGTACTTAAAGGAATACTTCAGCCACAAAGGAGAAGTTAGTCAGTGTTTACTTTCTGTTATTACATTAAAAGAGCAGGTTCGCTCTTGCACAACTCTTTGTCAGACTCAACACACAGTTTAAATAGAGAAGGAGAGGGATGGGATGCTGCTGAAAATAACTAAATTACATGTTTTGACGCACAAAGTAATGTCTTTTAAAGGTCAGACTTTTCCTAACTTTGAGTAAAAACCTCACAGAGTTTCAGTTTAGGGCAGTAATGAGAAAAAATCCAAACGTCAAGGGACCGGATCTGAAATAAATCTGATCCAATTGGTGTATCTGTTATTGGTGATATCGTGGATGCAGCTGATCATATGCAGGGCTTGAATCCATGCCAGTATCGTATCGTATCGTAAATATTTTGAATCATATCATATGATATCATATTGAATAAGATCCTGTCGTAACATATCATATAATGTCGAATCATATCAAATTAAATTGTATGAGATCGTATCTTAATCGTATCATATTGCATGATATTGTACCGTATCGTAATCGTATGGTATAAGACTGTATCCTATCTTATCGTATAATATCATATCATATCATATCATATCATATCATATCAAATTGTATGAGATTGCATTGTATCGAATTGTAATCGTATCATGTCAAATTGTATAAGATCATATTTTATCATAATCGTATTGTAAAAGATTATATTGTATCGTATCATATATGAAATTGTATGAGATTGTATTATATCATAATCGTATTGTATAAGATCATATCGTATGGTACCATTTCAAATTGTATGAGATCGTATCGTAATCATATCAAATTGTATGAGCTCATATCGTATCATAATCGTATTGTAAAAGATTATATTGTATCGTATCAAATATGAAATTGTATGAGATTGTATTATATCATAATCGTATTGTATAAGATCATATCGTATGGTACCATATCAAATTGTATGAGATCATATCGTAATCATATCAAATTGTATGAGATCATATCGTATCATAATCGTATTGTATAAGATTGTATTGTATTGTATCATATATGAAATTGTATGAGATCGTATTATATCGTAACCATATTGTTTAAGATCGTACCGTATGGTACCATATCAATTGTATGAGATCGTATTGTATCGCAATCTTATCCTATCAAATTGTGTGAGATTGTATCGTATTCGTATTATATCACATTGTATGAGATTGTAACGTATCCTATTGTACTGTATCAAATTTTACAAGATCGTATTGTATCATTTTATATCATAATCGTATTGTATCGTATCGTGGTGTGATGTGTCAGATCGTATCAGATCGTATCATACTGTATCTTATTGTGCCTTGTGTTGTTTTGTATCATTTAACCCTCACCTGTTGAGCAGCAGAATAACAAAAGAAACACTCATGACTGTGTGTTTTCTAATCCAGAAACAAATCTTAGACACACTGGTTAAATTAAAACTCACCTACAGATCAGAACCCTTGAACCGTTCAGTAGAGGCGACCGTATTCATTGTTTTATTTTCAGCTGAGCACAAGAAGCTAAATGTCATCGGTCATAAATGTTAAACCAAAACATGGTTAAATACTTAAGGGTATTTTTTCTCCCGTCTCAGTGAAAACAAATGTTTTACATTGTTTTTCTCTCCAAGTATTAGAGGAAAAATCTTCATATCCAAAAATATTTCACTCTCAAAAGAGACATGTCCTTGGTTACACTATTTTTAGAAGTTAGATATGAAGGCCACATTGTTTGTGAGAGTTAAAAAGACCTTTAGTAGTAGGCCTCCTTTCCTGTTACCCTTTGTACCCTGCTGATTTTGTTTTGGATGGCAGAAAGGACCAGGATCTGAACTATTCTTTGGCTAATCTCCCATAATTGGACAATCGGCCCTTATTATAGCCATTAGATTTGGGCCTGTTGAGCAATAGTGGCTTGTCTGATTCATCCCAAGGCAAAACAGAGTCTACAGCCACAGCCACAGCTGCTATTATTAACAGGCCAAAACTTCAAGAAAGAATAGCATGGCAGCTTTTTTGTTTTTCTATTGTGGGAATGAATGTGATGGATGTGTTTTGCCCCAACTCTGTATCTTTATATGAAACTCCTCTGCTGTTAAAGTCCTCCCAACAAGAAACTGCAGAAGTGGCCTGAAATGTTTCTGTCTTTCTGCTCCCTCCAGGTCTCAGAGGTCCCTCTATACATCTGCCAAAGATGTGAAATCACTCTTACCCCAGCTGACCCCTCAGTTACAAGCAGTGAGGCTCTGGATGAGTAGGAAACACCTTGGATCCGGTGCCTAAAGCGCAGTTTGAAGCTGCAGTATATGTGCGTGGCACATTCTCTCCCAGGACTTAAACTGAGACGATCCTGTGCTGCCGTGGAGTCCTGGGCCTCGTTCAAACAACGTAGTCCTCTTGACATGTGGGTACATTACAGGAAAAGGCCCATACTACCCTCACTGGTGTCACCGTCTTCCACATCACCATGGACCGGAATAAACGCAACTCCATCGCTGGGTTTCCCACACGAATTGAACGCATCAATGAGGACAGAGATGGTGTCGGAGGGGTAGGGGTCAGCGAGACGGGCATGGGTCCTCCTCCACAGGTCAGTGCTTGTTTTTATGACATAGAGAATGCATGACTTAAGACAGGCATGTGTATAAGTATGTATTAAGGAGGGTTTCATGTTACAGTTTGACTTTCTCCTTTTTTGGCTGGATGAAAACAGAAAAGTAACATGAAGACATCCTGATATAAAAGCGAAACAGTCTCATAATTCTGATCAAACCGAGTCTGTTCCAGTCTGTGCCACCCTTTTTGCTGCCAGGAGGAGAAAACACTGATTCATTAAGTGAGAGTTAAGGCCTCTCAGCTTTTTAGTGGAGCCTCCTGTCTGATTTATTTTTCACGGTCAGGAACGGCGCCAAGAGTGTCACGTATAAAAATGAAGAAATAATGTAGTGTGAAAAACAAAAGACGCCCACAGACTTATTCAATGCCTTAAAAAGTTAAATATTTAGATTATTTTGGCCAAATTCGTTTGATCAAAATGGGTCAGCATCTTTTTTTCTTTCTTTCTCTTTTATTAAAGTAAATATTTTCAACCCTGAATGCCTTTTTAACCCCAAGAGGAAGATTTTTCTGTTGAGCAGGACGGCGGATAGCTGATATATAAGGTGAGATATAGCCGACATACCCATAAAAATGCAGAGATAGTACCTCATAAACATGCACGAGTGCAGGCTTGCACACGCACATTTGTACCCTGAGCAGCTGTGGATTCTGTGCCTTGTCCAACACTAAATTTACGCCACAGTTCATAAAAGTTTTGCTGAATAACTTTACACTGTTCATCTTTTTCTTAAGCCTGTCTGCGAAAATTATTCAGTAAATGATCAACCAACAATAAGGCTTCTGATTTTTTGGGTTCAAGTCTACTTGAGAGCTGATTTCATGTTTGATCCTAAAGACTCGGGTTTGTGTTTTCTTTCTCTCTGAGTGAGTGAAATCTTCCCATCAGCCTGTTCATAATAATGAAGATGAAAAGTCGTCTTCATCTGTTGATACCAGTCTGTTCCTGTCCTCTCCAGGTGGGCAGGGTGTGGCCGTCGTCCTACAGAGCCCTCATCAGTGCCTTCTCCTGTCTCACGCGCCTCGATGACTTCACCTGTGAGTGGATCGGCTCCGGATTCTTCTCTGATGTCTTCAAGGTGGGTGGAGATCTTATCAGCCTGAGCCGTCCCTGTTCACTCCTTGATTTTCTCCTTCTTCACTTGTCGTCTGCCTCTTTTCATCTCTTTGTTCGGCCCTGAGATCTCATCATCTTTTTCGTCTTTGCGTGCCTCGCTCCTTCCATCCATGATCCCAGAGTGGCTCATAATAGGTCAGACGGCCTCTCGGGTCGCACATACTCTTCAGACCTCAGGACTGGTTTCTTCTTCCCTGCTACGTGACAAAAATCATGCAAGTGCCACTTGTGCAATAGCTGAGATAAGAATATGACTAATATAAAAGGGAACTTGTGGTGCACAGCTTTTACAAGTCGAAGACGTTTATATTTGATTGAACTGCAGTTATCCACTTAATCTGGTCTCATCTGGCTGATCTGTTGCTGGGTAAAAGCCTGATCTATCTTCCTCTTTACCCACTAGTCTCCTTTCGACATTTTGAGGTCAAATTAGACGCAATCACTTCATAGACATCACTTAATATGGGGATGTGAACCGTGATCCTTTTGTCCCCTCCTCCCCTCCGAGGCATGCACGTCGCACAAGCTTCTTTGGCTTTACAGACACGAGTAAAAACTCACTTTAAACAACCACAAGCAGAGAGTTGATTTCACTTCATTTTGGCGGCGTTAATAAGGCCGCCAGGACCGTGTGAAATGTTGGCACGGCTCATCTTGGCTTAGATAAACAGTGTGAAAAGACGACACGTCCAGGAAAGGAGCTGAGAATAAATAATCATGGCCTCGATGGACTGAGAGCATCTTCTGCAGAGTTGGTTTGCAGTGATTGGACAGCTGCTTTTATTACATTATGATAATAGAGCTTTAGTTGGTATGTATGTCAGTTGTTTTACAGTATTGTGTTTATGTAAGTCTGAATGTAACGCAGAAACAGGGGGACACATTACTTGTTGTATCATCTCATGTGATTACTTTTCCTTTCACTCTGTGTGTTTTTCATTTCCAATGTTCTTAGCCCACAGCAACAGCCTCTCTATTTCACTTCCATGTTAACAGCAGGTTCGTATTGAGCTTGGAGTCTATTTTGAAATCCAGTTTCCATTCAGTCCTCTCTCAGGCTTCTGCTCGGGTTGGGCTGATTGATTAAACTGCTGACGGCGTCTGTCAGCTGACGGCGGTGAATGAGGGTTGTGGATGAGGTGAGAAAAGTCCCAGGGTGGAAATTAAGGCACATTTTAATTTGTATAAACCAGCTGAGAAAACAAACAGGTAACTTGTGCAAATTCACCGATAGCGTCATCTGTGTTTGACTCAGTCCACGTAGCAAAACTTTTTGACCAGTTTTTACTCTATAAAAGATAAAACTTTGGTCGTTAACTCTCATTACAAATCAGTCAGACATTTTATATCACTGTCATTCTCTCATGGTCTTAATGTTGAGGGCATTGCAGCGTATTTATAACTCACGCACTTGCAAGTGTGTGAACTTCAGCGCAGCAAAAATAAAAGAGCAGCGGTTTTAGTCGTAGCACTTTGTTGGTGCTGAGGGTAAAGAGTTAAATTTGATGCCAGCAGCATATCTAAAAACAGTTGGGCCAGGCGGATGTTTACTATTGTGTTGGAGCGCCTCTTCTTTTAGAAATACTCTGTAAACATTTGGGGACAGAGGAGGCTAGTTTTCTGGCGTTTTGAAGGTGAACTTTTGCAGCCTCCTTCGTTGTATTTTTCATCCCATGATGCACCAAATGTTTTTACTTCACAGATAATAGAAGTTATCTGAACCCCATGCAGTGATTTCCACTACAGAGTCATGCCTGTTTTTTTTTTTAATGCAGGGCTTCCTGAGAGCCTAAAAATAATGGCCATCCAGTTCTGATTTAAGCCTTGTTGAACTATTAACTAACACAGTCTCTCTAAAAAAAAGTTTAGGACGCCCCGTTTTATAACCAATCATGTTACCAACTTGTTGCTTATTAGAAAAACTAAGTGATGCTTTTTATCATTGCACTTTTTGTTGTCTTTTTTCAGCCTTTTTTTAACATGGCATTGGCGTCCAGTTCAAAATGTGTAGGAGTGGGAGAGAAAATCAATAAAGCATAGTATCGTGATATTTTGTCTGGTGATATATCGTATCGTCTCATTAACCAAGTATAGATTTTTTTCAAATTAATTGCTAATATGAAGCCAATTCTATGATAATGGAAAAATAAAATCAACTGTTTGTCCAGTGAGGTTGGCAGAGGTGACATAATAGAGCAGGAGAAGTTTAGTACAACAAATATAGCAAGATAACAGCTACATGAAAATAAAATACTGTGTAAATAAGACAAACATAACGGCAAGACAAATTCTAAAGTGGCTCAACAGTTGAAAAATTTGTATAAATTGCAATATATTGTATCACAATACTCACTTTATTGCAAAATGTTAAAAATTGCAATAATATCGTATCGTGGCACAAGTATCGTGATAATATTGTATCGTGATAATATATCATGGCACAAGTATCGTGATAATATTATATTGTGGCACAAGTATCGTGATAATATTGTATCAAGATAATATCATATCATGGGGCCACAGGTGATTCCCGCTCCTAAAAATAAGCTTATATTTTTCAACAAACACCAAAACTTCTCGATTTCACTCTTAAATATGATGTTTTTGTTCTATTTTGAAGGAACTTTGTGGGTTTTGATCAACATTTTTCACATTGGGGTTGTAGAAATTCACATGAGGCAATAAAAAATTTTACTCAACCACTTTAAACACAATTAAACAGAAACCCTGTAAAATTACAAACAATAAAACGCAACAAAACAAACTTTTATTGTCACTTAAGTTAACTTGTTATTCACGCATGAGAGAAATGATCCGAAGCAGCGAGTTCATGCATGTTAATGTTGGCTTACCCTGTGGCACGCAATATGAGCTTGGTTCAAGGGAAACGCCAACAGTTGGATCCTGAATCTGTACTTGTCAGGTATTTATTTATGAAAAGGAGAATTTTAGAGATTTTGATTGATGGAGCTTTAACGCTGCCTCTGTGATCTAAATCTGGGGTGGACCTTCTGGGTCCGTATTATCTCCACCTGCTAATGGGACAAAATCAAAATTTCCACCTCACCTGATCAAGATAAACACCCTTGCATGGACCGTGCTGCCTGTGCACATGCCAATAACCACCTTAGCCTGTTGTTGGGTAGTGGAAATATCTTTTAATACTTTTTTGGCTGTGAGAAGGAGGAATGCATAGGTAAACAGAGAGAGAGAAGAGGAAATGGAGCAGAATGATGAGACGCCTGAAGGCACGGAGAATGACAGACAGGGAGAGGAACAAAAAGGTGGTGAAATTAATGGCGATGGAGGTTGAGGCTAAGAGGAGGAGGAACCAGACGAGGGGGAAAGGCTTTTGATGCTATAGAACTGGGTTGGCAAGACTTTTGAAGAGGGGTGAAAAATGGAGGTTGAGAGGAGGTTTTTTTTAGAGTTTATGGATGAGAAGTGTTGGAGAAGAAGGTGATTTAGAGGCTGTGTCCAGCCTGGGCAACAGGGTGGGGGAGCTGAGAGGAGGGCGGTGGGGCAAAAACCCTGCGGGGTATGGCTCCTGAAACACGCACTTTAAAAAATGAAAATATATCACGGAGGTAAGTGTGGATGATCACAGAGCAGAAAAGCAGCAGGGTGAAAGAGAAAAAGAAGAACTTGGAGTTGCTTCGGGGAAGATGAGGATTAGGGATGACAGTTCGTTGGAGGCCACAGCGAGGAGGAGAAAAAAAGAGGGGGATCAGGACCAAATGCAGATGGGGGGATGTGAAGAGTGAGGAAAAGGGGGGGTCAGAGGAGGATAGACGGATGTGGGGGAGGAGGCCCTCAGAGGAGTGGCCATCTGTTGTTTCTGCTGTCCTGCGGTGGAGACTGTCGGCTCTTCTAGCCAGGCCCCTTCCTTTGAACTTGAACAGAGCCATTTTTGTGTCTGTATGAATGAGACGGAGTAAGAGAGGGGGAAGGTACCCTGAAAACCCCCACGGTCTGAACCAAGATCCATCGTCTGCTTATACTTATTCTGCTATACATAGATTTTCTGGTAACTATATGGAATATGTGGTTATAATATTCGATATTGTGGTACTAATCTGAAGTGAAAAAGTAAACAAATAGTTGAAGACTGTGAATCCAGTGTTTGTCTAAATGATGAAGGTGTTATTTCAGTGAGAAGTGAAGCAGATTAGGTGTGTTTGCAGCTCTAATTTGACTAAATGCAGCTCTCTTTTGCATGGTTTTGCATGGCACTTGACTTCTCATCTGGCGCTCTTGATAACGTGTGAAGAAGCTCTCTGTAGCTGAAGCCCGTCTATCTATAAACCCTACCAGATTAAAACCTGCATCATGGTCTAAGTATATTTCTGCAGTCAGGAAGTGAGTTTGCAGGCTGGTAGGTAACTGTGTTTGCAGCAGCTCAGTCATTTGATGTGCTGTCTCCTGTGGTTTGCTGGTTGATATTTCCCCATATACACCAGCGCAGTCAGAAGAGCTCATGTTCTTGGTAATTAGTGCACTGTGTTGTGGTTTTCTGTAAATACCTCAGGTCTCTTTATAACTTTGAAGAGATGCAGCATGGGGCTCTGTGTACTTGATAGTTACAGTTACTGACAAATGATTAGCATTCGCTCTAGATGCCAAATTAAAGGTGTTAGACACTTTTTTGGCAACTGTGTAATAACTGCTTGTTCTTATTTGGCATAAGCGCTTTTTTGCACAGACAGTTTTCGGAGTTAGACAAATTTATTGTTGTAGTTTTGTTTTTGAAGGCCAAATCTAGAAATATGTAAAAATTCACAGACACATTTAAAACACATCAGCATGACATCGGTATCTGCAGATATGAAAGTTTCCCACATATAATATTGGACAATGAGTAATAGAGTCCAGGATTTGACCTGTTTTATGCCTGTTTCTAAATAAATACATCCTCACAATCAAGAGGAACAAGAACATTTTATCACAGTTAGGCTATGTTCACACATATCTGATTTTTTCATGGAAGTGTGAACAGTGCAATTCTGATGTTTTCAAATCTGACCCAGGCCTCTTTTGTATGTGGATATAAATTGGATGTGTATCCAATGTGACTACAGTGTGGGCGCTCAGGTCGCGTTCGTCCGACCAATTCGTCATCAATATGCGACAAACGTCACCATTGTTCGACAACACAAACAGGCGTGGAAAGCAATTTGTGCTCAAGCGGGTCATTTCACGGGCGCATTCCGTTCACATTAGATGCTGCATTCGTTGTTGTAATGTGAACGACCGCACAAAAAGATCGGATTTAACAAAAAAATCTGAATTGTGCATCATAACCTGAGGTATGAGCATAGCCTTAGGGGTGTCCTGATACAACTTTGTGACTTCTGATATGATACTGATATTGTAGCCGTCAATATTGACCGGCACCGATATTGATCCAATAACAATGACAAGTTTTTCGCTCAGCTGCAATGTCTTTTTCAGACTTAAACAAAGAATACTGCCACACAGCTGACATCACTCCTACTCCTCGGTACTTTGTTTGTACTTTAGTACACACTGTTGTTGTGATTTTGTGGGTTCAGCTCGCTGGATCAGGGTGCTGCTCGGGAGAGTTGCCGGAGTGGATTCTGGAATGAACTGCTTGTATCGGAGTGCTGATATTGGAAATTTTAGATGCAGGCCGATATAATCCAATTTTCATTTTTTTGCTGATATCGGACATCTGATATCAATATCATATTGGGACACTCCCAATCACAATAGAAACTTTTGGTTCTTTACAATAAATTTTAAAAAGTGCGTATTTATTGATATTGATATTACTGTTGGTCAAAAAGGAGTTGGAATATTGTCAAATATTCAATATCATCCATCCCTGTGTGAAGTATAATGAAAGCAGAAGAACCCGACCAATATGGAAACCCTCTCACTAACACTGATACCTATTTATGGTGTAAAACAGTGACTGTAATATCAGATATGAGGCTGATAATGTTGATTTATATGCTCGAGTTAAAATAGACCCTCTTTATTATGGTGATTTCAGGTGTAGAGCTTAAGACTGAGCTTTCTTGATGCTTTTTTGAACATTGTGTTTTGATTATTATCTTTACACTTTTGTTTGCACAAGTTTGATATGTGTGCAGCAGACAGCGCTGAGAGTATTCTGTTGTTTTTGCACCAAAAGGGGAACCGGTTGTATTTGCAGAACGATACTGAGTCCAGTTTTTTTTTGTTGTACATACAGTGAATATGATTTAGTTTAATAATGATTCCCCCTGCTTTGAGAAGCCAAACTGTTTCGCTTCTCTTCCTGCAGTCACGTGTGTGCAACACTGTTCACTTCTGCAGGATGTGTTTGTGCGTTGACTCGCCTTCCACCCAGGGCATGCTGGGAATGACTCCAGCTGACCGTGGAAGGATGGATAGACAGATGCATGGATGGTGATGCCAACATGATCTAACAACTGGATGGAAACAAAAATCCCAATAATAGAGAATTGATTGTGGAGCTCTGGATTGACAAATGTACTTAGTCATGGCTTGTCAGGCGAGACTGACCTCATTTCAGTTCTCTTTTCTGTGCTGTCTTCCTTTTCTGTTTCCTCTGTTTTCTTGCTGTGTGGGACAAATTATCCATAAAAAAGAGCACATTTCTGACAGTTTAAGGTCACACTGACACAAACAGAAATCAACGCACCGTCCACATTTTTGCAGCTACCAGAAGAAAGTTCACCTTGGGCAAATATCAGGATTAATCCTTTGTTTAGGTTCGCTCTCCTCTTCTTGAAACATGAGACCTTTGGTTTGCTTTACAGGTTCGCCATCGAGCGTCAGACCAGGTCATGGCTTTGAAGATGAACAAGCTGAGCAGCAACAGAGCCAACATGCTGAGAGAGGTCCAGCTAATGAACCGGCTCTGTCACCCCAACATACTCAGGTTAGTAACACCCTGAATCATGCCGAGTTACAAAAAAAAAGTACACCTTTAAATGCACCTTTATGTCTGACTTGATTATCTTTTATTATAAGCTACATTTTGAAAACCTAGAATTCTCCTTGCACTGATTATTTATAGAGATTTCACCATAAGCTAAAGACCTTTCTGTTGTTTTCTTGCAACATCTGCCTCCTTCAGTTAATTAGCACACATAATGCCTCTGTGCGCCTCCTTCTCTGCCCCCCTCCTCCTTCTTTAACTTGCTCATGAGTCTGTGGTTATGACCTGTTTCCTTTGGGGTTGGACAGAAACTGTGTCAAACACAGAGCCACTTCACGATGTATTTTCTAAACTGCCAGCTCCTGTTAGAGCTGCTGCAGACGCCCCGAGGCCAAAAGCAAAGAAGGCCCTCACTGTCTGAAGACGAGGGCTGTAGACAATCGTGTTGTTTTTTAGAGATTACGGTCAACAAGTATTTGAAGAAGCAAAACACGACACTGTGATGTATTTTACACCTGACTCTGTGGTCTGGGAGTGAGACTTCTTTGTGGTCAGTCACTATCTCTGGAGGAGTTGGACAAAATCAACCATTTCATAAACTGATCATGTTGTGCACACGGCTTATAAGCATCTCCCAAAACACAAGTAAGTAAGTAAACTTTATTTGTATAGCACTTTTCACAGACAAGAGAGTCACAAAGTGCTTCACGTAGACCAAAATAAAAAGATGCACATACAAATTAAAAGGCCAAGACAACAACATTTAAACAGTCATAGTAGCCTCAAAAACAATTAGACAAAAACCTGAGCAAATAAATAAGTTATGAGTTGGCTTTTTAAGGAGTCAGCAGAATCAATTAAGCGCAGAGAGAGAGGAAGATCGTTCCAAAGTCTGGGGGCAACAGCCTGGAAGGATCGGTCTCCTCTGGTCCGAAAACGAGCGCGCAGAACCATCAGTAGATTCTGATCCACGGACCTCAGATATAGGATGGAGCCTGACCATGCAAGGCTCTAAAAGTTAGGACCAGAATTTTAAAGTTGAGCAGTTAATAAACATGCCGAAACCAAAACCAGAACTATCTGATTACTTAATCTAGTTTTTGCTAATCTGGTGATCTTGTGGCTGTTATATAAAGTTAACAGAGAACTTCTTCTTCTAATCATCCGCATTAAACAGTTTGACATTTTAAGCTTTGGATGAAATGAAGATATTCTTCTAAAGTTGGTTAAAATAAACCTTTAGCAGCAGTGATATGAACAAACATGTTTTTCTGAACTCCTATTTTGAGTTTTTAACTTTTGTTTTCGATCGTACCCAAAAGACACATTACACAACTGCAGCACATTCAAAACAATGAAAGCACTATTAATGCACTTCTAGGTATTACTTATTTATAGAGCGTTAAGTGTTCGAGTTCGTTGAGAGCTTATGGGCAAATTAGAGGTCGTATAAACCCAAGAGGTTTTTTAGACTTTAAGGAAACAGTCTTTGACACAAACTCATAATGTTATATATTTAGGTCTGTTCTGTTGGTGACTTTAGCTTCTGTTAATCTAGCATTTGCTCGATCTGAGATTTTAATCATGTATGTTTGTAGCTCTTTATGATGTCTCATCTTCACCTGAAAGTATTTAAGAGCTGCTAAACAAATAAAGTGGCCTTGTGTCGTGTTTTATAGCAGGAAAGGGAAAAGCCGGTCAACAAAATAAAACAAGTTGACGACGCCATGTGTCTACAACGCCCTGAAATCCCTGTCAGGGCGTTGCGGTGGAAATCGAATACTGTTGGTTGCTCGTTTTTCTTCTTTTGAGCCTTTTTTTTCTCTCCTCTCCAGGCTCTTTAGTGTTTGTGAACAAGCACATACATGCATACATTTCTCTGCAGCTCTGCGTGTGTGTGCATGCGCGTGTGAACTTGCACACACACACAGACACACACACACAGATGCAGAGTATCTTTTACAATGCCATCTTTGTTGAGCACGTCTAGAGGATTGTGTGTGTTAACAAGCAGACACTGAGGGGGTCATTGTTAACTCGAATCCAGCAAGAACCCACAAAGTTGACCTTTTCATTGCGCTCAGATTTACGAGGCCTTGAGCTCTGCTGGTAAACAAAGTCGGTTCATATGCTGCTCTGCACACACATTGTTTTACTTAAGGTGAAGGGGTGCATGCTGCTCACTGGGTTAAGGACGTTTCCAACCTCGCAGGGTTTGGAGACTCTTACCGCCGACTGTTCAAAAGGAAGAGTTGATGAGCTCGAGGTGGATTTATTCCAATAAAGTTACACTCAGTTTATTAGATTTACACACATGTGAGTGAGCAGCCTTAGCGCCTTATCAGGAATGCAGAAATTGATAGGCCAGGTAGAGGAGGACATGAGAGGAATGCAGGTGAAGCAACTGAGCTGTTATTATCCCGCTCGCAGACAGTCTCGCAGTAATCACTTGTCTGGTCTTGCCCGCTGGAATCTTAACCTTTTCTTAACTATCCTTCCTGCTTTCTCTGTTTACTCGCAGCAGAGAGTGTCATGAAAGTATTGTAATGTGTATCAACTTGTAGTTGTTGACCTAACAGGAACTCAGAACTGAGTTTCAAACTTATATAGATAGAGGAGATGGTAAAGAAGAGAGAGTTTATCGAGCAATTACCATTTGGAACACTTTACCGACAATGATCACGGAAGCACCTAGTAAGGCTAGTTTTAAGAGACTCCTTAAAAGACACCTGACAAATTACACTAATCTTAATTGTAATCTTAACTGACTTTTAAATTTTTGTTTAATTTGTTTGCTGCTTGTTTTTTTCTTGTTGTTTTGTTTTTGTTTTTGTTTTTGTTTTTTGTTTGTGGTTTGCTTTTACTGGACTTTTATTGTCTTGAATGACCTTTGCAAGACTTAACATGTTTTATTGAATTATGTATTGTTTTGTCTTGTATTGTATTGTTTGTTTTATTTGTGGACCCCAGGAAGAGTAGCTGCTACCTTGGTGGCAGCTAATGGGGATCCGTATGAATCAAGAATAAAGAGTAAAGTTATCTATTCTACTTGAGTCTACATGTCTCAGAGGTAAAATTATAACTTTTTGTGAATATTATTTTGAACCTGAGTTTTGGTTTTGCAGGTTCAAAGGAGTGTGTGTCCACGAGGGTCAGCTTCACGCTCTCACAGAGGTAAGAAAAAAAAATCAAGAACACAACATTTCACTTTAGAGTTGGTGGAGCTGGACGTCTGTCAATATTTTCAGTGAGTGTTGTGAACATGACCACAAAACTCTCAAAGCAGTGAGTCAAAAAAAAAACATTTGATATGCAGTCTACATTTGTTCCTAATGAGGATTATTCAAACACTGACGGCTGAGGATGCTCAAGTAGAGAGCCATCAGTAAGTTCTTCCTTTCATACATAGTTACACTTTGCAGACTGTGTCATTGGGAACACTTAATGGGAATATGATTCAAGGACCTGGGACTGAACCTCCAACCTTCCCAGGGATGATGAGCTCTCTCACTGAGCCTCATCCATCCCTGTAAGGTGCAGCACCTGGCAGTCTCCCATCCACGTACTCACCAGCCCCAGCCCTGCTGAGCTCTCCAGATCGGATAAGTTTGGGCGTGTTCAGAGCGGCGTGGCTGTGAGCATGTGTGAGAGCGCGCCATTTACAACAGGGCTTTTACACAGTATGTTCTTACTGTGTCCTTAAGGTGAAGAACACGTCATCCCTGCGCACAACACAGCAGCCGCTCCAGCCTGTAATTGTGGACAAACCATTAGAACTGAATGTCCTGACACGTGGGCTCCGTGTGTGTGTGTGTGTGTGTGTGTGTCTGTGTGTGTGTGTGTGTGTGTGTGTGTGTACGTGTGAGGGAGAATTTGATACAGCAGCTAATAAAATCCTCCAGAGATGCTTAATGTTAGGACTGACACCATTAGGGTTACAGTGAGGGATGTTTTCTGGCTGCACAAAGCCTATATTTAACCGGAGTGTGTTTATCTGTGCGTGTGTGTGTGGTAGTGGGGGACAGATTAGATTGCATTAGTGGTAATCATTAATTTGTCATGGAAAACTGTTGATAAGCAGCTGATATTATTACCCCCCTAATTAGAAGAATCAACACGAGAAAAGTAGGGCTCTACTTTTGTGGACCGGGAGGAGATGAAGAGAAAAAGAGTAAATATGAAGTATGATAGAAGATGGTGTGTTGATATTGCGTTGACCCATGGCCTGAGTGTTTGTGATGATTCATAAGGAGTTGAAACATCTTTGAAAGATAATTTCTTAACCCTTAAGGTCCTTACACACCGGGAACGACGCAAATATATAACGCAAATTTACGAAATATTCGGAGGCGAATTTTGACGTGCCTGACTTTACACATCAAATGCGATGCGATTTTACGTCCCAGGTGGAAGCGAGAAGACTGACATAACAGCAGACTGACTGTTTTTCAGTTCTGATTAGACTCTAGTGTTGAGATGTCTGTCTGTCATGATAGCATGTACTGAGTTGGGGCCAGTACCAGATAAGCACATTAAACTATAATTCATAAACGTAAGGTAACAACCGAGACCTAATGGTGCTGTGACAGTGAAAATACATATGGTATGTTGTATCTTAACAGGTTAGCTTACGAGCTAAAGTTACTTAGCACAGATGAAAGTTAAAACAAAGACGTTTAGCAAACTGTTAAAGAACACAAACCATCGTCATATGAGAAATCTGATGCTATGACTCTCCACAAGTCGTCCTTCAGGTCGTTATCTTTGTAATATTTGTGTCTTTTATCAAAAATCACTCTGTTCTCCGACACGTAAACAATCAGCCAGTCGGCCATGTTGGATAATCGGTAAATCAGACGTCGCAACAACATGCAATCTGGTCAGAAGTGGACACACAGTATGCAAAACTTAAGAAAATTTGACTGTGGTATGAAAAAATATACGCCGCAATATCGTCGCTGATGTGCATGCTTGTATTGACAGGATACGGGTTCGAAAAAAAATATTGACGTCTGAAATAATCGCACGAAAAAACGCTCCCGGTGTGAAAGGACCTTTAGAGTCATATGGACACATTTTTAGACTATTTTCATTTTCAAAAAGAATATTTCTGACCCCTGGACAGAAATTTGAAGCTAATTTCAGATTTTCTCGTCTTGCTTTATCCCCCTGCCGTTTAAGTGGACATTCATTAAAGTACGGCGACAGCTCAGCACACATCAATACGATTTGCACTCATGCACAAAGGTCTCACACACATGCACCTTTTTCACAGCTGACCCAGTGACTGAAGAAGGTTTGCTGTAAACATGTTTGTGTTTGAATGCACAGTCAGTGGGGAGAATGCATGCAAATGTGGGCAAACAGAACAAAACATGCAATTCATCCGACACTGAAGAAAGAACACACTGTTAAAGATGCTTACAGACACACACACACACACACACACACACACACACACACACACACACACACACACACACACACACACACACACACACACACACACACACACGTACTGGGTTACACTGCTGCAGTGCACAGTGAAGGTCTTTATTGTTGCCTTTACCAACAAAGACAACAGTGACTTTCTGCAGCTCCATATCTAAGCATGCTAAATCTGCTTCCTATGCTCTTGCAGAGTGAATCCATACACTGTGAGAAGAGCGTCTGAGTCTGCACTAACACACGCTGCGGTGGGTCTTTTTTTCCTGCTGCAGGGTAAACAGATCCTGTTGTGTTGTGTCAGGTCCAAACTGGCTTCTGTGACCCTGGTAGCAGACTCGTGCTGTTTTGTTACCTGACCCCCACTATGAGGCCGTGCTCAGAGGAAATGGAGAATTAAGTTACTGCGTGGCCCCAGGCTACCTCCAGAACCCTCTGTGCGTGGGACGGACAGATGCACACGTGTGTGAATGTAAAAGCACACTGCAAGAAGCAACGAAGGCTAAATAAAACTTCACTCATAGATAGTTTTAGTTCTTTTCATGACCATTACGCAGAGGGATTCAGGGGCTGATTATTGGTTTGTGTGTATAATCAGTGAGTTCAATGCTAACAAAAACAAGGATTTATGCTGCGTTCCAGTTGTACTAGGAAGTCGGGATTTCTGAGCTCTGAGTCGGAAATTCATCTGGAACGCCCCCCTGAAGTCGGACCCCAACTTGACAACAACGTCATAATCCAAGATGGCAGCACAGTGCATCAATAGTAAAGAGTAAAAGTGAAAGCTCTCGTAATGTATTATTTATTAGCACTTCTGTTTTGTTTTTGTGAAATTAAATAAGTAGTATATGTTGTACTGCCCAACGTCTATACAGTCTTTGGAAGCAACATTACAACATAGCATAAGCAGTTCAGAGAGAGGAGGGCAGGGAGAGGAGCGGGAGTGTGGATTTGTGTGTGCCTGAAAAGCCAAGGGACAGAATAAGCATGATCATGAGTGTGCAGAAGTGCTAACAAGTCACTTAAATGTGTGTGATGCAGATGTCAAATCATGCTAAATCATTTCTTATAATCCTGATTATGATTCTTGCAATCACCGAGCAGCCCTAGTCACTGTGTCTCCATTTAAAGGAGCTGCTGCTGTCACTCCCACACTGGAGTAAAGCACGTGTAGTATGTTGTAAACTCCACTTGTCCCAGGCTGAAGCTGAGCAAAAGTCAACATGTCTGGAGAAGAAAATCAAGAGAGTGACAGGGAGTGTGAGCGCAGGAGGGAGGGAAAGCTTCTGCCAATGTTGATGCTGAATGAACAGGATGAGGAGAATCACGGACAAAACTTGAGTATTTAAAGGAAAAGTTTGTGACATGATCTCAGGGAACATGATCTCTAAGGGCAGTGTTTTAACTGGCCTGAGTGGACGAGTGAAACGTGCAGTCAGCTGGCCTGGAGTCTGTCTGTCTGTCTGTCTTGTCTGTCTGAGTTAGTCATGCCTGTATTATGACAAAACACCCGAAAATTAAATATATTCAGCGCCAGAATGAGGTGTTTCTAACACTTTTTAATATTTCTTGCCTTTTTTTTTTACACTGAATATAAATTTAAACTGAAATAAATGTTAATATCCGCAATCTAGTGAATTTCTCTCAAAAGCCCAGCTAAGATACAATGATACATCAAATTTGTTGATACCCCCCTCTCTCTCTCTCTCCGCTGCACCTTCTGGTCTAGATTATCGAGCTCAATCCCGCACTAATGCACTTTACCAGAAATGCATCTGCAATCATAATCTGAGCGAACGGTAAGTCATGACCCCCGGCAGGATTATACCGCTGTTTGAAGCTGCTTCCTGCAGCAAACAACGATCCTTTGTTTAGTTGAACCTGAAGCACCGACAGTAATTTTCCCAGCGTAGTTGTAACCGGCCGTATGTTTCTCATTTCCTTTGCACCCCAGGTAATGCATGATCACAGAGAGGCACATGTATGGCTCAAACATGTGCTATGTCAAGTAATTACTGCAGTGTATCAGTAACTTCACAAATAGGATCAGGTAAATTCCAGGGGAAAATACCTTGCCTGAATAAGAGGCTTTTTTGAACAAGAGTTAGTTTTAGTTGACACAGCAGGTGCACTCTACTGCTAAACCGTGTGATTTGCATTTTTTCACCAGAGACACTTTGTACTCGCTGCATTTCCCAAAGCAGCGATGTGTGAAGTCAAAGCGGCTGCTATTCTGATCCAAACTAAAATGATGAATAAAGGAAGTTGGATTAGTCTGAGTTTGACTTACCTTCAGGAGCGTTTTCCCCCGTTAACCCGCCTCCCCTTCAGCAGACAGCAGATGTTGAACTCTGTGGCTACTGAGGAATTTGTTGTATAAATACTTTAATCCTCTGATGACTTGAAATGGGGTGTATTTGTGTGCGTGTCAGGACGTTTGATGATATAAGGAGCTCAACCTTTTGCAAACGGGGGTTAAAGCATTGCTTTATATCGTAATTGACGAATCCTCTGAATTTTTTTGACTTTTCAAAATAAGAGCAACAGATCGTTATACCAGTACTCACTTACCTTAAATAGAAAATGTTGCTTTGGCTGCATGAACGGATCTTAAATAAGCAAGAGTATGTGATTGTCTGCTCAGTGCTACTCCATTTAAAACTAGGGGTGTTCCAATATAACATTGATATTGAATATCGGTCCGATATCAGCAAAAAAAAAAAGAATATTGGATTATATCGGCCTGCAGCTTAGATCCCGATATCAGCACTCAGATACAGTGGTCCATTCCAGACTCCACTCTGGCACTTCTATCCTGCAGCGCCTGGATCCAGCATGTAGCGCCCATGTGATCACAATAACAGTGTGTACTGATGCTGCGTTCGAGTAACCTCGGAAGTCAGAAGTCCGAGATGAAGATGACGTTTCACCGGAGTTACTAGCGTTTCAGTTACTGGAAAAAAAGCAAAATCGGAGTCGGAAACAAGACGGCTACATCTACGAAAGTTATTTTAGCGCTTGTCTTGTCAGAATATAAGGCAAGCACTAAAATAACTTTCGTAGATGTAGCCATCTTGTTTCAGGCTTTCGATTTAGCTTTTTTCCAACTTCGTAACTGAAATGCTGGGAACTCAGGTGTGACTTCATTTTCAGCTCTGACGTCTGACTTCCGACGTAACTCGAACGCAGCATAAGGCTCTAACAAAGTAGTAAGGAGTAGTAGTGATGTCGGCCTTGTAGCAGTATTTTCGTTTCAGTCCAGAAGAGCAGCTGAGTAAAAAACTTGAAATGCACAATATCGGATCAATATCGGTATCGGTCAATATTGAAGGATACAATATCTGTATCATATCGGAGGTTAAAAAGTTGTATCGGGACACCCCTATGAATAACATTACTGAGGTCAAGAGTGCATGGAATGGTCAGGTTACGATGAGAGCGCCCTCTGCTGGATCATACAAAAAGATACTTCAGGCGGCGTAATTTTGAGATTTTACCGGCTGAACCACAGAAACACTTTAGATACAAGCAGCAACGGAAAAGTTGTGAGGGATGTAAACATGGATTCATCTGGAAAAGTCACGCACAGCTCAAGGGGAATACGGACATTTGTTTTTGTAAAGCAGCTTACAAAGTCCACAGAGCAGAATCTGATATTGTCGGGTATATCTTTAAACTCATTCTTCAATTTTTCTTTTTACGTTAGTTGTAAAATATACAAAGATGAAGAAGAAAAGAATCCGATCTGCTCGAAAGTTCATTTTTGTAGAGAAATAAGAGTCCACCTCCAGTCAGCATCAGCCCACAACCAAACCAGACCATCCCATTAACCGAGCACTATCTCGTTAATACTGGTGATTATATTGTGTGAAAACAGATTAGTGCGTCTGTGTGCTTGCATGCGAGCAGCGAGGTCAGACAAGTTCTTCTGGATCAAAGCTGGAAGACAGAGTGAAGGACCCTCAGATACGTCTAAACCCTCTGAGCTGATTTCTTGGCTCGGTCAGACGATCTACTCTCTTGCACGCAGAGAACTAGCAGCTCTATGAGCCAGATTTTATCCAGCCAGTTGGTCGATACCTCAGCCAGCCTACAGGCCACCAGGCAGGCCGTCTGTGACCCAAACCACCCACCATTGGTCCTCACTGTGAGCCAGCTGGACAGGCAGTTGCTTTGTTGTCATGTTTGTAGCTTTATGTGGTTAGACCCACACTCGATAACTCATTAATTTTCAGGCCGTCTATGCTGTCCGTGGTTTTATACTCACACTTGGTTCAAACATCTCACATTCAGTTCCTGTGAAATGTTGTTCGGCATTTCCTGGCTCACTCACATGATAACCACAAGCGGCTACTGATGAAGGTTTTTCTCATCATAGGGTTACAATGTTAGTCCTGCAGGATCTTACTTTATCCTCCCTTCGTTGTTTTTTGAGACTTTTTTAATGTTAACATGCTTCATTGGTTTCTCCATCTCTCTTCAGTACATCAACGGTGGAAATCTGGAGCAGCTTCTGGACAGCAACAAACACCTGAGCTGGCCCATGAGAGTGAAACTGGCCTGTGACATCGCCAGCGGTCTGGCCTACTTGCACTATAAAGGCATATTCCACCGGGACCTCACCTCCAAGGTCAGCCAGACGGGTTAATTGGTTATTGAGAAGAGAAACCTAAGCTAAGAATAGAAGTTCAGGCCTAGCTTTGTCGCTTTCTTCAAGCTTTGCATTTTCAGACTGGTAACTGTCTGTTTTGTGGTTCGTGACTTGCACAGTTCATTCTCAATCTTAGACAGCTCAGGATAAGATATCATTAAATGTTTTATACAGACGGTAAAGTGATCCAGCCTCTGGACTTGCCTGTCTGCTCTTTGACTTGAAAACCTGTTAATTTCTCTGTAAAAGAACACGGTGTCACAGTCAGATGTGATGATGATCAGTACCAGGCAGTGTCTAGCGTTCCAACTTGACCGGAGGCCATGTTGGCATGGATCTGGCATGGAACAGCACAGGAACAGCATGCACTCTGCTGAAAACTCATCCCCGCTCTGAACCCTGTTTGTCAGACCTCACTCAGTCGAAGCATCTATCTATCTATCTATCTATCTATCTATCTATCTATCTATCTATCTATCTATCTATCTATCTATCTATCTATCTATCTATCTATCTTCCTACTAACCTTCCTACCTACTACCCTTCCTTCCTTCCTTCCTTCCTTCCTACCTACCTACCTACCTACCTACCTACCTACCTACCTACCTTTATTTATTGTATTATACCTTTGATTATTGTAGTTCACTGTTGCCTCCCTCTATATTATATTTTACCCTAAAAACCTGATCCTGGTAGTCAGGCTTTCTAATGATTTGTTAAGGTTACGTTATTTGTTGACATAGTTTCCATGACAACCCAGCACCAGTTGACACTCTGTTTTGTTTATAATGTCAGAATTTACACAGTGTGAAGCACCGAGCCTGTTGTGTAACATCTCTGAATGTCTCCATAGTTCCTATTTTCTGTAAACAGACGATGAGATGTCCGCACAGTCGAATATTATCGAAGGCTTCACTTCAATCAGGAAGTGAAGGTTTGCCTGATAGTTCTGAGCTGCTAACTTTTCTTCCTTCCAGCGTCACGACTTCCTCCACTTCACCACGCTAACATGAAAACGATAATGTTTTTCTCTCCTTTCGCAGAACTGTCTGATCAGATGTGACGATAACGGCTACACAGCAGTGGTGGGAGACTTTGGCTTGGCAGAGAAGATCCCCACCAATCTGTAAGGAGCTCTCCGCTCATTACCGCTCACAGCTAGACCTTCATGTATTCACAGATCAGGCTCTTTTTTCATTCAAATGTGTAACTTATGTAACGCACTAATCAGTCCTTTCCCTATTGACGCCGTCGATTCTCATGAATGTGTCGTATAAAGGAGGCTGTCGCTGAACTCTTGACTTGACAGCGCTTTGCAGATGCTTTAGTTCGCCCTTCTGGTTTCTGATGGCTTAATTACTCTGCGGTTGAGTCTCAGCTGTCCTCACCGGCCCCTGTAGACTCATGGGCTGTAAACAAAACCTTCTCTATGTGCTTTACTGGCCGATCACCAACAGTAAACAGACAATTAGCGGGTGGCGGATGATCACGTAGTTATCGCCCGAACTAAAAGATAAGTAGATGTTGGACTTAACAGATTTCTTATGCTGTGTACTTGATATACAAACTGCAACTAGCTTATGTGTTACTATCAAAAATTAAATAATACATTTATATTGTAGATGTGCAACAATCAGCAGGTTTTGATGATTTCTATGCCCCCTAGTGGCTAATAATGTGGCAGCTTTAAGGCAAACATCTGTACAATTTTAACATTACAGTTCTTACAGTGAAACTTCCCATATGAGGTGGGTTTACTTTTCAAAATTCACATATAAAAGGCAGAAAGTAACTTCTCCAAAGTGCCTTTTAAACACAAATATAACAAATGCATTGCCAAATACTTCACCCTGTCTCTTATCTGGAGTAAGTCGTCATTTACACACAACGTCCCCGGGGTCGGGTCATGTTGTTTACGGGGTCAAACTGAGTTCACATGAAGCCATAAGGAGAACTAAACATTTAATCTTCACCTCTGTGTTCAGGATTTCATGACAGTATTTAGCATGAGTCACCTCAAAGACTCTCAAGTGTGTCACATAATCCGGCGCTTAAACATCATCATAGAGCAAATACATGAAACGTGTTTGAAATAACCTTCGTCGAACCCTGTGTTTGTTTTTGTAGCGCTGAGAAGGAGAAGCTCTCAGTGGTCGGTTCTCCTTTCTGGATGGCTCCTGAGGTGCTGAGAGATGAATCCTACAACGAGAAGGTAACGTCACCTGCTTTTACATCTAACCTCCGCCACCATAAAGCGAGAACAGATGTCAGCTGAGATTGTGTTTGATATAAACTCATAAAAGTTCATATTTCTCTCGATCTTGTTGTGTTTTCAGGCTGACGTCTTCTCCTACGGTATAATCTTGTGTGAGATCATCGCGAGGATCCAGGCCGACCCGGATTTCCTCCCTCGCACCGAGGTGACTGCTCATCAACTTGTCCTCACAGTCATCCATCCTCCTGTTTGCTTTGTACACAGGATGATCTGTTTGTGTCCCGCCAATGATACCCTATCCTACCCTAGTGCCGCGTAACAATCACATGACTCAAAGTTTATTTTTTTATAGGGAGAGGAGATTTCAACTCTTTTCTGTATAAAAACGATTGGATGTTGATGTTGAAAACCTAACATAGTTTTCCCTTAAATTCACCCGTATCTTGACCCTCTAAATTTTTACTCGGCAAAGAAGAAACTCTTAAGTTTTGATCATTTGCACAAACGCAGGTCTAGATTGTCTGAAAACATTTCTTTGAAAGCAGCTTTTTCCCTCATAATTACAAACTAAAATCAGAAAAATGCACCTCACTGATTTCAGACGCCTGCAGGATCACTTCAGAGGAGTTAGTCTGACATGAAGTGCGTTTCTGCAGATTTATAGTGTCCGTCTTTATCCCGCTTTTAAAGTAAATAGGAATTTCCTGCTCGACTTGAATCCATCCATCTCTTCTTCTCTCTCCCTCCGACTTTAACAGAACTTCGGCCTGGACTATCACACGTTCCAGCACATGGTCGGAGACTGTCCGCCTGACTTCCTCCAGCTGGCTTTCAACTGCTGCAATGTGAGTTGATGATTATATATTATAGATGATTATTACAATCTTATGTAATCTTGTGTTCCTGAAGGTTAAATCCATCTAGACAACGAACTTTGTGCGTTAAATGAACCGTCTCTTTGTTGTTTTCCTCGATTCCTCCGCTTGTGTTTTTAATTTCTTAAGTAACTATTAATCACTTGTTCAGAAATAGAGGGGCAATCTGATTATCTGATAATCTGATTGAGCTCTTTGAGGGAGAGGGAAAGGGGGTGGGGGGTGGTGGGGGTCTTACATTTAATAAAAGCTGGATCAGCTGCTCACTCAGGTCCTCGTCATCGTACAACATTCATTCGAGTCTGAACAGTAAGAGTACAAAACTAAATCAAATACCTTTTTAATGAGTTTGAACCGCTGTAGTTTGCACGCACTCTGTTAGAATTACTGAAGTAGATTTAAGTCGATTTATTCGTCAAAATGACGAACAGTAAAGGGCGAGGGATTTAAAGGTTTGGGGGCACCCTGCTGGTTGAGCCTCTATCCCCTCTCATCCTTGTCTCTTGTCATCATCCTCTTCTCTACTGTCTTCGTCTCCATCAATAATCCAGTTTACAGTTTTACATTTTTATATGAAAGTGACTTGCTGTGTTATCTCAGTCCTGTTTTATTTATAAGTGGCTTTAGTTTGGTGTCTATTATATGAAAACTTAATCTTGTGTTTTACTTGTATGAACGAGGTTTGAGCATGTGTTTCATTTGGACTGCTAAAGCTCATCAACAATCTCCCTTCAGATTTCATTGAAAACTAACAGGAGAACTTTGATGTCACTTTAATAATGTTCATAATAATTAACTAATAATTAACTATTCAGCTCTTGGACACTAATGTCTTTAGGGACATGATGAAAGTTAATATCATAATTAACTTTCTTACGAGATAACGCACACACTTGTTCCGAGATTGTCCTCTCTGTTAGTCAGCCTTCATAGCGGGGTTGGAGCTTAGATTTGTGATGTAGGAAATCTCACTGTGTCTGAGTCTGCTGTTTGGGTCTGATTACTCAATTAATCAATGGAATATTCAGTAGAACACTCAATTACTAAAGTATTCGATAGCTGCAGCCCTAATAGAAAAGCACCATTTTGTATGTTTTCTGAGTTCAGCATGTAACTGTGAATTCATCTCACTCTTCTCTGTGTCTCCTGTTCGCCCAGATGGACCCAAAACTACGTCCATCCTGCCAGGACATCGTGAGGCACCTCGAGGAGATCCTCGCACGTCTCAAAGTCGAAGAGCTGGTGCACGAGTGTGTTCCTCTGAGCGTGGAAAACGACAAGAAGAGCATACCCAAAGGTGACAATGATACGAGGACGCGCTTTCATGTAGTCGTGTATTTGGTGTTGAACTTCACTGAAACTTCCCGTCTCTCTCGTCACCGGTTCCTCTTACAGAGCCGACTGTTGCTCACGTTTGTCCAGTATGTTGTGTTTACTCTGCTAAACACGCTAAACACACAACCAGGTGTGTTAAAACTGGACTTAAATACTTTTGAAGTCCTCAGTTTATCAGAGGAGGTCCATCCTTATTACAAGAGTGAAAGCCCAGTTACTTATTTAAGGACTAAAGAGGCTCTGGTCGCTGATAATAAGAGAAAAGTCAGTCTGTCTGAGGAGGGAAACCGGTCCAGAGTCAGGACTCCCATAATGAGTTACTGGATCCACGCAGGCCCAGGTTTCACTTCTAATCTGGTCGAGAGTCCAGCTGCCTGCTGGGACCAGCGTGGAGTCAGGAGGCGGCGATGAAACGGCTCCTTCCTCTCTATCCCGGGGTGTATGAACAAAAACAGTCAACATTTGATAAAAGAAGATGCAGGAGGGTTCGATACTCAAAACAAACACTTTTTTATCACTTCTTAGTCTTGTGCTGTAACTCCTGATGGAGCAACATGATCTTAAAACACAGCCATGGTTTGTTAGCAGTAAATATTTCTCATACATATCTTTTATTTTGTGAAAAACACAAACCTGATCCGACAGTTCTCACTCCTCGTCTGCTGTAACACAACTTCATGAGCGTCTCCTCCTGCTGCTGCCCCCTCCTCCTCCTCCTCCTCCTCCTCCTCTAGCTCGCTCTCTTTTAGTCTGATAACATCAACATTTCCTGAAAACCAGGATGAACCTCATCGAGGGGAATATTTTTCTTGCATAACAGATTTTAATCCAAATATTTTAATAGACCGGCTTTTGTGGTCCTCAAGAGTAAAGCAGGCACTTATTCCAGTCGTTTCCTGGCATACGTGAGACACACAATTCCCTCAGAAGTACAAGAATAGTTTGTTATGAATGATAAGATGTTTCTGCGGTGAGCTCATTGTTTATTTACCTTCTACTTCTGCAGGTTCAACCACACTTTAGTGGAGATTCCTTTGTAGTTAAACTCATTAAGTGGCTTTTGTGATGTTTAAGAAACTCAGGATTGAGTCTGTGCTGCCTCCTAGTGGTACCTTAAATTATCTTTGAACCGTCGGGGCACCAAAGGACAATATTTATGTGTTTTTCTTTCTCAAAGGTGACAAGATCCAGGGCTTCAAGCGGCTGAACCCCCTCGGTTTCCAGGATGATAAAATTCCTCCTAAATCTCCCCGCCCCCGACGAAACATCTGGCTCAGCCGCAGCCAATCAGACATCTTCTCCTGCAAAGCAGGAAGAAAAGTCAACGTCCAGGACCCTTACTACAACCCCCCTATCAATCAGCGGACTTCCAAAGCTCGCAAGATCAACCCGTTCACCGCCCGAGAGGACCTGTGCGGAGGCAAGATCAAGTTCTTCGACGTGCCCAGCAAGTCGGTCTTCTCCCTGGTGTTCGACCTCCACTCTCCTCCGGGGAGCGCGTTCAGTAACCAGCCGTCTTCGCACGGAGGAGCACAACAGGAGGCGTACTACTGGCAACAGCTGCCAGGAAGACAATGTCACTCCTTACCAGTCTCACCACAGCTGCCCCGCTCTGAGGTCTTTCACCTGCCGGCTGCTGTGGGCTCCAACAACAACGGCACGGTTACCTGTAACTCCAGCCAGTTCTCCACAACGCTGCCAGGTGAGTTCAGGAGGACGCATGATCTCTAAAACCTGCTTCATATACCAATTAAAAACTCACAGCAGCAGCTAATTGTAACTAGATTAGATTAGATTAGATTAGATTAGATTCAACTTTATTCCTGAACGACACGGTGGAGCGGCGTCTGTCTCACAACCAATCAGGTTGGGGGAGGCGGGGAACGGCTTTGTTTACAGTCAGAAAGAGCGGAGCGCTCTGAAATTTTAAAATGTTGACTACACAGACATAACAAAACACAGGGATATCGCGATATTCCCAAAGGTCATCAATAACTAATATCTATTGACTGATATTAAAAGCTTTTTTGTATATACACCACAAAAAAAGATGTTTCTTTAACGGATTCCTGCCTACCCCACCTTTAATGCTTATTCATGAAACAAGCACATCAGCAGCAAAATCATTGATTATTATAACATCATTTTTAATCCCTGAAAAAATTTCCTCATAAAATATTCACATTACACAATACGTTTGACCGTCAGAAAGTCGTAATTCAAGCAAGTAGACGACAAGATAATAACGACTGTTTTGTCCACACAAAATTGACAGTTCCTCACAGGAGCTTTAAACAACCTTAAAACTCAAATTATGATACCTCAGCTTTAAAACGTTGGTGTGACAGTCATAGAGTAGTTTGATTTGTCTAAATGACCTACAGCCTTTAAGTGTAAACATGATTTTAGACGTCTTTGTGTGCCTTTATTGGAGAGGGAAGGATTGTGGGTAGAGCTGGAAATGAGGAGACTTTCTGCGTTGAGCTTGTCATAAAAAAGGGTTTTAAAAATAAGAATTTACACTATGAGGAAAAGACTGAAACTTGTCCTGTTAGGTTTTGTTTTAATTGTTAAAAAAGTGACTTTTCTACATCTTTGTTCTAAAGAGGTCAAACAAAACTCAGTTGCACAAACTTCACTTCCTGTGTACACAGAAGTGTGACTGAGGCCTCTGTGTCGTCAAATTAGCTCATGTTAAAAACTGCTTGACCACAAGTTATCGGATACTAAATATGTCACTTAAGACGAAGGTATGATGTTGATTTGAAAGGTCAGAGTGACACTTCCTTTCTTCTTTTTTGTTTCGAGCTCATTTTTGACCCAACAGTCCTGCACAGATATTGTTTCTTCTTCTTCTTTGCGAATCTTAATCTGCAGCTTTTGTATCAGCGTTTGTTTTCATTCTGCAGGCAGAGAGTTTAAGAGTTGATCAATGGCAGAAAGTAAAGATTATTTTAATGATGAACTTTTGGTCTGATGCAGGCCTGACGGGAAACGACGCACACCTAAAGGCCCCTCTGAGCAGCTGGGCGAAGAAATACGTCGTCGTCGAGATCCCGCCTTACTGCAGGCAGAGAGGAAGGGAGGAGGACGGAGAGCTGGAAGGAGGGAAGGAGGGTACAGAGGAGGATGAGTTTGGGGAGAGCTGGTCTCCGATGGTCCCGAGCAGCGAAGGGAGAGACAGCGGGGAGGCGATGGACTGCTCCAGCAGCCTGGAGGAGGAGGAGGAGCGAGACAGGGCGACGGACACCTGCTCTATGTAACTCACACTCTACATGCACAGACGGTGGTGGATTTAAACACAGGAGGGGCGACTTTTAACCCTTTACAGGAGCAGACTGACAGACTGGACACATTTCAAAGACTGTGGGACACAAGATGAAAAACAGAGAGAGAAAGAGCACTTGATGTATCACATGTTGATGAGTAAATCAAGCACACCTGGTGTAGAGAAAGGAGGTTTACCACTCAGGTGTGATGGAACAAGCACACAGAACTGAGCGTCTTTCCTCACGTCAGTCAGAGAGATTATTTTTTTGAAAAGGTTGTTTATATTTAATATTGTGACATGATGTAGATTATTTTCCTTCAGAGGTTTCTTATATTTAGTGTCGTCTTGTCTGTGAAGAGGGGTACTGAGGATCCCTCGTGTTGTGTTTGTGAGTGTTACACATCGACCCTTGTGTTTTGATACTTTCTCCTCGTGTCCTTTGTTAGACAAATGTTTATACTAAATCAAAAGCAGCCAATATTTCCTGATTTACAGCACAGTGCCGAAAAAATTAGAGGTATTTCACAATAACTCAGTGCCTGAGAAACAAATTTAACAAGATACGTTTGGCGTGACATGTGCAAAGGGCCAAAATGGGCCGAAAACAGCGGAATAACCCTTTAACCCTGCGTCTCAGAAAAAAGTCGAAGCACGAAAAATCAAAGATGTCCTTAAGATACACGTGCCTGTAAAATTTCAGGCAGATCGGAAAAAGTCGACGTTCATGGCGCTCTGTAGGGGGCGCTAGTGAGCTATTTTTCATCGTTTTTTTTGGGTCACTTTAAAACATTACGATGTTCGCCGGGCCCGACCTACCTAAACTTGGCTCGGGCCCTAATGAGAGACAAACCATCACGACAACCTCTGAGTTAGAGCCGCAGAGAGAAATCTGCCTAGCAACAGCAGACTTCAGTTAAGACTTGATTTGGTCCATTATTCTCTATCTTAAAGCGCTGAAGGTTTCAGTGTATGTGTCTTAAAAGGTCAAATTTTACTATTGTTACACAGAACCAGCTAAGCCTGGGTTTAAAGGAATGACAGGCTCCTGAAGATGACCAGTCAGTGAATCATGACTAAAGACAGCAGTGATTTAAATCATGCAAATGATATTAAATATCAACAATAATGATATTTTGTTCATCGGTGTCCTTAAAATTTGCTATAAGACAATATGACGCTGGAGCTGAGGTGGTGAGTATTTTCAGCTGCCCTCAGTTTGTTCAGTCTCACTTATAAAAGCACAAAGTTTCTATGTTTTAGAAATAACAACTGACAAGATTGTTGATCAAGGATTTGGGCCACATTATGGGAGAAAAAAATGAGATTTTGAGAATGAAGTCGTGGATGACATGTTCATTTGAGCGCAGACTAAATTTGAGGTTCACGGGTTAATTGCTGTAAATTTATGTTTTTTGCCTTAACCTCATAAATCATTCATAAAGTTGTATTCAGCTCATAAGTGTTCAGCTTTTTTGGTCAATTTATGAGTAAAAAATGAATCTTCAACTTTTTCCTGACAGTAAACAACTTTTTTTCTCTTATTTTTGAACTTAATTGATTAAGTTACAGTTTAATCTCATGAATTTATTATTTAAATCTTGTAAAGTTATTAATTCAAGCTTGCAAAGTTACCGTTTCTTTGCTACTTTATGACTTTTTCTCATTATATTTTAACTTTGTTCTTAAAATCTTTTTTTTTTTCTTGCCTTAATGTGGCCCTAATCCTTCATGGTGTGAATGAAATAGTGTCTTTGATTAAAAAAAAACCCACACTGGTGAATTAAACTTTCCTAAATCTGACAATAGACCCAAAAGAGAGCTGATGGTCCTGATCTGTCGGTTCTTTTCATTCGGATGTGCCTGATACTGAGTCTTGATAGGCCTGCTGTGAGTGCAAACCAAGAGCTGGAGTTGGTTGGTGTGTTAGAAAAACTTTAAAGATGTTTGGTTTGGTCAGTTGCATTTTTACAAGCGCAAAACAAATGTTACGCTGGAGAAAACTGTTCATTGTCTTTCTCCGTAAACTTTACTTCAAGTGGCATAATTTTCCTTTCAGTCTCCTAAAGCTGATGATGTCCACCTGTGGTTCAAAACCTCATTAGAGTCACCGTGTCGAACATGAGGAGGCAACTTAACGACCATTGAGCCTAAAGTCAACAGGTGGCACTCTTACATTTGCAGTGATGTGAGCCGGGTGCTTTTCATTGACTTTTTTTTTCCATCACTCAGCATCGACTGAAAGGACAGAGAGGGAAACCAAGACTACACCAACGTTATCGCTCTGAAGTTTGTTTGTAGTGGCATCCTTTTTCTCTTCAAAGTCACAAAAAGCAATCGCCGTTACAGCGTCTGATCAAACAGAATGACGTTAATCTTAAAGGTCGCAACTTCAAAATAATGGTGTGAGATTTTTCGCTTTTACACTCCAGTGAATGTTTGAACTAGACGTGGAAGAGGTGAGATTTGAGTGGATGTTTCTTTTTCTTTCAAGAGTTTGATTGTGAAAGTTTAATATCGACTACTTCAGTGTCACACTAAACGACTGTTATATAAAAATAGGTTTATATTTTTTGAAGATGAACCATGTTTGCCTCTGCTCCAGCACTTCTTTATGATGCTTGATACATTCTGCTGATTTCTTCAATTGGAACCGAATTGCACTCATTTGGATCTCCTCTAAACTTCTGATCTCACTTTTCTATGCAACCAATGCAATTTTTATGAGGCTGTTTTTACAGCGCAAAAGATCGAATTTGATATTTAAGAGGATACATTTTTAATGTCTTACATTTGTATATTTGTGTATAAAGTTTGTGTTACCTTCCTTGATGAGATGTTTTTGCTGATTGAATAACAAAGCTGTCCTTGTGAGAAATTTTTGTGTTTTCTCTTTTTTTCGGAGAACTCAGACGTTCCCTGTAAAGAGATCTTCTTGGTACAATCTTTGTACGCCCATAGGCTGTATCAGGTGTCAATCATAGAAAACATGAACCCCCTAATAACTTTTAAAAATGGAGCTTCACAGAAAAAGAGGACTTGAGCAAAAACCAGTCTTACTGTAACTACATGTCAACATCACAACCAGGGGGGAGAAAAATTTATATTCTGTGTAATAAATTTATAAAGTTTGTCCACAGCTCCATAAACTTCGCTGGCAGAGGCAGGATTTATGACCTATACTGCAGCTTGTCAGCAGAGGGTGCTGTTCTCAGAGTGGCTTCACCCAGTGAGGAGGCAGACGGTGTCCATTCTATATTCAGTTTATGGTCAGAACTTCATAACGTAAATTCTGAATAATGATATTTTGTTTTCAGATGGTTTCTCATGGCTTCTGTGACTATTGGTGATAACACATGGAATATTTTTTAATTTCCTCAATTAATTTAATGGAATAAAATCTTGTGATTCCTAATTAACCAGTCACCAGCTGCGAAAAGGAAACAAACGATCAGGATAGATGTTAAAACATACACAGAAATTGGAAAAGTGCAAAAAGATTAAATTCTCGTAGCTGCCAGAAGTGTAAGGTAGAAATTTAAAGAGTCATTTATTTGACATTCAACTTGTAATCCCACGGGTAAGGCTCTTAACGATAAAAAATAGTATTCCATTGTTTTTCTTATCTTTAAAACAGAAATGTGATGTATGTAACTACACCCAGAGACCTCAGTGAGCTGATTTCTGATGCGACTTCAGGCTGGAGCGCTGGGTGAAGCACTTCCCACACAGTGAGCACTCGTGGGGCTTCTCCCCGCTGTGAACCACTGCATGTCTGATAAGGTTGCACTGTTTCGCGAAGCTCCTGCCACACAGTTTGCAGCTGTACGGTCTCTCCCCTGTGTGACTCCTCAGGTGCTCTCTGAGCTGACAATGCTTGGAGAACAATTTAAGACAGTATGTGCAGCTGAACTTCTTCTCCCCCAAGGAAGACCTCCAGGGGGTCCTCATCTTCTTTGCCAGGAATGAGCTGCTGCGGCTCGGTCCAAGAGAAGAGGCAGGAGCTGGTATTTGGGGCATTAAATCCTCATTTTGGTGCCCCGTGTGAGGCAGCGTATTTCTGTATGGATGCTGCGACTGTAGAGAGACTGAGCAGTGATCCATGGTGTGGAACTGAGATGAAGCATTATGTCCTCCATCCTGCTGTGGTCTCTGAGACCCAAATGTCCTAGCACGTCTTTTCTGTCTTGCTGCACTCGAACCAACTGCATGTGATTTCTCTAATGACTGCACATCGGGCACAACATCCTCCAAATCCAAACCACTTTGAGACTGGAAAACAGGGGGAAACTGTTGCTCTGCAAACGAGGAGCTGGGATCAGCAGCATCTGTCCAAGGATTTGACACCCACAGCTGTCCGCTACCTCCATCTGTCACAAAGTTTCCGGTTGAATCATGAGTGGCTGTGTCCTCATGATTCAGCTGTTCCTCTTCCCTCTCAAGTTTCACCATGAGCTCTGTCTCGCTTTGACTCGGACATAGCTGCTGATCTTGTAAGGTGTTGTAGTCGTTAGTTGGGGACATCAGAGATTCAGAGTCGGCTGGGTTCTCAGCTGAGTGGTGAGGCTCTGAAAAATCTTCACTGTGGGGAGGGGGAGAAGCTTCGAAACATGACGGCTGCTCCTCTTCGGATTCTAAAGGAAGCAGAAGAATCAGAGTAGATCCTTTAGTCAGGGTCGATTTTAATTTACATTTAATACACATCTTCTTAAATGAACTGTAATAATTGTTTAAATAATAGTAAATATGAATTAAGAGGCGCCAAAAATGTCAAACTATACAAAGTGTAATGCATAGGGATGGGAATTGGTAAGATTTTATCGATATCGATGCCATTATCGATTCTGCTTACCGATTCAATTCTTTAACGATTCCCTTATCAATGCCTTTCTTTGATTTAAAACAAAGGATCCCAACAAGAACCGGTTCTTGATTCCCATTTCTAGTAATGCTTGACTTCTGATGCAGCTCGAGTTTGGTGTGTGTGTGTTTGAGAGTAAAACTCACTCATCTTGTCCTCGGGGTGATTTTTCCACGTGTCTCCCTCTGCAGACTCCACTTTGATCTGTATGTGATCAGCCTCAGTCACAGGCTGCGTTTCTGCACGCTGCAACAGAAGGATCAACATTAAAATAACTTAATAAACACCTAAATACAACAGACTTAACTTAGATAAGATTCAAATTGCACTAAAATTCACAGATCCCTAATAAAACAAAGTATCTTGAATATAAAATATACATGTCTTTATTGATTTATCATTGATAATAATTAATCGATTATTGATTGATCACTCAGGTTTCGGACACCCCTCAAAATGGAGCTAACCCCCATATAGTCACCTATATAGGGGTTAGGGATACATTTCGGACACAGCCTATGTTTCATATTAATATTGAGGGAAATTAATTTTTTATATATATTGTTATCATTTTATTGCCCAGCCCTACCTGTAGGGTTGATAAAGTTTTTTACCTGATGTCTCATAAATTTAAAGTTATTAAATCACCACTTCCCTCTCTAAGGGTTTGGTTAAATTGGTTTGGGTGGCTGTGAAGTTAGAAAAAGCAACTTTACTTTAGTTTCAGGCTTTTAAACGAGTATAATGTTATTTAAATTATACATAAACTCGTTTAAAGTTAATAAATAATTCAGAACCAGAGTGATATTCAGTGATATTCATACCTTCAGTGGTTGAGTTTGAGCCTCAGCCTCCATCTGTCTGTCCCAGTCTGAGCTCTGAGTCTCTTTATTCAGCACTATCCTGACTAAAGGAGGGAACCTGTCTGCAGCTGGAGGATAAAACCCTGAGAAGGAAGAATAAATAACACAAATGTTAAAACACAAAGTGCACAGAAATCCACAGATCCTCCTCTTCATGTCCTCCTAGTCCTCCTCACCTCTCCTCCTGGTTCTGAGCCTGGTCCTCCTCAGCTCGGCCTCCATCACCTCACATTTCCGCCGCAGAAGGTCGATGTCCCTCCGGCTCTGGCTCACCTCCAGCCGGAGAACCGCGCAGCCCTCGTCCACACACCGGTTAATCTCCGCCGCAGCAGCCTGAGCCAGGACATCCATGACGGAGAGGAGCTGGCTGTGGAAGCTGCTGTTTTCCATTTTACGACGATTTCAGCCTCTAGTTTAAACTCTAATAAATATATTTATCGACTTCTCTTTGCTTTTTTGTGCTCTATGTCACTCACTTACTGAAAAAACGTTTTAAACCTACAGGTCGGAGTGCTCTTTCTGCCTGTTTTGGGTATTGTATACACTGGTTTCCTTATTCTGAAGGTTAGCTAAAGATGTGTTAGCTTTCGCCCTTGTGGCAGCGCGAGCGATCGGTGCAACTTCCTCTGAGTGTCATCCAGTTAGATTCAGTAACCCTTCCCCGTGGTCATTTAACACCCTCTGTTATATTCAGTTTTCACCGAGTTGGAGAATGTTTTTGTCTCTTAAATTCACAGAGCGGTTAGAGTATGTTTATTCCCTCCCCATCGGGACGTACTAAAACAGAAACCGAGCTTACCATAGCAGTGCGACTGTAAGATAGCGGCAGTAGAGTTTCATTACCGTAACTGTGCGAATAAACCCGCATTACTATGGCCCAAGAGTCATATCCCGATATAACCAGGCTGAATATCGATATACGACAGGGGCCCCAAGCCTCAATGGGCCCCTAAGCAAATTTGGATTTTGGGGCCCTCTTTTTCTGCCAATAATATTGATTGTTGATCATTCACACACCTACTACAGTATAAATTTAATGTGCCTGACATGTATTTACATATGTAAAGGGCTGGCCAAGGTAACATAAATAATACCAATGCAAACATACAAATAATACCAATGAATGACTGATGAATGATGTTCAGGGTGCCAAATATGTTTTTTTAATCTCAAAATGTAACACCCCACTGAGCAATAGACGGCTCTTAGACAACTAGTTTTTTTTAGACCTACTTTAACCGTCTAGATTCATTTTTAGATGGAATTTAGACGTTGCACTTTAACCTATTATTCTATAACTATTTATTTCAAAAAGCAGATGTGAGTTGCAAAACTGATCTTTAAGTACTTAACCAAAATAATTATAATAGCTATTGAGAAATATACAGTGTAGTATAAACATAGCCCAGATTTAGACTTGGTCTAAACTTGGTCTTAATTTGGACATCTAAAAAACGTTAATTTTTAGACCTGTGGTAGCCTGATTTTAAACTTGTCGTCGTCGAGGCTACATTTAGACTATATTAGACCTCTTATAGACCAAAAAATGCTCAGTGGGACATTCAGCTACAAGACTTTGAGTGAGGGGCAGGTAATATAAGATGTTTCTTCTCCCTGTGTCGAGATGTGACATGATATTGACAAATCGAGAAATTGCCTTGGCTGGAAGAAAGAAAGAAAGTTTAAATTTAAATTTAAATTTTCCAATTATCAGATTCAGACAGTCAACAATGTCCCAGCTTCTCTGTTTGACATTTGTGGTGTAGATTTCAGTGACTGTGATGCTTCGTGTCTCTGTTTGGTAAGTTTTAGTTTCTGTTGTGGTCTGGGTCTCCGTGATGATTTGTATTAAGTTATCGCCTGTTTTGTTATAACTGCAGTATTGCTGTCATTTCTGTGTTACTTACTGACACTGTAGTTTGTAGGGATTGGTACATGTATGTATACAGCTGACATAGTCAAAGTTAATTAGTTTAATTGGTCCCATTCAGGCCAGATCTTATTTCCATAGAGGTCCATGTAAACAGAAGCGTACACGGCACATAAAGGGGAAGAGATACACTTTACAGATATTCACTGAACTGATTTCCCTACTCTGTCAGCAGAGGCGGAGAAACTACAGGCCACATACACCGAGAGAGCACACAACATGGAGAGACACTCAGGAAGTGAACAGGGGAAGTTTAGTGGTTTCTTGCGTCATCGTTTTAAGCTGCTACTTGTGTGCCGATGCTGAGTGAAGGTAGGAACGATCATATTCGCTTTTTTAACTTTCTTTATCCCTCTTTTTTTCTACACTGAAACTCTTGAGTAAAAAGTGGGCAGAGAGCGAGGGATGGTGGACAAAAGGAGAGCGGTGGCAGGTGCGAAGAGGATGCAGGAGGTGGGGAGTGACTTTGAATGTCTGTTGGAGTCTGTATGTTCAAGCTTTATGAGTCCACTTCCGCTGCCGAGCAAAAAAAGCAGCAAGGCCGTGACATGCAGGACTGAGCAGGACTGAAATGAACGTGGTCAAAGATCTGGAGTGGAGACAGGAGGTGTAGCTGAGTCCAACATCCCTGAAATGTGTAATGGTGTGAATGGTGTGAGACATTTTGAGGGTTATTCCTCTGAATAGCAGAAGTGTAGAAACAAGGGTGTGGCTTTTCAAATCGAGAATAAATAGTGTGCATCAGGGGGAAGTGAAGAGCTGCAAATGCACGGCGAGGATTCAGAGCAGCTTATTCTTTGATTTTTGAAAAGTTGTGGCATCAGGAAGCACAAAAACATTTATTTCTGCTTTTTCAGTAAATGAAGAAATGCTTTAATACACCAGAGGAAACAACCTGCACCCTGCTATGTGCACTGAAGCGCAGGAAACAGCAGCTACACCCTCAAATCTCTGAAATGTGCAACACCTCTGCTGAGACAGCGGCACATTAACCCAGCTGGTCAACAAAATCCAGGACTCAGTCGGTCTGTTGGTGACACACAAGAAACTGGGGTTGTTTCTGGATGTGAGGTGAACACAGCAGAGGGGACAAGATGAGGAGAGTTCGGAGGAAAGGAGGGAACAAGGAGAAGGTGTTTGGGTGTGATCTGCTGGACTACCTGACCGCCTCGTCTCAAGAGAGTAAGTGGACGGATTTATTCTTTTAAAAAAGACCAAACACAGAAGAGAGCTGATATATGAAATAATGATTTTATCGCTGTCCCCAACAGTCCCTCTGGTGTTGAGATGCTGCAGCGAGTTTGTGGAGAAACATGGGATCGTGGACGGGATCTACAGGTTGTCAGGAGTGTCCTCCAACATACAGAAACTTCGGTAAGCTGAGTTTGTAACGCTGATTTGTAAATCTTCGATCCAAAGTTCTCATCAGATTTCTGATTTTTACCATCAGGGGTGAGTTTGAAGGTGACGGGAGTCCAGATCTGAACAAAGACGTGTACCTGCAGGACATCCACTGTGTCAGCTCTCTGTGTAAGGCTTACTTCAGAGAGCTGCCCAATCCTCTGCTCACGTACCAGCTGTACGACAAGTTCGCTGTGAGTACCTCAGACACACAAGTTCACCTCTTTGTTGAGCAGTCATGAAGGTTCCTGAAGGTTTTAAGTATCTCAAAAATACAGTCAAGGAAAAGTACTATCATTGTGTGTTACAGGAGGCTGTGGCCATCCAGCTGGAGGAGGAGAGACTGGTGAAGATCAGAGATGTGCTGAAGGAGCTGCCGACTCCACATTACAGGTGCGGTCCTTCACTTTTCCAAACGATCTTAACCTTTAGGAAACAGGTCATGGTCTGTATTTAAATGCTGTATCACCTGCTTTCAGGGGCCATCCTTTTAGTTTTTTATTTTTATTTTACTTAGTAGACGTAAAGCCTCTTCAAAAAAAAAAAAGATGGCTGCAAGATACAGGGGGTTTAAAAGTAATCGAGCTTACAAAAAACTTTATTCCCAGGTAAAACTCTTTAACTACTACAACAACATCTCTATTTCAGGACTCTGGAGTTCCTGATGCGCCATCTGGTCAGGATGGCTTCATATTCCTCAGAAACAAACATGCACGCCAGGAACTTAGCCATCGTCTGGGCCCCCAATCTGCTCAGGTTTGCCTTGATTAGAAACGTACATCAGCATCTGCCCCGCTGCTTACAAATGCAGATCTACTTTAATCGACTGAACCGACCAATCAATCTGTGTTTGTTTAGGTCAAAGGACATCGAGGCGTCGGGTTTTAACGGGACAGCGGCCTTCATGGAGGTCAGGGTTCAGTCCATCGTGGTGGAGTTCATCCTCACTCACGTCCCTCAGCTGTTTCCCACTCTAGGTACCACCAAAGAAACCGGAAACATGCGTCCCACACAGCTACCTCCGTCACTCTGTATAACCGAATCACTTCTGCTGTTTTTAGGGGTGTCCGGTGAGAGGAGGAGCTCGCTCCCTTCGCCGACAGCGGCGTCCATGCCAGTGGACGGGTTTTTCAGACCTGTTGTTCAACCCATCCAAAACTTCGGTAACATCAGCCCAGGAGACGGTCCTTTACCCATCAGGCCGTACCACGCCATCATCGAAGGCACAGACAAGTGAGTGCAGTGATTTACTTTGTCTGATCTGGATTTTGAGCGTGAACATGATCAGTTGGAAAACATAAACTGTCGAGATAATACTTGACTTTGTATGTCACTGTGTCACTCAGGAGGAAAGGGTCTCTCAAAGGTAGGAAGTGGATGTCAATTTTCAACATTGGAGGACGATTCCACGACCCGAGACGGAGACACAAACACTCGGCCAAAGGTACAGAACATTATCAAGGCTATTATCAATCAGTTAATCAATCAATCTTTATTTATATAGCGCCAATTCACAAGCACTTTACAAAAAAAAGTGGGTCTAGTCCAAACTCTAGATACAAAGACTCATGCAAAGACGGTATAAGATCAGACCCACTCCCCTCCCATCCTTATCCACATGAAAGTAGGACTGGAGAGGAACAACTTCCTATAACGGGCAAAAACCACAGACTCATGCTAGACCATCATCTGCTGAGTCTACATTGAGTTTAAAGAGAGAGATGGACAGATAGCTGGACAGCACACAGGTCCACAGCAGTAAAACGTCTCCATCCAGAGGAACCTACGGCATGATGGAGCTCAGGGACTCCAAGAGAAAACCGCTGATAATTTATCACCGTTTGTATACCTTCACCTAAAACAGTCCCTCCTTTGTTTCCAGAGAAAGACCGGCCCACCCTAAGACCAGCGAGAAGCATGGACTCCCTCAGTACATCACCGTATCCAAATGAAGGTGCTGCTCCGATCACACATTTTCTAAATCTCAAGAATGACTTGACTGTATGCTTAGATCAGCATGGTCCTTTAACATCAGCCTGTAGGCGTGTTTCTATATACATGTGAATGCACGTCCTTCCAGCAACATGGCGGGACGTTGACCGACAATCCAGCGTCTCCGTTTGTGTCTCTGGTGAGTAAAAAGGGTTTACTGGTCCTAACCTGTTAAACTTTGCTTTTCAGGATCTAGACGTCCTGCACAGCGACCTCCTTCCACCACAACACCCCTTGTCCCCTCCCCCCAACAACCCGGCCCTGACGCTGCAGCGTCCAGCCCTCCGATAGGTGGCAGTGAATATGCGGTGACGTACCGCAGGGGGACAGGGTTAGTGAGCGGAGGGTCAGGGACTCAGGGCACCTACACCGCTCTAGATCCTGAGGGTTTAGGACTCACAGGAGGGGAGACTGTGCAGTCCAGATCCCCGGGAATCTCCACCAAAGTGGGTCGCAGAGCAGCCATGCACATCACGGGGCCCACCATGGTTACGGTGCCCCTCCACATCACCTCTAACTTAGCCTTAGGGGTGCTGCAAGGGGGCGGAGCCAACAGGGTCATCCATCGAGGCAGGGAGAAGGACGAAGGAGACAAGGTGGAGGGTAAAGAGGGAAGAGAGAGGAAGGAGAGCGTAACCAAGGAGAGGAAGAAGGAGAGAGGCAGGAAGGACGAGGAAGAGGAGAATCACCAAAGAGGGAAAGTTACAGACGTAGAAACAGAGAGGAACAATAAGGGAGGTGATGATGAGGAAGAAGGAGGTGAAGGGAAGAAGGAAGAGAGGAAGGAAGACAGAAGAGAGTCAGTGTCAGGGACGGGGAAACGAAGGATGTCCAGAGAGAAACGAGCCGTGAGCCTGACCTCCAACACGCCGGAGGATGATAATAAAGACGCTCCAGATGATGAGGCGGATATTGACGGCAACGATGAGTACATGGGTAATGGATAACTTATAATCACTTATAATCAGTGTGATTAAATACATTTTTAATTGTATATTTCAAACGTCGAATATCGAATTTTAGCCCATGTGGATTTAAATAATTTAAGTTTGTGTTTTAACTTTAGATATGAAAGACGTGGTCACTGAATGTCAGCCGGAGGCTCAGCACACCGAAGTGTTTGACACGTCAGATATCTTCAACTCGACTGAGGTGGAAGGGGACGACCTGGGGCTGTCAGGCTACGTTCAAGACAACTTTGAGTTCCTGGACCAAATGGACTGCAGCGTCATGGACCACATGGACTGTGGTGTTCCGTACCAGGTGTGTGTGAGTTTGTGTGTGTCACCTTAAAGGGATATTCCAGCGTAAAATAAATTTAGGGTCAAACACACCGTAGTACTGAGTTAGACACCCCCTCCAGAGATGAATGTTGCCGACCGCTTACTTCTCTAGTTATACCAACTTTAGTAACGACCGCAGGATAGCAATACACAGCGGTCTGAGGAGTCTTAAACAAACCTCAACTAAAACACCACTCTATAGCCACAAATAATGCTCAGAACAGCTCCTAACTTCATCAACAGTACATATAGGGTCCCAGCCATAGTACTAGCCACCAAACATCTTTTTAACTTTGCCTCATTTCTTTAGCAAAGAGACTAAACACAACCCACCTACTCTCTCCCAGCAGCCGCTTGTTTGTAGCGAGACCTCAGGCCAGTCCATTAAGGACTACAGCGGGGTGATGCAGCTCAAGGAAGAACATTTATGATTATTTCTTTATCATTTCCTTGAAGTAATAATCACCATATTAATCATTTTGCACTGCAGACGTGGTAGTTCTTCTCCCTTACTGTCTCGGTCTGATTGCATTTCCATGAAGAAATGATGGAAGAGAGTAGGTAAGTTGTGTTTAGTCTCTTTGCTGAAGAAATTAGTCAAAGCTAAAAAGATGTTTGGTGGTTAGTACTATGATTGGGACCCTATATGTACTGTTGATGAAGTTAGGCGCTGTTCTGAGCATTATTTGTGGCTATAGAGTGGCGTTTTGGTTGAGTGCGTGGTTTTGGGTATTGCTATCGTGCGGTCATTACTAAAGTTGGTATAACTAGAAAAGAAAACGGTCAGTGACATTCATCTCTGGAGGGGGTGTCTAACTCAGTGTTTCGGTGTGTTTGACCTTAAATTAATTTTACGCCTGAATATCCCTTTAACAGAAAAGGATTGTTTACCTTTGAATCTAAAGACCTATCACTTTTTGTTGTTACCTGTCAGGTGAACGAGTTCTCCGTTGAACCTCCTGTTGAACTCCCCGGTCACTCGGATGATGAGTATGAAGTCATGGAGCAGTATCAGCCCACAGAGGACCACACACACCTTCAGCCAGGACCTGAAACACACACGCTTAGCCCCACACAGTTAAACCCACACAGGCCGCTCAGCATCGACTTGAACAGCAGACACACAAAATCTCTCAGTTTGCCGTACATGACCTCACCGGTCCACGGACCAGAGGAGTCCGGCTCTGAGGAGGAGGAGGCTGAGGAGGATGAGAGTGATGACTACAGCAGCGAGGACTCTGACAGCATGTTCGTCAAGAGTCTCCCCTGTGATTACTTTTTGAACAGTCTGTCCGGGTTAGAACTAGATGCTGACAGTACGGACAAACACACCAATGATGGAGCTGCTGTGCATCAAACTTCTGAGGACACAGGATCTATGAACCTCGAATGTCCTGCAGAGAAAGTATCAGCTGATGGGCAAGAGGTGCAGGTGGAAGAGAAGAACGAAGAGGAAAATGGACTGGAAGAGAGGGAGACAACAGAGAAAGAAGAGGGAGAAGAACTGGAAAAGACAAGGTAATGGTGAAATTAGATATTGTACAACGGAAAGTCAAAGGTAATGTTTGTAAAGATGAGCACAACGACGCCATGTGTAGCTATTTTAATTATATGGGTCCTTCTAGACAACAAAACAGTTAAACCAGAAGTCCACTACACTCCCATTACCAAATGGCTAACATGCAAAATTAGCAACTAGCTCATTAAATCTCCTAACCCTAACCCGACAGACTTGACGTTTCACAGCCAGAGCTAAAATTTTGAAATTTCAAAATACGACTCAAACTAAAGGTACATTTATTTCTCTGTATGTGCTACATCTATTAACAGGGACATTTGCCTACCATCCTACAGAAAAAAATCGTTTCCTATTAGCAAAGTGCGTTGCATCACTAGCTATGTACATAGTGGTGCTGCCCTCTAGTGGTAAAAATAGGAACCAAAGCAGGTTTAAAGGATCGGACCACCTCTCTGTGTTAAGGAGTTACAGAGCAAAATACTGCTGCTGTGATGAGCTGCGTGAAAGTTGGTTAAATGGTCCAAAAATAAGCTAAAGCCGGAGCTGTTTTTGGCATTAATGAAGATTTAAGGCTTCATTATACTGTAGCAAAGCACAAATTAGAAAAAGATTTAAAGATTGAACAACATGAGGCAAAATAGGACCCTGTTAAGAAAAACTGAAATATGCTGAGTCATACTGCTAGCTTGCGCCGCTACTCTGCTAGCTATTAATGGACTGAATTCAGAAGCTTTTAAACAAACAGACTTTTTGTTTTTTTGCATTTATAAAACCATAAAAATTAAGATGATAGTACCTACAGACTACAGTTACAACTGTGACTATTTTAAAAATAACTTACTAGCTTTAGTGTATCAAGGCTAATAGTTAGCTATCGAGTTTGGCAGCTAGTCTTTGTCCTAAACTCCAAGTGTTGACGGCTATCATTGGCTTCATAACAGCCTCTAAGTGAGACGACAGTTGACATCACTGAGACACTCATGCTTTACAATATATGGTTTAATGTGAGGCTGCATAACTTTTATGAGACAGAAGAAATAATCTCTTTATTTCCAGTGACTAATATCAGTACAGGAGCGCATCTTAGCTAATCTTCACAAACCTTTGATTGATACATAACTTTAATCAATAAGTAATCTCTTTGTAAAGCTAATATATGTAAGTTTATCAAAACATTCGTATTTGCCCCTATGTTATACCAAAAAAGGGTAACCATGGCCTGAAAGCACTGATTTCTCTCTCCTCGTTGCAGCAGAAGAAAGTTTTTAAAATTGCTTAAATTGAATAAAAACAGATAATCTTCGTATGTTTGGCTTAAACCAATAAAAAGAAGATCCCCTGAATCCTCCATATATCACTTCAATGTTAAGTTAAACCAAGAAAATTAAGGTTTTTTAATAAGCTCAAAACCAACTGTTGGTCAAATGTGAAAATCGACCAAAAACACTCTTAAAATTGTCTCTTTTTTTGATGATTTTCACAGTGAAGAGACAGAAGAGGATCACGTTGCTCTGGAAGACCCTCAAAGTGACGAAGATCAGCCTGTATCTCCAGAGGAGTCCACACACTGCCGCCCTGAGCTCCCCCAGCTGACTACTGACGAATCATGTAGCACGCCGGACGCCATGATAGAGAAACATGAGTCTATAGATGATTCTCACAGTTCCATTCAAGGAGAACCTGATGATGGTCCTTCAGAAGAAATTAGAGACTTTTCCATGAGGGCAACAGAGGAGCTGCAATCCTGTGATAGAGGAGACAGTGATGAGGGAGAGGACAAGGTTTCCAAAGAGGACACATGTCAAGAAATAACCGTGGAAAGAAAAGAAAGTGAGGAGAGCCTGAGGGTAGAAGAAACTATGGACAACAAAGAGGAAGAGCAGGAAGGGGAGATTCAAGAAGATGGAAAAGAAGAGGATAGTGTGATTTGGGACGACTTAGAGGATGTTGCATGTGAGGTTATAGAGGAAGAGGAAGGTGCACAAGATGTGAAGAAAACTGCAAGAGCAAGTGTCTCTAGTGAAAAGGATAAAAAAGTTGGAGAAGATCAAAATGAAAGAGAGGTTAAAACTGAAGAAATTCTTATGAACCCAGAAGAGACGCGAGTTAAAGTGGAAAATGAGGCAAATTTACAGAGTACAACTGAACTAGAAGAAGTAGTAAAAGAGAAGTGTGTCGTCAGCAAAGAGGCGCAGCAACATGACAGAGAAGGAAAAGCTTCAGGAGGAAAAGAAGAAGAGAGCAGCAGCAAAATACGGGCTGATAAGCAGCAAATAAGAATAAAAAGTATGGATGTGAAAGAGGTCAGGTCTGATTTAAAGGCCCTGACAGAAGGCAAAGGTGTGGGAAGAAAGCTGGTCGTCTCCAAAAATCCAAAGTTTTATCAAGTGAAAGCACTGCCTGTCGTGCCTCCGAAGCCTCAGCACTGCAAAATCACCGCCATGACCCTCCGACAGCAGCAAAGAGAGAGAAAAGACGCCGACAAAAACAGAGAAAACACGGTGAAAATCCCAACAGAGGGGGAAAAAGTTTACTCAAGAGGGCAGGAGAAAGACGGAGCCGAGGAAGACGAGGGAGAAGGAACGCCTGAACTCAGGGGTGGAGACAGGGAGAGGTGGAGGGATGTGGATGAAAGTTTCATGAGGGACGTTAACAGAAACAGTCCTCTCAGTATGAATTTTGAGGAGGCTGTCGCCATAGCAACCATGAAGCGGGAAAAGGAGAAAGATTGTGAGAAGGAGAAGGAGAGGCAGAAGGATTGGGGGAATGAAGTACAGTGAAGACAGTTTTTTTAGTTTGTTAAAGAAGTATTGATTTAAACTGATCAGATTGTACAAAGTGGTTTTTAGCTCCTTTAGCATAAAGGGCTAAATGTCCCTTTTATAAATGGAGTATTTTCTTTCAGTGCAAATCACAGTATTGTTTAGGCAATCCTACCAGGATGATGGTTTGTAGGCTTTATCTTTGTTTCCTTTGCAGGAGTGTGTCCAGAGGGTGGAAAGGGGTGGCATGACCCCCTCTTTAAATCTAATCAGCCTTCAAAGGGACCACCCTAAAATCCTTTCATATCATAAAAAGGCATAAATATCCATTTCTGTCTATTACATTAATGTCAAAAAGTCTCCTCACAGGAGTTTTAAAGTAAATATCATTAGTGTGGACAGGAATAGTAGAAAAATCACAATTATTCGTGTGTGTGCTCAGATATGTCACACCCCCGTTCTTTCCATTTCCTATTATATTTCCTAAAATCCAGCCTGTATACAGTAGATTTTTAAAACAAAGGTCAAAGGGTTAGATAAAATATTTTCTCAAAGTAGATATGATGAAAATGTATCATCTGTGATCAAAATTTTATAAGCAAAAGTTAGATTTTTTATGATGTGCATAAAGAGACATTTATGAGGCAGAGTCAGTTGTTTTTATAAACATAGGAATGATGTTAGATATTTTTTAATGACTGTAATGTTTTCAAATCGATCTAAATCTCTTGTCATAGATTGAGATGTTTTTTTTTTTCCTAAAGACATATGTTGCATCATAATAAAATATGTGCAGTATTGAATGGCTCATTTCTTAGTTTAACTTATTCACATTTTATTCACTCAGTTTCAATGAAAAAAAGAGCTTCAGGAAAAATTGTTAAGATACATTAAAGTGTAATAATTGGTAATTATTATATTAATTATGATTTTCTGTTGTAAAATCCTGTCTTAATCCTGTCTGTTTCATCATTTAAAGGTGGGGTAGGCAGGATCTGAGGAAGTGCCAGTTTTTCGGGAGAAATCTTGGATGTAAGCTCTACCCCTCCTAACCAGTTTTCCTCTCCCCTCCCTCTCTGCCCCGCCCACAAACAGACGCTCCTGCTCGCTCATATCGTTCCAGTTAAATTCAGATAATTACAAATGGGGCCCAGTCAAGTGAAAGTAAAAAGCATTGGTGCTCCTGTAGATGTCAACAGACTACCAGCAAACACAATGTTTGCAGGACTTCTACAACTAGGATAAAGTGACATAGTCCAGGACCCGAGGGAGGACAGTTTAGCGGCGCTACAACACGCTACAGCAGGTCCCGTTTGACAAGAAACACTTCTGTTACAGACACTTGTCTTACTTTGTTAAAGCGGTTTACCTGTCCAGCAGAAAGGTTACAGGGTCAGGAAGATCCTGAAGCGTCCCCCATCATTGTTGACCCGGCTGTTTAGCTCTTGTCCGGTCTACCTCCTTTTGAAGTGCCCGTTATTCAGCTAACTAACTTACTTTGTTTGGGCCCGTGCACGTTATTCGAGGACTTTGAGCGTACCTCACAACACGAGGGAGCAGCGTCTGCCTCACAACCAATCAGGTCCGAGAGGTGGAGAACGGCTTTGTTTACAGTCAGAAAGAGCGGACCATTAAAAAATGATAAAATGTTAACTACAAAGACATCACAAATCACAGCGATATTGTGATATAACCAAATGTCATCAATAACTAATATCTATTGACTCATATTAAAAGCTTTTTTGTGTATACTCCACAAAAAAGATGCTTCTTTAACAGATTCCTGCCTACCCCAACTTTAAAGAATCATTAAATCATTAAAGATCCCCGACTCGCCAACTTTATTACTCGGTCATTTTCTCAGCAGGAAGAAGCCAATACAAGTGTGATAGTTAATGAGCTTCTCAATGTGAGTCACGATTTTTAAAGTATTTCAGCACCTGAGATAAACATGTGAGCAGATTCAGTTTAATCATTAAGGTTGTTTACACAGTGCAAAACCAAATACACATTTCCTCTTCTGCAGCATCATGCAGAAGATATTATGAAGAGTAAAATTTTGAGAAGTATCTGCAGATGCTGGTTAATTAGCGTGTATCTCAGGTACGAATAAAGTGCAAAAATAATATATATAAAGCATGTCAGTAAAAGTATTTCAAACATCAGGCTGACACTCAGTTTTTCTCTGTGCGTAAATCCAGCGCATCAGTGTCTTCATTGTGTTCAACTGGTAATGGCGTCCTCCGATGAGACGTTTCAGCCTCTGAGCATGACAGGAAGTGTGAGGACACTCAGCACGAGCAGCACAGCTGGAAGGAAAGAGACGTTTATTAGACAATGTCTGTTCATGAAGGTGGATTATGAGACAGCAGTAATAAAGAGTGTTTGAGGTACGGCCCTCAACTCAGACACCAAATAGCAAATCTTTGACACACATTGTTGTGAATGATTTACCATGAGGCTCGACTCCTCTGTTGGATCCTGAAACTGTCGTCATGTTGCTGGGCGCTGTCGTCATGTTGCTGGGTGCTTCTGTGGTGGTGATGTTGCTGGCCGGGTCGGCGAGGTTTAGAAAACCGCTGTCCAGGCTGACGTTAAAATCACCAATCATATCTAACCAAAAATACAAGAGGAGATATTCGATATTGATTCGACATTTGATTGATTTTATTCTTGATCATGAATCTCAACCAGTGCTACAGATGATGTATAATGTGCCAACAGAGAGGAGAGTATTGTTTCTATTTGAAGCAGAAAATGAAAATAATTACATAGAATATTAGTTCTTGTACTTTTACTAAAGTTTTGTTCTTGTGCTTCTGGTGTTTAACTGTCTTGACTTACCTCCTGTGAAAGTTCCAGTCCCAAGAAGGACGGAGAACATGGTCGCAATTTTCGTCGCAGCGTTCCTCGTGCTGGTAGCGTTCACATTTGGGACCACAAACTCACACTTGATGATGCTGCCGTTCACCATGCCTCGAATATCCCTCACTCTCTAACACATTAGGGGACAAGAAGTAAATGAAGTTCAATGGAGTAAATGATAAAAGAAATTATAGCCAATAAAAACACTGGTTATGTGACTGCTTTGTCCTTTAATTTGGAGAGCATTTGTGAATTTTTATCCATGTTAATTGATATGATTGAAGAAATCTAAGTAATTTGGCTGAGAAGTCAACGCAATAGTAAATCTAAGGTCTCACCCTCTCTATTGGGGTGAGCGTGCCATCTGTGTTGTTCCTTTGCATCCTCTTGAAGAAGAACGTCCCATTGTCTGAGCTGTTTTGAGCACAGATGAAAAGCATGGTTGTACACTGAGGAAAGAAACAGCGATGAAAGTATTAAATGACCTTTCTTAAAAATGGTTTCAATGACAAATTCCAACGTCAAATAGTCTTTGTTGAGGGTAAGAAAAAAGTGACGAAAATGTCCAGACGAGAGTTAAGTTTCCAGTTGTTCTTGTTTGTTCACCCTTTGTGCATTACTTTTTGGGCTATATTTTTGTGCCCGCCGGCGGTGTGGCAGGAGGGTGGCGCAAAGCCAGTTTGGTATTTTCATAGACTGAGGTGCACTGAGGCCCACCAAGCTGGGCGTGGTGGCGCGGAAGGGGGAGGTGTCGACAGAATCAGCTGGTCAGCTTTTGTGTCAGGCTCATTTCAATGCAATAAATAATCAACTACAACCAACATTCAGGGCAACTATCTGACTCAGCACATACATTTAGATCTATATGGATATATTCTGATCTATATCTGATCTGATGAGCACGTTTGGCACGCCCTTGGTCACTCCACCTGACCGTGGACATCATAGGTGTCACATTCAGGTAAGTCAATAGTGAACATCATTATGGACAGTATTAAAAATAAGTAAATTTGTTATGGAGCGGAGTTATTAGGCACTGGGGTGATTTAAAAGTGATGCTGAGATAGATCCTGCTAGGTGACTGTAACTAAGCAGTAAACTTTGATCCTAACATAACACCAAAATTTGCATTTTGTTTTTTATTTGTTTGTAACTTCCTGATGGAAATTTTTGCATACCCAAAACAACATCAGCTTTTTTGTCCTGTTTAACTCAACATGTAAACTTGTCGTGTGTTTTACCTCTGATGCATTCAAAGTGAGTCCAAGTGCGACATAACCCTTGGAGTTGCCCCTCAGCTCCACGGTCAGGTCTGGAGCCACTGGGGGGCTGGTAACTACTGATGCAAACAGGCAGGTGCCGGTCGAAGAGGGATCACAGTTATCAGGTGTCTCCATGCATAGTTTTGTGACTCCGCAGCCATCCCGAGTGATGTTCACCTGGTAATCACACATTAAAAACATCATCTTTACACCTGTCGATATTAAAATAATATGAATAGCCTGGCAATGATTGGCATTAAAAAAAATCACTGATATTCTTTCAGCTGATTCTGCAAGTTGTTTGTTATGACGTGTTAAACTGCTGGTGCGATTTTTTTGAGAGGTACCTGAGTGACTAACTCGTCGTCCAGCCTTTGTCGACCAGGGTGGCCTGAAGTTTTCTGCAAATGTATGAATGAATGAATGAATGAACAGCATGTATTCTACTTCTTTTATCTCCTCTATGTGAACGGTTCAAGTGAGAGTAAACAGAGTGGTTACATGTTATTCTTCTACACATGATTCTTAAAAAACTTTAAAAGTGATCTCATGTTTAAAGTCGCATTTGAAAGCGCAAACAAAAGGAGATTTAAAGTAAGTTAAGAATCTTTTGATAAGGCAAATGTGCGACAAAGAAAGTGATAAAAAAAAATTCATAAACACTTGAACTAAAAATGATTTATTGTTACTCTAAGGTTCAAAAACACTTGTTTGATTTTATATTTTAATGAGTGTGTTTGGAAAAATGAACAATCGTTTTACAATCCTAAAACATAAAGAATAAAAGCGCAGATTCAAGCTAAACAGATGATACAAAGCTCATAGGACCATTACTGTAAGTGACTGCAAGTGTTTAAAGAAGTCATTAAACAAATATCACAGGTAAAATAATAAGATCAAGATGTTATTTACACAGGGACAATAAAACTGATAGAAAGCCAACCTGTGTGTCCTCGGATAATGATAGATGGGCTTTTCCTCGGACACCAGGTGCCATATAAACCATCAAAGTGGCAGCAACCAACAGGATCAATCCTCGCTCCATATCTGTGGAGGAAATATAGTCAGGTGAATTAAAACACATTTAAAGGCCGTTTTAAGTCTGATCACTTCCTTGTGACATCCATCATATTTTTCAAGCTACAATTTTTAATGTCATTTCAAAAAAGTGCAAATGTGTATTTTGTTTTTATAGTCTCGAGAGTGATTTAATTTAGTAAATGAACATGTGGTGCAAACAGCTAAACACAGATCACATCAACAAAAATCATGGAGGTAAGTCTTTAAAAAAACTGATGCAGAAACATGAAAAATTTTAGCTATGTTTAAAACCCAGGGATCAAATTAATTAAAATTTAATGAGAAATTAAACAAAAAGAAAAGATAACACTCTTAAATCATCGATTTTTTAAAATGAGAGCTGGTGACTTTTTTAACTATTGTACATAATGCCAAGTAAAACACTGACATTTGTCTTGATAAATTTAAGAAATCTATGAAAAATTGAACAAGAATTAAAAACATGAATTTTAACATTTAAAGGGGCCAACAAAGATGTTCAGGCCTTTTTAAATGTCTGGTTTTCCCTGCAGTGAGACTCACCTGTGCAGTGAAGGTTCAGATGTTGAGATGCGGAGATGCTCTTCGTTCAGGTGTTTCTGCTCCTCTGTGAGCGTTCGATACCTGCGGGAAAGATTTAAATCAGCAAACGTTTGCGCTGATGCTCAGGGGTGGTGATGCAGGAAAGGTGTGGGAGGGTGGATGGATTGAATGAAGTGGATGAAGCTTCTATGAAAACTTAATAACAGTCTTGCTGCAGGAAATTTTGTTTCTGAGTCCTGATAAAGGAATTTAAAGTAATTGCAATTAAAGTAAATACAACAGACTACATGATCGCTTTAAATAAAGTCATAAAATCCAATAAAACTTTTACATTTTGCAGAATTATAAAAAGAGTTGTAATGATATAGGGTTTTTAAAAGTCATCATTGTTGACACTGAGTTAATTTGCTGTTTCAAACACATTTTCTTGTAAAAACATAAATTTTCTGCAACCGTGAAGTGCTTTGAGTCCACTGAAATAAGATCAAATGTGCAAGTTGCATATAAAAATATGGGACTAAGGAATAAAAAGTACAGATGACAAGGTTGTTTTTGTTTTAATTACTATTATTTTACTATCGCTCTCCCAGGGTGACAACTTTACATTTTATCATGAAACTGTGTCCCTGCGTATCTGACATTTTTCATGCAAATAGAAGCATCAATTTTCATTCTGACACAGACTGGAAAGTTTGGCGTCATGGCGTGACAAATGAAACTGTGTCACCTGCTGACGTCACCTTGTTTTGGACCACAGAATGTCAAATACGGGTTTGTACAGTGTCTTTGTAGCCTGTGGTTTTCCAAGGAACAGTGGTCATTGTATCATTCCTTTGAAATGAGTTTTACATTTTCCAGCGGAGGCTGTTTTTCCTTTGATTGTGAGAGAAAACAACACTGCAAAAACAGGAAACAGTGCATGAGAGGTCAGTTTTGAAGACTTACAAACTTCATGGTTGGGCCAGGAATAGGTTTCGTCTCCGGAACCATCCTCCTGTCGAAGCTGAGAGATGTTTGAAACTCAATTTAACCTCTTACAAGACTCTAAACCCTCTCCCGGGACGGATCAAATGTCTTTTAAGTGGATTAAATGTCTTTTGCTGAGTTACGGCGCATGTAATTCAGCAGCGGCAGTGCTACTGAATGAATGTAGGGGAAACACGTGAAAAAAGGAAAGTGTTCTTGAATGTTGGGAAGTTGCACTTACATACCCCAAGGGAGAGAATTATGATAGATGAAATTAAACAGCTTACAAGAGCCTGAATTATTATCGCATGTTGGTTTTCACTGTATTGATTAACTCAGTTAACGTTATAATAAAAGAGCACATTAGACTTGAATGGAAAATGACCTTGATTAGTCATGTGTTTTTGCTGATACATGACTACACAAAGTCCAAAAGCGATGCAGTACTCTGGCCTAGCCTCTGCAGAGTGATACACTAAATGAAGGAGGACAGGAAGTGGAAGCTTTTTTTAAGTGGGTCATTTTTGCTCCAGCTTTTCTTAAATTATGATTTTTTTAACCTGGCTTTTCACCTCTTGTCTACCTCCTTTTAAAGTCTCGTTATTCCGCCAGGGTCTCCGGTATTTACTTCGTTTCTTTGCTTGTGTTGGCAGTCGTGGCCAAAGGAGGATTCAGACAATTTTCCGTACTTTCTATGGTTTCGACTGTCCGATATCGTAGCAACGCTAACTTTGTTTGAGCTCGTGCAGGTTATTCAAGAAGGGAGCGTGCCACACAACATGAGGGAGCAGCATCTGCCTCACAACCATAGACTGTATATAGAATAGACGCCGTCTGCCTCCTCGCTGGGTGAAGCCACTCCGAGAACAGCACCCTCTGGTGATGGGCTGCAGTATAGGTCATAAATCCCGCCTCTGCTAGCAAAGCTTATGAGGCTGTGGACCAGCGTTATCGTGATATTCCCAAATGTCATCAATAACTAATAGCTATTGACTGATATTAAAAGCTTTTTTGTACATACACCACAAAAAAACATGCCTGCCCCACCTTTAATTTCAGTCTTTTTTGATTTCCAGCTGAGCCTTCCCCACATTAGAGGTACAAGCGTTACTTTCCCATTTATTAGAAGAGTTACGTCTTCAGCTTTTACGTCGTACCAAACCCAGAGATATACACTCAGAACAGCATCCCAAAGAAATAAAAAAACATTAAATCTGACAGAATTACTGAGGAGGAACTCAGGAACTGTTCGTGGTGGCTTTTGGGTTCCTAGAAGCAACAGGGCTTATCGAGTTTAATAGGCTACGTAATTCATTCTATTCCACACTTCAGCTCAGAAGGTGGCGGTAATGCACATATGAGCTGTTTGCCAACCGCCATAAAACCAAGGAAGAAGAATAAGAGAGCTTACGTAGGGTCATCCCGGAAGTACATCTTACGTCTACCGATGGGGAGATGTTTTCCCCGCTCCAAAAGGCACCAACTGTTTGATTAAACTCATTTTCACTCTTTTATTGAGCTGAAACCACTTAAAGACAAGATGTCGTTCCCCTCCGCTTTCGGTACGCAGATCGCGGCTATCATGGACGTGCTGGCTAACGCCGCGGTGGCAGAAATAACGAAACTAGTGGAGGACGGGGCCGTGGTTCTGCGTTTGGAGATCTGTCGGAGGGACAGTGAGATCGAAGAGCTCAAGAGAAGTTTAGAGAGGATGGAGGCTGAACTTTGCAAAACTCGAGAATCAGTAAAGATCCGAGCTACAGAAGAAAAACAGCAGCAAACAGACAGAGCGGTCCAGGTGCTGCTTGAAGGTGAGAAATAACACGGAGGTATGAAGGACTAAAAATGCAGAACCAAACTTCATTTAAAAATCTTGGAATTTATAAATAACTCTCTTTTACACAAACTGTCCTGCTAGATAAACTAAAACTATAGATGTTTAATATTTATTTATAGTCCTCTGTTTATTTCGGGCTATAATACGCTGTACTGCACCTTTTATTATATTATGAAACGACAAGATTTGAACCGTTACACTTTCAATGCACCGGACGCAAGGACGTAAAATGTGGAACCAAACTTAATTTAAAAATCTTAAAATTTAGAAATAACTCTCTTTTACATATCTCGACCTGCTACATAAACTAAAACTATAGATGTGTAACATTTATTTATAGTGCTCTGTGTATTTTGGGCTATAATACGGTGTACTTCAACTTTATTATGGACTACAGCGGGGTGACGCAGCTCAAGGAAGAACATTTATGATCATTTCTATATTATTTCCACAAGGTAATAATCGTCTCGGTCTAATTGTACTGCCATGAAGAAATAATCATAAATGTTCTTCTTTGAGCTGCGTCACCCCGCTGTAGTACGTAATAGACTGGTCTGAGGTCGCGCTACAAGTAAGCAGCTGCTGGAAGAGAGTAGGTGAGTTGTGTTTAGTCTATTAGCCAAAGAAATTAGAAAAGGCTAAAAAGATGTTTAGTCACTAGTGCTGTGGCAAGGACCCTATATGTACTGCTGATGAAGTTAGTTGCTGTTCTGAACATTATTTGTGGCTATAGAGTGGCGTTTTGGTTGAGATTTTTTTTTATGGCTCCTCAGACCGCTACGTATTGCTATTAAGCGGTCGTTACTAAAGTTGGTATAACTAAAGGAGCAAGCTGTCGGCAACATTCATCTCTCCAGGGGGTGTCTTAATCGGTGTTACGGTGTGTTTGACCATAAATTAATTTTACACCAGAATATCCCTTTAAGGCTCTGAGGGTCACAGTCATTTAGTAATAGTTTTCAACTTGGTTTCTCTTAAACCAGGCAGATTCAAACATGTATTTTGTGTTCTTCTTCCAATAAAATAGATGACCAGGAAACGTTTGCAGCGTACATGGAACCAGAGGCAGCTGATCCCCTCCATGAGCCTCGTGGGGATGAGGAGAGCCATGACATTAAGGCAGCCGTGAAGCAAGAGCCAGCAGCTGAACTTGCTGCTCAAGAACAAACAAACAACGCAGTGACAGAAGATATTTGTTTTGAGAGGGATGAACTGATCTGGCCTCCTTCTGCTCTTCGCTTGTTTGATAATAACTCTGACGCCCTGCAGGAGCAAACACAGATATTTTCACCCCAACCTGAGCATACAAAGAAAACTTACGCAGGGGAGATCTCTGTTGATTCCTCAAGTGTGCCGATAAAAGATGAGCTAGAGAGCCGACCTGTGTGCTCAGAAGGTTCCCCCGTAGAGATTGTTCAAAAGGAACTGTTCAGACATATTTCAAACCCTGTTCATCAGCCTGTTTCACAGCAAGCCGGGCCGTCTTTAAGCTTTCCTCATGCTCAGAGACAAACTCTCAACAGGTTCGGACAAAACACAGAAGATCACATCCTCAGCAGAAAGTTCCAGAGAGTGAAAAGAATAACCCCTGTTCCAAGAGCGAATCAGAAACTGTTCATCTGCTCAATCTGTACCAAAGGTTTCCCCCGTTTGTCTCAGCTAGAGGCACACAAAGCCACGCACCAAACTCTGAAACCTTACAGGTGCCTCGAGTGCGGGAAGTCTTTCACCCAAAAACGCCGGCTTCAGACGCACCAGAGCGTGCACACAGGAGAGAAACCGTTCAGCTGCAAAATTTGTGGCAAAATGTTTTCCAGGCCGGACAACTGCAGGAGACACGAGCGCTTCCACAGTGGACTGAAGCCGCACAGCTGTGGGGAGTGTGGGAAAAACTTTACTGTGTTGGGAAACCTGAAAATGCATCAAGAGATTCACAGGAAAGGGAGGTAGCACTCAGGCGCTCTGAGTTACAAACTTTGTTTTTTTAGAGAAGTTGCACTTTTAAAAATCTGACTTTTTAAAGCACAAAATGTCCGACAATGTAACGAGAGGACATGGTTTGTTACAAGTGTTGGTTTGCTATCTTAGCCTGTTTTTAGATTTTCTAAACAGGAGCTTAATTTATCATGAAGGGCTGTAATGTGTGTCTGTTTATTTATAACATTTACCATTCAAAGTCATGGTTGACGATCTGAGAAGCAGTTGAGAAAAACTGAGCCGTTGAGGCAGATTTGACAAAAGCGTCCCACCCCTCCCACACACACAAACCTCTCCCCTCTGTGCTCCACGATAACCCCCCCACCCAACCTGTATCGGCCTCCCCATGAAACACCCCCTCTGGCACAGCAAGAGGCCGGCTGGCTGAAGATCCTACGCTAGCTTCAAATAGGATTCACCATGTCAGATTGCTAGTGACTAGCGGCAGTAAATGCCAGCTCTGCTAGCGAGCACCATCTGCAGCTGCCTGGACAGCTACCGTGTTGACATTGCAGAGACTATTAAGGGTTATTTATGTAACGTGCCACGATAAAAGGCGATAAAAATGACCTATTCAACAAAACTCTGCTCTGCTCGGCCTCTGTTTTCAGACCTAAATCCTGGCGGAGTCTTCTCCACCGCTCGAAGGATGACCCAATGTTTATACAGCTCCTGTAGCTAAGCTTCTACGCTACTTTTAGCCGCTCAGAGCTCCGAGGAGGATCGGGAGGGTGGGAGGGGACGAGTCGGAACTACAGGAGAAGGATGTGTCGAATACAGCGAGGTGATTGGATAGAGAGGCGGAGCAGGAGATTGACCAATAGGAGCTGTCCAGGACGGACGGCTCTCATTGGTCAATGTTTTTGTAGCCCTGTACCTGCTAGGATGAACTGATTTTTCCCATTCTTCTTTCTCTTCACTTTGTGGAGATCACACTAAAGGACCATGATCGCCATAGAAACGAGGTTCATAATAATCACCAATCTCTCCAATCGTCAACCATGACTTTAAGCTGTTGTCTTTACATTTGATTAAAGAGGCTGATTGACGAGTGAAGACCTATATAATGTGACACGGACCCCTGCACTAATTTCAGGCATTAAAAAGTACATTGTAAGAATCCTCAATCCTGTCAGTAATGGTTTTTTTGCTTTCGTGTATCATAAAAAAATTATGTATGTGAATTTTAGTCTCTTTCATTGATGTCAAAAAATCTCCACAGGAGCTTTAAGTCATGTCGTCGAGTCACTTTGTAAGCCTGTGTTATTTGTGGTTATAAAATCATGTCCACAGCGCTCACTACCTGTATGTATTTATTTCAAATCAGTCATTACACTTTGCTCTTACTCCAGTAGTTTATTTTCTCTGATATTTTAGGACAGTTAGATTTTGACTTTATGTGTATACTGGTACCAGGAAAAACCTCTGTATCGAAATACTGCGTCTTGGACTCCAATCAGTGTCTTTGTAAACATTGTTAAATCCAGATAGTTGCATGAAGGAAGTAGCTACTTTCGAACAGGAGTTTGTGGATGTCGCTGGACTTTGCGAAAAAAATTAGTGTCATAATATGTAGTTTCTAGGACATGTGGAGGGGGGCAGCAATACGCTGCTAGGTGTATAGTCTGCCGGAAACCCACAAGGAGAAGAAGAAAAGGAATGGAACGAAGGTTCGCAGGTCGCGGCTATCATGGACGTGCGGTGGCAGAAATAACCAAGTAAATGGAGGGCGGGACTGTTGGAGGGACAGTGAGATCGAAGAGCTCAAGAGAAGTTTAGAGAGGATGGAGGCTGAACTTTGCAAAACTCGAGAATCACTAAAGATCCGAGCTACAGAAGAACAGCAGCAAACAGACAGAGGGGTCCAGGTGCTGCTTAAAGGTGAGAAATAACACGGAGGTATGAAGGACTAAAAATGTAGAACCAAGCCAAAATTTAAAAATCTTAAAATTTATAAATAACTCCCTTTTTCACTACTCGACCAAAAGTGGACTTTGTTTGTTTTTTTGTATTTTATTTAGTTCTATTTTTACAGCTGCTTAGATTATTTACAGTATTTTTTTAAATTAGTTTATATCATCTCCTTGTTCTTGTTTTGGATTTTTTTTGTGTTTAAAGCTCCTGTAAGACACCTTTGGTTTTTGTTGATTTTGGCGCCCCCGGTGGACAAAGTGTTACTTTTGATTTCTGTGCTGACCTTGTTTGTTTTCATCCAAAAAATAAAATTGATTAAAAAAGAAAAGAAAAACGTGTATTACAGATACAAAGTCACTGTGAAATCCTAATATTTTGGGAATAAAGTCATGATCAAGTCTTGCTTTAGGGTGAGCAGCCGGCTGCTAATCAAATAGGAAATGTGGACACCTGGGGACCACATAATTTAAAGGTGGGGTAGGCAGGAATCTGTTAAAGAAGCACCTTATTTTGTGGTGTACTTACAAAAAAGCGTTTAATATGAGTCAATAGATGTTAGTTATTGATGACAGATAGCAAACATTTAAAGAAAAACGAAATCTTAAAAAAAAAAAAATCTACATTGAATATTTTTCTGACTACAGGAGCTTTAAATCATTAAATTGCCGCGGGGATATGATTTGCGTCTGTCTTCCAGCGTTTACGGTACTTCTGACATCACTTCCTGAAATGGAGAGCCTGTGTTGATACTTGGTACAGTTAACCACTGCTAGCACAAAGCAGTCCACAGTTAACCGTCCCTCAGCTGCACTTTGGGTTTATTAACCCGTTTCAACAATGGTATGGTTCTGTTAGCAGGGGCGCCTGACTCCCAGCTTAGTGCCCGGCGATAAGGCCCCTTCTCTGGGCTTTGAGCTGAAGCAGCCCCGTTACTTTGGTAGCTGGTACCTTAGGGGGGTGCAAACATGTTGAACGGCGTGGCTCTGCGGGCTCAGATCTCCTCCATTATTGAGGTTTTATCCAAAGCAGCTGTGGCAGAGATCGCCAAAGTTGTGGAGGATGGGATGGTGGTGCTGCGGCTGGAAATGTGTCAGCGTGAAAATGAGATCAAGAAGCTGAAGAGCAGCATCGAGGTCCTGCACGGCGAGCTGCGATCAGCCCGGGAGAGAGCCGAGAACCAGAGACCTGAGAACCAGAGGAGAGATGGTGAGATGGACCACACCCAGACACACCTGTACTTTACTCACATAAACCTTAAAAATGCATGTATTGATCATGCTCTGCAGCTGCTCTCTGTGATAGCGGTGTAAGGCACATGGGTACAGGGTTTTTGAGGGATCAACAAGCGCAAATCTGTGTTTTTATGACTTTGATCTGACCTCAGAGTTTGTCTTTAAGGATTTGAATCACACCACATCACCTTCACAAAGATCCGCCTCTCCTGGGCAAACATAGTCCTCCCTGCCCTGCAGCACTGCCTACACCCTGAATAAACTTTATCACATGTATAAACTCTACAGTAAGAGAGACAGCTGCTGGTTTTCTCCACCTGTGACAGCTGCAGAGATGATGTGACATCTGCCATAACCAAAAATAATACACAGAGATCTATGATGCTGCAGTGTTGAGTTTTATTTCACCTTTTCAGTCTGATTCTTTGCAGTAGCTTCGCCCAAATCAAAGCGTCATTTACATTATTTACAGTGGACTTCCTGTGGAAACATAAGAATTAAATCCCTGAAAAAGGGGGAGTGGAAAAGTGATGATATCTTTAATGTTTTATTATCTTTACCAGGGCTTGACACTAACTTTTTTGCTGAAAAAGTAAGGAGCACTCAAAAAATCAAAAATTGATCCTAGAATGTTTGCCTTATTGGTCGACATAAATATTAATATTTGAAATGAATTTTAGGTCTTTTGATCACATGACATGGAAGATATTAAAGAAAACGTTAAAATTTGCCCTTAAATTTAACACAAAAAACTTATTAGGACAAATTAGGGAAATAAAGAGACGTGTCTTATTGTCCAACTGGTCACTTGACATGGACGCTGTTGAAGGAAAACAGCCTTTTTTGAAAACATCAACTGGTCATTTATTGATGGTCCCTTAATTAACACGGCGAGGATACCGCGCAGATTTAACCGCGCTGCTGATGTTATTCCTGGTTCTGGAGAGTGAGAAGACACCGGTCGATCCGCCTTGAATGTCAGTCTAATATCCAACCTAAAACTAACTTCCTCGCAATGTTTACATGAAAAAACATTTCTTGTCTCGGCTGATTTTTTTATGCGAGTGAAACTGTTGCACTGTCGAGCCTTCGTCTTTACTGTTCACCCTAGTTGTTGCTAAGTTGGCGCATCATTGTACATGATGTAGAAATATAAGGTCAAATGAAAAGTAATTTTCCAGTCCAACATTTATGATAAAGTGGAAGTTAATTGCTTTCATTTTAATCTTGTATCAGCTTGTTGGCTGAAGCTAGCGTAAAATCTTCCTGAGGCCATCAGGTGGGCATTTTGTCACTCAAGGTGTTTTAACTTCTTCATAACTTAAGCTACAAGAATAAAAGAGATGTCCATTTGAACACACGACCACAAGCTTTAATCCAAAATAAGTGTGACAACCAACCCTGGTCTCCCCTACATGTGTGAAAAGGGCTGTAACGTCGTCTCCCCAGTTTAAAAAAAAACCCCTGAAACCAACATTCACCAAATAGATTTGAGCAGTCAGTACGTGAAGGTGGTGAGGCTTTCAGCAGCTTTCACTCTCAGGGTGGGTGAGACCAAACATAGAGCTAAAAGAAAGTAGATATTGCTCTGTACGTGCAAATAACAACCAAAAAATGGCCACAAGAGCCACAATCACATGATATATCTGTGCCGTGTTGACAACCTGTTCATAAAAAGTGAGTTATTGCAGGTTTAATTCACTATTTCACAGCAGATAATACTGTGAAATAATGGACTGAGGCGGTAGTGTTGTACTCCATAAAGCAGCTTTTGTGCTCGTGGATGAGAGAGTCAGATTGCTCTGGTTTTTAAACTCTCAGCACACTTGTGTCATTTTATTCTGAATAGTTTGATTATGCTGCCAAAGAAAACACTTGATAGTATTGTTACCTCCTATAATGCATGGATTTAACGCTCATATTGACAGAGATTTGCAGAAATTTACTTGAATGCTGGTTTGAAACTGACTGCTCTATTCCTTTATTATTGCTTCTCCGCAGACATTCAGAGCGGCGTTGTTGAGGAGAGGAACTCGCTGGAGAGTGTGCAGAATAAGAAAGATCAGAGCAGCCCGTCCTTACCTGAGGTGAAGGTAAAAAATGAACCTGCAGAAGAAAGAAGCGGAGGAGCCACACAGCCTGGTCAGCAACCTTTGTACAATGGAGACGGTGCACAGTGGACACAAATAACACCAACTCAAGCTGGACACAGTAACTCTGAGTATTTAAATGTGCAGCAGAACTCTGTCCCGTATCTTCCTGGATCTTCTCTGAACACGGCCCTGGGCGAGCCCTGCAGCAGCTCTGGAGGGTTTCAGCAGAGCCCGTTGAGCAGAGGCCCGCTGGGTTACAGCCAGTACCGTAACATGTACAATGCAGTGAGGAGGAGGAACGTGAAGAGGTTTATGTTCAAGAAAGGCTACCACTGTCCGTACTGCGGGAAATACTTTGAGCGCTCGGGGCACCTAGAGAGACACAAGAGGATTCACACTGGAGAGAAACCGTTTCGCTGCGAGATCTGCGGGAGACGCTTCAATCAGAAATGCAGCCTGAAGGAGCACATGAAGATTCACAGGAGAAGTGAGTACAGACAAATTGATAACTTTTCCCAGAGTTTTGAAACTTGAGTCTTTAAGGTTTAATTTAGTGGTAAATTACTAATCCTAACATTTTTCTGCCCTAACAGATATCCAGAACCAACTCGCTGAGATCCAGATGACGGAACAGAAGCAGATCTCTGAGCTGAACCCGTGTCCTGATGCGCTTCGCCCTAAGGAAGAGAGCCGAGCAAACGAAGAGGCTGAGCAACCAAAGAATGAACTTATAACTCAAACACCCGTAACAGTAAAATCAGAGCCTGTAGAAGAAACGATAACACAGCCAACGGTTCAAGAAGTAAAACAGCAGCCGACTGAAGGAGTGGACAACCATAGTGAGCAGTTCAGAGAGTCCCAGCCGTGGATTCCCACATTACAAGGACAAAACAGCACAGAGATCAGCGGTGCAGAGTATCTCGGCAGCTCGGCGCAGACTCTGAGATCCTACCCTGAGATTACTCGGTTACTCTCTCCTCCCATCGAAGCTTCTTGTAGCACATTCCCCTTCCCAGGGAAACTGTACAGAGAAGAGAAAAACAACACGATATCCCAAACAGCGTACGGATCCTCAGACACGCTCATGATGTCAGGTGAAGCAGGGCTGCACAGTATGGCGGGATCCATGCTGAACCCGCACGCTCAGAGAGGAGGACGGCCTCTGCAGCTGCTCAAACCAAAGAAATGCTTCCTCTGCTCGTACTGCGGGAAGATCTTCGATCGCTCCGGCCATCTGGAGAGACATCTACGAATTCATACCGGGGAGAAACCATACGGCTGCCACATCTGTGGAAGGTGTTTTAACCAGAAGAGCAGCCTTAAAGGTCACATGAGGACACACAGGAATGGTGAGAGAAAAAAAGACCCTGCTGCACTCATTACTATTATTTTCAAACCAGTATCATGACTGTGTCTCTCCGTCTTTCACCCTCTCTACGCTGTGGTTGTGAGTGTTCATCTGTTTACTGTATTTCTGCATTTTACAGGGGAGAACACAGACATGCTGGAAGCTCATCACCTCATGTTTACGATGCCTGATAACCACCTACTGAAGGACCTCGGAGAACCTCAAAACAGGCCGACTGCTTCGGATGAGCAGCTCCCCGCCTCTATGTACACTGAGGCAGCTGGTGACCAAGCAGCGATGGTGGATCTGGATGTGGATGAGAAGGATTTTCAGGCTTTAAATCAGACAGGAGACAACGCCGGCACAGGAGCACACGACCAAAACCAGCTGTGGACGTCTGGATTAGAGAGGAGCGGCGATGTGTCTGAGCAGAACGTCTGTTTGCTTCTACCTGACGTCAAGTATCACCTCAGCCCTGTTCCTGGTGCAGCTGATGGGCAGCTGGGGTTTATCTCACCGGTTAAAGATCTGCCCTTTATAGAAAAGAAAGAAAAAGAAGACATGATGCACAGTGAGCAGTTTTCATTCACAGGAGTGCAGCCGAGAGGCTCTGATGTGACTCTAACGCCTGAGCTGCAGGATAAACACATCATCCAGGCTGTGACTGTGAACGAGTTCACCGGGACCAGTGACCGGACGCATGACGGAGGGGTGCTGGAGTTTGAGATGATCACCTCAGTCAATGAGGACAACTGTGGAGAAGGAGCAACAAGACAGAACTGGTTTATATGCTCGGCATGCGGGCAGAGCTTCGACAGTTTCAGTTTGTTTCAGAGACACCAGTGCCAGACTGTGACCAAGCAGACGCTCAGCTGTCACATCTGTGGGAAGACTTTCACTCAGTTAGGCATCCTGAAACTGCACCTCAAGCTTCACACTGAATCAAAACACCAGTAACATTAACAGCAAAGGAAAATCACTGTAAAATATCCTCCGATGAGCTTCATCACTTCCTGTTTAGATAGGGAGCAGAAAATCTCCGGGGTGCAAAACTTCCAAAAACAAAAACGTCAAACTTCCTTCACATTGATTCAATTTCGATCAATGAAGTTCTTCCTCTTCAGAAGCTCCTGTGAGGAGGTTTCAGTTTGTGTGGATTCTGGCGCCCCACTGTGGACAAAGCGGTAACTTTAATGTCTTTTCTGATCACATCCTCAGCTGGAGTTTGTGGAAACCAAACATCTTGTTTTTAATAGTTCAGAGCAAAGACCCGCAGTCTTCTGCGTCTTGTTGTAACCAGTTTGCTTCAGCTAAAATTTACCACTTCAAATATCAGCAGATCTTACTAACTGTAGAGAGACGGTCTCAAGTATGTTTAAAATCAAGTTTTGAAAAACAGATCAGACTGTTATTTTCAGCTGCTGTGGTAACTTTCATGTGTTTCTGAACCAGACTGTGATTTTCCTCTTTATTCAGGAGAAATAATCAAATGCACACTTCACTCCCTCTCCATGTCATCATCAGTCTTGTTTCTGATCGTCTAGTTTGGTATTAAGAGCCGTCAGTATTAACTTGATTCTGTTTTCATGACTTGTTCAAAACTTCTCACAGGAACTTAAAAGTTTTTCACACAAAAGGTCTCTGTCTACTTTGACCTCCTCCATCCTCTCAGTGGCAGACAATTTGTCTGTAAGATGACTGAGTGTTGTCGACACAGACAGCTGAAGCTGCTTAAATCTGCTTTTATAACGACCACATCACGATTAGAAGAAAACTAACTGTGTCAAGTGTTTGAAGTGGCAATTAAATGTTCTGGGCTGCAGCCAAATCTGTCACTCTGAAATCTCCTCTAAGGAAAGTTTAACTTTTATTAAATTGATTAAATTAATAGAGTTTGACCTTAAGGAGCAAACTAGACCATCAACAATACGACTAATTGTTTTGGAAGTTTGCAGCCACTGTTGCCGGGTAGTAACATGACATTATAGAAGAAGATGCTTTCATGTGTTCATGTGAAGATCAGCCAAGCTTTGTCCACAGGGGGGCGCCAAAGTCACTGCAGCATACAAGAGCTCTAACTGATTATTATTATTTCAATGATTTGATGATAATTTTATTTTATTCATTTGAGAAGAATGGAAAAGATATTGAGTTTGATACAGACACTGAAGTCTTTTTTTTTTTTCAATGTGCGAGTAAATATGATCCAGTTCATGTCAGTCAGATCAACACGACATGTTTGTCACCGTTTTAAACAGTTCAGGCATTTCATTAAAATAATTTCATCATTGTTCCTTTAAAATAGGAGGTTATGAAGATGAATGTTCACTGAGACCTTAATTACTTTACTGAAGAACGCATTTATCACCAACAGTTCAATTTTCTTTTTCAGGATTTGTTTTTCTCTTCAGTCTGAGAGAAACAGGAAATCATGCTGGAGTTTAATTTGTCATTGTAAAAAAACAAGCTCATCTTTTCTTTTCAGTATTCAGAGCAGATCACAGCTCACATAGCTCATAGATTTCACATGTTCGCTCTCGTTAAAGCACAGGGTTCTCATGTTTCAACATTACATGTGTCATAAGAGGGTGGGCGCTCTGCCATTGTTACCTTTAAAGTATTAAGATTTACTGTCATGGTTTGGATCCTCATCAGTTTACTGTATCTGTGTGCAGAATAATGCTCCAATTTTATTGTGAAGACGGCGGTGAAATGAGGGTGAAACTTTAAGCTACAGTTTAAATGATCACAGTATTTACTTTAAGATAAAGGAATGAAGGACAGTATTTCTGTAGCATTATACTGGATACCTCAGTCTGTTTTTGCCTTTGACAGTTTTAACAATGTTGGAAAAAAATTCCGATTTTAGAAATACTGTAAACTAAATTTGAAAAAAATTAAAAGAAAATGTCTCGGAGAAGGAAGTTAAATTATTCTGGAAAACGATTAATTGTGTAGAGTTCGTAAAACCTGAAATACCTCACTGTCACACTAATCAAAGAGAAATTTGAAGCTTCTTTTTGATTTCAGCATCACCGTATACTGATTTCTTTTGGCTGAACTGTTTTATTTATCAGACAGTTGTATCAACACAGTCAGCATGAAGCCTTGAAGATGAAAAACTGCTCCCAGTCAAATTAAATAAACAGTTCTGAATAGTTCTGAGTTTTTGCCGCCGCTTGCGCTCTTTTGGAGAGGCCGGCGTGACTTTAAGACATCATTGAAACAGTTTTACAGAAGTAGCACTCCAACCAAACAGACGGACAGACAGACGGAGCTGTTTGCTGAAACAGCAGGGTTTTAAATCTGAAACTTGTTGCCAGAGTCTAAGAACTTGATGGTGGTAAGAGACTTTAAGTAGTTCTCCTGTAAAATAAAGTGTTTTTAGTTTGGTTTGGTATTTACTACTTAAGCTCATTGTCAATTTAATGTCCACATGTTGCATGATTCACAGACTGAACAGTTAATCACATGTTAGACGATGTTAAATTATGTTATGGAGATGAAACTTTTTTATTTTTATTTCAATTTTTAAATAAATTTAAAAGGGAAGTTTAACAAATTTCAGTCTGGCACTAATTATTTTAACACTGATCTTTTTCATTTCTTTCATGGTTTCCAGTTTCAAGGAAAAAGTGTTGACTTCACTAAACAGAAGAGGACCTAATCAAGTTCCTTGAGGAACCCCAGGTGTAGATATATTACATCTAACGTGGCAAGCTACAGAAAAGGGTTTTCAGAGCTGAGTTAAAGGGATATTCCTGCGTAAAATTAATTTAGGGTCAAACACACCGTAACACCGAGTTAGACACCCTGTCAAGAGATGAATGTTGCCGACCGCTTGCTTCTCTAGTTATACCAACTTTAGTAACAACCGCAGGATAGCAATACAGAGAGACACATGCTCAACCAAAACGCCACTCTATAGCCACGAATAATGCTCAGAACAGCACCTAACTTCAACAGCGGTCGGAAACATTAATCTCTCAGCGGGGTGTCTAACTCGGTGTTGCAGTGCGTTTGACCCTAACTTCATTTTACGCAGGAATATCCCTTTAGTAATCAGATATTTATGGGAGAACTGAATGGGTGATAAAAGTCTGGACAAGTTTAAGAGCCCATTGTTGACAGTTCCTCGCCAATCAAAAATATTTAGGGCCTGAGATCCAGTTTGATATTTTCAGAGGGTCCAGTATTCCCAATGATTGCAGCCACCAATGTTATAATGCAAAGTTGGCTGACACACAATCAAACACATGCAAAAAAAAAATGCATAAATATGTATGATTCTGGCTCTCTAAGCCTGTATTACTTATTTTATACATAACTTCAAGTCATTCGAAGGCTGTAATGTTGTCCGACAGACAGGTAAAGGTAAGTTAAACACAAGATGAGTTGGTGTCATTACCCCTGAAACCCCAGAAAATAGTGGCGAATAGTGTTGTGTCTACGCAAACGATTCGTTCAAAATAACCAAATCTTTTAAGTGAATGTATTAAACTGAATCACTTGAGGAAGTGATTCGTTCCTGCGGGACCACATGCACTGACACCTGATTCACTTGGTGAATGAATCACGCATTGAACTACACTCTCTGGAATCATTTCAGTCAGACAAAACAACCTTTTTTTTCACTGCTAAATTGCCACCACAACAACTTTCATACAATAGGACACAGAATGTAACAAGTAGTGCATTAAACCCGCAGCATCCTATCATTGCAGCGGTTTGTGAGGCAACGGTGTATGTTCAGTGTGAATTCTTCTAAACGTTCGGCGAACAAATCACTCAATAAGCTGACCTGATAAATAGCATACCATAGTACACTTAAAACATCATGACTTATAAACAAGTTCATTTTTACAAACCTGTTTGCCAAAGCAACACAACCAAACACTCATCTCCTGGTCCCAGAAGCTCTGAATTGAACTGAATCCTGAAATGTTCAGCTGTGTATGAGTTCAGGAGGTCAGAGTCGCAGGCTTCTCCTGCTGAATGATTCAGTGATTTGGTGAACAAATCTTTTTACTGAACTGATTCTAGTGATTCAGTACATCTAAAAGAACTGCCGTGCCCATCACTGGTGGCGAACTAAGTAAAGGCCATCACACCAAACCCTTGTTTCTCCTCTCCTTCTTGACAGTAAATATGACTGCGCCTCTATTCCTGCATTTAAGGTAAACCCCTCCGCCACACGGAAGAAAAGGTTCCAGCTAGCTAGAAACACACAGTGATGTCAAATGTTGTAGTCCGTCGCTCCTTTTTGCATTTTTTATCAAACCTATCAGTCGAAAAACCCTTTTAATTGCATTTCTGCAGAATATATCGCTTTGCATGAGTTAATATGGCGACGTGCGTTCCCTTTCAAACGCAGTTGTCGTCAATCATGGAGGTTTTGGTGAAGGCAGCAGTGGCAGAGATATCCAAACTGGTCGATGACAAATGTGCGTTTTTGCATCTGGAAATCTCCAGAAAGCAGAGCGAGAATGAGATGCTGAAGCGGAAACTGTTAATGATGGAGAATAAAAACGCCCAGCTGCAGAGGGGGTTTGGTGAGACTCTCCACTGTCTGGTTTTGGCTCATAATTAAAGAGTGCTGTTAATTGTTGTTATGATTGTAGAGGGAGCATGTATTTACTTACAATCACAGAGCTCTATTGATGCTTCTTAAAGATAATAGTGTGCATTCATATTCATTTTTCACCCTTAACCTTCTAATATGATCAATAATGTTGAATTATTCTTACAGCTGCTTTAAAATCCACTTTTTTCTGTATCAGAAAACTACATGGACCGAGGGACTGATGTTGGAGGAAATTGTCCACATCCCACAGGAGACATGAAGGTCTGTGTGCTTTTTGTGATCATTATTCCTCAGAGTCATACTGCTTATTTAATATATACCTGATTTAAGACAATAGACTCCAGGTTATAGATCACCTGGGGTCCAGCTTGACTGGGTTCACTAGAACATGGTGTTTTTGCAGAGTGTAAAAGACTGAGACCAGAGGGTAAGTTGAGCCACCCCGTTTCTTGGAAATTGTAAAAGAAATTGATCATGTGACCAAATATTTAGGAGATGGGCATCAATTCATGGAGTCTATGAAGGTTAGAAGCACATGGGTGAAGAGGTTAGACATTTATTTACAAAAAAAGAAAAGTCATTTTTTACTCTTGAAAGTGAATTTAGTCATAAGTTTAATTAGAATTGTGTTCAGACCAATAAAGATCATTTTAAATGTGTTTTATACATCAATTGATTATACAAAAAGTGAAGAAGTGACTGTTATTTAGGGAGAGGGAAGTTGACCGTAAGAGACCGCTTTTTTGAGTTAGAGACAAAACTATGACTGACTTGATGTAGTGATCTGAAATATGAAAAATGGCTCATCCTACCCCGCTCTCCCCTACCTGATTTAAGACAATAGACCCGGCGCCATCCTCCCGTTGGTGTTGACACTTTCGTAGCGCATTCATCCATCACCTATACTGTTGATGCCATCTGGGGTTGCAGCTGTCACTGAGCAGGGCACCCTTAACAAGTTGACATTAATAACATAAAACTAGAGTTAACTACTGTTAGGCCTGCTGACTGTAATCACATTAAATCAATTAAACATTGTCCATAATTACTCATATCCTTACCCTGTAAACTGAATTCATTTAGTTTTACTATTACATGAGCTGTTGTTGTTGCTGCTGTCCCCTGTCTCTCTCCCTCCCTCTCCCTTACCTTTTCTCTCTCTCCTTGCCTCTATCTTGTCTCTCTCTCTCTCTCCCTCTTTCTCCTCCTCTCTCTTTATTCCTCCCCAACCCAGCAGCGGCCTGGTGGCTGTCTAGCATGAGTCTTAGGTTGGGTCTTGATAATTCATCAAACAGTGAGCGTGGTCTAGACCTGCTCTTTTTTTTGGAAAGCGTCTTGGGATGACGACTGTTGTGAATCAGCACTATATGAATGAAATTTGATTTGATTGAAGTTGCAAGGCTATCACAGGGCTGGCATAAAGAAAACAACACACACACACACTCACTCCTATGAGTTCCTGTTTGGACTATGGGAGGGAGCCGTAGGACCCAGAGTAGATCTAAAGAGAACCCTGTTTTCTTGGTACCACTTTCTGTCTCTATGCTTTGCTTAAATGCATTTAATTGAAGTGAAACATTCAACATTATTTACCAAACTTCTGCATTTTCTCTCTCTAGTTCCCCGAGATTACAGATGCCACCGTTTCATTCACTATCAAAGAGGAGAGTCCAGATGAGACGCTGTGGATCTCTGATCCCGCTGGACCCATCGGTAAGGCAAAAACCGAGATGTTTCTCAAAGAATTATCTGAAAAAGAGTTAACACTAACAACATGTCGCCACTTGTCACTCCCAGGTCCTGATGTTCAATATTCTAACCCAGCCAATGCTCCAGAGGGCCAGCAGATAGAAAACGACCGACAGCTACACCCTTCAGAGGTCACCAGGCAGAAAACGTCTGGGTTCAGTGAGTTGTACAACTCTGGTCAGCTTGCAGAAGACATCAGTGACCTCCAGTTCACTGTCAAGATGGAGAAGGAGGAGAACCCGTCAGGATTCAGTCAGGATAGATGCCAGCACAGTGCAGGAAAGCAGGCTCAGATTTCTGCTGACTTTTCGCTGGACGAGCGAGAGAATCAGCTCTGGTCGTCCATAATTGAAGGTGAGGACATCGACACAGGTTTTCCTGACTTTTCCAGCGTGGTGGAGGAGTATTCCCAAACGTTTCAGGACCATTCTGATGCTCATGTGGGTTCAAACTCCAGCAAGTCCGCTGGAGTGCAGCAGATGTCCTCTCAGAGGCCGTGTAATGGGATCTATAACAGTGACGTTCCTCAGTCATCCGGTTTTCAGGGCACTGTGACGCAGAAGGAACAGATTTATTCACAGAGAAACCCCACTCATGCTGCCCATCTGAGGCAGCCGGGTGAAAACTCGGCTGGAGATAGACCGGCTGTCGCTCCCTCGCACAGCACTTTCACATCAGGCAGTTTCTCCCATCATGCCCCGCACAGACCTTTCTCCAGCACGGCCCGGAGTTACGTTTGCTCGCAGTGCGGGAAGTCTTTCAGCCGCCTGCACCAGTTCAAGCTCCACCAGCAAAGCCACAAGAGGAAGCGTGCGTTCTGGTGCACAGTTTGCGGCAAGAACTTCCAGTGCTCCTCCCACCTCAGCATACACCACCGCACGCACACGGGCGAGAAGCCGTTCGGCTGCGGACAGTGCGGAAAGAGATTCACGCAGCAGAGCAGTCTGAGGGTCCACCAGCGCACGCACAGCGGAGAGAGACCGTACAGCTGCTCTCTGTGCGGGAAAACCTTCATCATGATGCACCACCTGAAGCGGCACCGAATTATCCACACGTACAGCTGAGGGGGAGGCGTCTGAAAGGAAACTGCTCAGGTGAAAAGACACAAACCAAACAAGAGAGGCGCTGAGATGCAGCTGTCTGTGGACCTACCCATGAGGCATTTCTCACAGACTTTGTAAATTAACGCATATTTTACTATGCAAACTCCACCTGGACGGATTTTAAGATGCTTTTCTCTTTTTTAAAAACTTATTTAAACTCAACTGACTTGCACCCACAAACAGAGTTCACATACTACAGTGTTTTTCAAGCTAGAAATCCAAAAGAACAAGGTCTCAAATGTGGAGTCATATAAAAAACCATCCTGCAGATTCTCTCCTGGTCTTACCTGCATACTGAACTTCACTTAGACATACATTTGGTTTGAGCTTCTCGTAGAAATCTGCCTTACTTTATCTCAGCACTGAAACTGTAGAAGCACAAGATGCTCATTAGCTCCCATCAACTTTCCCCTTTGTATTCAGAACCAGCAAAGCACCTCTCAGGTCTAAACTAGGTGTCAAAGTGTAAAAAAAAAGCCTGATTATTGTTCTAAGCTTAAATCTTTCCCTCAAAGTCATTCAATCTTTGTTATGATTTATAATAAACTTTCATTTAAACTGTCAGTCTCATTTTGCTTCATTTACTCCAAGCAGCCTCTGCTGTTGGAAAATAAAGTCAATGAAAGCTGTTTAGAGCCGGTTTAGAAACTCCCAGTGTTGTAGGTTTCATCCATTATGATTGTCTAAGACCAACAGTCAGGCATAAGGAGGTAAAATTAGGGGCAGGGCTAAAACCAAGAACAAAACTTAACATCATAAAGCTGATAAAATTAGACCTAAGGGAGACACAAGAGAGGGGGGTGGGGGGTTTAGGGAGAATGGGGAGGGAGGGTCTGATTAAAATAAAGAGACACAAGTTCACAGTGTGTTTGTGTGTTTTTTTTTATTTATAAAATCAGGCTCTGAAAGTGTCCTCTGCAGGTCCCATTAAGGACCGAGTCTGCAGTCCTCAAACATTAACAAAGAAGACGACAGGATCGTTGTGACATGCTATTTTTTTCATACTTAGATATGGAATTTTTTTCAAACTTAAATATGAAATTTTCGACGTACAATACTACGACATTTTTATCATACTACACTATGACATTTATTACATTAATACTAAAACATGAAGAAAATGTACTCTAATTTTTGATATTTTTATCATACTATACTATGACATTTTTCCATACTGGAATATGAATTTTTTTTCGAACTAAAACATGAAAATTTTAACATACTATACTATGACATTTTTATCATACTATACTATGACAAATTTTTTATAGTAAAATAAATTTTTTTTACACTCTATATATATATATATATATATATTTTATCATACTATACTATGACTTTTTTTTATACTTCAACATAAAAAATATTTTCACACTAAAATCTGACATATTTATCATACTATACTATGACATTTTTTCACACTGGAATATGATTTTTTTTTCGAACTAAATCAAAAAATTTTTAACATAATATACAGAGACATTTTTATCATACTATACTATGACAAATTTTTTATACTAATATAAATTTTTTTATCATTTTTCCTACTGAAATGAGAATTTTTTCGTATTATAATATGAACTTTTTTCAAACTCAAATATAAAATTTTAAACATACAATACTCTGATATTTTGATTATACTATAACATGACAAATTTTTTATACTAAAATATTTTTTTACACTAGATAAAACATTTTTATCATACTATACTATGACATTTTTTTCATACTTAGATATGGAATTTTTTTCAAACTTAAATATGAAATTTTCCACATACAATACTACGACATTTTTATCATACTACACTATGACATTTATTATATTAATACTAAAACATGAAAAAGAAAATTTACTCTAATTTTTAATATTTTTATCATACTATACTATGACATTTTTCCATACTGGAATATGAATTTTTTTTGAACTATACAATGACATTTTTAACATACTATACAATGACATTTTTCTCATACTACACTATGACAAATTTTTAATACTAAAATATTTTTTTTTTACACTTGATATATATATTTTTTATCATACTATACTATGACTTTTTATTATACTTAAACATAAAAAATATTTTCATACTAAAATCTGATATTTTTATCATACCATACTATGACATTTTTTCATACTGGAATATGATTTTTTTTTTTCGAACTTAAACATGAAATTTTTAACATACTATACTATGACATTTTATCGTACTATACTATGATGTTTTTTTTCATATTTTTCAAACTCAAATATGAAATTTTAAACATACAATACTCTGATATTTTTATCATACTATAACATGACAAATTTTATACTAAAATTTTTTTTTACACTAGATAAAACATTTTTCTCATACTATACTATGACATTTTTTTCATACTTAGATATGGAATTTTTTTCAAACTTAAATAACAAATTTTCGACATACAATACTATGACATTTTTATCATACTACACTATGACATTTATTATACTAAAACATGAAAAGATAGTTCACTCTAAAATCTGATATTTGTATTATACTACACAGTGACATTTCTTTTCCATACTAAAACATGAAAAACAAAATTTACTCTAATTTTTGATATTTTTAATCATACTATACTATGACATTTTTCCATACTGGAATATGAATTTTATTTTTAATAAAACATGAAAATTTTAACATACTATACTATGACGTTTTTATCATACTATACTATGACAAATTTTTTTATACTAAAATAAATTTTTTTAACACTTGATATCTATTTTTTTTATCATAGTATACTATGACTTTTTTTTATACTTAAACATAAAAAATATTTTCACACTGAAATCTGACATTTTTATCATACTATACTATGACATTTTTCATACTGAAATATGATTTTTTTTTCGCACTAAAACATGAAATTTTAAACATACTATACTATGACATTTTTATCGTACTATACTATGACGTTTTTTCCATACTTAAATGAAAAAATATTTTTCACACTATTTTTATCATACTATACTATGATAATTTTTTCATACTAAAATAGTAAAAGAATTTCACTCATAAACATGAAATTTTTATCATACTATACTAATACATTTTTTTCATACTCAAAATAAGACTTTTTCTTTGTATCATCATATGAACACACTCAAAAAATGACATTTTAATCATATAATACTATGAAAATTTTATTATACTATAGTATGAATTTGTTTTTATACTGGCATATGAATTTTTTTTCATACAAAAACATGGAATTTTTAACATACTATTAAATTTTTATTATACTATACTATGACGTTTTTTTTCATACTTGAATAAAAAAAAAATTTCACACTAAAATCTGATATTTTCATCATACTATACTATGACATTTTTATCATACTGAACTATGACATTTTTTTCATACTGGAATATAAATTTTTTTATTTACACTAAAACATGAAATTTTAAACATGCTATACTATGACAATTCTTTCAAACTTAAATATAGAATTTTTTTTTTCAAACTTAAATGTAAAATTTTTTAACAGACCATTCTATGACATTTTTATCATACTGTACTATGACATTTTTTTCAAACTGGAATATGATTTTTTTTTTTCAAACTAGAACATGAATTTTTTTAACATACTATACTATAACATTTTTTTCATACTCAAAAAAAGACTTTTTCTTCATATTATCATATGAACTTTTTTTTTAAACTAAAAAATGCATTTTTAAACATGTCAACTTTGTCATTTATTTCATATCTTAATATGGATTTTTTTGCACACTCAGAAAATGACATTTTAATCATACTATACTATGACATTTTTATTATACTTTACTATGACATTTTTTTATACGAAAACATGAAAAAAATTCCACTCTAAATTTTTTTTTTATCATACTATACTATGACATTTTTTCATACTGGAATATGAATTTTTTTTTCAAACTAAAATATGAAATTTTTAACATACAATACTATGACTTGTCTATCATAATATACTGTGAGATTTTTTTCCATACTTAAATAAGATTTTTTTCGTATTATAATATGAACTTTTCTTCAAACTAAAAAACATACTATAGCATAGCATATTAAAAGACAATATTTACTCACCAAATATGGAATAGTATCATACTATAGATCTGTTGATTTCTCTCCTGTAGTCGTGCTGCAGAGGGCAGTATCAGTCATAATTACAACTTCACTCAGCAGAGATGGAGCCGCACAGTTCTGTGAGCGTCTCAGATCCTGTTTTCAGTTTGCAATTAAACCATGACTGTTCTCTGTCATTAGCTTGTACTTGCCACCTCATTTTCCTCCTGAAAAGTTATAAACTTTTCTCAAACTGTAATGCTGGGATGTGAACAGACTGTCTAAAGCGCTTGGTAAAATGGAGATTTTGTTTTCTTTTATTTACAAGTAACAGATTTAGCAGTTGTGCCGTAGTTCAGGTTCAGTTTTATGATCATCAGGGCCTTCGGCTGGTGTTTAAAGCAGGTCGTAAAGCAGGTTGTAAACACAGCTCAGGTACAGTATGTCCTGCAGAGATACTTTCTTCAAATACGGGTTGTGAAAAAAAAAGCAAAACAAAAGAAAAACAGCTGATATGATGGGAAGGGGAACTTCATTTGAGCGGTTCCTCTGCAAACGTACATCAGTGTTTAAATAGATATGAGACGGATCAACATGCAACAAACTGATGTGATCGTTCACCTTAAATGTCAAATATTGAAAACTGTGTTCACATTCATCAGACTGTGCACAGCTTCTCATCCTGACAGCCAGGTGTGACTCCAAACCTGTTCCACATCCACTTTTTTATCTTCAACATAATTTGCATTCCTCTAAAATTACCCTCACTGTATCCAAGTTCAGATCTCTGTATGTGCAGCCGTGAATAAATCTGGTAGAAGTAAAGTACATAGAACTAGCTATTTCCCTCATGTGTCTGATGTAGACACCTGGACCTGCTGGTTTGCAGCAGTAAAACAGACAGCTCAAAAATCCTCATGCCCTTGTAAGGCTGTGAGAAGTGGACCTCAAACGTCATGGAAATTCCTTCTTTTTAAAGCTCTCGCTGGAGAAAGAGGAGGAGAAAGGGGACAAGAGATATTTAGGGTAGGAAGCAGGGAGTAGTGCCGACTGAAGCAACAATGTTCAGCGTGAGTGGACAGAAACGAAGCAGCCGGGCTGATAAGGTGAAGGACAAACACAGAGTTTAAATGTCAACCATCATCGCCGTGCTTTTTCTCTCACAGAGGATGAATGTGGGAACTGGGGAGATTCAGACGTCGGCATTTGAACTCTGGGAAAGTTTGTGTTGATGTTACAGGTTGTGCCTAAATGGAAAGGCACAGCTTCACATGCTGGGGTCTGGTCTGTTTGGTCTGGTCTTCAGCGTATTAAACTGCATATCAGACCACAGTTTGCTTCACAGTCTTTGCAACAGCACATTAATACCCCTGAGTTTGTCAAGAGAGTAATTAAGGTATTGAGATCAGATTTGGCATGCTCATGAAAACAGGGCCTCAGTGGATATATTCTTTAAAGCTCCTGTTGGGAGTTTTCAGCTGATCCTGAAACAGACTGAGACTAATAATGAGGCTTTTGTTTGACCCTAAAATGAATAAACAGATGGTCCGCATAAAGATTTACTGTTTGTATAAAGCTGTTTATGATGCTTGTAACCGCTGCTGCTGCTGGGGAGGCGCCAAATGAGGTGATTTACTGTGAGTCAGCAAAGCAGCCTCTTTGTCATTTTCACAGCAGGTGTTACATTCGCATGCTTCAAGAGAGCAGGACAAGTTTTTTTTTTTATGATAAAAACAGAACTTAAAGCTACTGTGGAGAGTTTTCAGCTGGTTATGAAGCAGCTTTAAACTGATAGCCAGTACGTTTAGATGCACAGTTAAGTTGAGCCCGGTGATAGCTAATCTTGGTTTGACTTCGCCCTCAGAGAGTCTGTTCCTGAAGCGTTTCATTGTTTAATTGGTGTTGGTTTCAGGAGCTGAATCGCCCCCCTTACAAAGGATTTAATCCCGGAGCTGGTGGCCTGGATTTGATTTCTGCAGTTCTTTGCCGTGTGTTTTCCCCAAACTCCCCGCACCATCCACTCTCCTCTCTCACTTCAGTGCAACAAAAGCCCGTATAAATAAACTTGAATTTACTGATGTAGCTTGTGCACTCTAAGGGCTCTATTTTCGTGCCCGACGGCGGCATGGCGGAGGGTGGCGGACCCTGCACAGTGGTATTTTCGTCTGGCGGATATATCTAGTAAATAGACCCACATCAGATGAGTTATTTACTTTAAACCTACATACATATATTATAATATTCAGTTGTGTGAGTCAAATCTATTTTATATGCCAACATCTATGAAAGACAGAGCCAGGCCACGGAGCGCGATGCATCATTTACGCACAGATGGTTCCGATTTTAATGCAATTTTTGGAGTTTTTGTTGTGATCTGTGCGCACAACCCACCTTTGTTTGAATATGTGCAACTTTATGTGAGTGTCTTTATTTGTGGAAAAGGATGTTTGTCTCACCAGTGGGTCCAAACTTACACACACCAAATCCATCTGTGCTCATATGAGAGAGTGTGAAGGACGCCCTTTGCAGCGCTTACAGCGATACTTGTTGAGGGGCTGCCTTCTGTTGCCATTGTGTGGCATTGCTGTCTTCAGATATCTCTTGATCTCTTCGACAACTTCAAGAAACTTGTAATACGCCTCGCCAGTGGCGGATTTAAAGATGAGGAGAGGAGCTGATGTTATTGGTCAAAACAGGTCTCGGCTGTGTTAAACCACTCCACTCCTTCTCTCCTCCCTCTCTACGACTTATGCGGCTGGGAGAAGCTGAGTTGGGGAGGGGGGATACTTACGCCAGGATGGCCGCTCACAAAAATACCAAAATGTGCTCATGCCTTACGCCACACCTGCGCCACGCCGCCGGCAAGGAACGAAAATAGAGCCCTAACAGCACCAGGTGTTTTTGCCCAGTCACCTTCTCTGTGTTTAAGAGCAGAAAACCCCAGAATTTCCAAGAACAGGATAAGATCTCTCAGGGGAAACGACAGAAATGACATTTCAAACCACATCAGACATTAGACTGATTATTCATAACTGTATCATGATCTGAGGCAAAGTTTCCTCTTTTTAGTTTCAAGTGAAGCACCAGTGAAACCAGGATGTTTGCATATCCAGTCATTTTATTGTAAAAGTAGATCAACAGTAGATCAGTAAAGTACCTCCAAAAGCAGAGAACCAGTCTGCTAACACAGTGATCGGACGTGTCAGGAGATTTGGATTAAATCTACCTACTTTGGTAATCTCATGCAGGAAATAATCTCTATCCCTCAAACACTCTTAATATAGTCAAAGTAAATAAAAACTCTACTTAAATACATTCAGTATAAATACTTAGTACAGTTTGTACATCTTCTAAAAGAGAGTAAAGTTTTATTGTCATCTTTAGCAATGACCTAGCAGACAGGTGTGATAGTTGGTTAAGTTTAGATGAATGTTAGTGCACTTCTATTGGTCGTAAGTGGATATGAGGGAATGTAAAAGAGCTGAAACAATAAATATTCATATTTAAAAAGGTTAAAGTTCTTAAGTTAGAAGTTAAGATAAGATGCGGTTTCACTGAAACACTAGCCAGCTGAATAGGAATTTGTCTTCGCTAATGTAGCATCGTCTATAAGTACAAAAGAGAAGATGTAAACATGCCCACAGAGGAGCGTATAATAAAAAAAAGGACCAGTTTCCAGGCGGTACAGTTGAACTCTTTAACTTCAGGGTGTCGTAGCGTTGAGAGCAGAAGGAAGGACAGCCGACTAAAGAGCAGGTTTTATGAGAGTCACGCTCAGTAGGAGTTGTTATTCTGCTCCAGTCGAGCCACCATGTTGGACACCATCTTCTCCAGCTGCGCGGCCCTCAGCCTGCCCGTCTCCAGGACCTCCTCGTGGTTGGCTTTCTCCTCGCTGTCATAGTCCATGACGGATTTGTTGCTTATCAACGACAGGGCAAAGCAACGCATCCCGGCGTGTCGGGCGACAATGACCTCATGGACAGTGCTCATCCCTGCAGCAAGGCGACAAAGAGGAGGTCATGATATGATCTCTGAATTATGAACTGTGTCAATTATCATACAGATGCTGAAAGGTTTGAGTATTGTTTGATATGATTGGTTTGTTATTTTTTAGTAATAGTTGTTTCAATGTTAACTTAAAGCTCTTGTGAGGAACTTTCAACTTGTGTCAACTTTGGCGCCCCCAGTGGACAAAGCAGATCTCACTATTCTCATCCTCGTGTCTTTTGACAGTCAGATGTTTCATAATTATAAATATTTTTGAGGAATCTTTAAAATCAGGTTGTTTCTACTTGGGCCCGACCGATTTATTGGCGAGGCGATTAAATCGGCCAATTTTAGCCCGTTTGAGACTAATTGGTTATCGGCCAAAACTCACTGATTTTCGCCGATATTTTCAGAAATTAAATGCGGAGAATAAGATCTGGTTTCACTTCGAAAATGTTTCGCCATTTGAAAAGTTCCCCGACTTATCCTGTAGATGGCGCAGCGACCTTATGACAATCTTTATCCATCGTGGTGGCGATCCAGAAAAGTGTTTTCAACTAACCCCCCCGTAAGGAGTTTTTCTTGAATGTTGAAAAACTCCTTACAGGTGATTTAACTTTGTCTGTGTTCATATTTGGGATCTATCTTTCGTTAAACGATCTTACTAAACTACTAAAAGACTTTGAAATTGACACACGCGGGTATGTGACAGTCATCCTGTCTAAGGTAGAGCTGAAAACTCTGAAGTTGTGTAAAAGTAGAGGAGTCTAGTGACTCACTGTACGTCTGTGTGTGTCTATCATAACCTGGATTTTAACTTATCTTGGTTTCAGGGATTAGGTTTGGTTTAGACTCATGGATCAGGGATGTCAACATAAGTACAAATATCTTCTGTGTTTCGTGGGGGTAATCATTACTTACCAACAGCGTCAGCACCCAGACTGTGCATCATGCGACACTCAGCGATGGTTTCAAAAGAAGGTCCTCCCAGGACGCAGTAGACTCCCTCCCTCACGAAGTCGCTGAAGCCCAGCTCTGACGCCACATCGTGGGCCAGCTGCCTCAGCTCGCGGTCATAAGCGTCAGACATGCAGGGGAAACGGGTGCCAAACCTAAAGGGAAGAAAACGGCGTTCATTAGGGCGTGAGCAATCGCACAACAGTCCTGTTTCATACTGAAATCCCCCCAAATGACTAAGGTGTCGTTACAGCAACACACCAGGTTTCCTGTCCTCTGGAGAACAACAGAAGCATTCATGCTGCTCTGACTCCAGGGCAACGTTAAACTACTGTGGGGTGTTTTTTTATCGGCAAACATGAAACTGATATCAGTTAAGGAGGTTCTTTTGTTGCAGGGTGAAACCAAAGTGCTGTGAATCTGGGGCATGGAGGATTTTTAGCATGGACTCCTGCAGCAGTGTCAGACAGAGCTCTGATTTCACACAGAGTTCTGCTCTGAAGCTAAAGCTGTTAAGGAGGTGAGATGTCCGGAGGGCAAGGAAACCAGAACAACAAAGTTTTTACTGGCAGCAGTCTCAGTTTACAGCTGTTCCAGGTCAAGTTTTTACACGAGAGACCAGAAGAAATGGCAACAAAAACAGAGGAAAATATTGTTTGTATCTTTGGTCAAAAATATTTAAAGAACTTTTAAAAAAATACTTAAGAGCAGAAATGGAAAAAAACAATACATGCAAAAGAAGGCTTAGATATCTACTTACATGTTTTATACAACACTGATGTTTGAAAGGGAACAGTACGGTGGCCCTGAAGGTCAATGGCTTAAATATTTCAGGAGGGTAACAGATAAAAAATTTCAAAAAACACATAAAAAATTAAACAAAACAAAAAATTTTCACTTGAACACAAAATATATTTTGTAAAACATATTTTGTTGGACATGATGCACTTGTAAAATCATGAAAACACAAATGGATTGGGTAATTATTTTTTGTTTTCACAATATTTTTGTGTTTTTTTATATTTTATTTGTGTTTCTAAAACAGTTTCATGCTTTTTAAATTTATTTTTGTCTTTCTACCATTTTTGTTTTCGTTTTTTTCTATTTCCCCCCAAAAAATTATTTTATTTGCAAATATTTTTAGAATTCTAAATTTTTCATTTTTTTCAACATATATTTTTGTTTTTAAGTGAAACATTTTTGTGTTTTTGTTAAATATTCATGTGTTTCATTAAATATCCTACCTTCTTGAAATATTTTGACCTTCAGGGCCACCGTAGAAATAGGGTAAAATGATTGTATTCTTCCCCCCACCCTCCCCTGATTGTCTTTTCTGTAAAGGTACATGAAGCTGATATACAAAATCAGAAAATTAGTAAATCTGCTTGAAAGTGTTAGAAAAATAAGATGAGACTTAATTGATCTTTGGAGGAAACATCTAGATGAAATTAATTTGCTCTCTTATTGCTGGAGGAATATAATAGTTATGATGTAAATCGTAAAATATGTTAAAGAAAAAAATTATGTATTATGTCCAAAAAATGTGGTGTACTGGCCCTTTATAAGCTCAAACTCTCTCCATCTTATCCGGTCTAAATCTTTTGATTTTTCCAACAGTGGAGTAAAAATTTCATGGAAAATATCGACCGTAACCTGCAGCAATAAAAACATGATTATACGCTCCTCTCGCTCTCTCTCCTCCCCTCACCTCTCCTCGTTCGGCCCTCTCAGCGGGTTGACTCCAGCGAACCCCGGCAGGTTGATGTGGTCCTTGATGATCATGACGTCACCCACCTTGTAGTCCTGGTTGAGGCCTCCGGCTGCGTTGGTCAGGATCATCGTCTCCACTCCCATCAACTTGAAGACACGCATCGGCAACGTGATCTGAAGTAAAACAAGATCTGATGAAGTCTTTTCACAGTCATTGGTGACAGCTGTAAATCTTGTCCTGTGCTGCTGGTTGTAAGTGTGCAAATAGCACAGTGTAACAGCCGTGGCTCGGAGATAATTCAATGTTTCCTGCATGTGATGAACTCCCGGTGGAGAGGCTTTTTAAAGACAGGAAAACACGCACTCTGATATCTCCATCTGTGACTGTGTCCAGACACCAGCTGAATGAAAACCCCCCCACAGGAAATGACTTTAAAGGATGTTGTCTCTCTAAACGCACATCCTTTTTTTAGTGGTTTCATTTGCATGAGTTTTAATGTTAAGTTTGAGTTACCTCGGAAGTCAGATGTCCGAGCTGGAAATGACGTCACACCCGAGTTCCCAGCATTTCAGTTACAAAGTTGGGAAAAAGTAAAATCGGAGGTGGAAACAAGATGGTTACATCAAGTTATTTTAGCGCTTCTGGACAAATATGCGGTCACTTCTGCAACATCTTGTTTCCACTTCTGATTTTGCTTTTTTCCGACTTGGTGACTGAAATGCTGGTAACTAGGGTGTGACGTCATTCCCAGCTCGGACATCTGACTTCCAAGGTAACTCGAACGCATCATAAGAGTTCTCGTTTTGAACGTTTGTGCCTGAAAAATCTCCTAGGCATATCGGACTTTTGCAAGAAACAGTTTGAGTGACTTCTATCCCCTACCAGCAGTTTCTTGAATTATAAATACAACTGTATGAATAGCAAGCTGCAACCTCTGAGAAATGAAGTTGCTGCAGTTCCTCAAGTGTCCACTGGGGGCTGGCTGCAGAAGCACCACAAACTGCATACAGATTCATTCAAAAAGGCCAATTAAAGATATTAACGGTGCGAGTTTGACCAATCAGAGGAGCAGCTTCCTTGAATAACTGGTGGGCACACGTCAACTGTTTTTATTTATACGTTTATGGATTATAGTTTAATGTGTTTATCTGGTACTGGCCCCGACTCAGTACATGCTATCATGACAGACAGACATCTCAACACTAGAGTCTGATCAGAACTGTAAAACACTCAGTCTGCTGTTGGGTCAGTCTTCTCGCTTCCACCCGGGACGCGCCTTTTCCCCTCCCTCGAAAGTTGCAAAATCGCGCTTGATGTGTTTAGTCAGGCGCATAAAAATTCGCCTCTGAATATTTCGTAACTTCGTGGTGTATATTTGCATCATTCCCGGTGTGTAAGGACCTTTAAGATGAAGAAAAACATTTAATTGAAAATTATAAATCAGTTTCTCCTCACTGTTTCAAAACAGGAGCAAAGACTAGTGCTGCAACGGGCAAGAAAAGGGATATTAAGTAATCTGCAATTACCATTAATTTAGCAATATTTCCCTCAGGGGCACTCAACAGTTACAAAATAATGTGTCCAGTGTGCACAGCTAGAGTTTTAAAGGGTTTCATACACACGGGTTTAGGAGTATAAGCTTATGTTTGTGAAATAACAGCTGAGGGGAAAAAGCTGGTTAACCACAGATCTCTCTGCAGCCTTCATAGAGCTTTACTGACTGCTCCTGCTCTCAGCCTCACCTTCTGGATGGCGTAGCCCTCATACAGGTGGAACCTGCCCTGCATGCAAACACACGGCTTCCCTTTAAGTGTTCCAAATACCAGCCGGCCTGCGTGACCGTGCACTGTAACACACACACACAAACACACACTAAATTAGTCACTCGGTGCGTTTAAGTACAGGTTACAAACATGCGCTCACAGCTGTGTTCATTTCCAGACAGCTGCTGTTTGTGCATACCTGTGCTCCGAGGGAAGTTGGGAATGTCGCTGTACTTGATGACCTGAGGGTCCTTCAGAATCTCAGCGAGTCCCCCAAGACCTGAACCACAGACTATTCCCACAGTCGGACGAATCTGTGTGGCGGACAGCAGCCAATCGGCTGTGGCCTGACACTCCTCATAGCTGTCACTGAAAGAAAACGAGAAAGATAAGTCAGCTGTAGTGACCTTTAAAATCTCCAAAGTTTGTGGGCAGATCAGAGTCTGGGCGGCCCTGTCAATACAACACGGATACTAAAACAAACATATGGTTACATTGACTGTGATAACTCTCCTTCATTCGAGGCAGTTTCTCTGAGACATTTCCAACCCTGGGAATTATCTCCGTAACTCAGCGCTCGTGTTATTATTCACCATGTCATTTCAGAAGAACAGGGATTATTCTGCTGAAGTTTAAGCCCCACATGAGCTCCGGGGAGGTCAAGAAAGCGTGGGATGAATCTGAGGTGCTATTATGTTTGTTCTTTTTCATTAAAATCATCATCATCCCTCTGCTTTTTTTTTTTTTTTTTTTTTTTAAGGTGGCGTGACTCGCTGCCCTCAGCCTTGCCCTCTGTGCATGCACAGTCATGTGGCGTTCAGTCACCGGGAAAGAAGCAGGAGTTAACTGATTAAACTGGAGGAATTCAGGCGGTGGAGGAGATCCTGAGAGAACATCTATCCTCCTTTAGGTGATGTGTCTACAAACAGACACACCTAATAACCTGTTATGTTTACGACACTGACGTGGCTCTATTGTGCCAACAGAGCTTCATCAGAGAAAACCTTTAAACAACTGCTTTGGTTGTGAATAATGTTTTATTCTAACAAAGACGCTCTGTAATACCCCTATGAGTGTGACTCAGCTGTAAATGTGTGTCTGATCTTTGTTTTCACACCGCTTGTCTCTCACTCCTAATCCCACCTTGACCTTTTTTACAGAGGAACCGTCTTTAATTCCTGGAGATGATTATTTTTGCAAATAAAAACTGAAATACAGTAATAACAAGTCTGGCAAACATTACCTCTCACTTTCTTACATTTAGGGGAGAGTGGGGTAAGATGATCCATTTTTCATATTTCGGATCACTACATCAAGTCAATCATAGTTTTGTCTCTAACTAGTGTATCTGCATATATTTCAAACCAGCAGAATGAGTGTAAACAGAACTGTCTGGATAATATAGCATGACAAGAAAGTTGTCTCTTACGGTCAACTTCCCTCTCCCTAAATAACACTCACTTCTTCACATTCATGTGTATTTTTATCCATTATACGCTTTTGAACTGGTATTTTTATATATATAACTGCTAAAAAGCTGTTTTGTAAAAAAAGTCATTTTAACATGAGAATGTCTTTAAGTGATTCAGAACATTCACAGCTGTATTCTTGAAAAGAAAAAGTCAAACATTTCAACAATCTGAACTGAAACTCTGATCCTCTCATCAGACTTCTTTACTTTCTCAGTTACCCCTGAACTACTATGATGACTTTATTAGTCCTCTAAGATAAAATGGTGGACTTTTATGTTTTTGACCTCATGTTGTAGTTCATATATACCACAATTGATGTGTAAAACAAATTTAAAATTATCTTTTTTGGTCTGAACACAATTCTAATAAAACTTATGTCAGACTAAATTCACTTTCAAGAGTTCAAGTTTTTGTTTTTGTAATAAATGTCTAACTTCTTCACACATGTGCTTCTAACCTTCACAGACTCCATGAATTGATGCCCATCTCCTAAATATTTGGTCACATGATCAATTTCTTTGACCATTTCCAAGCAACAGGGGGTGGCTCAACTTACCCCACTCTCCCCTGTAACAAATCCAGGATCTTTAAACGAAAAAAACCTCATGGCATACAGACTATGACTGAGTGTTGTCAAGGGTGAAGCTGTGGAGATCGTATCTAACTATAAATATCAAGGCACTGTGATCGACAATAGCCTGAAATTTAAATGTAATACCGAAGTGCCGTGCAAGAAAGGCCAGCAATGACTTTAAGTTGTTTAAGAAAGCTCGCCAAATTTCAAATCGATAAGTCCCTGATGTCGCTGTTTTATTGAATCGGTCATATCTTTTTGTATTATTTGTTGTATGGCAACCTGGGGACCCGAGAGAAAAATGCCCTGGACAGGATTGTAAAGGTGGCAAGTAAGATTGTTACCTATTATTCTCATTATTCTTATTTTGTATTGTACTGAATTGGAAGGATCAAGCTTGATTTAGGTCAGTGGTTCTCAACTGGTCTCACTCTGGGACCCACATTTCCCCATTTTTTTTTTTTTACCTCCTGAACTGTTTTTTTATGTAAATGTATTTCATTTTCTTGTATGATGTCTGGCAGTGTTTTCAGTGTCTGTACCTGCTGCAACCCGATTTGCCCATTTTGGGGACTTAATAAAGTTGAAGTGAAGTGGAGACAGAACCAGTGTTTTAAACAACATATTGCGCATGCTCAGACTGATTGGAAAAGTCAACAGGTTCACTCGACTCCTGTTTAAATTGCTGTGTGTGTGTGTGTGTGTGTTTCGTTAATTATGAAATTCCACTGTGGGTATTAAAGGGTTAAACCGTCACGTGATGCCGTGACACTGCGTATGGAGAGTTTTGAGGATCATGTGCGCGCACTGTGTGACAAACCGAGTTGTCCTTCTCCTCGTGTCGTTTTTATCTCTGAGTGGATCACCCCACGCGGTAAAGAAGTGGGTCACACACACACACACACACATATAATGGGACTGAGTGGAAACACGCACTTCCTGTTAGTAATAATGTTTGTCTACATTAGTAATGGGTTGGTAGAAATGACGTCAAAGCGCAGCGTGTGTGTGCCAAGTGGGGTTTTTCCTCGCGTGGACACCTTTCCACTCTGATCTGATTCACAGAGAGCACGTGTTTTTCCACTAATCATCACCAGGATTGATTATTTTGTCTTTTTTGTTGAATCAGTGTAAAATGAAATAACCTGAGAGCGCAGCAGCAGCATCCTCCTCCTCCTCTCCAGACCGGGACAGGCGCGCTTTTTTATTATTATTACTGTTCCGCGTTTTACTATTTTTCTCGCTTTAACTACAAAACCTGAGCGTGTTTCTCTCTTTCCGGGGATTTCTGGAAAATGTAGCTTCGCGTCAGAGTAATTTCAGCCTCCTCGTTTCTTCTCTAGTGAAATGGAAACACGATGGAGAATCCTGAGTCTAATAAATCATCTATATTTGACATGATCGCTCCATTGTCGTTATAAAAGCGAGTTTATTTCGTTTAAAAACATGTATGAATATCTGACTCACCTCGGCACGAACTCAGACATGGATGCGGATGGTCGTCGGGTTTCTTCTCGGTGTTGGAGTGACCAGGATCAAGGTTATTCTCCGGGTTTCCTGATGAGACAGACCGGTTTTTGAAGGTTTACACCCCCAACATGACTGACACACTCACTGTACGTCACAGCCCCACAGACGCTCTGATTGGTCGAGAGACAGGCGTTGGACCGGTGCGCCTTCGATGCGCTCGTGTGGTACCATAGACTCGTGATGCGTTCAGGTACCTCACTGAAAACAAGGGAGTGGTGGAAATTATGCAGAGGTAGCGTTATTTTTTCTTTGATCTCTTTTACCTCTTTAATCTTAATTCGACTTATTATCCTTTTAGCCTTTGTTTTACTTATAATCTTCTCTTATTTTACCTTTTAGGCCTTTTATTGTTTTTTCCTGCTCATTTTTATTATTCCATTTTATCATTAATAGTACCATCATGGTTTTATTATCATTATCAATATCCTCTTTTATATTTACTTTCCTGTTTCCTGTTGTTTATTTTCCTGTTGTTTCCCATGTTCATTTAAATCAAAGTTCTTCATGTTTTTGTGTAATCAAATTAATTACTCAAGAAGGATGCAGGAGCTCAAAATAGCAACGAACTGGCGAGATGTATGCAGAATCAGGATGACTGGAAGCGACGATGGAAGGCTTGTCTGAGGACGACCTAGAGAGAGAATCTTTTAAATTCAATTATTTTTTGTATTTCATATGATTAATGTAATTATGAAACTGTATGTGCTGTTCATTCTTGTCCAGGTCTATCTAGCCAAAGAGATCTTGGATCTCAACGGGACAAATCTGGGTAAATAAAGGTTACAAAAAAAAAAAAAAATCAATAAAAAAAAAAAAATAATAATAAAATAAATAATAATAATAATAATAATAATAATAATAATGTTAAATGAATAAATACATGAGAAATTCAAAATAAATGGAAAACACTCTTTAGTGCTTTGAACTCACCAAATGCATCTTTCTGATCAGAACCAGGCTTTAATATTAGTTATCAATATTATTTGACGTGGAGGCTAAATATAACAACAGCCATCAAATCATATCCCCTCATTTTTCAGTCCTACTATGATCTAATGTTGTTGCAATGTGCCAAAAAAATCTCATCCGGAAAGCTACGTGACCATATGAGCGTCTCATGAAAGAAACTAAAGAATTTCCCATTGTACCTGAACGTCACATACCGCATTCATTACAACGTGGTCGTGATGCTTTTGGCGCTGATGCAATACCCTCCAAAGTCATTTAGCAACTGAGCAGTGCAGTGGGTTAGTCCGTTTTTTAACAGAGATTTAGTAATTAAAAAAAACGAAAAAAAAAAACAAAACAAAACAATAAATAAGAAGAAATAAATGAATAATCATGAAAAAATAAATATATAATAAAAATAATACGTTTTTTTGGCCTTACTTCAGGCATCTCGTCTGTACAGTTATCCTAAAGGAATGCTTCTTTTACTCCAGCTGGATTAAAGAAGAAAACTGTCCAAGAAACCAACAAGTTTTACAACAACACTTTTTCACACAAACATTTATCATTGTCTCATCCAAAATATCTTTGAGGAAAAAGGGAAACTGTCAGCTACTATCAAAAACATCTTCAAACCCATCATTTTACAGAAGTGTTCAGCAGTTTATAGTATCTCAGATGAATGAGGAAGTGCGAGCAGTGAGAAAACCACAAAACTAACCAAGTCTGTCCGAGAACCTAAGGTCGGCATGCAAACCACCTCCCAGTCCAAACCACCGAAGTGCAGAGTCTGAACCGTTGATCTGAGTCACTTTTTATGCACATGAGTCTGAGTGTCGTTTCTTTTCATGAACCTGCAGTGGGAGCCGCAGCACAGACCAGCCAGTGTTGGCCTCAGTTATATAACAGCTGATTTGTATTCAGACAGTTTGCTTTGGCCTTTCTGCCGTCTGAGTTCCTGCTAAAGACTCTCACTCTGCAAACACATAACAGAAGAGTCACCAGTGGAAAGGTTTTACACGGAGAAAAAAAAAAGAAGATAATAGAGGCTTTATTGTCTTTGTGGATCAATTTGTTGTGCAAAACAAAACTTTCCCACAGGAAAAGGGAGAGTGTGTTTGCATGGGCGAGCTGCACGTGTATTTAACTGAATCTACTAACAGTATTATTCTACTGACAGACTGTATTCTTTATCAGCAGTGCTGTCAAACTATTACATGTTTTATTGTGACAAACTGCTTAGACAAGTGATGTATTTTTTGAGGGGATAAGGTGTCGTTCAAAAGTAATATCAGAGTTTTACTTCACAATTATCATGGTCAAAAATTACAAAAAACTGCTTTGTCCACAGGGGGCGCCAAAATAAACGCAACCCAAAAGCTTCATACAGGAGTAAAGCAAAGAAACTTTACTAATAAACAAATCTAACTAACATTATTATTATCATTAGGTTTTGCAAATCATTGTGTTCTGTTTTCATTTACGTGTATCACAAATTCCCAACTTCAATGGAATTGGGTTTTGTATTTCTAATTCTGTTTAAAGTTTGTTTTATTTCTGACCAGAAACCTCTAACCTAAAAAAGAGTCCGCGTCCCTTTCTGGGGTCTTTGCCAACTTCTTTGACATGATTAGCTCTGCAGTAGTTGCAACACTGTGCTGTTAAAACTTAATCAGCTGGTTATTGAGTCTTCTTCATTTTTCCTCCATTATGTCAGGTGGCAACCAGAATAAAGAACCACTACTGCCCCCCTACAGTGAAACAGGTAGCTACACTGTCTTACCCTTGGCTTATTTCTAGAACAAAGTCAATATTTAATTATTATCTTTAAAAGATTGTTATAGTCAATTCCAATATTGGGTGATAACTCTGGTGGTAGTAGGAAGCAGGGAGAGACTGCGGTTGCTTAACTACGGTGTGCAGAAAGGAACAAAATGCTACACCATTGAATCAGAGGAGTAAATAAATAAAAAGGTGTTTTATTCTTAACTTTACCTAACTGTGAAAAAATGATGATAGTTTCCTCTGCACTTGCTCTAAAAGCCCGCTCTTGTATAACTAAACAAAACATAAACCAAAGTCCCTCCAGCCTTCCTGAGGTTAATCTGGAGTAAACAGAGATCAGTATAACATCTGCCTGAGGTCTGCTGAGCTCCTCTGCAGCATCCGAGCTCACGCCATCACATGCAAGTAACATCCTCAAGCCTCCATGTCCTTAGATGCACTCTAACAGCGATCCAGCCTCTGCACATCAAAACAGTCCGCTCATATCCTGCAGGGATTTTGATTTATCCGTCGCACCTTAGTGTGTATTAAAATTATGTATAATTTATGCAGCTTTAAAGAGAAAATCTGTCTTTCTCTGCTCATTCTGGCTGTTTTAATCAGTTGTTTCGTGACCATACTCCTTTAATCATTGAGCCAGTCACTTAAACTTTGAGCTGCTTTGATGGGGTGAATATAAAACGTATGCCCATATAAACCCTCTTAAGATTTCAATAACCTGTCTGCATCAGAGTTATTACAGAGTGATCCATCCTGGCGCCTTTATGATCAAACCAGGAACAAAGTTTTTACGGGCAGTGATGCTCTTGATCACCAGTAAGGGGCGCTGCAGTGCAATGAGCTGCAGGCTCCGCAGATGAGTCTGTACCTTGAGTTTGGTTAAAGGATGCTTTTCTATACGGACCAACTGCAGATCCAGCCAATCAGAGCTCAAGAGACAAACTGACTATTTACAAGAGGATAAGAAAAACTTATTTGTCAGCTTAAAGCTCCTGTAAGGAATTTTTGGACATTGATGAGATAGACTGAAATACATAATAATGCCTTTTTATGATATTCGATAGCATATTTTTAAAACCTGAAATTAGTGCGAAGGGGTATGTATAAAGGCAGCTCTGTTTTACATTTCTCACTCACAGTTTTCACAATAAAGAGAAAGAAAATAAAAGTTCCTCACTGGAGTTTCAAACCGTGTTGTACACATCACTGACTTAAAACCAGGCTTTTCAATAATTGTCATTTTATATTTCTCTTATTGCAAATGTTCATTTTAATCAAAGTTCTTATTGTTTATTTTATGTCATTCTATTAATTATCTCTGTTCTTAATCTTTTTCTTAATTCCCGTCACAGTTTTTTACTTCTTTTACCCATTTTTTACACGGTAAAGTTCATGTAATATTATTTTCTTGTTTTAGTCCATCAGGTTTTACTTTTCCTTTTCTCAAAGGTAGCTCTTTCCTCACGTAATGTCTCGGTGTCAGCTCATGTCTCTCTAACAATATATCTTAAATTCTCACACTGTGTGCGGTTGCGTGTGTGTATGTTTGGGTGAGTGAGGGTGGGTGTTTGCCTTTGTGTGCTTGTGGGGTCCATGGGTGTATGTGTGGGAGGGTTGGGTTTTATTGTCGCTGTTGTTGTTTTGTATGAGAAGTGCCATACTAATAAAGTTGAATTTGACTTTATTATATAAACACTCTTATCTGATATCATATCCTTAAAAGCTTTTAACTGTCATTGTTCTACTGAAATGATGTATCAGAGCAGCTCTGAGCCCAAATTTCCTCTCTTGAATAAATTCAGTGTTTCTGATTTTGTTAAATTTGAATTTCTTTACATTTGTTTTGATCCAAATCTGACCTCTCCTCAGGTAAGCAGACTGAAGCCCTGTTCCCATGAGAAAGACAAAAAGCTGTCCTGAGGATTTCATGTGTCAGAAAAATAAACACACACACACACACACACACACACACACACACACACACACACACACACACACACACACACACACACACACAAAAAAAAGTTCCCTGCAGATGTAAACAAAATTTGTTAAATGGTGCCACCTGCTGGATGAACTGTTGCAGCAAAAGCAGCAGGATGGGGGTTAATTTTTGTCCTTGCGTTTTTGTTATCACATCATGAAAAACCACATTTGAATTTCAGTTTAAAAACATGCAAAAATGCCACCAACGGGGAAATTCTTGTGCAGTTTGTCCCTCTTCAAGTGAATTTTGGGGGAATTCAGCGCTGTGGATTCATGAAGTGTACAGTTATTTTAGAGAAAGAGTTGGAGAGAGTAGGAATAAAGTCAGATTTTAACTTCAGCTGCATGCTTCAAATGAGTTTAAAGGTTTATGTCATTACCAGCATTATTCCTTTAATGTTTTTGAAAGGATAAAACGCTTCAGCTGCAGCATCAACAATATCACAGGCGGGAAATTTAAATTGATATAGATGATTTCTATTGATGGCTCACATTATTCTGCATCCAATAGGTAAAATAAACTGTCATACTGTCACTGATGAGTTTGTAGGCGGATCGTTCTGCGACCCTTCTGCTTTTCTATTGGCTCAAAATGTACCTTCTTCTCCCCAGCCAATCAGAGCAGCGCCTCACAGTTCCATCACCCCGCCCACTTAGATCAGTTCATATAAGCAGAGGTTGCCCTGTTAGAGGCAGCAGAGTAGAGAGATGGGATTAATGTCTGACAGAGGGACACTGAGGGGACCCCGTTTCAAAGAGCCTAAACGACTGTTCCTGTTTGTTATATTTGTTTATTTTTTAGAAGTCAGCCCAGGGTAACTTAGTTATCATGGGAATAATCACTGATAGCAGTTATAAGATCAGAATATTTCAAATTTACATACCCAATATACTCCATATATACTCTATCGATGGGAATTATTCTTAATTATTGATCATAATTTTATTTGGCTTGTGTTTTCTAGTAAAAATTCCATAAGGTGGTACCATATCACCATGCTTTGACAGTGAGATCAATATTTTGAATTTTCCCTCACCTAAAAGATTACGCAGGCAACAGAAAATGTCTATACTTTACTGTAGAATTTTTTTAAAAAATTAACAAAACATATTAAAATATATAAATGATAAATAATCTAAAATATATATAAAAATGTTCAAGTAAAAATAACGTCAAGGCAAAATTGTACCACCCTGGTGTTTGGGGCACACAGAGGACACATGAAGGCAGCGTGGGCGATTTGCTTTTGAGAACAGCTTGCAACAGTGAAATGATTCTAATTGTTTACTTCAAAGAGCCGTTCAATTGACTGACTCGTTAATTAACGCCACAAATCTATTAGTGATGTGTATTTGAAAATAAAATCAAAACTCTGCTTGAGCGACATCAGGAGTTTAAAATATCATTATATTGGAATTTTTAAGCTCCTGTGTGAAAATTTTAGTTGGCTTCAGTTTATGTTATAGCATGAAAAAACATCATTCAGAATTTAAATCTGTTTATTAACATTAAAAAACTCCTCACAGGAGCTTTAAACAACTTTCTCAGGCTGCGATCGTTGAAAATAAGCAGCAGGACTTTAAACTCTCTCTGAACCTGTGTCAGTGTTTCGGGACAAGTCCGACCAGCGGCGGAAGGAAGTAAAGTAGCGTTCAAAACAGCAAATAAATATTCAAGAGACGCCAGTGAGAGCGAAAGGCTGCAGAGATGCAGAAAGAGAGTCTGAAAGGATGAATAAAACGGAGGTAAGACTGCTAACACCAGCTCTGACAGGAGCCAAGAGTACTTACTGACCCTCTCTCACACACACACACACACACACACACACACACACACACACACACACACACACACACACACACACACACACACCAGTCCTTTTTTCATTGCTCATCATGAGACACATTGGGTGTTAATCAGCTGATTGTGTCACAGGTCGAAGTTCAGATATCCAGATATCAAAACAACATCAGCTGTTACACACAAACACACACACACACACACACACACACACACACACACACACACACACACACAAACACACAAACACACAAACAAACTTCCCTAAAGACAACACATCAGCAGAGTCATGGTCAGGTCTTATGTCCTAACTGTGGCCGTACTTTAACGCAGAAGTGAGGAAACTATTTCAAAACTATTTCTAACCTTTAAAGCTGAAATTTTGTAATGATGTGCTGTAAAAAAAACAGAACTGCTGTAAAGAAACAAGCACATTTAAAGGAAACAACAGCTGCAGTCACTTTACACAGAATCTGAGTTTTAAAGAAAATGAAGTGAAGACGTCATCGCCATTCAAACAACATGAATAAAAGAGAAGTTACCTATCCATCACTTATCTATACCTCATCAACATCCAAGTTTAAGCCAAGATCCATACTCAGCAATATCTACAATGTTACCAAAAATGTATAGATTAGTAAAAAGTCCCAGAGTCAATGGACTATGTTGTTGTAGACGTATAAAGCAGCAGACGATGAAAATACGAATAATAAAATAAAGCGACGCAAAGGACGGGATAGGATTCTATCCAATATGATATGATGAAGGTGGGCTATGATATAAAAAGACACAAAAATAAATGATTCACTTTTTTTTTTTAAAGGAAAATTTCTTGGCCATGATTCTTTATCTGCCTCCACACTCGTCTGAGAATACAAAACAGGTCGTAGCCGCCAAAAGTTCGTGTTACACAACGATGATAAGTGAAAGAGAAAGGAGACTGTGATACGAACGCATGATACCAAGAATTTGATATTGGTAGCCACAAGGAGTCTTTAAATACTCGTTTACATGTATGATATTCTGTAAATAACCTGCCTGAGTGTATTCACAATGGTTTGCGTGGTCTTTATAAGAAACGGACTCCTCTGTGTCTGCTGTCTTATCCGAAGTGATGAACCCACCAGGGTGAGTTCATGCATGCAACAGCTTTGCAGTTTCTGCAGCATGAAGTGAAACATACTATCCAGCAAGGTCAAACTGAGTTCAGCATTTCCATGTCAGTGTTTTTGAACTTGATTGAGGTTCTAGGAATGAAAATCTACACGACACAGGATGTTACCTCTACCGAAAGTTCAGGCGTTTCTATAAACTGCTACATTAACGGCGGTCTAATTCACTATGAGTAAACCAGGTACGCCTTCACTGTTGCACCAATTCCTGCAAAACAGGAAGTACCAGAAGTTTTCTCATCTTTTATGTTTTGATCATTTTTGAATGAATCTCCTCATTTAAAGATTTTTTCACTCCAGAAATAATGAGAATCAGATTAAGAGACATGCCCAGATCTGGCCTTAGAAACGGGGTAAGGGGTTCAGAGAAGACACTCCAAAGATTCCAGCTGAGGTGCCTCCATCTTGTCACCCTTTGGAGGTTTCCAGGCACATTCAACGGGGAAAACAGCAGGGGGTAAAACTCAAGAGCTCTCTGGTAAGATTATGTAAGTCTCACCCTCACCCAGCTGGCCTGGGAACACCTCGGGATCCCCGCTGGAGGAGTTGGACAACAATGCTGAGAGGAAGGATGTTGCCTTTCGCCTGCTGTCACTGCAATCCAACCCTAGGGAGGAAGGAGATGGATTGATGTTTATTTGATGGGGACAGAGCAGTGGAGTTAGCAAGAATGCTAATTTACACCCTGAAGTCTTTTAGACTGCCTCCATCTTTCCCACATCCCTCACTTTTCACTTCAGGGCTCTATTGTCAAAAATCTCAAAATACTTAAAAATAAAAAGGAGTTTTTTGAACCTCGTTTCTGCCAGATACTCAGGAACTCTCAGCAACATTTGACCAGTGGTCCCAATCAGCTCCGTCCACTCCCCCCCTTTGAATTAAATAATGCTCGGTCACCCTCTCCCGAGGCAGAGAAAGGGCCCGTATTCACCTCACGAACATCCCTCTTTATGTGCTAGGGCTCGACAGGACGCTCCGTACGAACGCTCTTGGACACAGTAAACGCGGGGCTCAGAAGTTATGAATAGGGGGCTCTGTGGCGCCCCTAAAAGACTGTTTGTGTGTGTGTTTTTTCTGTGTGTATGTGTGTGTGGGTGTGCTGCAGGGGGTGGTCTGTTGGAGCTGTTTGTTGGCGTGTGCTCTGTGCATTTGTGGACAAAGTGCATGTGAGGGCCCCAAACATGTGCATCTGTTTGTGTGTGTGTGAGGATTTCTTTGCACGTTTTTCCAGTTTGCATTAAGTTTGAAGTAAAATCACGTTTTGGCGCAACATTAGACGCATCAGCTTCTTCTTTAAGAGCAGTTTTTAAGGCCACAGCTGATGCGTTTGTGTTCAAAAGTGTTAATCTGATGCTGAATTAAGATGAGGGGGAGTGGCGCTCAATTATTACAGCAATTACACAGACGTTTGCAGGATGCAGCAGGAATCCAGGAGTGAGGGAGAGGGATGCCTCTTATAAAGCCAAGTCCTGTCTCTTTGGGAGGAATTTGTGGGCAGTGAGACCAGGCTTTGGGTCAGAAACAGGAGCCCGATGAGCCAATGACTGTCTTCGTAATTCTTCTCAATGGTGCACGGGTGTCGTGGGACTTAGGCTGCTGAAGTTTTACAGTTCCAGTCGTGTTGTGTGAGCATGCGTATGGCAACAAAGCAGGCATGTGGAGGACAGGCTGAGGCTCCAGGATCCTGCCTCCCTCTGAACGAGTCAATTAGATTTTAATCCCAGCGGAAAAGGTAAGCAAAGACGTTCCTCAGCAGAGTGGAAACACCTGAAAATGTATAATTTACAACTTTTAAACTGCATTGAAAGTGTTTTTTTAAATCATCTCGAAACCGTAATGTTGTCACTGTGTCACACCTGCAGTTACCTTGTGCAGGATTGTCCTGATTTGTTGCACTGATTTGTGTATTCATATCATGATTTACAAATTCATGATTATATATTGTCTCCAATACTTTCATGTATGACGGAGGCACTTTATTTGCTATTAAGTTTTATATTTTTTTAAATTCTATAGCTTATCTGTTTATTTACCTAAGTGATGTTTATTTAAATGCCTCTTTTACTCATTTTATTCAATATTAAGTACAGATTCTGTTTTTGTTTCGTAATTGAATGTCAAACTGGATGTCATCGCATTGCTGCAAAACAAATCTTCCAACCAAGTAACCTGAACCTAAAATATAGATATAAAGTCTAGATATGGTTATATGTCTGATTTTTTTTTAAATAGATAGAGATATAGACATAAAGAGATAGATTTAGATAAAAGATATGGATATCTATAAATAGATGAACAGATATTTAGATCTCTATGTATAGATGTACATATATCGATAAAGAATTATAGATATATAGTAACAGACATAGATACAAAGATATTGAAATAGAAGTAAAGATATTTAGATACTGATATAGAGATGTAGAAATAGATATGAATGAAGACATAGAGATATAGAAATAGATGTACATATATTAAGATATCAATATAGATATACATGAAGAGATATAAATATATAAGAATAGATGTACAGTTATACAGGTTCTAATATAGAGATGTAGAGATATCCTAATAAAAGATTATATAAACATAGATATTTAGATATCGATGTAGAGATATATAGAATAGATGTATGCATACTTAGATACTGATAATGGATAAAGAAATTGAGATGAATAAAGAGATATAAATGTTTATAAATCGACCGACAGATATTTCTCAAGATAATGCAACAGATATACAAAAATATAGATATATGAAAATAGATGTCTAACCATTTAGGTATCGCTTTGGAGAAAGAGGTATAAAGATAAAGAAATATAGATATGTGTTTCGATATTTGGATGTCTTTTTGAATATCAAGATAAATAAAAATACATTTAGATAAAGAGATTTAGATGTATAGAAACAGATATATAGATATGGATGTAGAGATACAGAGCTGTAGATATATAGACACACACACACACACACAATCACAAACCAAAAATCTGAGTGAATTTCCTTTTGTTCATAAACTGAGAGCAGAAATTTGGTGTTAAAGAAAGAAAAGAAGGTAAAAGTAAAAGTAAAGAGAGGTGGAAATGTGTGTTTATGTGTGTGTGTTTGTGTGTGTTTATGTGTGTGTGTGAGGGGCAGAGATGGAGGGGGATTACTCCTCACTCCAGAATACTAACGAGGGCCTTTTGTCACAGATCTCTTTCTCTCTCTCTCTTCCTCTCTTCCGCTCCCTCCGTTTTTCTTTCACTCATCACACACACACTCACACCCGTGCACTTAAACACACTTTGCCTTTTCCAGTGATTGCACACAAACGCACACATACATGCACGCATACATCATCACACGTTTACCCACCATCACACACACATCCACAGAAATACTCGTGTAATTGCAATCCCACTCTCACATAATCACTCTCCCTTACACACACACACAGGGATGGACACAGACTCGTTTTTGTCAATGGCGCCTTTTGTTTCTTTTATCTCAGCTGCTAACAAAGCATTCCTGTGTACACAGAGGAGAGAGAGAGAGAGAGAGAGAGAGAGAAGGAAGGAGTGAGAAAGAGGAAAGAAGAAAAAGAGAAACGGAGGGAGAAAGAGGGAGATCAGGAAAACAGTCCACGGCCTCTTTTGTTTGGCCAAAGAAAAACTTTGAATTCAGAGTTTGGACCCGGCTCTCTGAGGCAGGGCGGTACAGTAAAGTTGCCGTGTTGTCATGGAGATGGAATACGTCCGACTGGAGAGGTTGGTCAGAAATATTTCACTCTCATTTACTCCCAAATTGCTCTATTAGTTATCTGATATCTGCCTGTGCTGGAATTTGTGTTTTTTTGTCTCTGGGGTTTGTGTTTGAGTGTGAGGAGAAAATTGGATGAGACGGCGACAGAGTTGAAAGAGTGAAGTTTTCAATAGTGTCATTGTAATTATGAACCTTTGAGGGGCTCACCCTTGCATAATCACCAAAGTGAGACGTAATTAAAGCTGATTGGTTATGCAATCTGTGAACGGCATCGCAAAGAAGCTATTTTGATTCACAGAAAGAGGCCAAAAGTATGAGGACGCCCCTGATTTTTGGACAAAGGTCAGTCTTATAATTGGGGAAAAATCTGGACTAAATTTCTACCTTTATGCACAAGATCAGTATGAGATTCAACCAACATATAATTAAAGAAAATTCAATTTTTTTGCTAATTTACACTTTCCAGATTAACACAAGTGGATTTTTTCAACAAAAGTAAAGTTTGTTAAATAGGTAAAGCTCCTGTGAGGAAGTTTTAGACATCCATAAAATAGATAGATTAATTTGATATTGATGCCGCGTTATGACACGCAAGAGCGAACAAGACCGTCAGCGACAACATCAAGATGTTCACTTGTGCAGGAGGGAAGGTATGAGCTGAAGATAGAGCCTCATTTTAATGTTTTCTATATAAAATATTCACAAAAATAATCAATTTCACTGTTAGAAGACTGACTGATGAGACTTTTGACAAAAGATACAGCTTATATATGCATACAACAAGATAGGCAGAGACTGCTTTGCCCACAGGGGGCGCCAACTTTGACACAAACCACAAGTTCCTCATTGGAGCTTCAAGTTGTACAAAAACTAGAAATAATGCAAATACTTGTCAATGAAAAGTATATAATTCATGGTATCCCGGTGTGATGCCCTGCCATCAGCACCACTGATGGAGAACAACAATCCACAGAGCCGGTAAAATTACTTACTATACCTTTAAACAGGCAAATCTATAGGATTAACATACATTTGACCAAAACTGTCAATAATGGGACAAAACAAACAAATTAGAATAATACGAGATCCCAAAGGGGCAACAGACAAACAGAGGGGTTAAAGGAAGAGGCAGGCAGGCAGGGGAACACAATGTTGTAAATAAAGGAGGGAATATTTACACACAAAGCACAACAACTTAAAGACAAACAGGAGAATACTAAATAACTTTGGCTTCTCTGTTTGATATTTTTAACGGTAAAACTGGATATTAACTGCTATTTGCTTCAAATGCTCCCTTGCTCACCCCTCACAGGTGAAACAACGGTAGCCTTTAGGGACAAAAGGCCCCTGTGCTGCTTGATAAGTGTAAACTCCAATTTTTTATCAGTGTTTTTAAATGTAGGGTTTTTGTAGCTAACTGTATGGATGTCTGCTTGTTTGTTAAAGATTCAAGTTAAAACAACATTCATGCACAGTGATAAGGCATCCGTACACTTTGGCCAAAGACGAACTCTCTGAACTCCTCAGAGAGTCTGAGTGAGAAAAGGAAACAGAAAAACCTTGTGAGAAGTAAAAAGCAGTAGAAAAAAAGATGACCTGGTCAGGACATCCAGAAAGCTCAGATCTGGCGCTCGTCCTACCAGACTCTTACCACCGTCTCCAGTTACCCGTCAGAAGTTCAGTCTTTGTCCACTAAAGGCCTCTCCAGTTAGACTCGACTATAAAGTCCTTTAAGGAAAAACTTTATCTTGATCAACGCCTGAGTTTTGGACAAAGATTTATTTTACCTCAGTTGATTCATTCAAGCTTCTCCTCTCTCTCTTTCTCTCTCTCCTTCCTCATACTGACAAATAAGACTGTGTGGAGTTTGTTTGCTTGATTCACTGCATCCTCACTTTAACTCCTCTTTCTCCTTTTCTCTCACGTCCTCCTTCTCCTCCTCTTTTATGGGCTATCTGCTCTCTGCTGGCCTTCCTGATTGTTGGACGTAAGTGCATGCTGAATGTGTGGAGATACAGTAACTGTCTGTCAGTGACATGGGTGGATCCTCACATTTGAACGTTGTGAAAAGAGGACATAATAATAAACATGTTATATTTCCACTGAAAATGTGCGCGTCCATCTCTGCTGTGCTGTAGTTGGCCGGAAAGACGATCAAGTCAAACACGAAACTAAATTCAAGATTATTTCAAGTCAATCCGCAGGGGTGTGTCTAAAGGTGCCCCCTGGTGATAAGTGATAAATAGAGATGTAGAAATATATATGAGTATATGATGTAGCGATAAAGAAATAGATGTACAGATATTTAGAATTTGATTTAGAGAAATAGATACATAGAAATAAATGATTTTATAGGTATTGATATTTAGATATCGATATAGAGAGATAGATATTCTGTAATAGATATAGATACAAAGACACAGATATAAAGAGATAGATGTATACATATTTAGATACTGATATAGAGATATAAATATATAGAGATAGAGCTATAGGAGATAGAGCTATAGATATTTTGATATCAATCTAGATATATTATAACAGATGTAAGTAAAGATATAGATGCATAAAAATGCATGTATAATTATTCAGGTACTGATAAAGAGATATAGATAAAGAAACAGTGTTTCCCCTGCTGCTGAATTACGTGCACCGCTACTGAAATTTCACATGAACATTAATATCAATGCGCCACTAATGACTTCTACTCGCACTGTGTGAGCACAGCAACACACAAGGCTATTTTCAACTTGTTTTGAGTCCCCCCCCAACGCAGAAGCGCCGCAGCTGAAGAAAATTCTAGGTGAAACACTGAGAAATATAGATATATTGTAATGGATGATTGTATAAATAAAGATATTTAGATTTTGATATAGATATATATAAATTGAAATAGATATACATTGATAAAAGACATAGATATATAGACATAGATGTATACAGATTAGACACTGATATAGAAATATAGTAATAGATGTGAATATGGAGATATAATTATAAAGAAGTTGAACGAAAGACATTCAAGTGTTGATCTAGATATATTGTTACAGATATGAATACTGATTTTCAGGTCTCAAGTCTACATCCTGAACTCAAGCATCACAGCACTGTTGGGTTCGGGTTAGGTTAGGGTTCGCTGAGCCACCCTGGTCTAAAAAGTCTACGTCAGGTTGCAGAAGCATGCACTTGTCTAACACATGACCTAAAGCAGACCCTGCTCTGAATAGGGGCCATATTCTTTCAACTCAGAGGCAATGCCTACTTCTTATTAACAGTCTGTAGTAATACTCCAGTCTTGAACTTTTCGGTTTGAAAACCTTAAAGATATCATCTGAACAGGAACCGTGCAGTTTGCACATTTTAGTTTATCAGCTTCTGTAATCTGGACTTTAAAAGACTTAACACCGACGTCAACGGATGTGCGATACATGTCTTCTTCTTCTTCTTCACACACGTTGTATGGCAGTAAAAGTTAAAGTGAAAGCAGTTTTACTTTAAAGCGAAGCGACAGCTTGGTAGATCAGGATACTTCACTGATTTAGTCTGTTCCATCAGCCACTATGCCCCTGGTTTCAAACATTTTAATGATATTTAATTAGAGCACAGTTTTTTTTCCTTTCCTCTTACAGGTCAACAACACATTTTTTTTTCTAACCACTAAGTTTTCATTTGAGCTGTCAGGTGGTTTTGGTTAGCGTGTTTACTGAGCAGTTCTCAGACTTAGCAAAGGCACTTCATCTTTAGAAGTTTTCCCATAAAGCACCCTTAATTTTCATCCTTATCATCATTTATAAACTTGTTTTTTAAGGAAATCTCTCAATTCACAACCAACACAAAAGCTTCATAGGGTACTGCATCAAAGCTGTAAAAAGAACAAAAACATGTCTTGTCATGGTGGTTAATGGTGGTTCATTGCTCCACAATAGTGAGGAAACACCTCTGACAGATGCAACGCTGCAGATGAGCTGTCAAACTGTGAGAAAAACAGCAGCCATGCCTTCAGTGAAGAAGTGATAGTTTCCGTTTCTCATGTTGCAACAGCAAGAAAACCTTAAAAGTTTCCCAAACTAACAACACAAATCTAGATGTTCACAAAACTAAAACATTAACAAATTAAAGGCAGTTAAAAAAGGTAAACCACAGAAACTCCCACAAAGCTTCCTCCAAATTTCAAAAGAAAAATGACTCCATCCGTGTGGGTTGAGGCTTTTTTTTTTAGTTGTTTATCAGATGAAATTCGAAGAACTATTTCGTTTAAACGTTATCAGCTCTGAATGTTCTTCAATCTTGTGACATACAGCCTGGATAAATAATCTCTGTGTTTTTTTAAGTATTACAAAGTCCAGGTGAGGTGAATTCCCTGTTAGAATAAGAGCAGGTGACTAACTAACTATTACTGAAACCTACAGTCATCATCGACAGTTTCTGGCTTTTCCCTCATACTTAGGGAAGTCACCATAATCAGATTATGAGGTAGTGCTGAGAATGTGAACTCTCAAAACATCCAACAAATGTTTCCCTCCTATCAGCCACTTAGAGTAAAAACTCCAAATTTACCCAAAACTCAAACTTTGAAATGATCCACTAACAGCACAGACAAACAAACCAAAGACACATCTGAACTCTTCTTTCTTTGTTACTCACCAGATGACATCTGCCACACCCCCTTCCTCACGTAGCTCCTCCCCCCAGAAAGTTTGCCACTCCCAGACCCAGACTGACGTTTTGAAACCCTTACTGGGAGGCGGCATATCTGGTGGGGGCGGGACTCTGAGGAAGAGGAGGCGTGTCCTGTCCAAAGATGGGCGCAGCAACATTCGGATCGAACACGTCAACGGGCGGAGCGCCCTGTACATGCGTGACCTGTGGACCACGTTCCTGGACATGCAGTGGCGCTACAAGTTCTTCCTGTTCACCGCCACCTTTGCGGGGACATGGTTCCTCTTCGGCGTGCTTTGGTATCTGGTGGCGCTGGTTCACGGAGATCTGCTGGGTAAGATTGGAAAAAAAGTGTAGGGGAGCAACAGGTTACTGTACCTTTATTTGGTTGATTTACCGCCTATTTGGCTATTATCTTATCTCGCCACTTTTGTGCCTCTACGATTGGCGAATATGACTTTAAAATCGATAAATTTGTTCTACGAGCTAACAACTTCAAATCCTTCGGTAATACGCTTCTGGGGTGCAGCCAAAACATCATGCCAAGCTTCTCTTCCCTCTTCATCTCACTCAATAGTTTTGGTGTTTCTGGGCTCAGTGTGTGTCCACAGTGTTTTTGAGGTTAATGAAGAGGAGTGTATATGCCCACTCAATAAATCCTGAAAGTATAAATCCTGGTCTTGTTTATCTGAGTGTTTACCCCAAAAGAAGTCATGGACTTTGTTAGTCTGACACTGTTATATCTGCAGAAAACTCACTTACACACAGAGCACTACCCTCATGAACCCAGTTGTTTGGCTACTCTTGAAAGCGAGCACAGACACCAGATCTTATTTTTGTGCTAATTAAAGCTCATTCAGGAAATGGTTTCAGACAGAGAAGGGCTATTTTTAAGGATACTGATGTGATGGTTTTACGGTCATGCCTGATATAGCAGAGTGCTGACAGTGGGGCTAAATATCAGGGAACCGAAACCAGAAATTTGGTTAGCTATACGTGGCGGCTGCCATTTTGTTGGGCATTTCTCAAGTTTAGTTTAAAACGCCTGAAAAGTTTCCACCAAGAGTTCAAAACTTTCCCCCTTTTTGTAAAGTGTGTAAAGAGGACAGATCTATCAGTGCACAACCAGGATTCAGTTAAATCAAAATGTGGTGGAAGTTGGAACATGTAGCTCAGTTGGTATTAACACCCACAGTCCTCTTACATTTTATATGACCAAAGTTTTCCATCATGGAAGCAGAAATATAAAAAAAAGGTGTTTGATAATCACACCCCTCTGAACATAAAAAAAGTGTGACCAGTGAAGAGGCAAAGGTGAGAACAGGCGGTAGGGTGATTTAGAGAGAAGAGCAACTTACCAGCAGCAAAGCCATAGGTGAGAAAGTGATGCAAACAGCTCTGTTACAAAGACAAGTAAGTGTGCACAACGAGCGCTGCACATGCTCAATTGCATCCACAATTGTTCACACAATAGTGATAAATGACAACACAGTCCCCTTCTACTTAGGAGACACATTTTTGAGACAGCTCTATATGAACGACTCAGCACTTCGTGGTTTGGCGCTGATGGCAATCAAAGTCATGATGATGATGATGATGATGATGATGATGATGATAGTGCAATGACTGCCAAAAGTCTGCAGGATGTAAAACCGCTCTGTCCACAGGGTGCGCCAAAACTGACACAAACTGAAGGTTCTTCACTGGAGCTTTAAAAATACAAACATCAACCATGACATCAACCATGAGGTGATACCGTCAGTGACCTCTTGTTGTCTTTCAAACCCTTTCCCAACAGAGTTCGACCCTCCATCAAACCACACCCCCTGTGTGATGCAGATGCAGTCCCTGACGGGGGCTTTCCTCTTCTCTCTGGAGTCTCAGACCACCATCGGTTATGGTTTCCGCTGCATCACCGAGGAATGTCCTGCAGCCATCATCCTCCTCATCGTGCAGCTCGTCATCACCATGCTGATGGAGATCTTCATCACTGGGACCTTCTTGGCTAAGGTAGACAATGCATAAAACATGTAAAGCAAACCAAAAGAAGTGATCACGCTTGAAGAAACATTTATTCTTCTTCGTCTGCTCAGGTAGCGAGGCCGAAGAAAAGAGGTGAAACCGTGAAGTTCAGCCAACATGCTGTGGTGTCCACCCTAGAGGGCCGACCCTGCCTGATGATCAGGGTAGCAAACATGCGCAAAAGTCTCCTGATTGGATGTCAGGTGACTAAGAACTTGTACTCATACAAGTTTCACAGCTTTCTCTCCACAAAGTGCTTCTGAAATCAATGAATCTGGGTTTAGACTTCAAAATAATTTAGAGATCATTTCCACCCAGGTGACGGGAAAACTGCTCCAGACGTCTCTGACAAAGGAAGGCGAGACGGTTCGTCTGGACCAGAGGAACGTGCCCTTCCAAGTGGACACATCCAGCGACAGCCCCTTCCTCATCCTGCCCCTCACCTTCTACCACCTCATCGATGACAGTAGCCCGCTGAGAGCCTGGGCGGCCAAAGGTAAGCTCGACTTAGATGTCAGGTTTAAACCCTGCAGTCAGCTAACTCAGGCGTATAATTTCCAGTATGGAAAGGTTGCACAAGTTCATTTTTTTGAAATCACGTGAGAGGGTTATAAAATGCACATTTTCTAAATTGAAACTTCCTTTTTTTTAAGGTTGGAAACTGAAATGGTCTAAGCAAAGGTTTCTATGGGTTGTTTATTCCTTCCTCTACTGAAATGTGACAGTTTTGCATCTGAGATCATCCAGTACCTCTGATTATATCTGGGAAAATAAAGTCATTTTTTGTGCCTTTATGACATAGATCAATGTAGCTTTGCAGACCCCAAGCCCTGTCTAGTCAGGGGTCCAACAGCTCATGGGACAGAGTTGTTTTGAAAATGCTTTTTTGCTAGTGGAATGGCAAACTATCTGGGTACTTTGTAAATTGCACGGAAAAATAGTGTGGCACAATTTAGTGGTACATTGCATATTGATAAATTATGATTTCTAGGGCATGCAGGGGCGTGTCCTTACTTTTCCAACTGGGGTGACCGTGCTGGGGTGTTTATTTAGGCAGGTGTGACATTGAACAAACAGACCCCTTTGACAGCAGTTTGACATGTTTTGGTGGTTGGAGCTTGGCTGGAGAAAAAAACAACTTCAGAGATGTTAGCTAGCTAGCAAGTATTTTTTTTGGCTTGTTTTTGACAATGGCTGAAGACAATATGGGTCTCTGTGATATTTCCATTGAAGTGTATTATTATTAAAATCTTATTTCTTTAGAGGCTCAACAAAATGTGCATTCAGAATCAAAATAAAAAAAACAACTCAAATTACAAGCTAATTCCAGCACAGTGTCTGTCCTTAAACATTTTAGTCTGACTTCCTATGTTTGTAGCGTTTAAGAAATTCAATATGATAGAGGAACACAGTCTTTGGCGTCTGAGTCATTTCTACATTGGTTGTAGGCTGTGGGTGTATTCTGTTGATGGTGGAGGGGAGGTTTTTCAAAGGCAGCGAAGGCAACGTGACAGAGCAGAGTGAGAGACAGGAAATCTTGCAACATATGAAGGGTGGCAAGTTGGAAAGGAAGGTACTTTTGTAAGATGGTTGTGAGAATAAGAGCACTGAGCCGAATATCAGACAATCCTCATGAGACACACTGATATGTAGATGATGATGGATATACTTTTTCTTTTAAACTCGAGTTTTAGGTTTTTGTGCCTTTAATTTAGAGGAGGATTAGATAATAGCATGTGAGAAGGTGGAATCAAACCAGGCCCCAGGCCTGAGGCCTAACTTCTCTACATGACATGGCCAGTGACATCCCATAGAGCTGTTTCTGTAAATGTTGTAGACTCTTGGTGTAAGATTAAAAAAATTTCTCACAGTTTCTTTCCATCTCTTCTTTTCCTTTCTTTCCACTCCTCTCTGTTGGGCAATCTCCTTCAACCTAACTCACACCAGGCGGGGGCTGGACAGATCCAGAGTTGGCGGATTTTGAGCTGCTGGTGATTTTGAGTGCAACAGTTGAGCCGACCTCCGCCACCTGTCAGGTTCGCACCTCCTACTTGCCTGACGAGATTCTCTGGGGCTATGAGTTCCCTCCAGTGGTCTCTCTTTCCCCATCAGGAAAGTACGTAGCAGACTTTGCCTTCTTTGACAAAGTGGCCAAGACCAAGACCACCCCCATCTTCAAGACACCCAGCCCCCAGCATGTGTACCAGAGCAACGGGGGCGGGCTGGTAACGGAGGTGTGCGATCCAGAGAAGATTCGCCTGGAGCAGAGTTACAGGGAGAGAGGGGAGGACCGAGGGCGAGGCAGAGACGCTCCTCTCAGTGTTCGTATCAGCAACGTGTGAATATACAGACTGGTCAGAGCATTTTAATGAAAAGGGAACAGCCAAGTTTAAAGTCAGCTGCGACTCAGTGAGAGACTTGTTTTCAGACTGCTTAGAGCTTTTATCAGAAAGATATTTAAGTCCTGGAAGGTGTAGTTGACAAGCAAAAAGGCTCTGGACATTTTAAAGGTCCCATATACTGAAAAACGTGTTTTTTGTTGCCTAAACATGACATGACTTTATGAGCCTCTGCATTATTTCTGTAGCCCACCTACTAGGAAAACATATCTTCTGCGAGGCAACTTGAACTTGCTCCTTTGGTGATGTCATAACAGGAGTGATTTGCATATGCATTTATACAAAACCTCTCCTGCTCCAACTCTGAGTAATTCCACGTTCTGAAGATTTAGAGTCACACTAATTTCTTTGGTTCTGGGTGCAAAAACCAGCACAACTGACTAGATTCTGTGACAATACTGGAGGGGTTAACAAAACAAAGCATCCAGGTAGCAACCACCTGTTTGGGATCATGTTGGGTCAAATATGTTGGATCGACTGCTGCAGGTTCTTCTGGGGGGCTCGACATTTTTTGTGTGTTTTTGCTCCTCTGTATCTGTCTCCATTAATGCACTACTATCATAAAGTGGGTGGGGTTACAATTATGATGGTCCCCTCCACTCAGATTGCTGCACAGATAATGTGCAGTAATGAGAGACTGCAGGTCCTCTAAAAAGCTGTATTTGCTGTTTCTTTGAGAAAGCCTTGCTTCAAAGACAATTGGGACGTGTTTTAACAGCCAGAAATATCATTATATGGGACCTTTAACATTTTTATACTCATGTTTTCTGGGAGAATATGTTTCACACAGGTTGAACTGTAATCATATGAAAATATAACACAGTGCCTAACTCTAGCTACTGAATGTATTTTTAATTGTACACTGTAGATTCTCTAATAAGTTAACTAAAAAAAGATCTATTTATTCACAGAGGAAAAACCCATGATCATAATGAAATAAAAATCAAAACTGTGAGTGGAGAGTACAGAAAACTTAGTGGGTAAGTTTGGGTCCCACCCAGAGAAATGGTTTGTTAGTCAATGTGTAAAGTTTCCACGGTCATGAGTGAATAATTCCAGCAGGTGGTAAAGGTACGATGAGGGGGAGAGGGAACTTCCACAGACACTGTTGTACCTGTTGTAAATCCTCTTCAATTTTCATATACTGAATACTCTTAAAAGTATGAGTACTACATTTAAAGTTTCAGGAAGAACTAAGTGTGTTCATGTAGAACACAACACTCCCATGACCATGCAATTTCCTGTTGTGGTTGTCACAGAGACTGTTTTATGCTAACGGAAACTTCTGCTCTGCTATGAAAGTGATGGGGACAGCCTGATTTATTTCTGATATATGACTTTTGGCACTTTATGTGAGCCCACAATGTACATTTGCACCTTAAAAAAGTTTAGCTACACATGCTTAAACTGTAATAAAGATGTGTCACTACTGAAAGCACAATTGTCATAGATAGAGTTTGAATAGATGTTTCTGCAGAGCTAGGTTTAGTGCAGCAGTGTCAGACTGAAACAAAAAGGTGAATGTCTTTTGTCCATCACAAACAGCTACAGTAGAAAACAGGGATTTTAATTTGTGTGCAGTAGGAATCGTCTGTCTTTTATTTTTGAGTTACTAAGTCAAATTTCGATGAAGCCCCTTATATTTGTAGACATGAGGAGGATTCGTGATTTCAAGACTTCACCTGAGTGGCGAGGGATGGTGTAAAAGAGATGCTGTAAGTTACTGAACATGGATGACTGACGGATTTGGAAACGACTGCTGAAGCAGAGATGAGAATGATGGATGCAAAAATGTGTGAGATTGAAGGTATTTTTTCACTTTGTTATAACATGAAGCGCTTTTTGTAAATATTTTAAATGAAGGGAAAAATAAAATGAGACAAATATCTAAAAACTGATTCAATAAAGCTGATTTTGAGTTATAAAAGTCTGGTTTGTGTCATTCAGCAGAGGTGAGATGAAAAGTACAGGTTTGAATGAATCATTTAAGTTCTTGGATTGTTGTACTGCAGAAGTGACTACCCCCCTCCCCCCTACAGCATGCGCACATATAGTCTCCATACTTCCTCATGTTGCTCACTGAGCAAAATGGGTCCCATCGTTCTTCTTCTCTCTTTTTCTCTGCTGCATCTGGTTCAATCAGAATGTAAGAATTTTAATTTATGGTTCATATTGTTGTTACTTTAGGATGAACTTGTGCTGCTTCATTGTTTTAACATTGGTCAAGTCCAAGAATTGAATCTGGTTTAGAGGAAGGACATACTGAGAAATGATCGACAGGGTGAGACTCCTCGCTTCATGTCAGTGCTGGAGTCCACACCCTGTCGAGGTTCATATAAATCTTCCTCAAAAATTCATTATTAATGTTAACAGTTGATTTTAAGATGATTAATTGATTTTAAAATGATTTTTGTCAAACTGATCTAATCGTTTTATTGACAGGATAAACAAGGCGTCTATAGGAACACTTGTATCCACCTTATTTAATATCATACGGCTTCTTCTCTGTGTTTGGTTCTGACTTTGGGAACAGAAAGCACACCTGGATGGTCTGGATGGCCCCTACTGACCTAGAAGATCACTGATGTTTAATGGGCCTAAACCACTCAGAGCTTTATAAACCAGCAGCAGGATTTTAGAATCTATTCTCTGAGAAACAGGGAGCCATCAAAAACCTCAGGACTGGACTGATATGATCCACTTCTTTGGTCTTGGAGAGGACTCTGGCTGCAATTTTTCAGACGGACCTATAAAGACGTGTCACACTAATTATGTCGACAGATGATAAAAGCAGGGACTGACTTGGTCGGTTGTTTTAAACTTTAACTGCTGAAGCCGCCCACTGATTTTTAAAACAGCTACCTGGATTTAATCTACGTGTTGGCACATAAACTTGAGGATTTGCTCAAGGTACTTAGTCAGTGCCCGTATGAGGCCGTGGTGACCTGGTGGCATCGTTATATATAACAGTGTTTCATCAACATAGTAACAGTACTTGTCTTTTTATTAACTATTATCTGAGTCAGTGGGAGCATGTAGACGTTAAACAGAGGAGACCCCAGAATGAAACTTTGAGGGACCCCACATGTCATTCTTGTCTGCTCAGATTTGAATTTATCTGAAAACAAAGTCGTCTCTGTTCTTTTGATAAGATTCAAACCTGTTGAGTTCAACTTTGTCAAAAGCTGCGCTGAAATCCATAAGTACAAAGACTGCAGCTCTACCATGGTCTGTTTGTAAGCAGGTGCTATTAAACGTTTTTGTCTTAGTGTGTGTTTGAAATTAGCTCTGGTGTGAGAAAAAGCTGCGACAGTCGGCTGTAAACCCCTGTCTCTATTTTCTCACTGGGTTCACTTCAGCAGCTTTGTTTCACCACGTTTGTTTTTCAAGTCATGCTCAGAGTGAGGAGGTAAATTCCTGAAGAAAAGCTTTACTGCTCGAGGTTTAGAGCTTCTATATTTGTTAACATAACACAGATAACTTTTTATGAGACATCATAAGAACTGAATGAGGGTGTGTTGATGTCCTAATCAACACTGTCAGTGTCGGACTTCGCTGTTGATTGTAAGATATTAGAAATTTGTTTTTTGTTTTTCAAAAAGCTGCAGTTCAGTGACAATTTTCTTTGTGTTTGTTCATAACTTTACGAACAAGGAGTCAAGTGATCTTTGATATGGAAAACTAATTATGTCTTCTTTAACCATATGAGTGATTTTGATTTTTTTTTTCTTTTGTTTGCAGTGACTCCTGTGTTTGTGAAGACAGGAGAGGATTTACTCCTAAATGTCCAAACACCTGTTACTCCAGGAGATGATGATCAAATAACATGGAAAGTAAATGACACGAAAGTTATTGCAAGGTTTTTTGGTTTTTTGAACCAATCACGAATTATTGGCAGTTATTCTGGAAGGGTTACACTTTTTGAAGATAATTTCTCTCTGCTGTTGAAGAGCGTGAGAAAGAGTGACAGTGGAGATTATAGAGCTCATGTTTCTGGTGTCGCTAACAAAGATTTGGCTGAATACAAGGTCACAGTTCTGGGTGAGTCTCTGAACATTTCAAATACTGATAAAGTTTTTTTTCTTGTTTCAAAGCTGCTAACTCTGCCCTTGTTTCTCACAGATCCAGTGTCTCCAGTGAGACTGACCGTGAACTCCTGCAGCTCAGACTCCTCCAACCTCACAGTGACCTGCAGCACTCAGGACTCTCTCATCAGAGCAACTTTCACATGTGACAACCAAACCTGCTCTGAAGAGAGAGGAGACAGAGGAGAGTTTGCCACACCTGGGACTTCTCTCAGAGTCTACCTGGAAAATGGCTCAGTCATCTGTAACTATAGCAACGAGGTCAGCTGGACAGAGGACATCAAAACGATTGAAGATCTTTGTGGAAAGGATCCCAGTAAGACTCAGACTTCACAACAATCTGACAGTACCTCACACTGTAGTTTGAAGCCTCAGTGAAAATGATATGTAGTTTTCTGTTCACGTGTTCAGTGTGTTTTGGACGTTGGTTAGCAAAGATATGCCCAGGTGGCAAAAACAACGCACAGGTTAAGCTCAGCTGGTGTTGTCTTTGCATTTTTACAACACAGTTTTGTTTGAGATGATGGAAAAGAGATCATCCAGAGAAAGGTGGTAAATGTGATCACCATCATTAATCACCTAGAATGACATTACAATAAAACTGTAGCACTGGAAAAGCAAAAATTAACAAAGCGTAACGCTAACACACACACGCGGGCACGCATGCACGCGCACACACACACACACACACACACACACACACACACACACACACACACACACACACACACACACACACACACACACACACACACACACACACACACACCAACACACACAGTGTTAGATAAGAATGCATCCACCTTTTCTGATTTTTAAATCTGGCTTTTTTTTGCTTTGTTTTAACAGAATATGAATTTTCTAAAGGCAGCACTAACATCTGGGCGATTGTTGTCTCCATCGTCGCTGTTGTTGTTGTTGCAGCTGCGGTTGTTCTGGTCATTAGAGTACTAAAAAAAAGACGAAAAGGTAAGTCAGAAGTTAAGATGTAAAGTCCTCTTAATCCTAAGTCTTTTCTAGATGTTTCAATTCTTTTTATTTTCAAAGTTTATTTTCAGCCCATGTGTGTTATGATACAGTTGTTAATTTAGACTCTTCAGATAAACTAAATCTTAAGTCCTGCAGACACTGCACAGTATAGAGGCCATTCCCATTGGTTAGATCTATTTATATATATTTATATTTACAAAAAATAGTAAAATGTAAAAGGATAAAAGTCCCTTTTAATCAATAATTTCTGAACTTTTAGAGTCCCTTGTTTATATTTTTATTACTTTTATAAAATTCTGTGCAGAAAAACTGGACTTTTGGTTTGACTCTGAGTCAATTATACACTTAAATTTAGGACTCAGCCTAATTGCAGCTTGAGTAAAATCAATTTAATGTCTACTTCAACATGTTGTTTTTTTATGGATGATCTGCAGATAAAACAGAGAGCGTGGAAAATACAGTATATGAAGATGTAAAGGTATGGGGCAAGATTTTTTTTCAACACCACTCTCCTAAATTTCTTAGACATGCACGCTCATAATTTTCCTTTTTCCTTAAATAGACTAACTTACACAAAAAGAGATGCAAAATAAAAACTCAACATTTACACCCTAACATTCGTGTTCCTGTCGACCATCACTATGAGAAGTTATCCTACCTGGGGGTTAACTGACTATTCATGACCTCTGAGCCCTTTAAACTAATGTCTGCATTAATCTGCTGTTCAGGTCCTGCTGCTCACTTTGTTTCTCATACATCCATGTCTGTTTTCAATCTGCTTTAATGTAATGAGGAAAAGTGGAGCAACACAATACTTCATAAACTATCCACATCACCAGCCCTGTGATAGAAACTTCTTTGGATGTGACATTATTATTTGCAATGCTTTTTACTTTGTTGGTGTAGCATTTAGGTTGCCATAAATCCTGCAGAGTCAAACTATGCTTTTATTTTGAATTATGCTACCTCTAGTTCATCAAAAGTTACAGAACTGACAGAAAACAGTCAAAAGAAATGTCAAAAAGTATAAATGTTCAAGTGACCAAAGAGGCACAAGCCCTGACAATGATTTTGGATTCTTAATAAATCTGAAAGTCATCTTTTAAAAGTGCCAAATCATCTCTCATTAGGCTACTACAGCTAGCTTGCTGGCAGTCTGCAACATTTCTCAGTTTTATGACATGAGATAACCAGCGTAAGTGCCAGTCTTACTTTCAGGATCATTTCAGCACAGTATCAGTTATTTTAACTTTTTACAAAGACCGTTACTGTCCTACTTTGGACCTGAATATTTTCAGGATGAACAACAGTTCACCTCTCTCTCTCTGCTGCAGCAGTATCCTCTTGTATCTGGTCCATTTTATTTGAATTAAGTTTTCCCCTGTCTTTTGTATTTACTTGCTTCATGCAACATTTTCATGCATTGTTAGAAGAGGTTGTGTTGAGCTTTGGTTTAATGTCTAATAAGGTTCGATGCATTCATTTGACCGGGTATTGTCTTTCAATGTAGCTGCTGTCTGTTGTGTTAGTTAATGTTTAGCCATCCTAAGCTAAAGTGATTTTATAATGACTGAAATATTTAATTCCTGCAGTCACATACAGGACAGATTAAAGACCATCAGCTAATATGTGAATGTAACTGAGTAAAAACATCATTAAAGCATCACCCTTCATTTGTAGACTGATTGATCTATCGTAATCATTGATCCAGAAGAACAAAGCTTTTGGAAAGTTGTGCTGTTTATGAGCTCTTATTAAATTAAGTGAGAACACTTCACATACTTTGAGACAAAAATGATCCAAATAATCTTTTCTGTTGTATACTTTTAAGGCCGGGAGTACAAACCAGACTCAAGAGCAGAGACCAACGAATGAAGACCCCCCAGCTGAGACTCCATCCACAATCTACCATTTGTTAGGGCAACCCACGAACCCTGAAGCACCCGCTGTGACAACAAGCAACCCAATACCAGAGAGCTTGTACGCCACAGTAGAAAAGCCAGCAAAGTCCAGCTGAGACCACCCAGCAAGAAAGGTGTCACATCCCTCAGATGGGATTTCCTCATACCTCTCTGATTTCTCAATATGGATGAGAGGAACATCACCTTCAGCTGATCCGATCAATATCCAGCTTGATCAACCAAACCCATGCCGAAGTGGTCACTGGAATTGACTCAGCTTAAAGCCTTTTAAACCAACCAAGGTTCACAGCAGCAATGCAAACCAACAGAAAATGAATTAATGAGTCCAACCAGAAATGACCACAACTGCCCCCAAAGCTTTGATGTAACTGCAGGGTATGTAAAGACCTACTTTCTATGTGCCACCAGGGGTTGAAAGATGATGCTAAAGGACTGAGCCTCTCCTGGATACGCTATCTACTGTGGATTTGCACCATATTCAGAGGGATGTCCTCATTTCCATGAACAGTGGCGTAGGTAGATGACTCACAAGTGCTGGTCGCTACCATGTCCACTGAATCACAGGGCCTAAATTGCTTGTTTATGCCGATTTGCCCTCTTTTACATTATGAGGGTCAGATCTTATATGGCAGTGCATGGAATACAGCTCCAGGTACAGTCTCTTGTATAAACACGGTTGGACAACAGCAACTCCTTACTTGGAGCAGACCTCCCAGCAGATGATCCAGATTGCAGCAGCTCCAGACCAAAACGGCATATATCACTTTGATGCTCATGCCTCTGGAACCCCACATCTGGCATTGAGCATTGACAGGCGTCTGGTGCTCCCATCACAACAGCAACCCAGGTCACCAGACAGACTTTTCTCCTCTGTTTCCCCCCTCAGAGACTCTTTTTGCCGTTACGAAAAGCTTGAGCTAGACTCTTCTTCACCAGCAGAAGTCTTCCACTGGCTTTTGTGAGTCACCTTGAATTAAATGATCTTAATGCTATGATAAAGGTGATAAGGTTTAAATTGACTGGAAGTTCAATAACAGCTTCCTCCATGTATGCTCTTTCTAATGTTGTTAAGTTGCAGCAATAACTGGATATGCGCTAACAGCTGGCACAAAAAACTTCCGTCCAAAACTTCCTCTTCTCTACACTTGTCGTCGTTTGCACGTTCAACCGTTTTAACTTCAATACAAGATATTCTGTTGTAATGAAATGTTTTAGATATCGTTCCCCTTATTATCAGGGCAGCAGAGGAAAAAGAGGAAATGTGAGGAGGAGAGGAAGGTGGGGTAGAGTTAAAGCTATGAGTTGAATGAGGAAATGCTGCTGTGAAGACTTGAGCTTCTGTGAAGAATGTGCTAAAGGGGCGGCTGTGGCTCAAAGGTAGAGCAGGAAGGTTGGGGGTTCAACCCCAGATCCTGCTGCCCACATGCTAGACAAGACACCTGACCCCACCTGCCCCCACCGCACAGTGGTTTAAACCGATGGGTGCCTTGTATAGCAGCCTCTGCTATCAGTGTGTGAATGTGACGTGTGATGTAAAAGCAGGTAAGTGGATAGAAAGGATTATAGAAAGATGTATTTATCATAATAATGATTTTTATGCTTGTTGCAGCACAGAAAGAACTGTTCATAAATATTTCTAAGATGTTTTTGATATTTGTATGTTTTTTTGTGTAGATACTGTTATTTTATAAGTTTATCTTGAAATTTAGCAACTTGTCATGGCAGGCAGGTATTTTGCAGACATCTGCTGGTATTGACTGGTACGCTCTGTATGCATGAAAGCAAAAATATTTCTGATGATTCAGTCATATCATTTTTTTGAACCTTATAACTTGGTTGTGCAGTTGACTTGTTGGCCTGCTTGTGATGAATAACTGTTTCAGCATTTCACTATATGACTAAAATCAAAAAAGCACATAGAGGGGGGCTGGCTCTATTAACTGGTTTGTGACTTCTCTTTCCGAACTGGGAACTAACACCAATTCACAAACCACAGACCAGTGTCTTTACTTACAAAGTTTTGGACCAAACAGACCAACATTACTTGTCTTTACAGAATCAGTTTAAGAGATTACAAACTCAACAGACCACTAAAGTATGCAGTTGTGTGTTGTATCCATAAACTGAACAAAAATGAATAAACTTTCGAACAATAGTGTAAAAATTGCACATTATTATACTCTCAAAACTCGCTCAGTTTCATGGTCTGCAGAAATCTGAAACCTGGTTACGTCGGCAGTTTCTTAATAAAGGGGCATAAATGACCAGTACATAATGTAAGTTTAATGTTTGAAAATGTTTTACTGTCAGCTGTATTTTAATGTAAAAGATTTTGTAATGTACATTTTGAAAAGCAAATAAAATTTATTTTTATACTGGTATTATTTGTGAATAAGTATGCATGTACGTAAGATATGCACGTGTGTGTATGTTCATATATACAGTGTATATATAAAACAATTTGTAGTATTAGAATCAAGGTTCCTTACACTCATATTTACTTCAAAATCATGTTTATGTGAAAGAAAACAACCTTTCAGCCTTAAATTTAAAGGTTAAAGTTACATCCAGAAATGAGGGAAGTCTTACAGAGTCAGAAAAGTTTAGTTAAAAAATATGTTGAAATTTACCAGCTTTGTAAGAAAATTTTGGAGTCCACCTGGTAAACCTGAGACCAGAAAACTTATTTCTGAACAAATGCGAATACCTGCTCACAGTGTAGCTGCAGCAAAAGACAGAAAAAACAAATGCGAAAAAGTGAGATAGCGTATGTGGAGAATTAGTAATTTTTTTTCTTCTTGAGCTTCACTATGATGTGGACACTGATGATTGCACACAGCATGATGAACAGACCGGAGGAGATCACTATTATCTTCAGCATGCACACAGAGATACCTGCAAAAACTGGAACTGAAACACACACACGAAAACAAACAGGGTGTTTGATTTAACAGAGTGATGCAGCAGGTGAAGACGGTGACATTTCAGGACAACTGAAGAGGGGACAGGGAATCAGCCTTGATGTAAAACCTGAACTGAACAGAAATTGTAAAGACTGACACGTCTGTGAGATTAACAAAACCAAACTAGACTACACACTGGAGAATAAACGTGTCTATAGAGCTATTTATAATGTTCGGTGACGCTCTTACCAAAACTGGTGGCTGAAGAAGCCATTTATAACACGACACGCTCACCGACAGAACCTCAGTTTGAATTTTAGTTTAAGAGTCAGAACAGGACTTTACATCTACCCAGACTTTGGAGTCAGATTCAAGTTGTAACTTGTGCTCATGTTGATGTAATCTCAGCTGGAAACCTTTAAACTTCATCCTATATCTGAAGTAATGTTCAAATTAGGCTAGTTAGTTAGTTGCATTCAAGTTCTAGTTAGTAGTAGTCATGAGATGACCGTTAATCTGCTTTCTACACAACCTTTTTTGCTAAACTCTAATGAAACCAGCTGCAGTGTTTGCGGACAACAATGATCAGACGGGCCTTTACGCCGATTATCATGCATCATAAAATTGAGACTGCGAACTGCTTACGAGGTCGCTGATCAGCCCTCTCAGAGATGATTCAGCATTTTGAAAACTGGTTTTGAAGATACTGACCTTGTTTTATTTTCAAGCTTTCCATAAATATTACTTTAATATCATTATTGTGATAATCATGAGGTGGAAATCTGATGTCATGACAGCAGGTACGGTGCATCATTTCAGCATTTTTGTTGGTAAAAATCAGGCAAAAGTTTTTTCTAAACATTACCTGTTATAGTATTTCATAGATATTTGCTGAGACTCAGAGTGGGGAGCTTGTGTCTCATTTAACTAAACGGCAAACATTGCATTAATGTTTTAAAGTCTTACCAGCATATACGGTGCAGAAATCTTCAATCCATTTGATGTCCTCTGTCTTGCTGACCTGGTTGCTATGGTAACAGATGATCGCACCATCCTCCAGGTAGACATGTAGAGGAGCAGCAGGTGTGGTAAACTCTGCTTCTGTCTCCTCTCTCTTCAGAGCAGGTTTGGTTGTCACATGTGAAAGTTGCTCTGATGAGAGAGTCCTGAGTGCTGCAGGTCACTGTGAGGTTGGAGGAGTCTGAGCTGCAGAAGTTCACGGTCAGACTCACCGGAGATACTGGACCTGTGAGAAACAAGGAGAGAGTTAACAGTTTAGAAATGAAGAGGATACTTTACAACAATATTTGAAATGTTCAGAGACTCACCCAGAACTGTGACGTTGTATTGAGCTACAACTGTGATGTTGTCAGAAACATGAGCTCTGTGGTTCCCACTGTCACTCTGTCTCAGATTCTTCAACAGCAGGGAGTAATTTTGAGCAAAAAAATCAGCCCGTCCTAAAAAGCTCTTGTAGATTGTTTTGCTTGCATCAGAAAATTTTGCAAGACTTTGAGTTTCATTTAAACTCCATGTTAACTCACGGCCCTTCTCAAGAGCAACAGTGTCCTCCAAATCCAGGAGGAAATCCTCTCCAGTCTGCACAAACACAGGAGTCCCTGCACATCGACAATGAATGACTTAAATTAACTGAAATAAAATCATTTCTTTTCCCTGCTGACAAAACAGTTGGATTGCTGTTCCTTCTTCTTGGGCATGTACATTCAATAAAATGAAAATGACTCCTACCTTGCACCTTTGCACAGAGCAGCAGCCCCAGAATCAAAAAGACGGACATCGTTGAGTCTCTGTTGTCCTCTCTGCTTCGATGTGAATGTCTCTGCTTCACTACAGGAACACACCTCAGAGAAAAAACCATGCTGGTGATGTGTTTTCCTGTCCAGCCCTGAAAGACAGTTGACAGACAAACCGTTTCTATTCTTGAAGATCAAGAATAGAAACAGCTACAGTTAAACATTTCTACAAGAGTAGAAATGTGCAGATGGTTCAGAAGGTATCCTCGCAGCCTCGTGAGGCAGAGGCCATCTCACCTTTACCCTCAGATCCTGTGGTAGAGCCTTCATCACCAGTCAGCGTTTCTGCTCTTTCTCCCCTCCAGCTGAGCGCTTCAGTGGATTGCAATGTGACCTCCCCTTCCGACCTTTCCAAGGAAGACTTAATCAGCAGTGGAGAAGGAGAGTGACTTGTTTCGTCATTGAGTTTGACACTCCTAGCTGCTGAGAGTGATTGTCTCTGAAGGTCTGGATTTCTGGAGTTCAGCCCACAACCCAGGTCAGTCAAGTCAGACCTGCAAGAGTGCCTCCTGTGCCCCTTGAAATTGGGATTTGCAACCCTGACATTGACGGTGACAAACCCTCACGATCAGGGAGAGCTTGTCTTGCCTGTGGCTGTATCGCAGCGGTCTGATGGAGTTCTTTTGGAGTCTAAAATCAGTGAGAAACATAACTGGAGGGGTTTCAAACTCCTCACACAGGGTCAGGAACCATCAGGAGAACCATCATACCTGTCCCCTGACTTCATCTCCACCCTTGTCTAGGCAGTACTTGGACTGTGAGAGTCCTGATTTGTAAGAAAACTGATGGTTGAGTTTGTTTGTCCCTCCTAGTGAGTGTTAAAATATGACCATGGCTGATGAAAAGACACAAACCTGCTATAAAGAGAGTTTTATTTTTATAACAGCTTGTTATTTTTTTTAAGATCAGACCAGACTTTTTAGGGCTCTGAGGAAATCAGCTCTGTCACAAGATTCATCCCACCTTCACACAATTGTATCAGAAAAAGAAAAAGAAAGAAAAAGTCAAACTGCTCAGAGTCTGTACTGTGAAAAAATTCAAATTTGCTTCTTGTACACCTTCTGTTACAGCCACTTCCTTTTTCCTCTAACTGTGTTTCACACCTCTTGCATTTCCGGCATGCAACATAAAAAACTTGTGGTGAGCTGTCACAGTTTCCACATCAGACTCAGTTCAGAGAAAAAGGAACAAGCGAACAAGCTTGTGTAAAAACTATCCACTCTGAATACCAGGAAACTGACCGAGAGTTAGTGGAGCCACACAAAGATGAACAAATATTCATTCATGCTGTGGAAGAAATAAGATATTTTCTCAGATTTTTGCAGAAAAAGGCACAGAGAGATAAGTGACATGTTGAATACACTCAAAAGAAAAAAAATCCAATATACAACTTTTAGTTAAAGACAATGTTATGATACTAGACTACAAAGGTGCTGAATTCATGGTTTTCACTCGTCCACCTCCTCCACCTGTCTCTGTGTTTTAGCACCATCTACTGTGCATCAGTGGAACAGTGTCAACTCAAGTCGCTTTCAGGCAATCAGTTTGAGGTATTTACAAGATTAATGTTGGAGGAGGGGTTTTGTTTCCTCCTCTTGGCCTTCTCTATGATGTGAACGCTGATGACGGCACACACCATGACGATCAGACCAGCAGAGATCACTATGATCTTCACTCTGCACAGAGAGAAGTTTGTGGAGACGACCTGGAGATCTGAAAAACAACAACAAAAAACATCACAAAAGAGGTGCAGCTGATCGACTTCAACATCAACACAAGAGTGGAGTCAGAAATAAATCACCTAGATCAGAGAGCATTTTTAGCTCTAGGTATTTCCAATTTGACCAGACTTTGAACTTTGTTTATTTGTGAGTTTTACCATAAAGTCTTACCTGGACACCTTTCACAAAAGTCTTCAATCTTTGTGATGTCTTTTTCCCTGCTGACCTGGTTGCTATACTCACAGATGACTGACTCTTTATCCAGGTAGACATGTAGAGAAGGAGCAGGAGCAGTAAAATTAACTCGGTCCCCTCTCTCTTCAGAGCAGGTTTGTTTGTCACATGTGAAAGTTGCTCTGATGAGAGAGTCCTGAGTGCTGCAGGTCACTGTGAGGTTGGAGGAGTCTGAGCAGCAGTTTACGGTCAGACTCACTGGAGACACTGGATCTGTGAGAAACAAGGAGTGAGTTAACAGCTTTTAAACAAGAAAAAAACTATAAATTACTATTCAAAATGTTCAGAGACTCACCCAGAACTGTGACCTTGTATTCAGCCACATCTTTGTTATCATCTCCAGTAACATGAGCTCTATAATCTCCACTGTCACTCTTTGTCACGCTCTTCAACAGCAGAGAGAAATTATGCACAAAGAATTCAGCCCTTCCAAGATAATCTTTGAAAACTGGTGTCCCATCTTTAGGAAACCTTGATATACCTTTAGACTGATCATTATTATTTAGTGTTACTCTCCATGTAATTTGATCTTCCTCTCCTAGAGTAACAGGTGTTTGGATGTCCAGGAGTAAATCCTCTCCTGTCTTCACAAACACAGGAGTCACTGCAAAAAGAACAGTTATTAAAACTAATACAATTTGATTTATTTACATTAAAATAAATTATCTGACTTCTAGTATGTTAACATTATTGCTAAACCCACAGAAATGAATCAGCTGACTGAAGGTGCAAAGACACTTGTAATTAACTTTCCATTAAATCAAGTTCAGATGATGCTGCTGGACTGTAGTCCTTTGTACGTTTGATCTTTACTTTTATTTTTAACTTGAACATAACCACGAAACATTTGATTTACGGCCTCAGAACACACTGTTAAGTTTCAGGTTTAAACATAAGTGAATATTTGTCTCGTACCTTCAGCCTTTATGCCGAGCAGCAGTCCCAGAACCAAAAAGATGGACATCATGAAGTCTCTGCTGTCCTGTCTGTCCTCAAAGCTGAACTGAGTGTCTGTTTTAATTTAATAATTCACCACAGGATGTGTTATTTCTGTCACAGCCACAGTGCAAGACGGTTTAGCCTGTAAGAGTCTAAAGCTTGTCTACTTGCTATTAAAACCACTTCCTTTTTTTCTTTATCTGCATGCTAATTCTTTTTCAGTACAACCAAAAATCTGTTTTTGCTTCACCAACTCTTCTCCTGACAACAAAGTGAACAAAAAGAAAATGGAGAAAAAGTCTTTCCAGAAATATCGTTCAGCACTGTTGAGTAGAAATGTCACAAAAGTTTGGACTGATTTCTTTATGTCTGTGTTTTTGTTGATGTAAATCTCTCTGGGTCTGTTGTCTGTGAAATCTGCTTCATAAGTTAAATGTGCTTACTCATGTACTCACAGTATGACTCAGCTTTTTTAATTTTGATTGTTGTTGTTTTCCTCTCTGTGTGTTTCACTTTGAACCTGCATTTATGGACAAAGCAGCAAACTTTGTTCACATACAATTCTGTTGGAACACGTTTTTAAGCCCTTGTGGTGATTCCCACTACAGAGTCATGTCTGTTTTTAATAGACTGCTGCCCAGGAGCCCAAACTTTAGGGCTATCCTGAACTAGTTTTTGTTTTTGTCTTTTTTTTTTTTTTAGGAAAAAAGTGCTTATTCAAACCTGAGAATCATCATTTGAAACGACTCAAAATGCACAAATGCACAGAGCCACACAAATGTTCATATAGATTAATTGTTCTAATGCAAAGTAAGTCAATATTTTGTAGGTGCTTCCGGCAAATGACATCTCCAGAGTTCACCTTTAATATTGTTATTCTGCAAAGTTAACTCATATAAAAGGGGCTGAAAAAGATCAATTTGAAAAGATAAGTTTAATGAATGAAAATCAATGAAAAACAGTATTGAATAAAAGAAAAAAAGCGACCAGGCTGTATATGAAAGCGCTGAATTCATGTCTAGGATTAGATCTTCACTTCCTCTTACTGAACTTCTCTATGATGTGAACGCTGATGACGGCACACACCATGATGATCAGACCAGCAGAGGTCACTATGATCTTCACTCTGCAGGGGGAGATGTTTGAGGAGACGTCCTGGAGATCTGAAAAACAACAACAAAACATCATAGAAGAGGTGCTGATGATCAACTTCAACATCAACACAAGAGTGGAGTCAGAAATAAATCACCTAGATCAGAGAACATTTTTAGTGTAAAGTATTTCCAATTTGACCAGACTTTGAACTTTGTTTATTTTTGAGTTTTACCATAGTGTCTTACCTGGACACTTTTCACAAAACTCTTCAATCTTTCTGATTTCCACTGTCCTGCTGACCTCGTTGCTATGCTTACAGATGACTGACTCTTTCTCCAGGTCGACAAACATAGAACTAGCAGGTGCAGTTACTTCTCCTCTGTCTCCTCTCTCTTCAGAGCAGGTTTGTTTGTCACATGTGAAAGTTGCTCTGATGAGAGAGTCCTGAGTGCTGCAGGTCACTGTGAGGTTGGAGGAGTCTGAGCTGCAGGAGTTCACGGTCAGACTCACTGGAGACACTGGATCTGTGAGAAACAAGGAGAGAGTTAACAGCTATGAAACAAGAAAAAAACTATATATTACTATTCAAAATGTTCAGAGACTCACCCAGAACTGTGACCTTGTATTCAGCTGCATCTTTGCTATCACCACCAAAAACATGAGCTCTATAATCTCCACTGTCACTCTTTGTCACGCTCTTCAACAGCAGAGAGAAATTATTAGCAAAGAATTCAGCCCTTCCTTGATAATCTTTGAAAACTGGTGTCCCATCTTTAGGATATCTTGATATACTTTTAGACCTATCATTATTATTTAGTGTTACTTTCCATGTTATTAGATCATCCTCTCCTAAAGTAACATGTGTTTGGATGTCCAGGAGTAAATCCTCTCCTGTCTTCACAAACACAGGAGTCACTGCAAAAAGAACAGTTACCAAAATCATTAATACAATTTGATTTATTTATATTAAAATAAATGATCTGTCTTCTAGTATGTGAACATTATTGCTAAACCCACAGAAATGAATCAGCTGACTGAAGGTGCAAAGACACTTGTAATTTACTTTCCATTAAATCAAGTTCAGATGATGCTGCTGGACTGTAATCCTGTGTAAGTTTGATCTTTACTTTTATTTTTAACTTGAACATAACCACAAAACATTTGATTTATGACCTCAGAAAACACTGTTAAGTTTCAGGTTTAAACATAAGTGAATATTTGTCTCGTACCTTCAGCCTTTACACAGAGCAGCAGTCCCAGTATCACAAAGATGGACATCATGAAGTCTCTGCTGTCCTGTCTGTCCTCACAGCTAAAGTGAGTGTCTGTTTTACTTTAATAACTCACCACAGGATGTGTTATTTCTGTCACAGCCACAGTGCAACACGGTTTCGCCTGTGAGAGTCTAAAGCTTTTCTACCTGCTATTAAAACCACTTCCTTTTTTTCTTTGTCTGCATGTTAATCATTGAGTAAAACCTTAAATCTGTTTTAGCTTCACCAACTCGTCTCCTGACAACAAAGTAAACAAAAATAAAAAGGAGAAAAAAGTCTTTCCAGAGAAATTGTTCAGCACTGTTGAGTAGAAACGTCACAAAAGTTGGTTTGGACTGATTTCTTCATGTCTGTGTTTTTGTTGATGTAAATCTCTCTGGGTCTGTTGTCTGTGAAATCTGCTTCATAAGTTAAATGTGCTTACTCATGTACTCACAGAATGACTCAGAATTTTAGTTTTAATTGTTGTTGTTTTCCTCTTTGTGTGTTTCACTTTGAACCTGCATTTATGGACAAAGCAGCAAACTTTGTTCACATACAGTTCTGTTGGAAGAAGTTTTTAAGCCCTTGTGGTGATTCCCACTACAGAGTCATGTCTGTTTTTAATAGACTGCTGCCCAGGAGCCAAAAGATCAGGGCCATCCTGAACTGTTTTTTTTTGGATGATGGACAGTTTCACTGAAACTATAGAACATTTATTAAATGTTTTACTGGCGTCGGATTTTAAACAAGGAAATAAAAAAAGAAATGAAGCAACAACATGAATAGAAGCTGCTTTAATTAGTTTCCTCATAGACCAAAAAGTGCTCATTTAAACTTGAGAATCATCATTTAAAACATATAAAAAATGCACAAATGCACAGAGTCACACAAATGTTCTTATAGATTTATTGTGCTATCAAAGAAAGGCGATATTTTTTAGGTATTTCCAGCAAATAACATCTCCAGAGTTCACTTTTAACATTGTTTTTCTGCAAAGTTAACTCATGTAAAAGGGGCTAAAAAAGGTCAATTTGAAATGATAAGATAAATAAATGAAAATCAATGAAAAACAGTATTGAATAAAAGAAAAAAAGCAACCCAACTGTATATGAAAGTGCTGAATTCATGTCTAGCATTAGAGCTTCACTTCCTCTTCCTGAACTTCTCTATGATGTGAACACTGATGACAGCACACACCATGATGATCAGACCAGCAGAGGTCACTATGATCTTCACTCTGCAAGGAGAGATGTTTGCAGAAACGTCCTGGAGATCTGAAAAACAACAACAAAACATCATAGAAGAGGTGCAGCTGATCAACTTCAACATCAACACAAGAGTGGAATCAGAAATAAATCACCTAGATCAGAGAGCATTTTTAGCTCTAGGTATTCCCCATTTGACCAGTTTTGAACTTTGTTTTTCTGCAAGTTTTACCATAAAATCTTACCTGAGCTCTTTTCACAGAGGTCATCAATCTTTCTGATGACTTTTTCACAGCTGACCTCGTTGCTATGCTTACAGATGATCGCATCATCCTCCAGATAGACTCTGAGAGACGCATCAGGTGTGGCAAACTCTGCTCCTTCTCCTCTCCCTTCAGAGCAGGTTTGGTTGTCACATGTGAAAGTTGCTCTGATGAGAGAGTCCTCGGTGCCGCAGGTTACTTTGAGTTTGGAGGAGTCTGAGCTGTTGGAGTTCACGGTCAGACTCACTGGAGATACTGGATCTGTAGGAAACAAGGAGAGCTTCAACAACAGTTTAGAAATGAGGAGGTGTTTTATTTTTATGTTTGAAATATTCAGAGACTCACCCAGAACTGTGACCTTGTATTCAGCCACCTCTTTGTTACCATAACCATAAACACTCGCACTGTAATCTCCGTTGTCTCTCTTTGTCACTTTCTTTAACAGCAGAGAGAAATTATGTGCAAAAAGTTCAGCCCTTCCTGAATAACTGTCGTCAACTCGTAGTCTCGTATTCAATAACCATGCAATCTCTCTATAGACATTTAAACTCCATGTTATGCGATCATTCTTTGTACGAGTAAAAGGTGTTTGGACGTCCAGGAGCAAATCCTCTCCTGTCTGCACAAACACAGGAGTCCCTGAAGAAAAGAACAGATATTAAAATCATTAATATGATACGATCAATAAAAAGCTGAGTCTGTATGTTGACGCTATTGCTAAACTTATAAAAACGAATCAGCTGACTGAAGGTGCAAAGACACTGTAATTCACTCCACATGAAATCAAGTTCAGATGATGCTGCTGGACTTCAGTCCTGAGTACGTTTGCTCTATACTTTTATTTTTAACTTGAATATAAACAATAGAAATTTAATTTATGACCTTTATAAAACACTGTTAGGTTTCAGTTTAAAGTTAAGAGAATATTTGTCTCGTACCTTCAGCCTTTACGCAGAGCAGCAGTCCCAGAATCACAAAGACGGCCATCATGGAGTGTATGCAGTCTTGACGGCTGAACTGAGCGTCTGCTCCACTTTAAGAACTCACTACAGGATGTGTTACTGCTATCAAACCGGCAAAGATTATCAGGGAGATTGAAAACACTGCAAATAAAACTGCTTCATTTAATTCTTATATCTGTATTTACAACTCTGCAGTTGTGCAACACGAAATTAACAGTTTCCTCTAATAAAAAAAAAAAGACCTCCTTTACACCTCTTATGTCATGAAATCCTCATTATCTATTTTCTGTTGAAAAATGGTCATCTTGATTAAACATGTTTTTCATATGAAAATGACTCTGTGCTGGATCCGATCTAGATAAAGGCCCAGAGCTTAGGTCTGAGATCAGCTGACCAATCATGCGACCTGTGCTGTGCCCCACAGGGTGTGTCCTCTGCTCTCTACCTGACCTCTGTTAAAGGTGCATTGTGCAGAATTTTGCAGCATTTCCCCAAAGAACCTGAATAAATAATGCAGAGGTTTGTTTGGATAAGGTTGTATTGAATTAAATATATTTAATATATGTTATAAGTGGGGATTTTGGTCTGGAAATTCTGGTGGGGCCATGCAGGAAAATCACATACTGCAATCCAGAAATACCAGATATTACTCTCATACCCTGTAAGAGAGAGTGGACCACAGCACCTTTGACGACAAAACTGCAGCTGAGTAAGACCATCACACAAACAATGTCAACCTGGCGACATGTATTATCATACCAATAGCGCCACCAAATGGCAGCGTTCAAGACCTCACAATGTCAAATACTTGAGATCAAAACAACGTGACAATAATACAAACACAACCTAATACACAACAATCAATATACAAAGCCACTAAACACAATATACCACAGCCAAACAGCCATTTTAGCACCAAAGACAGGTGAACAGCACCCTTGGGGAGCCCATGTAAGATTGTGTCAACCAAACACATTAAGCATTACATGAATTTGACTTTTATTCAAACAATATGTAAACTATATTATAAAGTCGACGTATAGTAATAGACTCACCGATGTGGATCACTTTTTGAAGAGGAATGACGCTCTGCTGTTCTTCATGTGCACAAACTTCTTTGTGACCTTTCTGTTAAATTCCAACAGTCCACGGATGAGTTCACTTTGCCATGTTGCGTTACCACGGTAGCCGAGCTAGCGAGACCTGTGCAGTTCCCACACTTTCTTCTAATCAGCCAATAAGAAGTGCTCCAGGGCCCTGAACATCAGGCTCCACTGCCGTAACAGTGCACTACACACGGGCAACTGTATCTTGACTGTACTCCACCGAGCGGAAACAGAGGCACAATGAACTATTCGCACACAACAGCGCACTACTGAAAGTAGAGAAATTGCATTGATTGGATGAAAACTGCAGACATCTCAGTGTGGACAAAGTTGATTTTTATATTATTTATGCTCAACGACATTTTTGACACAGGAAAACTGAAAAAATAAAATTAAAAAAAGGTTAGAATCCTCCCCTGCACAGCAGCACCCTCTGATAGGGCCGTGCCCCGATGGCCCCTAAATATGCAAAGATGCCATTGTATATTATACCACAGAAGCAGCATGTTGCACAGCCATTCTTTCTACTGTAGCTCACACATGACAAACTAGCAGTAACCAAAGGTGTAAAGACAATCAGTGGTAGGACAGAGAGAGATCAGTTGTTGTTTGTGCACAAACAAATAAAGTTTTTAATCTCAAATATTTGACAAATATCACAGGAACATTAATCCAAGTTTTAGAAAAAAACAAACACAAGGACAAAAAACAAGATCAGGACAAGAATCAGGTTTATATCAGTGTTTTCATTCATAGATTGATGACAAATTTATGCCTGAAGATTGACACTGAAGTTTTGAGTTTTCTGCTGGACGTGTAAAAGACGGTTTATTAATTCCAAGTTACTTTAGTTTACAGAGGAATGAGAAATAAGTGAGAAGTCTGATGTCCAATCAGAATTCTGAGATGAAAATTCAGATTTAAAAACCTCCATTTCTTTTTTAAGAGGTCTTTTTCCTCTTTTGGTTCATATTACATTCTGCTCATATAAATAAAAAATATTATTGTCGTATCACATGAGAAGAAACCCTCAGACACACGAAATAAATCACACAAAGCGTCACTGATAAAAATGCAGTTTGTTTATTTCAAGCATTACAAATGTGCAGCACTCATATCCTGACAAAGAACAGTTTTTTTTCTTTACTTGCAATAATAGGTGAAACAGCATGAAATCTGCATCAGAGGCGAGTACTGTACTCGTCCTGCAGACGCACACTTCCACAACCAAATCCAGATCTTGTTAAAGAACATTTACTAATCACACAGCTGCTAATTTAGATGAAGCTTGTTACAATCAATCAGTGTTTGTCTGATCTACCTGAAATATCAGAAGTCTGCCTCTACTCTGGGTACTGTTTCGATAAATTAGTTCAGTTATATGGAATGTAACATCTGAATATTTCAGAAATATAGCTACACTGAGGAAATATGTAAGGTCCAATAATATGTGTATGTTGTTTGTATTGTTCTAGTTTTGTTGTTTTGTTTTTGTCTTGTTGGCTGTTGTGAGTTGTTGTTGTTATCGACGTTTTCTTTGTGTTGGTGGCGTGATGTTTTCTGTGGCTGTGCACTACAGTGGAGAGGTAATTGTAAATGTAGACTCCAGGAAGAAAAGCAATGGCCTAAGCAAAAGCTAATGGAGATCTAAATAAATGAAAAAAAAAAAAAAGAAGTGTCATAAAAGCTGCAGATCCCTGTCCTCAGGGTGCATTCAGCTTAGCAGTTTGAGCTATTTACAGGATCTTAGGTAGAAAATAAGACGTTTATTTCCTGCTCTTGACTTTCACCACGATGTGAATGCTGATAATGACACACACCATGATGATCAGACCAGCAGAGACAATAATCTTCACTGTGCACAGAGAGGTGCTAACAGGAACGTCTTTGATAAAACCTGAAAAACAACGATAAGAAATAAAGGGTTATGCACTAAGAGTGGGGTCAGAAAAATCCCTAAAATGTTCAGACTTACCCAGAACTGTGACGTTGTATTCAGCTGCATTTGCGGCATCATCACTGAAAACACGAGCTCTGTAACGTCCACTGTCCCTCTGTGTCACGTTCTTCAACAGCAGAGAGAAATTCATCCCAAAAAATTCAACCCTTCCTGAATAACTGCTGAAAATGACAGGCCCCATTTCAGAAAATCTAGCGATGTATTTTGTGTTATTTACTCTCCATAATATTTGATCTTTCCCTTTTAGAGTCACATTTGTTTGGACGTCCAGGAGTAGATCCTCTCCTGTTTGCACCAACACCGGAGTCACTGCAAAACAAGAGCAGAGACACACTTGAAACTCCTCATGAAGTCAACAAACGCTAGATCTACACAGGATTTGATCTACACATAATTTTATTTTTAGCTCAAACACAACCTTGAAAACTTTCTGACCTTATATCCTATGACCCTTTATCTTTACTACACTGTATTTTGCTAAATGCCTATCATTATTATTATTATAAATAGTTATCGAATAATAGGTTAAAGTGCGACCGTCTAAATTCCGTCTAAAAATATACAGAATCTAGACGGTTGAAATTAGGTCTATAAAAAAAATAGATGTCTAATAGCCGTCTATTGCTCAGTGGGAAGATACTGTGCTGTTCTATCCTTTTTTCAACTGGTGAAATTTGGCATCAGAAGTAATGCAGGAATGTCAAGGCGATAACACCTTTCTTGCATTTTAACTGTTTAAAGTCTCAAACATGCATAAAGACTCCAGACACGTTTACTGCCATAAAATGAGACTACTGTGATTGCCTCTCTGAGATACGACAGATATATGTGAATATTCGCCTCTTACCTTTAGCCTCTACGCAAAGCAGCAGTCCCAGAACCACGAAGACGGACATCATGAAAGCTGTGCTGTCCTGATGGCTGAGCTGAGCGTATGTTTCATGGTAAAAACTCACCACAGGATGCCAAACCCACAAAGATTATCAGAGGAACTTAGGGCGTGAATTTCCTTCAATCATGAGCAGCTTCTTTACAGCTGTATCTTTAAGTCAGGTTCAAGTTCCTGAAGTGGATTTTCAAGATACTGCTGATGGTTAAGTGAGGTCAGTGTCTGTTCTGTGTTAACTCTTGTGATCGGAGCGTTAAGTTAGTTTGTGGATGATTTGAATGTGAAAATTAGTAAAGAAATGAAAAACAAGAGAAACTATAATCTGGTGCATCAAAACTAAAAGGCTTCTTTAAAATCTTACATTTAAATCCACTAAAACCAGATCCTTTTACTCGTTGTCTGCGAGTTAAATCCTTTGAATGCATGCAACATGAGGTCAAGTGTGGCTGTTCCCTTTACAGAGTCATCATTAGCACTCTGCATCAGCCTGCTCAAGTTTGCACCTTTCTGCTCAGACGACATCCAGGCAGCGCAATCAGCACAGCGCCTCTTTAACACAGAAAATGAGAGGCTGCAGGTCCTCCAAAATACTGAATTTGTGATAAATTTTTACCCTTTCTGTGAGAATATATTTCAATAAAAAACTATCAGTGGAGAGTCCCAATCCTTTCGCAAGTTTGTGAGTCAGTTTGTGTGCAGTTTCCACCACCCACCCAGCGCAGAGAGATGAAGAAAAAAGGTTGGTAGGGTTTTTGTCATGAGGGGGGAAAGGGGACTTCCAAAGACACAAATGTTTTCTGTACATACAAAAAACATGCAGTTAATAACCCTAAAATACTACTTTTTTAAAAACCTCGCCCAAAATTTCTATGATGGTTTCATTGTCGAAAGAAGAGCAAAGGAAGCTGAGGTTCAGATTAGTCCTACGCCCGGGTTTGTAGGCCTTTTTGAGACAGCATCAAACAGGAAACTTTTTTTTTGGTAGGTAAAGCGCTGCTGTGACATTAAAAATAACCTCAGACTGAACCTGCTCCGTCTATTCCCACAACAGTTTCAAGAGCACACAGTCAATTCACAACCCCGGCATGGTTTGGCTAGAGGCAGCAGCTGCTCTTTGTGCAAGGAGCAGCTGCAAAATGAGCCTCGGCTGGCTACTGGTGTGCACAAAAGTAGACGGGCTCATTGGACTCCCTACAGGGGACAGCACACAGGAGCTGCAGTGATGAAGCAGGTTTAACTTCTTCTTTCCCAGTGAATCCCTTTGAATCCAGGTCTTACTAGGTTCCTGATTTGATTATTTTTACGCCACTTTATTCTTTACAATTTACACAATGAAAAAAGTTTGTAAAAATCACAATAGCCTAAATCTGCTCATCGCACAATGATGCAGGAGAATGCTCAGTATTGATTTTGTTGGCTCAAGGTTCTATCCTAGGACCACTTTTGTTTACCCCATACCTGCTTCCACTTGGCCACTTACTGAGGGTGGTTTTTACTGTTATGCAGATGACATAAGGATTCAAAGGAGTCTAATTTGTCTTTCTAGTCAGGAGAAAAGAACGAAACTAGAACTGAGGACCTGTTACCAGCCATAAAGACAACAATATTTGCAGCACGCCTTAACCTAAATAAAAATAAAAGTTAGTGGCGAACCGTGAGCTCCACAGCTGGGCCCTCACCTCAGCCATCACCACAATAAAACTCTCCGCCAGAAGAAACCAACAGGACATGAACTCCAAGATAACTGGAAGTAAATTAGGCTACATAGTTGAAATCAAATAAACACAATAAAAAGCTAAAATCTGATAATATAAAATTAGGTCACACAGAATGACATATCTGAGAATATCACCCAGTGACTCTGTTGAAATTACAGCCTATAATTTTACCATATAAAACAAATTAAAGTCTTAATTTACATTTATAAGTTCCACAACAACACCTTCTTAATTCTCTACTGAGTAGGAAGCACAAAGGAGGGCAAGAGGGAAATTAGACATTGAATTAGAGGCAATTTGCGCTGGACTTTTTACAAGCAACATCCGCAATGAAGACAAATAACTAAATAACTGAATAATCCTTTGGTCCGCAATATTATCCCATGTGAATAATTATTAAGCTGGTTATAACAGGCCTACCTTACCAGATGAAAACTTTGTCCATTCGTCGTGCCCGTCTTAGTTAATGAAGCGGACGATGGCAGCTGATAATTCCACCTTGAAATCCACTTTTTAAACCTTTTCTTGTAAGTCTAATTCTCGAGTTGGTCTTCCGTTTTTCATTATTTGCGGGTTTTCCGTGAAGGGCCGACTTGAAAAAGACGATGCTAAACTAGCCAAACCGTCGCTCTCGTTCGCGGCAATTTGAATCTTCCGCTCTAACGGCCGTGATAAGATGACGTTGGTCAGACTTCAGGAAGGCTCGAGGGTCTCTTTTTTGTCCCGCCCACGTAAAATCCAATCCCGATTGGGATTCACTCTCCAACCCTAAATACGTAGCTTTGCCTTTGCCTTTGCCCTTACGCACGCTGTTAGCCAATGGAGACCGACGTCCGCACATGGCGGCCATCTTGCTATAGGCAGCTCGTCCACTTACAACATTACAGTCTACGGTGCATGTATCAGTTAAATAACCATAGATTGCTCAATTTGAAACCGATTTTCGAACGGTTTGGTTTGTAAAAATCTCAGAGTTTTAGTAATGTTGCTGCATACTCAAAAATAATTTAACCATGGCATTTCATAAATAAATGTTTATCAAGTAGGTAGAGCAATAGCTATAGGCCTACACACACAGCAGATATTTTAAATCATTTAACATTTAATCATTCCACGTATGTTATATTAGTAATATTTCTATTATAGGGATAACTGTAATAACATATGACAATAACATATGTATTTATAAGGCTGTCACTTAGATGAAAAATATAGGCTGTCATACAAGAAATTAAAATCTCGATTGTGGTCTCAGCCTTGACAACTCACGCAAAGCAGCTCAAAGTTAATCCTCTGGGATTAATAAAGTATCTATCTATCTATCTATCTATCTATCTATCTATCTATCTATCTATCTATCTATCTAAATAGCCGTGAAACAACTGTGCTGCACAATTAAGCCCTTTTTCCTCAAAAAAAACTGCCATTTCAGTTGTCCAAGCATTCCGACTCAGAAAACAGAACCATTTATAAATCTGTCAAGATTTCAACAAGTTGAGAATATTTTTGATCATGCAGATTACTCAACTTCTGTCAGGTACCATAGAGCATACCAGAATGGTAAACCGGAGTAAGATGGCTGCCGTGTAGGGATGCCAGTGACTCAGTTTCTAGCTGTCTAGCCTTTCTTATAGATAAATATGTTTATAGAAATGAACAATTGTCTGCCAGGATTTCTGACTGTAGGCTTAGCTTCAAAACATACATGAGAAAAAAAAATATTAATTATAGTGTATTAGATAAAATGAGATGAAAATTGTAGGCCCTGAAGGTTCCCCTCTGATAACAATACTATTTACAATTATGTTCATCTAAACACTGGAGTACAAAACAGCAGAGGTGGATGCAAACAGGCTTATAACACCTGCCCATAGAAAGTCTACAGCCTTACAACCACAGTGAGACTCTAGGATCCTCCAATCAGACATCAGTGTGAGAAATTTCAGCTCTATATGATATGACCACTTCCTCTCTTAATCACTCAAGTATTATGGCTCTGAAGCTGCTTCTTCTCTCTTTGTCTCTGCTGCATTTGAGCCAAACACAAAGTAAGTTTATTTATCTTGTTTCCCTTTTTAGTAAGTTGTTCTGCTGTATTTTGAAATGATGAAATACTGAGAAAATATTGAATGCCTCAAGAGGACTTTTTACCAAGACAGTCTGAATATCAAACTGAACTTTACAAAAAATTAGGATTATAAGTATATTAGTCACAGCCTGCTAAAGAATTTGTGTTTTAAATTCACTTAAAAACACTGCGATGCAGTCAAACGCAGAAAATGCAACTGCTATCAGGGTCTTAAATGGTCATTTTTTGGGGTAAGGGTACAGAAACAAGAAGGATCCGCCTCGTGTCGCTCTTGGTCCTCACCACCATCTTTTGTTTTGAATGAAAACCCATTTTCAACCTTCTTCAATGATACAAATCTTATTTCTTTGTTTTGTATTCGAGTTTTATTTTCTGTGTATTCTCCCTTGTGTTCCCTGTGTGTCATTATTACTGGTGATTTCTGTGTCATGTTTCCAGTAACTATTATTTTCTGTGTAGTCTTATTTTACTTCCTTGGTTTTCCCTCCTTTTTCAATAACTCGTTAGTCTCACCTGTTGCCCGTTTCTCAGTGTGTATATAATCTGTCTCTTTCGCTCTTTCTGTGTTGTTTTTAATTTAGCTTTGTCATTTCCGCAAAGCGACAGAAGCCGATCTCATGAATAATGTTTGATCGCATTGACAGGCAGAGCCCTCTGAGGTAGGGGGAAGTATTTAGGGCCACAGAGAGTGCGTTTTCATGAAACAAAGGTCATGAACTTCACTAAAGAAATATAGCAAGCTTTTTTACTTTCAGTTGAGGCTGTGACCTTGACCACAAAAACATGACAAGCAACTGTTTCTCATGAGAATTTGTCTCAGCAGGATGTGGCAACCGATCTGTCTGTCTGTCTGTCACCTTGTTTCATTGACTCTCTTCCTTAATGTGGGTTTATTCTTCTGCTCAGTGCGACACATTTTTCTTTTTGCATTTCACAGGTACAAGAAAGGATTGCATTTACTTCAGAAGAGCAATAATCCATTTTTTTTTTCTGAATGGACATGATAATTCTCTCAGAATTTTGAGACATTTCGTGGTCGTCATCAATATGCGACAAACGTCACCATTGTACGAGACCACAAACACCCGGAAAGCAATTTGTGCTTTGTGCGCATGCGGGTCACTTCACGGACGCATTCCATTCACATTAGATGCAGCATTCGTTGTTGTAATGGGAACGACCACACAAAAAGATCAGATTTAACAAAAAATATGAATTATGCATCATAACCTGCAGTATAACCATAGTCTTGTATGACAGAAATTCTGCCAAAAAAAGGTCACAAACGCCCTCAGATTTTCCCTAAATTCAATCTTTCATTCTCTGTATGTATTTTCTCTGTTACTCGAGCCCGCCACACAGTCTTGAGGCGACTCCTGTATCCATTTCTGGTATCGCCACAATTAATTACAGGTTATTTTAATGTGTTTTTAAGATGATAACAGGCTCAGGAAATCATAATGGATCCATTGACATTCTGGAAATGCACTAATTATCGCCACAAAGTTGACTGTCTTACCACGAAATATAAGGATTATATATGAGATTGTACCCATGATGCTGAGACATTTATGAACATGATAAACCTATAAATGAAACATACGTCTTAAATATAATCAGAGCTAATATCTGGCTGACATTATTGAATGCTAAATTGCTGATGTTAGCTTAAACCATTCTTAAACTGGTCTTAGGTAGTCAGTTCTCCCCCCACTCCAAGTCAGGTGATAATTTAAGGTTACACAATCCCTTTCACAAACACATATGGGATCGTGGTAATATAAAGACAGGATTGCAGTTGTTCTAACACAGAGATAATTTTGTTTTCATCTTTTCCAGCTGACAGAAAGAGAACTGATGTGTTTGTGCAGACGGGCAAGGACATACGACTGGATGTCGAGGCACGTGAACTATTCGAAACTGAATATTTCGCATGGAATGTCAACAGATATACACCTATTGCAAATTTATATTATAACGGTGGTTGGGAGATAGTCACTAAATATAAAGAAAGAGCTGAATTTTTCCCTCTGAATCACTCTTTATTGTTGAAGAATGTGACAAAGAGCAACACAGGGGATTACATGGCAGAAATTCGAGGGAACAGTAACAAAGTGTTACTTGAATATAGGGTCACAGTTCTGGGTAAGTTCCTGAACACTGTTAACACTGACACAGAGGAGATCATGTTTCAAAACTCTTGTTTGCACTTACTTTCCTACTCTCACAGATCCAGTATCTCCAGTGAGTCTGACTGTGAACTGCAGCTCAGACTCCTCCAACCTCACAGTGACCTGCAGCATTCAGGACTCTCTTATCAGAGCAACTTTCACATGTGACAACCAAACCTGTTCTGAAGAGAGAGGAGACAGAGGAGAGTTTGCCACACCTGGGACCTCTCTCAGAGTCTATCTCGGAAATGGCTCAGTCATCTGTAACCATAGCAACGAGGTCAGCTGGGAAAAAGACATCAAGAAGATTGAAGACTTTTGTGAAAGGGGTGGAGGTAAGACTCAGAGACTAAACAATCTGACAGGAATTCACACTGTAGTTTGAAGCCTCAGTGAAAATGATATGTAGTTTGCTGTTCATGTGTTCAGTGTGTTTTGGACGTTGGTTAGCAAAGAGGTGCCCAGGTGGCGAAAACAACGTGCAGGTTAAGCTCAGCTGGTGTTGTCTTTGCATTTTTACAACTCAGTTTTGTTTGAGATGATGGAAAAGAGATCATCCAGAGAAAGGTGGTAACTGTGATCACCATCATTAATCACCTAGAATGACATTACAATAAGACTGTTGGACTCGAAAAGCAAAAGCTAACAAACCTTTTCTAATTTTTAAATTTGGCTTTTTTTATTTTTAACAGAATCTAAACCTTCTACAGGCAGCATTACCATCCCTGTGATTGTTGTCACCATCCTTGTTGTTGTTCTGCCCACTGGAGCATTACTGTGCTATCTTAAATGGAGAAAAGAAAGGTAAGTCAGAAGTTAAACTGTAAAGTCCTCTCAATTTAAGTCTTTTTTTTAGATGTTTCAATTCTTTTTATTTTCAAAGTTTATTTTCAGTCCATGTGTGTTATGATGTAATTATGTTACTTTAGACTCTTCAGATAAACTAAATCTGAAGTCCTGCAGACACTGCACAGTATAGAGGCCATTCCCATTGGTTAGATCTATTTATATTTATCTCTATTTACAAAAAAGTTACATATAAAAGAATAAAAGTCCTTTTTAATCAATATTTCATGAACTTTTAGAGTCTCTTATTTATATTTTTATTACTATTATAAAATTGTGTGCAGAAAAACTGGACTTTTGGTTTGACTTTAAGTCAATTATACACTTAAATTTAGGACTTAGTCTGATTGCAGCAGGAGTAAAATCAATTTAATGTCTACTTCAACATGTTGTTTTTTATGGATGATCTGCAGATAAAACAGAGAGCACAAAAAAAACAGATAATAAAGAAGAAGAGGAGAAGGTATGGGGATACATTTTTTAACACCTCTTTCCCAAATTACTTAGACAAGCACTAACTCACGTTAAAAACTCCTGCAGCTCTGACAAACCTGCTCTGATGTGAAAGGAGAAGACGGAGAGTTCACCACACCTGCTACTTCACCCAGCATCCACCTAGAAAGGCTCAGTCATCTGTAACCGTAGCAACCATGTCAGCAGGACAGAGGACATCAAAAAGATTGAAGATCTTTGTGCAAAGGATTCTGGTCAGGCTTAACAGTCAGACAGTGGAGTAGTGTGGGTTGTAAACTGCTGGGATTTTATTACATTAACAAAAAAAATTTATCAGAATTGGAAACTGGAGGAAAAAATCAGCAGGTCCAGTTGTGAATCATGAGCGTAAAAATGAAAGGAAAAATACTTGATATCTTTAGTTGGTTGGATTCATCATGCTGTCCTCGACTTCCACTACATTTCTTTGTTTTTTAGCTCCATCTATTGTGTATAGGTGGAACTGCATAAATTCAGAGTCCAGGTGTCCAAGTGTTTCCAGGGGTGAAAGTTTCCACAGAGTACATTCACCTTACATCCATCCATCTGTTTTCTTCAAACCTATCAGCATCAGGTCTTGGTTAGAAGTCTGAGCAAGTCCACACACCTCACTCAAGTAACATTTTCCAGCTCCTCTTCAGTCTGAGATATTTACAAGCTTGTGCCAAAGAGCTGGATGTTTATTTCCTCTTCTTGACCTTCACTATGATGTGAACGCTGATGATGGCACACAGCAGGATGGCCAGACCGGAACAGATCACAATCATCTTCTGCTTGCACTCAAAGATATCAGCGAAACTCCTCCTTGCATCTGAAAAACAACAAAGCAGATTTTGATCACAAACCAGTGAAACTGATGGGTTCAGATAAGGTAAAACTCTTCACGTGCCACACAATTTACAGAAAGAGCATTTTTAAAGGATGCCTGGTAACATTTCAGAGTAAGTTGTAAGTAGCTCTTTTACACTTGACCCTTAACTCTAGAACACTATCGCTAAAATTAGTAACACCATCACTATATCACTACACTATACTATACCCGAAATAATATACCCAAGAAAAAGTACTTGTCATCAAAATATATCAAAATAGGAGAATACATGACAAATTAAAGTAGTTTTCTTTTATTTTTAACTGTGCAATGTCCAAAGGCAGGGGAAAAAGTGCCATGAGGGGACCAATAAATAATTAAATCATATATACAGAAACTGTAAACTTATTTTCTTTTCCACCTATTCCTGAGACATGTGAGTCTTCCCCGGTGAAGACTCAGGGTCCTCGGCACAATAACAGCAGGATAGAGAACCAAAATATGGCAGATTTGGAGTGAGTCAAAATGACTCAAATATTTCTTATCACCATTTGAATTCCCTTGGAAATCAGTACTTTGTGATAGTTTTTTCATAACCACTGCGCTAAATAAAGATAGCAAATTCCAGGACCGCTCTTCCTGACCTTATTCACCTACATGCAGCTATCAAATCCACCCAAACCTACTTTACCCTCTATCACTATTGCCGGGTGGAAATCATCCTGTGAACACGTCCCTGTAGGGAAAAAAGTAGGTTTTGGATCAGGGAAACAAATATGCCTTCAAAGATGTCAAAGGCAATGCTGAAGCTAACCAGAGACCCATGATACTGAGAAAAATGCAACATAATATTAATCACGTAAACATGTTTGGTCGGGTGGAAATCAACCAGTGATAGTGTTCTAAGGTTAAGAAATTGTGGGGCACCTCAGGGGTCATTATTGAGACTAATTTAATTCTTCATTTTTATGCTGTTGCTTAGCTACATAATAGAGACACAACATTTTATTTTCATGCTACGCTCATGACACACAGCTTTATCTGCATAATCAAGCAACACCCCAGATCTCTAAATCCTGACTAACTGTAAGGTATTGAAATACTGATATTGAAAACTAGGTGGCAGCAAACTTCTTAAAATTAAAAGTAGACACCGTACCACCATGTAAACAACCTCAGATCCTCAGGCAGAAACCTCTTAAATTTTCACGCCTCAAACTTGAAAACTAAAGAGTAACCTCAGACAAGTCACGTCAATGTCTTTTTTTTTTTTAAATAACTCTAAAACATATTTTTGTAAAAAAGGCTTTTTGTACATTTTTGCATTCTATTCATGGTGCTTTTTTGTTTCATGATACACTGTTTTATTTTTGATTTCTCATATTTTTTTTATCCTGTTTATTGTTTTGTACTTCCTCTTATATTTCATTCAGCTTTTGTTTTAGGTTTTATCATCTTTTTATCAGCATGTCTTACTGTTTTTTTTCCCATACGATGAGCTTTATTTCTAAAACACTTTGTAACATCTGCTTTGATAATTGCATTATAAATAAACATCAATATTGTTGTTATTATTATAGTTATTGTTGTTGTTGTATTATTATTTATTAAGACCGTGTGTTAACGATGAGTCCCACAGTGAACACATCCATTATTGACGTTTTTTAAATATCACAGCACCTCTCTGACAACAACAAGCTACTGCCTTCACATACCCATGTTAAATCCCATCTGGTTTGGTGAATTTTCCTCAAAACTCTTCTGCTACATCCTAAGACCTCCCCCCCAAAAAGAGAATATAAGTGTGTACCATATGCTGGCTGCAAAGTAGTATTTTAAAGGCCTTAAAATACTTGTAGAGTCACTAAACTTGCAACACGGTAGCCAAGTAGAGCAATGATGCATTTAATACAGGTGTAGCTGGAGGGTGTGGCCTAAAAGGTGCAATTAGACCCGCCCTTAATCTTTAAAAATTTAACTACAAACTCGTGTTTCAAGAATATGAATGTTAAATACATGTGACACATTGGTCAGGCTATAATGTTGATAAAGACAATACATGTGAGTTGTTCTTGCCATGGACAGATTATTGTGATGGTTACTTATTGAGGCATTAACAGAACTTCAATTTGACGTTTGAATTGTTCAGAAACGTACTCAGAATCTTACCCAGGACTGTGACATTATATTCAGCTACATGTTTAGGGTTGTATCCGTAAATGAAGGCCTTGTAAACTCCACTGTCACTCTTCGTCACATTCCTTAACAGTAGAGACTGTTTCTGAGGACATAATTCAGCTCTGCCGTAATAATCCTTGATTATCTCTGTTTTACCACTGTCCCGGAGTCGTGCAACATCTTTCCTGTCACTGAAGCTCCATATAAGAAGATCGTCCTGTTCCAGAGTCACAGGTTTTTGGACGTCCAGGAATAGATCCTGTCCAGTGTGCACAAACACTGGAGTCACTGCAAAAGAAACGGATACATTTCAGAATCACCTACATGGTTCGTGACAGCTGGACTCTAAATAGAAAACTGTCTGCGGTTATACTTTCTGTATCAATGACAATGTTGAGTTGCAAACAGTCAGGTTCCCTCGCTCATCATGCTGCTACAGATCTGTGAATGTTAGATGTGTTTCAACCAACTTTGCTGTCAAGACACTTGAATTAATATGTCCTGCTGTACAATCCTGTTAAAAGTCATCTTGCCTAATATTCCCTCCAGACATCTCATATATTTGATGTCCATAATCTTTGGAATTTGTTTGTTAGACCTCTTAATTTAAGAAACAGGTGGGTCATTCCATGTCAATTCAACCAAGAATCACCACTCACGTCACAGATTTTGATGAAATTTGGTGGAGTGATTGGCCCTCAGGAGAAACTGTCAGATCTCAATTTTTTTTGTTCAAAGCCGTCTAATTAGTGAGATAGGGGCTAATGAATTTTTGGCTAACTAGCATGACATGCGTTACAAAAGTGTTCATATCTCTGGAAGTATGGAACCTAGAGAGCTGATTCAGGTGTCATTTTAAAGCTCTCTTCAAGTTCTCTCTCAAAAGTACTTCAAAAGTATGCTAAAAGTACTTTTGAAGTATAAAGGAAACGTTGAAAGGGCTCAGATAGTCTTTCTTAAGTGTGAATATGAAGAAAATTGAAGGACGCACGTTTTTTGCTATTTCCAATTTAAGTTTTTGGTCTTTTATAATTTTTCTGGTCCAATTTTGGAAAAAAATGTTATGAACAAAAAGATAGAACTTGAAGAGAGCTTTAAAATGACACCCGAATCAGCTCTCTAGGTGCCATACTTCCAGAGATATGAACACTTTTGTAACGCATGTCATGCTAGTTAGCCAAAAATTCATTAGCCCCTATCTCACTAATTAGATGGCTTTGAACAAAAATATTTGAGCTCTGATAGTTTCTCCTGAAGGCCAATCACTCCACCAAATTTCATCAAAATCTGTGACGTAAGTGGCGATTCTTGGTTGAACTGACATGGAATGACCCAGGTAACAGTTTACATCATAGCTAACGTTAGCATTTAGCCACCTCCTGGTGAGGATTTATGATTCGATATGATTGGAAAAGGAACAAATTGTAACTTCATCTGTCAGGGTGAAGACAGAGGGTTGAAAATAATAAAATTACCACCTCAAAGGTTTATGTCCCAGATGTGCAAAGTAAGACATAGTGCAGTTTGTCCAAAAGAAATTGTTAGCTAGCTAATCATCATGTCCCATTAAAGTCAGTTTGTTCTGGGAGTCCCTGAGCTTTCTCCTCCTGCTGGTTACCCTGGATCACTACAGCAGACCTGCCTGATTCCAGCTGCTTTAACTTTCAAGGTACGATGAGATATTCCTTTATTAGTCCCACGGGGGAAATTCCAAATTACAGCAGCATGTAAACAAAAAAGAGGAAATTATAGGATGAAGAAACTTAAGGTCATTACACACCAGGGCGAAAGCAAGCTTCCACACCAGACATATGCTGCGTTTGAGTTAGCTTGGAAATCAGATGTCGGAGCTAAAAAAGAAGTCACACTCGAGTTCCCAGTGTTTCAGTTACGAAGTCGGAAAAAAGCAAAAAAAGAAAAACAAGATGGCTACATCTACGAAAGTTATTTTAGCACTTGCCTTATATTCGGACAAGGTAAGCATTAAAATGACTTTCGTAGATGTTGCCCTCGAAATCAGGTGTTGGACTAGTACGCATGCGCAGTGTGGTATGGTAGGACATCTCGACAGGTAGGATAGATTTACAGCACACCTGTTCTTGAACCCCGGCTACGAACTCCCGCAGCGCGAAAAGCAACTGTGATTTTTTTCACCCGTGGAGCACCAGGATGCGTATAGGAAAAGGCGTGAGCTGAATATTTCACATGTTTGATATGTTACAGTTGAACATCTGTAGCATCTGTCTCTCCAAAAAAGATAAAACAAATAAAAGTTTTCTCCTACCTTCTGCTTTTATGCAAACCAGCAGACCCAGACCCAAAAAGAGCCACATATCGGAGCCTCTGCCGACGAGACAGTTGTGAGTAGGTGGTTGTGTTTCACTTCAACAAACAGGGTGGGTTGTTCCTGTCAAAGACGGTTAGCGAGTTCATGTGCGGCCAATGGTGCGATTCTTACATCATCCTCAATTTTTATGCTCTGTTTTTAAACCTGGTGTTGATAATGAAGTAAATTTAGTACCTTGTAAAAGAAGTTGATCAAACTTATAGAACCGATAAATGATAATTAAGAGTTAAAGTGATCTGGTTTTTGGGAGATTACAGGCGTCTATGAAATATTTGAATAAATGTCTGTGAAATATTTGTTTTTCTAGGCTCACTTTTTATTTTTTTTACAACAAAGTCAGCAGAGAAAAAAGAAGTAATCATGAGTAAACTGGACTGAACCCTTTAAGAGAAGTAAACTCGTGACGAAGAAACACTTAACAGAGTTCAAACCACTTCCTGTATAACACCTTCTGCATGTGTGCAAGGTGTGGATGGACAACTGAGCTGTGACATTTCCACTTGAAAACAAAACAAAAAGGAACCAGGTTACAACAATCAGCTTCATTTCTTAAAACTGAGCTATACTCAAGGGTCTGAAGCCAACACACACTTCTGATTGGATACCCCTGAAAGTAAGAAAATGTAAACATATATATATATAACCACAGAGAACTTTTCACTGTTCACCAATTTTAATTCAAAGCCCCATCCAAAACAACAACAACAAAAACCATAAACTCCACTCCGACACAAAACAAACAGTTTGACCCCCAAAGTAATCTAAACCAAAAGGATGAGTCCCAACTTTTACAGTTCCTCCCTTCAGTGTCCGATTTCCCTTTGGAAAAGGTGGCAATGAAAACTTTCAAGGCATGGTCCTGATCCAGCCACCCTCGTCCGACAAAGAATAGTCCTCCACAACACCAAAAACAAAATAATCCACCAAAAGAGGAAATGTCATCGATGCATTGCAAAAAAAGGATCCAAAAAAGTGATCTGAAAGTGGGAGACTCACCAGTCCTTGAATGCTCCCTCTGAGCCCAGCTCTCACAGTTTCACTGCTCCCCGTCCAACATTCAGGATGGTTGAGGATTACCTGCAGCTCTGGGTTTCTTCACTTGGGATCAGACGCCCGGCTTCCCTGCATCATTCCTTCCTGGAACCAGCCAAATCTCTCCTCAAACATCTCCTTCTGCTCCTCTATTGTTCTCAATTTTTATTTTCTGCCACCCAACCCGATCTTTGAGGGTATGTCACGAGCTGAAGTATTCACATAGAAGAACCTTTCTGAACGGAGTTCCAATGATGAGTTTAATATAAAAAAAATGTCTCTAAGAGGAAAAAATGTGGCCATCAAAAAGCTGTGGACGTCCCGCTTTGTAGCATCAGTCTTACCATTTTTTATCCTGGTTACAAAGTCGAAGCAGTTATCCAACTTTTTGACTTCCTCTGTTTTAACTGATGAAACCCTGATTATTAAGGATTATTAGGAGCATGACTGATATCAATAATCTGGGGAATAAAGAAGCTCATACTGTCATGTAAAAGCTTTGTATACGAAGAAGAGTTAAGGAACATGACGTCCTTATTGAAAAAAGGACCTCTCAGCCTTTAATGGGATATAATGATGAGTGCTGTCACATGTAACGAACCTCAACAGAAACAGAGTCAAAGTGTTTGGGGGGTTTTGAGGGTCCAAGTTAATCGATTACGTCACTATTGTCCAAAATGAAGATAAAACTGGCTTTGTGACCCTCTCCATATAAAACATCAGAAATGTTTATTTCTGTAGAAATAGCTGAAGAGATTTTAAATGTAAAGTTGAATGTTGATTTCTCATCAGTCCAGGTATCGTCTTCAGGAGCAACAACGGTGTAGTCTGAATTTTCTCACAGAATATTAACAATGTTCAATAATAGAAATTTATCTTTGTTGTCACACTGTTGTGTTTATGTATTTATTTATTTTGCATAATTATAAATATACATAAAATACAAATATACATGGAAGAGGAACGTTTAATTTAATCTGAATAATGTTTGACTATCACAATATTTTGATTATTGATTGATTGATTGATTATTAATGATGATTATGAGGTTTATTACACCTAAAGATGACCTTGGTGATATTGATAATCATTTAATGTAACTAAGTTTGGGGTAAATGTTTATTCTGATGAAACATCAGCAGCAGCAGAGTTTGCTGACATGCACCTCCTCATTTCTCTGTGCTTTAGCACCACCCACTGTCAATAAGTGGAGCACCATCAGCTCACCTCAAGACTAATAGTACACAAGACCAGCTCTTTGTCTTCAATACACACAAAATCTACAACAACTTCACAGTCTAAAGTATTTACAGGATTGTTGGAGGAGAGCTGGATCTTTATCTTCTCTTCCCGACCCTCTCTATGACGTGAACACTGATGACGGCACACACCATGATGATCAGACCAGAAGAGATCACTATAACCTTCACTCTGCACACAGAGACACCGGTATAGGAAGTGGTTGGACCTGCAAAACCACAAAGTAGAGTCTGATCACAAACTGATGAAGATTTTTGTAGATTTTTAATAATAAAACAGATTTGGAGCTGTAATCTTTGTCTTTTAATCTTACCGGCATGTGGAGTACAAAAGTCTTCAAGCTTTTTGATGTCCTCTGTCCTGCTGGCCTGGTTGCTATGGTTACAGATGATCGCACCATCCTCCAGGTAGACTCTGAGAGAAGTCCCAGGTGTGGTAAACTCTTCTCTGTCTCCTCTCTCTTCAGAACAGGTTTGTTTGTCACATGTGAAAGTTGCTCTGATGAGAGAGTCCTGAGTGCTGCAGGTCACTGTGAGGTTGGAGGAGTCTGAGCTGCAGGAGTTCACGGTCAGACTCACTGGAGACACTGGATCTGTGAGAAACAAGGAGAGAGTTAACAGTTTAGATATGAGGAAGTGTTTTATTCCCATGTTTGAAATATTCAGAGACTCACCCAGAACTCTGACACTGTATTCAGCTGCAACTATGAAGGTCTCCCCAGAAAAACAGGCTCTGTACCGTCCGTTGTCACTCTTCGTCACGTTCTTCAACAGCAGAGAAAGATTTTGCGTGAAAAATTCTGCCCTTCCTGTATAACTGCTGAAAATCAGAGGCCCAAAATCAGGAAATCTTGCAATATTTTCTGTGTTATTGACGATCCACGATATTTCATCATCTTTCCCTAGAGTAACAGGAGTTTGGAGGTCCAGGAGTAAATCCTCTCCTGTCTGCACAAACACAGGAGTCCCTGCAAGAAAGAGCAGATACTAGAATTATTGATGCAGTTTAAGTAACAATAACTCATCTGACTGTTTTTATAGTGAAAATGTAGAAGGGAAATGATTTTCAAATCGATTAGCTAAAAATCTAAGAATTCATTTATTTTATCTAAAACACATTGAGATAGAAACCTCATTTGCAACAATACTGAGTTACAGTAGAGCAGATACAAATAGAAGTGGGCAGTTTCAAACAAATAAAGTTTGAGAGTAGTAATGGAGAAAAAAAACAGGAATAAAACATGCAGTTTGTAAAAATTAAATGGTAAGAGGGAAAGAATTAGACATGAATCACAATAAATTTATGAAACAACATGAGCAATAAATATATATTTTATATTAATTTTTTTTAATTTTATATATATTTAAATATATATATATATTTAGATATTTATGACATCAGATTGAATTTCACAACAGTTGGAATCAATACGCTTTACATTTGAAAATAGCGTTTACTTAGTCTTTGCTCAGTTTAGTACCACTCTTAGATCATGCGTCTGTTTTTGAGAGGCAACACGGATGGAGTCGGCAGAAGTGTAAGGGACAATATCATCAGCATACGTATTAAAATCGCAGTTTCTCAATAGATTTGTAATAATATATACATAAAATGTAAACAACATAGATCCAAGAACTGATTCTCGGGGAACTCTCTTTGTAGTTCCAGAAAAAGAGGACAGAGCCAAGGACCCAAGATATGCCCTAAAATGCACAACAATCAACTACAAATACACAAAAGTGCGTACAAACTGAGCTAAAGACTGAATCAACAACAGAGCAGACAGCGAAATAAAAGACAAAAGGTGTTGTGTAATAACAATAAAACAGGAAGTACAATATAACACGACCATACAAGAGGACTGATGTGTCAGGAACATCTTAGTTCAAGTTTGCTGAGCGCACACTTGTGTGTTTTAATGCTCAGAGGTACAAACAGCTGTAGTTATCTGTGTGTCTGTTTGTTCCTGGTGTTCTTTTGATTAACAAAGCTATTAACAAAGAGTCGGCAGAAGTGTAAGGGACAATATCATCAGCATACGTATTAAAATCCCAGTTTCTCAATAGATTTGTAATAATATATACATAAAATGTAAACAACATAGATCCAAGAACTGATGCTTGGGGAACTCTTTTTGTAGTTCCAGAAAAAGAGGACAGAGCCAAGGTCCCAAGATATGCCCTAAAATGCACAACAATCAACTACAAATACACAAAAGTGTTCTTTTGATTAACAAAGCTGAGGGTTTTTGTCCTTCATCACTTTTACCTACTAAACCACAGACTGACAGCCGTGCCATCTTCATGACTTGACAATAATTTCATACTTTCTTTTTCCTTCCTGTCATATTCTCAGAAATCAGGCTCTCCTCTCGGGTATGAGGTGATCTAGTTAATAAAGATGGAAGTTTGTATGTATTATTGTATCATACAAACACTCATATGTCAAGATTATACATTCATATGATATAATGAGCTCATCCATCTGGAGTCAGAGTGCATAACAGGATAATCTTATAAAACAAAAAACATACTAACACACAATCGTTGAATAATTAAAGCTCCTGTGAGGAGTTTTTCATGTTTATGAAACAGACTGAGATTCATATTTGTGTCTTTTTATGTTATTTGAATGCAAACAATCAGGGCCAAGACTGGCGACTTCGATATAACGCCTCTAAACTGGTGAGAAATATTGAAATATAAAACATGAAATATTCTGAGTTCATGAAATAATGAATGTCAAAAGTCAGCTGAGTGAGATTATTTGCCAAAAATAACAACTTAAGCATGAAAAAAAAAAACACAACATGTAACGGGACAAATTGTTCTTTAGTGAAAAGAGGGTAATACGAAACTTGACATACAAACTGAAGAGTCTTCGTCACTTTTTCCACAAACAAAGTTACTGGGGACTTTTTTTTGTATTTACTCCTGTTGTCTTTAATGCACTTAAATTGATTTTTTTCATTTAAAAGATTTTACCTTTAGCCTCCACGTAGACCAGCAGTCCCAGGATCACAAAGATGGACATCATCGAGTCTCTGCTGTCCTGTCTGACTCTGTTATATTCAGAGTCTGCTCCGTTTCACTACATTAAAATCACCGAGGAGGGGTTTTTCCTGTCAAGACCACAAAGACAGTCAGAGTTTATACACTGGTGAAGGCGTGAACATATTGAGATCATCGTCTCTGTGCCCCCTCAAAACTGTTTTTATTCTTGTAACCCGATCATAAAATTATTTTGGCTCTTTATCAAAGAAGCTGACTTGGATTGAATAGTCAGTAAAGACACAAAACAAAACAACAACAAAAAAACTAGAGCAAGTATTATCTGCCTCTTAAAGGACGTCTTAGACGATTATGAACACATGTCAGCACAACTGTTACGTTTTAGTGTTTAAGTGACATTATTTGACACCAAATATTCTGAAGTTTACTTTGGTAGTTTAGGGATAAATATGTAAAAGAAAAACAGGTTCAACTTACGGCAAGAAGGTCATAAAGAAACAGTCCAAACCACTTCCTTCTCTCTCACGGGTCTTGTACCTGATACATATGAGCAACGAAAGTCTGTCACTTTCTATTCCAAACACACGTTTTTGTTCAGGAAAAGTCCAAATTTAAGCTGTAATCAACAATTTACATTCAAAACAGACAGGATGTTTGATATAGTTTATAATTTGATCTAGTAAGTGGTGTTCTTAGCGCTGCCTGACCATTGAATTGGACTCTTTACCTCAGTAAATGATAGAATGATAACCTGCTGCCATTATCATCTACACCAGTGGCTGAAAAATGTAATGCTAACATTAAGTATACCGTACACACATGTGAAAACCTATTGGTTATCTGTTTTGTAATTTCAGATTGTAATATTAGTCTTGAGAACTGAACAGTAAAGGTTTCCCTTACCTTCCACTTTCCCGGTCTGTGACCCTCCTGGTGTCTCTCACAAGGCATCAGAATTAAACTCCTCCACCAACGACCTGTACAAGTGGAAGATCGAGCACGCACAGATACTTGGGAAAACAAGGCCCATTGTTAAAAATGACAGAAGTTTTCCTTTAGGCCTGAAACACACTGACAGATTTTTAAGATGTTATGATCTTCACTGATTTTGAAAACCTCAGAGACAGAAATAACAGTTTGGTTCCTGTAGTGTGTGGTGTGAAAAGATGTGGTAATTGCAGCACGCACGCACACACACACACACACACACACACACACACACACACACACACACACACACACACACACACACACACACACACACACACAGAGTTCTCTACAGTGGGCTACATCATAAGCCAATCAGCACAAAAACCTCAATATCACACACTAAACACTGTCTCACCAGATATCAATAAAGGGGATCGTTTGTTAATGTCAACATAAATCAAATAAACCTGCTTTTATTTTTAATATAAATCCACAGAAATCTCTTTACACATTATCTCCATAAATATGACTTGTATACAAATCCCCTACAGAGACTTTAACGTATGTCAATAAAAAACAAGAAAATAACATTTTTAATTGGCGCCCCCCTGTGGACAAAGCTGTCTTTGCTTAGCTTGCACTTTACTTGCCTAAGTTGAGCTGTCCAACTTCTTACAGACAAATATATTATTTATAATGTGAAAATGTCAAACCAGAGAGGCTCCAGTGACACCTACCCCCTCATACCAGTAACAGACTTTCATCATGACTATAAATTTTGTCCATCTCCATCCTTGATGGCCTGGTTTGTTTTTAACTAGCATAAAAAGGCATTAATATGAATTTCAGTCAGTTTCATAAACCTAAAAAATAAGTGTCAATAATATAAAACCCTAACAAAACATTTAAAAAAAGCAGGTATCTCCAAAAAGTTCAGCTCTTTCATTGCTTTCATGTTTGTCAAATTGCACTCCTGAACATTTCTTGGTGTTTGGCACCACCTACTGTTCATAAGTAGAACAACAGGAAAACTTTACAATGACACTATTCCACAGTGCTCAAAGGTCGAAGTTTCCACAGGATCCAGCTTGACAATTTGAGATGTTCACAACATTGTTGTTGGAGGGTTTGACGATTATTTCCTCTGCTTGACCTTCACTATGATGTGAACGCTGATGACGGCACACAGCATGATGATCAGACCAGAAGAGATCACTATAATCTTCACTCTGCACAGAGAGACTCCAGGAAAAGAGCTCTCTGAACCTGAAAAAAAGTCTTCAAGCTTTTTGATGTCCTCTGTCCTGCTGGCCTGGTTGCTATGGTTACAGATAACCACACCATCCTCCAGGTAGACTCTGAGAGAAGTCCCAGGTGTGGTAAACTCTCCTCTGTCCCCTCGCTCTTCAGAGCAGGTTTGGTTGTCACATGTGAAAGTTCCTCTGATGAGAGAGTCCTGCAGGTCACTGTGAGGTTGGAGGAGTCTGAGCTGCAGGAGTTCACGGTCAGACTCACTGGAGACACTGGACCACCCTGCTGCTCCCTCCTCAGTTATTCTTAGCATGTAAGCTAGCTGCTAGCAGAGTGACTCAGCGTTTTCAGTCCTTTTTTGTTCCATGTTCCCCATCCATATCATCTCTTCATTCATTCTGCAGTATTTACAGTGAAATTGTTGAGATTTCACTGGGGGACATCAAGTCTTACGCCAATTGCGAGTCCTTAAACTGTTCACTAACTTTGACTAAAATTTTAACAAACATCTTTACTCATCAATATTGGAGCAGTGAAACATTTAGCCCGAAAAAACCCCAAAGCTGTGTATTAAGGTACTGAACAAGACAGCGAATCTATTAAGATAGTCGTACACTAAACCAGTATATATTAATGTGCATGTGAAGCAGGGTAGTGAGGTGCACACAGGTTTTTCACACTTGAACGCTGCTGTTTTTAGCCACAACACGGTGGTTTGCAGAGTACTTTTGTGTGTCTTTGTGGGTAACACTCTTCTCTTTCTGACCACATGTATTTGTCACCTTTTCAACCTTTTGTCTGTCTTATAAGCCTAAAACATGTCAGAGGTTTCACCCCTCTCTACATTTCAATTTACTGTTCTTTTAATGCTGTCAAATCAAGTTACTCTGCGTCCCGCTATTGAGGCATTACAGATCTTAAACGATTTAATCTTTTAAGTTGGAGTCAGGACATATTTGACTCATGTATCTCTCTTAATTATGCTGCTTTTGAGCACGTTACCCTGTTTTGAATCCTTGTTCTTGTACAATCAGACAGGAAAGTGGTAGGAGGGATGACGTAGATGTGGTGGACGGGTAGAGACGAGTGTTGTCTGCATAAAGGTATAAATGGATGTTAAATTTACAGAAAAGATGACCACAGGGAAGTAGATAGATGATAAACAGAAGAGGCCCCAGGACAGAACCCTGTGGAACACCACTTGTGACAGAAAAAGGCTTTGAGTGCAACATGCTGTAACTCTGTACAATATTAACGTCAAGTTTCTTGTGACCGTGTTTACAGTGTGAGAAGCTTTGAGAAAAGCAGCATGAATCCTTTCCTTTCTTTACTTACAATGACGAAGAGAGCGTCAGGAAGGAAAATCTGTTGAACAAACAATGACAGGTTTCTGTTTGATTCGTCATCTGCATTTTAATGACACACAAGTCACTCATAATCTCTCCCTATCCCCGATCCAAAGACCTCAGAGCTGGAGAACAAATCTCTCTTTGCTTCACTACCACTGCCAGGACGATATTTTCCAACAGCCTCTTCATTGTTTATTTACATCTTGCCAATTTGCTCTGTTAATGCTAATCTCGCTGCTGTTTTTCTTCATACACAGATGTCGACGAGTTTAAGGAAGTCTGATGCACCAAATTCGGAGGACAGGTGTTTGAAGTCAGTCTTCTTCCTCCTGCCAAAGCCTGGACTTGAACCAGAACAGTTCGCAGACACGCCGCTCTGTTTGCAGCCTCATCTGATGAGCATCTCTGGATCTGTAAACTCTGTGAAAGAAGAGGCTTTAGCAGAATTAACTCTGAGGAGGAATAATCTCCCAACAATTTTCACTGATCAGTAAAGGATTTGTAGACCATGACTTGAATAATCCATCATCAAATAGAGGAAGAATGCAACTTGGATCTTATTCTGAATACATTTGCATCCTGAAATGCTGCTTCTATGTGGACGTCAACTTCCTCAAGAGAAAAATCACCACGGCGCCAAAAACCCCCTCGCTGTTATCATGCTAATTTATTCATTTCAGTCACAGTGGATTTGCTGAACATTTTTACAGTCTGATACTTGATTTTAGCCGCTGTGCTTTTTCTCAAGCATGTGAGGGGGGATGTACAGCTTTACATCCGGACCTGCTTATCCAACCACCTCCTCACCAACTTAGGAAATAAGCAAGTTTAAAACAAAACACACAGGACTGTACAGCTGAAGAGAAACAGGGAAGGTGGGAAGTAAAGATGAGCAGCAAAAGGAATCACCACTGATGCCCAAACTATGTCCTATTTTATGATTGCTTTATGTCTGTTTTCTTCAGTTTGGTAGACGGCTTTTTCTTTCAGCGCCTCATATCGTTTAATATCCCTCTCACTGTGTTCTGCTGTTGTGACCAGGGGCATGTCCAGAGGGGTGTTCAGGGGTGGCACTGCCCCCAATAAAATCTAAATAGCCACCCTGAAATCCTAAACTCTGATTGGCTATTAAAGGGATATTCCAGTGTAAAATTAATTTCGGGTCAAACACACAGCAACACCGAGTTAGACACCCCGTCGAAAGATGAATGCCGACTGCTTGCTTCTCTAGTTATACCAACTTTAGTAACGACCGCAGATAGCAATACCGGGAGCCATGCACTCAACCAAAACGCCACTCTATAACCACAAATGATGCTCAGAATAGCACCTAACTTCATCAACAGGACATATAGGGTCCCAGACATAGTACTAGACACCAAACATCTTTTTAACTTTGACTAAGAGACTAAACACAACTCACCTACTCTCTTCTAGCAGCCACTTGTTTGTACAGAGACCTTGGGTGAGTCCAAACCGGGGGTGACGCAGCTCAAGGAAGAACATTTATGATAATTTCTTTATCATTTCCTTGAAGTAATAATCACCATATCAATCATTTTGCTCTGCAGACGCGGTAGTTCTTCTGCCTTAGCGTCTCGGTCTGATTGCATTTCCATGAAGAAATGATCATAAATGTTCTTCCTTGAGCTGCGTCACCCCGCAGCAGTTTGTAATGATCTGGCCTGAGGTCTCGCTACAAACAAGTGGCTGCAGGAAGAGGGTAAGTGAGTTGTAATTCATCTCTTTGCTAAAGAAATCAGGCAAAGTTAAAAAAATGTTTAGTGGCTAGTACTATGGCTGGAACCCTATATGTCCTGTTGATGAAGTTAGGTGCTGTTCTGAGCATTATTTGTGGCTATAGAGTGGTGTTTTGGTTGAGGTTTGTTTATGGCTCCTCAGACCGCTGTGTATTGCTATCGTGCGGTCGTTCCTAAAGTTAGGGTGTCTAACACGTGTTACGATGTGTTTGACCCTAACTTATTTTATGCCGGAATATCCCTTTAATATTGTCAAAGATGGGTCTGATGATTTATGATCATTAAATTTCCTGCTCTGCTCATGCCTCAGAATGGTCACAGAAACCAACATTTTTGCCACATTGTCAACAGGTGGAAAAGGTGAAATGTGAAAGACTCCATTTTCATTTGCATGTGGGATTAGGATGTCCTTCCTGAGAAACAAAAAAACAGTTTCAAAGTTTGGACCGATCAGATCGAACACAGTCAGGTGTGATACGTTGTAAAATGTTTAGGTTAAAAGCAGACACGTGGCTAGTTCGCTAAGGGATGAGTAAATGATTTCTTTTAATTAAAACTCAGACTTTTTGCGTCTGAGATCATGACAGAGTTTCATCCTGGGATCATCAGTTTCCGGCTGATCAGAGTGATTAATGAGGCTCTCTGGTTGTGAGTAGAAAGGTCAGCGCTGATTGGATTTGTGTAGGAGTCGAGGTGTTTCAAAGTTTGTGCTTGACCTTTAACTACTGCACCACAGTCAGGTTGGTTTAAGAGCCAAACTGTGTTGTTGCTCAGTTTTTAATCACTGTCTAAAATACAGCAGAGTCAGACTGGATGATTCCTTGTTTTGTTTTAATATAAACCGGTGTATGAATACCTCATAACTATAAACCACTTCAGAGTTGGTTCAGCAGATTATCTCAGAGGAGAACTGGAATAAACAATAAGAGCTGAAAATAATCTTTTGGGGCATTCACAGGCGATCCAATTAAGTCCACTTAAAGTCCTAAATTTTGCCATCTACAGGATAAGACTGTCATTTTTAGAGACTTTGAAAATCACACAGAGGATCCTGACAAAGTAAGACCTTTCAAAGCAAAAAATACTGTTTTTCAAACCTGAAACAGCTGTTACATCACTATCTTTACGGCGACCAGACACGCAAAAAACATTAAATATATTATCTCTGGTATATATATACAGTATATTTTTTTTTTCAAGCATTGTGAGCTAATAATAACAAATCACCTTTAATCGTTTGGTTGGTGGGACCCTAAATTATAAATTAATTTTAATAATTTGAATATCGTGGACAGAATGGATCAGGAAATTGGACCTCGTCTGTATTTTACATCATTTAGAGTCAAAGAACTTTCAGAGAGTTACTGAAGAAACTTTAAAATACCAACTGAGACTCAGGCAGAGGTTAACTTTGCACTGCGCACGCTCCAACGAAGGTTTAACCATACAGGTGATTCATTATTACATGACATTGTGAGTTAATATCAAACTCTTAAAGTCTGTTAACTTTAAACTGCTTAAGTTTTCGAAACTTACACCTGCAAACTTCTCAGTTGAGGTTACCTTGTTTCCAGATAATGGCAGAGATCCAAGCGAAGATCCAACTTTCCAACTGTGCATCCACTTACTGGGTTCTGCTGTGTCTGCAGCCTGATACTCTTGGCAAAAGAAAGCAATTTAAAAGTGAGTAAAAACTCAAAACCATCTGATAGGGTTGCAGAAAGAACAGGTCTTTGTTTTGTTTCTTTCAGATTACCAAACAGCTGCTAATAGGAAGCACAGCCCAGTCCATCAGCAGTTAACACCCACAAATTGTGTCTAATGTAACCTGGTGGAAAAGCAGCTAAAATAAAGTGCTGAAAAAGAGGCTGATCAAAGCTGCAATCAGCGTTTCCACTGGCGTTTTTTGAGCTGCAAATCATGCAAAGCTACTCTGTAAACGTCCCAGACTGACATGATAGGTCAGAATGAGAATAACTGGTCTCCTTTAATAGACATTTATGACATGCAGCATAACAACAAATCAAAATCTCTTTTATTTTAGAGGGTATTCTGCAATAAAATGTCAAATGTAAAACTGTCAGATTCAGTTTTCAGATCCCGCGGCTTACTTTTATACTCATAAACTGCGTATTCCCCGATGAGCGTCTTCAATTAAGTTTCCACAGAGTAAAAGCGAGGCCGGGGTGTGTTTGAGCGCATAAAGGAGAGGAGACAAAAGTGAACACACAGCTCAGAGTTAACAGAGACCCCACAGCTCTTTTTGTGTGGCCTTGCTTTTGAATTGTGGGTCTTTGTTTTGGATAATCATCAGAGGACTCTGAATAAACAGAGCTGCGGGCTTCTCTCTAAATCCTCATGTAGTCAGCCTCTTCATCCCTTTTGTTAAGAACTCCAGGGACCCAAATTAAATGCCCTACTTCTTTTACTTTGACTTTCTTAAAACATTAAAATGGCACACAAAAGATTTTGGTCTATCAGTATGCACACAGCGAACACCGAGGTGGATGAAAAACCGGACCGCCTGTTAGACAGACTCTCCCCTCCCCTCAGAGATTTAGGGTCGGATCCTCTCATGACTCCAGTCAGTTTTTTTTAATCAACTTCTTGTTGTTGTCTGGTCTTGACTGTAAATCCATGGTTGCTCTCTTTGTGGTTAAATGTTTTTTCATCTTGCATCTGTCTCCAAAAAATCATTCTGATGCTAAGGGCCTGTGTCCACTAACAGCTTTTTGATGCTAAGGACCTGTGTCCTTTAACAGCAATTTTTTATGCGTAGGACCTATGTCCGCTAACAGCTTTTTGATGCTAGGGGCCTGTGTTCACTTACAGCTTTTTAATGCTAGGGGCCTATGTCTGAACATCTTTTTTGATGTTAAGAGCCTATGTCTATAAACAGCATTTATTAGGATTAGGACCTGTGTTCACTAAAATCTTTTTGATGCTAGGGGCCTTTGTCCTAACATCTTTTTTATGTTAAGGGCCTATGTCCACTAACAGATTTTGATGCTAAGGGCCTATGTCTTCTAACAGATATTTGATGCCAAGGGCCTATGTCCTTAAACAGCATTTTTTAAATCTTAGAACCTGTGTTCACTAACAGCTTTTCGATGCTGAGGGCCTGTTTTTTACAAACAGTATTTTTTATACTAAGGGCCTGTGTTCACTAAATTTGATGCTAATGTCATATGTCCTCCAACATCTTTTTGATGCTAAGGGCCTGTGTCTACTAACAGCCTTTTACTACTAAGGGCCTATGTCCACCAACAGCTTTTCCTTTTGCAGGGGCACACAGTCTCAATTCGTATCCTAAATCCCACTTGTTGATTCTGATTGGTCGGTTTGGTTATTTTTGTGATAAGGATGTTGAGTACTTGATGGTTCTGACCCAGATGGTCTGTAAACCCTGATCTAGCATAACCCACACAGTCTGATAAAAGGGGACCCTTCTAATCAGAGTTCAGTGGACTCAGAGCAGGAAAATGTTAAAGAGAAAGCAAATTCATGGGTGTGGCAGCTGTTTTTCGCTTAGTTTGGACTCGTCCGGTTTTGGAGCGTCTCTCTAACTGCTGGATCAAAGTCTGTCCCCTTCCTATGAAACCTTTGAAAGCTTTGTGCACGATTCGCAGCATCTTTTTATCCTTTGTTTGACTTTGTTGCTCATAAAGATCAATGTTAATTTCTTCTGCTTTATATCCTGATAAAAACTCCTTTAAAATAATTTCATTTGCAACAAGCTCCAAAACACAACCATCAGACCTGCGTTTGTAACCAAGTCGTGTCCACAGCGTCTGTCTCTTTGTGTCTGTCCCTGACCCAGCACGCCACATCAGTACAGTTACACCAAGGACATCTATTATGACGCACATTATCCTTTGCTACGCTCATAAATAATTGCCTCCATCTGAATTTACCCCCTTCTTTTCCTCTTCTGTTCACCTTTCCTTCCCCTCTCCCGCCGCTAGATGGCGACAGCAGCAAGCCAAACCCGGCTCCGGAGCCAGAACTTCTCTGCCTCGGAGACACAAAGCCTGTGACATCATCAGCGGAGGGACAGAGGGTGTGCGAAGGACAAATGTCTTGAAATGCATTACATCATTCTCCACTAATATGATAATATATCTGGAGCGCTGAGAGCCGTGCCAAGCATGAGAGGGGCCATAATCCGTACAACGACCGCTTCAAATGTGAACAAGGGGATCAAATGGAAGTGGAGGTGGTGCTGGAGAGGAGGAGGAGGAGGAGGAAGAGGGGGGCGCTGGAGTCGGAGAGCGGAGCTGAAGGTTATTCCAGACATTTTTCCTCAATGAGAGCAGGAGGAGCGGGGAGACCATAATCACTATTACACACTAAGTAAAGATGAAGAGGAGGAAGAGAAGGAGGGGAGGGGGGTAATGCTTTCTGTCTTTCCTCTGTCCTTGTCTCCTTTTTCTGTCATATCTGTTATTTCTATTTGCTTTCACTCTTTCCTCCAGACTCCTCCAGTAAAAGGTTGCAAAGAGGAGAAAAAAAGGGGCTGAAGAGAAGGGAAGAAAGAGTGATAGAGGAGGAGGTGAAGAAAGTGGCAGAAAGGAAGAAAAGAACGAGACAAGAGGAGATGAAGAAGGGAGAAAGGAGAAAAAGAAAGATAAAAGTAAAAAAAATAAAGGGGGAGGAAAAGTTTGAAAGACACAAGAGGGGTAGAAATGGGACGTTGAAAAATGAAGATGTACTCATGCATTTGTGTGTTCCTCGGTCTGGAGTCACTCAAATCCAAACGTTTGGCACACACCCAAGACGGCGGGTTATTTCTCATACTGACGTCTCCTGTCTGCCGTCATTTTGGGGAGTCATCCTGGTCATCTTGGTTTTTTGGGAACAATGAGTCCACTGTAAAGCGTAAATGAAATTTCACTCAGAATTTGGACATCTAAAACAGCACATTCACCACGAGTGAGAAACAGAAACAGATGTAGATTAAGAGTGACAAAGTTGATGGGAAAAAAATAAGAAAAAGACAAGAAAAACGGGAGGAAAGGTAACGAGATGAGGGATAAAGACAGCAGGGAGGAGGGGGAGGAGATGAGAGAAGGAAAAGAGGAGAGATGAAGAGGAGGAGCGGAGAGACTGAGACCCTGAAGATGTTTGTATTAGTGCTTTCTGAGCTACAATCTCCCCTGTCACATTCAGGTAAACACTCCTTATACCCTCAAGTGCTGCACACACACACGCACACCACACACACACTCAAAGCTGCTCCTCATGAGGAACTGTCATATCAAGTGTTCATCTGCAGACATCAAAAACCTTATTTTAACGGGAAAGTTCTTACATTTCTGTCTGTCTTGGGCCACCGTATTCCTATTTCTTCTCAGGATCGTCACAGAAAAAGTAAATAAAGGAGCTTTACCTGATGTTCTTATGAAAGCCGTGTCTTCTTTTATTATTTTTTGTAATACTGTGGAAAAATAATTACATACATTTTGAAACCAAAAAAACCAAACAAACAGAATTCGAACATTTACATGAAAATAAAGTAACATTTTAATACTATCTTGAATGTTTTGTACAGTTTTTTCTTGAATAAATGGGATCAAATAAAATACACAAACCTAATATGAATGTAATACACACTGTGGTTAAAAATAAAACAGAGAATGAAGGATATCTGCTTATCTGAACACACACACTGCCTCTCTCTCTCTCTCTCTCTCTCACCTGCATGCACATCTTCACTTCAGATATACTCATGTGCAATATGAAATCAGTCTCACTGTTTTTATCATTGTCTACGTATGCTAAACGACACCGGGCCGAGCATCACTTAATCTTGTTCGCTGGTGCAGCTGTTTCAGCGAGCAGACAGGCCCAGCAGCTGGAGAAGGAACAAGGGGACGAGCTCGTCTCCTTTCCTTGTGCCCTCGGGCCGCACAGTGTCTCCTTCAGTCTGTCTTACCAGCTGTCCTGCTTTGAATCAGGGTTTGACTGATTTATTGTATTCTTAGTAGTGCTAAATATAGTTTATATAGGTTAATTCCTGTGTCTGTGTCTGTGGGGATGATTTAAAATGATAAATTGCCGATAGACGAATAAAAACCTCTTTAGGGCCCGTGTCCACTGATTGCTAAATTCAGTTTTTCACACAAAATCAAAGCAGTTCAACATTTTTCAAGGGTGCTATTGACCCACGACAGTCACTACTATCAATCAATCTATTTTTATAGTGACATTTCCCAACAAACGTTGCCTTTCAAAAGGGCTGGTCTACACCACACTCTTTATTACATCTGCAAAGACCCAACATCGAGATAGGGATGAGTTTAAGTCCCATCTTTTAGATCCGACCCTCTCTATCCCCAGCTTAATCCATCATAAGTGAAAAGCTCTGCAGCAAAGGCGAGCAAGATCTCCACAAGAGGACTTTGATTATCTTGCAACAACAGGTGTCAATGAGAAAAAAAGCAAAAATGCAATCAGTGGACACAGGCCCTAAGTCATCTAAACATGATAATGAACACCGCATTTAAGTCTTTAATGATTTGTTGTCAGTAGAAGATACCTCAACGCAACCATGGTTTAGTGGTCTAAGCTCCTTAAGTTTTGAGGCGATCGCCTGGTGGTGACCATTTACTGTAAAGGTCCTTTCACACCCGGTGCAATGCAAATGTATGCGAACTTACGAAATATTCAGAGATGAATTTTGACGCGCCTGACTTAACACATCAAGCGACTTACCGGGGGGAAAAAAGACGCATCCCGGGTGGAAGCGAGAAGACTGACCCAACAGCAGACTGACTGTTTTCAGTTCTGATTAGACTCTAGTGTTGAGATGTCTGTCTGTCATGATAGCATGTACTGAGTCGGGGCCAGTACCAGATAAACACATAAAACTATAATCATTTCCTGGCTCTCTTCAGCTATCCTACCCAATAAAGGCTCAACTTTATTACTTCAATTGAAAAAATGATTATAATAATTCGTGTTTAGTACAAAATAACGTGCTTATGCACCACTAGGGGCAGCAGAGAGGCTGCAAAGAAACATTACAAAGACAGGATTAGCACAACTCTGTTACCTGGTCTCTTATTCACTCCAAATAAAGATCTTGTTTCACCTTTTTTCTGGTCTGACATGATACCGTAGCTGTTTTATTTGCTTGTGGTGATAACAGTCCTGTAGGACGAGTGGCACACCTGATAGTTGTGTTAGCAGCTGTCGATTTAAACAGCTTTTTAATGTTTAAGGGAATATGCTAATCTAATCAAACTAGTTTTAATATGACTGCATAGAATTCATTTTAATGTGCCACTTTTAATTTTTTATAAAAGTTGCTAGTTTTTTGGTCAAAGTGGTCACAGGCGAAAGTGCATGTAAAGATTTGATCTGTTGGTCGATTTTGACATCTGAGTGGATGGATATGTTTAATGACTGTAGATGTGGTCGGGAGGAAACTCCGTCATACCAGCTCGTGACGCCACACCGACAATAATCAGTCAAACCTAAACTCGTCAGGCAGCGGTCCCAGAACGTTTCCAATAATATGAAGAAAAAAAATGGTTTCATAGGCTGCACACACTCATGCATGTTCACAGATGGATGCATACATGTCAGACATAAGCAGGCAGCACACACACACGCTACCAGCCACAACACGCATACGGACGCTGAAACACAAATGTCTGCTGCATTTGTTTGTCTGCTCAGTTCGTATTTTTGCACAGTCTTTTGGCACTCAGTGAACACTCCAAAAAGGTGAAAATGGACACTGAGCCACTCGAGTCGGTCCCAGCACAACGTGGAGCCGAGCTGTCTGCTGCTCGTCTGGCCTGGTTCAAGCCTGGTTTGGCCTAGTTCAGAATTCTGGCTGAGGAGTTGTTTGGCCGCAGAAACACATATACCCCCTTATTTTTAGACGAGTGGGTTAAAGAAAGATCCCCAATAGGATGCATACAAAATAAAAATAAACACAGTTTTCTTCCACTGGTGATGGACGATAAATCTGATGAAAATGACACTCTCACATAGAAGAGGATAAATAAAATGACACCAAGCTCACGTAGCTTTATATTCTGTAAAAACGGACTCCAAACCCCTGAACGTACACACACACTAACACAAGCTTGGCTTCAACATCTGCTCCATATGTCTCCATTTTGAAGAAAGAGGACGGTTTTCTACACAGAGATGCATTTTTATATGAAAGAAGCTCAATCTGGCAGGAAAAGTGCTTTTTCATCTATTTATACACCTAATATTAAAGCTCCAGTTAGGAACTTCTGTTTGCGTTGATTCATGGCGAATCATAGCAAAGAGAAAGAGTAGATGTAGAGTCAGGAATCGAGCAGGAAGCTGGTGCAGGTTTTTATGAATTGAAATAAAAACAGGTCATGTCGTCTTTCATGATCAGTGCCTCTGCAGGGTTTTTGTCGTTTGCAGGATTAGCTCGAGCGCACACTTTAAAACTCTTTTTACATTTTCATGTCTAATTTTTGTGTTTTTCTTAATCTTAGTACCTCATCGACGTCAAGTTTCTTCTTTCTACAGGGGGACGAGATGACATTTCAAGTCAAATGCGAAATACTGCACGGCAACAACTCTGTAAAAAGGTTGTAAAGAGGTAATAGTATGCAGCACCGAGGCTGTGATAACCGTATAAATTTAAAAGGGCGCTCCATCTGCCGTTCTTCCCTCCATAACTACTCAAATGCTTTATATAGTGACCTTGGAGCTACAAGGCTCCATCTAATATTCTAATCAAAGTTGGCGTGGCTGCGGTTTCCTTTTTGAGAGTGTTTATTCAAAATAGTGGCCGTAAATATAGTTTTTACTGCCCCATGGCGCAAAATTACCATAATATACTGTATCTGTGAGGGGTTGATAGGGTGGCTGATAAATATAAAGACCTGATGATTACCTGTGGAGGGGCTGAGATTTCTGGCTTTCACTTTGCAGCCTCTAGTCTTTTATGAAGCGCCGTCTAATCTGCAATCATTTTTAACTGCTGTGAAATGTGCGGCAGAGGGAGAGGTGGGTGACTCTTTGTGGAGCGGGGCCCTGCCTTTTCTTTGACAATTCAATAAAGACTCCTCGCCCCGCACAAAAATAAAATGTGTGAGTGATTCTCCGGAGGGGGGCTGCCGAAATGTCTAATTTAACCTGGTTTGAAAAATGGAAACAGAACAACAGCCGTATTTGTGGCAGAAACTTGAAATTTCAGGCTCAGCGTGATGCTGCTGCTAATCGACGCTTAATTCTGCTGAAGGATGATTTGAAATAACCTGAAGCCTATTTTATGGACAACAGGTCTTATAATGTGCACATTTTAAGATTATCTTTTCAGGCTCACTATCTTTGGATATTTCACTTTTTGAAACGAGATTTATCAATTGTTTGGCAGTTATTTAACATCTCCGCTGCACCAAAAATCAAAGGCGTCAAAGGCCTTCAACGTTACCGCGTCAGTCCATCTTTTATCGCCATGGCATCGTAGGGGTGGCCTCAGCTTTACAGATAAAAGGCACCATCCACTGATGTGACAAACAGTAAATCACTAAACCCTGAATAAAAAATGATCCCCTTTTTTAAAAATATGTCTCAAAGAAAATAACACAAAATATCGTTGCCAAGGATACATGTCAACCATAGACTGCATATACTATGGACAACTTGGCTCCGCCTTCCGTCATCATACGAATTTGAAGCCGAAAAACTCTCTGTATTTCTGGGATTTTCTCCACTTCCTGTAACCACCACTTGCGCAGTAGTGTTGTACGCATTTGGCAGGAGAGTCGCTGTGATGACGCTCGACTCAAACAGCGTATCCCCCCGGTGAGCTACGCAATCGTCGTACGCCCGTAGGCTATATCAGGTGTCAATCATAGAAAACATGAACCCCCTAATAACTCTTAAAAACGGAGCTGCACAGGAAAAAGAGGACTTGAGCACAAACCAGTCTGACAGTAACTACATGTCAACATTGAAAGCAGGGGGGAGAAAAAATTATATTCTGTGTTACTGATTTCTAAAGTTTGTCCACAGCTCCATAGGGATTGCTGGAGGAGGCGGGATTTATGACTTATACTGCAGCCTGTCACTAGAGGGTGCTGTTCTCGAGGTGGCTTCACCCAACGTGGAGGCAGACAGCGTCCATTTTATATACAGTCTATGGTGTCAACACACTCCAAATGAAATCAACACGTCTGTCGTCCTTGGAGGAAAATTTCTGACCAGTGTTTGGTTTTGACATCAACAACAGTCAGATGGAGCGTCTAAAATCCAAGCGATGGCGGTGACGGAGAATTACTGTATTAAACGCGGGACTTGAACAGTAGTAGCTGCATCAGCAGAAGTCGTAGTAGAGAAGCAACATTGTAAAAGCAGAGAGTTATGAACCCATGCGGTTAAAGCGTACACAATTGAAAGAAAAACTCTCGGACAAAAAAACGCCACCAGATTTTCTGTTGCACTGAACAAACCAGCGTACTTACATATAAATGTACAAAGTACCATATGAGCTAGATAGAACCATTTGTACCTCTGTTTTGATATGTTAGACATCACTCGAACCGTCTCATTGCTTTAAAGTTCTCAGCACAGCTCAGATTCAGCAGCTGATTGTTGTTGTTGTTTTTTTTTCCATCCATATATTTGAATGTCGTCATCGTAAAAAGGCAGTCCAGTCAGAAGGCTGGAAGTCAATGCAAGAGTTTCACACCACCAAACTGATGAATGGACATTTCTCATTTTGGATAGAAGCTCTTTCAAATGTCCTAATCGAAGTCTACGCAGCATCCGCCTTCGAACCTCCATCCGTCCGTCGCTTTTTTTAAAGAAACTCAGAACGTTTCCGTACACATTAAAAAGTGAGTTTCACCCAAAATGCTGAACCTTTGGTCCACAACTCCTTATAAAAATATTATAAAATGTTTCCAATGCCTTTTTTTTTCATACGCTTCGGTATAAATATGGAAAAAAATCTAATCTACTGTGCAAGTGAGAGAAACGAATGACACTTGAGGGCCGGGGAGGTATCTTTTTGTACAAATTTGCAAAAAATTTGCTGAATGAGAAAGCGCTCCCATCACACCTCGTTTCACAAACACTGTATATCGACGTCGCGGCGACACGTTGAAGTTTAGAAATGCATCACGATGATTAAAAATGGAAGATGAAGAGGAGAATAAGAGACGCTTGCTACCGCTTGTCTTTCCTCGCAGATGTAGCACGTACAAAAACGTTCTGTCCCGAGCATCTCATTGTCCGATTTTACAAAAAAAAACACACACATTAATAGTCAGTGTGTGTTGGCACATATGCGTTGGCACTCCGGTCACTAACTACACCCCTGTACAAAACTCTGTCCCACTTAATTCAAGGTAGATCTTGTAAGAATGGGCAGGTCTCAGTGAGGAAATAGGATCAAAAAGTGCCAGATAAAGTTGTTGTCCAAGCTGCCCTGTTGCTGCGATACAATATAAACATATGAGTCCGTGAGATCTGTGTGTGTTTTTTGCAGGATGCTAGAGTCAGAATTTGCAAAAAAAGTGTTTGATAACTCGGAGCGTTGCTGCGGGTCATTGTTTGTACTGCATGACGCTGTTTTAAGGTTTGTACAAGGAAATGAATCTGAAAGGACCCAAATCTCCATTTGCATCTATTTACAGAGATGGGTTTGGGAGGAGGATGTGATGCAGGGATGCAGATGATCCAAGAGCAAGGCAAGGATTGCAAGATGGAAAAATGGGTCCCACTGCTCCTCCTTCTGCTCCTGGCACTCTTCTTCTTCTCTCTGCTGCTTTCAAAGTGCTCTTCTTCTTCTTCTTCTTTTGTCTCTTTCCCCTTGATTGTGGCTCTCGCTGTTGCTTATGTCGGAGCATAAACACTGAACGCAACAGAGGCTCTGCGCAAATGTGTGTAAATGTTGCTTCTCGTGTGTATCACATGTATTGCTGCTAACAGTGTAAGGTGTGATGCTGCTAACTGCTGTGCGTCGTTGAGGTGTTTTAGCGGTTCAGAAAATGAACCACATCCCATGCACTGGATGCTATGGAAACAGAAAACAGATTTTTTTTCATCATTATGTTTTTTTTGTTGTTTTACAGGTTCAGCCGTCACCAAAAGCCGGTCAGAGAGTGTGCATGTGAGGGTGTCTGTTCTCAAACATGAGTCTGCATCCGCTGTGTGTGTCTTTGGGAATAGTCAGAAGGTGGAGATGAGTAAGAGAAGCGAGTGGAGGTTCCATACTGCCCTAGTCCTGCTTCAGGACTCTGCTGTCCAGGCCCCGGACCAGGACCAGGACCAGGACCGGGACCAGGGCCAGGACCAGGACCAGGGCCAGGGCCAGGGCCAGGGCCAGGTCCTGGTCCTGTCCCTTGTCCTGTTGGATACATCTCATAAGCCGGCCCCTCCTCTATGGGTGGAGCAAAACCCATGCGGTAGCTGGGATACTGGGAGGGGTATCCGTAGTTGTCGTAGGCCAGCTGGGTGTTGCTGTCCAACAGGCCGCAGTCTCCGGGGTAATCCCCAGGTGACTGAAGAGCCGGATTTGGGGGTGCTTGCTGGCTCTGCGCCACCCTGGTGAAGGTGTTGAACTGGGCGTAGGTGGCGTGTGACATCCTGGAAGGAGGGCGGGGGTCGTAGCAGCCTGCTCTCGAGCCCGGCACTTGGCTGGGGGGCACTGCACCGCTGGCAGCAGCCGGGGGTCCGCTGGAAGTCGCACCAGCCGGTCCGCTGTTCGTGTTGGGGGAACGAAACTCTCCCTGGTAGTGGATGGACCGGGACTGGGGGCGGGCCTCATCATGGGTGGTGGCTCTGACGTTGTAGTAGCCATTGGTTGGATCCTGTGATTGAATGAGAGGATGTTAGTCCATCAGTCTGTTCGTAAAAAGAATCACTCAGTAACTTTTAACATGTTGTGCAAGAAATCTATTTATCGTTAGTCTGACTGAATCACACTTGTGATTTTATAACTCTGTGAATAAATTAACCACAAATCAAACCCTCAATTTGCAATAATCAGACGATCATTTTCACTCATTATCATGCTTCATCTGTCTTGTAAACTGTAAGTCACACTGTAAGCTGATATGATTGACAGCGTCGATGCAGTTGGTGGCGAGCCTTTCATGCTATGTGACGGATGAATGTAGCCTTCATTATGTGTGTGAACGACACAGTGTGTAACGACCATAAAGACACACATACAAAGATAAAGGTGGGGAAAAGCTAACCTGCGCAACAGCCGACCCGAGGACACAAACTATTCAAAGAAGTAGAGGACAGAGCTAGCATGCTGTGACCCACTGGTTTGCAAATTCAAACTTGATTGGAGCACTTTAAGTATCTTATTGTTTTCATTATCAGAATTGTCAACATTTTCCAACATGTTTGATTCAAAATGGTCATCATGGGCAGCCTCAGTCTCAGACACACCGGACTTTTTGGCTTGTTCTGGCCTAAATGAGACTACAGACAATTGAATTTCCCTTAGTGGATAAGTAAAGTTATTCTTATTCTCATACTGGCATAAACAAAAAATATACTTTACTAAAGACCCAAAAATATAAACTATTTTAATTGCTTTATATTTAGTGGTAGGGCTCTGTTCTGAGAGCTTCCACATGCTAACATGGAAAACCAAAATCGGAGGCAGGGAGAGCAGCAGCAAAGATATAAAAACAGCTTTAGTGATGATACATATGACGAAATCAGACACAGCGCAATAAAAAGATGGAGCTTGGGGGTGTAGGTGGGTAGAAAACCCTTATAGACATTTAGATGATTAGATCAACAGTGGGCTGAGCTTGACCTCATGGCCTGCCTGGACTAACACCGCGCTGTTAAAGAAGACTTGAATTTCCCTTCAGGGGTCAATAAAGTTCTTCCTCTTGAAACTCGGAGTTGAGACGACAAAGTTGTTATGAAAATGCCGACTCAACAGAATTTTTTTTTTTATTGTTTTATAAAAAAGGTCCTCTGTAGTGACCTCTGTTGGCTAGTGGACGAATTGCAGATTTTAGACATTTTGATTTGGATGTGTTAATGCTGAGGGGAGATTGGTGTTAGAAATAAGACCCCAAAAGACTAATAGACTGATGCCTAAGGTATATATAAATATAGAAACCTAACAATGCCTTGCATTAATATTAAAATGCATTGGCTCTAATTTTTTTAAAATTAGAGTACGACCACTTTTAATGAAAGGTTTTTCAGGTTTAGTGGGAAAAAATTAAGGATCCTTGAGTTTTAATTGTGATTAAATGAGGAAAAATGTAGAGTTGATCACGCTCTACTCCAGAGGTAACCTGTGATGACACTTGAAGACTCGCCTACATCTTCTTTTGGGAGCTTAATGGCGACAAATCTTTAAAAGAAATATCATCATTAAGAGAATTACGCTGAGTTTTAAGAGCTCATGCCCAACCTGAGGAGGAGGTGGAATCTTTTAACTCACATTTCATGACGGAGATGACTGCAAGCCATGAATTATGCCAAGTTTATACAACATGCATGGATTGAATTTCAAGATGCTGCGAAAGAAACATGACGAGAAGAAACCCGGTCAGTGTCATCGATCAGCCGCCTCACCTTCAGCTCGTACTCCTCCCTGGTGTCGCCCTCGCTCCGGACGTCCTGCTTCAGGTCCATGTCGTCTTTGAACGGCTGAGTGGAGGGAGAGAGGGAAACAGAGGGCAGAAACTAAACCATCAAACAACGAAACACACACACGGAAAGAGGGAGGGTGAGAAAAGGAAAGGAGAAGGAAGAGAGGGAGGGGAGAGGAAAACAGAGTTTCAGGTTTCTCATCCCAAGAGAGAGGAAGACGAAAAACGATAAGCGGTTGGAAAAAGCGCCTTGGAGCGGGTTGATCCCATTTTTCCAAGACTTCCAAGGCTGATCTCTTTCTAGTGTTTAAAGGAGTGTGTGGATGTGTTTCCTTTGCATGTGTGTGACTTTGTTATTATCTGTTATATCTGTGTGAGGCTCAGGATCTTCCATATGTGCGATCGTATGAAAGTGAGAATAAATGTGTGTATTATCTCCTAATGTTTCAGATTTCTCGTCTCTTGGTTTATTCAGGTCGTTCGAGGAGTAACAGTGGTTTATGTTGGATCTGTGCTTGTGTTAGTGAACTGTTTTTCTGTGTGTGTTCAGTCACACCTTGTTGCTTTGTGTGTAAAGTGTGAAAATGTGCGTGTATATGTGTGTGTTCCTCTCCTGCAGTGTTTCTCTTGGCCTTTGTGTCGCTGCCTCTGTGCATTTAAGGCCATTGACCCGTACGCCTCCTCCTCTCCTCCACCCCCAGGTGACTCAGATATGGGTGTCTACTCACGGAGTACATGGCCTTGACCATGCGGGTTGCTGTGGAGACGTCGGCCGCCTCCTCCTCCAGGCTGTGGGTCTCTTTGTTAACGGTCTCTACCTTGATGTCTGGTTTGCCGAGGGTAACACCCCGCCGGCCTGGAAGAGAAACACAACCTCGGGTCAGACTGCAGGTCAGTGTCGGGACTATAAATCACTGATTTATTGAACAGCCTGTTCGAAAAAGCGAATTAAACAAGTACAGCAACAACTTTAACCTGCTGAATCTTCTGTTTTAGATGTGCCTGGTCCATTTTTCTCATCTGACACCTTTAATTTGGAAGAGTTAGCATGTTTTTGTGGTTGTCTGTTTTGCATTGATATTAATGAAGCCACAAAGATGCACATTTTGTCGCACATTTGTCTATTTTTGGAGGAAAACTTACGATTTCCAAAGAAAAGTGTGTTTCTCTGATTAGGCAAAACTCCATTAGGGCCAAACTAATCCATGGGGTACCTCAGGGCTCAATCCTCGGTCCTCTTTTGTTTCTAATATACACAATCAATCTACCTTAAATCTGTTAATATGCACTGACTTTCATTATTTGCTGATAACACCTGTCTAATTGCTTCATCAGGAAGCAAATTAGGAGTTATCATGTATTTCTAAATGGTTTCAGAGGGACTAACTCTTACTCAGTGTAAATAAATCTAAATTCATGATATTCTGTAACAAAAACAAGAAAAATTCAGAAGATAAATCCAAAATATTCATGGATAATATAAAAGGACTTTAAATCCACAACATCAAACTTCCTGTCACCCTGCTCACCTTATCTTTGGCAAGTCCAGAGCATCTGCAGCGTTAGGCGACAGGATGACTAAGGACGGCCCTCTGTGCATCCAGCCTTACAAAAGTTTAACTACTCAGAGAGATGATCCAGATTAATAAATGTGGGTGTTTTTATACAGCCCCGCTCTTTAAAGGAGGAAAAGTAAAGCAGCTCAGGGGACAGTTTATAGTTTTCCCAAGGACATCCAACTGATTGTCCACTCTGCCAAGACGAGCTGCCGTTTTTTTTTTAGAGAAAGTGTTGAGGGAGTTGCTGTGTCGGATCTTCAGAGCCGCGATGACGAGAAAAGCATGATCTGCTCTTTGTTCAATGTTTAATCTAACTCTTCGTCTAACCAGAGAGATCTGAATCAGATTTCAGAGTGCTAGGAAAAGTGGTCCTCTGTGCTGGATGCCAAATACCATAAAACTGAAGATAGATGAAGAAGAAGTGGCAGCGTGCTAGTGAGCTAGCTTGAGCTAACTCCTGAGAGATGAATTTGAGAGAATCTTCTACAAATCTTCTAAAACTGATGATCAAGATCTACCAGAAATAGCCTTTCAAAATGAAAGCATAGTTTCACAAAAAAGGTATAGAGCTAATTAGAAGCAGGACAGAGAAAATAACAAAATAAAAGCATTAATGATATTGAAATGAAGAAATGTCCTCTTCAAAGAAGTGTCAGACACGGGGCTGATGATAAATCAGAAATGTAAATATTTTCAGATAATGACAGGTGAGTAACTTTCTCCAATTTGATGATCAGTCTATAGTCACAAGATAAAAGTCATTATGTTAAGAGATTAAAGTCACATTATGTTGTTTTGAAGGGGAAAATGCATGTCTCAGTTTTTGGCACAATCTTTTCAGAGTCCTGATATTCAAATCAACATGCAGCTGATGTGCCAGAATATCAAGGATTTCATTAACTGCAAAACTTACAAAACTGAAGTACGCTTCAACAAGACACTCCAGGCTCTTTATTCTGGCTGCTCACTGTAAACCAAAACTAAGACTTCAACACAACTTTATTCTCATGTCAAAATAACTTTAACCTTTAAAAACAAAAACTTATTCTCATAATACTTTGACTTAGCAACAACTTAATTCTCGGCTCTATTTTCATAACATGATGACCTTATTTTCTGACGACTTATTTTCAAAATCTTAAAAATAAGAATTTCCGTAATGTGGCTCTTATAGAAACTGATGCAGTTTTGTCTTATACTTTACTCAAAACCACAAAAATCAATTATTGGATTTTATAACTGTTAGGAACCTTGTACAGATGTGTTAAATAAGCTTTCAGTCAACTTTTTCAACTGGAGGGTCAAAATTTGTTAAAAATACCAGAATTTAATTATAATACATCATAAATCATACTCCACAAACATTGATATAGGCTGTTATGAAGGATTGTTTTAGTGTCTGTATGTAATAGGGTTTATAAATGTTCTTATTATGATGTATTATAAGAGGTGGGTTGCCAAAAAAGTCAAATAATCAGTCAAAGAAATGAATCCTCTGCATTTTAAACCCCTTTTTACAGCCACACCTTGTTACCGCGTCTTAATGCGCCGGCAAATTTATATGTTTGTCTCATATTTGAATAAGCGCCAGAGTCACTTCTACATAAAAGTCACGGCGCCAATCTTATTAACCTTGTAATGTGACACAAGTCTGAATTGAGCGCTGTCAAATTAACATAAAGGCTGCAGCAGCACAAGGTTAAATATGCACAGGTAGAGATTAAACAAGTTTAATGTCATTTCATTAAAAGGTTTCTCTTAGATTAGTCACACAGGCGTCTATAACAGAGAGAAATCTGGAGTTTAGGGCAATAAAAGAGGCATATTTGTGGCTTAAACACTGCCTCCTGTAACCTTAAGCTAAAATAACAGCTCGTCTTAGATGATATATCCTTTTCACAGCTCAGTCAATATTTGTCAACATAAACAAGAATCTTCCAAAAGCAGAAACCTTGAAAGTAAAGAGTGAAGTCTGCGCCGTCTCGAGCTGCATGCTACAACAAATGGTAGACGGCTTATCTGGAGACACAACAATGTTTGTTTGAGTTTCTATTTCCAAATGATATCTCCTCTGTTGTGGTGTTATCATCTTTAAAGCAGAAAATACACTCTCATCCCTCGAAAATCCCTCTGGGGACTCTGCCAGTCACCTTCATTGTCTTTCCCAATTCTCTCTTTGCATTGGAGCAGCCGAAAATTAAACAACTCAAAGGCAGCACATGTTCCCCTTCTCTGCCTGGTTTGTTTAAGTGCTCTGGTTTTCTGCTCATAAATGCTGATTGGATTGCCACAGGCTGTATAAATAACATATAGGAATTCATAATTTAAATTCTATTCACCCCTAAATGCTCTTGTTTCCCGCTCTGTTATTTATGTACTTTATCTTGTACAGGAGCAGAACATGAATACCAGTTATTTATGTAGGAGAAAAAAAAAAAAAATCATCATACAATTGCATGTCAGTAGACTGAAAAGAGGAACATGGAGTAGGCGTTTTACGGCAGTTTGCCATATTATATGAATATTCATTAATCTCATTTGAATAAAAAGCTATAACGCTGGCGTATGTTCCTTTCTTCAGAGCGGGAGAGTGACAGATAGAGAGAGCAGATGAAAGAAAGAGTGATAGACACATTAAAACATGTATATATACAGTGTGTGAGTGTGTGCGTTTGTGCTTTTACAAAGAAAACCACTGTGTGCACTCACTGCCTTTGCGTTGGCGGTAGAGGAAGAAGGCGAGCGCCAGCAGGAACATAAGCAGCAGAATGGAGGAGCCCACCGTACCACCGGCGATAATTCCCACCGGAACAATATCTGAAACAAACACAAGCAGCGTGAGGTCGGGGGGTTGAGGGACAGCTGCTGCCTCATTGTAACAGAAACCTGCGTCGTTTAAGCATAAATCCTGTTGTGTCCTACAGTAGCTTAATGCTGGATCTCCCAGGGCTGCTTATGTTGATAAGGCGTGCAAGTCAGACAGAGGATAAAAACGCCGTTAGTGCACATGTGAGGACAAATCCAAGTCCTATTTCTCGCTCTCTCTCTCTCTTTTTCTGAGATGTTTTGCGAGATTTTCTGAAGCCTGCGAAATCTGACAGCTGAAAGAATAAGAGGCAGATAAGACTGACAGAGCATGAAGAAATCATTTTCTCAATGTAATGTGACACAGCACGCTCTCAAAATAAAATGCGTAGCCAGCCAGAATGGACTCATAACACTCTTATCTATCCTGTGTGTCCTCCAGCTGAGGCCACCACGAAACACCGCTGCTGCTCAAGGGCACTTCAGTTTCTAACGGAAAGGAGAAAACCGCACACAAGGCAACGTTTAAGATACAGCGGGGAGCTCTCAATGCAAACAGATTTTAAATAAAGCTGGAGACGGGCTTGTTTGGGTATGTGAGGAAGCCATCATACTGTATGTTTGTGTATGTGTCGTTAACAACAAGTGAATCTCAAAAAAAGCTTTAAGTCTAAGAGAGCTCTTTTAGAGACAAAAGATAACAATCATGGTATACATACTGAAGTTCAGCAATGTGTAGTTTTTATGCAGATGTGTAGCTTTTTCTGGTCCCACTAAGTTTAAACACGTAGAATGCATACTATAGGTTGCACCGATATACATGACACAGTCCAGGAAGTAAAAAGGTATTAAGTGAGTTCCAGCATGATTTTCTGTATTAAATTCAGCAATGTGCAATTTTTATGCAGATGTGTAGCTCACCCATTGAGTTCAGAATAATAAAATATTTACTAAACTCAAGAAGGAAAGAGCTTTTTAACTGTGCTTTTGCAAGATGACTTTGAATGCATTCAGCAATGTGCTGATTTTATGCTAATGTGTAGCTCATTATAGCATCACTGAATTAAAAACCACAAAACGCATACTTAAAGTTGTACTGCTTTAAATGACACAGTCCAGAAGTGTTAAAAATGTGATCATGGCTAATGAATTTTAACATGTTAAGCAATGTGCAGTTTTCATGCAGATGTGTAGGTCTTTCTTGATGGTCTTTCCTGCACTTACTTTAGCAGTGATAATATTTTATCTGTGTTCCTGCCTCTAATACCAGCTCAGTTTCAGGCCCCCTTGACTCACCGTTGCACCTTTTTGACATGGTAACAAGATGATGAGGTGTAACAGAGGCGTAGCAGTGCTGCCTCTAACATGTAGTACATATAAAAGAAGCTAACATGGATGAGAGACAACCATTTAAAAGCTATGACAGACTTTATTTAGTCACTTTTCATACCTGTCTCCTCCAGGGTGATGATCATGGTCCCAGGTCCGAATGAGTTCCAGGCGGTGCAGTTATAAGGCGAGTGGAAGTCCGACTCCATGACGTTATTGATGGTGAGGGTGGAGAGGACGGCCCCCCCCTGTGATGGAGGTTTACTCTGCTCTACTGTGTACCTCTCCATCAGGGTGCCCTTCTCCTTCTCCCACACGTTCTCCTTCCACGCCCAGACCTGAAACACACAGTTAAGAGGGGTCTCTCAGCTTCAGTTCGACCTTATCTGACCGACTTAATTTTTTTTTTTGGTTAATTTTGACCTTATTTGATAGGACAGATGAAGAGAGACAGGAAAAAAATGCCTTGTTCTCTCATTGCTTCAAGAAGACCCTGAAGATCCAGCTATTTCAGGAACACCTACACACTTAAGCACGACTCTCTCTTCTGTAGCCCTCAGCGGTAAAAAAAAGTTACCTGACCTTATTTGATCCACAAAATCTCAGTTTAAGACCCTTTCTGATCAGAGTTTGGTGCCAAATACGATGTTGACGACAACAGTACTGTCCATGTTAAAACGTACGCTCTACCTTTGTCGCAAGCCCAGTGAGGGTTCTTCCAATTAAACAAACGTCACTGTCCTCTTCTAGATATGATTCTCACATTACTATGATGTACGTTCAGGACAGGATCAGGACATCACTGCCTTTAAATCTTCTCTTGCTTTAGCATAGGGCTGGGCGATGAACCGAAAATTTACCAATACCGAAATTTATGAAAATAACCTTCATCATTTTGACCGTATTGGTATATTTGGAGTCAAAAAAATAAATAAATCAAAGTTGGTTTTGGATGTGTGTAGGTAGGCTATGGTCTCATGTCCCTTTAGGACGCTGTCCTACATCAGAGACGCGAGTCCCCCCCATCCAGTCCGTAACAAAGAGGGAAAGACAGGCGAGGAGATGGAGGACGGTTCAAAAGTTGTAGCGGCTGAAGTAGACGAAATTAATGTCGGAGGGGGTGAGCAGCTTGTGGAGTAGTTATCATCCATATATCGTCATCGAGGTGAACTGCTCAATATATCGTGATCAATTTGAGGCCATGTCGCCCAGCCCTACTTCAGCAGTTGTTTACTGGGTATCTTCACAGCTAGATTGCAACGTGCGAGCATGTTTACATTCTACCATCATGCAATACGACCATACTGTGCATGTTGCCATGGCTATGTATGCATACCCTCTTGCCCTGCATGATTTCATTAGGATTTGAAGCACTTCATCATGTTATTCATGTCTGTCTTTATCTTTGCACGAGATCCACCTTCTCATAAATGTACGTCGCTTTTAACAAGAGGCGCCTGGTAAATTGATATTAGATTAGATTTAGATTTAAAACAATCACAGCTCTGTCATTGTTCCTCATCTGCCTCTGTGGTTAATTACGTGTGTTAAGCATCCTGCGGAAACCTGTTTTATTACCAAACACGTAAGATCAATTGTTACAGGCCATCTGAGAGCACTTCGCATGCAAAACACGCTCTAAATCTGACTGTGCGCGATCGGCCGCTTTAGAGGAGTGCATTAAAATGTAGAAGCAGGTCCACGTCAAATTAGGATTAAATCCAGATCAAAGAGTCTCTACATCTGTACTCTGAAACATTTGTAAATGTATAAATCTGTCGGTAATCAACTCAGCGGGCAGAATCCTTCGAGGCGAGAGGAGCGACAAAGACACCGCTCTCATTTTCTGTACGTTTGTTTGATTTTTATCCAAACTCTAAACTATCGCCGCTGCAATCCCGCTGTTTCCCCTCAGGGATCAATAATGCTGATTTGACTTTATCTTATCTTATGTGGTATTAACCAGAATGACTCACACACACATATACACAAGTAAACATTCAGCAAACAGACGGGCTGGTGTTCAGAGAGGGTGAACGAGTCTGAGCAGGAAATGTATTTTAAGCAAAACAAATTATAATCTCACACCTTGGTTTTCGATATTCTGAGTGTGTGTCTGCGTGTGTCCAATTAAAACCTGCGCAGAAACTTTTCAGGCTTGTTAAAGATGGAAACGGCTCACAAATAAAGCCGAACACACACACACGGTGCAGCTCGTGTGCATGCATGGGCGATAAAACTCAAGCAGGTGCCTCTACTTCAAATCTGCTGAGGTAGAAATCTGAGGATATTAAATCTGGAGCATGGCGGTATTAAATATACATAGAGCCATATGTCAGGCTAATGTACCTTTTAACCTGATTTTGAAATAATAAGAAAGGTGAATATGATCAGAAGTGGATACATGAAGAGAAAAAACCCGAACTACTCTCTTTTTTTTTTTTTTTTGACCCCGAACAATCTTATGTAATGCTCCTTTTCCGTCTCCACAGGCTGCCTCTTTCAGAAAAAATCCCTCTTTTCTCTCTTTTTGCTTTTCTCAAAATAATTTTGTTGCTACACCGTCTTTCTTCTGTTTCTCACACACACACACTCACACACACACACACACACACACACTCACACACACACACACACACACACACAGAGCATCATACTCCATATTTTATGAGTCTTTGTGTCTCTGCATTAAGCCAGGACTATAATGTCATATCACATTATACGCTCCGAGCTCTCTGCCACTGCAGCAGGGGGCTGAAGCTTCTAAAAGCTCTGATTTCTGTCATGTCGGCGCTGCACAATTGGATAATTGACGCTGAAAGGTACAGAATTTTACCCTCCCTCCATCTCTCTGCCTCTCGTTTAAATCTGTTTCACCTTCACACTCGCTCCCACTCGTTCCAGCTTTCAAACTCAAACGTCCTTACTGGATTTATTTCCATTTTCCGCCTCATAATTGTGATTTATGAGAAATCTGGTATTTCCTTTCCTTTCAAAGGTTTATATCACAAGCCAAACTCCTCCTTTTGTTACTTAATGCCCAGAAACAGAAAAGGAGGAATAAAAACACAGCAGGTAGTGCTGCTGCAGTTCCTGCACATTCAGGGGGAGATTTCATTACAGGCTGCTGGTGAGGCAATCTGTGTGAACACTTCCCTGTCAGGAAAAGACGGCTGCCGTGGAAAGGTTCACTGGATTGGAACGGTTTTGGCTGGTTGGTCCAATTTAGACTGAAATCAAGATGGCATGGATCGTGCTTTGTGCCTTTCATAGAGGCAAAGTAGTGATTATAGAAAGTTTTCAGGTAGAGACTTAAGTAGAAAATTAATAAAGTGTGGACCGTACTACCAGGGCGGCCATCTTTATGGACGTCACATGACCTCAATGAGGGTCATTTGACAGCAACTACGAAGATTAGAGATATTGAAGACCTCTGGGTGACCTAGAAAATCTATCTCCACAAAATGAAGTCTGTTCATTTTACATTTAGGGCTGTCCCAATACGATACGATATTGATATCGGATATCAGTCCAATATCAGCCAAAAACCAAAAATCGGATTATATCACTCTGCATCTAAAATCTCCGATACAAGCAATCCATTCCAGACTCTGCTCCAGCACCTCTACCTCGCAGCACCCGGATCCAGCATGCAGAGCCCACATAATCACAACAACAGTGTTTACTAAGATACTAACAAGTAGCAAGGAGTAGGAGTGATGTCGGCTGTGTGGCAGTATTTTTCGTTAAAGTCTGAAAGTCCAAAAAGACGTTGAAGCTGAGTGCAAAACTTGTCATGCACAAGTTTGCGCCAATCAATATCAGTATCGCCGATACTGAAGGTTACAATATCGGTATCGTATCTGGAGTAAAAAAGTTGTATTGGGACACCCCTAGTAACATTGGTATTGCTTCTTATAACATTAATGATATTAATGAGTTAAATGTCTGTGTCCAACAGGTTTTACCGTAACTTACAAAACGATATTTGTTTGTTTTCAAAACAAGAGACACGACTTTTCACCAGCTTGCCACAGGATCTAAGCTGGTTGTGAAAATTGTTTCGTTTGTCATGACCAAGAATGGACCTCTGCAGTGAGGTGCATCATGTGCTGTATGTGGTAAGACTTTCACGCTGTCAGGATGAGAGTGCAGCTCTGAGCAGCAGAGAGAGCGGAGATACTGACGGTTATGGGTAAATCTGATGACAGTGAGATGAGAAAATGGAGCAGACTGCATGGAGACAACCTGTAATGTGGTTCAGAACAAAGCTGAGGTCTTTATAACAGAACAGGAAGGGCAGCTTGTGGTGGATGATCACGGTGAACGTACCAGGAAGTCTTTCTGGCTTTAGTTCACCAGTAAAAACAGATTCTGGTCATTATAAGACGAGCATATTTAGACATAAACACTTAATCCTGATCATGATTGGAATCATACTTCAATTAGCTTTTCCTTTTTAATACCCTGTGATACATACTAATGCATTAAACATGTCTGCATTAAAAGAATACGTTAAAATGAGGCCCTGCAAACAGCCGTGTCCTCGTATTGTGATGATTTCTTGGACTTTTCTCGAGCACTCTTCCAGCACAGCACCGTCTATCTCCTCTTTCACTCCAACAAAACACCCAGCAGCTGATTCTGATGAGTCACACTTTTCACCACAGAGGAAAAACAGATCCTTCACACATCCTCGTGACACAGTCGGAGGACCGCGCCACTGCTGCCGCCTCCGCCCGGGCTGATGGTTTAGATAGTAACACGGGCTGAAGACACGGCGTACAAATCATTTTGTTTTCAGGGTGGACAAAGGGCGGCTGTTATCTGGATTCTGTCTGAGGAAAGATGCAATCTGAAAAAGGTCGAGCACCTCCGCAGCAGATTACAACTTCCAAGGATGGACTTACAATCTTATCGGGTGGGGGGGTGCTGGCGATGTAACACTTGATCTCTCCTCTCTCGCCTCTGACGGCGTACTGGACTGGATCGCTGGAGATGATGGGAGGACCTGGAGAGGACATCGACACATGAGGGGAAAAGTACAAGAAGAAGTCTACCGTCTAAAATGTTCGTAAGGATTAGGTAAAAAAATGTGGATTAGGTATTAAGGCCTCATTTAGATACAAATCCATGTCTCACTCAGACCTGGATCCTAAAAAATTAAAACATACAACAGACGGAGGCTGAATCTGAATCTTCACAAACCAATGAGGCTAAGCTCATCACCTTTATATACTCTGTGGGCAACTAGTAATTAAACGGCTGGGAGAAATTAATGGATATACAACTTGACTGTGTCATAAAAGTGGTAATAAACATATACCAGGTTAGAAATGCACACACACAGTGTGTACAGCAGGGTCTCATCCAGGTCAAGGTTATATGAGAAATGAGAAACTGGTCAAAATATACCCTGACACCCATCCTGTATGAACAAAATAAATAAGGACTGATTGATTGATCTGGGATTCTTATTAATTATTGACTATTTTTAAATGTGCATGTCTGAATTTAATCTCCTTATATTTTTATTTAATTTTGATTTTATTTATGTTAATTATGTTTAATTGATTTTATTTGTGCATGTATTAGTTATTTATTTATGTTTTTTAGATATGATTTCACACTTTTTTTCTATACTAAGGCCTTGTGGAAGTCAGGGGCGGAGATTTCTCTGTTACTATGTCTGTAATTTTCATAATTGAAGTGTTAAATACAAAAAAAATGCGCACACATTAAAAAAAAAACCTGGGTGGGCCACCTAGGTATATTCACTGACATTTTTATGTTCCCTTTACTTTTTAAAAAGCGGGACAAACACATAGTTCTCAGCAGGTACAGGGAGGAAGTAGGGCTTAAACCATCAGGTGTTTTTATAAATGATTTACTTTCTTGTTTATTTACTTCATTTATTTTCTATTTTTTGTAAATATAATGTAAAGATGTAAGAATGACTGACTGTTAATTGAGTAGCGGAGAAAGGTAGTAAGCATAAAGCTTTATCCTACTCCTTTTAGGACCTGTTGGGTTAACATTATTATTATTATTAGTATGTATATATGTATTTTTTTGCTTCGATCATTGGTATTGTTGTTTTGAACATTTACATTGTTTTTTGTTTGTTTGTTTTCCGTTTACTTTCTTGTGTTGCACACACATGTTACAAAAAATAAAACTACATGAATAAATAAAAACAAAAAATTCATAAAAAGTGAAGATAAGTGATTTAGACGATGGGCTCCTGCTGAGTTCAGCTGTAAAGTTAGTGAACTCTAATAACCTGCAGGACTTGTTCTCCTCAGTTGATTAGAAATAGACAGAAGAAGGTGTGATGGCACATACTTCCTGTTTTAACAGCCATTAAGGTGCAAAGCTTTGTTAAATATGAACTTTCTCATACCCATGTGTTACTGGTATCATCCTGCATCACTAACAAGCTTCCTCCAGACCTACATCTACAGCTGCTGTGTCAACGTAACGAGGACAAAACTTCATGATGTGGTGAGCGCTTTATTTGGGTGTCTTTATAGAAAGTTCTGCTGATGACTGCTGCCGAAAGATCAGACACATACAGGAGGGAGCGGAGGAAACAGCAGGAGGCGGGACACTGATGTGTGTGTGAAGAGAGCACAGCTGTAGGTGCAGAGTGTGTGTGTGTGTGTGGAGGATAAACTGAAAAAAGACAGCCAACACCCCCCCGTCACCACCTCCCTGACACGACAACAGAAACAGCGTTAAAACAAAAACTGCTCCAAGTTCTTCACAGTCTGCAGACAAACTTCAGAGAGGAAGGATTTAAAGGGCAATTCCTCTCAAAATACTGACACACACTCTCTCTGTTCGGTAAACAAGTGACCTCCCGCTCATCAAGCTTTCAGGACCAGGGATTTCACAAGGCTGTGCCAATGCATGTCGCTGACCCCTTTTCAGAGTGTCCGACACTTCCTCTTTTTGATTTAAGAAGTATATCTGATCTCGGTGTTTTATCCTTGGGTTATCCTTAATCTCCTCTGATTTATGAAGTAAGTGGAGGTCTCTCGGAGGGAAGTGTTTTGACAAAGAAACGCCAGGGGACTTTTTAGGCTTGAAGAATTATCTGTTGGGTTTGGGTCAAGCTTGGGCTGGGATAAATCAGACAGGACTGAAAGATTTACAAAGCAAGAGGAGAGCTTAACGCTGGTAAGAGTCAAGAAGACATCAGCTGATCCTGCAGCCAGCCCACCAGTATAACTTATATTCCTTTTTTGACTAAGGCGGTCTGTTTGTAGAGCTGTGAATGCGTGCACGTTGTCATAGCAACAGCTAAGTTACTGACCGTTGACAGTGAGTGTGACCTCAGTCTCTCCGACTCCGATCCGGGGCACGATGGCCTTGCAGACGTACTGGCCCGCATCAGACTGGCTCACCGACTTCAGATACAGCTGGTTGTTGTTGCTGAGCACCTGCGCGCGCTCACACACACACACACACACACACACACACACACACACACACACACACACACACACACACACACAACAGAAGTTTAAGTATGCATAAAAAGCAGCAGAGGGAAGATCTGTGGGATGGAGAGTGGAGACAGACAGAGAGGGAGAGATGTTAAAAAGAGGGGAAGGAGGGAGCGAGGGAAGGAGAGAAGATCTATATTTAATTCATAAAACATGTTGATTTACTCAGCAGGCTCCATTAGTTTTTTTCCTGGAGCTTTTCTTCACTTGTTAGCCATGAATTAAAGATTTAAGATATGAAGACCGACTCTCTCTTCTAATCGTCTGCTTTGCAACTGAGCAAACATTTATGAGCTCTGGCTCTTAGATATTGATAAGGGTTGGAATTGGGGTTTTTCCCAAGTACACGGAAAGCTAAGAATTGACATATTTGATGAATTTATGAGATAAAAATGTGACTTTTGAGGTCAAAGGTCAGGAGGGAAGGTTTGGTGGTTTTCTCTCACCATGTTGGAGCCCTTCTTGGTCCAGGTCAGGGTGAGCGGGGGGTTACCAGACCACTTGCAGTTCAGCGTGACGTCAGAGTCCACGTCTACAGTAACCGGTCTGGGCTCCACCACCAGGATTGGGCCGACTGTGAGTGACAGAGAGAGAAACTGTGGTTAGACTGAGATAAATGATTAAGAGTGAAACAGACAAAGTGGAGACAGAAGTCTTTTCCTACACGAGAATCGCAAATCTAAAAAGATTAAAAATACATTTTGCCCTAAATTTTCTGTAGGAACTATTCGAGTGGAACTTTTCAAACTCTCCTTCTTGAAACGGTTCTTGTAGCTGACAGGGGGAATATCATCCCTCATCACAGAGGCCATGAGTCTGCAGCAAAGCCGTGTTGTTGTCTTCCCTTTATGCTACAATATCCTAGCGTGAGATTACATGACAGCTAGAGCGCTGAGCGGTAAAGACACACACTCACACTCACAGCGCTGTTCTGCCCTGTCTGCTCCATCAGTAATCTAGTCTCACCCCTGTACTTTGTGTAGAAGAACTATTAATCTCCCTTGCTAACCCCTCACATTTATGAAATCAACCATCAATAGTGGTCTTTAAAGCTCCTATGAGGAACTTTTGGTTCATGTAAATTTTGGCACCACCTGTAAACAAAGTAGTCCTCTGAAGTGTCGTCTTTCAAAGAAGCTGCACACTTTTATCAAATATGTAAATTACTGTAAAAACAGTTTTTTTTCTCTAAAGATATACAGTTGATGCCTACCCCCTCCCAGAAGCTAAAGGCATAAAAAAGTACAATATAAAAATTCTCAGTCTTGTCCCAAATGGTCTTGTTTGCTTTTGTACATCATAAAAATGCATCAATATGAATTCCAGCCTAACAGTTACTGGGTCACATCTATGACATAATAAAAACCCTCTTTATTTTTCAGGACTTGTTTATTTTCCTGAACATCATAATTTTTTTTAACTAATAGGATTTGTCAATGAATCCATGAAAGCTTTGTCAAAGTGAGACAGACAAAAGACAGAGAGCAGCTGATGCAGTGACTAACTATTGCATATTCACGCTGCACAATGAGAAGTGTACTGTAACAAAAGGATTACAGTATGGGTCTTTAAACAAATACACAAATATAGCTGCGGGAGCACAAACCCATCATTATTCAGTCTGACTCAGGAGTGTTACACTCACAGTGCACATCCACCAGGATGCTGACGTTGGTGCTTCCCACCGCGTTGAAGACTTGACAGGACACGGGTTCTGTGAAGAAGGAGTGATCCGCCGTGGTGACAAACACACTCTCTCTGGCCCCCTCCAGCAGCACGCCGCCTTTCGCCCACCTGACACACACACACACACACACACACACACACACACACACACACACACACACACACACACACACACACACACACACACACACACACACACAAACAGCTGAGTATTACAAATCATCGTTATTTCAGTTTGACGGTGGGGGATCTCTGAAGCATGATGGGTTTTAATAACTCTTTGGAGCTGATCCAAGTGGTAGATTTCCTCTACGAGACAATAAGAGTTTCTATATTATCAATTACAGCCATTAAAGTAACATTTAAAAAGCCTCGGTGTCAAAACCTGCAGGAGTGATTGCAAGTTTAAGAAATAAATCTATCTTCATTTCCGTCATCCGTCCTATATCTTTCCAGATATATGGCTCAAAATCATTCAAGCGTATTGCACATCTGCCATCAGATGACATCCTCATATACACTCAATAGGCTGGGAGCTTAAGTACCTGGCAGAGATCCCGCACCCAGACCCTCTGGTGGAGTCTCAAACCTCAGATTAGAAACCACTGACTTCAAGCTTTAGCATTTAGCAGTTTCCCCGCCTCGGTGCTGTCACTTCAGATAAAAGTCAATGTGTAATTGTACTATTGTTCAATACTTTCACCAATTCTGTTCAGCAAGCAGAAATTAGGATTCAGGGTCTCCTCCAGGTGCTGGTACGAGAAGATTGGAATAAATGAAAGAAAATCTATGGGCGTTCGACAGAAGTGCAGCACCGCAGGTATCAATGAGACCCTGTCCCCAAAGACTGTAGACCACCATCTAAAAGTCTATCACATTGAACAATCGGCATGAAGTTGCAGCGGTAGCAACATAAAGTTTCTCTTATTAGGGGCAGAGATTGAAATAAAGGGTTATTCTGATGTATTTCCTCGCTGTTATCAGGTTGTGTTGTAACTCAGGAAACTATTATGAATCTAAGAGTCACAAAACAACACGTACAGACTAACTGACTGGGCAGAAGTAGAGGAATACTACAGGTATTACAAGGTCCAAATACACAGAAATAAAGTCTTAAGTTTGTGAAAAAGTTTTACTCTAGTGAAGGATCGTACAGAAAGAACGTAAGTTGAAGGTAATTTACAAAAATAAAGTTACATTACAAAGTTAGATCAGTATAAGTTGTAAATTTACCAAAATAAAGTCAAAGTTTACCAAAATAAAATCTGTTCTTTTGTGAATCACTTTGGGCTGCTTGTATGGAAACGAGGATTTTTACATAAAGTTGAGTTAAATTAAATCTACGAGAGTAAATTGCCCAAAATAAAGTTTTAAGTTTATAAGAGTAAAGTTTAGAACAACTGAGTCACAAATTTATGAAAATTGGGTCATGAAATTATGAAACAGAAAAATAAAAGTTTAAAATTTACAATACTGAAGTTTTTTAAATATCACAAAAGAAAAGTTAGAATATCACAAAAACAATGTCTTAAATTTACAATAATTAAGTCACTAAAGCAAGCTCATAACTTTTTATATTGCAGCAATCTAGTTGTAAATTTATGCAAATGAAGACATTTTATTATGAAAGAAAGTTTGAAATTTAAGTTTGAAATGAAATTAAAGTCTCAATACTGTGAGAATAATGACTTCTTAAATATTAGAATCTAATTCACAAGTCTAAAGTTGTATATTTATGAAAATATAACAGTATTCATGAGAATACAGCTGAAATATTACAAAATTAAGTGTAAATTTATAAGAATAATGTTGTAGTAAAATGTGAATTGAGTCAAATTAAACAAATATGAATATTTAATTCCTGTTTGTTATTTTGAAAGTGATCTCTAAAATGAGGCAGTTGGCTCATCCTTGAAACTCTCTGAGTAAGAACAGCTGTTTTAAAAACATCAGTCTGTCCTGCATCAGAACAGACTCAGTTTATAATCAGAGTCCTGATACTCGAGACAATGCGGTGATTATTTCAGAGCACGCAGCTGCTCTTCATTTAATCCCCTTTAAAATAACGGATTGGCAAACCATGGACTCAAATTACAACTTTAAAGTTCGGCTTTATTCTTGTAATTCCTTTTTGTCAGATTTATAACATTTTTCTATAATGTGGCCGTCAAACTCATCATCAAAACTTTTATCAGTAACATTTATGTTTTTCAGGTGTAAACCGACTCTTTCTGTTGCTCTCCATCCTTTAGACACTAACCTGTCAAGAGAACGACTGCACCATAGTACACCTTTAAACTCCTCTCATACCTGTAGCCCATGATGGGAGGGTTGGCAGAGGCCTGGCAGGTGAAGGTGACTCTTTCGCCCTCCAGGACGGAGCGAGGCTCGATGGATAGGGTCACCATAGGAGGGTCTGTGTGAGGAGAGACACATTAAGTAAAGAGAAACTTAAACAGCTGCTGTGTTATTCAGCCTATTTGTGCGGCGCAGTGATTGATTTCTTGCACTTTAATCCAAACAAACTATAAACTCCACAATAACTCTCTCTGCAGCCCTCTGTACTAACACAGCATAAGTTCAGCCATATCTGCTGTTACCGCAGTGATTTTCACAGTAATTACTAACTTCTCTGGGTTTGAAAACTCATCAATCTTCTCTCGATTGAAAATTCAAAGTTCAGTTTTTCTTGTGAGCAATCAGTCCTCGTTTCTCCCCCTCAGGGACACGAAACTCAAATCATTTTAAACACACAAACTTTTTCAGATGTTGAAGAAAATCAACAGGCTGGACTGATTAAGTGAGAAAATTATCTGCCCGAACGAAGAGGCCAAATCGATGGACGGAGAAGCTGGAATTGGCCCAAGTTTGATGATATATAGAGCAGATTTTGGTTGTTTTTGAGGCTTAACGTTCATAAGTTTGTGTGTTCACAGCAAAGCAGCCTGGCCTCAGTAACCTGAGCCGCTAACATGAGATCAAAACCTCCGCTGACTAACTTTCATCATTACTGTACAAGCTGATGTCGAGGCTGTAGTTGCTGTTGTTAACATCAGACATGATTTTGAAAATATTGTTGGCATTGCTGCCATTTTGCTGGATTCGCACATGCTAAAATCTTTAGAAAATGTCCTGAAATTTTTTCTTGAAAGTTCCCTAAAAATCTTTCAGAAATTTCCTGAAATATTTCTCAACACAGTTTTTTGTAAATGTCATGACCTTTCCTGAAAATGGTTATAAAATTTCCAGATTTTCCCTAAAATTTCAGGAACTTTCCTTAGATTTCATAAAAAGGTTGTTTCAAAAAAATTTCCTGAATATTCTCTCAAAATTCTCTAAAAAGAAAATTCTTTAAAAAGTCCTTTAACTATTTTATAAAATGTCCTGAAATCTTCTGAAAATTTCCCAAGATTTACCAAAATTTTGGAAAAAATTGGGAATTTTTCAGAAAATTTTCCTTATAATTTTCCAAAAATTTACCAAGATTTTACAAAATATTTAAATTATTTTCCAACCATTAATGAGAACGTTTTTGAAAATTTCCAAACATTTCTCAGAAAATTTCCTGAAATTTTTTTTTCAAGGAAATTTCCACAAAATGTTTCAAGGTATTTCTTAAAATTTCGAAAAAAATTTAGGACATTTTCCAAAACTTTCCTGGAATTTTTCTGACAAATTTAATGATTTAAAAAAAAATTTTTTTTTAGAAAATTTCTATAATCAGAAACACATATGAACGCATTTGAACCCTCTGACTTTACCCAGACTTTTCCCTGCCGGGCCCTCTTGCAACTTTTAAAAGAAGTCTAGATAGGTGTGTTTACACCAAAGCAGCCTGGCCTCAGTAACCTGAGCCGTTCTGACAGGGATATAAGAGCAACATACGGTGGACATTGAGGGTAACCGTGGCTCGTTTGCCCATGGGCACCGCAGGGTTGCTGGCCACGCAGGTGAAGTTACGGCCGCTGTCAGTGTCGGCTGGCGAGATGGGAAGGTAGCTCCTGGTGGTTACCCTCTTCCTGTCTGGCAGCACCTCCTGCACGGCGTAAGGAGTGATAGAGAAAGGAGGGTGTGGGTAGAGTTTAAGAAGGAGGAGTAGGAGGTAAAGGACAAAAAAGTAGAGAGACATAAGAAGGTTATTAATACACTTTAAGTTTTAGAAAAATGACACAAACACTGGAAATAGAAACTGTTATCCGAAGGTAGGAAACAAAGTGAGCAACATTTTCAAACATGATGCTCAAAAGGAAAAAAAAGAAACTGTGGAGGAGAATTTAATTTAAGCATTTTAAAGAAACTCGTGTTTTCTACTTTATCTTCACAGTTCAAAAGTTGAATGTTGCTGCAGGAAAATAACTGCCGACAAAATGTTCCTCCAGTTTACACAAAAAATCAGTTTTTTTAATGACAGAGGAATTTACATCCATAATGAGAGCCGAGCACTTCAAAAGAAACGAGGGGAAAGTGTTTCGGTGATTCAAACAGGCTTCACCGCTGCTCTTCTCACTTTTATGTCATCGTAGATTAAAAGTATTTTCAGATTTCAGTAATTGGTCGGAGAGAAGATGCAATTTGCAGATATAATAGAAAGACATAATGATGTTTCAGCGGTAAAACACAAGATATAAATCCTTCCCTGCGCAATAACACTGCTCCCACAAGGCACGTCATGCACATCCAAGCATGTGCCGCACCTCCAGGACCTCCTCTCGCGCCCTTGGCTCCCACTCTTTCTCAGAGATCATTCTCTACAGTAGTTGTCTTACAGGTTTCCCGAACAAGCAGATAAAAAAGCATACAGCAAAATCTGCTCCACGGTGTGCTCTTCATGCACAGCAGTGTATGTGCGTGGTCAGTGACACAGCAGCACAAGAGCAGCATGCAATATGTATGAGCATGTGTGGGGGGGCTGAACACTGGCTGCAAGATGTAAAAACATGTGCGTTAGAAAGTGTGACTCACTGTTTGCTGCTGTGTGCATACAACATGAGTGTGCAGACATATGTGTGAATGTGTGTGTGTTAGCGCTCAAAAACAAGAGCTTATATGAGCAGGGGAGTATGGGGGCATGGAGACCATCCTCAGTGTCACCATGTGCATCTCCTACTCATATGAGGGCATGCAGTGTGTGTGTGTGTGAGTTAATTAAATGTGTCTTGTATTTGTGTGTCCAAAGTTGAGTCACGACCGCAGTGTGTTCAAAGCAAGTTGAGTTTAAAGGATCAACACCTACATGTGTATTGCTGTGAAAGATTTGCTGATGGTGTTACACACAAGTGACGGGGAAGTACAATCAGACACACTTCACATGTGGACGCCAGGTCAGAGGTGAATCAGCACTGATCTGAAGAGGCTATCGTGAGATCAAAACCTCCACTGACTAACTTTCATCATTTCTGTACAAGCCGATGTCAAGGTTGTAGTTGCTGTTGTTAACATCAGACACGATTTTGAAAATATTATTGGCAATGTTATCATTTTGCTGGATTCACACGAAAATTCCCTTAAATATTTCCAAATATTCTCTTTTTTTCCCAATGTTTTGAAAAATGTCTTAAATTTTCTAAAAATACCCTGATAATTTTTTTTTTTATAAAATTTATATTTCCCTAAAAATTTAAACATTTCTCAAGATTATTCCTAAAATTTATCCCGAAAAAATCTTTTTGACATTTTCTGAAAGTTTTCTTAAATTTTTTGCTGAACATTCCCTGAAATTAATTCTAAATATGTATGCAAAATATCAGGAAATGTCCTGAGAATTAACAATATAAAGGCTGAAACTGTCTTCAAACTGGTGGACACTGCTTGACCCTCATCCTTTTTTCATCTCCCTTCGCCTTCTCAGACTCAGGACGGTCTTCAGGTTCTCCCATATGCAGATCCTCAAACAGCTGTCCAAAAATTGATCAGTTTAAAACATTTAACTCAGTAATTCATTTAGATGGAGGTGTTTCTCTCTTTTTTCGTACTTGTGCGCACTTGTTTGTGTGGTATTTTTGTGCTCCCGCTCTCGTCTGATCTCTTTCTCACATTTCCTCGTCAAATATTTTAACCTAATGAACATAAATGTGGAACTGTGACCCGACAAAGCACGAGCAGTCATGCAGTCTCAATCAAGTTTCATTTCAGACCTCATTGCCTTTTGTTCAGTTCTCAAAACCTGCTAAATGTTGAAAAATCACAATTACTATAATTTTCCAGGATTGTTGTCGTGCTCAAACACTTCAATTACAAATCAAATGAAATGTTAAACAGCTTAATAAGGCTGAGTGACAGAGCGGGGATGACTGAGCTGTAATTTCAGATCGAAAAAAGCCCACTAAGACTGAGAGATACGAAGAAGGAGAAGTGCTACTCTCATTTTTGATTCTGTTTATTACAATTTAAGTCCTTTTCTGGCCTCAAAACTGCTTTCATGTGATGAATTGTGCATCAAGAGCGCATTTATGACGATAATTCTTCAACCACACCAAGCAGGAGGATATAAAGTCTCATTTTTGTACATATATGGAACACTTTTGTGTTGCTGAACTTGCATTAAACTTTCTTTATCCCTAACAGAGCTTCAGTAAAATCCAAATCAGTGATAAAGTCGCAGATTTGACTTTGATATGGAAAGTAGACGCTGCCGATGCACTTCAGAGCCGTCTGTGCTCATTCGTGATCATAAATCGTAAAATAAATCGGCTCACAGAGGCTTCAGTCTCCCACCAGGTTGTAAACAGTTCTGCTCACAGGTTAGCAGGTCACCGTGTACAGTCTGCAGGCATCCTGAGAGTTTAATTTAATGCCTGGATGAAGACGTTTTTATTTTTCCGAGAAAGAAGCGTAATCATCTTTGGCGACTTTCTGCACTGGGCTGCCTCCTCTGCTCGCTGTATTTGCCTAATGCAGGACTCCAGGGGTGATTTGCAGCCTGAGGTGTAAATACTGTAATTCCCTTTTGAAAAAGCCGGCAGCAAAAAGCATCAAACAAACAAACAGACTAAGCGGCTGCTACTTAGGAGCAAATTAAAAAAGGTCTGAATATGTGCTCTGCGCTCTCTGAAGCCACTTCAGGTGTGTCATGTGAATCAGGTCATTCATTGTGTCGTGGTTTTCTTCGTCTTTTATGAAGCTTGACTCGTGTGTGTGAGTGTTTGCTGCAGGTGTGTGAATCACCGTGGACTGGTAGGCTCCGTCTATGAGGACTCCATCCTTGGTCCACTGGATGTGCGCTGCAGGCTTGGCCCCGCGGGTCACACAGGTCAGGTTGAACGGGGTCCCAGCCATCAGCAGGAGCTCCGGGGACCCGTCGACCACCGGGTCCTCAGGGGGGACTAGAGGATAGACACACACACATATATCTGGACTTAAAAAGGACACATGCAGAGGAGCATTCATGCATACAGGCAGAGTTGTACATTTAAATACAGTAAATATACTCAGAATTAGGGATGCACGATATTTATCGGACCGATAAAATATCGGCCGATATGGGGGGAAATTACGTCATTTTTTATCGGTCCGATAGGTGCATTTTTCCGATAGAAAGATCCGATATATTAATGAAATTACGAGTAACGTTTGCAGGCGGAGTAGCCGCCCGTCCGAGACGCGCTGGTCACGTCGTCTATCAAGCCTTACTCGCAGGTCCCAAGCCTGACCCCGTCACTGCCTGACAGATAATAAAATGTCTTCACCAGCATGGTCGTTTCTCTCAGTGGCAGAGGATGACAACAGCATTGCTATATGCAAAACCTGTTCAGCGAGGATTCCAAGAGGAGGAATGAAGACGTCAAGTTTTAACACAACGAATCTGATAGCTCATCTGAAAAGTCGCCATCGCGGCGGAGCAGTATTAAAGGACTATGAGACAGCCGCCGAAGCTGCTAGCGGTACTAAAGCTAAGACAACAACACTACGGAGGATCGATGTCCCCATTCAGCAGGCGTTTAAGAACTGCAAAAGCTTCTCAAGAGACAGCGAAAAGGCTAAAGCCATTAACGACAAAGTGATGGAGTTCATAGCGGTCGACGACCAGCCTTTTTCCGTCGTTGAGAACCCGGGTTTTCGTAAGTTCATAGCACACTTGGAGCCACGTTACACTCTCCCAAGCCGCCGCTTCTTCTCGGATGTGTCTCTTCCTGCACTCTATGATATTGTCGCCACATACATTCACAACCTGATCGACAAGAACGGACTACACGTGAGTTTTACCACAGACATATGGACGTCAGATGTTAGTCCGGTCAGCATGCTAATCCTAACGTCTCATAATAGCTCCTTTACAGTTTACAGTTCTGTTGAACAGTTCAGGGGATCAAATGAAGTTCTGCTTTTTGCTCTGTTATTGTTATTTATAGCAACTGACCACATTTGAAGAGCCAAAAACTTTTGTTTGTTGTTCTAGATAGGCCAGAGCAACAAAAATATCAGTTTTCAATCGCTGCATCCTGCACAAACTGCAGATTATAATAAATGTAAAAATATGAATTTATCGGTTATCGGTATCGGTATCGGCCATGAGAAGAAGAAAATTATCGGTTATCGGTATCGGTTGAAATTTTTCATATCGTGCATCACTACTCAGAATGTTGTCTACATTATGGTACAGCAGACTCTGGTCTTGGTTTTGGCTCATATGCAGGTACATCATTCTTAAAATGAAGCTAATGTTTTTAAAATTTCATATTCTGGAAATAGAGCACACAATTTAGACCAAAACAAAACAAAATTCTATGACTGATTTCATTTTTTTTGGCTCTTAAAGCTGCTGTGTGAAATTTCCTGTTTATGTTGGCGCCCCCTGTGGCCAAAGCTGCATCTCTAATGTGTTAGCTGAGGGTTCAATTCTCTTTTATTTAGCAATCAAGCCCTGAGATATCAATGTTGACTGAATATTGACTAAAAAGTGCTAAAAAGAGGACAGTACAATCTATAGATTTAATGCAAAATCCACTCGCTCCGTTAGACCGGTGTAATTATTGGCCAAAGTAAATTCTGACCTACTTCGGCCGTAGATTTAGTTTAAGTTTTGCTTTTTGGACAAAAACGTCTTTTAGTTTTCGTCATTTTTGCCTGTTGGCTAACAATCAAAACACTTCAGTCTTTAGATTAAGCCCAAACATTTTCTGACTTTAAATTAAATGAATAAATCAGTTAGAAATGTATAGCATAGCTGGACTAGTGTTTAAATCTGCCTTGAGTTTAATACAAATATATCTGGATTTTCTGCTGTAACTGAGGGATTTAATTTAGACTCTCCCTCCAGTGAAATGCTGTTTGCTGACGATGCACTGGACTATTTATAAGAAATGATCCTTAATCCAAGTCAACACGCCTACTGTGAAGACTTAAAACTCGACTGGCATACATGAAGAAAAAGCTGAACAGCATATACTATAGCGTGCCTGAAAGAAGCTTGAGACTGTGCCATCTTCACTCCTATCTTTGGCACGCACAGCAGCGGTGGAAGTGTTCAAGTGACTGAAAGTGACAGAGTGAGCTGCGGTGCTCGATCGACGTGCAACTACAGGACATAAGACGGCAAAACTGAAAAACAAGAAGTGATTCTCAGGTTGTTTCAAGGCAGTTACACTCCTGAGGACCTACAAACACGTCTGCATCTCTGCACGGATGTAGATGAAGATGCTGGATTTAGTTTTTGTCAGAAATGAAGCCCGTCCATGTGCAGCTGTGGACTTACTGAGCACGTTGAGTTTGGCCCTCCTGGATCGCAGCGCGGCCTCTGTGGCCTGACACTCGTACAGAGAGTCATCAGACAGCTCAGAGTGGGAGATCTCCAGGTTGTACTGGCCGATGTCCAGAGCCCGCAGCACACGGTACCTGGGCCAGGCTGCAGGAGACACACACACAAACACAAACACAAACACACACACACAGTTAAACATATGCAGAGAGCTTCAGTCAGAGACTCACTCTTTGATTCATCGGCTCGTTAGTGTCTGTTTTAGCTCCACTGTAAGTCATGTGTGTTTATTTACAGGTCAGAAAAAACCTGATGCATTTGGAGGGAGAACTTGAGGAGCGTCATTTAAAAATAGTGTACCACCTGGAAACTCGACCTGCTGTTTAAAAATGATGGCTGGCATGGGGGAAGAGGCACATTAGGAGATGCTATTATAGTGATGAGTCATCATTACAGCACCGCTCTCACTGAAGACCTGCGTCTTTATTTAAGCAACAAGACGTGATGAATCTCCTCTAAAGCGGAGACTTATTTCAGGTTTAAACAAAAGTTTGTCTCCTTTAAACAAACAGAAAAGATGACACCCAGAAGACGGAGAGCTCGAGGTTGATATTTTGATGTTTTTCTCACACATGATTATTTATTTTGTTATTATGGAAGTACAAAAATCTGTGTTCAAATCTTTGAGCTGAAAAAGAACTTGATAAGGAACACGGGAAGAAATTTGGCAAAGTTAATGAGGCCTCAAATTTAGTCGTTTACTGAACACGCTGTGATTTTTGATAAGAAGTAGTCCTTCAGACAGTTTTTCACATTTTCTTCTTCCAGTCTTCTCCGAATGTCTTTCCTTTCAGAAAAGAGATGTTTTTCACACACTTTTCCGGAGTCATTTTCTGATGTTTTGAATTTCACCCCTCCTTAAAAAAAAAATTACCATTCGTCTCTATTGTTGGAGCAGAAAACTCAGAGACTAATAAACCGAACTATTAGAGTAAAATCAGGGATGTTGTATTTGCTCTCTGCTGCATGTTCAAACCTCGAACAAAAGAAGCAAAAGAAAACACGTGTCAATTAATCCAGTGACATTTTTAAGCAATTAAATTCTTATAATTTTGAACGCAAGTATGTTACAGACACACTTTATAAAACCAGATCCTCATTATCATTTTGATTCAGAGTAATTTGCCTCTCCTCTGAAGCTACAGCTAGTTTTAATCAGGTTTCAATCCATAAAGAAATTCACTTACATGTGTTAAGACACTAGAGGTATGAACTGATTACTTAAAAGTCTACAGACCAGGCTTCTGGTTAGATCATAAAAACACGATAATTGAGACTGAATGAACTTGTGCTGCATGTTTCGTCTCACTTGTCTTGGCTCTCACTTTCCCTTCGTAAATAACAGCTGAGATTGTTCTGCATCAAAGTTTGGGAGCGTGAGGAAGTTGCAGATTTGATTATTAGACTGCTGTCTGTTGAATAGGGGTGTCCAGATATAACTTTTTTACTTCCGATACAATACCGATATTGATATAAACTTGTGCATGACAATTTTTCACTCAGATGCCACGTCTTTTTCGGATTTTAACGAAAAATAACGCCACACGGCCAACCTCACTCCTACATAGGGTTACCATACATCTCTTTTTTTCACAGACATGTCCTCTTCATCCTTCAAATGTCTGCGGTTTTGTATGGAAGTTTTGAGTTTGTGTCGCATAGACTTCCTGAGTTAGAAGCGCTTAAAAAATACTTGACCCGACCCAACGTGCGACTCCATAACTCAGACGTCGTGTCCTCTTTTTGGAGATTCAGAGTGAGGTCATCCTACTCCTACTCTTTGCTACTTTGTTAGTACCTTAGTACACACTGTTGTTGTGATCACATGGGCTCTGTATGCTGGGTCCGGGCACTGCGAGATAGAAGTGCTGGAGCGGAGTCTGGAATGGACTGCTCATATCACAGTGCTGATATTGGAGATTTTATATGATCTGATATTTTTTATTTTGTTTTTTTGCTGATATCGGACCGATATCCAATATTCAATATCAATATTGTCTCTAGGACATCCCTAATCGTGAACATGTGCTACAGCAGTGCAGACTATCACGGAGAGAGGAGAGCAAGGAAAGGAGAAGGAGGATGAAGGTGTGTCTGAAAAGCAAAGGGACGGCACATCTGTTCATGTTAAAATCAGATTTTATTCCCAGTTCTTGATATTTTGAAGTTGCAGATTTGCAAAGTTATAGTTGAAGTCAATTCATGTGCAACTGTGTTGAATAATCCTGATCTTAACGCCAATAAAATGATCATGACTGTGAGTGTTTGTTGTAATCGAGCAGCTCTAACTCTGGTGCCTACTCAATTTCAACAACATTAAGTTTGTCAGAGGTTATTTATAATCTGTGTGTCTATTCTGGATCTGGACTCTAGTAAAAGTTGATTTGCTCCAGCGGAGGTTTAGGATCTTGGACTGAAGTGGCGGCGAAACCTCCCAAACTCTTTGATTCAGTGTCAGTGACTGTATTTATGTTTTCGCGCTGGTGCCTGACTCATTCGCAAGATAAAGCAGGTGATAAAGCTCCTCTGAAACGGATAAAGCCGAACAGTGAAAGAATTATCTCCATCAATCAAAGGCAGAGAGCAGCAGCGGCGGCAGCAGATGACGGGATCTGCATTTATGTGAAAATGTCAAAGCTATTCATCACAACATAAAGATACCACGAGCATCAGGAGCATTTATTTGATGAATTTTCGAGGGCCTTTTTTGGACAACCCACTCCAGAGAACATGAAAGAGTGTACTCTGCTCAACACAAACACACACACAGTACACAAACAGCTGGAGGGTTTCTGCACACACACACACTCACACACAGATCAAACATTGACACATAAACAATGATGCCACATCAATTTCTGTATGCTGCACACACTGCCGAACTACAGGCAGCACCGTTCCAATTACAACACCCCCCTCCTCTCCCTGTTTGAACCCTCGCCTCTCAGACAAAGACATAATTGAGCGTGACGTCCCACTAGGGGGCACTCATTGATCCTCCGTGCCCAATCCTAACATGACATCATGGATTCAGATGGCAGAGGCAGCAGGAAGGCAGGCGGGGAGGCAGGGAGTCGAGGGGGGGGTGCGTAGAGGAGGAAGGAGGAAGGGTGCGGGGGGCAAAAGTATTAGTGGAGATTACATCATCCACTCCGGCACCTCGCAGCATAGCAACCACAGAGGTGAAAGCACCCCGGGGAGAAGGAGAAGGAGAAGAAGGAGGTGGAGGAGGAGGATGAACAATAAACTGATGCCTGCAGGAAGAGTGCAATATGTTAGGAGTGTTTGCATTGACACCTTCAAAGAGAAAACACACAGATGTCATGCATGCGCGTTCAGAGGGCCTTTCTTTCAAATTAGACGTATGCTAAATGGACACGCAGTGTGATTTGTCTGCGAGTGAGCACACTCTCCTGCGTGTGAGTGTGTGTGGGCGTGCAAACTGCAGGTATGAATTCACAGCTCAATCTGCACTCCCACACCGCCATCAACAGCTGTATAAAATCATACAGGGCGCACAACAACAACAACAACAAGCTCTAATATGTCAGACTTCATGCACCAGTGACACCTCGTCAGATCAGAGTGCATTAATACGACACGCTGCTGCAACAACACATTAACACAGCACACACACACACGCACACACACACACACACACACACACACACACACTCTCTCTCTCTCCTCCATTAAGACATGACTTTGTGTTCACACCATCAAACAAGAGCAGCAGCAGAGATTGAGAGACAGTCTGTCAGGGATGGAGAGACGACGAGTGGCAGCGCAGACGACTTAAGGATAAATAATGGACAGAAGGTGATGATGGATGGATGAAAAGCAGAGGAAAAGAGACAAAGAGGACAACGTGTTTATCAAACGCTGGTGTGTTTGTCAGCAGAGCCCGGCTCGCAGGAGGCTACAAGGACAAAGAGAGCATTACAGGGAGAAGGAGGGAAGAAGGAAAGGAGGGAGGGAGGGAGGAGATAAAAAAGAGAGAGAGGGGAGAGAGGGGAAGGAAAGGAGGAGAGGGGCTAGGAAATGTATGAGGGGAGATGATGGAGCTGCTGGTAAAAGACGGAGGAGAGAGGTTTGAAAGAAGAGGGAGGAGGAGACAGGAGCAGAGAGGAGGAGAGGAGGAAAAAAAAGAAGAGACAAAAACAGAGAGGAGGAGAAGAGGACAGGAGAAAAAAGAGACAGGAGCAGAAAGGAGGAGAGAAGGAAAAAAGAGGAGAGTAGGAGGAAAGAAGCGACAGGAGCAAAGAGAAGGAGAGTTGGAAAGAAGAGACAGAAAAGAGGAGGAGGAGAAAAGAAGAGACAGGAGCATGGAGGAGGAGAGGAGGAAGAAGTGATAGGAGAAGAGGGGAGAAGAAGGGGAAAGAAGAGAGAAACAGAAAGAAGGAGAGAAGGAAATAGACAGAAGCAGAGAGGAGGAGAGTAGGAAAGAAGAGAGACAGAGAGGAGGAAGGAAAGAAGAGTGAAACAGAGAGGAGGAGAAAAGGAAAGACAAGGCTGGAGCAAAGAGGAGGGGAGGAGGAGGAAAAAAGAGACAGGAGCAGAGAGGAGGGGAGGAAAAGGGAAAGAAGAGACAAAAACAGAAAGGAGGAGAAGAGGAGGAGAGGAGGAAGAGATAGAAGCAGCGAGGAGGAGGAGGAAGGAATTGAAAAGAGACAAACTGAGAGAACAAAGAGAAAAAGGTGAGCAAGAGGAGAGACAATAAGGACATGAAAAAAAGGAGAGAGGAGAGACAAAGATGAAACAAGGAGTTAAAAACTGAACGACAGAAAGAGAGAGGGAGCATGGAGGAGAGAAAAATGTAAGAAAGAGAGGGAAATAATGATATCAGAAAGAGAGTAGGAAGAAAGGTAGGTAGGTACGTAGGTGGGCAGGTAAATAGGAAGGAAATAAGGAAAGTAAGTAGGAATGAGGTCAATAGAAAAGATGGAGTTAGGTTAAGAAAGGAAGGAAGAAAGGAAAGAACGGAAGGTGGGAGGGTAGTAAAGGAGAGAAGAAAGGGCAGAAGGATTTAAGAAAAGGAAGAGAAGGAAAGGAGGAAAGGATGGAATGAAGGGAGGGAGGACAGAATAAGAGAAGGAAGATCACAAGAAGGATAATGGAAGAAAGAAAGGAAGAGAGGGAAGAAGAAAGAGCTGAGTGAGAGGAGAGAGAGAGAAGGACGAAGAGAGAAATAAAAGGTAAAGGTGGGAGAGAGAAGAGAGGAGAGAAGGAGAAAGAAAGAGAGAGAGAGAAAGAGAGAGAGAGAGAGCGAGAGAGAGTGAGAGAGAAAGGGAGATAGAGGGAGTCATGTTGACCTTTAATGAACCTGTGAATTAAATTGAGTTGAACACAAGATTCACATCACATGTCGGCTCATCACTTGTGTGACTGTGTGTTTCTTTGTGTTTGTGTCTCTATGTGTGACTTTGTGTGTTGCTCTCTATGTGTGTCTTTGTGTGTCTCTGTGTGACTTTGTGTGTCTTTGTGTGTTTGTCTCTATGTGTGTCTCTATGTGTGTCTTTGTGTGTCTTTGTGTGTCTTAGTGGGTGTTTGAATGAGATCTTTTAGCGCTCTGCGGTGTGAGCAGCTCTTGTTGTATTTCTTCCAATAAAAATGAGTTTACACTTGAAGGAAAGGTCACCGAGGATGACAGAGCTAATGTACTCGCTGCTCATGATGTGATGTGATGTCGGGTACATTATCGGATTGTTCGGTAAAGTAAAGAAAGATCTCTGACATTTCTCTGTTAGATGAATGTCTTTTTCCAACTCCCAACACTCAGTTTCATGTCGAGCTTTGTGTAGGAGATAAGACAGTCGCAGGTAATTTTTTCACATCAGGTGTGACATTTGAGTTAGAGTCTGAGAATCAAACTTCGCTAACTCAGAACGTCATTTTCCTCACAGTTAGAGAAGGAAACTCATATTCAGATGCCGCAGCAGGATCGAGACGACAATCATAATCCAAATGTCAGAAGGAGTTAAAAATCGGGGAGCTGGTGCTGGTTTTTGTAACGTGCACGTTTATTTGAGAGTCTTTTCCAGTCCAGAGAAATTCTCACTTTTAATCTAATTTCACCCGAGTAATTAAGTGTAAATGTGAAGGTGCTTGAATGATGTTTTTTTGAGGCTTTAATTTCAATTCTTGATACTTTTCTTTGACCAACTTTCTGCAGAGTTCAGTTAAGCGGTGAATTATGATTTGGAGTCCTTTTTCATCTTTCAGCCAATAAAAGCCTGAAAGATCATTTTGTCTGAGTGAAATACTCAGCTGCTGAAATTCATGACGGGCGACGCTGCAGCTGTATTTCATCACTTTCACAGGCTTTTCTCTCTCCTCTGCTCTCACTTTGGCCGTTTCCTGCGTGCAGAAAAACACCTTTTCTCTGTCTATTGTGGCTGTGACCCTTTTACTCTCCTCTCTTTTGCTTGCATTATATGCCTCCCTATATTTGAAAGCGAGTGTATTCTGCTCCTCTGTTGCACTCACAGTAAGTCACTCTGGATGTGCGTGTCGGCTTATGCGAATGTGCGTCTGCTTTTGTCAGCAGTGTGAGGGATTTTCTCTAATTCAGCATGATATACAGGACTCATTTTTGCCCAGATTGTCACTCACACGCCTCTTGGCTCTTAAATCTCTCTCTCTCCCTGCGCACTGTTCATTCCCTTAATGTTAAAAACCCCCTACACTTTCAGCCATAATAGCTTTTGTCAGGGTTCTTAAAGTCAAAACTGAACCGAAACCGTGGCTGAGTTATTCCCCTTCTTCCCTTCACTTTGATCCTCGCAGCTCGGGGAAGCTGTGAGGTTTCTTTCTGCTCCCGCTCCAGGATCTCGTCCCCCCCAGTCTTACCTCGGAGACCCTCTCCGATGCCGAGGGCCAGGCCATCCTTGGTCCACTGTACGATGCCGCTGTAGTTGAAGATGACGCAGGACAGCACCACCCGTTCCCCCAGCACCACTGACTGGTCGGCGGGCTCCTGAGAGAAGCGAATGCACCACACTGCAACAGAGGGACAGGGAGGGAAATCAATTTTAAGTTCCTTTCATTGTGACCTGGCCGTGAGCCGCCATCTTTTATTGCACTGTATCGAGCCACACGGTCCCTCTCCGGCCTTATCGACTGCTGTTTGTCCATATGGAGGCAGTTTGGGTGATTTGTTGTGTCTTTATTGTGTATATGCTGTTTTTACTGCACTCTTTTATTATGTGTTTTTATTGTGAGTGTGTTTTAATATGAACTCTGCGTGTGAGTGGAATTCCTCTTATGAGACGGCGAGGTTTTCAAACCATTTTATGCACAAAATGCAATGGCTCAGTGAGAGGATGCAGGAAAAAGCAGATTTTACTCTTAAACGCTGGGCCAGAGGGGATCTGTATCCGGAATAATCCTGTTCATTTTAAGCATCATGGTGTTAAAACTCAGGATGGGGAGCTTGAATGCTGTTGTCTTATTTTAGACCCGCTAAAGCACCGTAAACACGAGGTAAACCCAACAAACTGTTACTGATACCAACATTTAGATATGATCTAATGCGTTAGACAAACAAAGAGGATTGTACGCAATATTTCTTCTAAAATAGGGCTCCAGAACTCTTAGAGCTCCCCCCGGTGGCTGGTTGCAGTATAGGTCATAAGCCCAGTATTTTGACACTGAATCTCCCTATGCGCTCATATCAATCCCTGCCTCGAGTACTTGTTTATAAGCTGCTCCGCACACTCCTCTTTACGCTAGCTTGCAGCCTAACTTTGCCGGTGTAGTAGAATATTCAGCTCTCGGACACGAATATCTTTAGCGGCATGATGAAAGTTTATTTCATAATTAGCTTTCTTACAATCATTGCAATCTACTAACGCACACGCTTGTTCCGTGATAATTGCACTTAAATTAATTTTATTTTTTTTTTTTCGATTACTAAAACATTTGAAAGCTACAGACCTGAAGTCAATGCAGGTCTGATGCTGCTATTTTCCAGCATGGCTAGTAGAGCAACAGTGCTCTACTATCCAAATGCAAACAGGCACAGATGACAGATGGCTCCTCATCGTGCAAATGGTGCAGGTTGGGCTGTTCCTCATTAAACTGATACCACATAATAGACAGAGGCATCAGGATGTGATCCTGCAGAAACAGTAGCCAGTGTTTTTACCCACAGATGCCTAAGAGTATAAATCTTATTCCCGGATCTGGTAAAATGGCATCATTGGAATTTGAAGTAACTTTGTGAAATAAAATGATGAGATTTTATCACTGAGAAATATTTGCTGCATGTAATAGATCTAAAGAGCCAGAAAATACAAGAAAGTAAGGTCAGGTATTCTGAACACCCTCAAAAATGTCAACATCGTAAAGAAATGAGAAGAAATATCTTTGGTATCTGGTTTTTCATTCTTCCAGGGCTCGATTGAGTTCACATAAAGGAATATCTCAGCTCTGTCCCTCAAAGATAGAGTGAAATCTCTCAGATATATTGCACAGCGCTGCATTTTTCTGCATTTATTCCAGTATAAAGTCATTTCAATGACTTTTTTTTTGTTAGCTGGACTCAGAGCTCATTTGCCTGGATTAGCATATTCGTCATTCCTCTGTGCCTTCGAACGCTGTTTCGTCTCTTTCTTACCCCCTTTTCAAGTTTTCCCTGGACTTCACTGGGGCTTATGTGTGTCTCTGCGTGGGCATTTGTGAGTTAAAGCGTGCATGTGTGTGTGTTTTTCTGCATGGATGTGTGCGTGTAAATGTGCAGCACGGCCATCCTTGCCAAGCTGTGATACAGCCTGCTCTTTTTCATCACACAGTACAAAGGATTTTGCTTACACACTCACATTTCCTCCAGCAAAATAAGCCTTTTGGCGATTGCAGAGCCACTAAAATACACGGGTATAAAAACTACAAGTGTAGCACCGGCATACATTAGTGCTCTCACATAAAGAGAAAGTGTCAGGTGAGGAGGCGAGGCACTAACCCGCTGCTGCTGTTTTCAGCCGTTTGCATCATCAGGTAAAATTGTTTCATATTCCAGAGAAAGTCTTGCGAGAAGGCGCTTTAATTAAGAGAGTGAGGAGGAGGACTGTGGCGCCTTAGATGGCACACGCACTCGACTCAGCCTCGCACAAACAGCGACTTCTGCACACACTTCACTCATTCATGTACATGCATGGAGTCACGCAGCTGTGAAGACATACATGCAAGCACACACACACAGACACTTCCAGAGCTGGTGTTTGTCTTCCCCAGGGCTATTCTGTTCTTGGATCATGGTTAAAACAATCCTATTAGCTAATTAAGGCAAAACTGCTTAATAAAGCAGGCCGTGGCTCTGAGGGACACGTCTCAGTGGGATTCCAGCACAAAGGTGCAAACAACAGGGAGATCCACTGATTTGTCAGGAGGATTACACGACCTGTCATGTTATTTGTGCAGACGGCTGGTTTTAATGTAGACAGGGATCTTCAGACTTCACAGGGAGCACTTTGATGTTTCGTCAACTTTCCTTTTGAATACCGAATCAAGAAGACGACTGCTGTGACTGTGAGCTGTTTGAGCTGGAGTCTTTTTGAACTTAAAAGGAGGATTCTCCTTAAAACTCTTAACTACTGCAGTTGTTCGGCTGTTTTTTTTGTTTTTTTTTCTGGCCAAGGATAAAGTGGATGGTGTGGCTCTGAAATATCATCTCTAAGATATGTTTTTTTTTTTCATATATCCCGCATTTTTCTGCATTTTTCGTCCTTACTTCGATATTTTAGAAAAAAAACATTCTCAAGTATCAATCCATTAAAGTCTGTGAAAGTGTTTTTAATCTCTTAAACTCCAGACCTGCTTTTTTTCAGATGCTCATGCTTATTCTGAATCTTTCAGGCTTATTTTAATCCTTGATTTCAGATATTTTTGCGCCTGCTCACAGTTATTCTGCACTTTCATATTTAAGATATTATCTGGCTGTTTGCAGTGAGATGCTTATATTCACAGCATGACAGCTAGTTAACGGTTTTAAGTCCTCCAATTTTGTTTTACATTAAGAATTAAAACTGTAAATATAAATACTACAGCTCAAAATAGCACCATAGTTAGCTAAACGGAAATACGCTGAGTCATGCTGCTAGCCACTACCTTGCAGCTCTGCTAACTGTCAATTAGCAACTCACACAAACAACTCGAGTCATTTCATTCTGTATTATCAGAAGGCTCTGTCAAATACTTGATCCTGATTGGTCAAAACCCCATCATGCTAATTTCCCCTCAGCCTGTTGACTCTGGGGTGAAAGTGTTAGCCTCTGTTGAAGACTGGTCTTCAGAGTCAGCCTGAGGAGCTTCTAGACCCGAGCTATAACTGATAGATAACATCCTGTCCTGCAATCTGTGCAATGACAGCAGAGCTGGTGAGAGCATCTCAAAGTTGTTAATCACTATAAAGTAACTTCAATAGTTATATCAACATTTATGCAATATTTGTGTTTAAAGGGGCGTCATCTGTAGGGCTGAGAAAAGAAGAAGAGCAGCATGAAAGTAGAAACGCCAGAAGACCTGATCACCATTTCTAATGTTAGCTTCAAATGATCACTTTGATTTATAAAGTCGTCCTTAAATCAACATTTAGAATCAGTTTGAGTCCTGTTTACATCTTTAGCTGGTAGCCAGACAATAATAGTTCGAACTGGACTCTGACATAACACCAAGAGATACTGATCTGCATAACCAGCTTCACTGTCCATCATCCCTTACATAGATTTGTACTCCAGCTGTCTGAAAAATTTAGTTTTTTATTCAGCTTAACTGACTCCCATTTTTTGCATCCCTAATTACATTAATGAATCTCAATAGTGCTTCTATTTGGGGTCTGTTTTAAAGGTGCAGTGTGCATTTTTTTGCTGGATTTTGCAGATCAGACTTGCACTGACATGTTCCTACAGCACAGTGTTGCCAATCTAGCGTCTTTGTTGCTAGATTTAGCAACTTTTCAGGCCACCCAGCGACTTATTTTCAAAAAAAGTGCCTAGCGCCAAAGCTCGCTACTTTCTCTGGAGTTTAGAGACTCTGACATGAAAGCAGGTATCAATGTTACCCTTCTTAACGGGTATTGGCTAGCGATGATGTCTAGCGACGTCTATGACAGCCACTCGTGACTTTCCTTACTGAGGAGTTGGCAACACTGCTACAGCAAAGTACGCCAACAAAGAGGATGTAATGACGTTCTTCTGATGGTAAAAACTACTTTAAAGCACAAAACAGGAGCTTCTTGTCCTAAAACGCCACCGTAGCTTCCTCAGTGGGAGGGGTGAGCAAGAGGGCATGTTCCCCTAAAGGTCTGTTTTCTTCCTTTTTTATATTCAGTGAGTGTAAAAGTCAGTTTGATTAAGCTGAAGCAAAATATTGTTGCATGCATGAGCTGTAAATGAATTATACTGTAAACTGCTTACAGGTTAAAGAGCAAACTCTGAATAAGAATCAGGCTGAATTGTTACGAAGGAAAATGCTTAAAAATGATAGAAATCAGAAAAATGGTAATGTCTCTCAAGTACTTTCAAGAGCAAGGTCAAAATGCCTTTTTTGAGTCAGTGATATTAACTAAAACATGTATAAATTTTGACCTTTAACACCACCCTCTTTAATACTTGAGAAATAGTCAGGTGAAATCTACCAGGGAGGCACAATGATACCGATTTCTTCATCTCGAAAACGCCTGAAAGTGCAGAATGCAAAGCAGGTAGGCACATTTTCACCTAATGAATACCAAGAATGTCGTAAATGTATTTCATTCATTCCAGCGCGTTCGACAACCCTGATGAAGCTGCCAGGAAACACATCGAGCACTTCCTAAACCCTGACAAGGAGAGCGATCATTATTTTGATCGACTGAAACTTTCTGCATCGTCCTCTTTCATCTTCCGGAGAGGAAGACAAACAAAGGAGCTGAGGCTGAGGAGTGGAAACGGGAGCTGAAGAAGAAGAAGAAGGAGAAGAAGAAGGAGCTGGGATCTCCTGCTGACATGAGTGATTTACATGTGGGTCATGTTATGCATGATTTATGCAAAATTAACAGCTATTACAAGCGGGGGCCGACTTCTTTGTGTATAACTGTACAGAACAACGCAAGTTCTCTTGGGACGAGCTGCGGCGGCTGACTCTGTGTGTGTGTGTGTGTGTGTGTGTGTGTGTGTGTGTGTGTGTGTGTGTGTGTTTAAATATGTGTGTGACAGAGATAGAGATACAAAGACGGAGAGGAGACGCAGTGACAGAAAGACAAAAAGGAGGAGACAAGAGATCATTTCTGTTTGTGTGTCATGATTTATGAGTGTGCGCCATGTTTGTGTGTTTTCGTCTTGTGTTTATGAGGGTGTGCGCTCGTATTAGGAGTGCATATTTGTGAGAGTGTGTGGCCTGTCAGCCTGCAGCAGGGACTCAGATCGCAGAGGAGCGAGCCGCACTGACAGAGAACAGAGATGTAATTAACCCTACGGGATACCCCCCCTCCCCTCCTTCATCCCTCCATCCCTCCAACACACTCCTCCTCCTCTACCTCCTCCTCCCACTTTTGAATTCCCTGTCTCTCTCCTCTCCCATGTGCTCAACTTTTCCCCTCCTCTCCCTTATGTTCTCTCTCTTTTTATCTCTTCTCCTCTTTCCTCTTCTTCCATCCTTCTTTCTCTGCAGTTTATTCTTTGTCTCTACCCATCCTCCTCCTCCACCTCCTCCTCTTCTCTTTCCTTTTCTTCTCTCTTCCCGCCCTGCATCATTACCCTGAGGGATGATGTAAGGTATATCTCCTCTCCGTCTTATTGCATAATGACCCAGCGGTACGATAGACAGAGCTCCACAGTAACAGCCTCAGAGTCCAAACAGATTATGCTTAATGTCTTTAATATCTTTTATTCTCTTTGTCCTCTTTTTTTTCCGTCAGAATGAGCTTTATTAAACATCTTAGTTTTATCCTACCAGCCTTTTATCAGTTTATACACTCATCGTTTAAGAATAAAGTACACAAGTCTTATGAAATTCTCCACATCCTCTATTATACATGAGCTGAGCTTTAAGGTTTTTAGACTCAGTGGGAAACACAGACTCTCTTAGAATAAATGAGAGCTGGTAGAGCTCGAAAGCAAAGTTAAACATCTGAAATCTCATCGCATGTTTGCAGAACAAAACAACAACAACCAGGGATGTGGTTTTCTTCACTCGGCTTGGACTTGAGCACCAATGACTTGGATACTCGGGGGGAGGAAGAGCATCCAAACAAGTCCAGGTGGGTTTGGAGGAAGCAATTCAAAAATAACACCCCTCTTGGTGATGCATTGAGCTTGACTTTCCTGGCCTGCCTGAACTAGCACTATACGCTCAGTTTTGCACGATACTGGACCTTGAAATTTAGCAGCCCACTTTCCTGAACTATTTTAAATGGAAATGGAGTCCTGATTGAACTCTAACCGTTAATCTGTTCATCATGGTTGCAATTAAGTCCTGACAATGAATGTCCCCACAAAACTACAGCAGCTTTATGATCTAGCTCTAGCTGTCTATGATCTATCTTCACGTATAAGAGCAGAGTTTAGATTAGGGCTGGGCGATATGGCCTCAAATTAATATCACAATATATTGATCAGTCCACCTCGATAACGATAAATGGATAACTACTCCACAAGCTGCTCACCCCCTCCCACATTAACTTCGTCTACTTCAGCCACACCAACTTTTGAACCGTCCTCCATCTCCTCACCTGTCTTTCCCTCTTTGTTACAGACTGGATGGGGTGGAGTCACGTCTCTGAGGCCGAACATAAATGTCTCTAACAATGAATTCTCTTTTTCGGTGATCCAGATCTTTTGGCTTGGCGAGAACAGAACTACCAAATAATCCGTCATAGCACCGCCAGAGCTGGACTGCTTTCAGCCAACAGATCACTTGCTGTCTGTGTGCAGTGAGGTAAAGAAGTTAAAACAGTCCAGGTCGCTTTGGATCAGCTCAAAAATCATCTCACAGAAATCAGACCTGCCCCGCATCGGCTGTGTCGACAGTCAGGTTAATATGTAAAGGGAAGGAAATGTCTTTGTAAAGCCTAAAAAAGCCTGTAGGTGTTTTAATTCTGGACTTCAAAGCGGGGTGTCTTGTCATCTTATCAGACACGGTCTCATTATAAATTGAACACACCGTGTCCTAACAGCTGAAGGCCACCAGAGGCCAAACACAATCTCCTGCAAGCAAACCCTTCCTGTGAGGAAATGAAAGGAGAGTGTGTGAGGTTTGTAACCCTAAACTGCTCTCCCCCGCACCCTGAAGCCTTCATCCTCCTCACCCCCCCGCCCCCAGAACTGCCACGCTGACCCTCTCCGTGTATTCATGTCCCGGCTCTGCCTCCGGGCTACAGCTCGCTCTCATTTCAACTACCGCACACCACTCTCAGGCAGGAGAGAGGAGCACGCCGAGTCCAAGTCTGTGTGTGTGTTTGTGTGTGTGCGTGCGTGCGAGCATTGTCCGTGTTTACACGCATGCCTGCATACATTTCTGTCATTGTTGTGCTGTGTATGCCGTGTGCATATATTTGCCATTTCTGAAAAGGCAGCAAAGGGCAAAGTGTGGAAAGGAGAGTAAAAAAAAAGGTGTTTGCATGAGGGAGAGAAAAGAGAGAGAAAGTGTGTGTGTGTGTGAGTGTTTGTTTGTGTGCGTATGTGTGAGATTAGAGAGAGAGATTGAGGGGGGGGGACCCACAAGGAGATATTGGAGAGGAGAAAGACCAGAATAAGGATTGAGAAAGTCCATCCAATTCAGTCAACCTTGTTACCTTTCATTTCTCACTGTACTACTGTAAAAGCTGAATGATAAACAAGAGGTTCCCTGTGAGTGTGTTGTCCACGCCCTGCAGTGTGTTACCATGAAGCAACATGAAGTTGGCTGCCATTACACAGATGCAGTCAGGAAAAAAGGTCCTGGTGATGGCAAACAAAACTTTCTAACATGGAAGAAATTCATCCGGTGAGGAGCAGATGTCAGCCGTAGTTTTTAAACTTTTCAATGAAGGCTGGGTGATAAACAGACACCTAAATTTATGACAATGATCAACGTCATTTTGCCCATATCAATATATTCAGTGTCAAAAAAAGAAATAAAGGTGTGTAGGGAGGCTATGGTCTCATGTCCCTTTGAGACGCTGTCTTACATTGGAGACGTGACTACACCCCATCCAGTCTGTAACAGAGGGAAAGACAGGTGAGGAGATGGAGGACAGTTCAAAAGTTGTAGCGATGGGACTATGGGACGATGGGTATCAGCCAAAATCAGTATTGTGTAAAATTTTACACGCGATTGATGACTGCTGAAAATTTAATGTTTGTTTTTATTGTGCTTTTTGCTTTTATTTAATAATACAATATGATATGAGCCTAATTATGTCAGGATTGGGAGCTAAACCACCGCCCACTCTGTGAATGCGAGGCGACACAAATCACGACCTCCCTAAAGTGGGACATGTAAATATCATCTTCATGCATCTATCAGCTCATTTCTTTTAATGTAGAGCTGCTTTTGGAGGGAAACGGCAGCAGGAGAAAGTGATGCATGAGTCATCGTATGACAGCAAAGAAAAGGGAAGATTAATCATAGATACAGAAGCAGTCAGTCACAGAGCAAGTGCATGCAAACAGTGTTACATGCAACACTGCGTCTTATTAGATATGAGAGTTATTTGATGTTTCTGACATATTTATTCCTCTTTAGGAGTCATTCATAGTCCACAGCAGAGGAGAGAAGCGTAAAGTTATCAGAAGTGATCTGAGTTCTGCGTCACAGTACAAAGCCATGTGTCCCTGCAGTCATTTACAAACAAAGGTCAGAAAACAGCGACCTGCCTGTTCCTGATTGGCCGTGAGAGACGTCTGCATCATTCCTGTGGAAGGATATGTTTACTGCCGCCTTGTTTATTTCGAGACTTTTGGAAAGATCACTCATGTAACATTTATACGCTTGAAGCTCGCAGCATGTATCTGACAGAGACACACAGGAGAAGGACCAGGCGAGACGGACACACAGGGACAGACGCAGAGATCATAACTTTGTGTCCCGGCGTGCCCGGTGTTTGCTGTAAACAGAAGCTCCGTGATTTCCCCCCTCACCACCGAACGCTGCTTTTATTTCCCCCTTGCAAACACTTCCAGCAGAACAGAGGAGCAGCGTGACGCCCAGCACAGAGGAGATGCTGAGCAAAGCCAGCAGTTATTGGAAATCTCACACACACACACTACAACACACAAACACGCACGCTTACAAACTCATCTAGGGGCAATTACTACTGTGCAGAGGAAGAAACACACGAACCGATACACACAGACAGCTGCATGCATGAGTCACGAGCACACAAACACACACATGAACACAAAGTAAAACTAAAGCAGAGGCAATTACTAAATAGCACACACATGCACACACTCATACATGCATATCCACACTCACTGCACAAAATACACAAACGCCTGCAGAGTAAAATGCACACTCAAATCTAAACACACTCACAAATGTACTCAATTACTCTCCCAAAATCTCTACGAGACAGCGTGACTGGATACAACCGTGCAGACAATTTGCTTTGCCCTGCACACACACTCTGAAAAAACTCACTCTAGACTTGAAATAAAAATGCAATTTACACACCGACACTGATGCAACACCAAAAACCGTAAAACAGCTCTTGATACAAACAGTTCAGGTCCGTCTTTTTTTCTCTTTTGTTTAATTTGTTGCATGAAATATAGCCTCAAATAAGTCAAATCTCCCTACAGGGAAGTAAATAGGTGCAAAAAATGTACACGCAATTTACTGATGCAAGAACATGCACTACATCCAGGCTGCAAATTATGTGCTGAAAACTGAACAAAGAAGCGCAGTTCCTTGAGTGTCCACTTGAGGCTGGGTCCAAATGCTAAGATAGTCCCATAAACACCAATGTAAAAAAAGCACATCTTTACAGCAAGATCAAACATGTTTGCAGCCTGTGTACCAGGGCTGGGTGATATGGCCCCAAATCAATATCACGATAAATTGATCAGTTCACCTTGATAATGATAAGTAGACGATAACTACTCCACAAGCTGCTCACCCCCTCCCACATTAACTTCGTCTACTTCAGCCGCTACAACTTTTGAACCGTCCTCCATCTCCTCACCTGTCTTTCCCTCTTTGTTACTGTCTGAATGAGGTGAAGTCACGTCTCTGACATAGGACAGCGTCTTAAAGGGACATGTGACTATAGCCTACTTTAGCCTATTTTTTTGACACTGAATATATTGACATGGGCAAAATTACGTCAGTTATTGTTGTAAATTTCGGTATCTGTAAATTTTCGGTTTATCCATCTGAGGAAGGGATTAAATACACATTGGGAAATAAGCGACAGGAACATATGTAAATCATGTTCATGTTTTATACTCTCTATGATGACACTACATTATAATGTGTCATGTTTTAGGTTGTAGGTCAAAAGATCGACTGCATAAGTTACTCAATAAGTAATATTTAAGCTTCCAGTCTGAGCTATGGTGGGTTTAACTCTCTCCCTCTCTGCAGACCCCGGTGCATCAGCTCAGTGTATGTGATAGCGAGCGTCAGAGCTCTCAGCGCATGAAGGAAGTCGTTTCCAACCATGACTGAATAAATGTGTGACCGTCCAGTGATGCTGGAAACACAAAACTTTATATCCACTTCAGAAAGGCTGCTATCAGCAACAAAACATATTGGACCGAGTGTTTCCCCGGAGAGTTTGGGTTCACTGGTCAGCATCATCCCCTTTTCGAGATAAGTGCAGCTAACCTTCAGTTTTCTTTACATTCTGCTCTGATCACACGGCTGTGCTCAGGGGTTTCAGCCCCCGTCTGACTTCCTTTAGTGGATGTTTCCAGACACTTACTGGACAACAAACTGGACAGCTATAACACAGACAGGCCCCTCTTGTTCACAAGGAAAGTGGCCATAACGGTGATGCTGTGCTGCCAAAAGTGCACATCAATTTCAATGTTCTTACCGAAGGAAGAGAGGACTCATTAGTTCTCAATCTGGGCCCCATGTCCTTGCTTGGTCTTTGCTATAACTCTGAGGAGCCTTCGCTTTATCATCACACCGTTGGTATGCTAACTATAGAACACAGAGAACCACAGGGTTCCTACACAGTTGGAATTTCCACACTGTTCCATATCCTACTTTTTAGAAATATTTTTGTAAATACCTACTTTTATATTTTAGAAAACAGTTTCAATAACTGTGATAATAGTCTTTTTCCATACTTTATTTTTCATTTTCCATACTTTTTAAGACCTGGAAATTGATCAAATGTATTTCCATACTTGCGTAGGAACCCTTGTACCAGTAAAGCAGTAAAGATGTGGTTGATTACAAGTGAAATTACAACTTGAATTCATGATCTTGGTGCCAGACATCTAGGCCTGATTTGAGGCCATATCGCCCAGCACTACTAACAATGCTAAAAACATTTGGTGAATCAACTTAACTTGGATGCAGTTGGCTACTATGCGGCATCATTCCCTACTCAGACATCTGACTTCCAAGGTAACACAACATTAGCCCAATTGGGTGGCCAATGAAATCCCCCCCATGGATCCACCTCTGTAACCAACAGTTCGTTTTATTGTGTTTCAACATATACTAGAGCCTGTTATGAGGGAGGAAGGTATAAGAAACAAAGTACTCTGCTGTCATCACCAGAGAATAAATAGCGCGGTTCAATGTTAATTACTGCCTACACTGTAAAACTGTGACCCATAAAGCGACGTATTGATACACGTCTAGTTTTCCTCTCTACATAGATCTAATCAAGACAAAAGCGGGAACGCTTGTGAATCATGTATGAGTATGGAAAAGACCCGCTTCATACAAGAAGACGTATTAGAAATGTACAAACGACAACTGGGAAACACGAAGCTGCCACCGTTTGGCAGCGTGGCTCTTTCAAACAGCTTTGGGAAATGGGCCACAGCTTCACAGGTTGTTCATTGTCTCACACACACACACACAAAGATACACACACACACTCCAATAGAGTGGTGTTCATTTCGAGTGAAGTTCAGTTTCGTAAAAGAGAACATGGTCTAATCATCCCTATACCAACCTGATTATGCCGCTGTCGACTTCAAACAACTGGGTTGTGTTAGTCGACTCTTTTCCGGAAAGTAGGCAGGAGAGACACACACAAACACGGCATGAACACGCTCACAAACACACACATAAACACACACTTGCGTCAAACCCTCCCCTTTCTTCCTATCTGTTCTCCCTGCAGCTCTCTCTCAGTCTCTCTAATTGACTTCTGCTTTCTTACATTTCATTTCATCTCTTATTTCAGTTTTATTTCCCCTTTTTTTATGATCCCCTCTGTCGTCAATTATTCATCCGTCTCTCTTTCTCTCTCTGATTTCTTTCCATCTGGTCCTGGTGATGTTTAATTCACCTCTTCATTTGGAGGAGGGGGGGGCGGCGGCTGCTGCTGCTGTGTGCTGTTAATTGGTTTTTAAGAGCGGTAAGTACACACACATGTACACACACTCGCATTTACACATACACACGCTCGAACACACACACCCACACCCTCCCCTCCCTCCGCTGTTAGAGCACACTGTACATGTCTGCTGGCATTAACATCACCAAATGAGCACGGAGTGAAAAGGCATGTGAGAAGAGGAGGGCAACAGTGTGTGTGTGTGTATGTGTGTGTGTTGGGGGGGTCTGTTCTGTTTGTGTCTATGTGTGTTTTTTGGTGCATGTTCCAAAGAGTGCGTATGAGTGAGCAGGTCAACGCTGTGAATGTTGCATTCGATAAAAATTAGACCAAGTGCATGGATGAATGTGAGTGTGTGTTGTTGTTGTTTTTCTATCTTTATGAGGACATGATGCCCCGGCTGAGATGGTGGGACGGGGACCTTTTTGAAACGTGAGGACAGTTTGGCCAGTTTGGCCAGTTTACAATCCTCTGTAGGATTTTAGGACTTGGTTTCAATTTCAAGACCAAGATCAGAGTCAGATTGAGGGTTGGTTGTAAAGGAAATAGAGGCATGCATTGGGATGTAATAAGAACTGTCATAAGTGATGGAAAAAGTGTTGCAACATGTTTTTTAATTGCCGAAAGAAAACAGCTTTTATGATTTAATGACTTCTGACTCAATGAAGCTGATTTTGTCTGGCAGGTGAATGCGACAACAACAAACAATAAAACTAAAGCTGGCTCCAAGCAGCATTAAACAGGCTGTCACAACTCTGGAGCATGTGTGGCACCTTTTAAGACTGACTTGCACTGTTATTATTCAGAGAAAAGACAGTCGTGATAGCTCTGAATCATCTTGTTTGGAGCACGTTGTAAAGTGGGGGCGCACTGTGATGTCTATGTTTTTCATGTCAGTGAGGTTCCTCCCCCTTTTCAGCGGATTTGAAAAGAAATTTGTATGTAGTCACTTTCAGAAAACTGTGATTGATTTGTGTCATATTTTAATCTTTGTCTTGTTCTTTCAGTCAAGATCTGATTGAAAAAACTGAGTTTTTATTTGAGTCTTGTTTTAGTCTGCATTCGTTTCAGTCTGACTTAAGTTGATGTTTTGGTTTAAACTTTTTTCATAATAAGAATGTCACACAGCAGATGTACACGTAAAGATTGAAAGAGCTGAGACTGAACCACGAAAAGGAAAGTCAGTGCTGAGGTGCCCTAAACCTACGTTTTCTCTGATGCCTCCAGGAGGAAGACTGCGCAGATTTCAACAACTCAAAATGCATGGAAGTCTATGAAAATTTATCCTATCACACACTACTTTTTTTACTTTAATGGCCTCAGTTTATACTTTAAAGTCCTGCCTAATGGTCACTTTGTAAATCTCAGTCCCATTTAGGGCTAAATAGTCCATAAAGCAGAGTATGCTTCGAGCATGGCTACTTTTGACTTACTTTTTCTTCCTTATATATGTATCTGCCCAACACTTGCAGTTTTATTACAAAGTAAAATTGAGTTTTTTTGTAGACCTGCCTTGGGAGCACATTAATAAATCGGTAGCCATTTGCAGAAGCTGCTGGATCAACCCATAGCCAAGAAGGACCCAGACACAGCAGACCCCTGTGAGCACATGCACAGTTGAAATCTGGTTCTCAGGAACTACATAATCTCACTTGCAAAAGTTGCACCTCATCATGTCTTTTTGAATATTAAAACTGCAAAACAGCACATGAGGGGCAGTTTAAAAGACCTGTAACCACAGAATTCTTGATAAAAATATCCAAACAGATTCTAAACTTTCAACTGAGTTTACCAAAGTTTGAGAAAACGGCATGAAGACAAAATTTCAGGTATGGTCATTATACGAGAGCATGCACCAAGGGAAGTCTTACTGCACATGTGCAGAGCTAGGTGATTACAATATCTGGATTATTTCTTCTCTTCTAGATAAAATATTAAACTCTAAAAGTATATTGACTTTTACTGGAAAAATTCATAACAAAGACGAACTCTCCCTCCAACTGTGCTCTATCTGCAGCCAGGTACTCTTGTCAATGTCATGACTCTATGCTGCATGTCATTCCCCCTCTGTGCCCACTATATTTTAAACCATCTTGTCTCAAAGAGGAAAAATGCACAAAAGAAGAAAAGCATGTAAAGATGAGGATAAATTGTGTATAAGAAACAGTCCATGGTTCATTTTCTCCATTTGACGTAAAGTCATAACAGTCATGAAGCTGTCGTTTTCGATTATTTCCACACCAAGTGAGCGTTAAAGCTCAGTAAAGAGGAGATAACTGACATATACTGTACGTGGCAGCGACAGCGAGGAACAATGAGAAAACATATTTGTTAAAGAGAAAAACAAAGAGGAGAAAAATACAGTTAATGGGCTAAAGGCCAAACGTGTGTGTCAACGCGTGACATTGAATCAGTCCTGTACATGAGCGCTTACAGTATGTGAGCAACTGAGTGACTTACAAGTAAATGTCTGCAAGTATAATCTCTGTGAATGTGTGTCTGTGTGTGAGTGTGTATTCGCTGCATTCCCAGACAATGCTGCAGCCACATCATTAGCCACATCCTCTGACTGCAACCTGGACGTGGGATCAGAGGAATGGAATTAAGTCGGGAGCAGATTAGTCATTATCCAAATAACGACCTCGCTCAGCAATGGCTGTGCCGTTTCCCCTTCAATAAGAATTGGTGATGTGAGCTCAGCTGAGGAGATGAGATTCTTAAAGACAGGAATCACCTCACTTCAACACAGGGACATGAGAAATATCTGCTGCGTACACAGACAAAGATCCGTCATCTCATTCATACTAAAAAAGAAAGGATTGACAGAATGACTTCTGCCGCCACGCTACTGAGATGTTGTAACGCTTTAATTGAAACTGTTCACAAGTTACAGCCAAAAAAGTAAATTTTCATGGAGTTAGTGCAGTAACACAGCATGAAGAGAAGTGGGCCTCCTTCCAAGGAATAGAAAAGCTGAATGTAAATGTCAGGTTTTATGCTCACTCAAGGTAAAAAAGAAAGGTCTGCAGGTTAAGAAATTCTTTGTGCGCAGTATAGTGTGAACCGTGACCTCCTGGAGAAAAGGAAACAGTATGTGTTGCATCTCTCAGGTGTAATGCTCAGTCGGTGCTGAACAGTATGCAAAGTGCATTCCTTGATTTCCATCTTGAAAATGAAAGCATGAAATACCACTTACACTCTCCGACACGAAAGTGCGATAACAACTTGGCAAATAGAAATCAGCTCCTGAAAGTCTGTGTGGAAATTTAATTTATCTTCTCTAACGTGCCTGATGGAAACACACCTAATTTACATTTTAGTTTTCCCTCTTGCATTTCAAAAATTCACTTGTAGTTCTCCACCCTTCCCACAGCGGATGCCTGACGTTCTGCATGCAGCGTCTTCGCTTCCTAAAGCAAAGCTATAATAGGGCTGCAGTGAGAGGATGTGAAGCTTGCCAAAGCTGTGCGTTGGAGGCCCTTTTTTTGTCAGAACTTCACAGCCCAACACCATTCAACATTCATAATTTTTTTCCCTCTGATGTACGTGCAAGATCTGTCAGCGACTGCAGACTTTGAAGATCCGATCCTGCTATTGCAAAGAACGTAAAATATGAAAAACGTCACCACAGGTTTGCATGTGCTAATTTAGGCTCTGTCATAGACTGTATGCTTTAGATGTGGAGGAGCTTCTCCGTGTATTCCCTCCCAATACTTAATGTAGGAGCAGTGTGACAGGGCCGAATCAAAGGACTCATCAATCATGCTGAATTTCAATTTAACAAAAGGCGAAGTTATCAAGATCTTATGAGTCTTCAAAGATATTGAGAAATGTTCATAAAAACGGTGGGTTGTCAGCTGAAAATGAGGATTTGGGGGTTTTTGGTCTGTTTTTGGGCAAAAGTTCTCACTGCCTTGTAACTTTTCCATAAGAGCAACTATCATCTTATAGTACCTGAAAAACAGACAAAAATTGTTATGTAAGCACTTTGGGTGCTTACATAAGTCGGTATCGGCCCCCAAAAATCCATATCGGTCGGGCCATACTACAAACGCGGTAGTTCTTCTGCCTTGGCGTCTCGGTCTGATTGCATTTCCATGAAGAAATGATCATAAATGTTCTTCCTTGAGCTGCGTCTCCCCACAGCAGTCTGTAATAGACTGGCCCGAGGTCTCTCTAAAATCAAGCAGCTGCTGGAAGAGAGTAGGTGAGTTGTGTTTAGTCTCTTTGCTAAAGAAATCAGGCAAAGCTAAAAAGATGTTTGGTGCCTAGTGCTACGGCTAGGACCCTATATGTACTGTTGATGAAGTTAGGTGCTGTTCTAAGCATTATTTGTGGCTATAGAGTGGCGTTTTGGTTGAGGTTTGTTTATGGCTCCTCAGACCGCTGTGTATCGCTATCCTGCAGTCATTACTAAAGTTGGTATAACTAGAGAAGTAAGTGGTCGGCAACATTAATCTCTCGAGGAGGTGTCTAACTCTGTGTTAGGGTGTGTTTGACCCTAAATTAATTTTACGCTGGAATATCCCTTTAAAGGTTCCCATCAGGATGTACTGTAGCTGAAGGTATTTCAAGCTTGATGCTACTCTCTTACTTTGATGCAATAACTGGAGATAATCTGAGTCAAACATAGTCACAAACGCCGTCACAATTGGATTGAAAGACTCCTGACTTCCTGTGGATTTGTCTCGGAGGGGGTGAGGACCAGAACTCCCTTTACTCTGATAATTACCCTAAATTAAGTTTGTCTTTTGAAAAATACATTTTCAGAAGTGATCTGAGTGAAATTTGCTGCCAGGGCAGAATTAAGGTAATAGGCTGGATCACTGCTCTAAATGGAAACTGTCTTGCTCTTAATCTCTCTCCAGCAGCAGCGGCGGCGGCAGAAGCGAGGAAAAGCACAGCTGCAGCCTCTCAAAGCGAAGACGCTGTCACAGAGGAGGCAGAGCTCAGACGCCTGCAAAGATTTTTTTTCTCTCTGTTGATGAAATCCCAGTTTTGAGTAGGTGGCACTTTATGGTTTTTCTTCTCCGGCTGTTGCTGTTTGCGTTGACCCGAGACTGTTGAAAATATTGACACACTGTAGTATTAGTGAGTTTCTGCTCGCCGTCGTCTTTTAACAGGCTGGAAACCGTGCGCGGCGGGGACGCCTTTGTAGCAGAAACCAGCCAGTGTGTTCACATTTCAGGGATACAAGGCTCCTGCCAAACCCAACTCCTTTCTAAACCTTAATTTCCTCTTGTTTGATACAGAATTCAGAATCAGCCGCTGAGATTTAAACGTGTATTTTAATCTGTTTCCTCAAATGTTTGATTTTTTTCTTTCTGAGTCATTCAGAGGATTTCACGTCAAGGACTACAGCTCGCAACAGAAGAGTCCTTCAAGCTGATTGTACGCTTTACTCTCAAAGAACACGATGGTTTCTAAAAGCCCAAAACTAGAAGTGCATTGCTGCATTCATTGACATCAACTGAAGTCAGATATTTTATCTTTTTTATTGAGGGGAAGTTCCCCAAAGATGGCACAAAAGTAGCAGGGGCAAATCTGGTATTTTTCAGGACCCAGCTTTGAGTTTCTGCTTAAATATGATTAAAATAAGCACTAGAGCACATCACAAGTAATAAATACAACATGGTATTCAGTGCAAATACTATATTATGTAGGATTGTGCTGAAAAGATGCCAAAATTGCGGGGAAGCAAAAGCCCCGCCAGTCAGATGAATTTTTGTCAAGTTAGAAATTCTAGTCAACTAACAGCAAACCTCATCTTCACAGTTTTATCCCTGATTTCTCACATGTATTATGAGCAGTGCTTAATTTGTAAATCATGAGGTGCCGGAATGCAAAGTACATATGACAGGAGCATATATAGAAAATGTGCTGAAAACAATATGCCCACTTGCCATGCTGTGGGACTTACAAGCCTCAATTTTAAATAATATCCATAAATGTTATGATGATATTTACAATTATTTTTAGGCTATACTCCACACAGCACAGACAAATGCCCACATCACCACAGGTGGGACTTACAGTATACAGTCAGCAATTACTTTCTCAACAGGTCTAATGTTAAAAAAAGAGCTTAAAATAAATCACACAAATCCTCCATTATTATTATAATTCAAAGATCGGCACGGCGGCCTGTTAATAGACAGTATGCTCACCATGTTTAGTCCAAAACTTTCCACATAACAAGCGTATCTCCTCCTCCTCCTCTTTTTAGCGTGTTTTACTGCGTGTCTGCGGCAGTTCTGTGTCCTTTCACCACCCACGACCTCACGTCCCACAGTCCTCTCAGCTCAATGCGCTCTACTCTCCTTCTGAATATTCCTGCTGTAAACCAGCTCGTGTCGCGGTTCCAGCCTCATGCTCCGGTTGTTGTACCGGGCTAGCTTGAGCCAGTGTACCCCTGTTGCTCCGGCTGTTGGTGGTCCACCTGGCTGACTGTTAGCGCTGTAGTTGGCGCTTTCTCCGGCTAACGGTGGACCTAACCAGCTTCTGCCGCGGTGCCAGGCTCCTGACACGGCTTGTCTAGCTGTTGCGGCGCTAGCTAGCTAGCCTCCTGCTTCAGCCGGTTTTGACCGTTAACATGACCGCTGCAGCTGCCCTCGTCGACGCTTGTGGAGGCTTTTCTGACTCGTTTTGAAGTGTAATACAACTCTTCCTTCTTTTTTTGAAAAAAGTCAGTAAATTTCACCGACTTTTTAACAAGTTTGCGTTGAAATGGCAACCGTTATTTCCTCTGTTTGCCCCTCACGTGCGGCGAATTTCAAATATTTTTTTCTGTTAGGGGGCGTGGTTTGTTAGCCCGGCTTTTCAGTGCGTCAGGGATCTCCGACTGTTTTAAATGACGTTAAATCTTAATAAACAACATGAAACTATTTGAATTTGTTCTGTAAATTAATATATGCATTTTATTATTTTATTTTAAAAAATTTTATGTATGTTTTTTATTTTGTATGAGAGGTACCAGATCTGCCCAAATAAGTACCAGAACACAGGGAGGCCAAAATTAAAGGGATATTCTAAATTAAATTAGGGTCAAACACTCCTAACTTCATCAACAGTACATAAAGGGTCCCAGCCACAGCACTAGCCACCAAACATCTTTTTTTCTTCTGTGTTTTGTCCTTACGTCCACAGGTAATCAGGTTTTTGGGTCACTGAAAACAGAGATTTTAGAAAAACACCTTCCAAAGAGGAGATTGTGTTAAGTCTGTGTTCCTGTGGATTACAAATGGAGGTCTCGGGGGACGCCGGAGCCATTAATTCAGCTTGAGCATGGAAATTCACAATGATCTTCATCATTACCCATTCACCTCTGCGTATGCTGTTTAAAAACTCTATCCAGAGTTTCAGCTCTCAGTACAAACATGTGCACCATGTTCGACGTGACAGACTGATAACACATTATCAACACCTGGTGGTCCAGAATCCTTATGTAGGTATTTTTAGCGGCTTCTACATTGACATGGAGACTGAGAAAAACATCAACACCTCCAGAAAATGGAGCAAAATGATCTGTTCTCAAAAGCATCTGTGAAGATGTGGACGTAACCTTTGGTGGTTCCTGACAGTCAGACTGTATAGAACATAAATAGCAAGCTTGATGTGTTGTACAGTACATGCTTAGAGGGATGAGGGGGTTTTCTGTCCTGTTCTCTTATATAAAAAACATGGTCATGTGTCCTGGAGAGAGCAAACCGACCCAGCAGAACTTGTGATTCAAAGGTGGACCAGCTGATTGGATGACATGTATCTTAAGATTTTCAGGAATTTGACCCCTAAACTTGGTTGTCGAATGAGCTACCTCGACTGAAACACACTTCTCCTAAATAAGAAACGGCTTCGACATTAAGTCGGGATGACTGATGCTTCTTCTCTTCTTCTGTTTGTTCAAAACAAACCAACAGAAAACGCATCATTTCCTGTGCTGCAGATGATTTCCCGGCCCGAGTCAGACGTTTGCCAAAAACTGCGAGTTAAAAACAGCAAATATGAGCAGTCCTGATGAACAGGGTCTCTAACATGAATCACAGCAGTCGAGGCATACTGTAGGCGAAAAATCTGATGTTTGTGTGCAAAACCAGCGGGTCAGGAGGTGTTTAAAGGAGCATCTGGGGACACAAACAGACTAATACAGCAAGTGACTGTCACTCTGTCTGTCCGTCCGTCTGTCTGTCTGTGCGTGTCTGTCTTTTTGTTTGTCTCTCTGCTGTCTGTTTCGATTTGTATACGGCCGTGGATCACTGCGTCTCTCTCCGTCTTTCCCCATCCCTCTGTCACTCTCTTTCCGCTCATCCTTTTTTCAGTCTGTAGGCGTGTCTGTCGGTCCCTGTCAATCACTCCCTGCTGCTGCTCCTGCTGCTGTGTGTGTATTTTTGTGAGCGCGCGCACGTGTGTGCATGACTTTTTCTTTAAAAACTCATCTCTCACCGTCTTCATCTTTCCATCTCTGTGCCCTCTCCAGCTCATGTCTCCTCTCTCTCATCTTTCCCCGACTCGCTGTCAGTCTGTCTATTTCTATCCGTCTGTTTATCTGTTTATCTGGAGCTGTTTTTTTTTTTTCCCCCCTTTCTCGACGAGGTTGTGTCGGTGCAATTCTCGTGCAAACACACACACACATACAAACATACACACATACACGCACCAGCCCTGCCTGCCTCCTCTAGGCTCCACGGGGACATGTAAGTGGGACGAGGGGAGAGAACAAACAGATCAAACTTCAATCTGGGCTTTTCACTCTTTCCTCCTTTTTGCCATGAACTCCCCGCCACCAGCAACCCCAAATTCACACAAACACTCACTTTCTCCTCTTCCTCCTCCTCTTCCTCCTCCTCTTCGACCTCACAGCCTGTCTCGTTCGCCGCTCCACCGACACACGGAGGCAAATGACTTGATAAAGTTACACGTGAATACTCTGCTTCTTAAATTTGCTAATTGGCTTGTTGACAGTGAAATATTTAAAGAGCGGCATGAATTATATAAGGAGACATCGATTGTATATTTGCGGCGTGAATTAAACATGAGCGTTCTGTGTTTCGTCTCTGCCTCTCAGTCAAACGAAGCTGTGCTGCTTTATTCTGATGGTAATTAACACACCAAGAAACACAGTCCTTACACACACAGGACGGGGAATCTCTCTCTTTCTCAGCTCCTGTTTTCCCTCCGACACATCCAGGTCATTGTGTCTCCGTCTGTTCGCACTTTCACACATTTGCTGACCTCACTCTCGCTGTCTTCTTCTTCTCTTTCTTGCTCTACTTTTTCTCTCTAGCTTTCTCGCACATCATCTTCTCGTTTTCTCCTTTTGCCCTAGTTCTCGCTCTTTCCTGTCTGGAACCCAGAAGGTGTCCGGGGTAATTTTTCTGAAGATTTGATGTTTCCAAACTATAAAGTCACTGATTTCTTTACAATATGGTAAGGGGGCGCGTTAAGTTTGCCACAATATCAGACAAAAAAAATCTGGATCGCAAAACATTCATGCTACCTCTCTGAAGACGAGCGAACAACTTACTCTCTTTATCGTGGTAAACCTGCAGGATGATGGAGGTGGAGGTACTTCCTGCAAACAGGAGAGTCCTGTTTGGGTGCTGTAGGTAGAGCGCCTCACATCCATCATCTCTGTCGACGTGGTTTGTGGGCCTGAATGATGCACTTGTCAATATTAAGTGTGTTTCCCACCAGAGGAAGGCTTGGCCTGCACAGAAGCTTCGCTATCATCTGCAGACAGACTCAGATACACTTTAAAATTGAGCTAATTTGAGGTTAATCTCCCAGATTGGATGAAAACTTTTCTGAACCAGTAAGTGTCAGATTATTCTGCGGGTTGATCTTTCTACCCTGGGGCCACATTTAAGCCCAGGTCTCTCAGAAAGGTTAGGGGACCTTGAAAGTCTGGGTATAATGTCTAATAAGGTGTTCATACCAAAGGGCGTTTGAATGAATTACATGTAAAGTCAATGCAAAGATACGATTAGATGCTCATACTACTTTGGCGGCACGAATTATGTGAATTCCCATTATATGTGGGAATGACACAAATTAGCGAGAGTTGAAAATATCTCAACTCAAGCAAATAATGATCACCATAATCAATCAGCATGAAGATTCTCTGGTGATGTACGAAAACAGACCGGAAGATGTTCACTGGTGTCAAAATATAAACACAAATCCTGTCCCCCACTGTAGGCAGATGGACAGGCGCTCTTCAGCTGGGATACAGCGCCTGTAATTGGTATCCTGTAGGGATATCCTGACACCGACCCTCACCAACAGGTCGTCAAATTGGGTTTGGGAAACCCGAAAAAACTCCTGGAAACGTCTGTCGTCTGGGCGCAGCATTTGGAGGAGACCCAGGCACGGCGCTGCCAACATCTCCGATGGTTGTGGACCTTTTACAACAAAAACAAAACAGCAATCTGCTGAACGTGGTTCACTTCCACCATGCTTGATGGAGACGCTCCCTCTCTCTCATATCCACGGCTTTTTTAATAAAAACAGGAATAAAAAGGGGCTCGCCTGTAGGAAAGTGAGTGAGGAGGTCGGATTCTCTGGTAAAATGTGAGAAACCGTCATCTATTACTTGATCCCGCCGAGTGAATTGGCGAGGATCACTGTTGAAATAAGCATTAACGGCTATCCACATTCGCGTGAAGGAACCGAGTCGATAACTTTATTTGTGCTTCATATGAACGCCCCATCACTGTACTCAGCTGCCCTGGCATGTTTTGGTGTTGGATGCTTTGGTAATGAGAACAAATTGAGGACGCATCGACGTAGAAGGAGCTCTTTCAGATGGCGGAACACTTTGAGGATTCAGTTACATGGTTTTCAAGTTTAAGCATCCAAGAACCGGTCTTGCCCCGGCTTCAACCCGGTGCAGCACCCTCAGGTCTGTCTTGATATTCACTTGACCTTCATGATGCTCTTGTGACTCAAGAAGAGCGAATCCCCGCAGCCAGGATCCCAAATCTGGTTGAGCTTTCCAGAGAAGCATGAAGGACGGTCACATCAACAAATCTGTTACGATCCGAATAACTTCTGTGGTGGATGGTCACTGATGCGACTGATGACAGGGAGAAATCTCAATATTTCAAAGCCCCTACGGAGAGCTCAAGGTTTGTGTTGTCGCTGAGATTAAAAGAACGACAGCGTTGATGGTTACTTCCGAGATGATTCATAACTTGCTGAAAACTCGTGACGAGAGTTTTAAGGAGGCAAAAAAAAGGGTGGGAAGTTTGCTAAGTGGGTGCATGAGTCAAAACACATTAACTTTTAGTCTAAGTAATGCAGGATCACTAACTATTGCATGGATCTTTTTTTGTCTAATGATCTTTTTCTCGCTTTTGTAGGTCACGGAGATGCTTCACTCTTAATTCCAGGCTGTTTCATGACCATTAAAAACTCCTCACAGGAGCTTTAATGTGCGTGTGTGTGATGTTATTCTGTTTTATTCTCTGGCATAAATGATTAAATTAGGAGACCCACTTGGTAAATGCCGCCTGGTTTTTATTTCTATCGCACAAAATCACATCTTTTTCAGACCTGCGCCGCACACAACAGACCCCTGACTAAATTTAGGAAAATGCCACCAAAAAGCTCCAAACACCCCCGCAAAACTCTGACGCTCTTACTCTCTTTACCTTCCGGTCTTTATCTCTCACCTCCCCCTCGTTTCCTCCCTTCAATATCCCTCCTTTCCACTCCTCTTTTCCCATGTTTTCCTCTCCTCCCTCCCTCTCTCTCTCCCTCATATCTCTGAAACAGTTTTAATTAGCCGGTAGCCTGAGGTCAGCCCCTGCTCCTGTCTGAGCGCACACAAAAACACACTCAGCTGACACACATATACATACTTTATGTGTGTGTGTGGAAACTGAACGGATTTCAGCTGCAGAGTTCGCTCTCCCAAGATGCATTAAGCGTGTGTGTCTGCGTGCAAACGTGTAAAAATTCTAACGCCTTAAAGTGTGTGTGTTTGTGAGCAAATGTGTTCAGTCGGTGAGTGTTCATTTGAGGGTGTGTGTGTGCGTGTGAGTGCATGTGCACGCTTCCACCACACTTGTAATTACTTGTGAGTGCATGCAGTCTTGTATGATGTGTGTGTGTGTGCGTGCATGGAGCCCCCCCGGAGGTTCCTGCGACATGCGACATTAGCAGTGACACAGAAAAGATGCATTAGTTACATTTCTTGCTGCACACATAAAGACACACAAACTCCACCAGCGACTTTTTGAAAAGCCGAAAAAAAAGAGAAAAATCCTGGACTTCTCTTTCGATTCGATGAATTTTTCATTGGGGTTTTTACTCTAAAATCATCAGTGAGAGAAATCGTGTTTTTGTGACCGACTGCTGCAGGGAGGAGGGAAATGAAAGCGATCTCTGAGGAGTTGGACCGGAGGACGCACTTTCTTAAAGACGGCTCTTTGCTCCTAGACTTGGAGCCGTGGGACGAGGGTGTGTGTGTGTGCACTTCACACATGCATATGTTTGTGTCAGCAGGGATTTGAAGTGTGTGTGTCCTTGTACCGCCGCTGGTTTCCCTGAGTGTCTCTGTAAGTGTGTGTGTGTGCATGTGAAGTACAGAGAGAGGAGACAGGACAGAAGGTTTTTCATTAGACAGAGTATGAAGGAGGTGGAGGGAGGCTCGAGGGAGGAGATCCCAGTCACAGGACTATCAGCAGGGGAGCAGCGCCCTCGCCCTTAAACACACACACACACACACACTTAAATACACACACACATACACACACTCACTTACACAAATAATTTACTGATAACAGAAGTTCTTGAAAGGAGCTCTGTAACAGCAAGGGTCCGCATGAAACGAATAAAACGGGCACATTTTCTGCTCTAAACAGCGAGGCTTTTGTTTGCAGCGTTATTTAGTTTACCTCGGCGGGGTGTGTTTAAATCTGAATTAAAAGAATAACTCGTCATCATGAGCTACTTTTAGAGTTATCCCTAAAGTCTGAGGAGCAGCAGGAGACGATCTGGTCTTTGTATAAATCTCATTACGGGGAAAGTTGTGATAAAAGTGTAAAAATAAAAGTCTGTGTTCAGAATCAGATTACCAGATGATTTTATTAAACCGAAGTCATTAACCTGAGTTAAAAACAGCTCAAGTACCAGATCTACGGGTTTCAAAATCAGAGTGATGGGTGAAGTTGATGCAATAAAGACTCACTTTGATCACTTTTGAATGATTAATCACTGGTTTATGAACCTCAGCCTTCCCTGGACAAGCTTGGATTATCTGGATGATTGAGGTACCTGTCCATCATTTAGCCACGCCCACGCTCTCTGGCACACGGTCCAATTTCCTCTAAATTAGACCGTAAGTGACAAAATCAAGATTATCTGGTGATGAGGACTTGAAATCAAAGTGATTAGGGACGTAAAATCAATATGAAATGATGTGATCCGTCAAATGAGAGATGACTTATTTATCCGTAATAGAAATAACAGATTAACTCGGGGAGTCCTGATACGATATTAATATTGGATATTGGTCCAATATCAGCAAAAAAATGACTGTGGGATTATATCGGCCTTCATCTAAAATCTCAGATATCAGCACTCTGATACAAGCAGTCCATTCCAGATTCCGCTCCAGCGACTCTAGCTTGTGGCGCTTAGATCCAGCATGCAGAGCCTACGTGATCCGACAACAGTGTTTACTAAGGTGCTAACAAAGTAGCAAGGAGTAGGAGTGATGTCGGCCCTGTGACGGTATGTTTTGTTTAAGTCGTTGCAGCGGAGTACAAAACTTGTCATGAAGAAGTTTGCGCCAATATCGGATCAATATCGGTATCAGCCAATACTGTATCAAGACACCCCTAACATTAACACACCAAACTTAAATGTTGTCACTCGGCCGTTTCTGAAGAGGTATTTTGATGCATTAAGACGCGGTCACCGTATTGAAAATGCTGACTCATCTAAATTGTTTTTTCTTACTCTGTCGTGTGACGCCCACGTGAAGACCCGAGGCCTGCTGCACCAGCTATGTGTTAGTTGTGTCTTGAGTCAGGGTGTACGGTCCACACTAAACCGTAAACACTAAAAGTTGATGTTTACACTTCCAGCAGCCAATCAGAGAAAAGCTTTTCTCTAAATGGAGTGTTAGTTTGAGTGCAAACAGGCTAACAGGTGGTTTGGTTATTGGGTACGATGCTTAGCTGCAAAGCTTGAATTTATGTTTAACTGGAGCAGAGCCCAAAGTGGTTCATCGGGGCATCTCCAAGCTGATTGGCTAGTTAAGAGTTTGGATTTTTCAACCTTTGCGAGAGGACCTGAAGAGAGAGGGTAGCACTTTGACTGCATCGTGAATTTTCTTCTTTTGCACGTACAATCCTGTCACTCGTATCACAAAACAAAAACTCAGAGACAGCCTCGAGTGGACACTTAAGGAACTGCAGGGTTTTATCGCACTTATGCTGTCGCCTCCAACTGGTCGCCAGAAGTACTGCAGGGTTAAAATTACAGGCACCGTTATCTATTAACGAGTGATAGTTTGGTGTCTCTTTAACTGAATTGGGTATTCACGGCACTCATCAGGCTTTTATGAGCTTCTTTGAGTTAATATGACAACAAATTAAATCCTCAAGAAGATGAAAGAACTGCCTGTTCATGTTTAAATGAGGAGAAAGCCAACTCTCACTTTTATCAGGCGCTTTTCTTGTCAATCTTTTAGCCAGTTAATTATGTCTCTGCACAAGCACACTCTCTTCTGTTCATTTTACCTTTTATTTAAACTCTGTGAACGAACTCCAGAAGAGTGGGAACCCTAATAAACGAAGAACAAACATCTTCGAGACCCGAGGAAGTAAAACACAGAGTTCAACTTCATAAATCTCGACATACGAGTCGGTTTGGAGTTTCTGATCACTGCGTGTTGACAGTAAGTGTGCTCACATGTGCTTCATCTCTTTATCTCGTTTTAACGCTCAGACAAACCTGCTCCAGTGTTTACACGCATCCAGAAACACACACACACACATACACACTCTTAGATATCAAACAGTCAAAGATATGAATCACAAACAGCTCACTTCCTCTCGTGGCCTGAATGAACGTCACGCTTCTATCAGAATAAAGGAAAGTTTTGTTCCTTTCCCCCTCCGAACAAAAACACAGTCACTAAACAAACTGCGCACATTCTCCGGAGAGATAACAATAAGATGTGTTTGTGCATCATTTACAGCGTTACTTTCAGTATAGATGGTTACCACCTGGTGCTAAAAAAACAAAACACAAGCCATCTGCAGATTTCAGATTCCTCTTTTAAACCTTTCAAACTCTGCCTGGAGCTCGATTTAAGAACATTTAACCTCTTTCAGCTCCTGATTTTTGGCCACGAGGTTATCTAAATTATCAAATATCCTCTCTGCACTGTGTTTTTACTCAATAAGAGTCTGTTGCAGCACCTAGCGAGTGAAATATCTCGGCTTGTATGGCATGCAGTTGCATCAGATGCAAATGATCTCTCTGCCTTGCGCATCCTTTAGTCACATTTCATTGCATTTAAGCAGACATACTTGGCAACCTTGGAAACTCAGGGATCCTTAGCAGAATTTAAAATGTGAGTTTGAATAATTTGAGTTACTCGCCAAGTTTACAAAGTCGAATCTGTAAAGAGGCTGACGGAGCGAAGAATTAGAGCGAACGAGTGAAACCGGACGGATATATTTCACAGCAGGGCTTGTCACATAATGCAATATTGTAAAAGAGAGGACTCATGGGAGAAACTGAGGCCCTTCCCTCCAACTCTGCCTCCACCAGATATCTCCGAATGCAAACAATCTGTTACAACCAGGATCACAGTGCGTCCGTGGCATTCGTTCAAGGCTTGCCCAAGTGGAGTCCCACTCTGACTCATCTTGGCCCGAATCCTGCTCGGAAATTGTTACTGGGCTCCTGCGATGAGAAAACATCCACTTTGTGCTGTTTTCCTCCAGAGCAGGAACAGATACAGTATCAGCGCGGCGGCGAAGCTTCGCCGGAGCGCCGCATTTTTGATTCAAGGTTAGAACACCAGCGGACACATGTAAATTTATAAGAGGGGGAAATGTTTCTTAGTTGGAAGCCGCCTAAGAGAAATGAGCAAAATGACTCACCACAAATCCCCGAATAAGAAAACAGTAAAACAACCTCAGACTGAGGGCCGTCCAGAAAGTCATTTATTTGAACTGTTTTATAGTTTTTCTGCCCTGTTGAGTCATTCTGCGCGGTTCGGATGAGTCCTAGTCTGCATATTTCTGCCTCTTTTCTCATTTAGTTTCAAGGTGCTGCTGTTGCTTTTAAGGCTCTGATATTGACCTCTGGATGCTGCAGATTCACCGAAACACAGACTTCAGCTACTGGAACAAACACACATGGAAATATCTCAGTTTGAGGGTTTGCAAGGTTTTAATATTTTAACAGTTTTATCCAAATGTAAACAGTCCTTGTATCCACAGCAGGGATCTGCACATTTATCACATTTACCACTGATGATCAGACGAATGCTGCAACGCTCTACTACCTGGATGTAAACAAGCACAGATAACAGACAACACCGTACACCGCAGTGCAGTTTTTGATCAAGATAATAAAGATAAAGTTAAACCTGAGTTATCTTTGGTTAAACTGGCATGTGGACATCGTGGTGCCAGCTCTGCTAATGTGAGCGACAGTCACGCTAAGTCAGGCTGCACGATTTTGGCTAAAAATAAAATCCAGATTTTTTTCTCTGAAAACTCAATTTTCTTTTTAGTAACAACTTCACCTAACTTTACCTTCATAATAAGTTTTTCTATCATCTCTCAAAACGAAACTAAACAAAACAGTAAGTAGCGTTGTAACACTGCCAAGGAAATGCACAAAAGACAGAAGAAGAGTACAGAGCGTGCGTATAAAGGTTGTTTGGCCAGACACGCTCAGGCGCCATAAAAGAGTTACGCTGTGTGTCACATGATCGTTTCCAGAGATGCAGATAGACATCCACTTGGAGATGAAATGATCGTCATTTACAGATTTATGCGCTCTCTGACGCGTTTTCAAAAAGTACAGTTTACAGTCACCCGAAATGCCATTTCCATGTTGATGAAACGCTGATATGACAAAAAACTTTTGCGTTTACTCCTGAATCTGTTTCCATGTGGACGGGTTGATACCGCCTTCAGACAGACTTTACAGCGGGGAGTGGTTTGCTCTTCGTCTGAAACTGCGAAGTCGTATCAACTCCACAAGACTGACTTGATCTTGCCCCTTTTTAACCACGAAATTATCGTCTTCTTTTGCAAACGCCGTGTTTGTTTACACTGGTGTGTGTGGGAACTGGGGAGCGCTGCCACAGGAAGGGGGAGCCTACAGTTCCTGAAGACATGATATAGAGCAAGATCGATTTGACGATTTGAATTTTTCTAACGATTACGAATTAAAATCGGTTATTTGTGCAGCCCTAATAGTAAGGTAGCATTTTCTGCAAAGCTAGCCCGGCAGCGCTGCCATCCAAACGTTCTCCCATTGGTTGCAGATATACCAACCCCATCACAGGTCTTTATTTAAGATGACACTTTAAAACACGTATTAACATCCACAATGACGGCTTCTACTGCTAGAGGGTCTGCTAAATCCACTATGGCGGCTGTTTTGAATGAATGCACGTACAGAGTTAATGTTGGGAAAAGTGCGTTTCTTTTTTCTACTCTTCACATTTCTGTTGCATTAATCTGATTGGTTGCAGGTTTGTACAATCGCCTCCAGAGACATGTTCATAGGTGACCGCTGTTCCAATCTGGCGATGCTCGGCTTTGACAAAGCAGCATAAACTTGGCAGAACATCATCCTCTTCAAACAGAGCCATGCTGCCTGGAGTCTGCAGTACTGTATGTTGTGTACTTACTGTTCATAAGGAACTCATATGAGCCCACTTCAAACAACACAAACTATCCCCTCAGGCCACTCCTGATCCTGCATCACTCTCTTTTCCCCACTAAACGCTTCTCATTGTGAACAAAGAGGTCGAATTAAAACCAAAAGTCTTGAGTTTGTTTCTCTCTGCACAGACAGGATCCTCTTTTCAAACCTCACATGTCAAACGAAGCTGCAGAAAAGCAGAGAAAGCGGTGACTAATTCAACAACTTGTAAATGCAGAAGTTGGAGGAGCTGCGTGGTCTGAAAAGACGTGGAGGCATCTAATTACTAAGAGGCCGTGTGGACGCAGAGGACAGTGAATGCAGCATCAGCTCTTATCTTCATTATTGCAGAAGCTCAGTTTGCTTCTGCAGAGAACCAACAACCCCACCATGAACTGTTCCAGAGGACGGGAGGAAGTGTCTGTCGGTTTAAGGATCTTTGAAATGAGCTCAATCTTCCCTGAACAGCATTTTCTTGAGTGTGAAAGAACCGAAGTTGCAGACTCACATTAGTGGTCTAAGTGTGTGCCTTTAGTTAAAACAGTTTCATATAAATCTACAGACTCAGGAAACACATATTAGATCTTCTTGCATCAGTATGTCCTGCAGCCACGTGAATGCCTCGATACCCTGAAGGCTGCCTCTGTTGAATAAAGGCAGCTTTGTCTTTCGCCCAATGACACGGCATTTCTTGATTTTCCAAACAATTAATCAGCTAAAAAATTATGCGATTTTCTTTGATGAGAGGGGATCAGGGATCAGAGGGACCCTTAGATTAGAAATAAGACATGCACAGTCATCAGTCCCTCAGGCTCAGTTTGAAATAAACGAAACAGAAAAGTTAAGTAACGCCGGTCGCTGTTGTTTTCAAACCCCGGCTATTTCTGTGTCATGCAGTGAAGTTCTTTCCCTCTTTCTGTTTGCAAAATTTAAGAAATTTCCCAAGAGATAATGTTTATGAAATAACAAGCTCTTTAAGTTTGGAAGATAACTGATCGAAACAAAAAGTTATATCAGTGTGGGTTAAAAACAGCTGACCCAGTCCTTGTGATGTCCTGATGTCATTGTGATTGTTCTGTGTGGTCAAGTCTGGGCTGAACTTCATGCTCAAAGAGCCCAGAGGTGCTTTACGGCACGACTGCGAATGAAGGATCTCTATAGCAGAGAATAAATGTTAGACTAATGCAGTGTTCAGAAGCTAGTCTGTTGTAGCTCTATGTCTGGGCCTCCTTCCAGAAGCTTTCCGGAGCTAATCTTGTGTACATCTTTGTTTACTGCAGGCCAGTCTGGACCTCTTTTGTCAAAGAGAGTTCATTATTTCCATGCAAAACAGTTTATTTGACATTAATTTAGTTCTCAAGGCTAAATAAAAGTCAAAATGTCAAATCTAAGGCAGGGAGAGCAGCAGCAAAGACTCCAATTTAAAGTCGTTTACAAAGCAGACATCTGTGACACTTGTTAAATAGACACAGCACAGAAAAAAGGAGGAGATAGGTCAGAGACAGCATTCCTCTTTTCTGTTTCACATGTAAACAGGAAAGGCTAGGGCAGGTAGAGCAGCAGCAAAGACTCACTAAGTCAAACACACAGCAGACCTCTAGGAAGACTTGATTATTCTGGTGCCGCACTAAAAGGAGATGCTTGTGGCAGAGAGAGAGAAAAAACCCTTCCTCTGTTTTATTTGCCTGTATGAAAAGTCAAGGCAGGGAGAGCAGCAGCAAAAACTTCAATTTGAAGTAGTCTACACAGCAGACATCTGTGACACTTGTACAATAGACACACCACAAAAAAGGAGGAGATAGGTCAGAGACAGCATGCCTCTATTCGGTTCTACATGTAAACATTAAAGGCTAGGGCAGTGAGAGCAGCAGCAAAGACTCACTATATCAAGCACACAGCAAACCTCAGGGGGACTTGATTATTCAGATGCCGCACTAAAATGAGGTGCTTTGGGCAGAGAAAATCCACCCTTCTCTGTTTTATTTGCATGTATGAAAAGTCAAGGCAGGGAGAGCAGCAGCAAAGACCCACTAAGTCAAGCACCTCTGGGAAGACTTGATTATTCAGATGCCGCACTAAAAGGAGATGCTTGTGGCAGAGAGAGAGAAAAAATGTTCCTCTGTTTAATTTGCATGTATGAAAAGTCAAGGCAGGGAGAGCAGCAGCAAAAGAAAAAACCCAGGCAACAGTCAGACTTGTAAAATCAGACACAGAGGAGCGTCTTGTACTGGGTCTGACTCACAGTGTTAAAGGAGCTGCTGTGATTTGTGAATTTCTGAACACCTGCAGACCTGCTCCCACCGGTGGATGTGGGGTCGTGTCGTTCTCATGATTACTTCAATGTTTGTGTCTGTCTTCATCACAAACATGGAGGCCGTCAGAATGTTAAGTGCCGCCTTGTTTAACATTAACTCCATTTTTCAAAGGTCAGGACCACAGACTAGGCGGTGATGAATCAAGCTCTTCATTCCTTCACTGATACCCCCCCCCGCTCCTGTCTTTATGCACGATGATCCAGTCCCCGCCCCCTCCCCTCTTCCTCTCCCTCTCCTCTACCTCTCCTCCGTTTCCTGTATTCCTCTTTCATTTCTGTCACTTCCTCCTCTCCTCTCCTCCCCCCTCGCTCTCTTTGTGGTTTTCTCTGGCCACTTAATGGAATGCATGGCATTTCCTCCCTCACCCCCCCACCTCCTCCTCCGCTCTCCTCCTCCTCCATGCTCTCCCTCCATCCCTCGCTTTCTGTAATGAAACGTAAACTTTGACATTTGTCAACTTAGTCCTCCCATCAGCAATTCGTGGCGTCCGGGGGTGGCAGGTTTGCTGTAGCGTGGCGGCTCCGGGCTAAGGCGCCACTCGCGGCGAGCCCTGACCCCTCACCCTGTTCCCTCGCTCTTTTTTGAGTGTATTTGATCTTTCTTTCAGTCTTCTGTGTTTCTGTTAGGCCTTTTATCGTCTTTCTTTTCTGTCTTCTTTCTTTCTCTCCTTCACTTTTGTCTCCTTCGTCCCCCTTCTGTGTTGATAATCTTCTTTTCTTTCGTCAACCACTCTCTCCTTCTGTCCTCCTTTAATTCAATTCTCCGCTGGCTGATAATCTGGTTTCTTTTTTTCTTCTTCTTCCACTGGGCTCCCTCTTTCTTTCTTTCTTTCTTTCACTCCCTAAGTTCATTGATAAGGTCTTCTGCCCTTTCCCCGCTCCCCCCACTCTTCGTATTTCATATTCCAGTCCTCACAGCTTGAATCAATAGCAGTTTCGCGGCTAATTCCACAGCTCTACATCAATACCCAAAGGCTCCAGTCTCCTCCATCACCCCCCTGCCTGCCTACTATGAATATTCAAATGCGTATTATAATAAAGTGGTTTTCCTAAATGCATTAGCACGCAGGCAGGAGGGGAGAAGAGGAGTGGGTGTTGGATCCAAAATGGGATCCTCATCATTTGTAGGAAGCGACAAACACGTTTGAGGAAACAAAAAGGAAGGAGACGCTTCACGAGACGTGATAGCTCACTTTGGCTTCTTTATTTTTCAAAATGACTTCTTGTTATTTTCCAACATGATGATCTGGGCTTTAAAACTGCAGCACAGGCAGAACAAAGCAAGGCCAGAGTGTACCGCTGAGAGTTTAATGAAGTGGTTTTTCTACATGCATTAGCACGCAGAGACGGGTTTCATCTTTAATAGCGAGGATTGGAAAAACTGGCACGCGCTGACACAAAGTGATTGGCAGCTTAGAATTTAGACAAATAAGCTTCGTTAAAGAGGAGAGCCCGGAAATCTGCTTTTGTTTGGCTCCGAGAATGAATCCTGAACTCTTCAGGAGGCTTAATTATCGTCTTCAGGTGTCCATATTTTGGATCACCAAAGATACGACTTTCTCTTCTTCCCTTTTTTTTTTTAAAGAGCTCAGATTCTTTTCTTTTCATGCAAACAAACTCGTCTTTGATAGAAGATTTTTGGATGATTGTCCTCAGGTATTGCTTTGCTCAAAATGTCCAAAGAACAGCCCGTTCTCTCCTGCACCCCCAGAATGAAAGATATTTCTCCCTTCCCCCCTCCTTCTTTCACTCCATACTCACATTTTCACTCCTCTTTTCTATCCCTCTATTCATCCCTCGCTCTCCCCGGCAAATCCAAAAGTTGTGTCACCATAGCAACAGCTGCCGTCTGCGAAAATTACCTAAATCCCTCCCCTTTTTTTTTTTTCTCTGTGTGTTCCCGGTGACATTCAATGGATACTGTTTTGATGTGAGAACACACAATCGAGTCAGAGGGGGTGAAGAAGAGAGAAAAAAAAAGAGAGAGGAAGAGGGGAGAGAGGTGGATGTTAGGGGAACAACAGAGCCGAGCAGCAGAGCAGAAAGAGGAGAGAGGAGGGATTAGAGGTGGAAAAGCCTGGTGGCCAGACAGGCAGACAGGCAGCCAGTCAGCCAGAGAGAGAAAAGAGAGAGTGAGACGAAAAGCAAACACAGACACAGGGATGGACAGAGGAAAAACAAGCAGACACAATAAATAGATAAACAAAGAGGAAGAGGAGGAGGAAGATTAACATTTCTTCTCCTTAAACAAGTTTAATCTGCTTCAGTGCAACAGCTTTCTACGCTGTTGTTTAAGTTCAAGGTGCGTTATTTATGTATGGTGCATTATAGTTTTTCCAAGAGTGCATTATGCATTTTATCGGATTATGAGATTATCATATTACATTACCCAGTGTTTTAGTTATTTACAGTGAATTGTATGTGTTATTCATGGTGCATTACACCTGTATTACTATTAAATATTATCATCTACACACACTTTGGTGACTATGATAGAAACATTGACTATAGCGTGGGATATGTTTTCTTGATTATGCAAAGTGCATTTTTATTAAAGAAGGATGTATATATTGACATCAGCGCTACACTTCTTCATGACAGTGAAAGCACATTTATCAAAAAGTCTATAATTGAGAGTGCATTTTATTTGTGAGATTATGCAACAAAATTCTTCGGTCTGTAAAACTTTCTGGGGCGGTGCGACGCAATCTTTACAGAGGATAATGAACATTATCTGCAGTTTTTTTTAAACTTTGTGATCCATTTTTGTTAAGAAGTGCAATATTCCTGATCTAAAGTGCATTAATCTTTTTTTCGACTGTGCAAAATGCATTTTTGAAAAGTGCATTTCACATTATCGTTAATGCGTTACATTTGTTTGTAACGCGTATTTGTTAAGTAGCGCAATACTCCTGATCTAAAGTGCATTAAACCTTTTCTCAACAGTGCAAAATGCATTTTCGAAAAGTGCATTTCACATTATCGTTAATGCGTTACACATGATATATACATCATCAAGAGTACAATGGTAGGTATGACTTTTTCTCGACTGTGTAATGCACATTTTTTAAACATACATTATTTACAGCGTGTTGAAACTTTTTCTTTACGATGCAATGTTCATTTTTTCCAAGAGTGCTGTTTACATCACCTGTGGTTCATTATACTTATTCTTGATCGTGCAGTGAGCTTTTTCTGAGAGTGCATTGCATAAATTCAACTGTGCATTGCGCTTTTCCTGAACTGTGACGGATGCACTTCTTAAAAGCGCGATATACATCATCTCTGGTGCATTAAACCGTGTTTTCAGTGTACCAGACACTATTTATTAACAGTTCAATATACATTATTTACTGTTACGCCAATATTTTTTCATACAATAGACACTCTGTTCTATGCAGTTTACATTTTCTGTGCGGTTCAGTCTTTGCGTCTGTTTATGGATGCTGTGCAATTAAGGTGAAGGATCTACATTTATTCAGGCGTACATGATATAATGACAACAGCAGCATTCTATTCTATTCTATTCTATTGTTATTCTATTCTATCCCAAACAAAGAAAGGCGAGACAAGGGCGGCAAACAAACGAGCAGAAGACCAGACAGACAGACAGACAGACAGACGGGTGGATGGATGGAGAGGCTGACCCAGTGAGACGGGGCAGCATGAGATACAGGTAGCAGGCAGAGAGGAGACAGACATGTGTCGCCATGGTAACACCGAAACCAGTGAGTAAAAGGAGAGAGGTGGTGGTGGTAGTGGAGGTGGTGTTTGTGGTTGGTGGGGGGGGGTTAAGATGGAGGGATATAGGAAGCATGCCGTCCCCATGGTAACACAAACAGAGGGATCCTGAGAGAGGAAGCGAGGCCTGTGCGCACACACACACACAAACACACGCACTAACACGCAACACAAAAGGCACATTAAGAAAGTGGAGAACCAACACTGTCCGTTTTTTATATGAATACAGAGTGTGACAATAGAAACCCTCAACGCCGGAGAAATTACGGCCGCCAGCTGCAAACCATTTCCATATTTTTTGTGAATGCCAAAACATCCAGAATTACTGCAGAGAAACACAAAAGGAAATACAACCCAGTTTTCACACACAAACATTATTCCATTTCAAAAGCACAGATTCAGCCTGGACCCTCCTTTCAGGGGAAGGTATTGGCAAATGTTCAATTGTGTATTGTTGGCAGGAAGACAGATGATGCAGATCAGATCGAGAATAGAAATCTGCACAGATTCAACATTTGAGATTTACATGTTGGGTGTAGGATACTCTCTTTACACTAAGGGTTGAACGTCTCCTGTTAAGGTGAAACAGGAACCTCAAAATACGTAAAGCCAAGATGCTAGGACTAACTTTGGTGCAACAAACTTGTTTAATTTCACTTTTCCCTGGAGTTTCTTTTTACTTTATCGATAATAAACTCCGAGACAACAAAATAAAGTAAAACAGGAACTAGGAACCCTCCTTCCTCACACCCCCAGCATCCCTCCCTCACTCCTTCAGTCTCCCACCTCCTTGCAGAGCTGCAGCCTGATTTGCATCAGTGTTCATGTTGTACGTTGTGTTTGCGAGAAGCCTGAGCTTGCTTCTATGTGGCCAATTAGCGCCTCCAACACGCCATTTACGATTCTCAGACGGTGCCAGCGAGGCAGCAGTTTTATCTGTGTGATGAAGAAGGCATGTAGTTGTGGAAAAACCCTGACGGATGGTGTAAATTATTACAGCTTGCAGCATTATTCTTGGTTGGATGGCGTACAAGGCAATCTGTTGTCTTATCATGTGTGTGAGACAAGGCCAGTTTCCAGGATCATGGCTGAGCCAATTCGGCAAAAGACAATCACATTCAATTGAGATAAAGCCTCAGTGGAAATCATGTAGCTGGGAAACTTCCCCAGAACGCTTATCAGACGCTAGTAATTACTCTTCAGCAAACACGCCAGCAGATTTGCAACTATTGTACCGCTTAATCAGAGCATTGTGGAAGCAAAAAGGCTCGTGGCAGAATGTGACGAAATGAGTCAAGTTGCTTGACCTGAATGTGCTGCTGACTACAGCGGCTGTCACTGCCAGGAAAAGAGTCACCAAACACCGCCTGCGGATTTACACCGAGAGCTAGTAGTGGCGGCATCAATGAGCCCACTGTCATTGAACAAAGCAGAGTGCATCATGGGAAACAGCACAGAGAGCTGGCAGCTAAGGGCTAACCAGCTACTTCATTTGGCGCCTGCTGCCCTCACAGCTCTGCTGCAGCTGAGCTCGGATGGAAACACGACTTTATGAAGCACTAAAACTACCTTCGACAGTCACTCATGGAGTCTCTGAAAACCCCGAATCCACAACAGACCTCCGAGTGTTGTCTGTACATAAAAGTAAAACAAGTATTGTCACTTTTGAGTGTGAATTACATGCTGCTGCTTATCATCTGTTTCCTCTGCAGGTATTTGAAATGTGAGAACAGTTCAGCATGAAACCCCGGGAACGAGTAAGAAGGATCTCAGCCAACTCTGCATGGGATTACACCTGCATCATTAAAGGTACAGTGGGTGATATTTAGCAGGACAGATTAGGTTTGATACTCATGTTTAAATTAGAGAATCATCACTGAGACATGACAGCCCTTTCTACGGAGGCCGCCATCTTGCACCAGCATGTTTCTACAGCAGCAAAGAAGGGACAGACAACTATGGGTGTGTCCTGATACAACTTTTTTTTACCTCTGATATGACACAGATATTGTAAACTTCAGTATTGGCCGATACCGATATTGATCCGATATTAGCACAAACTTCTGCATGGCAAGTTTTGCGCTCAGCTGTAACGTCTTTTTCAGACTTTAACAAAAAATACTGCCACACAGTCAACATCACTCCTGCTCCTTGTTACTTTGTTAGCACTTTTCTCTTCATCAGCTTCATGATACAGAGTTAGCATTTAGAGTAAATGATCAGATAGGGTGGCCATATTCTGAATCCCAAAAGAGAGGACACTACTATAGAGTCACAGAGTCGTGCGTAGTAAATTCTGAGGGTTTTTCGGGACGGGCCGAGGGTTTTTTACGTGCTTCTAACTCAGTTGGTCCGCGCTACACAAACTCAAAACTTCCATACAAAACCCCAGACATTTGAAGGATTGAATAAACTCTTCCAGTCAAGGCGGGACACCCCCCCAAAAAAGAGGACATGTCCGGGTAAAAAAGGACGTATGGTCACCCCATGATTAGACCTCAGGCTGAACCTGTTAGGCTACAAGCTAGCGTGAAGAGGAGAGTGCAGAGCAGCGCTGTCTCCGTCCACGACTCAGAGGTGAATTGCTAATAAGCTACTGGAGCTCTGCAGAAGAAAAGACCTTGAAAATGAGACAGGTAACGTGATTTTGGCTAAAAAACTTTATAATCACAATGTAAAGACCACTGAGAACACTTTAAGTCATTAAAAGAAGATCAGGGAGGGACTCAAGGCCCACCTCCTCTACATTTCCTGATTTTAAGTCAACATAAAGTCAGAATACATCAGCATTTCCTACATAGTACCCTCACTATCTTTACCCCTTCAAACCAACTCTTCAGATTGTCGATGAATTGTTAAGTCTGCACTAAACTGACAATCACACGCCTACACGTCAATCAAAACGTGATCCCGCCCACGCGGTCTAGGGAAAAGGCCTGAAAGTTAAAGCTGTTTTGGAGTCGAGTTTTTAACTGCTGCAAATGTTTGTTTTCTCCCCGGTTTTAGAAGCTGCTTAATGAGCCTCTCAACTTTGATATTGTACATGAATTTTGAGCATTTTTGCCAAATTTCTCCGGGCTTAAAAAGTTGGGTTGTTTCATAAGTAGTAAAACAAAATAATCCATCTCAACAAACTCCATCAGTATTCATGCAGCTCTCCGGCTCTTCAGAACACAGATTGTTACCGCAGGTATCATTGAAAATTCCCCGCTCCCCAGACGTATTTACCATTGTGTTGGGTCATTAATGCATGCTCAACTCATAATTACTATATTTCCAGCAGCACTTTAAGGCAGCATAATTGCAGCGTGCGGCAGATGGCTGTTGGCTAACTGGCTTGCAGTTACGCCTAATGGCTATTTGCTATCGGTGTAAAACAGGCTAATGGTTCGCTGGCCAGCAGCTATAGCTTAAAATAGACAGCTGTCCTGTGTGGGCTCAGCCAGGATTGAAATGAGTGTGTGCTCCTCATTATCTGCTGCCGTGAATTCCCCGCACAATGATTGTCCATAAAAGCACGAGAAGAGGAAGAAGAAGAAGAAGTGATAAACATTTTCCCCCCGTCTGATGTCGGAGTGCACTGAAGCTGAAATTCAAAAAGGTTAATTTATGCGGAGAAACCGGCCCGTGTTTATGTCTCATTATGAGGCCAGTCCTCTTGGAAAATAATTATCCCTGTGAATCTGAGTATAACAAATGTAAATCATTAATGATTGCATATAGCATAACTGCTGTTCAAAGCCAGACTGCGCGCTTGTTTATAGGCCCTGTGCTCCACAAAAGACATTTGTGCTGTTTTTCTCGACAATTTCATCTTCCATCTCGGGAGGGAGGAGAGGGAGAGACGAAGGATGTATATTCCTTTTCAAACAAGAAGACTAATTACAAGGGATTAAGTAATTGCATGGGGAATAGTCAGGAAATCTTTCTCAAAAACCTTTTGTTCCAAACCCCATTAATTTCACCCTGCTCCGTCTAGTGTAGACTCCATGCGAGCTGTTTCAAAGGACAAATCTGCGAGTTGGTTTCTGTGCTGCAAAGAAAAACAGCAGATCATGAAGGCAGAGGCACAGAAGGTTTTCTGCGTGAAAGACTGAAGATTCAATCGAGGCTGAGAAGTCATGCACCCACACTCTAACTTTACAGAGGAAGCGTCGTCATTTAATGTTGGAGGAAAAGGTTGGATGAAAGCACACTACCTTTTTAATAATTTAGAACAAAAATAATTCTTCGGCTGCTGGTGAGCCCTGCAGAAACTTTTTGAAAGTTAGGTGTAATAAGTGGGAGTAAGCAGAACTTCTTTGTAAAAAGACATTTGGTTGAGTTTCTCTTCTGTCAAGGTCTAGAAATGAAGTGTGAAGATGAGCAAGGTTTGACAAAACAACAGAAGAAGAAGAAGAACGAGGAGTTTTGAATGTTTAGGTCACTGACTGTTCAGAGAGACGGTTGGCGCATCTCCCCAAAGACTGTGACGTGTTTCAGAGTAGAGATGGGAATCAAGGACTGGTTCCAAATGGTTCAATCCAGCGATATCGTTTACATTTTATCTTAACGATTTCCCTGAACGAGCGAATGTGAACAGACACTTTGAGGAAAAAAACATGGTGCACGGCACAAATAGTAGGCAGAAACGATCTAAAGGGTGGCTTCATTTTACTACGAAAGACGATAACAGCGCGACGTTCAACATTTGTTGAGCAGTGATTCCATGCAAAGATCGAAACACCAGCAGCATGCTTAAACATTTGTCAATGGAGCACAGCATCAAATATAAGGAGTCACATGTATTCGGTGCTCTCTGCCGATATCCATAAAATCTTATCGATTCCCATCCCTATTTCAGAGCCGGAGTCTGGACAGTAGGGATCTAAAAGAGCAGTTTTTGAAGAAAGCGTTATTATTTTACATGCATCAGTTATATTTGACAGCTCCAAGCACTTTAACATGTTTACATGAGATACCAAAGCCTGCAGTAAGTGAAAGGACACATCCCCTCAGTTTCATGTTCATACATGGAAAATTGAGGCAGGGAGACCATCAGCAAAAACCCAGAACAACACAGAGCCAACATCAGTGATGATACATCTGACACTGGTAAGATCAGTAAGGCATAAAGGGAGGAGTTGGGGTGGAGGTGGAGGCGGGGAGAGCAACAGCAAAGACCTGGAACAGAGCAGAGCCAACATCAGGGACGATATCTACACAACACTGGTAGGATCAGACACAGTATGAAAGGTGGAGCTGATGGAGTCTTAGCTGCAGGTACTCCTATCGCTGGCCTTCAGGAAAACCGTCAGCACTTACAGACCCGCCATGCCGAGTCACTTAATCATTTTTTATTCATGTAGCGCCAAATCACAACAGCAGGTATAGACCAAACTCATTGTTTGATAAATTACAAAGACTCGACCGTGAGATGGCTCAGACTTGACCCATCCCGTCCCACATGAGTGAAGAACTTTGCATTATTTAACGAGGAAAAACCTCCATTCAACAGGCAGAAACCTTGACCAGGACCAGACTCGTGTGGGACAGCTACCTGCCTCTGATGAGCTGGGGAAGTTGTTAAGTGGATTCCCAAAGCCTTTAGAAATCAGAGGCGTGATGAGAGAGGATGCATATTGACTTTTTATTGACAGACACGCCCCCTCATATCAGATATCGATCACTGATTGGAAGCTGCAGTACACTGAGACGATCTTTTTGAGACTGCTGCATCCAAAGGGTCTCGATAAGATGTGAGTATTTGTCAACTTCAGATAGGAATGAGCTGAAAATCTAAATTTGAAGAGTTAGAGATGCTGGATTTGGAAAGTTTAAGAGTTAAATCTTTTTTAACTTTGAAGAGTTAAAGAGTTAGGTGTGAAAAATGAATGGAGGACCTTAAGCATGGCACCAAACCCCAGATGGATCCAGGGTCCATGCACTGCAGGTGACCTCAGACCCTCAGCCCTTAGATGAAGCATATGCATGTGTGTGTGTGTGTGTGTGGAGGGTGTGTGTGTGTGTCTTCATGTAACTCAGGGGTATATGCAAAAATTCAATCATGTATATTCACAGAAAGTAAATCTGGATCTTAATCTGAAATCCAATATGCATATAAAATTCCATGACTGTTCTGCAACGAAGCGCACAATCGTGTTTCCCAAATGTTCATTTTAATCTTTTACATCCGTTCGTGAGGTTATAATGCAAAGCTCTTCATTTACTGCTCGGCGAAGTGAGTGAGGTCTGACATGAATCAGGATCCAGGAACACATGAATACTGACTTTTCTACAGCGTCTGAACCACCAGTGAAGGATCTCTGACCCCGACATAAAGCAGACTACAACTCTTTGAAGGAACAGCAGATAGAAAAGGATTCAGTATTTCATGGCATCAGTGTACACTGATAATACTCCAGCGCTGTACTCAGCGAACAGAAGTGAACACTGCAGAATCAGAAAAGGAGGATTCACGTTAGAGCATCCGTACGGAGCTGTCAATCATTTAAACAAATGACATCTATCACGAATCGACTCTGACATGAAACTACTGAATCTGGGTTCATGTTTTTAAGTTAGTCCACCTTCTTGTGGCGTCAAAACCCACCTCATCGTCACCTTTTCCAGACAAGCAGGTACTTTTTCAGACGCCAATCAAACCAGGATCTGTTCCTCGACATAAAGTGGGAATGACCACTTTATGAAGCTCAATATTCTCATTTCTATAAACTTGGAACTGATTGTAAAACATACTGACCTTTGACCTTCAAAAGCAAACAAGACGATCAGCAACACAACTGACGATCACGTCCATCTTTCCAGGTTTTAGTGTCTAACTCCGGCTGCAATTTTCGCTGTCCACCAATTCCTACAGGATCCGTTGGTGAGGTGAATTTCGTGGTGGATAACGGACAGCAGTAATTTGCGAGAAGAACCTGCAGATTCACATGCAATCGCGAGATAACGAGTTGTTTCTATCAAGACAGCCACATAACCATATAAGCAGTATATTGTGTCCTTCCAGAGGAACATCTAGACTTCTAAAATAAGCATCTCCTCATCCATGGTGTCATTGGGGTGAAAAACCTTTCACTTGTTCGTCTCCGCCTGTTTGCATGGTGTGAAATAAGATCCGCCTGTTTTATTTTGAAAAGAAGCCAGATGTTTTATTTTGTGTCTTTGCCCGACTTCCTTTCCAGCACGGGTTAGTCAGTGCTGAATTTATCTGGCATGCTCTGGCGTCTGGAAAAAAACTCTTGCGATCAGCTGTGGAACAGAAAGAAGCCGGTGTAAATCGACATATTGGCTTGAGTGGTTCCAATCAGCTGCGATCAGCAGATATGGCTTTTCTTAGCCGTTCCGGATGCGGTGGAAATTGGGGGTTACACAAGTATACTTTGCATCTGAGTTTGAACCTCATACCTTCTGACTGAAGGAGGAGACACTCTATCAGATGATTGACAGCATGTTGAAGAGCCATTTTCAGAAAATACAATCTGGACGTGTACAAGACGAGATGTATGTGGAATAACAAAGTCGGTGGCAGGGAGAGCATCAGCAAAGACGCTCAGTGTAAAAACAGAGCAGACATCTATGACACATGCTAAGACCAGACACAGCTGGGGTGCAAAAGAAGTCTGACGTCTGCCAATCAGATTTTTGTAAAAGGTAATCAGCTGATCTCTTGGCTAAAATCGGCTCATGCAGTATAGGTCGACTGAGACTCCGCGGCCTGCCTAAACAAGCACCAAGACCGACGCAGCCGTTGTTACCGACATGTTGAAAATCTGCAGCAAACACCAAACTTTCTGCGCCGTCAGTCGGCGGGGGATGAAGGATTTGGACTCTCTCCCCCCGGCGACCCCTGTCTGCTCTTATTTTGGATCAGCTTGTAGCGTCAGTGTTTTCAGGTGGAAACAGATGGAGGCCTCTGTGGTTGGAGCTGTCTGAACTCTGGGACTCCCAATCAATCCTCTCCCTCTCCCCCTCCCCTCCTGGTATTTCTCATTGCTCGCTCGCCCTCTCCACACAGTGATGGAGGTCATGTGTGGTCAAGAGCTGAGAATGGACAATCAGGCAGCAGCCATACCCTCTATTATCACTGCAGCTCATATCTCTCTCTCTCTGCGCCAGCTCTATACACTACAGCTATACCCTCTCTTTTTTTTTATTTTACCTCAGCAGAAAAGCAGAGAAAAAGTAAAGCTTGTTTTTTGTGGGGAAGTGTACGGGATAATGATTGAATCTCAGTAAATAATTCTCTAAATGATCCACAATTTCAGCATGACTGAGCTCGTTTGGAGTCGTACCAAGAGGCTGATGTAAAGGGTTTTATCAGTTTTTGTTGCTGCTCCTTGAAACAAAACCAAAGAATCCCAGAATCCCTCGAGGCCTGTACTACAAATCAAGTTCAACAAACTCAAGTTATCTTTGGGTCATCTGCCTTTACTCGCCCTGGCAGAGAGGCTGATTATCTTTAGTGCATCCAGCCGGGAAATACAAAATTGGCTGTTCTGTTTCATCTGCTTTGACCTTTGCCCTAATCGTGCGCGTCCTCTGTAGCCCACCTCCACCTGTACCCCCGGCTCTTCCATCACTGATACCAAGTTCTGGTCTTTGCTGATGCTCTCCCTGCCTCACATTTTGTCTCTTGTCGCCTGAAACCATCAGAGTTTCTTCTTTGGTGTAACTCTGAGTGGCGCCCTCTAGTGGATGCATTGTTTGGCATCACACGACAATTATGTCGTTTTAAATGTTCATATCAAAACAGGGATGTGTCATCCTTACAGGTCTGCGGTCAGGATGAGTTGAGACAGTTAGGAGAGCTTTAATTGGATGTTATTGTCAGGTCGCTCTTTAGACCCGTGTCTTATTTCTGAAAATGAATCATTTTTTCTACAGAACTCGTTTCAAAAGCACTGACTTCAAAACAAAAACAAAATCATCTCCTGAATTATTGAACGACACCAAGTTTCATGTTGTTGTCATCAGTTTGAGTTAAATCTCGAAGACAAGTCGCGCCTGGTACGATGTTTCTGGTGTTTCACATACTGACATATCAGCAAGACTTAACTCTTGATAACTTTGACATCGTGACCGGGGTAAGACAGGGTTGCATCCGGTCACCCTTACTTTTTATTACAGTCATTGACTTTGTGATGAGGAGAACTGTCATCGGGGCAAACCACGGCATCAAGTGGGGAGGGGGCAGACAGGCAGATCTAGACTTCGCAGACGTTTTGGCGCTTATTAGCCATACCCACGTTGCACTCCAAGAATTGACAAACAACCTTCATGAGCAAGGAGCAAAAGTCAGTCTACGTATAAGCCAAGAAAAGACCGAGGCCATGACCGCCACACAATGTCAACACCTTCCACCACTCACCATAGGAGAACAAGACGTAGAGCGTCGAGAACTTCACATACTGTACCTCGGAAGCAACATCTCAAATACTGGAGACGAGGAGAAAGACGTACAGACCAGAAAACAAAGCTGCAGGAGTCTTCCAACGACTCCAGAACATCTGGTCGTCACTATATGTCTCTATATGTCAGTGGTCATCCCTACAGCGACCTACGCCAGCATCACCAACAAGTTGGATGTCTTCCATCGACAGTGCCTCAGATCCATCCTAAAGATATCATGGAGAGACCACATCACCAATGAAGAGGTGATGAGAAGGGCAGATGTAGCACCCTTGTCTGACATCGTCTCTGACAGGAGAAAGAAAATGACCGGACATGGACTCCGACTGCCAAGAGAGAGACCAGCAAGTGTGGCAACAGACTGGATTCCAGAGGGGGGAAAGAGAAGGAGAGGGAAGCCAAAGAAGACATGGAGACAAATGGCCAAGGAAGACCTGAGCGAGATGGGAGTCAGGGTTGCTAGGGACCGGAGCAAATGGAGGGGACTCATCGCCCAATGTTCCAATAGGAACAGGAGGAACTAAGTCTAAGTAAGTAACTCTTATTGAGAGACAAAGTAAGAGTTCAAGGTATAAACGACGTGTTGATGCCGTTTCCCATTGGTTTCCCCCTGCTGGTCATGAGAGGAACTGCAGCTTTAAGGCACTCGACCAAAGCTATGCTCACCTCCATACAGTCTGTTAATAATGATATTCCTCACATGTGGGTTCTGACCCAGCTTCAACTACAGTCTATAGAGGAAGATGGACCAAATGACAGCTCCATAAAAGTGAAGCAGAAATATTAGAGTCCATGTAAACAGATGGGGCATGGGTCAAACTTAAGAACTTAAAAAACTAAAATGTCAACAAAGCCGCACCTCCAGCTGATCCCACAATATCATTGGGCTGTTTTGGCTTCACTTTAGTTTAATTAGTAGAGGAAAAACTGTCTCCTGTCTGCTAATATAGTTGAGATGTGAATCACAGAAACAACCCACTCAGGAGCTCCTCACCGTTGAGTAATTCTCATTTTTTCTCTCTAACCTGATACTCTTATCCGTCCCCGTCCTCTAATCTCTCCTCCTCACAGTGTTTTCGCTCTAAAAGAAAAAAAGGCTTTATTTAAGACAAAGATCCCTCCTTGTGCAAATCGAATCCTCCCACTTCTCTCAGTCCATAAGTAAAGTCATGTAATCACTTTTTCAATGAGTAATGAGCCTTTAATGAAATCTTTTAATTAACTTTCTCCTGCCCGATTACCCTTCACCGCAGCTCTGTAAATTCACTCTTTCCTTTTCTTATCTCCCCGCTTACTTTTTCTCCCTATATGTTTTTTTTTTTTTAACTTTCTCCAAGTCCCTTTTCTCCCTCTTCCTCCGTTGCTATGGTAACTCTCCCTCTCTGGTGCACCCCCACTTTCCCCTCCTCTCTCTCTCTCTCTCTCTCTCTCTCTCTCTCCAGTGGCTGGTTGGAATGGTTGCTATAGAAACACACTTATTTAAAAGAAGAGCGAAGAAATTATCTTTTTCTCTCACTCTTCCCAGCGCGCTCGCTTTTTCGCTCCCTCGCTTCCTCTCGCTTTCACCGGCCCCATCTCGCTCGCCCTCCCCCTCTTCCTCTCCGCTCTTCTCTCTCTCTCCCTCTCTTTCTCGCTTTGCCTCAATCTCGAGCAGGCAGACCTACTCTTTTATTTTCCTTTGGCCCTCGCCGTATATTGTGGGTTCGCACACACACACACACACACACAGAAACCTGCAAGCTTTCTCTTTCTTCATCTCTCGTAGCTGCACAGCACACACTTTTTTTCAATGGTCCTTCTCAGACTGCTACACACACACACACACACACACACACACACACTGCACAAACACACACACATAAGCCACACTGTGCTTTTCTTGAGGAACAGACCCACACTTTCTTTCTTTTTGCTCACACACACTTACACCTTATTTCTGTAACCGAGCAGAAAACATTCATTATCAACTTTAATTTGTTTTCCTGTGTGTATTTTTGATTTTTGAGTCCCTTTTGTCCTCATGATGTTGGTGTTTAAAAAGTATATTAAACTGTAAAGGCAGGGGTTTTGTATTTGTAGTGCACATGCTCATATTGTTATGTAAATGTAAATACAGTTCATCTAACAGCCTTAAAGTGGTCCTTATGTGATTTCTAACTGACTCTGGTGCATTACAGCCCCACTATCCACGACAATACTTTAAAATAAGAACAAAAAATCTCAGCTTGAGTGAATATTTTATTAAAGCTACTATAAGGAACTTCAATTTGGCGCCCCCTGTGGACAAAGCGATATTTGCATGATCTCATCCTGTTATATGCCAGTCAAAAAATGTGGCACCTACCCCCTCGCTTTGATTTCAAGAGTTTAAAATTACAATTAATACAATTGATTAGAAATATTTAAAAAAATGAATCAATATGAATTTCAGCTTTAAAAAATCCCTCATAGGAGCTTTAAATTAATTTAAAGGAGACAGTATATATAATCACTTAGATTTCTGTCCAGCTTTCAGACATTGTTTAAATGATAAAAAAGTACAAGGTAAAAGTTTTTAAAAATATGATTTTAAAAAGACACTCATATAAATTTATTATTCTGGGCACATTAAGCCAAATATAGGTGTTTGTCTTGGCTAGTCACATGTTTTAAATAAACAGGTTAGCTTTAGATTCATGAAGAACACGACTGATCAGAGGTTATATCAAACTGCATTATTCTGAACATCTTAACATAATTAATATGAAACATTAGCAGGCGACTGTTTTAGATTTTATTTGCAGTTGTTTCTGTATGAACAAATGTGTTTTTACTTCATTAAGATATCAGTTTCTGAGGGTCAGCGCTGATATGATGCACATAAAGTCAAAATGTCATTAATCAGCTAAATTAGCTGCATTGTGATTGGTCTATTCCTAATTATTTATGCACAAAAATCATGAAAAATACCTGAATTTTCCAGATTAATTTTTCAACCTGACTACCCAGACTTTTTTTTTTTTACTGAAAAACCTTTATATGCAGTTTAGGAAGGCTGTTGTCTAAACATGTCAGTTATCACAGGCATGAAGGTGGAGGGGGTGATGGACATTTAATGTGGCGTTTACATGAATGGTGCACGAAGCGAATCAGGTATTTTCTCTGTATTTTCTTCTCCACTCTTTTGTTGATACTGTGCATAAATCCAGCAACAATTCAGGCCACGAGTGTGTCCTGAATGAATCTAAATTCTGAGTTCAGGGTCAGGAAATCTCTGATCTCAGAGGGAAATAACCTGGCAAAATAAAGGTTAAATAAATGATCAAATTTCCACCTCTTTATCTTGGATATCTTGCCAACATCTCACGCCATGACTCCTTTTAGCATCATACCCAACCTGCCTCAGATTTTGGCTGCACACTGTCCTGAAAATTTCAAGAATTTTGCAGGAGTGCATGTGTGAAAGAGGACGAGATTCCTGCAGAAAGGCGAGGAAAGGCACTCGAAGGTCCGACACATTCGTACAACAAGTCTGACTGCAGTTCAACAAGTGCATCTTGACATGTCAGAGAAGAAGAAGATGTTCATAATAACAGTGTCAAAGTCTTACTTTAGTAGTACGCCTGGGATCACTGTCACAATGCCGCGCTGTGATTCTTGAATGCGAAGTTTAATGTCATCGTTAATGTTGAAGAGTCAGAACGTCGTCTGTAAAAAGAAGTTTTGTCGCTAACAATACGAACACTTCACGAAGCAGCTATCTCACAGACTGAAGTCAAACTCTGTGAAACACACACACACACACACACACACACAGGTACACACACTCACACTCAGACAGTGTAATCTGCTCTCCAGAACAATGACAAATCTCACTCTGACATAATCTTCACCTGTGTAGCTGTGAGGTAATTTACCGCCACAGGAGAGCGAGACAAGCGGCGTGACGTCACCGCCACCGCTGAGAGCTGCTCGCTTATCTCGCACGCACCCGAGCATATCAGGCTTCACTGAGGAGAGATACTGTCACCCCCGCCGCCCTAACCACCTCACCCACCCCTGCTCCTCGCCTTCCCTTCTCCTCGCCTCATCGAGCCTCGCCTAGCCGAGCGCAGCCCCGGGTGTTATCAGTTCCTGATAGTTATCGACTTACATTAAAACATAAGAGGGGAGAGAGGAGGAACAGGCAGATAGACGGAGCGAGGGAGGACGGAAACACAAACAGAGTGGGTGGTGATGGATACCGGCTTTCATCATCCGTAATCATGTTGTCCATCTCCATCTTTAAATCGCTGCTGCTTCTTTTATCACCGTTTAAAATCCACCAAAGGAGAAGAAATAAAAAAGATGGAGGATATATCCAGACTTCAAAAAAAGAAAAAAAAAAAAAGTCTTGGTGCCCACGCAATAAAATCATTTGGTTACACGGGTAGGGTTTGAGATAAGGGGGAATAAGTTTGGAAAAGCCTCTGTGGGGGAGATCGGAGGGCGCTAAATGTTGAATTAAGTAAAAGAGGAGCCGGTGGGAACTGGGTCTGTAGGGCCCGAGAAATCAAGATCGAGATTGTGGCACATTGGGTTTCAGAAAAGTGTTAAATATTACGAACTTTTCCTTTAGCAGCAGCTTCAGTTTGACTAAGATACGCTGTCTTAATAGAATTAGTCCGATAAGGTTAAGAGGAAGGACTGGAAATAGGTTGATATACACAGCAGCTGAAACACTGACTGCTCTTATTTTGGCTTTAAATCGAACATTTTATCTTCATTTAGCACAAAAAGAGCGACCAAGACCGCCATGGTGGACTGAGGACTCTGAATACGACCGACCTGGGCGGGTTCAAAGTTAATTTTACGTGCGCAGCAAAGAAAGACTACACAAGTCCTAGGTAATTAGAACAAAACCATTTAAACTGATTATAATTAAAATTCTCTGCTTTCCTTAATAAACCACCGAGTATTTAAACCGTCTGGTAGAAATTTGTGAAGGCCAAGGATCAGGAATGATTGAAAATGGGGTTGAAAAGCTTTTTTCTCCTGAAAAGGCCTGAAAATTTAGAGAGTGCACATGAAGAGAGGCTTTAAAACCTCAAACCCAAAATTAGTGGCAATTTTCAGAACCTTTCAGGACTTTGTCCTCACTCATAAGGAAGAGACATGAGACTTAGAAGTTCCACCGGATCAGTACTGTATGGTTCAGTACCATCCACAGCAGACTGTATCCTAATGACTACCTCGAACAGCTTGATTCTTTGGCGTGCATATCAATGGACAGTAGAGTTCGAAATGCAGGTGTGATCGACCTATCTGATTCAATTTTTCCCACAAGCCTCAAAAATAATAAACTTAAGGCTGCGTTCACTCTGTATCAGCTGTATAAGTCACAAACATGAAAACTACACCATGACATAAGGTGACCAGATTTCTGTAATGACATCCGGAGACGTCCAAAATGGGGGATGGCATGGGTTTCATGATCACAGACATCTCGGTACTACTTAGTAGCAGCGCATACCCTCTGTAAGAATTGTTGTTCAGGACTGCGCACAACATGCATACTCGTGCTTCCTACCTACTCGGCCACCATAATACCCATTGTTCTAGTCTACACGCAACATTTTTGTTCGCATTCATGAAACACTGAAAATCGGGGACATTTCCAGGGGCAGCTTTAGCCGGGGACAGGTCATCCAATACGGGGACTGTCCCTGGAAATCAGGGATATCTGGTCACCTTACCATGACTGCACTCCACATGAGCCCTAACCTTGACAATGTCCAGTTATTTGGTGAATGATGCAATTAGCAATGCTCTGTATCAGAAATACAGTGAACTTTTGCTAAAATAAAAGTTAGGGATAACATCGGCTGCATGTGAGCTATGTGAATGAGAAAGTTATTAGGGGATATAAACCGCTGTATCGTCAGCATATTGAGATACAGTGACACCAACTATCAAACAGCTGCAGGTTGCCAAGTGATGTAAATGCTCAGTGTGTAACGTTTACAGTCTTGGACACAAAGAAAATCAGAAACCATAACGTCTGATCAAAATCTAGAAGAGGCGGGACAGAACTTGATGATGTAATTGTCAGCAACAATGGTGGACATCCATGAGATAAAGAGAGCGTGACCATGTTTTAGGGCTGGGCGATAAACTGAAGAATTTACTGATACAGAAATTTGACGTCATTTTGCCCATATCGGTATATTCGGTGTCAGAAAAATAAATTAATCAATCAAAGTTGGTTTTGGATGTGTGTAGGTAGGCTATGGTCTCATGTCCCTTTAAGACGCTGTCCTACGTCAGAGACGTGACTCCACCCCATCCAGTCCGTAACAAAGAGGGAAAGACAGGTGAGGAGATGGAGGACGGTTCAAAAGTTGGAGCGACTGAAGTAGACGAAGTTAATGTTGGAGGGGGTGAGCAGCTTGTGGAGAAGTTATCATCCATTTATCTTTATCGAGGTGAACTGATCAATATATTGTGATATTGATTTGAGGCCGTATCGCCCAGCCTTACCATGTTTGGTACAATTTCCAGGTCTGGAGCTGCAACACGATTCGTATCAGCTGTTTATTTGTATTAAACGAAAAGCAAATATGGAGCGAACAGAGATTTTCAGACTTGATGGTCACCACTATGGGAAGTGGAAGTGCCATGGGACAACTTTGGTAACCTAGCAACTGTAAACGCCAGCAAGGAGCGCTCTGAAATCGAGGTCGTGGGCGATACCAGTGCAAAAAAAAAAAAACACCTCAGTGTTGCAGCTCTGTGGTCCACTTACCCCCTAAGATACACCACCACGACCACGAAGACCCTCAATCATACACCCGAGATGAAGACGTGAGACGCCTCAGCTCTTCACAATCTCTCAGACAGATCTGACAGAGCCGTAATTGGATAATCCGTCAGTCAAGTAAGGATCTAATTGTTTCCTGGATGACACAGGAGGGAGCATTATAGAGGATGGTGTACGGAGCAGGTCCAACACACCCACCTCCGCACACCCACCCAGAGTCCTCCATCAGCATGTTTAATCCACGGCAAAGACAAAAGGGGAAAACCTCGTGATTGTGATCTTGTAATGGATCAGATTGATTTAATTCACCGCGCCGGACAATTTCTCATTCTTAATCCTCAAGATGTCTCTGAATGGATTTTATGTGGGAGGCCCATTCAATTGTTCTCTCTCACCTCCACACACCAGACTCTCAGACAGCGGGCGAGCGAGGGAGAGGAAAACACAGGCAGACAAAGAAACTGAGAGAGAGAGAGAAAGAGAGAGAGAGGCAGAAACATAAACTACCTCCACACTCAGCTTATTTGATCTCGCAGCCCTTTTTGTTGACATTTTTCCTCGTATAAAGGAAGCACTTTTATGCGTTTGCTGCTTTTAAGCTTGATGTCCGCGTTTCTTTGAAAGCATCTCCGCCGAGGATGAGGAGGGGGCAGCTCGGGTTCTCACTTTCTCATCCAAAAAAGCAAAGAGGGGTTACTTCCAGCCTTTTATCACTTTTATTGAATACTCATGCATGCCGCAAACGGAGACCCACTTTATTTATCCTCGCAGGGCTGAGGACTCTGGTGGAGGGGGGGCGGGGCTTTGTGCAGTGCAGCGTGCCGCCTGGAACAGCAGTGAAATATGCTGGAAATGCCTGGAAAACTCCAGGCCCTGCTCTCCCAGGAGAGCCTCATCTATAATAGGCCTGGCTGTTTCCCTCTGCTCCCGCTCCAAACATAAATCTCTGCTCCCTCTCCTCCTCCCTGCCCTCACCCACACTCCTGCATCCATCCCTCCCTTCTTCTTCTTCTTCTTCTTCTCTCCTTTTATTGGTGATTCAACTGCTCCTCAACCCTTCTCCTCCTCCTCCTCCTCCAAACTCTCATCCTGCTCTGCCATAACACAAAGCTGAGCTCTGTTGTCTTCCTCCTCTAAATCGCTCCTTGTTCTCGCTCTCTTCTCTCCTCTCTCGTTTTCCCTCCTTCATCCCTTTGCCAAACACAAATCTGATCTCCGTAACCTTGTTCTTCTCCTTCTTTACTTCCTCTTTTCCCCGTTTTTCCTTTCCTCCACTCTCTCTCTCTCTCTCCCTCCTCCTCCTCTTCTTCTCATGATCATCTCCTTTATCTTTCCCTCCAGCCTCTGCCAAATAATAAATCCAACATCCACCTTCGCCTCCTCCTCTTTCCTCCACCTTCTCTCCCTCTTTTCCAATCATTCATCTTCTCCCTTCTTCTTCTCTTTTCCCCCTTATCCTCTATCTTCATCTCTTATCTCCTCCTCTTTTCTCCTCCGTCTTTATCTCCTTCTCTTCTTTCCTGCTCCTTTGCTTCTCCAAACGATAAATCAGAGCTCTGCAATCTCGCTCCCCTCCTCCTCCGCCTCCTCCTTTGCTTCCTCTCCTTTTCCTCCATCCTCATCCTCTCTTTCCTGTCTCCTCCTTTCCTCCTTCCTTAAGTTTCTCCTTCGTTTACCTCGGCAGGTTAATGTTGGTTCCTGAAACAGCCTCTCTGCTCGCTCTGTCCCTCTGCTTTACTAACACACATTACTTCTTCTTCTGTACTGATTCTCTTATTTCAGAGTGAGTGCAGCATTTCTGGTCGTCTAACAAGCATCTATTTCCCCGGTTACCTGGGTGACCAGCCCTCCCCTTATCTGGTTTCTGATTGGCTGGCTGGAGCAGCAACACGAGCACCTTGTCGAACAATACGAGCCCGCGGTCAGAGCAGCCAATGAGACGCCTGGAAAGGACTCCTGGTAACTCATCAGACCCTCAGACCTCTTTAAAACCAGATCTGGTTTGTTCTGCTGGTCTGAGCTCTTCATGTCGTTTCGCTGGTGTCCGTCTGGACGTGACTCCCTCGACTCGTCAAGGTCAATAAAGGTTGAAGTGATTATCTCATCATCATGATATTTCCCATCTGATCACCCTCTCCTGTTGTCTCCTCTCCCTTCACTTCTCTTCTCCTCTCCGGTTGAAAACGTCTCCTCATCTTCATCAATCTTCACACTCTACATATCTAATCTCTCATCTTTCTTCTTCTCTTTCTCTTAAACGTTTCTCTCTTCTTTTTTCTCCTCCTCTGAGCGCCCTTTTTGTTTCTTCCTGGACTCTTTCATTCCTCCTTAAACATTCTGAAATTTTCCACTCTTTGCTCTTCATCCTTTTCCTTTCTTTCTCATCTTCTCATCCACTTTTTTGGCCCCTAGCTCCCTAACCCCATTTCTCTTTCTGCTCTTGCTCTCAGCATCTCCTCCTCCTCCTCTTCCCTTTTTTCCTCCTGATTGACAGGTGTCAGTCCTAATACCAGTCGACGCTCAACTCAGTATCCCCCCTACACACACACACACACACACACACACACACTTTAAAAATGCACATCGGCCCCTGCAGAGGAGGGAGGAGGGAATTGTCGATGTCATTTTCACAGATTACTAGATTATAGAGGCATCGTAGTGAATTAAGCAGCGTCTGATCGTGGCGGTTACTTTATTTATTTCTTTTAATTGCCGTTACTTGTCACCTCGGATTTTCCTTCCCGGGCCATAAGGGGATCAGATCTGTCAGGTACTGTGGGGATGTACAACGAGGAGGCCCACACACACACACACACACACTGGATTCAGCTGCCACCGCGTTGTTTGAACCTACGCTCTGCTCTTAAACAAGGCTCGTCATGTCATTTTTAATTATCCTCATTTGAGAGAGCGGTGTTTCCGATAGAAGCGGATTTTCTCCACCATCCAATTAGAGCGACGGAGTCAGTCAACCTTTCATGTTCGCTCGTACGGCACGATCAGCGCGGTGTGGCACCGACGCAAGGTTAGGGGTATGACTCACACAGACGCTGCTCATGCGAGCGGGGCTCATCAGCGGTAATAAAATACGCCAAGAAGAACAACATGTTCAGAGCGATGATGGGTTTCTTTCTCTCCCCGCAGTTTTAAATCTCCTCAATCTTTCAAACTGAACGGGTTTGTAAACACGCCGCAGACAAGGTCAGTCCATCACGAGATCCAGAGGCCCCGAGTTCACTTTGTTTTTTGTGTGCAGTGATTTCATCAAGCTCAGATTTCCTTTTTTTGAGAATACACCAATGAATATAAGAGGGTCGCAAATGTCCTCAGAGATAACAGGGTCAGAATTTGGTCAAAATCAGGTCTGGATGTCCGACACCCAAAGATGTGTCCAAGAAATTCTGCCGTATGAATTTTGGTGCAGAAATGAGCGATGTGATGGCACTTCCTCGAGTCGAATCCTGTCCATGCAAAGACTTTTAATCTCTTGTATAGAACTTGTGATTATTGCACTTCATGGACGTCAACAAAGAGGTCCAAAAACAGTCGACACTCAGGATCCACAACTCTGACTATAAAAGCAAAAAGAGCCCAAAGTTGATTCACGTGTTGTGTCCAGTTTTCTTAGTTTATTGGGGTCACCATACGTCTTCTTTTACCCGGACATGTCTTCTTTTTTAGGGGGCTGTCCGGCCTGTATGGCTTTGTCCGGGGAAGTTTATAAAATCCTTCAAATGTCCGGGGTTTTGTAAAAACCACTCGTTCGACCCGAAAAACTCTCAAAATTAACTTTCCTCGGTGACTCCACCCCTGCGTAGTCGTGTCCTTTTTTTAGGGATTCAGATCACGGTCACCCTAAGTTAAAATCCTGCTCACTATTCACAATCACTTCATCGCAACAATTAAAACATACGGTTTGAGAATCGCTGTGAATATGTGTGTAAATACGTGTTGATCGAAGGTAGTATCCTGGTGAAACATGAGCCAACAATAAAAAGTTAAATCGTCTACAAATAGACATTGACTTCTAGACAAGGTCCTCCCAACAGTTGCCATGGAGATTTTTGTAACGTATACCTGACTAACATGAGTAAACCCACCTGCAGTGTCTGCTCGCTTCTGTATGACTGGCACATATAACTTTGGCTAAACGTCTTTGCAGATGATACCATCTTTTTCTACCAAAATGACGTTGGTTATTGTTGTAAATTTTGCTATTGGTAATCTTTCAGTTTATCGCCCAGCCCTAGGTTAGATGCTAGTTTATGCCGTTAATATCAACCAGATGTTAGCTAACGTCCTGCATCTCCTTTAGGGAACTGAGGGTGCCTCAAAAATCCAAGGAAACCCATGTGAAGTTCTTGACTGCAAAAAGAAACCTCATCACTACAGGCCGTCTTGACTTTTCTCTCATTTCTATGATGGTAACCTCCATTGTTGGACTCCAAAACTGCTTCAAAAGCCAGTGGACGAGATCCCTAAGGATTTTATAGGGTCTACAGTCGGTTCAGTCAACTGGTTCTCCCTGCAGAACCACCAACTGATACAACTGATACAACTGATCTTATCTAATGCACTCCACACAGTGATGCTCCTAATAAAAACCATTGTATATAATGTCAAATTCCCCACTTTATAGGTTATATAAGAAATAAAAAACACATGCACAAGTATCTTTTATCTTTACATGCTTTAAATGCCAAAAACACGTTCAGATTTAACCTTCAAACCTGCATCTGAGAGTATTTTTGTTGTTGATGATTCAGAAAGGAATTACACAACTGTTTGACTGTTTGAGGGCGGAGAAGCAGCTTGAAACTAATGATGGAAAACGATCACATACAGCAAGAGGAGTGATCTATTTCTGGGCTTTGGGTAGACTCTCGGTTATTCAGGTCAACAAAAAGTCCCTCAGATTCTCGGACGTGTTTAACCTGGAGGAGAATCTGAAGAAGTCCATCTGACTTTCCATTTGGAGATCCATCCAGAGAGACCTTTCTGACAATCCCTGGATGCTCCCCGAGGCCCACGTTTGTGTAAACCTGCGCCGATGTAAACCATCAAACATTGACGGTCCAGCTGGGCTGCTGTTAGAAAAGAGACCCGCGCCAATCAGGCCGTCTCTTCCTCTCTGTGTCGGCTCTTTGAGCGGTCGTGCTCAGCCTCTGTTTATCCTCAAACATCCTCTCTTGTCAACAGATTAGGACTGAACCCCGCTGTCTCTTCCTCTCTTCGTCTCTCTCTGCCTCCATCTCTCTGTCTTTTGGCCTGTCTCTTTACATCTGCGCCTCGGTTCTATTCTTGTGATGGGAGAGGAGTGCGAGGAGGAGGGGGAGAAGAAGAAGAAACTCTGTGCGTGTGTGTGTGTGTGTGCGTTCGTGTGTGTGTGTGAAAGAGGGAGAGAGGAGGGAGACGGGACAGGTGCTTGCAGAGCGAGAATTGCTTTACTTGCTTTGCTTGCATGATCAGGCTGCAAAAATGTTCAGCTCCAGCTAAAGTGCTGTTCAAGAATCGACTCGGAGAAAACTGGCTTTCCTCGCCTGTGGCCAGAGCGGCGCTGCTGCTGCTGCTGGCAGCACAGTGTCGGATCACAGCCACAACACGCTACACCAACACATTTACACCGACAGGGCCGAGCGCTGTAATTACAGAGGCCCGCAGACACGCGGTCAACCACACAGAGATGTTCTTGGCCTGCGTTTTAGAGCCGGGGGGGCAGCAGTGGACTGGAGGATAAACCGGGCCGCTCAGAGAGAGACGGTCAGAGCTGTCAGACACCTGGAAGAGTCCGAACATTAGAGTGCAGCTGCTGTGAAGAGGGGACGGGTCCACTCTGATCACATTTACAGACTTAAAGCTGACTTCTCCTCCTCTCTTCTCCTTCTGTTCTCCTTTCTCTCCTGCAGTCTAACCTCATGCACACACACACACACATCTGCCTACGTCCTAAACGTAACCACACACACACCTGACCGTGCATTATGTGTTTCACCCTCGAGCAGGTGACACCCAGCTTCAATCCAACCAAAGAGCCGTTCTTTGTTCAGACGTCTTGCGTCTTTTTTGCATCAAACACAAAGATGGAAGACGTCTGAACAAACTGGTGAAAAAGGCTGGCTCTGTTTTTGGACTCAAGCTGGACTCAGTGGAGGATGTGGTGGAGAGATCTACACCGAGGAAGGTGGAGACTATTCTAAAGAACTTCACAACAGTTTAGACATGACAAATGAGACGACAGACAACTGAATTTCCCTTTGGGGATCAATAAAGTTCTTCTTATTCTTGTTCTTATTCTTAAAGGTGGGGTAGGCAGGAATCCCTTAAAGAAGCATCTTTTTTTGTGGTGTACAAACAAAAAAGATTTTAATATCAGTCTTTCGCTATTACTTATTGATGACATTTGGGAATATCACGATATTGCTGTGTTTTGTCATGTCTCTGTAGTCAACATGTTAAAATTTCAGAGCACTCCGCTCTTTCTGACTGTAAACAAAGCCGTTCTCCGCCTCCCCCATCCTGATTAGTTACAGGTGGACGCTGCTCCCTGTGTCGTTCAGGAGCCCAAACAAAGTTAGCGTGCTACAATATCGGACAGTAGAAACCAGTAAGAAAGTTCGGAAAATTGTCTGAATCCTCCTTTGGCCTCGACTGTCGACACAAGCAAGAAAACAAAGTAAATACCGGAGACTCTGGAGGAATAACGGGCGCTTAAAATGGAGGTAGACCGGACAAGAGCTAAACAGCCGGGTCAACAATGATGGGGGACGCCTCGGGATCTTGGTGACCCTGTAACCTTTCTGCTGGACAGGTAAACCGCTTTAACAAAGTAAGACAAGTGTCTGTAACAGAAGTGTTTCTTGTCAAACGGACCTGCTGTAGCGTGTTGTAGCGCCATCGCTAAACTGTTGACCTCGGGTCCTGGACTATGTCACTTTATCCTCGTTGTAGAAGTCCTGCAAACATTGTGTTTGCTGGTCGTCTGTTGGCATCTACAGTAGCACCAATGCACCAATACGAGCGAGCAGGAGCGTCTGTTTGTGGGCGGGGCATGAGGGGAGGAGGAGCTGAGGGGAAAACTGGTTTGGAGGGGTCGAGTTTACATTCAAGATTTCTCCTAAAAATTGTCACTTCCTCAGATCCTGACTACCCCACCTTTATCTTCCACATTCAGATACGGGGCAGAAGTGGAGAAGGTTATTATGTCACAGCGGCCTGTTGAGTGACGAATTCCTGCTCCAGCTCAGGGGAATCGACAAGCGGACGTTCAGTTTCAGTTTTTCCCACATTTTCCTGTTGGACCTGTTTCTGTTTAGTTTTTAAAGTTTCCGCTCAGGCTGTCAGGATGTCAGATTTTCACCTCGCCGTTAAATTACTCGAACATCCTTGTTCATGTCGGTGAAAAAAAAAGCCACAACCAGCTGGATCGTCAACTACATTTCTGCAGTTTCAAACTCTGTGTCCAATTCTTCATTTATCTGCGTTTATTGACTCATAAAATAAGAGTTTCAGAGCAGATCCTGGACTTCTGAGCCTCATAATCTGGATCTAGCATGAACCTGATTCTCTGATCAATACTTGTTCCCCAGTTTCTGATCACAGATGTTCGAGAGCGTGATCAGTGAGTTATTTCACAGTCTCGTGGTTCTCTGCTGCTCATTTCCTGACCTGATCTCTGTTGTTCTGATCCACTCTGCTGCTCCTCTCGTTTGGTTCTGTTCAGCTCTGATTCCTTCATGAGCTCTTTATGATCTCCTCTCTGTTCTCTTCTTCTCTTCTTCTTCTCCTCTTCTTCTCTTCCCGTCTTTGTTCTGTTTGATTCTCTTCAGCTCCGATAATCAAACTCTCCTGATCTGATTAACTCTCTTCTTCTTCTCTCGTCTCTTTCATCCACTTCAGCCGAAGCTCTCCTATCTTTAGCCCTAATTAATCTAAGCCCCTCGGATTATTGATTGATTGCCGTGGATTTATCATTGATCTGATCTGATTTATTCCATTATATCCTCATCAGAAGACCAAAGAGACTCGTCGTCTTGTGTTGATTTTTCCTCCACATGTTCCTCCTCATGATAATCGCCTCCTCCTCCTCCTCCTCCTCCTCCTCTGCTGCTGCTGCTGCAGCCTGGGAGCTCCTCTGTCTGTCTGTCTGTCTGTGCACATCACCGTCTGTGGCTCATCACACTGGCGGCCTGCGGCACTGGGGACCCAGGTGCTGAGGCAGGTACACACACACACACACACACACACACACACATAGACACACACACACACACACACATGCACAACTGAACTGCTCACATCAGGCCACCTCAATTAATCACCTCTGCCTTTGGAGCCGTGACTGCCCTCAAACACAACACACACTCATCCTGTCTCCCTCTGAAGAGTGTGTGTCTGTGTGTGTGTGTGTGTGTGTGTGTGTGTGTGTGTGTGTGTGTGTGTGTGTGTGTGTGAAGGAGAAGGAGCGGGGGCAATCTATCAAGGTGATCGATAAAGAGGGACATTAATATTAGTAATGGGGCTCTCCTTCAGTCCACTGAATATGTCTCCGTCTTTACAGTAAAATATGAATTTTTTTTGGCACCTGCACGTTTGCAGCGCGGCCGCGCGCACGGGCACGAGCACGCCAGACTCTACCTGCATGCTAAGAGGAGGAGGAGGGGGGAGGAGGGTCTGTATTATCTCTCACTCTCGCTTTCACACACACACACGCGCACACACACACACACACTTTCTTTCAGTCTCGAGGGACACTTTGCGCTCCTCTCAACTCTCCACTCTCTTTCTTGGAAACGCGCGCACCGAGCTCGGAGGGATGCACGTGCCCGGCGCGTGCGTGTTGGAAATTGATCTTGTGTGACTCATGTTAAAGCCAGACTGTGCGCCGGATCCGCGCCTCATCAATCATCCCCGCGTTGGCAGCTCTGCGCAGTCCGTGTGTGCGTTCCCCTCACGTCTCCAGCTGACCCACGCCGCGTTTGTTTGTGTCAAGCGAATCTGTCTCCTCGTGCGTTTCAAAGGTCACGTCAAAGCAATGTCGCGTGCAGATGCCGCACATCTCTCTCTCTCGTGTAATTGAAGAAAAATGAACGCAGCGTTTGTGTCCGCGCTCCAAATCTCATTTCTCCCCCAGCAGAGCGCGGACCCTCAAAACCCCCCCGTGACTCTTTCTCCCCTCCAGCGCCTGCGGGCTGTAATGATGATGTCCACGGCAGCACAAATCTATAACAACATAACACATTTACACGCGCGCGCGCAGTGCCAGACATACAGACGCGCGAACACATGCAGCGCCAGAGCAGACAGAAAGACACCCACGGAGAGAAAGAGAGAGAGAGAGAGGGAGAGAGAGCACACAGACACAGAGAGAGGCTGGAGAAGAAGAGGAGGAATGAAAGAAAAAGAGAGAAAACTTTCTCAAACATCTCTTACCTTGGTTTAAAGTGATCGCCAAAGTTAGGATCCACAGGGCTGGCATGGTTCAGCCGAGCGCATTCAGATTCCTCCCCTCGGCTCTGCTTCCCCGAAAAGACACCATCAATTCCTCCCGAGCGGGTGACTTCAGCCGGAATCCTCTTTGAGTCATGAGAGTGAGAGAAGCCACATTTAGAGGGAAAAAAAGAAAGAAAATCCACTCTCTTTTCCTCTCTCCTCCTGTCCTTTTTTCCCGTGCGTAAAATCAATCTGTCTCCACTTTTTTGTTTCCGCTCTCCTCTCAGTCTGCGTCTCTTTTCCTCTCTGCGCTCCAGATTCCCATTTAAACAGATCTGAATTCCTCTCTCCCTCTTTTCCTCTCTCTCTCTCTCTCTCTCTCTCTCTCTCTGCCCCTCTCTTTTCATACAATCAGCAGCACACACCCCCTCCCCTCCTCCCCGCTCCAAAATCTCCGTTTTGGACTCCACAGAGGAGGTGGAGGGCGCCTCCAGCGGCCAGAGAGAGAACTGCTCTTTCACCGTGAAAACTCCAACCATGTAGTGCTTTAATTTCACATCTGAGTGAACCTTTGATACGGGATGTTAACTAGGAGGGTGTGTTTGTAAATCTTCCATTAGACAGAATTTAATCAGAAGTGCCAGAAAACGGCGAGACGGAGGTGCTTTATGACTGCATCTACGGTGGCCCTGAAGGTCAACTCGACAAATATTTCAGCACACGATAAAAAGAAAGATTTTCACTGAATGACAAAATGTTACTGAGCACTGAAGACATTTCATCATGAAATACACTGAATTTTCATGACAGTCAAAATTTCTACAGAGGGCACAAAAAAAAGTTTAAAAATTAAAAAACAAACAAACAAAAAAAAACTTAAATCTAATTTTTTTTTGTGACTGTCAAACTTATTCCACAAGACAAAAAACCTCACAAAGAAATTACAGGATGTAAAAAAGTGAAATAATAAATAAATAAATTGAAATAAATGTTTAAAATATGTATGTTGGTTTTTTTTAATTAAAAAACAAACACATTTTGTTTTGAAGGAATGCTTAAAAATTAATAAATATTGTTATTTTGTCAAAGTGATTTAATGTTTTTGCGTTCAGTGAAAGGTTTTGGGTGTTATAAGAATTATTTTGTGTGCCAAGAAATATTTTAGCACACTGTAAAAAAAAACAAAAAACTCACATTTGCTGAAACATTTTCTGGTTTTGTAAAGTTTTTATCCTTTTGTGAAAAGTCTTTAAGTTGTGTTAAATATTTTTGTGTTATATTAGTTGTGCATTTGAGGAAATGTTTGATACATCCAGAAATGTTTTCTTGCCTCATAACATTTTTATGCAGTTGACTTTTAGGGCCACCGTACTTTTATCACAGGAAGTATCAGATTTTATAGAAACAGGTTAATTCTGATACAACAAATTTAACAGTTTTAGTCATTTTTCATGTTTGATATTTAGAAATGTGTGTTGCTGTGATCTTCATGAATGCTGAAGTACTCACAGAAGTTTGCAGGTTTTGTTCTTTTCATCCACAGTGACGGTTTTTCCACTTTTTTTCCTCGTTCTTCAGTCTGAGACACCTGCAGAAAGGTGATGTCATGTGCGTCCGTGCTCCGATCACATTATTGAAACAGTCGACTCAAAATGTGAAAGGCGGGGACACCTGTCTGTTTAATGTGGCTGCAGTCACACGCACCTACACACACCTGCACACACCATCCTCTGTGTCATTCATTGTGATTCTGGAGTTTTTTTACTTGTTCTTAAACAGACTGAAATGAAAAGAAATGCTCCTTAATGACTTACAGAAGTAAACAAGATCATCCAACACAAGTCGTACAGATTCTCTGTCTTTTTAAACGCCGCGGTGTAGATGTCAGAAGAGACGACTTGCAGCCCTTTGAAAAAACAGCTTTTTAAAAACAGTCAAAAGGGTGCAGCAGGGTGTTCCACTACTCACACAGGAACAGGACACTTCAGCGAAGATGTGAGGTGTTCCTTTTTGTCCACAGGGGGCGCCAAAATCAGTACAATCTGCTTTGGAGTTTACAGCTCACCAGTTCAACTTTAAACACGATTTATTAATTTAAGACAGCTGCAAAAACACAAAGTTGCAGACACAGACACAAAAGAAAACACAGAACAGACCATTATATTAGAGCCGAAATTAATAATCAATAGAGAAACTACCTCAAAGACACTTGTGCAACCTGGTAATCTAAAATCTACTACAGCATAAGAACTCTTTTTTAAATGATTTCATTTTAGATTTAAAAACTTTTAATGGTTTTTAAATTCATGCTGCAGAAATTTCCAAGCTGAAGGAACAGAAAAACTACTGCTGTCATTGACACAGGTGTTTAAAGGTAGAATAAACTTCTCAAATATATATATTTTATTTTTAATACATATATATATATTTTTTTTACATTTGTCACGACACAATATATCATGATTAACTGAAAGATATACTCAGTGTAGAGTGGATAATGTTTGACTAAAGTATTGATTTTTGGCACCACTGATCAGATAGTTACGTCCCATGAGCCAAAATAAAAACAAGAATTTGATGTTTTTGCTTCTGCTTGTTTACACTGTACAACTGTTCGATCCTGTTCAGATGTAATATAATGTATATAATGTATAATAACAGAAACAGATGATGATTTATTGCTCTTAAGAGGTTATTTCTGTCTTTTTTTAAGCAGAAAGTGTCTCTGGATTGCTGTGGTGTGTTTACAGTGATTTTCAAGGATGCTTGACATCTAATAGATCAGCTTTCAGATCTTGTGATAAAACTGAGCAGCCTGAGGATACGTCAGCACGCTGCGTTTTACACATTTGGTGAAATTAGAAGTTCCTCTAACGATAAAACAGAAGAAAAATGAGTCAGAGTTCAGTTTCAGCAGATCTTTACCATGTGAGAGAGGCTGCGACTACTTAAGAGTGTAATTAAGCAGCATGTGTACAGTGTTAGAGGATTATTAACCCATGTAAGGGGATCTACATGTGGAAACAATCATCTCCGAACCGCAGACTGTAAAGGGAGGAAGGAAGCAGAGATAAGAGGGATGAAAGAAAAAGAGGAGACATAAAAGACAGCAGACAGAAGTATAGTTTGATATTTTCCATTAGAAATACTGATAATAAGACTTCTGTCAGTGTGAGTTCAGGGGGGAACGTCAGTCTGTGATTCAGTCTGTTTTCACTGCGAAGGAGGAACTTTGAATTATTGCATTGCACTGCCCTCTGTTGGGCGTGAGCGTTCACTGCAAATGAAGCAGACGGGAGGAGAGAACCTGTTGATAACATCAGCTTTTGTATTCAGTGATAGTTGAATGAGCTTTAGTTAGAATAAAATACAATGTAAAGAACTTTTTGTGAATTAAAGACACATGTGGGGACACAGAAAGATTTTTGAAGTGGAATTTTTACAGGGTTTGCATCTCAAAAGCAGTTTTAAACAGAACTTTTGAATCATTTTAAAGGTTACAATGATGTTCACACTCTAGCTAGCACTAACCCTCAAATCAAGTGAACATACTACAGGAAGACAGTTTCTAAAATTTATAGGTCAAAGAGTAAAAAATATCCACATTTCACTCTCTGATACGAGTGTAATTCTTTCTCCTTTACTTCAAATATCAGCCAGCTTTTAAAAATGTTGATTGTGATTTAATTGTGAGAGAAAATGTGTTTTTTTGTAGCAGTGAGGCACAGCAGAGAGAAAAAAATTCACCACTACACAAAAACAGATCACATTCAGGGGCGTGTCCAGTAGGTGGCTCTGGCCCCCCTCGAAACTGATTGGCCACCCAGAAAATCCAAAGTGTTCATTAGATATTTGACTCAAATCAACTATTTAGGATGTAAAAAAAAAAAGCTGTCTATGCTGCATTTCTTTTGGTTTAAAGCTCCTGTGAGGAACTTTTGATTTGAGTCAAATTTAGCGCCCCTTGTGGACAAATCACTGTTTGCTTATTCACCCTTTACATGCTGAAGTAGCAACTTTTTACATAAATGTCATCCAGCGGACTTTTGACAGTCCAGTGTCATTAATTGCTAAAATCTTACGTGGATTTTAAGTGAAAAATATGTTTCAGGCATTAAAAATTCAGATATAAGAACCATCACTCTTGTTCCTGGTCTTTTTTTTTCCGGGTATCATGTAAAAATGTATAAATATAGTTTTTGAGTATTTCATTTCCATTAAAAAAAACTTTAAAATGAGCTTTAAGAAAAAAAAAAAGAGCAAGTAGGAAAGGTAAATGTTATTTGTTTGTGTGGCCACCCCTGCCTATGTCAGGCCTGGGCTGAGCCACCCTGGTCAAAATGTCTTGGCACACCCCTGATCACCTCCTGGACCAACATCTTAACTTCTGAAGAGGAAGAATCAGAGACAACACGTGTGAAATTAACCCAAATGCATGTTTATTGAAGTCAACAACTCAAGTGGTTTGAACCAAAAACAAAAAATAAAACAAAGAAAATGAAACAAATTCTGTATGAATGTAACAGCCAACAGACGCACACCCACCACGGCATGCGGTTGGGCGTTGCTTTGATGACATCATCAGCCATAATACAAATGGACATACGTGACGGCACGACTCTCATGTGTGATATGGATTTTCATTCAAAAGGAAGACTTTTCATCCAAAACAAAAACCTCCTAAAAAACAAAGACGTGGTTTTAGTCGGAGCGATAGTGGATCACATGGAGAGAGTGTGTGTCCGGAGTCTGTTTGGGTCGATTAATACACACCTCACACTCATACACAAACACACATACACACACATATATGCACAAATACACCACAGTCACAGACGTCATGCCTGCGTGCATATCCAGATATGTGTGTGGATGCGTATGTACCCAAAGTGTGTGTGCAAAGTGTGTATGGGTGCGCTTGTATCCAGTAAAGGCAACACTATATACATGAAATTATATCAAAATGGTCGTTTTAAACAAACAGCTAACTTCAAGTTTTGGGAAATCTAATAAAAAAAACAAACGAAAAAAAGAAAAAACAGATAA